AAGAGACGGTCTCGATTGTGAGCTTTGGATGACAAATTTGCCTCATGTGAATCAACCACATAGATTCAATCCCTTCTCCTCCTTCCTGCTTCAACGGACTCAGTATGAATAAGAGGCTTGTCAAGAATGAGCTACTCACGACATTTGGGTCCTCATCGAGTATATGACTCGATGGTTGTCTCCATATCAGCGCGCCAGAGCAAATTCGTTACTTACTGTATGCTATGATAGCCTCTGCTATATGGTGACGAGCAGAGTAGCCATGATGTTATCTATGGCTGACGAACAAGGCAGTGGCTCTGCAACGATTCAGCAACCTGCCTTTCAATGAGGTGCTGCTGATGAGCGATCGTATATGCGAGCGCTGCTTACCAGCCTGTACATCATCTTTGTAGCAGCCTGTACATCTTTACCTCGAGATGTCAGTGGGATTTCTCCATTTGTGGGACCAAATGACTTACTTGAAGAGAAGCAGTGATGGTTTACCAGCCCTGCCGTGTAGTCATACAATTTGATGTTGTTCTTGTCGAATGAGGGCACACGATAATCATCTCAGGAGGCAGTGGTCGAGTCAAAGGATACAAAACTTTTTCCTGATTTTCTAATTTCTCTTTTCTGCTGGACTCGACTGCTTCAAACTCTGACTTCTGTTTTGAGCTCTGCTTTCCTTCTGAACTTGCTTCTACCAATTCTGCTCTTGCTTGCTTGTGTCGTGTCCCGCCATGCCTTATGGTCCGATGCGTTGCCCTGTTTCTGTTCGATCCTTTGACCTTGATGTTGCTGTGTCGTGTGTCGTTGATGGGTTGAAACCTGGCTCTTTCTGGAGCATTCCTCAACCTCCAACCTTCTTCTGCTAAACTTTATCACTCGCCATGTAAAAGAAACCACGGAACTGCTTTTCGTCTATGATGGAGTCAAGCGCTGGATCTCGTTTTCGATCGATTGGTGTAGAGGGCAGCGAACTGGGTTCTCGCGACGGACGCATGCCTCGTGCATTGCGTTCCAGCCTGATGGACCATCCTTCCACTGCCCGTGAGCGTGGTATGCGGCCTTGATTGCTTGACCTACAGCAGCAAGTTAGTAAGGAAACACTGTGCAAGAAGCTGGAGATACTTACGGGCTTGATGGCAAGTGTTCAGGTGCTTGTGGCACCAACCCGTATAGTGCCAGTGGCACTGTAGGTTGTTGTCAGGGCATGCCTGACCGGCTTTGTGGCCGTCTCTCTCAGTCTTCTTGGGACCGTAGGGTTGGTTGTTGCTTGGTATCCAAGGAACCAAAGCAGAGGAGTGCTGAGCGTGGAGTGCGTTGGTCGGGTTGTACACAACGACTACTGTCAATGGAGTAGTGATAGGGACGGGCATGTGGCCGTAGGAGTTGAAAACACCATCGGTACCATAGAGGAAGCGGCCAGCTTGGATGGTGTGGTTGGGAGGATACTGCGTTGCCTGATGGTGACCATGAGTGGAACCTTGGTAGTGAGTTGGCTGAGGACCGTAGACGGAAGGTTGATGGAGAGCCTGCTGAGGGCCGTGAGGGACAAGAGCCTGGCTCCAAGGAGTAAACTCCCGGACCTGGGGATCGTGAGACTGATGAGCAGCATGGTGGCGGCGGTCGACTGAAGACGAATAGATGATCTGCTGGCTGTACAGACCAGACTCCTGAGTCATGGAAGAGGACTGAGTAGGGAGACGCTGAGTGGTAGGGGTAAACTCCTGGACCTGAGGGTTGAGAGATGTGACATCGTTGGCCTCAGAGACTCTGAGAGAGAAGGTCAGTACACGACATGTAAACAAGGGGCAGGATAGCATCTTACGCGGTAGGGGCCTGAGCACGACGAGGCATGATGCCTAAACCCTCGTGATTTCCCTCAGGCTCAGTGCACATAGGGCAGGGGTATGTAGGGACTTCCTCGACGATGGGCCTGTTGTTGGGGTCCTGAACCTTATTGATGCCCACGCGACGACCCGAAGGATCCTTGTGCTCTGTGTGGAGGCAGCTGGGCCACCAATAGCGAACGATCCTCATGTTGAAGAGCTGGAATCGATGACGAGTTGAGAAATCGCGGTGGTGGTTGTTGAGGAAGGAAGAAAGGAAGGAGAGAGAGAAGCGGAAGGTGGAAAGAGTTTTATGGAGGCCGCGACTGGAAGCGCAGCGAGAGTGAGCGCTTTCCACGACGACGAACGACACTAGTCTACGAACGCTACGAACATCACTTCACATTCGTCACTCATCTGTGGCCAATAAGAGAATGAGCCTACCACGCATACTGTCGAATGCTTACAAGAACATCGATTCCTTCCTACCATTGTATTGCAGAAACAAGAGTGGAAGTGGCTATCTCAACAGTTCGATAAGGCGCAAGATAGTACCTACCGCATTTGTATGCTTGAGAAGGATCTTGCTGTTTCAACAAACAACAAGATATTCGATCCTAGCGATTCTATCGAGCGCAGGCAATCGTGTGAAAGCTCATTCACTGCTACCGCCACAATCGAGCAGCAAAGATGGACTTTGAGAGCAACAATAGCTCGCACTCACATATGGAGCACCATCTCGGCGGTCCTGAAGTGAATTCATGTGGCGTAGGTGATGGGCACTCACTTCGAACGACGGACCCAGGACGAGTCTTTCAACGGTCTGATGGCAGCCTAGGCTGCATCGACCACTCCTGTACTTGATAGGCTTGCGTGAACACCAGCAATTTCATAGAAGATCGCACTGCTCATTTCCCAGATGGCCCTTAAGTTGCATATCGAACTCGAGCTGAGAGATGCACCTGGAAGGACGACCGATTTTCTTGAATTGTGAAACACCCATATTGTGGTATCAAGGAATCAATGGACCAATGCGAGGTGCTCGGATGGTTGAGACATACAGAGAGTATGCGAGACACACGGTTTTGGCGTCAGCATACTGCAACACGAAGGTATGAGACACTTTCTATCCAGCGTCGAAACATACAAATGTTCGTCTTCGCGCGCCGAACTTCTTCTTTCTTCTGACTCCACCGCATCCATCACAACATGTTCTCCGAAGAGGATTTGGAGCCAATCGCGTCTGGCCCGACTATCCTGGACTTGCATGTGGCTCGCACAAAGACCGGCCTCAGCTTCGCCAAAGATTGGAGCGTCGACGCCTTGACTCGTCTTTGTAAGGCGTATGGTGTTCACACCGGTTCGATCAATGACGAAAAAATGCTTCTGGCCATGCTGAACAAATCTCTGACTCAGCCTGTTGTGTATGATGGATTCGACCTCCAAGATTTGACCAACTTCGTCAACGCCAGGGGCTTGATCATCCGTCAAACTTCTATTGATGCCACCATGGCGACACCAAACTCGCAGGAAATCTCTCCCCTGCAGCAATCAAGATGGCAGGAGAAGGCCACAATTGGCAACATTGACTCTCCGTCCTCCAAGCGCACCTCAGAGGGTACTGTGTTGACAGAGAAGCCCTCGTATGGAAACATCCCTGTCAACTCATCGTGCACACTCGACACGCTCGAGACTGAATCCAGGGAATCCAACAGTACGTCTAAACTCAACGACCAGCTTTCCGTAGTGGCCCCCAGTGCTTCCTCTGAGCCTCATCAAGCCAAGAGCACCGTCGTCGAGTTGCTCGAAAGGGCTAATCGTGACTGTCGTTTCAACTTCCTGGACCTTCCTGCGGAAATCCGATAACAAGTCTACAGCCTTACCTGCCGTGCGTCTCTGACCATTCTCCGTCCTCAGCAACAACCTGCCATTGCAGAGGCCTGTCGCTTGACGCGCGCAGAGGTGTTACTGATCTACTACAGATGTAACCGATTTGCCATAGTAGTTGGTGCAAACGACGAAATGAACCATTATAATCCCTGAATGGCATGTATCTCTTCGACGAGTCTTTCCTGGATCCAGTCGTTCGCATTCGTAGGTCTTTGGCGCGAGAAGGTCGTCGAACTCGATATCAGACCGCATGGACAGATCCGTTATCACTTCAAGATGAGAAAGATTCCCGGCAAGAAAACAACGAGAGAGAAGTCACGAAACGCAAGTCGTGGTGGTCATCGCAGGAAGCGTTGTGGTGGCGTCATTAGTCCCCTTCGATATGCTATGGATGAATTCAACAACGATGGCTTTGCTCTGGTACTTGGCATGCCAGATGATCATACAGAAGACTACATCGATCTCAGATTTCAACCAGCAGACCGCGTCCTAACAATCATCGAAGAGAGAATCTCTACTGCAAAAGAGCAGAGAGCAGCACATGACGACGTCGAGTACAAGAGGACGATCATTCGCAGTCCGTAGGAATTGCTTCGAAAGGAGTGGAAACTGGCTCAAGGCTTCTCTGTCATCGGTCTCAGAGCTCTGGCCTATGCTGTCCAGTCTCGGTCCTTCTGAGAGGATGCCTAGAGTGAGATCTAGAAGCAGAAATTATTCCAGATTGAATGCAGTGGGGCTCGGATGCCATGGCAATACAAGTTGTAAAAGGTCCAGTCCAAAACTTTGAAAGGGGCGTCTTGGTTCAGGTACGAGTTGATCCCAGCGAAGGAAGGTACATTTCATCCATAGCTTAGCTTAGCTTATGAAACCGGCGAATCCGTTGTTGATTCAGAATTCACGTTCGGAAGTAGCGGAGCAGGTGTGCTATCTACTCCAGAATCTATTCACCACGGCCAAGCATTGCAAACTCACACGCAGATATTGCAACGCTTGAATGCAGCTCTGCCTCGGAATGAAAGCTGGAACTCCCACATTCTCAACAAGACAGTTACCTGTGCGAGAGCTGATGGGCCGGTAAAGCGATACAGCGGGCAGTTGAGATTGACTGAGATCGGGTTATGATCGTTTGAAAGTCGTAAATGCAATTTTCTTCGTCCTTGAGTGCGACGCAATGCCCGGCGGCCACTTGATTGATATCGAGGTGATGATAGACATGCTTGTACAATCCTGAAATCGAGTTGAAGGCTGCGACTCGGCAATCCTGCAGGAAGAATATATAGCAAAGAGATCCGGCGATTACAGCCTTTCTGTTTTGACGGTACCTTTCACAGCAATGCCACCTTCTGGGGTTTCGGCCCAAACCTCGTACTTCTGATCATCGGACTTTCTTCCGCAGATCTTCAATGGATCATAGGCGTATAACGGTGCGAGGTTTCTGTACTCGACCGACTTTATCTGCTCATGGCCTCCCTCTTTTGCAAGCTGCTGTTGCAGGATTGTCAACATGAGAGTGAAAGAAAGAGGACCATGAACTAGCAAGTGTTTGTGACCTTCCACGTCCTGACAATATTGGGTATCCAGGTGAATGGAGTGGGCGTTGAAAGTCAACGCACTGTATCGGAACAGCAACTGTGCATCTGGACGGAGTGTATGGTGGAAGTCGGGTTCATGTTGAGGTTTCAACATCTTTCCAGGCTTCCTAGAAGCAGCAACGGCCTGTTTCGCTTCTTCTGGAGTTCTCTCGCGCATGAAGACAATGTTGCGGCGTTCAATGATGTTTGCAGGACCGAATTCAACGTCAGAAGGCATCCACAACCTCTGCCTGATATTGTCTTCCAAAGCAAGTATTTTGTCTTGTTGACCATTGGCATCTGCCATGGCGGTCTCTTCGTCTTTGTTCAAGGGGGCAATGCGGCGTTCAATGCCGACAAAGACCTTCTCGTCTCCAGGCTTGCCTTTGACGGCAACATCTCGGATTCCTTCAAGGCACACAGCACGGCTATTGTCCATGAGCAGAGGCTTCTTGGAGTCGAACATGACGCTGCCACCAGCCCACATGCGGCGAACAAAGGGATCACCAGGTGAGTGGTCTGGGTTAGTGCCATCGGGAAGCAAGTCTGAGGGAGGCTTTGTGGGCTCGAAGTATAGCAGATGATGAGGAACTGGCATGGGTAGCGGCTTGTTCGGTGCTGGGGGTGTGAGCGGGGCGCTGCAACATGTTGTTAGCAAAGTCNNTCGGCAGGAGGCAGCAGAATCGACTTGCCGTGTGTTGGGCAGGAAGTCGGCCAGCGACACGTTGAGTCTGAACGAGTTCTGAGACGTCAAGTCGTCGAAGACTGGCCGGATCTTCCTCGCCGTCATGTCTGCCTCGAGGTGCGAATATGAGGATTGCCATCTTCGTTGACTACCGCCGAGTCTCAATGAGTTGAGCCGCAACGTCCTTGTGCAAACCATCGTGATTATAATACTCGATTTACTGGTCGCTTGCCGTGGAACAGCTACGGGCTCGATTGTTATACGTCGTCGTCGGCGTCTCGAGTGCGAGGCCGAGTCGGCATCGAGGAAGCTTTCCCCACCCCCGCCCTCTCTTTGGCCGTGTCTCCCAGCGCGTCATCTTCTTCTTCATCTTCCACTACCATCTGGTCCTTGAAGACATCGACTGTTATTTATACAACTGGTGATGAGGCTACCATGTACTTGGCATCGATATAGTCGAGAGCTCGTTTCCCAGATCTGATGGCTGATCATCCCAAAAAGCAGAGCAGGGTTGGAGGGAGAGGTCATGCGTGTGAAGTCCCTTCAGATAATACCTATCACCAGTCTCTCACCGCCCGCTCAGCACATAGTAGCAACCTTCTGCAGCTGATATTCCCTTCGAGGCTTTTTGGTAGGTTATACAGATATCTTCTTACTCGATGTCGTCATGTCATAACGTGGATACGGGCCAAGAGCAGTAATACAGTGCCAAGAAGGGTAAAATCATTGACTCTTGCTGACCAACATGACCATTCTGACTTGTTTGTCCCAGTCTTACAGCAAGACATAGCTATCTGGAACCGTAGTCTGATCTCAAATCAGCACGACCAGTCATGAAATCCGAAACATCTGTTCGGTATACCGAGATCGAGCATTCGCTTGGGTTTTGGCAAGCAGCCAGATTATACTATCCAGCAGCATTATGGGTTCTATACGTGAACCTTGCGACTGTACTCAAGGGTATGGATGGAGGTATCGCTGGCAGTCTGATTGGTCTTGACCCGTTCAAGAAAACATACGGACACCCTTACAACGATACATTTGTCGTTCCAGCCGCCTGGGTTAGTGCTTTTGGCTACGCGAACAATATTGGAGGTGTTTGCGGCGCTCTATTCTCTGGTGTCATCTACGAGAGATGGGGTCCTCGAAAGATGATTGCGGCGTGCTCTCTCGGATCGATTGGGATTATATTCCTCCAGTTTTTCAGTACCACGCCTGCACAGCTGTTCGTGGGCCAGTTACTCAATGGCGCTATCATCAGTTTCTTCCCAATCTGTGCGTCAGCATACACTGGCGAAGTACTGTGTCCGTTGGCTTTGAGAGGCGTGATGGCTTCTTTGACCAACCTCGCGTTTAGTAAGTGTAGCCGATGTAGGAGATCAAAGTCTTGTACTGATATCTTGCAGNTCTGCGGTAAACTCATCTCCTCGGGGATCATGAAGGGTACAAACCCCATCGAGTCTTCGATGGCTTACAGAATTCCTATCGCCACGCAATGGACTCTCCCCGTGTTCATGCTATCCCTGGTATACTTCTGCCCAGATCCTCCCTATTGGCTTTGCCGCAAGGGGAGGCACGAAGACGCTGCACGGTCGCTCAAACGCTTTGCTACCAACGAGGTCGATACTACGCTCACTCTGGCCAACGTTCTGGAAACTCTGCGTATGGAAGAGGCGTCAAAGCAAGATCGTCCCAACTATTTGGACTGCTTCCGTGGCACGGATCTCAGGCGTTTGGTCATCTGTGTGATGGCGTATGACATGCAAGCCTTTACTGGTAACATGCTGTTTATCAGCTATGCAGTCTACTTCTTCGAGATGGCTGGCCTGGACTCTGCAAATGCGTTTTCCATGAACCTTGGCTTGACTGCTCTTGGGTTTCTCGGTACTTGTGCTGCTTGGCCTCTTTTATCCTACATTGGACGTCGCCCTGCGTACTTGTTTGGCACTATTGGTCTTGCTACGATCATGTTCCTTATCGGAGCTATCGACTTCGCGCCCCGTTCGACTTCGGTGCCTACCTGGGCACAATGTTCGTTGATGCTTCTGGCGAACTTGATCTACGACACCACAATCGGACCCTTCTGTTATGTCATGCTAGCCGAAGTGCCATCAGCAAGACTTCGTGGTCTCACAATCGCCTTGGCTACAGTCTCTGTCCAAGTCGTATCCATTGTGTTAGCTGTAGCCATACCTTACGCCATGAACAAGGACCAGGGTGATTGGCGGGGCAAAGTCGGTTTCTTATTCTCTGGACTCGGGCTCCTGTGCGCACTTTACTGCTTCTTCTCCATGCCAGAAACACGGAACAGAACTTTCGAAGAACTTGATATATTGTTTGATAAANAAGTTCCGAGCAGGCAATTCGCGACATACAAGATTGATGCGGAGACGGAAAGCTCAGAGACAGTGTTTGCGGAGAAACCATACGTCTAGAGAAGTTGTCGATCTCCTGGACCATGAGATGGGAATATGTTGAGTCCAAAACTCAAGAAGGCAGTCGATCGGTCTTGCACCCCCACAATGTTGATATTGAAGTTGACGTCGTTTCCATGCAACGTTCCGTGAGCTGCGTGAAACTTGATGCGCGTTGGTTTGGGAAGGTGAAGACGTGCCTCACTTGATTTATGAAGATGGATCGTCACTCCCTCTTTTGATGCGGCTGGGGGCTTTTTCGTCCTAGAGAAGCTGCCGCCTTTACCAACTTCATCCCATCTTCGAACATCCGAATCAATCTTGTGTCTCGCTACTAAGACACAACGCCTTTGCTATCATCATCCATCATCACTTCTCGATAAACACTTTATCACCAGTCCCGACCACCGTCTTTCGTCACCAGCCTCCATCACCAGCTTGCACCATCGTCTTCCACCAACATATTTCCACCAATGACGGTCACAATCAATAACTTTCCGAACGAAATCCTTCTGGAGATCCTTCAGGACTTTGACTATTATGACCTCAAGAAGTGCATGCGCGCCAACAAAGCCTTCAACGCCATTATCAAGCACACTGCTTTCGACAGAGTGCTGTTCCGTTCTGCAAATGTCATTGGCAAGGATGGCATTATCAAATATTCTACCTTCGCTACCCATCCTGCCCTAAAACGTACTATGTTTCCCGATCAATCCCCAAACGACCAAATCGAGCTCAGATGGCCTCACAATAATTTTCTCTACGATCCTCCCAAGTACTTGCTGCAAAACAAGGTAGCTGATGAACAAGTAACCTCGCCCCCAGTCAGCTACGTACGCGTCAAACCATATCAAGTCGAGACCAGAGTTGAGGTTGAGAATCCGAACGGTATCACGATCCGCCAGCTCCATGAGGCAATGTGCAGCGTCTACGAAGATCCTGATACGACTCCCCCACTTGTTGGGAGCCGCAACGGCAAAGCTCGTATGGGCGTGAGTTATTGGCTCTACCCTGAACGAGGAGGGGAGTTTTCTCCGCATGATCTTCTTCTAGAACGATGGTGGGATGAGTTATCGGCGTACTTGTGATAGCCTGCCTCTGGCCTGTGAGATTCACCAGCCTGTGGCAACCAGATCTTCCTGGCATTCTGCAATCACCATCTAGTCCAGAAGTTACCAGTGGAGAAGAAGGAGCATTCGCGACCTGCTCGTAAAGGGGATGAAGTTATCTTTTGCTTCCTCTTGAAACATTCTTTTGCTCTTCATCTCGGTTTTGTTGGCGGTTCTCAGATCTTCTTTTCCAGTCGTTTTCCTTTACACCCTGAACAGACAGAAGATCATGCAAGCTTGCACTTACAGCTCAAGCCAAACAGACTTCACGTAATCAGACTCAGCTCTCAAACAGCCGTCCCCGGATATGTTGATGTGACTTCAAAACATCTTCCCTTTCTCCTTTACGAGACTCGTACTCTTGTGATGCATGGAAGAAAATAGTGGTCATAAACAGTATTGATTCTTTTCTCGTTCTGTTCTGCTCTGCTCTGCTTTTTCTTTTTCAACATACTAGCCATGACCACTTAAGTAACAACAGAAATCAAAGGAAATGCGCCATAATAATATCAATTTTTTCCGAGACCAGTCATGTTCACCCGAGTCTGTTGGACGTGCATCAATGTTGAACTCAACTTTTGACGAGTATTTTCCAAGATCCTTTGCCTTCAAGCTGTGACGAGAGGTGGGGGTTTGTCGTCGCTGCTCAGTTGTTTTGCAACTGTGCCCTCAGTGGGCTCGGCGCAGCGGGCTTTCTCGTCAGGCTCTCGCGAACCCGGCAGATGGACTTTTGTGCGACGAATGACCGAGGAGTGGATGACTATGTGGCTGTTAGTGGGTCTTGATCCGTGGAAGAGAATTGTTATCGAATACACACCTGTACCTCTTGTTGTACACTTGCTGGCGAGTTACCAGGATGAAGCTCGTAGTGGTTCGAGACAACTCCAACGTCTTTCTTTTCCGCCAGACTCGGGGCAGCGCTGTCAAGGCGCTGCACGCGAGGAGCCGTCAATCCGGAGACTGGAGCGGCGTCCTCGCCCTTTGCGAGGGCTTCAAATTGTCAATCATCGTAGAACTCATCATCAGACTCATCAACCTCTGCGAGCTGCTCGAAATTGAGCTTGTAACGCATCATGGCACCGATACCACCGAAACCCTTGACAAACTGGTTGCCCTCAGAGGAACGGTCCGAGACGAACTCAAGGTTGGCACCAAAGTCGCGGTACTTCTCAGCCAGCCACTCGAGGAGAGAGATCTGCTCGATAATTTCCATCTCTTGGCCAGTCTCCTTGTCCATGAATTGGCTGCGGTCGGCCTCCTGCTCCTTGTTGGTGTGCAGAATGATCTCGCCACCAGAAGAAGACTTGAGAGTCCAGCGGGTAATTTCCAGGTTTTCGAAGACGATCAAAGTCTCGGCAGCACCAGCGTCCAGAGCACGAAGAGTATCCTCAACACCGTAGCAAACCTTGCCAGAGTCCAGGGAAATCTCGTCGAAGTAGGCGTTGATGAGCTTCTTCTCCTGGATGAACTTGACGTTACCGAGGGTCTCGGAGGAGAGTTCGATGGCCTGGTTGAATCCGTTCTCACCACCGTAAGAAACGTCGACAACCTTGACGACCTTGGCGGACAGACGACCATCAAAGAGATCGGACTGGTTGAGGTCGTTCTTGAAATCGGCGGAACCAGCAAGAATCAGACCAGCAACGTTGACCTTGTTGTCGGTGATGAAGTTCTGGACGGCGTGTTCTGCGACCTTGCGGACGTAGTTGTGACGCTTCTCCTCGCGCAGACGAGCAAAACGCAGGGCAGACTGACCACCACGACCGTGCTTCTTGGGAAGATCGACCGAGAACTTTTGGCGAATCTCACGGGTGTTTCCAGAGAGGGTACCGAAGAGGGCACCGTTACCGTCCATGATGATGAAACCAAAGGCCTGGTCGGACTCCAGCAGCTCGCTCAGAGCCTCGGTGTGGAACTTGTTGTCGCAGAGGTACAAGGAGGTGTTGATGGGCTTGAAGGGCTCGAAATCGATGTTGATCTTTCTCTCCTTTCCTTCGGCAGTGATGATTTCACCACAGTAGACAACGAGACCGTTCGGGGGNACCTTGTTGTAGAGCTTGAGGCGCTGCTGGGTCGAAGTGATGGCCGACAGAACGGAGAGACGGTTGACGCGAGACTTGATGTTACTAGCAGTTCCGTACTCTTCAGCCAACATCTTTGCGACTCGGGAGATTTGATCCTTGGGGGCTGTGGAAGCGTGTCAGCGGCGTGGGACTGGTGGTGGCTGCCATGTCGATGTGCACGTACGGATGATGAGCGAAATCATGGAGGTTCCGTTACCACGGGCCTGTTCCAGGCGCTTGATGAGCTTCTTGACCTTCCATATCTCAATGTTCTTCTCGGCCTCGTTCGCCTGCTGCTGTTCACTCATGTTGGCGGGGCTTCTGTTGTGCGAGCCGGCTGGGATGTCAGGCTGCGGGGCGTCAGTTCAAAATGTTCAAGGCACTTTTTCCAGGGCTGCGGAGGGGCCCGAGGGACGGTCGCACCAGCGCCAGCGGGTGCAGGGAGAGCGGGAGCGATGCAGAACCGATGGAAGGGGGTAATCCGCGCAAGAAGTACTTACAAGCTCTGCGCCGAGAGTGAGTGGGTGAAGGGGAAGAGGAAATGACGGTGTCGCGGTCACAGTTTGTGGTGAAAGGTGTTGGGAGTCCGCAGCGGCGTGCTCACATGTGTCGACTTCGCGTAAATGACCTCACAGGCCAAGTCGCTCTTTCCTCAGAATCCACCAAGCACTCGCGCGCCTGCCTCCACTGCTCGCTCGCTTATGCATTTTGGCCAAGGGCCTGCGACATGGCCGAACTCCCAGTCGCATCTACAAGACTCGACTTACCAAACATTTCTTGTCACGTTTCACAGATCTGTCTATCTTGTTCTCTATAAACAACAAAGTCGATGTTGAAAAGCTCAGACATGCATGCATATCTCAGATCCATGACTCCTATCAACTGGTCAAAAGTCCTTTCCCGATACCACTCGGATGCCTCCTTCTCCACATGCGCCAACAACCTCTGGGAAACTCAAAACCACTTACGTAAATTTGCAACGATTGCTAGGTACAAGTAGTAAACAAAGCAGGTGCCAGGCCCCTTTCTCACCGCCATATAACGAGCCCTTGGAGTGTCCAGTACTTGCCACAACTACCGCTAGGGCGCTAATAGAACGCTGTAAAATCTTTCGATCGCCTCGATCTGGAGAGTCCATCTAGCCGCACGGCACATTCTGTACAAAACCCTGACATCAGGCTTGCGCCCACTCTCAAACACATACTCGACCACAGATAAGACCGTCTTCCATGTTTCTCCTATCTCTATACAAGTAGCCCTCTAGTCTACCCTCGTCAACTTTTGCCTCTTCTGCTCGTTGATCTTCCGTGCCTCGACACTAAACCGCCTCCACCCGCGCGAGCAACCGCCTTTCTCCCCTTGCGACTTTGCGCACGCGATCTCTTTCCTAATTTCTGCTTGACAACACGACTGCAGACTCAGTATGCCCGCCGACAGAGCGCCTATCCCGTCCAACTGGACTGAGTACGAAAGAGGTGGACGTCGTGGCTCGTCAGAGACTCTGGAGAGCCATGTTCAATGGGGTGCAGACGTCCATGATGCCCCTGAGCATGCTGCCGGGTCGCCAGATGCTCACCACACACAAGGACTGCGACATAGAAGGTGCGCAATGTCGATCCTATGCGCTGTTCTCTCGCTGACTCGGTTTTCCTNNAGGTCGTCAATGTCCATGAAGATCAACACTCTGCGCCAGGCTGGCGGCGTCAACAGTATCGACAACTTTGCAAGATCATGGCAGCGTGCAGCTGGCTTCTACGAAATCGCACCCGTCAGACCGTCATTCCGTGTATCCGAGACCGATGAGGAGAGTGTAAGAGATTCGGAAGATTATGAGAGACAGGACATTGCATCGTCATTTGGAGAGCAGAGAGGTCTCTTGAGGCAGGCGCTGGCAGACGGACGCAAGCTGTCTGATCATGCTGTCTCGGACGCTGGAGAACCCTCCGAGGCAGGCACCATTCGCGCTCGTGTCCAGCAGGGCGATGACAGCATCTTCCAAATCGAGCCTCAGTTGACCACTCCCTTCAGCGGCAGCTATGGAACAAACTACGGAAGCCTGTCTTCGAGGGTCAATGAGTCGTCAATGCGCCATGCTGGGCGTCTCTTCCAGAAGCAGCAGATGTCGGGTGTCAACGACCCGGACAAGGAGCGCGAGCCTCTGCTCGTCAAGCAAGTGGAAGAAGACGACGGCAAGATTGTGAACGTCGTGGTAGGCCAGTCGACGCTGCCCCAGACCATCTTCAACTCAGTCAACGTTTTGATTGGTGTTGGTCTTCTCGCTTTACCATTGGCTATGAAGTACTCTGGTTGGGTTTTCGGCCTGGCTTTCTTCGCTTTCGCTGCCGCCTCAACTCGCTACACCGCAAAACTCCTGGCCAAATGCTTGGACGTCGACAACTCTCTGATCACTTTTGCCGATCTTGCCTATGTCTCTTTTGGCTCCAAGGCCCGTCTTGCGACCAGTCTTTTGTTCAGTCTGGAATTGATTGCAACGTGTGTTGCCCTTGTAGTCCTCTTCGCTGACAGTCTCAATGCTCTGATCCCTGGTTGGGGTCTCATGGAGTGGAAGATTGTCTGCGGTTTCATCCTGATTCCTCTCTCTTTCCTACCCTTGAGGCTGCTGAGTTTCACCAGTATTCTTGGTATCGTCTCTTGCTTTGGCATTGTCCTTTGCGTTGTCATCGACGGATTCATTAAGCCTCACACTCCTGGTTCTCTTCGCGAGCCTGCAAAGACTTACCTCTTCCCTGAGAACTGGGCAACACTTCCCCTGAGTTTAGGTCTCCTCATGTCGCCCTGGGGCGGCCACAGTGTGTTCCCCAATATCTACCGTGATATGAGACACCCTTACAAGTACAACCGCGGTCTGAACATCACCTACGCCTTCACTGCTACCCTTGATCTTTTCATGGCTGTTGTGGGTCTTCTCATGTTTGGTGACGCTGTCAAGGACGAAATCTCCAGCAACATTCTTGCCGATGATGGTTACCCCCAATGGTTGTCTGTCATTATCGTCGTCTGTGTGGCCATGATTCCTCTGGCTAAAATTCCTTTGAACGCACGCCCCATCGTCAGTACACTGGAGATTCTCCTTGGACTGGACGCCCGTGCAGTCAGCAACTCTACTTCCCTCCACGGAATGTCTGGCCTCAACCGCGGCATCCTCAAGGCTACGATTCGCATTCTCTGCACTGTCGTCTTTGTGATCTTGGGTATCCTCGTCCCTGAATTCGATCGCATCATGAGTTTACTGGGCTCCATTGCTTGCTTCACCATCTGCATCATTCTCCCTCTCGCATTCCACCTCAAGATCTTCGGTGATTCCATTCCTCGGGCTGAGAGAATCATGAACTGGGTGTTGATCATCATCTCAACAATTCTTGCCCTCATTGGTACAGCGTTCAACTTTATCCCCAGATCAGTGCTGGGAATTGAAGAATAGAGATCGGTTATGGCACCTCCACCTTGGGATGCATGGAGTTATGATCCTTTTGTGTCTCGATCTTTCTTAAAGTATATCTTGTATCAGGAGAGCTGTTTTTAATACTCGCTGCTCCATAGCATTGGCGTTGTCTTGTTTTCTTGTAATATCCTGGGTTGGTTCTGCAGCTTTGTAACGTTCTGTACATCACTTTCCCATTTCTAGTACCCTGCAGATACTATTTTTCCGCCAGTTGTGTGCTTTCCATCTCTCTGCGAAGTCTTGAGGAGCTACTCTATACTATATGACAAGGGGCCATATTCGAGAATTTCTCACGCAATTCGGACCGCGATGTTTTCACGATTGGCTTCAGTCTCTGTCGCGTTCTATTTGCTTCACTGCTTGTGAAGGCGTCTCGTTCGGTGTTCAATCGAAATTTGCTCTCACTTATCGTTCGTCCTGAACATAAACTTCTTACACGCGATTCACCTTTGAAACCCTCCAACTCTCACCACAGGCCGCTGGTCAACCAGGTGAAGAAGGATGCCGCCATCATCCATGGCATCAAACACGTAGCCGCCCAGCCACACAATGATATGAGCAGCAGCACTGTGAACTAAACATGAACCGTCTCTCACAGCTCTCAAATACTGACTAGTCCAGAACTCGATTGAGGCCAACAAGGACATGCTTCGTGGCGTCGTGCGCGTCCAAGACTGCGGTCAGGGCGCGGACGATGAGCTTCCTGACCTACGAAAACGAGGTTTGTTCACACGTATATGCAAGCTAGACACCCAGGTTGATGGTTATGTGGGTAGGTTGATGTCTCCCCACTCGCTTTACCTCTGCGTGAAATGTTTATGAGTTACTACACGATAGTGATGCACCGAGCACGACTCCCGAGATAGGAGTAGAGACTTCTAGGTCATGAACCTGTCTTCTTCTCTCAAGTCTGGATTTGCAGCGTGCTGGTGATCAGGAAAAATCGTGCATAATGTGCGGGTGCTGGCTGTTAGTTTGACCCCAGTGGTGGATCTCATATGCCAGGTATACCCAGAGAGATGTAAATGTCAAAGAGCACATCGCGATGTCTTTGGCATTATTTCGTGATGCTTGATTCCAAGCGAGAAGCGGAATGTATGTTTCTGGCCTATAAGCAAGATTGTTGGATGAGGGGGATGTAGCAAAGGATATCTCAACTGGCAGGCCGCGTAGCACTATAGCTTGCACAAGTTCACAGCCAATATTGTGACTACATTGTTTTCTCGGTAGATATCAGTTGCCACTATCTGTTGACTGCTGCTATTCCTCGAGACTTTTGTCCAGCTTGGGAAAAAGAAGTAATCGGGGGTGTCGTTGCCTGGACGAGGATTGAGCTTGGGCTGCCAAGACAAGCCGGCTCGAAGGACAATTTGATCCATCCTTCTTTCATCTCTCTATCAATCGCAGACAATTCAACTCGTGGATCCCAGACCCGGAAGCATCAGCTGACACATGTAGACTTTGGCAGTCATGCTAGGCATAGCTTCCAGAGCAAGCTGCAGTTTGTGGACATATAGACTGCTCTTGCAAGCATTCATCAGCGTAAGATAGGACTTACCACTGGACTCATGATACATCGAGGTCGTCTCTGCTCATCAACGAGCCTATCAATCACTCTCTGTGAGTTGCCGTACAGCTTCAACTTCCCTCAGATACCGACTGTGACGAAAACGCCTACCATCGATGCTGTCAAAGAAGGCGCCACCCTCAAGCCCATCGATCTGGTCCCTCAGCGCTGTCGACAGTACGTCCTTTCACTCAGACTCAGTCATCTCTGGAATACGCATCCTAAGTGTATCGTCGGCTCATCAACGTTATGGCTGTAGAGTTACAAACATGACAGGCATGAATCTAGCCAGCCCCAGGAGCGCAAATAGGCAGAGGCAGGAATATAACTACAGCTGAGCTGGCAGCAACCCTATTCTGTAGCGAGGAGCTTCCATGCCGCTTCTCGAGATATCTCGCAGTCGAATGTGTCGTCACAAAGTTAGTTTCTGGCCTACTTGTTGTTAGTAAGTTCACAAATGCCATGTGTACCCCGCCCGTTGGTGCCTACTCAATGGACAATTCAAATCATAAAGCCATGCCTCTTTTGCTGTCGAAGAGAAGGTTTACGAACGATGCTTTGCCAGTGATAGCTGAAGCTATCATCAAACCCAAGGAAGAAACATGCTGTAAGAGTCTGTCGTCCCATAGGCTGATTTCCATCTAGGTGCCAATATCCACTCAACCTTCTCTTGTTCTCGCTATGTTTCACACGTATATACTGCATCGGAAGCACTCTGCTTCCGGAAACGTTCCTGATCAACTGCTTCCTTACTCCCACCACTGGTGCAGACCCTCTGGTGACATCCCAGCTCCGCGCATTTCTCCTGTGGCGCAAGCAGACCAAAGTCAGATCTTGATTGACTTCTTGTACTGGCCGGTTAAATATACCAAACATGCGCAAGATGCGTGGACGGCACGCGAGATATCGCCGATCCTGCGTCGAAGAAGAGACTTTCAACTTCCACTATGCCGATCACCTGTATACCGCTCTTCTTCCCGGACACTTTTTCGGATGCGACTCCAATTCTACCCCCTGGTCCTCCCGTTCGAAAGAATACTGAAGAATGCGGAAGCTTCTAGTGCTGCTCGTTTTGTTCACCATTAACTGATAGACGCCATCTACTCATTGACACAACCAAGCTCTGGCAAGCATTCGGAACAGGCGTCCGAGGTGGACAAGGCGACGCCGAGAAAGACGCCCCCACGCCACCGTTTCGGATCTGGGGTAGACGCGCGGGGTATGGGGGGGTGGTATTGTGTGGGGCGTATGTACTACTATCTGGTGGCGACTGCCGATCCAGCAATGATGCTGTTGGCTCATTCAAATGCTCTTGATTCGCATGCTCCCATTGCCGGTGTGACTAGTTCCTCCACTCGACTGCCCTCGTTTCCTTGCGTGTTGTTCAATTCCAATCGTTCAATATGGCCACTATCGAGAAGAATGACCTCGGCGACAGCAAGCTCGAATATGTTGACGACCTCGAAAAGACCAACACCACCTGGGATGATAGACCGACTCTTGATTCCGAGCTGGACAGACGCATTACGCGCAAATTCGACACACATGGTAGGCATACTACCCCTCATCCATCTGTACATATGTTGAACTCTTCTCTGCAGNTGGTTCCTTGGTTGTTCGGCTTGTGGCTATTAGCCTTCATCGATCGCAGTAACATCGGCAATGCCAAAATCGACGGTCTTGTTACGGACTTGAAACTGNACAGGTAGATATCTTCCAATACAACAATCGCAACTCATCCTGACTATTTGCTGCTAGGCAACACATTCAATGTCGCTCTCGCTGTCTTCTATGTGCCATACATCCTGGTCGATGTCCCCTCGAATCTCGTGTTGAAGTACTTCCAGGCTGGTTACTACCTACCTGCACTCATCATCGGATGGGGACTGGTCGGAATGTGCATGGGCTTCGTCAAGAGCTACACTGGACTCATCATCACACGCTTCTTCCTTGGGTTGATGGAAGGTGGTCTATTGGTATGGATGTTATGAGATACCCTCTCCTCAATCGTGCTGACTTCTATACTATAGGGCGGCATGATTATCTACCTAGCGATGTTCTACAGGCGCCATCAGCTCATGTTCAGAATCGGACTTTTCTACTGCGCTGCGCCCTTGTCAGGTACGTTTCAGAATATTGCTACTGGTGGTCATACCTAACTGGTGTCAGGTGCGTTTGGTGGTCTCCTGGCCACTGGTCTTGCGAAGATTCACACCAGCAATTACAAAGGATGGCCATTCATTTTCTTCGTCGAGGGAGGTATTACTGTTCTCTTCGGCATCCTCACCATATTCTTCCTGCCGCACACCCCGGCTGAGTCGAAGTTCTTGACTGAAGAAGAGAAAGAGGGTGCTGCTCTGCGTATGCATCTGGACTCGCACGGGTCCGACGCTGCCGATGACGTGAAGAATGAGAAGTTCAGTAAGTACCAGCTTTGATACTGGATGTCCTCGATGGGGAGCTGACTCATTACAGGCTGGCACTGGGTTCGCATGGCCTTTNTGAACTGGAACACTGTTCTTCTCTCCTTGAACTTTTTCGCTATCATCACGCCTATCTATTCGTACTCGTTGTTCTTGCCAACAATTATTAAGAGCTTGGGATACAAGGCCGTGCATGCACAACTTCTCACCGTGCCTCCAAACATCGGCGCGTTCCTGAGTGTACTTCTGGTCACATATCTTTCTGACAAGTACCGCATGCGTGGACCATTCATGCTGATCGGATGCACTGTATCCGTCGGAGGATACATCATGCTCATCTCCAGCAACCATCACATGATACAGTACGGGGGCACGTTTTTGGTTGCTGCCGGTATCTTCCCTTGCAGTCCTTTGGTCATGGGATGGCTGGCCAACAACCTGGCCCCGCATTACGTTCGTGCAACAGGAACGGGCGCCCAGATCATGATCGCGAACTGTGCTGCATTCATTGCCACGTTCACTTATCTTTCCAAGGATGCGTAAGTAACTTGATCCTTTCTTCTATAGTTCAAGACTGACCCGCCCCTTCTCAAGANNCCACGATTTATAACGGGCCACGCGATCAACATCGGCATGTTATGCTTGTCGTTGATCATCACCTCTTGGTTGTTGGTTTACTGTAGCTGGGAAAACAAGAAGAGAGCGGCCGGTAAGCGTGATCACAGGTTGGCGGAGGGAGATGAGTCAATGCTTGGCTACAAGCACCCTTCATTCAGATATACATTGTAGATATCCGTGCCTATAAATTTGAATATCAATATAGCCTCTCTGTAACACAATCTCGCGATTGACACATGTGATGGTGACATGTAGTAATATCACAAGACAATGTCACGGCCATAAAAACACTTTAAGATAGCGTATCTCTTAGTACATTGCATCTCTGTGAGAGGCATTGGGCATTTCTGTTGTTGCAGATGACAGTCTTTAGTAAATGGGGAGGAGTTATATCAAGCGATTTGCATGTCTTTTGGTCAGCTGTGTGACCCTGGCATGATTCAACAGACCATCAATCAAGGCCTCGAGACCTTATGTATCATTCTATTCGATATAATGTGTCCCATGTTAATTTGTTATGCAGCTTTCCATCTTATGTTATCCCCATAGGATCTTCTGTGGTTGATAGATCTCGTTCTTACGCGCAAGTTCGAATCCACAAGAGATGTACTCGTCCGCGTCTTCCACCCGCACAGTTTGTCTTGATTTTTTTCTGTGAAACCAATAACAAACTTGTAACATATTTACGTGAAGAAACAGTCAGATGTTGCTGTATTCGAGTCCAGGCAGCTGATGTTGTGCAACTTATCGAAAGAACCAAGGCCGCATGCATTTCTTTGTTGTCGAGCCTTCCCCAGATCGAGTGTCGATGTTTGACCAAGTTTTACCGCGGAGAAGCTTATTTCAGCCAAGCACGAGGCTCAAGATGCATCTGTTATCAATTGAGAGAGCTATCTTATCTTAAGACGACATCCACTCTTGATATATAAGTCCTATCGCTCTCGGAACCTTTCAACACTCCCTTTTGAACCTCCTCAAATGTTTCTGATCGTTTTTGATACGACTGTATTCGTTGTTGACAAGACAGGCTCTCGCCGGGTCTTTCAGCCCCAGCTGCCGCGGCGCAGCGGCTGTTACGTACAGGAAACAAACCCGCGACTGACTTTGACAAAAACGGCCAAGTTGCCATTTACCACATGATGAGATGACGTCCCCTCAGAGTCCTACATCTCCGGAGGACGCGGAGAACAGAAACATTGTTGTAGGAATGCACAACATCGCGAAGAGATTTGAACGATCAGAAGACCTTGTTTTGTCAGAGAAAAACACAGCTTCATTATGACGGTAAGCTTGCCTAGGATATATCAAGCAGGTAAGAGCGATGCAACTGCCTGCCAAACAAACAGTTTCGGTCATTGCATCATGTCTTCCGTTTCCAAATGGTGACATGAGACCCCGCAAGCCCTTTTCTCTCTCTTTGCCATAAACCGAGGGATTTCCGGTAGGCCTGAGAAGTACTTGATCAAGTCCAGCTGCTTTCGCGAGCGCCAACCATCCGGCATCATCTACATCGTTTCTGTTTCCTACAATGCATCCACGGATATTGACTGCTCTCGATTATGACATCGACACTCATCTGAATCTTCTTGTTCCTCGTTCGCGCATATCGAGGCTCCCGAAACCTGTATCGCGGTTTCTGGGTTATCGGTCGGAGGAGTACAAAGAACCCCCACGCTTGGTTGTCGTTTTCTGGTCTTTTCTGGGATCTCTGCTCGGCCTTCTGATCATAGGCGCTCTCTACAAATACGCTCCCGGAATTCGAAAATGGCACCCTCCGATTATGATCGCGAGTTTGGTATGCTGAGATGCTCTGCCATGTCGGCTACTAGAACTGACATACAACGCAGNNGGCGCTTCTGCTATCTTGGACTACAACTCTATTCGGACACCCCTTGCCCAGCCGAGGAACGCAATATTGGGACAGACCTTCTCGGCCTTGACAGGAGTCATCATCCATAAACTGTTCCACCTGAACCCAGATTGGGAGAACCTCCAGTGGGTTGCAGGTGCAGTCGCTTGTGCCATGTCCTCTGCCATCATGGCCACGACAAACACCGTGCATCCTCCAGGAGGCGCCACTGCAGTCTTGGCTACAACCAACGCTGAGATCATCGCTATGGGCTGGATTTACATCCCTTTCGTTCTCATGAGCTCAGTCATCATGTTGACCCTCGCCTGCATACTCAACAACATTCAACGAGCATACCCAGTGTACTGGTGGACACCGGCCGATCTAAGGAGAGAACAGAAGGTTGAAGACCTTGAGAAGGTATCGTCCAACAACAGCGAGAAGACGCTCGCCGATGAGGTTCTCTCAGGCCAGTCAGAGTCCAGGTCTTCGAACGTAGACCCGGATTCTGTTGTTATATCACCACATCATCTCTATATACCTGACAGTTTTGACTTGGATGGGGACGAGCTGGCTGTACTATCACGACTACAAGCCCGTCTCCGATGGGACGTCGCTATGGATGAAAGACCTCGAGCAAACTCAAATGGCAACAGCTGAGCACAACTTGAATCTTCATACAGAAGATAGCCACATGTTTCCTTCTGCGAACCACCCTTCAAGAATCACAATCAGCGCGACAATGCCTTGCCAGCATGGACTCTGAGGACCCGCTCGCTGTTCGCTGCTGAAGCTTGTGCTTACAAGAACCACTGCGCCAACAGCACTCTAGACCCAAAGCGGTCATCGGTATCAAAAGCTGCATCGACCATAATCTTCGCACTGAAACCAGTTCGTCGACCATCATCGCACTGCCGATAACTTGGTCAATACTGAGCTCAAGGGACACACGACACCGCCGCTGCTCGCCTGTTAGAACCCGGTCACTGGATGTTTGGTAGATCTGCCCATGGATACGACATCCTAATAGGTTCTGGATCTTTGGCAGACGACGATGAGATTATCAACAGTATCCGTTCCAGAGAACGATCATGTTTTCAATTTCGCTGTCGGCTACCAACCCTAGATCAGCGCGACCACACCCAGAGTCATTGGGAGCGTTTGCATCACGTCTCGCCAGAAGAACACCGTTCAGTTCATTCCACCAGCGGCTAGATAACCATGAAGGTATCATGAGTGCTTTAACTTCGAACGAAGCATGGTGACAGCAGTCGGCGCTCCGAAGTCACAGAAAAGTAGTTACAGAGCATACCAAATCTATTACAAATAATCGTGTTCATAGATTTGATTAAAGTTGAACAGTGAGTGACCTTTGCACATGAGAGAGTATAACAACTTTTCAAGCTAGCGCTCCGGCTGCTCGCTTCTTATCCTCCCGACTGCAGTGAATCAACAACCAGAAGTTGATGATCAAAGAAAAATGCAGCATTTCTATTTATTAGTTGCCCGTTAATATAGCGTGGACTTCTCGAGGCAAGTTAGTCTCAGACTGTTGGAGAAAGGATCAGATCACTTACGCATTTTTGAAAAGACAAGCGAATGTGGCAATGAAGATACTGGTGAGGAAAGCTTAACATGCTGTCGCGACTGGTTGGTTCTAGTAGCTATACGCTCAATCCTATCACCACGTCATGGGAAAGCATGGAGACTCAAAAGTGTGCCAACTTATTCGAAACGAAACAGCAAATTCAATCCTTAACTCGCAACCTATCTATCCATAAACAGCAAAGCGATATCTGACAACATCCTGCCCCTTTGCCACCTTGGCCAATCAAACAACAGTCACATTACCAGTGACATTACCATTGACATCACACCCAGTGATGCTGTTCTTCAAATCAGTCAACCAAACAGCAGAGTTGAACTCTCCATAGAAAGTCTTGATCTGCCACTTCTTGCTTCCTTCGCCAACACCAGTTCCATTCTTCTTTGCCTCTTCAATTTCAGCGACAGCGATACCCTGGACATTCAGACCTGGTGGAGAAAGCACGTAGCGGAACGTTACAGCATTACAAGAGGACCAAGTGTTGAGGAGTTGGAAGGGGACGCCTGGTTGGGCTTGCTCGCCGGCGAGGAAGCTTCCTTTGCTTCCGAAGGTGATTTTGCCCACCTGAAAGTGTTAGTCAGGATCTCAATTCAAGGTGCAANNAGGAATACTGACATCAGAGGCGATGAGGTTGGGTGAGTGCATCAGGGTTGCTACACTGTCGGATTGATCGATGTAGCCGTCTGCGATCAGGATGTCGCCCCATGAGGTGCTATAGTTGGAGAGGATCTGGCCAAAGCCGTCGGCGATGAGAACAGCGTCAGCGGCGGAGATGCAAGACGTATCGTATGAAGTGGTATTCGCGAGTTTGGAGGAAGTGGAGTTGAAAGGTTGGGCAGCGCAATGTGCCAAAAGAGGGCAGAGAGCTGTAGCGATGGAGGCACGCATTGTCGCGGTATCCTACTATGCAACGTACGGACTGGATCAAAGATGCCGATTTGGTTCGAGGGAACAAAGAGGAAGGAAACATGAGAGATTTATAACAGAAGGAGCGACTAGGGTTGTAAGAGTTTCGTGGCTCTTACTGTTCCTCGAAGAGATTGCTGTCGCGGCATAGCGGCTGAATGAGATACAGCCTTCATCATGCTCTTTACTTAGGTTCTCCCTTGGCTGTTACTTGTACAAGTAGACCTCACTGTATCCATGACGATCCGACTTGGCTGTTGCTCCTGAAGTCATCGTCGACAGAAAGCGTCTTGATTTATAGCTTCCAGGTCTGACAAGGCGGAGCGGAACAGACCATCATAGAGCGACTGGATGTAAAGGAATCCCGAGTGTACAAGTAAGCAAAAAGCTACAGCCTTATAGTGGCTGTGAAGAAAGTTACCTGACATATCGAGAAGGGTAATGGATGGAATATTCTTGTCAGGCGCCGAACCTGATCGCTACTTGGTTACCGTATAATCTCCATCAAGCGAATGCGTATGTCGCGATTTCTGGAGTCCGACCAGAGGCTATGATGTGTTGTATATCCGAAGTGTTGATCGGCGTTCGTCATGTTCTATTCTCGTCTGCTTACACAGCTTACAGGACACAGCATGGAGGCTCTGCCATACGCCATCGAGCGATGCTTTCTCTCAGTCGCAGTCCAAAACTCCGAAAGTATTCATACGTGACTCAGATGGTGTCAAAGTTGAAGTAAAGAAAACATCCGTGAACAGACAGAGGCTGAGCCGTCCGCCACACAACCGTTCTTCAAAAGAGACGAAGGCAGGAGACTTTGTTGCTACAATTCTGTTGATCTTCTGATATAGCAAAGAGTGCAAAAGAATGGCACTGGCCAGGTTAGTTGAGGTCGTACTGGGGCTCGAACCCACTGGGATATGTTAGAATTGGCGCTTGGATTGTTGCGAAAGCCGGAGTGAAACTTACGGACTCGAGAAGATTTGATTACTCATCAAAATCTCGCGTGCTAACCGCTACACTATACAACCAAGTTGTTAAAGAAAATTCCGCTACATCAAAATATAACTACGTAAAAATTCACTGCGACCACGTTCGAATCACGAGCATCTCAAATTGAAGATCAACCAATATAGTCAAAGCATCACAAAATTAGGCAGTCGATGTCCATGGAGAAAGAGCATGATGAAACCAAAAAGATGTGTACTTCTATCGTAGTTATGTATGCTCTATGCATTCCTCTGCAACTCCCGCCTTGATTTGTCAATAGCAACGATATCTGTCCTAACATTTTTACTGTCGTCACCCGAAGCTACTCCTACTTTCGCTCAATCTCTCCATCACAGTCATCACTATACAATATTGTAATATCTGTCTTCGGTGATCCCAAGCTCCTCGGTCCTTGTATGCTGACACTTCTGACCTTCTGTTCCAAAACGTGGTTTCCACTTGCAGTGACAATATCCTCGATCAGACGGCTGTAGAGACGACGCTTGCCATATCCGAGTATGTAAATACTTTCTGGACCAGAAGATGCCGAGTATGATTTCTCTTCGTCGGCAAACCAGACTTTGAGGCTCAATGACTCAAAGTTGATAGATTGGCGTAATGTCTCTGCAGCAATGTTGGGGCCATGACGAGCGATCTGGCTAAGCAGCTCTAATAGTGTTTTGAAGATGCTGCCTGGTTTGTCTTTGCTGTCATTATCCCAGTGACCAAACTTTGAAAGCGTGAGGTTGATTTTGAAGTTGATGGAGAGGTGTCGTACACAGGACGATGGACACGGTAACGATGTCCATGTGAGCGTGTACTCGTCGTTGTTGAGTGTAAGTTGCGCAGACCACGTTTGATCAGCGGTGAACTTGTGGTAGGATGACATATGATAAAGTTGTCGCATCTCATCTGCGACCAGACCATTTGTTCGCATGAGGTTGAGCCAGTTGAAAGAGATGGTGCTCAAACGGACGATGATTGGGACCTCGGCGCCGTAATGCAACTCATGTTGTCGGGTAGTTGACTCGTCTGTCGAATGGGCAAAGGAGAATACATTTGTATAGACCATGTCTCGAAGCTCGCGCGGGAGGCCCATAAGAGAACATGGTTGAGGCATGATTTGTGACAGTGTACATGGCATGGAGGGTTGTCGGGTCGTCTGAAAATTGATGTATGGAATTGATTTTGTACAGGAGAAAATAAAGAGAGTGTTGGGAGTAGGAAGCTTGTGTGCAGATATAAGAATGAAGGGCATTGGGGGCATTGTTACCTACCTATTTCCAGGACATGGGATGCTTCATGCCTCATGCTGATGGGGTGACCTCTACGAAGATAGCAAACAAGGGGTTGTTTGTGATGAGACAGTTTTTTAAGGTGTCACCAAATAGGAGGAGGCCGGAAGAGTCAGCGACTCAAACAGGCGTTCGTGCATGCTGGAAGGGCCGAAAACTCGTGCTGGGCGCCAACAGTCTGAGCCGAAGCAGAAGATTGGTGATGGTCGGAGAAGACAGAGCAGGAATGGAAGAAGAGAAGCTGTTGGGACAGCATGGCGAGGAGTCCTCGTGTTGCAGAGCCTCTCCTGCAGGAGCCAAAAGATCTGGTGATGGCTGGTGTGATGGTTTCGCCTCGGCTTGATCTCGGATGAGTCGGATCTCCTGATGTTTTTGTTTGCATCCATGTCCAAACTGACAAGTTCATCAGCGCAGAGACACAACCTCAAGGCTCATGGCCACCTTTTGCTGAGACAGGACATCTTCTGCAGCATCAAGGCGAGTATGCAGAGCTGAGAGAAGCCATGTTGACCGAGCAGGATCAGGTGGTTGTGCGAGATGCCTCGGCTCCCCGCAAAACGACTCTCCGTTCTCCGCAATGTTTAGCGTCCACCTCGGCGAGCCCATGGACTTGATCAAGTTACAAGACAGGCGGCTGCTGTTTAATACTGTTCCTGCTTTATACTGCATACCAAAATGTCACAGCAACAGAAGAACGACTTCTCCGAGAAGCTGATGATCAGCGCCGATGGTCAGCTCAAGGCATCCCAGAAGATCCCCCAGATTGCTAGACCCTTTGTCAGCGAGAAGGCGTTGAAGTATCTCGACATTGTAAGTCTCTTGCCTCCTACTTTGTGGCGTCAGACACTGACACATGTCTCCAACAGGNTCGAGAAGTTTGTCGAAGAAGAATGCATCCCCGCCGATGCCGTGTTCCAACAACAGATTGGCGACTCGACAGCTGAACGCTTCAGCGGCCATCCAGCCATCATCGAAGACCTCAAGAAGCGTGCAAGAGAGCTAGGACTATGGAACATGTTCCTACCAAAGAACCACTTCAAGGAGGGAGCCGGCTTCAGCAACCTCGAGTACGGTCTCATGGCCGAGTACCTGGGCAAGAGTCGCACCGCTTCCGAGGCCACCAACTGCGCCGCCCCCGACACTGGAAACATGGAGGTGCTGGCCAAGTACGGTACACAGGCTCAGAAGGACAAATGGCTGAAGCCTTTGTTGGAAGGCACGATTCGCTCTGCCTTCCTCATGACCGAGCCTGATGTCGCCTCGAGTGACGCCACCAACATTACCCTTGACATTAAGCGTGAGGGCAATGAATACGTCCTCAACGGCTCCGTATGTTACATCAACTCTCTAAATTGGGTCTCTGCTAACAGTCGTCCCACAGNNAAATGGTGGTCATCAGGTGCTGGCGACCCTCGCTGCAAGATCTACATCACCATGGGCAAGACGGACAAGAACAACCCTAGCCCCTACAAGCAACAGAGCGTCGTCCTCGTCCCGGCAGATACCNCCCGAGTCACAATCCACCGCATGCTCGGTGTCTTTGGTTACGATGATGCCCCTCATGGTCATGGTCACATCTTCTTCAAGAATGTCCGCGTACCTCTAGATCACATCGTCCTAGGCGAGGGCCGTGGTTTCGAGATTATCCAGGGCCGTCTGGGTCCTGGCCGCATCCACCATGCCATGAGAAGCATCGGTGCTGTAAGTACTACCCGCCCTTGTCTTACGCCTGCCGCTGACAGCATATCTTCCTAGGCCGAAAAGGCTCTCGAGCTCTTTGTCGCTCGTGTCAATGACCCCCGCAAGAAGGCCTTTGGCAAGCTCTTGAATGAACACGGCGTCATGATCGAGCGCATCGCCAAGTCGCGTGTCGAGATCGACTCCGCCCGCCTCTCAGTCCTAAACGCCGCAATCACAATCGACACCAAGGACGCCAAATTCGCCCTCAAGGAGATTGCTGAGGCCAAGATCCTAGTCCCCACCATGGCCTTGACCGTCATCGACCGCGCCATTCAAGCTTACGGTGGTGCTGGTGTATCACAAGATACACCGTTAGCAAACATGTATGCTCAAGGCAGGACCATGAGGATCGTAGATGGTCCTGATGAGGTGCATTTGTTGCAGCTGGGCAGAAACGAGAACAAGAGGGGTCAATTCTTGTTGGACAGATTGGCGTGGCAGAAGAAGAAGAGTGAGGAGATGGCGGCAAAGCATGGTATGCAGCTCAGGGACGTGCTGCAGTTGGACCGTGTCATGTCCGAAAAGGCCAAGCTCTAGGAGTTTTTACATGTTTATATAATGATTGTCTGAAAACGTCCATATGAATTACCGATGGCTTTGTGTCTGGGCCTGCTACATATAATGAGCAAGTTCATCTGTATCTGCTGTTGACCAGAAAAGTGTACTTTAATTACTTTGTCTTGCGATCAAGAAATGTTTAGTGTGTGTCTATAATAACAAAAGAAAAGTCAAAAAGTACCGCCTAAACCAAGTTATCTCGCCGAATGCTATTTGTAACAGATCAAAACCAATGTCTAAGTATGTCTGGATCGGCTTCCTATGCCTTCATGGCCTCAGAGGCCTTCTTCTCCTGGACTGGCTTCGGTTGACCGGTGCTGACGCCTACAAGGCGCTGGAGTTGTTCCATGAAGACAAACATCAACACGGTGTTAGGGNNCTGTTGAGCAGCAGAATCAGTCTTGACCCTTGCAACAGAAATTCAAAGTACTTACGCGAGTCTTAGCCATGCGGGCGACCATCCTCTCATGAGGAAGCTGATGCCCTCCTTCTTGTATGATTCGGCGAAGATTTTGCTGAGACTGGGCTTTACACCGTTTACGGTGGCAGCACTTTGGACGCGACTCTTCAGTACGTCGGCAGGTGCGCATGCAGTAGTTGCGACGGTTCCGGCAAGTAGTGAGGCGAGGAAGTGGAGGAAAATGCCGTCCTTGAGACCAAGACTGGGGTTCGAGAGAAGGTAGTCCTTTGCGGTGGAGTAGCTGGTATGGATTAGTTTTTGAGACGATTTCTCAGCATCCCTGAGACTTACGTGGCGATTTGAGAAATGTCTGTGGCGTGTTAGCAGTCTGCCTGAATGTGATTGCCAAAGACCAAACTCACTCATGATGACACTGCGAACAATGTTGGGTGTCAAGCCTCTGCTGAAAGTTGATAGACCCTCCTCCTTTGCAATTCTGAACAACGCACGGATTGAGTTGCCATAGTTGTATCTCTCCACAGCAGTTTTAGCACCATCTGCACACATTCTGACGAGCACGACCTCGGTAGGGTTACCGATGAGACCTGCTGCTCCACCGGCCACACCAGAACACACGACCTCCCAGCCAGCGGTCAATTTCGTGGTTCCTGTTCTTTGCTTGACTTCCTTGGCAAAGTAGTTGTAGAGTCCGAAACGTGCGGTTGAGTAGGAACATTGTCTGAGCCAGGATCCAGTCAAACCAGTCCAGAGAGAAGGGATACCATCACGGCCAGCAAAGAATACTAATGTCCTGAGAATGTTTTTCGGTTGGTGCATGACTTGCATGCGGCTATCGTCATTAGTATTAACCCGGATATACGAATAACAACTCCTCACTATNTTCGTTTGGTCCAAGGGATGTNNGCTGCAACACTGGTTAATACAAGATCACCTTTCACACTTCACACCTGACTTACTGCATGTTGCTGCCATAGAAGCAGCGGCTCCACTGCTACTGTCTCAGCACTGATATCGTCATTGCATATCATGGTGAAATTCATACCCAAGCCAAAAAGGCTGTTGCTTCTTCTTCTCACCGGCCATATCCAAAAATCACCAATGTCTTTCGCGGATGTCGTCGGCTATCAGATCACTATCTGTTTGTCCAAATGATCGGGCCCTGTCGGCGGGGAAAAAGTCCTTTGCCGGTTGGGTTGGATGAAAGTTTGCAAAGGCTTGAAGTCCACCTTTTGAGACGCGACGGCCAACCAAAAGAAAATCGACCTTCAATTGAGGTTGTCTATATTTTTCGCTCCCAGCAAAGGAAAAAATTCCAAGCCCAATTTCATAGACTAAACGAAGACCTTGCGTCTTTCTTCTCCTTTGCTCTCGGCCAATCAGCGCTTGGCAGTCTATCCGTGATATTTCCGGGCTGCTCGGGCCGACCTCGTCTTGCGCCTTCCTTTCATGATGGACTTGTCATGAACATCGTTCTGCAACATCTTCAACACCTGACATATGAATGGGTCTTCAAATTAGAAGCACAGCTTTGACAAGAGCTTCACGTCGGGATATTCGAAACAGTGCTGCTCCAATGTACAGCTTCGCCAACAGAACGCGTCGGGCACGCGTTACTCCAGATAAGATAGGTACAGAAAAGACGAACCACATACTGAAAACAGCTGCTGTCAACCCACAATCTACTGATGTAGAAATACCCCCATTGACTGAACGCGAGCAGAACAGCAAGCCCATTCACTCGAACTGCCTTAGAAACACAGAGGCTGCAAGTACACTTACAGCTGGTCTTTCAAGGTCTGTCCAAGCAATTTAACATCGAGGAGGGAGATGCTCGGGACTCCAATGATTTTAATCGCTTTCAATGCCCTTGCTTTGGTAAGCAGACGACAGTTGTGTTGTACGGCCTTCCTCTACAAACCAGTGCAGGACTTACATACCATTACCGAGACTGGCCTCGGTTATGTGATCACAAATGCAAAGAAAGTACGCTGATACCCGGTGTTCCTCGGGACTTTGATGTATGGCTGCCAGCAAACACATTGCTTTTGATATCGGTAGAAGCAACACTCGAAGTCGGCAGATACACAATCTTTAGGTGCACACGACTCTAATTGTTGGAGGCAATGCAATGCAACCTTCACAAACCTTAGCTTTCGCCATTACAATGACAGTCTCGCAATCAAAAAGGCCAATGAATCGTAGGTTATAGGCTGTTGCTCGACAGGATTTTGCCACTCCAAGAGCTCACAATAGTGTATCGCAAGATGTTATCTTCTTCGTGATCGCTCTTCAAGTGGAAATGCCGAAGGGCCAGACTCCTTTCTGCGGATTACCGCATTGCGCTTCTCTAGGAGGGCGTTCGGACATCAGAACGACTGATAAGACCTTCTTGGATGAGGGCTGTCGTTTGTAGAAAACAATGTTTGGATCTTGTCTGAAAGCGGATTGGCGACCCTTCCCGTGCCTGGAGCAAGACTCATCGTACCCTTGATGGCTTGCGACAACTGACCTGTATAACACCCCGGCAATAGATATCGGCTGTTGGTCCCAAGGAGCTCATCGGTTGAACGTCTCCTGTGATCTACCGCTGACTCCAGCTGCAACGCTCAGGCTGGTCGCTCTCCTACACACCAAGATATAGGGGTTTGTCTTGAACACTTCAAAACTCACTCTGCAGACAATGATGGGCAAAAGATCACTGGATATGAGCTGCATAGTATTCTCGAATCGATTCATTCAGCCGCAGACAGTACAATTCCGATGCTACTGAACGAGCCCTCAACGGCAGTGCCATCTTCGAGGCCAATCCAAGACTCCCATCCTTGGATGTGTCTGCTCCTTTGTGGGGGTGGCAGTGGGCCAAGAAGAGCTAACGACGATATCCAGCTGTTCCGCGAGGTCGAGCCAGCGAAACAACACAGCCAAGTACCTTGGCAAAACGCCCTCGCGCTCTACAGCTCCACCCGGTCGGAGTTCAAAGTCAAACAACAACAAGTAGAAACGTGCAATCAATTCCCCACATGCACTCCCCGCCTCGATCTCCGCCGCAAATTTCTACACTTCTTTTGTTTGCTCGTCTTCTTCTTGATCAACTGCCGATGAATAGGTGTGGTTGTGAAGAGATATAAGACGCTTCCCCCAGACCCCAGACCCCCACACTGTTACCCCAGATCGTTTGTTGTCAACAGTCCCAAACTCACAGCACCATTATCCTAACTTACTATGAGAACTTCACACGACCTCGACAAAGAAGGGCACGCTGCTATGCACAAGGAGCTTGCTGAGGAGACGGTCCACGAGGCTGCTGAGCGTGGACACCAGGCAACCGACCAGTATGTTGATCACCCTTTGCTCGAACATTATGCTAACAATAGTATAGATNATGGCAACTCTTTGATTCAGTTTGATGCCAAAGCTGAGGCCAAGCTACGCAGGAAGATCGACTTCATGATTATCCCTACTGTCATGTTGTTGTATCTTTTCTGCTTCATTGACCGAGCCAACATCGGTTAGTCGACATTCCTGGCAATCTACAATGACTATCATCTCATCAAAACAACAGGTAACGCGCGCTTGGCTGGCCTGGAAAAGANNACCTTGTAAGAATTTTTGGGGGCGCGGGAGGATTTCTGCAAGTAACATGCTAACTTTGGTTCAGAAACTTACTGTTCGTGGCTTGGTCCATCCAGAACGCTAACAACAACACGCTGACCGTATCTTCAGGGCTACGACTACAATGCGATCCTATCAGTCTTCTACGTCTCGTATATCATTTGCGAGATTCCTGCGAATATGTGCTGCAAGTGGCTCGGACCCGGATGGTTCATCCCTGGAATATCTCTGGCTTTCGGTCTCTGCTCCATCGCCACCGCTTTCGTCCATAACTTCAGCCAAATGTGCGGCGTCCGATTCGTGCTTGGTATTTTTGAGGCAGGTATGCTTCCTGGAATTGCCTACTACCTTTCCCGTTGGTACAGAAGAGCAGAGCTGGCATGGAGACTTGGTCTTTATGTTGTAGCAGCACCTCTTGCTGGCGCCTTCGGAGGCTTGTTGGCTTCCGCTATCTTGAGACTGGATGGCTTCGCTGGGCTCAAAGCTTGGAGAATGATTTTCGCTATCGAGGGAATCATTACTGTTGGCCTTGCAGTCATTTCCTTCTTCACATTGACCGACAGACCTGCAACCGCCAAATGGCTCTCCCAGGAGGAGAAGGATCTCGCGATCTCTCGCGTCAAGTCGGAGAGAGTTGGGGCCACCGAGGTTCTGGACAAATTCGATCGCAAGAAGATTTTCAAGGGTATCTTCTCTCCTGTTACTCTGGGCACGGCTACAATTTTCCTGCTCAACAACGTCACCGTCCAAGGTCTTGCCTTCTTTGCGCCCACTATTGTTAAAACAATCTACCCTCACAACACGGTCGTCAGCCAGCAGCTTCACACTGTTCCACCCTACATCGTTGGAGGCTTCTTCTGTTTGATGTTCCCATTCATCAGTACGAAGACAGACTGCCGTCTCCCCATTTTGATTTGCTCAGCCCCTCTGATCATCATCGGATAGTGAGTACATCGTGTATCCTGTTCCTCTCTCGAACCTGCACTAATCAACATCAACAGCATCATGTTTTTGGCCACTGAGACCGCCGCTGTCCGCTATGGCGCAACTTTCATAATCGCCAGCGGTGCCTTCGCGTTTGGCTCTCTTTGTAACGCTCAAGTCAGTGCAAACGTAGTCTCAGATACCGCACGCAGTTCCGCCATCGGCACCAACGTCATGTTCGGCAACGTCGGTGGTCTTATCGCCACTTGGTCGTTCCTTCCCTTCGACGGTCCCAACTACCACATTGGCAATGGACTCAACTTGGCTGTCGCCAGCACCGGACTGTGCCTGTGCATCTTGCTGTTCTTCTGGATGAAGAGAGATAACAAGAAGAGAGATGGCAGAGATGTTGATCAGGAGTTGGCTGGTACCACTCTTCTTGAACAGCAGGATATGGACTGGAAGCACCCTAGTTGGAGATGGAGACCTTGAGCAAGGAAAGGCTGTGCATAATCTGCAAGTCTATGGACGCTATGTGCGAAGCTCGGTAGTTATAAATTCAGTTACGATCTCAGCTATGAAGACCATGGTCACGTTTGTTCTTTTCATACAACGGCGCTTGTAGGAAGTTGGTGATCTTAATCGTCACACGAAGAGCCATGCGGCTTTCCCAGCGGTCGTCGGGAGGGAAGGTCTCGAGCGCTGAAGACCAAACACAGTAGATCGTGACTTCTGTACTTGGAAATTACAACCAACTACTATAATTCAATAAAGCACGAGTACAAACACAACCGATACCAAAAGTGATGTGAACAAGTTTCATTGATATTGTATGGAGATTGTTGTTTCAATGTAAGATGGTGCGTGGCTCCTGCTCTTCCGAGATTTTACCCGGCTAAGAAATGAGAATATCTCCTGATGAAGTCTAGAATGTCTGGCGTCGTCTGTTTCAAGGAAATAATGGGCAATCGTTGCAACTTCCCTTGCCCGCACTATTGAAGCAGATTGTGACCCTTACGCCCTAAGACTGATAATATGCAAGAGATGCTGTCGACCTTTTAGAGATCAAGCTCAATGACCTCCATGGCCGAACCCTCCTCCACGACATCTGAATCTTGAGTCAGATCGATCACCTCAACGACTCCGCTGTTGGTATCCACAGACTCGTCCGTCATGGTGGAGTCCCCTGTCAGGTCAATGAAAAGCCTTGTCTGCCCAACTACAGTCGTGACTTCTGCTTCAGGCTCGTCCTTGAGCTCGAGTTTGGGCTGGATAGAGGATCGAGGNAGTGATGGTTCGATCGGTGTCAACATCGAAAACATCCTCGACTGGATCNNCAAGTCCATGTAGAGATGATCGTTGTTGGTTCGAGTCGGATTCAAAGCTGTAGCACTGATCTCAGGTGAAGTGTCTCTGGGACGAGGGACAAAAGAGTGATTGGGTGAACGATCATCATGGTAATTGAATCGAAGCTCGTCGGCAGTGGCCACTTCATTACCCATATCGAAGTCTCGATCAACATCTTCAACGATATCAACACGATCTTGGTCATCATCCGACGGCTCGTCTCCGTTGTTCTTGATCCTAAAATTGCGGGTATTGGATCTACGCAGGCGAGCGCGTCTGGTGCGCCAATAGAAGTTTTCTTCGTCGTCGTCGTCGTCGTCGTCGCGATAGCGTGCATAAGTCGGGCCTGGGTTGTCGTCCTGGTCGTCGTCATCATTGCCGGGTTCGTCACTGACTATCTCTGGTCTGTGTTGATTGTAGTTATCAGGTAACAAATGCTGGTGTCTATCGATCACGTTCTGAAGTTCGTTAAAACTTGGTCATAAATCAGGTTTCCTATANGCACCATCTCATACCTGTATCGCTTGCCAATCCTGATTTCTGAAGGATATGGAGTCATCGAAGAGCATCATTAGCTCTCTGCAGTAGTCTGTGCGACTCCTCCTGAAAGCTTTACAGCTTGCACTTGGGTTCCTGTCCTCCGTCAACCCACTGAGCTGAAGAGCCGAACATCACGCAACTTCTGAGGCTCCGCCTCTGGTGTCCCAAACGCTCCTCATATGGACGGTTATAAGGCAACGTTTTCCTGTCTTCGAGCACAGTCCGTCTGAGACGTACATGGCGGCAATGCAACCTTCTTCGTGCAGATCTTCTCCTGCCACTAGATAGTTCCGGACGTAAGCCATACGACCTGATTTGAGTATCCTTGGTTGTTGATCGACTTCGAAGAACATAATTCCAGATAGTATCTTATGCTCTCTGATCTTGACGCCAGGAGTCGTAGGGTCCATCATGATTCCTGTATCTCTGATGTCCAGGGGTTCAAGCGCCTTCTCTTTATCGTCATATTTCTTCTGAGTTTGGCCGGTAGGCATAGTTGTGAAGCTTCGAGGATTGAACTTGAACTTGGTGTTCTTCGCAATTTGAAAGTAAGAGATCGCTGGTCTATTTCGTGGTTGCTCCAACGGAGTATTACTGATTGATTGTAGGTGAGAAAGATTGCTGAGAGTGTTTGTAGAAGAGTTTTGGAACGAAGTGTGGGACAATGTGTGAAAACTGACTAGTCCAGAGTTGATAGATACCAGACAACCTTAGGTATCGCGTTGATTCTCGTAAGTGAAGCGTAGTAATTTGGCTTTAAATGGAGCGCAAGACTTCTCGGAGTCGTCTTCAAAAGCTATCGAGTCAGTGTGAACAGACCATAAGAAGCTCGGTCATGGGAGACGAGGCACTCAAGAGAAAGAGAGAGGATTGTAGTTGAGTGGACCAGCGAGCTAACAAGAAACAGTTTGAGTAGTAGGAGAAAGATTGGCAATGATTCCGGAAAGAGTTCTAGCTACCGGAGAGTAGAACAACTTTAAAAGACGAAATAAACTATGTAGACGACTTGAAAGAATAAGAGAAGAAAAAAACCAGGTCTCACGAGATGTGTGGTGAATTTGAGTGAACTCCAGTCAAAGTTCTAGGACACGGTTTCGAGTGCATTTCTTCTCAGGCTCTTAACAGTTCTCTCACTTTCAACCTGAATCCACTTCTCATTTATAGTACTGACGCAACTCACCACACGTCGAAAAATACTTACTCTCTCGAACTTATGGTTGTCGACGAACTGGTCATCGAAACCATGAACGCCACCATCTTCGTCCCTGTATCTATACAAGCAGTGAGCGAAGACCCGAATAGATCGTCAATATACTGGAGAAGGTAGCCTATTTACTCTGTGTCTCACATGAACTATGACTTGGTAGCAAAAGATGAAGCGATCGTGCAAGAGCCGAAATCTACCCTTTCAGAATTCCGTAGGGCCATTGCCGCACTTTTGGCAAGCCGTGCAAGTTTGATATTTCAGCCGTTGTGACCACAGCCCAACTGCTGCCTCAAGATCTCTTACGTGCACTCTTTGCCCGCAACTTGCTATATGACCCGTTGTTTGAAGGCATGAGCATTGATGAGGATAACGACAACCCTTCCCCAAGACTCGAGATTCGATTTTCTGGCTTTGACTTTAGCATGACACTTGCAAGCTTCGCGCCTATTTCTTTGATGGACCTCTTACCCTTAATAGGTTTCATGACATCTTATCATGGTAGGAAACAGGCATGATGCCAGATGAAGATGAATGCGACAACACGAACTGGAAGTTTGTCGACAGACACGATGAGATTTGTGAAGACGATAGACACGTAGAAAGGGTCCTACAGGGTCTACAGGAGATGGCAACACGGGAGTCGTTCAAAGAGCACGCACACGGCTGGTGTCTGGCAGAACACGTACTCAAATGGCTTACTACCTTTACAACCAACGAACACAAACTCCAGGCCATGTCGTGGGCCTCGAGAAGACTACACGTCTCAAATGTTCGCATTTCAGGACTTGCAGAAGGACAGGCCTTCGGCCATGCATCTTGGCATACAAGATTTGGTTGGTGATGTTTTTGGTTGCCATCGCTGCGACGTCTATCATCACCTTTACGTCGTAGAAGTGTCGTCGAGGGACTGGTTGGACATAGGCTGGATCCTCGCGCTGAACCATTCGCATCTCAGTCGAAGGGTCAGCGGCGAAGGATGGCATAAACCGCGACTTAGCACAAAGCGAAGAAGTGATTGCGTAGGAAGCGATGCGGCTGTTTTGCAGAGCAATTGCCACGCTTTTTGCAATCCGTGTATCTTGTCGAGGTATGTTGTATCAAAGCCGGACTGGTAGTGACTTTGACGAAAAACAAAGATGAGATGATCTTTTCTTTTGTGAATTGATAGCATGTGAGCGGCGAGGAGGTCCTGGTTAGAAGGCAGAGAAGCGTCAGGCATGTTGATATAGACAACATCTGGATTCCACAGCAAGCTTTGGTTCCGAAGGGCAACAGCATGACAATTGAAGTCTTCCTCCGTCTTGCCCCTACCATAAGGAAGCCGAAGGTGTGCGGTATACATCTCCAGAGTCTCAAAGCCGAGCTTACACACAGAGCAGCTGAGAGCCCCTTGGGCGCCGTAGACTGCGCCAGCGTGCTTGTTGATCCAGTGTATAATGTTTCTCTTCCATGACTTGTAGACCTTGTTGAGGCTGCAATGGATCCCCTTGCGATACGGGTATCCTAGACATCTCAACGAGGTGGGAAAGATCGTCTCGTCTACCATGTTGGAGCAGATGGCAGAGTTATAGTCTAGGGACTGATGGCAACTGTCCAGCGAGTATCTTCCACAGTCAGGTATGCCGCCGTGACTCTCATAGGCTCAGATGATGGCACGAGTCGTGTAGAGGGACAGAAGTGTAGAGACAAGGTTATTGTTGTGTCGAGAACTTGAGGATGACGAGCGAAGAAAGAGCCATTCAGAAGCCCGAAAGTGAAAAGAAGGGAAGGTAGGTGTGATGTCAGAACATGTTTGCGCCATCCGTTTTGGGAATTGTCGTCGCAGGCATCCATCTTGGTTGCAAGTTCGACCTGATGCAACATAGAAGGAGGGTATATACCTACTCATCGAAACAATCGCTTGCGTTCGACACAGTCTGGTATATGGACCATTGCAGGTAGAAATAGAATAAGAACAAGAGCATAAGTGTCACCAGACAGGTTTGGGTGTGATAGAAAAGAAGCAGCTTGGAAAGAAGGAAGGAAGCAAGAAGGGGGCGGTAAAAAGACCAAAGCGGAAGAGACGAACAGGGCTTGACATCACGAAACACCGTTATTGCAGACATTAACGTCGCAAACCTGAACAACTGTACATGACGAAGATGGCGAAGGACACACAAAATATGAGGCAATCGGAGCGACAAACAAACATATACGGGGATGGTACTTGGCCATGAGAATGTTCGGCTGTCCTGAAATGCACATTGTGTATGCAGATGGCTCGCGTAGTATAGGATCCGCTAGGGAGAAGTGGAGTGAAACCAGCGTGTGAACATCGCAAATGGTGGACGTGTGCTGCGACGAGCGAGGGTTTGGGACAAAGATGCCTTGCAGCTAATGAGAAACTGTGCTTATGTAAGCTGGAGGTCTGTGTGTGACCCTGACTGTCTTTGATCCCCAAGCTTTTGTTCAGCGTCTTCCTGATCCTGCTCATTCCATTCTGTTAACAATGCCTCTAGGTAATACATATCAGCGTACCAATAATCGAACCTCTGCCTATTCGGCGAAGATGCTTGCCCTTTCCCTGGCCGCAGCTTGTCCTTAGCCGACATGCACGTCTTAACCCCAATAGGGCAATTATAAGGCTTAGCGCATCCTTCACATGTCTTATCAAGCTACCTATCTATGATCGCTGGTGGCAGTCAACAATACTACCACAAAGCGATAAAGACTATGGTCATCGCCGCGGGCCAATGATGGAACCCATCCGATAAACATGTCGAAGAGGTATAAGTGATCGTAGCACCCATGGCATAGGTAATCACCCACTCCCATCGCTCCTGCGCTCCTGAGCAGATATGATGAACAGAATCAGACGACCCTTCCCGGTCTCTCGCCGGGATACAGATTCTGTGCAATTGAACACTCTAGAACCTCAGAAACCTGCAGATGGTTTCGACNAAAAGGGTGCCGAAGCTGGCATTGAGGCCGACGTGACCGACATTGAACACGGTCACCTTCAGGAGATTGAGGTAGATGTTGACAAAGTGTTGCATGACTGGGAGATCAAAGACGTGGACGCTGATACGTCGCCATACCCTGAAGGTATGGTTTGGGCCTTGGTCCACTCTTAAGAATCTGCTGCTGACTTTGTGTTAGTTCGTGCTGTGGTTCCAGAGACAGATGATCCAAGCATGCCATTGAACACTCTCAGGATGTGGATTGTAGGCATAATCTGGACCATGCTCGGATCTGGAGTCAATCAATTCTTCTCCTTGCGCTATCCTGCGGTACACATCGTCTCACTTGTCGCTGAGCTTCTCGCCTTCCCTATGGGAGTAGCTTTAGCGCACATCCTTCCTATATACACCTTGGATCTTGGTCCTCTCGGAAAGTGGAACATCAACCCGGATCGTNCATTTTGTGAGTTTCTAAATGATCAACACCTCACATGAGCATGACTGATTGATCCGCAGAACATCAAGGAACATGCTCTCATCACCATCATGTCCAACGTAACGATAGGCTTCGCTTCGGGCTCTGACGCTTCCAACATGATACAAGCTGCTAAAAAGTTTTACGACTTTGATCTGTCTGCTGGGCTGGCTGTACTCATGGTCATGTGTACCCAACTTCTCGGATTCGGTGTTGCTGGCCTTGGATCTCGTTGGGTCGTGGAACCTGCTTCGATCATCTGGCCCGGTATTTTGGGTAACTGCGCCTTGCTCTCCACTCTGCACTCGAAATCAAACGCTATTGCCAATGGCTGGAGGATTTCTCGCCTTCGGTTCTTCTTTCTTGCCCTGCTTATCGCATTCGTGTGGTACTGGTTCCCAGGTTTAATCATGCCTGCCCTGAGCTACTTTACTTGGGTCTGCTGGATCGCGCCAAACAACGCTGTGGTCAACCAGATCTTTGGGATGCAAACTGGTCTTGGAATATTCCCGGTGACCTTCGATTGGTCCCAGGTCGCATATAATACCAATCCCTTACTGAGTCCTCTAAGTGCGGCACTCAATGTCCTAGCCGGCTTCGTATTCTTCTTCTTGATCATAACGCCAGGACTATACTACACCAATAAGTGGTACACCGGCTATCTGCCAATGATGACTGCGGATGTGTATGACAATACCGGCGCCAACTACAATGTTACCAGGATAATCAACCCTCTGACCAAGAGCCTTGATCCTGAAGCCTATCGCGCATATTCGCCTCCGTTCCTTAGTGCGACATTTGCTTTCGTGTATGGATTGTCATTCGCCTCTATCACTGCGGTGTTGACACATACATACCTCTGGCATGGAACAGAAATTTGGACAGCCCTTCGCGGGACGAGAAAACTCGACATCCACGGACGTCTGATGAAAGCTTACAAGCCAACTCCTTGGTATTGGTACCTCATCGTTCTAGTGATCTTCACTGCTTTATCATGTGTCATGGTCGAGGTCTATCACACCGATCTTCCTATCTATGGTGTTGCACTCGCTCTTGTCATTCCCGCTATCTACTTTATTCCTTGTGCCCTGATCCAAGGTATCTCGAACGTCGACGCCAATCAGATCAACGTCTTGTCCGAATTCATCGGCGGATACATGTTTGCAGGCAAGCCTCTGGCCAACATGATCTTCAAGATCTTATCCACTGCTGTCGTCAATCAAGGCATCTTCTTCGTCCAGGATATGAAACTATCTTATTATCTTAAGCTCGCACCCCGGACCGTGTTCTTTGCTCAAGGCTTCGCCGCTATCCTGGGCGCCCTGACTCAAACAGGAGTAACTCTCTGGATGCTCGGCAACATTCCCGATATCTGCTCTTCTTCGCAAAGCTCCTCATTCACCTGTCCCAACGGAAGAACAGTGTTTTCTTCATCAGTGATCTGGGGCTTGATTGGACCAGATCGCTTGTACAGTGTAGGAAAACGATACTCTGCCCTCTTGCACTTCTTCTGGATTGGTGCTCTAACGCCTGTGATCACTTGGTACGCGTATAAGAAAACAGGAAAGAAGATCTTCAAGGACATCAACTGGCCATTGTTCTTCGTTGGTACTTATAATGTACCCNCTGCAACGGGTACGTGAATTTCTCCTATGCAAAAGTTCGTGATTGCAAATGCTGATCTTGTGATTCGATAGNGCATCAACTACACTTCGTGGGCATTGGTGAACTGGATCTTCAACGGTTACATTAGGAACAACTTCTTCGCCTGGTGGACAAAGTACAACGTGAGTACTACCTCACTCTCTCCATTTCCAATTCTTGCCATTTTAGTAGCTAACAGAAAACAGTACGTCCTCGCAGCTGCCGTCGACACGGGTACAGCCGTGGCAGGTATCGTCATCTTCTTCGCAGTCAGCTACCCAGGCTACTCGATGCCAGATTGGTGGGGCACGACAGTGTTTACCAATACGCTCGATGCGGTGNGGGTCTCGAATCTTGCGTTGCCGGCAAGTGGTTTCTTCGGTCCTGCCAATGGTACTTGGACTTGACATGCCAGTTGTCAAAGAAGAGACGAAGGGACGTGGTTCGATTGTTCCACTGATTGAGGAAGTCACGAGCGTGTAAATAGAACAAATCAGTGCACAGCCTGAAAGGGAAGTTAACAAGAAGTAGAGACAACGAGTCTCATACAATATAGTCTGGAAAACGCCTAGCTCTTCTGTGGAAACATAGAGCGACACTGATGCTACAGAAATGCATAGTGCAGCTATTCTCGGTAAATAGCAGATAGTTGACGCGATGACATCCCTCAGTAGAAGGTGCTGTCTCTTAAAAGCATTGTGCACCTGTATAGCTATCCGTCTTGCAAGTTCTGGCACACGAGAAAGCTGTACAGCAGTGTCAGAAGAAGCCAGGTCTGGGCAGCTTCAACGTGACAAGGGGATCGATGCCAGGATATGGAAGGTTGTCAGACGCGTGTGAATGTGACTGGCGATTAGGCTGTTGCATGTTGTTGTTTGCCCAGTCCATGATGCTGCGATCCAAAACAATCGGATCCGCATCCTCATCGTCGTCAGGATAGCCGAAACCCGGAAGTGAATCGTCTTCAATGCTAGGTAAAGGCAGTGTATACGTGGGACCGGTGCGCGAGCTTATTCTTTCCAATCTGTCATTGGGTGGCTTCGTCTGGCTGTCTTTCGAGGAGGCAGCAGTAGGTGTGAGAGTCTGAGTTAGCTCTACAGGCTTCTCTGACTCTTCGCGTGTGGCTCGAGTTCGTTTGGCAGGTTTGGGAACAGCTGGCCGGGATGCTAGACCGGCTTGTGCATACCTTTCTGGAAATCTTGTCCTCAGTCGATCGCGCAAATCTGTTGGAGTTCGGCCGTGCTCTTTGAACGCCTCGTCTTTACAGATGGAGACCCAAGACGGGCCTTGCTCTCGGAAGCCTTTAAGCAGAGCCTGATCTTCTTCATCTGTGAAGTTACGTCTCGGTCGGCGTTGTGCCTTCCATAAAGTCTGGTCTGTGATGCCGGCTTGCTTGGACTGTGGATCAGCTTCCTTCGGAGCCTCCGCTGTCGTTGACTCTGCTGTCTTTGCTTTTTTGGGTGTTTCGACGGTGGGGGCTTCCTCAGGTGAGACTCTCTTGGCTTTTCGAGTTTTCCTCGCACCACCATAAGCATCAGGACGGCAAACTCTGAACCTGTGAACACATAAGTCTAGCACGAGGATAAGAATCAGCATCCGTTCATACCTGTCTTTGAGGTCTACGGCCGTCCGTTTGTGGAACTGATAGTCTGAGCAGAGCAATATCTTCTTCCAGTTACCAATGCCGAATCTAGACACTCCGGCTAGGAGATCTTTGGTCTCTTCATCGGTCCACAGATTGCGTCGAGAACGCTTATCCGAAGCCCCCTGAGTAGTTTCGATGGGTACCACAGGTTCTTGCGTAGTTACAGTAGGAGTCGCCTCGTCAGTGGAAGTTGCAGTAGCTGCAGGCTTGCTGCTCCTCGAAGTGGAGAGAAAGACTTGAGCCTCCTCTGTACTGATAGAAGGTAGAAGACCAGCGTCCGGCGGAGGCTGATGGAGACCTTGCAAGACGGGAGGCACACGGTGACGTTTCGCATGTCGTTTTGCTGGCAACTTTGGCAATGTGAAGACTGCTTGGTCAACATCTCTTCGATGGGAAGCATACTCCCCNAACCTAGGAGGCGAGTCTTCATCATTGAGTACGGCGGCAAGCGAAGAGATAGATGACTGGTGAGGTGAGCGTCTTGCAAGCCGTATGGCGTCTGCTCCAAGATCGTTACGTTGACGCAATCGGTTGCCTAGCAGAAACGGGTGTAGCTGCTCATTAGCGGTCCGGTCAAGCTCGCGAGTACTTCCATCGAAAATGCCATGGCTCAGATCACTGGGCTCAACGGGGTTTGGCCTGTTTATGTACTCCAGCGATCCTGGCTGAGGAAGAAGCCTGGACGCGTTCCCTTGAGATGGTGGCTCGAAAGACATGTTTGCTAATACAACATGGTATGTTGATCCTCACAAAGCTATTGCATCGACTCGGAAGGCATCTACGTGAGTGTTGAGATTCGTTTGATGAACCTTCAAAATCTAATCACGAGAGCGACGGAGGTGAAAAGGCAGGTCGTTGCGATGACCACCTAGCCAAGGAATGAGCCGCGTTAGCGCTTTGGCCGATGCTTCTGCTATGACCCTGTTCACAACCACTATCACTAGCGATCCCGTCTCGAAACCGGCGGTATGGCACTGCTATCTTGATGCTTGTATGATGTACGTGAAGCGAGCTATATACAGTCAACACATCATGACGAGATTATGCTGTTTCTCCAAAGATTGGCAATGCCTCGCTCGAAAATAGTTCCGCAACAACTTTGAGCTCTTTCCCGACGTGCTCACTACCGAGACTCACGGACATTGTTGACAAAGACACGGCAGATCTAATGGTACACACTACACTCGCATGATACCGATGGCAGCCAAGTGAAGGCAACTCAACTATGTACATATTTACCATTGACCCGACTGGCGCACTCTACGAGCTGCACGAGATGCAGGCTTCTTTACAACCATCCAGAGCATGACAGATGTAGCGGCAGCCAAAGAGTACNNCTGGTAGTCGTTAACGTCAGTATGGATATGACAGTGACAAGAGAGACGATAGACTGACCATGTGAAAATGTACTGTGTATGGTTGTTTCGAAGGTTTACCTCGGCTGGTCTTCCAATAGGAATACCCTTTGCTTCTCTGTCGTAGGACTCGACAAGGTCAGGCTTCATGGTCTCTTCAATCCATACAGGCTGACTGCCCGTCAGGTCAGCCATTTGTTGAACGTCCGGGAAGTAGAAAGCACCCTGTTCGGGCTTATTTTCAGGTGTGAACATGTTCTTCTTCCACGGCTCTCTCAGCAGACCCTGGACGGTGACTTCGCCTTGTGGTAGGCCTTCGGGTCTAGCACGTTGGCTCGCCTTGTCTTTCGGAATCCAGCCTCGGCAGATGAGGATTTTGGTGTTGCCAGAGTAGCCTTCAAACTGGCGTTCGAGAGGTGTGACGACCATGTAGCCATCGTTGCCGTCATTAAGTCTGGGTCCGATGAGCATCTCTTGGTCATGGCGGAACTTGCCAGTGGCGTAGACTCTTCTGTAGTCGAAGTCCTTGATGGCAGCTGGATCGATACTGGGTGGTAGAGGCAAAGGGTCGCGCACGAGGCGGTCTTCGAAGCGGGCGATGAGTTCAGTCTTCCATCCTAGCCTCGCGACCTGCCATGAACCAAGGGCGAAAGCAGTGATCGGGATGATGGCTAAGACTAACAGGCCCCAGCCATGTTTTCTGCCACCAACGCGAACAAGTTGAGGTTGGACATCGACAATTGAAGTGAAAGATGGATCATCAGCGGGCTGACTGGCGTAGCGTCTTCGTTGCAGGATGGGACGGGAATTTTGGCATTGTCGACAGATCCACGGGGTACTTTGTAACTGTATGCGAGGGCGAGAGGATAGTGAGGCCAATTGGCGCAAGATGGGCGACGGTCGGAGCGACATTTTGGAGTGGTCACAGGTCTCGAATGTGCATGGCTCTTTCCTCTTTCGCCCACTACTTGGAGCTCCACGCTGGTGACACGCGCCAAGCCGACTGCTCGATAGACTTGAATCGCACCTTCTCGACCAACAACAACATCTTCACTTTCCTTGTCGTGTTGCTCTTTCCGACTGTGAAAATCTAGGTAGCAAGAGAGCCGGAAGCAACCAAAACATCCCTTGAGCGCCACCCTTTTCCATTTCCTGCACAAGTCCAACTCTTTTGCGAAACACGACACCGCGACACACGCGTAAAGCACCCCGTCGCAACTTCGACTTGCGCTTCGCCGCTACCAAACACCCTCCACCTCGACATCTGACATTGTCTTGTCCGCCATCACATCTCACCTCACCTGTACCTCCGCCAACCCAGCCTATCCGCCGTGACAGCGCGCTGCCAAAATGGCCGACGAGGTGACGATCGACAAGGCTACCTTCCACAACCGCCTCTCGGCCTTCATCTCGCAATGGAGGCAGGACAAGCGCAATGGCGACTCCCTGTTCGCAGGCGCCTCATCCATCGCCATCGTCATGGGCAAGTCGGATGAGTCCCAGGGCTTCTCGAAGACTAGTGCTCTTCAGTTTTGGCTGCTGGGCTACGAGTTCCCCTCGACCGTCTTTGTCATTACCCAGGACTCCATGCACATTGTCACCACGAAAAGAAGGGTAGCCATCTCTGCAGTAGCTTTTGCCGTTTGCCTGACGCTAACTCTTGCAGCCACCTACCTCGAACCCCTCAAGGACGGCAAGACACCCGTGGAGATTCTTGTCAGAGGCAAGGATGCCGCCGAGAACGCAAAGCAGTTCGAAACCTGCCTAGACATCATCAAGAATGCCGGCGTACGTTTTGCATCTCACCCTTAGAGCTACTTCCATTGACACATGTTACAGAAGAAAGTCGGTGTTATCTCCAAAGACCCCTCGAACGGTCCCTTCATCAAGGAGTGGAAGGATAGTTTCGCAACCATCTCCAAGGACGTTGAAGAGGTAGACATCACCTCCGCCATTTCGGCCGCTCTCAGCATCAAGGACGAGAAGGAGTTGCGCGCAATCCGCGATGCTTCGCGCGCATCTAGTGGCATCATGGCCAACTACTTTGTTGATCAAATGTCGGGCATTCTGGACGAGGAGAAANAGATGAGCCACAAGGCTCTGTCACAAAAGATCACCGACAAAATCGAGGACGACAAGTTCTTCCAGAAGCTGAAGGTCTCGAGCGGTTTCGATCCCACCCAGCTGGACTGGTCCATCTCACCCGTCGTACAAAGTGGCGGTAAATATGACTTGAAGCTCTCAGCCGAGGCCGACGAAAGCAATCTGCACGCCGGAGTTATTCTGTCTACCCTCGGATTGCGCTACCTCAGTTACTGTTCCATCATCTCCAGAACCTACTTGGTTGACCCGAACAAGTCTCAGGAGAGCGCCTACAAGTTGTTGCTTGCCGTTCACGACAGCATCCTCAAGAACATGAAGGACGGCATGGTCGCAAAGGACGTATACGCCAAGGCAATCGGTCTTATCAAGTCAAAGAAGCCTGAGCTCGAAAAGAACTTCGTCAAGTCGGTTGGCTATGGAATTGGTATCGAGACTCGCGACAGCTCGTTCCCTATGAATGGAAAGAACACTCAGACTCTGCGCGATGGAATGACTTTCAGCATTACCACCGGCTTCCACGATATCGAGAACCCCAATCCTCAGGACAATAAGAGCAAGACATACTCCTTGCTGCTTACTGACACCGTGCGAGTAGGTGGCAGCGAGGGTTTGGTCTTCACCAAGGATGCTCCATCTGATCTCGAGTCGACGTCTTTCTTCTTCAAGGACGATGAGGATGAGCCAGAAAAGGCAAAGCCCAAGCCGAAGAAGGACTCTCGTGTCGGTGCCGTCGCAAAGGGAAACATCACAAGTACCAGATTACGCAGCGAGCGCAGTACACAGCCTAACGAGGAGAAGGAGGCTCAACGTAAGGACCACCAGAGAGAACTTCACTCCAAGAAGCAGCAACAAGGTCTGGACAAGTACGGTGAAGGCACTGGCAACTTGAACGGTACTGAGGTGAAGAAGTTCAAGCGTTTCGAGTCGTACAAGAGAGACAACCAGTTCCCTTCGCGCGTCAAGGACCTCATTGTCTTGGTCGACGTCAAGAATGCTAGCATCATTCTACCTATCATGGGACGTGCTGTTCCATTCCACATAAACACAATCAAGAACGTCAGTCAGACGGAGGAGAACGCCTTCTCCTTCCTGCGCATCAACTTCTTGTCTCCTGGTCAGGGTGTTGGAAGAAAGGATGACCAACCTTTCGAGGACCCCCTGGCTCACTTCCTCCGAAGCCTGACCTTCCGTTCCAAGGACACCGACAGAATGAACACCATCGTCGCACAGATAACCGACATGAAAAAGGACGCAGTACGCAAGGAACAGGAGAAGAAGGATCTCGAGGATGTTGTTGAGCAAGACAAGCTCGTCGAAATAAGAAATCGCCGACCTCAGCGTCTCGACAACATTTTCATGCGTCCTTCACTGGAGAGCAAGCGCATTGGTGGCTCGGTTGAGATCCATCAAAACGGTCTGCGTTATGCTCATATGGGTGGTGTCAAGGTTGATGTTCTCTTCAGCAACATCAAGCACCTTTTCTTCCAACCCTCGCAGCATGAACTAATTGTCATCATTCACTGCCACTTGCACAACCCTATCATGATTGGTAAGAGGAAGACCAAGGACATCCAATTCTACCGTGAAGCCACAGAGATGCAATTCGACGAGACGGGTAACCGTAAGCGTAAGCATCGCTATGGTGACGAGGAGGAATTTGAGGCAGAACAGGAAGAGCGCAGACGTCGTGTCCAGCTCGACAAGGAGTTCAGATCATTCGCCGAGAAGATCGCCGACGCCGGTAAGGGCGACAACCTGCAAGTCGACATGCCTTACCGCGATCTTGGTTTCAACGGTGTCCCTGCTCGCTCAAGCGTTTACATTCAGCCTACCACCGAGTGTCTCATCCAGATCACCGAGCCTCCGTTTACGGTCATTACTCTCAACGACATCGAGATCGTCCATTTGGAACGTGTGCAGTTCGGCCTGAAGAACTTTGATATGGTCATTGTTTTCCAGGACTTCCAGCGTCCTCCTGTGCATATCAACACCATCCCTGTTGAGTCGCTTGACAGTGTCAAGGATTGGCTGGACAGCATCGACACACCCTACTCAGAAGGTCCTCTCAACCTGAACTGGGGTACCATCATGAAGACCGTTACTGCCGATCCTCATGAGTTCTTTGCTGGTGGTGGTTGGTCGTTCCTCGCTGCCGAGTCAGACGACGAAGAGCAGAGCGAGGAAGAGGAGAGTGCCTTTGAGGTCAGCGAAGAGGATCTCGCCAGCGACGAGAGCAGCGAAGACGAGTCAGACTTTGACGACGACGCAAGTGCCGATGCTAGTGAGGAGGAGATGAGTGAAGACGAGAGCGGCGAGGATTGGGACGAGATGGAAGAAAAGGCCAAGAAGCGCGACCGCGAGAGCGGCCTCGACGACGAGGACAGACGTCCTGCTCCCAAGGGTGGCAAGTCCAAGAAGCGATAGATGATACAACCCACGCTTAATGCTTGGGAAAGATGTCTAGCGAGCTTTCCTAACAGAAGGGTGTTTGCTTGTTTGCTTGCTTGCTTTTTCGAGGAGTTTCGGGCGTGCAAAGGGCGATGGGGAGGATTCATGGTTGACACTGACAAGCACTTGGGGATTGAACATATTCAGGCAGCGGAAACAAAACCCTTGTATCGTTTTAATAAACTCTTGAGCCCTTTAAAATATGTGTTTCGTGAGAAAATGTTGTATAGATATCAAACAACTATATCGGAAAAAGAAACAAGAAACCCTGATTATAACAGCCTCCCAACCGGGGTATATGATATCCTTAACAATGCAGAACCCCAAACACCGTCATCTCTCATGCGCGGGCATGACATAGTATGTATATAACGAAAAGATATCATCCTCATTAGGTCTCTCAAGATCTCAGAACTTTTCCATCAAGTTCTTCCTCACCGTCCACATTCTTGCTCTTTTTCCATAGATGTACATGGGGATAGTAAAGAGCAGACAGCCCAACTGAATGCCACCCAGAGCAAGGAAGACCTTTTTGGTGCCATCACTCTCAAGCCAACGATTAAANAAGAGCGAAAACACCAAGCCGTGAAAGATGTTNTTCGAGAAATTGAGGGTGACGAGTGCTTCTCCGGCGTATTGGCGATAACTGTCTACGGCAAAGGTGATGGCGGTGGTGGAGCCTACACAACAGCCGAAACTGATGATACCGAAGAAGATGGTGGGTACAATCCAGGCATCGTGTTCAGAAACACTCCAGCCGTAGCCCATGAGGCCGATGACGGTGCTGATGGTGACGGGGATGGCCATGATAAGGCGAAATTCAGGTTCGTAGACGCCGTCGTTTTTTCTGCTCATCCAGCGGACAATGACGTCGGAGAAGCGACCGGCGACGGCGGTGCCGAGGATGCCGCCGATGAAGGGGGAGATGTAGACGAGGCCGACTTGTAGAGGGGTGAAGTGATATGTCTCGCGGTTCTCGTAGATGACTGAGACGGACTCGGAAAGTACGATCAACCAGCCGACCGAGAGTGCGTATATCAACGATGACCACAGGATGGCAGGGTATGCGAACAGGATGAATGGACGAAGAGCTACCTTGCCCCAATGGTCTTGGGATAGACGTCCGGCATACGGCTTCAAGGTTTCGACGAAAGACTTTGGTGGCGCAGCGCGGTAGAAAGTTGTATATACCAAGCCGGGGTTGTTAGCATCCACAGAGTGGCCAGGTGAAGGAGGAACACTGTCGAATTGAGCGCTGTTGGATCTCATATGGTTGTGCCCGGATGTGGATCTATAAGACACGAAGGGATCATCTCCTGGCGACAAGTGTTGTGCTCCAGGAGAGAAATGCGCCGATCCTGGCGATAGTGCACTTGCTTGGGGAGAGAGTTGCGATCCAGGAGAGGCAGGCTGCACGCCCGGAGAAGGAAGTTGCAACGAAGCATCGGCCTGCGGTTTCTGTGGTGTTTGAGGCTCGGGAGTCTCGGCTGTTTCGAGGGCTGGTAGGTTCAAAGCTGGCACGCTCAACTTCCTACCACTTTCAGGAGCGATCTCGCCGTCATCAGGCTCACTGAAATGAGCATGTCTTGACAGTCGCTTCTCTCCCTTTGTCTTGGTGGGACTCTCGGTGTGAGAGAGATCGAGCTTTTCTCCTTTTTCCAATTCAGGCGCGGCCTCGTGCGCGTGGTTATCGGCATGGCCTCGGTGGAAGATAGAGGCCAAGGATATGTTGCTCATCAGTCTCGGTCGGTGGTGCTTGTGTGAGTGTCGAGAAGGCCTCGGTGTGCGATCCCAGAAAGTTTCAGGGACGAAGAAGAATAACAAGACAGCACCGAATGATACCACCATAGCGACGATCCAAAAGACCCATCGCCAACCAAGCGATTCGATGATGGCGGCACTCACCAGGGGGATGAGATTCTTACCACCGAGCAGGAGCAGAGTATATATACCTAACCGGTAGGCACGCTCGTGCAAGAAGAAGATTTCGGCAATGGTTGCAGAGGGAAGACATTCGACAGGGCTGACAGCGAAGCCCATGAAGATACGTGCAAGTACCAAGGAAGCATAGTTGGGCGACAATGCACACCAGACAGCAGACAGCACAAAGATGACTGACGCGACGAGGTATACAGGTCTCTTGCCATACAGAATAGCGGTAGGTGACGCAACAACGCTACCAAGACCAAGGCCCAACATATACAGACCAGTGGTCAGAGCAACCTGGGGTACCGAGACGTCGTATGTTTCGGAAACATTGACGAAGCCTGCAGCAAGAACAGGAGTCATACCACCACCGAGCATGCAGAAGAAACCCAGAGACAGCAGGGCGCAGTCTCTGCGCCATTTCGGCCAGTTCAGCGGGTCGTTCAGAGACTCATCGGGTTGTGGTTCGAGCACGATGCCGTCTCCAGTCTGTTTCTTGTCCGGTGTGGGGGCACGATAGAGCCCNGTACGAGAGCGAGGCGCAAGAGAGCCGTTGCGAGAGTGTGACGAGTAAGGAAATGGGGAGGGCAAGGACGAGGTCGAGGTTCTAGCTGGCGTGTTGCGGAGTCCGAGCGGTTCGTTGCGATTTGACACTTTGGAGAGTAGCAAGACAGAGCCTNNAGTATGTCGTCAGTAACAGTACGTAGATAGGGCAATAGGGTAGTCAGAGGACTCACCAGGAACCTCGTCCGTCTCTGTGTCATTGAGGATACCCAGGCTCCATTTGGCCGGTCGTTTCTTGAGCGAGTCTTCCGAGTCAGTCTGCGAGTTGCGATTCTGCTTATTTCGGAGCCAAGAACGGCCTTCCTGGCCTTTGTGGTCCTTCTCTGCGACCATGGCAGAGGGCTATGGGATCGTACAAATGCGTTATGGGTATGACGAGCGGCAGCGCAGTGCAAGGCAGGGATATATACGGCGCTACCGGGGCGGTGTAGCTTGAGCCCCGTGAAGGATGATCAGGAGGCCGCCAGATAGTGACAGCAGGTACTAGGTAGAGTCGTTGCGGGTAGGGGTAGGCTATGGCGCGGGCGGTCTGTCTCGAGACTCGACTGTTATCAAACTAGGCACTAGGAACTGTCAGGTGGACGCTTCTGACACCCTGATAACAAGCCGGGGCTAATGCGAGCCATGGAGCGTGACTCTGCGCAGGGAGTCCGACACGTTGCGGATGCGGCGATGGATGCTGTTTTGAAACGCCTACGCTCTGGCTGGGCGCAACCATTTCCACGAGGCTGAGGACCCAAGTCTGCTACTTACTTTGGCTCGTCATGACCTTGACCCTTCGAACCTACCTCCTAGCGCCACTTGGCTCCTCCTAGTCCCGCCAATCATTGTCTGCTGCACGAGAATACCCCTAACTTTAAACCCACAAACACGCTCGCTCGACAGCTCCGCAATTAGACCAACAACAGAGATACCTGTATACGAGCACGTTTCTTTCGCGTCGAAAACAAGCAAGCTATCCTCTCTACATCTGGAATGTCTCTAACGTGTAGAGAGTACCTCAACGACTGATGCTCGTCTACAAGGACTGCATCGAGCACATCTTATAGACTTTGTCCAAGACTTGGTATTCGAACTAAAATTTGTGGTCCTATTATCTTGTTCCCGGGCTCTTCGGACTTGATGGCAAACGCATGCAACGTCTTATGCAGCAGATGCCATCTCCAAAAATTTCAGTCACCCATTCAGCCCGAGAAGATCGGTCTGGCTACATCGAGAGCCCTTTGACATGACTCGATGTACAAGAATCCAGAAGCCCTGAAGACATCCTCCTTCAATCATCTTTGGCGTCCTGGCCATCCTTGTTCTTCCGCGGCTCGAAGTTCAGCTGTGTTCCGTCAATCACCGCGGTCTTCACACTCGGCTGCTTAGAAGTACTCACCTGGTTGCCATTGTATAGTTCAGTATTCTGTTCCGTCTCTCGTCTCTGATCACCAAGTGTGCGGATGTTGATGCCGGCTGACCTATTGGCCATTCTGTCTCCCTCCACGTTAGAAATCTCACTGTCATCTGCTGTTCCGGCTACGTAGGGGCCTTGTCTGTCGGTTGTGCCTGATGCGTAGCCCATAACACCCCCNACCGCGCTTCCCAACATGCTTGCCGCGCCTGACAAGAGTCCAAATCCGGCATTGAACCCCTTGGAGACCAGGCCGCCGCTGCCGCTGGCGTAAGCATCTGTGTAGCCTTTGATAGGCACCAAGACTAGAGTTGCGCTAGGTGTCAAACCAAGCGACTTAAGTGATTCGCCCTCTTCGCCGACCGAGATGTTACGGCTGGGGTTGGGCAGGAGTATCTGGCGGAACTCGTACGGGACGTCTGTCTGCGAATTCTGTGAGACATATGTCCTGACGGAAGTCGCAAGAGTCGCGGAAGGATCAAACTTTGTTCGCAGCGAACTGCCATCGAACAGTCTGATCTGGAGGGCGCAAACGCTGGAGTTTCTTCCAGGGGCGGTATTAGTATGTACCGGTAGCTGCGCAGCTGCTGTAGATGGCTCGCCCTGAGCGGCGAGTTTNTCTTTGTCGTTCCTTCTCTTTCCTTGCAGCCTTGTCAGACTCAATTGACTTGAGGATTCTCTCCCTCTCCTGCCGTGCCTCTTTGTTGCGGTTTCTCTGCTGATCGGCCCAATCTTGTTTGTTCTGGGGCAGNNTGACGATGACTCGGCAGCTTGCTTGTCTGCCTCCTCCTTGCGCGCCTTTGCCGTAGCCTTACGTGCTGCCTTTTCCACCTCCTCTTGCTTCTTGCGATCAGCTTCGAGATGGGCTCCGCGCTCGGCCAGGAATTGTTGCATCGTTACATTGTTGCCTTGACTGGTGGGTGCTGGTATGGGGACGTTGGTCTCTGCAGTCTCTTGAGGAACCGCGTCTGATTCCCGCAGCGTTGTTCCTCTTTCGCCGATGAGGGGAACGTTCGACAAAACTTGGCTGACATCTGCGGTGGCCGAGTCGGCATTTTGGGGAATAGAGTTGGTTGATTGTGATGGCTGCTGTTGCGTCGAGGGCTGTAGTAGAGCAGTTATGCGCTTCTGAAATTCTTCTTCAGTGACGCTTGCGTCGATGTTCTCGACGACGGATCCTGCTCGTATGACCAAAAGCTTCGGCAGAGAGTCTAGAGAACAAAAGGCTCCGAGGAATCCAGCTTCGACGGATCCTGCGTTGATTCGAAGCAAGACTGCCTTCTCGCCCAGTTGCTCTCCTAATGACTGCTGTCCATCTGCATCTGTGGATGCGTCAAGTGGAGCAGTCAGCCACTCGCTCTCCCATTTCTGGCTTGTCTCATCGTCATCNTGACAGCTCGTTAGACTGCGTAGGATGAACGTAGTGTCAGCTGGCATACCTTGTCTGACGAAGCAGGCGACCAGCTTGTGCTCCTGGATCGCCTGCGAGATACCACTCTGCAAGTCACCTTGGAAAAACATGGCGAATAGGTTATGAGAAAATCAGAGTAGAAGGAAGAAGGTGGTGCGCTCATAGTCTACAACTGTCTCTACCCCAGGCGGATCACATGCAAGAGCGTCACCGACACGGTCCCTGCACCGCCAAGCATATCGATGTTTAGATCAAACTCCAACATCGACTTGGATCTCTTTGTCAAAGTCATGTATACACGATAGTCTTCGGCATCTTTATCTTCGGCAATGAGCACGCCGCCTCTCGGGTACAGGCCTTCGTCCGAGGCCTTTGAGCGGCCGGATACAGAAGACAGTCCGGGGGACAAACGCCAAAACAATGCAACAACAGGTAGGATATTCATGATTTAGAAACGAAGGTGGATTCATGGAGGCTTAGTCTGAACAGGAGCATCTGCTGCGGGTATGCGGGCCTTGACCGCACGTATGTTCGCTTTCTATTTCAGAGTACCCGTGAAAGCATTCTTTCGAACAAGAATCGAGTAAGCGAGAACTTTGATCTGATACGATATCTGGAATCTGCGCTGACTGATGAATAGCTATCTCGTACGTATTATCTATGCAATCCACACTCCCCTTTTGTCAGACTGACTTAACCAAGNNGCTTTCCCGAGGGCTATCAACCCTCTTCTACAACAGGCCAGTGGGAAATGGTCTTGGAAAATGACCACTCCTGGAATATTGGCCTATGCTGTACAAAATCATGGATGGTCTTTCATACCTAACCAGGTGTTACCGCCAATGCTGGCAAATGTTACTGTTGGAGCAGTCCTGTACACGTCCTATCTTGGAGCACTGGGCCTCTACTATGAACCGGCTTCCCACTCTTCGAAGAGAATCTATCCACCAGCACCATTTGCCTCGACATTTGCCGCTGGCTTCTCGGCAGGTGCTTTTCAAAGTATAGTTGCGGCACCCTTGGATGCACTCACAATCCGGTTTAAGACAACCGATCTTACCCAGGGTACATACAAGAATATGTGGGATTACGCTTCGAAGAAACTCCAAACCATTGGCGTTCGTGGCGCATTCGCAGGATGGNGGCTTTCTTTCGTCAAAGATTCCTTCGGTTATGGACTGTTCTTTGGAGCATTCGAGTTCATCAAGTCTCAGTGTTTCTATGAGTACGTGAGCCACTGGTATTCGCGATATGGACTCCTATCGATGTTCCATAAGCATCAGATTGAGCTGCAGAGAGTTAGCGATCAACAAGAGCGGCCTGTGATCAAGCCGCATTATCTGATGGAGCCTTCATTCATACTCCTTGCTGGTGCGACAGCAAGTGTGTTGCAACAAGCCGTTGCTCACCCCCTCACGCGGATACAGGAACTTCACTTCCAGCGACTAGCAACACTCGATGAATTGCTACAAGCTAGACCGGGACGACTCGACACTATGCAACTATATGCTCGAGCGTATCAGAAAACATGGATACAGGCCGGCAAGCGCGCAACGAAATCAGGAGGCTGGTTAAGATGGCTGTATCAGGATTTTTGGATGACAACATTGCGTCAGGTGCCATCAACCAGCGCTGGCCTGATTGTGTTCGAGATCTTCCGTCGAAAATACGGAATTGGAGAGGACGCTGTCAAGATCCCCAAGGACGAATACGACATTTTGTTGCCCTGATCCCGGACTACTGGCTCAGTTGTGTCGCAGAGTGTGTCACTTCAGGAAGTCCTCAAGCGCAATCTGGATCTGCTCCCATCTGGATTGCAGAAGTTTAAGTTTGTTGGCAAGGTCGCCAGTCCTCTCTTCCGAGAGGGGCTGCAAAGATGCAATGGCTTTNTTGGTCTCTTCAACGTAAGATTCAAGAGATGGTCTCAGCCAATCGAGCACTTCGTTCTCTTTATCGTCTGCAAGGTCCTCTCCAGACCCCATGAAGTGCTCCCACTCGTTGGCTGTTAGGAGTACAGAGCGCACAGCAACCTGCGTCTTGAAACACAATTCACCTGAGCTTGGTAGCAGAGCATAGCCACCAAGGAAGCCCACATCTTGCAGAGCGCTTTGCTGGCTCTCCGTCAAGCGGGGTAGTAATACGTGGTCCAGACGGATCTCGTCGTCGTCTAGGCTGTTAGAGAGGATGAAACCATCTATGTCGTGTGTTAGTTGATATATACACATACGAAACACAGTGTCCTTACAGTGTACGAGGAGCTTGTCGTTCGAATGAGCTCCGTATGTAGCCAATATCTCTTCACCAGGCTCTGTTCAAGGTCGTACTATTAGCTACGCCATCACAGATCACACGAAGCACGTACCGTAGTTTCGGTCTGCTTTCAATTCATAGCCTTCTGGTGACATGGTGACTTCGCACTGCTATCTTTAGTAAGAGACGAGACGCAAAGTTCTCATAAACTTACTCCCNTGGCCGTTCGGACAGTGGTTCATATAGTCCAGTGCAGGATTCATGATCATGGCACCTTGGCTGACACCTTGAGGCTTCCAGTGAAAACTGCGTGTATTGACAAGCATCCAGTGGTAAAGGAACTCACGCTCAAAAGCCTCATCTTCGGGAGCGTGCATGTGTTTTACGGATTCAATGTCTCGCTTCAAGTCTGACAGCATGCGGTCCAGCGGCTTCTGTACACTTGGTGGGGCCCATTTGCGTAGCACGTCTTCTAGCTCGTCCTTCGGAGACCAGGCAAGCATGCAAGAAGCAAAGTCCTCAGGTGTTGGCCAAGCGGGTCTCGAAGCAACGTAAGTAGGAGATTGGCTCTTCCACTCCAAGGTAAGGTGTGCGGCCAGTTGAGCCTGTGAGGACAACTTCGTCAACTTGTGCTTACGAAGCGCTGCCAAATCTGGTTTGATCATGGCCTTCTCCGGCACAAAGAACAGTACGGCACCCTTTTTNATTCTCTCTTTTGCCAGCAGGCCAACACCTCTACCAGGAAGCACAGCCGGTGTGACACCATGTATTTTGATTCCTCGCGCGATTGCCCATTCCACATAGGCGGCATGGACTTCCGGTATGTCGAAGTCCAGGCTGGTCTTGGACGTTTTCCGCTTCTTTGCTGGAGGGACCGAAGGCATGATGGTTGTGCATGCGTGTGGTGAGGAATTAAAGCACGCACCCTCGAGGGTAGAAGCAAATTATGTCAAGAAACTGTAAGGCTAACGGAATTACAGCAGAAACGACAGCGCCACATTACACGGCAGCCGCGTGAGCCCTCAGCTGCTTGAAGCCAATGTCTCAAATTTATGTTCCAGGTTTCATTCTATCTACTTTACGGGCCGTACGGCAGACTTCTGAAAAGATGAGGCTCTGAACTATGTATTTAAAAATAGATATCGTCAACAGTTCGGACAACGAGTAGACTAGGTATGCATGCCGGGCCAATAGATACAACAAGAAAGACGTCAAGCTTGTGACGGGATAAGCCAAGTAATGCTCAAGCAAGGAGGGGTTTCTAATGAATTGCCTCGCATCTTTCGAGACGGTAGAACGGTAAAGGCCAGACGTGCAAACAGTGTCATGGCAGTGTGTTCAGCAGAGGGCGTGCTACCTGAGAAGCTGAACCGTCAACTACGCCTTGGCTGGAGACAACAGTTCAGGTGCGAGTTTCACTGCGAGAACGGAGTGGCCGTCAAGCACAAGGGCCAGACTCTAGAGAATCGTGATAGTTTCTGCCGGGCGGCGTCGCGGGCTTGGCGGGCCAGCCGTTGGGCTTGGGCTGTGGGCGCGACTCTCTGAAGACCTTGCTTTCACACCTCCTTCAAGTCCCCCTCCCAGCAGCGACTCCTCCTCAGGGCTATCCAGGTCGACCGCCAACTTCTTCTTGGCCCCGTCGTCCTTCTGCCACGCCCTGTCGTCGACATTTGTCGCTTCACCCGCTGCCAGCAAAGTCCAGGTGCGTGACCCACCGACCCCCGTCCAGTCAGCTGCCTGCCACGCATATCACAACCCGCATCTCTCCACCGACACCCGGCTCCATTCATCTCCTTGTTATCGGACGCCGTGGCTGCCTATTGTTCCTTCACTCTGCTTCCCTGTTTCCTCTCGTCGACTTTGTTGTCTGCTTCTCATCCTTCCTTCCATTCTGATTCGCTGGATTGGACTCGTCTCCGCTTACCCCCTTCGCCTTGCTGACGTCGCCATTGTCTCTCTATAGATTCCTTCATCTCCATCACAACCTACTGTTCCGCCTCAGCGACGGCTCACCCTCACAACAACTAAAGCATGACAACAATGGTACGACAAGGTTCCCTTTGCTGCTTCTCGACTTCACCGCTGACTCACAATAGGACCTCCGTGTCGGTAACAAGTACCGCATCGGTCGTAAGATTGGTAGTGGCAGTTTCGGTGACATCTACCTTGGTATGCGTGCTCACTGCCCCTCATTCACGAACTCGTTCTGACCTATTACTACAGGCACCAACATCATCTCTGGTGAGGAGATTGCCATCAAGCTTGAAAGCGTCAAGGCCAAGCACCCTCAGCTCGAATATGAGGCTCGTGTCTACAAGTCTCTTGCCGGTGGTGTTGGCATCCCCTTCGTCCGCTGGTTCGGCACTGAGTGTGACTACAACGCCATGGTCCTCGATCTCCTCGGTCCCTCGCTCGAGGATCTCTTCAACTTCTGCAACCGCAAGTTCTCCCTGAAGACTGTCCTCCTCCTGGCCGACCAGCTCATCTCCCGTATTGAGTACATCCACGCCAAGTCCTTCATCCACCGCGATATCAAGCCCGACAACTTCCTCATGGGTATCGGCAAGCGTGGAAATCAGGTCAACGTTATCGACTTTGGTCTGGCCAAGAAGTACCGTGACCCCAAGACTCACTTCCACATTCCTTACCGTGAGAACAAGAACTTGACTGGTACTGCACGCTATGCCAGTATCAACACCCACTTGGGTGTCGAGCAGTCCCGTCGTGACGACATGGAGTCTCTGGGTTACGTGATGCTTTACTTCTGCCGTGGCTCCCTTCCCTGGCAGGGCCTGAAAGCTGCCACCAAGAAGCAGAAGTACGACCGTATCATGGAGAAGAAGATGACCACCCCCACCGAGGTTCTCTGCCGTGGCTTCCCCAACGAGTTCGCCATCTACCTCAACTACACCCGCTCTCTTCGCTTCGACGACAAGCCCGACTACTCGTACCTCCGCAAGATCTTCCGCGACCTCTTCGTCCGTGAGGGCTTCCAGTACGACTACGTCTTCGACTGGACCGTCTACAAGTACCAGAAGAACGCTCAGGCCGTTGCCCAGGCAGCAGCCAACCAGCCCCAGGCCGAGGAAGCCGAAGAGAAGGCTGGCCGTACCCGCACTGCTGCCGCTACTGCCGGCCAGACCGCTGGTGCCGTCACTGATAAGCGCCGTGGCCCAGTGGCACCCCGTGCAGAGGGATCGGGAATGTGAGTTCAATCTCGTCATCCTGTAAGACTCCCCTGCGTTTGAGTGCTCTTGCGTGAGGCTTGCCGCGGGGGATATTTGGTACGCGTGCTGACGTGCTGGCTCCTCTCAGGCNAACTCCGCTCCTCAAAGCGTGGCGTCGAACAGCAGGGATACAACAACTACTGATCGCTTGTCTTCTGTTGCGAATTTGAGTCTGGATTGTTCTTCTGGACATACCGGCTCTGATCAGCGACATGGTTTCTTAACTCAACTCGTGTGGAAAAATGCAGTTTTGCCGTCCTGGATTTCTTGCGGACGGCGAAAGATGCAACCACACATTCTTATGTTGTCTGCAANNTTTCCGCTATAGGAGGGTTACGCCGACTGTTTCTCGGCGGCATTATCCTACCCAGACAAGTATGCTCAATTCGGAGTGGCTACTAGCAATCAATCCTTATCTCGGGTTGCATATGCTTCGAGCAGGGCATAGCGGATTCGGATTTCATACCTGGCAGTGTCACTCGGCAGGCTTCTCGCTTCACGGCTGGTCGACCTGCAGTTTTCCCTGGCCACTCTCGGTACATCAGATTGCNATCCTTTGGCACCCCTAATCATCCACCATCCATTATCTCTTTTCTTCTNNTCCTGCTTTGCTTTTGTTGCTTGGGACTTGGAGGGCGGCTTGTGGGGAGGTTCAAGCATCCGGGGGCGAGATANNCACAGGAGAGGAAGAAATCGAACAATCCAGATTGAAACCACAACCAACAGCATTAACTAGCGGAGGATCGAGCTAGAGGCACGGCATAAACGTCGTGTCTATCAAAGAATGGCGGTCTCTGCGAAAGAACTCAACGATCGGTTGTCCTTTTGTTCGAGGAAAGGAAAGGGATGCTTCTGGGGCAGTTTTACTCTAGTTTATTATGTAGCCAATCTTATGCTCTTGCTCTTGCTCTTGCTCTTGCTCTTGCTCTCAATTTCAGCTCCCAGCACGTTTATCCGATGTAATCCTCTATTCGTGACTTCGTTGTATGCAGGAATAGAGTTCGACTCAAAGAAAGTTGCGGTCGCGAAACAGCTACTCACCGCCCGGCAGACTTCGCTGACCATCAATTATTTGCCGCCGCATTATTTGCACATGCATTCTTTTGGAATCATCTCACTGGGCCAACACCAAGCTGCTGTGCGTAGCTTCACCACTCCTACCGATGACGCCCGCTCCGATCCATCATTCGATATGCACCATCTGCCGACTACGTTCATTAGTGGCAGCCAAGCAATATGCCAGAGCTCGAACACCGACCTCACGAGACTGGACACGATTGAGACAACCGACACTCGCGCGATACTTGCACAGTTCTAGGACCAGCTTGCAGCAACAACAAAAGCCTACGAGACAAGAAGAGGACTCTGTGTCGAGTTCTACCATCAAGCAATCTACCGAACAAAACCAAGCAGTGGACAAGAGACTCCAAGCGGAACAGATAGCGCGGCACGCAAAAGAAGACTTTGAGCTGGACGACATAGAGACAGTTGCCACCGAAGATGCAGAACCCCTCCCTGCATCAGCAGCTCTAAATGCCTCCCCCGAAGATGTTGCTCGAGCAGCTCGTCAGCGATTTGGAGATGCGCTGCCGGAAAGTCTTCTGAGTGACGAGCAATACACAGCATACGAGCGTCTATATGGACCACCAGTTGGCAACACTAGAGATGAGATGGTCGATTTCGAGGAGAATGAGCTGGAAGGAGAATTGGATGAAATAGACAATGTTGGCACGGGTATCTTGAAAGAGAATGAAGATGGTGTCCTTGAGGAGGTCGAATACATTGAAGAGGAGGAAGACTTCGATGATGAGGAGGGAAAAGAATTGGCCGAGGAAGATGCTGATGATGCGGAACTGGATATGGATACCGCTACAGCAGGTCTCGATGCTCAGACGATCAACGACTTGGCCGCTCTGCGGTTGAACCCAGAGCAAGAGCTGTTTGAGGACTCGGAGGAACAACCTGCCGCGCCATACGATCATACACGAGCACATCCCTTGACCGTGGTCAACCGATTTGGCACGCCTTCGTCTACCGTACAGCTATCGGCTTCTTCATTCGTCGATCCTGTTACTCGCCTGGTGTCGGGTGTTCCAAACAAACACATCTCTGAAGTTGCCCATCGTATTTTCGGTGGTGTCGGTCTACCCTACTCGACATCGACTCCACAGCGCGCGGTGACCATGCAGCAGAAACCTATTCCCCTGAACCCTGGTCAAAGTAGAATGAGCGACATGGATGCCGACATTTTCACAACCACCCTTATGCCCGGTATCTACGCGAGCGTCTTCAGCGTTTTGGTGGAAACACGCAAACGTTTGGGCAGCTCATGGTTGGAGGGCCTCCTGACCAAGGAGGGTGGACCCCGAATCTTGGACGCTGGTGGTGCAGGTGTGGGTGTCATGGCTGCAAGAGATGTTCTTCAAGCAGAGTGGGAGCGCATGCATGACACAAGTGAAGACGAGGATCCATTCTTGGCCATCGCAGAGGCTGGCGGCAAGACTGGTGGCGAGTCCATTCCTGCACCCGTGGGCAAGGCCACTGTTTTGACTAGCAATGAGGCATTGCGCTTCCGGTCTAGCAAGCTTTTGGACAACACCACTTTCCTTCCTCGTCTGCCTGATTACATGCATGCTAGTGATGAGTCTGCCCGGGAGCGCGGCAAGTACGACATCATTATCGCACCACACACTCTGTGGCCGCTGAAGGAAGACCATATTCGCAAACAGCACGTCAAGAACTTGTGGAGCTTACTCAGCACGGATGGAGGCGTTCTGGTCCTGCTGGAGAAAGGTGTTCCTCGCGGCTTCGAGATGGTCGCCGCAGCACGCGAGCTACTTCTCAATTCTCGCATCTCTTCTCCTGGCAACGAGGCCGTCTCTGAAGACGTCGAAGATCCAGGAGAAGGCACAGTATGGGGAAAGCAGCCAAAGGACAAGGGCATGATTGTGGCTCCCTGTACCAATCACCTCGGCTGTCCGATGTACGTCAACCGTGGTATCAGCAAGGGCCGCAAGGACTTCTGCCACTTCAAGCAGCGCTACATTCGACCTCCGTTCTTGCAGAAGATCCTCGGAGCAAAGCACAGAAACCACGAGGACGTAGAGTTTTCGTATATCAGCGTCATGAGAGGCCGTGACCTTCGTGACAAGGATGAGGAAAACATCATCCAGGGTGAGGTTGCGACAGATCGGGCGTTCATCGGGTTTGAGAATCCTCAAGCTGCGACTGAGCAGATTGAAGATGAGTTTGATCCTACGGCGCCTGCAGTGCCCGACTTCGAGGGAGTGCCCGTGAGTGAGGGTTCCCACTCATTGAGTCTGCCGCGTGTGGTGCTGCCTCCCNTGAAGCGTCAAGGTCATGTTATCATTGACATGTGCACACCAGCCGGCACACTCGAGCGTTGGACAGTACCTCGCAGCTTCTCCAAGCAAGCCTACCGTGATGCACGCAAGAGCTCTTGGGGCGACATCTGGGCTCTAGGAGCCAAGACCAGAACTCCTCGCAACGTGCGCGTTGGTAGAGGCAAGGAGGAACTCGGAGGAGTAGAAAAGAAGAAGAAGAGCAAGGCCAAGAACACAATCGAGGTGGGCTATGACTCGGCAGGTAATATCAAGGAGGAGGACATCAAGGTCAAGACGGGTGGACGCATGAGACAGGGTAAGATCAAGGGCATCAGAGACAAGCGTGACAAGAAGGCAGACGGACGAGGAAGAAGAAAGAATCTGGACAAGGAGTAATCGGCGAGGCAAGTGTAGGATATACGAGTTTGAACATCTCAGCTCTTTGTTAACGACCAATAATGAATACTGTACCATATCCTAATCGAGCTACAAGCATGAAGTTGACGGTTTCGAAGCGTTGCGCATTGGACTCGAGAGAGCTTGGGACCCGGAGAATAAATGTGGTATTTTTACAAGGCTTCGTGCGGATCTATGGAGCCACTTTCAATCCTTTCTCGCATTCTGCTCTTTCTCAAGACCAGGATATTTAGTGGGCGGGCTTGAGGTTCTTGTTGGGGTTGCGGGGGTCGTTTCTGTACTCGTCGGCTGTAGATGGTGTAGCTTGTCAGCTGTCTTGCTCTTTCTGTCGCGCAAGTGAGGATGTTTGGTGTGCCATTGTCGAAGAGGGCGAACAATGCAGGGCCGGGGGAGATGGGTAGAACTGACTGTTGGCGAGAGTAGTGGCGAGCGAGTTGATGCCGTAGAAGATGATGGCGCCTGTAAGCAGACAGAAATATCAATATCCAGGTGTTTCTCGAGAAGGCGCATGCGTCTATGATGGGAACGGACCGGCAATGTAGAAAGGTGCCATGGGGCGGGCTNNATAGCAAAAGAGTCAGCAATCGGGCTTGTTTCGAGGGCTGCAGTAAGGGCTCAAGAGCGCATTGGACATACCGACAGGGGTGGGGAACTTCTTTCCGAGGAGACCGGCCATTTTGAGAGATGTGATGTGGTTGACGGAGGTGGACAAAGAGGTGGAATTGACTGGTAGACGTTGCTGTCGACTGCGCGCGCGGGCTCTTTCGCAATCCTCAATGCTCGACCGACCGCCGTCCCCGACTTGGACTTCTTGGCATCACGGGACAGAGTCTCCCGCATTTCACATGCGACTGCTTCGATCATCAACAATAAACATTGAAGACCTCCCAAACTTTCGCATTGCGTTCGACACCATGAGTACAGCCAACACTCTGGAGAGCTGCGTTTCGTCGCTGCGCTCGAGCATGCAGCTGCTCGACTCATCCATCAGTATCCTCGATGCTGGCACTAGCGACTTTCCACGTTTGGCTAGGGTCCTGCAGGCCACTAGGGTAGGAACATCCTTGTCCTTCACACGTCTGACACTAACACTACCTAGCNACTTCGAACTTGTCTCCGAACCCGAACTCCAAAACGCCCAATCTGCCCTACTCTCCGAAATCCAACCAGAAGTCGAGTCTATGCTTGATCGTGTTGCCGTCTACCTCGACAAGCTTCAGCGTCGCGAAGAGTCTCTGATTGCAAGGTGCGAACTGCAAGAAGGCCGTCTGTCTTCGCGTCATCCTCAGCAACAATACCACCCTACAACATCTGCTCCTTCGTCATCACACGCTGCCGCCAACCCGCTTGAAGAGCTCAAGATGCAGCAGCTCAGACAGAAGAAAGACCGCTTGAGCTATGCTGTTGGCCGACTCGAACTGCAGGCAAACCAAAGGGAGAGACAACTGAGAAAGAGCATGGCTGGCCTTTGATTCTTTCCCTGCATTCTTCACGACCTGCCGCCAAGGTTGTATCCTTCCAATCCTTTTGACGCTACTTGGCCTTCTCCGGACCATCCTCGATCTGCAGCGTCACTTTCTGGATGCCGAATCCATGCAGACATCTCCCGAGACGCGCAAGTCGCCCGTTATGCGTCTCTCTCGCTTCTTCAGATTGGGCCACCTCCGCTATATCCAAGCTGCTTCTCGACAGCACTTCTTGGCTGGCCATGGGCGACATGACGATATGCGCCGATCCTATCGATTTCTCTTGGCTCAGTTGCCAGACATAAAGGTCATGCACCGAGACGACTCCTGGTATTTTTCTCAGCTCCCGTATGATGGCTTCGTTTTGGGCGCTGGGTGGTGTACTTCCCAGCAGAATGTGTCCGCTANNCTCAAAGCTGCACTCGTTAGTCACCAGCTTCTCATATGGATGTGGCTACTTACTGAGAGGAAGAGCGCTGCTTGCAATCATAATTGCTATGCCCATGCTGACAGCGGGATCGGCGTAGAATCTGTTCGGTGAATGTACCAACATCATGACAAGGGCAGCAGCAATGACTCCGAGGTTGTTCAGAACATCTCCAAAGATATGAATGACGACAGCATTAACTCCCAAGTCGCCATGTGTGTGTAGCTCTGATGGGTTCTCNCTGCTTCGGTCAGTCCGCTATCATACGCTCGCGGTTTGAAAATGGCTCACAAGATCCGATACCTCGAGGACTGGAGTGCCCGCCTTGGACTTTCTGCTGCTACCATGATGACGGTGGCCGTGATCTNNGGTTCGGTTAGCATTCGGCTGTGTGTCAACACAAAGCATGTTCATACCATGAACCACCAAGATGCATACGACATTGAGCAGGAGCCCTATACAGCCCATAATGAGGACGTTGCGTGCCTGATCGACGACTGGTGCAGGTCAGCATCTAGCAACACAATATGAATGGAGGCATGCACCTTCAACGTTGATGAACCTCTCGATGGCTTGAAGAAAAATGCTCAGACCAAGAGCGATGAGAAAGGATCCGTTGAAGAAGGCACCAAGGATTTTGGCTCTTTCCCAACCGAAAGCCAGGCTTGCAGGTGCATCTTTACGGTCGGATAGCTAAGGAGCTCATCAGTAGGGGTCCGTGGTATCAGTATCAGATCAAGTCTGGTCACCTTTNGCAGCGACCAGGGCAACGCAGAATGCGATTAGGTCATTTAACNNTATCGGCCAGTCAGCAATGTCATAGGCCACAAGCTCAATGTGATGTACATAATGGAAAGCATCAGCGATCAAAGCAAGCGATTTGGTGCGGAACCCAACTACGAACGCAGTCAGAAGGTAGACATCTCGAAGCTCCGAGGCCATGTCTGTCTCACCAACAAGCTCTGCAATGAAGAAGGCAGATGACAGGACAATGGCCACAATCAATCTCGTCGAAGTGGAGGATTTGGTACGAGCCATACTGTAGGTTGCATGAGTAGGGGTACGAAAGGAGGATAACTAAGAAGAAAGAAGATGCAAAGAGTCTTCATGAGGTCTGGCGTGGTCCTGGTATATGGCAGAAGAAGAAAGAGCACTTTGTAGCACAAGCATGTTAAATCATGGCGGTTGCCATGTAGAAGTCGGACAGCACCATCAGGGTTGAGGGACAAGAGGCGGCTAGCAACATTGATTTTTGTTTTGTACAAGCGGTGCTACGTGCTCCCACGTCAAAAGCAGGAAGTATAGACTACTATCGTGCATGTCACCAAGGCGGTGTTCTCAAGGTGATCAAGAGGGAAACAGTGAATCATGGGCGGTGTCGACGTCAAGCAACATGACTCATGCCAGCAGTGATTCATCCCACATCTCGACCCAAGCACAAAAGACCCCGCTCTGCTTGTCGCAAGGATTATTGTCAGACAAACACACACAACATGGCCGACGAAAACGCATTGGAAAGCAAGCCCGCACAGTCGATTCCCGAGAGACCCAAGGACGCTCCTNGCCGACGAGGCTGGCGCCGCTCCTGCCGATGGCGAGAAGGGCCCTTCGAAGAGCGCCTTGAAGAAGGCCGCCAAGGAGAAGGAGAAGGTGCGATTGGCCTTTGACGATGTGACAATATCACGTATCTGACCGTTGGACAGGCCGAGAAGGCAGCCAAGCGCAAGGCCGCCGAGGAGGCACAGAAGAAGCAGCAAGATGCCAACGATGTTTCGGCCGAGGACTACGGCGAGCTGCCCATGATCGGCTCCCAGGAATACAAGCCCTCCGGTGTCTCGCGTGTCACCCTCGCCCAGATCGCCGACAAGTACAGCGAGACCACTCCCATCGACGAGGCCGGTGGTGCTGAGGTCTGCTTCCGCGCCGTCGTCGAGAATGCCCGCAACCAGTCTGCCAAGCTCTCTTTCCTGGTCTTCCGTGAGACTCTCAACACCATCCAGGCCGTTGTCGCCGCCAGCGACTCCCTCAGCAGACAGATGGTCAAGTTTGCCGGCAGCGTGCCCTCCGAGTCCATCGTCCTGGTCCACGGTCTGGTCAAGAAGACCCCCGAGCCCGTCAAGAGTGCCAGCATCAGCCATCTCGAGATTCACGTCAAGAAGCTTTACGTTGTTGCAAAGGCCGACAGCCAGTTGCCCATGCAAGTCTCGGATGCCGAGAGACCTCTTCCCCTCGAGGGTGAGGNNGAGGCCAAGGAGGACGAGAGCGGCCGCCCTATCGTTACCTTGAACACGCGTCTCAACAACCGTGTCATTGATCTCCGTGGCAAGCACAACCGCGCCATCTTTGCCATCAAGGACGGTGTCACTGCTCTCTTCCAGGAGTTTTTGCGCAACCAGGGCTTCATCGGCATCCAGACCCCCAAGCTGCTTGGTGCTCCCTCTGAGGGTGGTGCCAACGTCTTCGAGGTTGGCTACTTCGCTACCAAGGCTTTCCTCGCTCAGTCACCCCAGCTGTACAAGCAGATGCTGATTGCTGCCCGTTTCGAGCGTGTCATGGAGGTCGGGCCCGTCTTCCGTGCCGAGAACTCCAACACCGCTCGTCACTTGACCGAGTTCACTGGTCTAGATCTGGAAATGGCCTTTGAGGAGAACTACCACGAGGTCGTCGAGGTCCTCGAGAACCTCATGCTGTACATTTTCAACGGCCTCAGGACAAAGTACAAACGCGAGACCGACCTGGTGCGCAGCATCTACCACGTCGAGGAATTCAAGCTCCCCGAGGCCGGCAAGGTGCCCCGCATCCCCTTCAGCGAGGGTATCCAGATGCTGCGCGACGACGGCCTCGAGATTGGCGACTTTGACGACCTCAGCACACCCGACGAGAAGCGTCTCGGTGCCCTCGTGCTCAAGAAGTACGGCTCCGACTTTTACGTCCTCGACCAGTTCCCTCTCAACATCCGTCCCTTCTACACCATGCCCTCGCACACTGCCCCTGCCCATCAGACCGGCGCAAGCGACCCCAACGCCGGATACAGTAACTCGTACGACTTCTTCATGCGCGGCCAGGAGATTCTGTCTGGTGCCCAGCGTATTCACGATGCAGAGTTCTTGTGCAAGCGTATGAAGGAGCACCTCAGCCCTGTCGACCCCAACTCGGATGGTCTTCGCGACTACGTCAACGCTTTCCGCTATGGATGCCCGCCTCACGCTGGTGGTGGTATTGGTTTGGAGCGTATTGTCATGTTGTGGCTGGGTCTTCCCAACGTCCGTCTGGCGTCGCTGTTCCCCAGAGACCCCAACCGTGTCATGCCTTAGATGGCTTTAAAAGTGTTATGGTTCATGTAGACATGCCAAATATTTACATTTCGTTTTTCTCGTTATTCTCGTTTGTTACATGCTGGATCCTACTCAAGAAGTCGTGGCGTTTTTTCTCCAGTGACTTGCTCGGCTGCTGCCTCGTCTGTTGCAGCCTTAGGGGAAATCGTCTTCAACTCCTCGACCGCATTGGCGGCGGCATCTCTCATCTCCTTCTTCGTGTCATCGGTGTCCTTGCCCTGCTTGATCAGGTCTTTCCATTCCTCCAACTTCGCACCAGCTTCTGCATCACCTTCCTTGACCATCTTGATCATCCTACTCGTATCCTTACCCGAACTCATGTACAATCCCTCCCTCCTTCTCGCCAATGAGATCCAAATGACATTCTGCAANAGATCAGACGCACGCTTCATCTTCCTCATCCCCACCACTTTCTGCGTCAAAATCTCTTGTTTGCGAATTTTCAATGCAGCCGCAGAAGGTTGCTCGATTTTNTGCTTTCGGGCCAGTTTTGCGGTTGCTGTTAGCATGTCTTCTAGCGTTCTTGCTGCATTTACCGCGTCTGAGAATTTGTCTAGGTCTCGGGAGACGGCCTTTGTGGTGGTGAGGTTTTGGTCTTTGACGGTGCGGAGGGTTTCTGGTGCTAGGTCTTTGCGAGCCCAGTCGTAGATGAAGTCTTGGACGCGGGGTTGGAGTGTGGTGTCTGTGATTGTATCGGCGCCTTGGGCGTATAGTTTCAGGGGTGTGAGGAGGTCTGTTTGGATGGTTGTTGTAAAGGTTGATGTCGTGGATTCCCGGAGGGAGACGATTTTGGCTTCAAAGGTTGATTGAACTTTGTTTTCTGGGTCGCCGGATTCGAGGATTGCTTGATCGAGAGATGCTTCCGGGTTATCGGAGATGGATAACTTGGTGGGATTGAAGGTGACTTCTTCGCCTGGGCGTCTGGAGGACCATTGTTCGGTGGCTGCATCGGCAGCTTTGGCTGCGATGGAAGACAATCTGGCAGCAAAAGTGTCCTGTGTTACAAGAAATGTAGACTTTCCTGTGCTCAATTCAACAACACTGGAGCCGACATGTTTCTGTACGAATGCTTCTCGAATTGCCCGTGCAAGATCGACATCTGAAGCTTTTCGCAGAATTTGTGGTCTAGAGCTGGCGGTCACCTCGCAATATCCACTTCCATCCAGTTCTTCTATCGCTTTCTGGATGTATGCGTTTTGGGCTTGCTTGACTTCGCCTTGACGCTGTTCGAGTAAGGATCTTGGTGTGTAGCGTAGGAATCCATTCACTAGATCAACCAGTCCTTGAGCACCTTTCTCGTCATGGGGTATCAGATTGTTGGCTGTCGACTCCAGCCAGGCAATAGGAACTTGAGGGAAAGTATCGCTAAGCACGACTGATCCTTGCTTGCCGTCAATGACTATCTTTCCAATGCTCATTTCGAGCCTTTCGAGCAGTCTGGAATCATAAGTCTTTCCGTTCTCGAGGTCCTGGAGAGATAGATCGGCATCTTGTGCGGCAAGGATGCGTCGAAGTGTGGCAGTAGTGACATCCTTCTCTGTAGAAATCTTGTCCAGATCAAGACCACGGTTGGCCAAATAGTTCTTGAGGCTCTGATATATGGCCTTCTGAGTAGTCTCTGGTAAGAGTCGTCGGCGGTCTATACTGTAGTAGATGCGTTCGTCTTCTTGAGTCAAGAGCCATTGGACATCGTGAACACCCAATTCGTTGTGCAGACCGTTCAGAAAGATAGGACCAGTGGCACTCTGAAGAAGAGAATGAAATCGCTTGGCGACTGCATCCGAACGAACAAGGCTACGGCCAGAGAGACTGCGAACAAGACATTCTTTTCCAGGTCGTGGTTCAGGAGGAGGAAATGATAGAACCAGTTTCCGGATATCGTCTTCAGTGAAGACAGGAGATCTATCCACTTCCTTGGTCCCGAATATAGAAGGCATCATCTTTGTGGTTTTGCGTAGAGAAGAAAAACGAAGTAGTGATGATGTAGAGCATCGAAGTTTCCTAATCGGGAATCTGTAGGTCGGAGTTTGCCGCTTGGACTTGTTCCATCAACGCCGCCGTCACCACCGTGCATAGCAGCGACGAGCAAATAAAGGCACTTTTACGGGTTATCCACGACTTGCACACATACCGCAATCATGTCCATGTTCCGTTCAAAGAAGCTCGACCTTGGTGGCTTCGTCAACATCAAGGTCATCCGCGACCACACCAAGCGCAAAGTCTTTGAGCAGAACGAGACCGAGAGGTTGGTGGAGAGCATATCTATATTCGCCTCTGCTACACAGTAGACTAATTGAACGTGATTATNNAGACAAGCACTTCGCTACATCATTCGCAACACACTCCTTCCGCAACGCGCTCGCGCCCAGGCTCAACTGCAATTGTCGCAAATGCACTGCTACACCCGCCCCACCCAGATCAAGAACAGATGTATTGCTGGAGGCAAGGGAAGAGGTGTTTTCCGTGACTTCCGCATGGCAAGAGTACGTTGATCCCGGATGATAAGAGAGAGCACGAGAGCACAACACTGACGTATCTTCTGCAGTNACCAATTCCGTATGCACGCTCTGGCTGGACAATTGCCTGGTGTGAAAAAGGCCAGCTGGTAGATCACGCGGCATGTCCATGTCACTATACTGTACAATATTCGAAACAAAGGGCATTGGGAAAGGCGTTGGTTGGGAATCAAGGACTTGGGTGGCTTCGAAATTCAGAACATGTTATCTGCCTTCCTGCTTCATTGCAGACAGACTGCTCTTCTTTCCTCCTATCGGTTGTTTATTCTTTGCAACATGGCCAGTCTGGCGGGATGTATGCCCTCTTGAGCTCCTGCATCGACTTCGGGCTCAGGTGCCTCTTCTCCCTTGTCTGCTCCCTGAGCACCTCCCTTCTTGGCCTCCTTCGCTGCCTTGCGCTTCTCCTGCTTGGCCTCGGCCTCTGCTCTCCTCTGTCTCTGCTCGTTCAGTCTGACGTTCTTCTCCTTGAGCTTCTCCTTTCTGCCCTCGGACTTGCTGCCACCGCCTCCAGCCGTGAGCTCGACATTGATCCTACGCTTGCCTCTCTCGCCGCCAACGCCGCTGTCAAACATGCTGTGGTGGTACAGCTTCAGACACGTCTTCATGCGATCATAATTGGCAAACTCGAGGAACGCAAAGCCTTTGCTCTTGTTTGTGCCCTTTTCGGTCGAGTGACGTACGGATTGCGGTTGGATGGATGCAAAGTGCTCGGTGATTTGCTCGGTCGTGGCTGTAAAGGGCAGGTTGCCGATGAAGACGATGAAGCGCTGATTCTTTGCTGCGGCTGCCTCGTCGCCCTCTGCTGCTGTTGCTGCGTCTCCTGCCTTTTTGGCCAGCGGCTCCTTGTTGGCTGAGGGCTCCTTCTTGCGCTTCTTTTGCTGTTTGGCTTCTACGGGGGCTGCGTCTTCTGTCGGTGCTTGCTCCTTGTCTTCTTGCGATCGCTTGCGCTTCTTGATTGAAATCTTGTCTGAGGCGGCATTCTGATCGTCTGCTTCTGCGGCGGGTTCGTCGTTGTTTGGCGCATCGTCGGTGGTTGTCTCGTCGACCTTTCTCTTCTTGTTCTTCTTGTATCTCTCCTCGGAACGCTTGGCCTTCTTTGCCTTGCCTGTCAGGGCTTGCGCGTCTGTTTCTTGTGACATTTTGAATTGTGTGGTAAAGTGATGTTTGTGGTTTTTGTGACTATCAAAAAGTCTCTGTCTTGACTCGGGTTCGTCTCCGCACGTTTTATAAGTCCGTGCTTTCTCCGACGCTGCTCTTTCACATGCTTGACTGCGTCTGGACATGAGAGCGAACTTGCAACTTGTAAATTAAAAAGTTCATGCAGACCATATGTACAGAACGCTCAGAAACCAGTAAAGAAAAAAAGAGGGCCATCAATGCAACCATGTCAAAAGACACACGCGACAACATTCTTTTGCCCGGCCGCCTGTCTGCCGTGACTCCGCTATTGTCCTCCTCTTGAGTCCGGTCTGCACTATAGAAGTAACTATTCCATCCAGAGGTGGCTTCCTGAGCATGAGGCCTGAGCGCAAACCATGACTGTGTGTCTGTGTCCTGTGCTAGTCTGTGTGTATTGCTTGCGTCAAGTGGGTATCTGCGCCGAACACTGCCGTTGCTCCCCCAAACTGAAAAGGATCCAACGCCAGCGACTCCCAGAAACTAGACTTGGCAACGAGATTAAAGAGATCTATCATGCCGTGAAAATGCGAGTGTTGTGTAAAGTAAGGGAAAGTCGGTATAGGTATTGCCTGCCAGCTCAGAGGATGATGCATTTTTGCTTCTTGGGCTTCGAGGTAGGGCGAGGGCTCAACACGGCTCTGNNTCATGCAATATTAGTGACCTGCATCATCCACGTCTCGACTCTTTGTACGCACCTGATGGCCTCATCAAAGACACTCTTGAGGTTGCGCTGTGTAAGGGCAGAGCACTCCATGTACTTGACTGCCTTGATCTCCTTGGCAACGCTGATGGCCTGCTCGTACTGGATGGGAGCCATCTTCTTCTGTCTCAGACTCTCCTTGGTGCCCTCGTCGTCGCGAAGATCGAGCTTGGTTCCGACCAGGATGATAGGAACACCAGGTGCGTGGTGCTCAATCTCGGGGTGCCACNNTGTTCGCCTTGTCAGACACCGTTCTGCTCCAAGCCTTGTGTTTGCTTTTGCATTCCGTACCTTTGCCTTTACGTTGTCGAAGGAAGGAGGGCTGACGATAGAGAAGCAAATGAGGAAGACGTCTGTCTGGGGGTACGAGAGAGGACGAAGACGGTCGTAATCCTCCTGACCAGCAGTATCCCAGAGACCGAGACTGATGGGCTTGCCATCAACCATGACACTCGCAGAGTAGTTGTCAAAGNNCTGTCGAGCATCAGCATATTATCCGACAAGGCGTGCGCATGGCCGACGATCTTGTGTAACGTACACAGTAGGGATGTACTCGCCAGGGAAGGCATTAGTCGTGTACGAGATCAAGAGACAAGTCNNTAATGCATTGTTTAGTTGCTTGTCGCACAAAGGCAAAAGGGAAGCACGAACCTTGCCGACTGCACCGTCTCCTGTAACGACACACTACAATGGTATTTAGCGGCTTACATCTTCCAGAGGCTTGGTCGTAAGGCGTACTTTGAGTGACTGTGTTTGAGGGTTGGAGGCCATTGTGTAGACGATCTCTTGGTTGTGATGTTCTGAGAGGAGGACAGGTGATACAGAGGGTGATGATGTCGTGCGAGAGAGGGGGCAGACAGGGCTTCGAAGCTTTCCAGATGCTTTCGTTCTTGGAGCGTCACTTGGAGAGTCAAGTGAAGGTAGATCGGTCCTTTGAGGCAGTAGACGACACGACAGAAGGCTGCTGCACTGAAGGTTAGCGAGATGCGGCTCTGGGCTCCGAGAAGGCGGTAAACATGCCTTCTTTCACCGTCTCCACGTCGGGGCTAGTGTCTTACGGGTTGGAGCACAAGGCAAGACGTCAAGAAATTTGCCAGGTGAAGCAGCAATGGCAGAAAAAACCGTCGGGCTCCTGATATGGCGGTATGGATAATGGATCTGAAGTTCACTTGGGGGCTCGACTCTGCGATTGGTTGAGTTGAGCTCCTAATCCTATTATGCCGCCGGGACGAACCGAATCGCTACTGCTCTTCCTGCTTTTGCTTCTGCGGGGCGCTACGAGGAAGAAAGTCCTTCTCGACGTGATTCAAGCCTCGAAAGGACTGCGGCCGTGTTGATTTTTTCCTGCCTAGCCAGCCGTGCCCACTTACTGTCCGCTGTGCCTTTGCAGAACCTTCCAACGTTATGCGCGCGAGTCACGCCGCCGAGGTTACTTGAGCCGACCAATTATCAATAACTTGCGACCAAACGCGCCGTCTGCCCCTGGGGCCTATGAATGACGTCTAGTATGCCAATAATACTTTTCTCGACCGACTTCTCGAGATTCAACCTGTGTCTGCTCCGTGGTTGGACCTCGAGACTGCAACCATCAACTCTGAGGCGGCCACGTTCTGGGTCAATTCCCGTTTCATCATGTGGAGAAGGGGCAGATAGACTTTGGATGTTCTCCGTAATCTCGTTTTGCTCAAGAAGCCCGTCTGAGGTCACTTTTTGTGATTCCCATGTCTGAGCTCCAGAATCCGTCTTGCAAAACGGACATGAGGTTGGTCAAATCTTTATCGAGTTTTCACATGGTCTGAAGACGTCAAAATCATAGAATGGCTGTCAGAAGCTTGTCTGGTGGAGTGGGGCGCCACGGGGCAAAGCCAATCCGTCTCGGGTCTCTTTCATACGAGCCAGCTTAGGAGCTATGCTTTTTAGATAGGCGGGGTCCGCAAATTCACTTGTCCTCCTTCCTCAGCTGTCCTCCTCCCAGCATATACGTATGTGCACTCGGCGTCCTGTGTTGTCAAGTTCGTGTCACTGACGTGGCCAGTATTCCTCCAGTATTCCTCCAGTATGCCTGTCCAACGCATCGGTCAATCTATCCGTTTGCGCAGAGAGTATGTCGATGAATACATCAAGATCCATTCCGAGGTCTGGCCTGGCGTTTTGAAGAGGATTGCAGGCAGCAACATCCATGACTACAGCATCTTCTACGACAAACAGTCCAGCATCCTGTTCGCAACCTTCAAGTATACCGGAAGTGACTTCGATGCCGATATGAAGGCTATGGCAGAAGATGAAGAGACGCAGAGATGGTGGAAGGTGACGGATAAGATGCAAGAGAGCCTGAATGAGGGTGCTACTAGCAGCGTCGACGGTGGTTGGTGGCGTGCACTAGATGAGGTGTTCCATGTCGAGTAGAGTAGTACTGGTCTGAAGCGATGTCCATCAATCAAAAGCGTCGTCCTTAAGTTTCCTTGCCTCCCTTGCTCTTTTCTCTTCTTCTTTTTCTTTGGTTCCTCCTCGGTCGATATGGGGCCTTGCAGCAAGGCTTGGAAGGCTGCTTTGTGTCCACGAGGAGCCTTGTCGGATTTTTGTTTCTTGGGAGCGACCGTCTTGGCCTTCTTCTTGGAGTCGGACTCGCTGTTTTCAACGTCTTTGGCACTACTCTCGGCCTCGTCGTCATTCATCTTGCGGCTCATGGCCTCAAAGCGCGAATGACTGCCGACTCTCTCGGTCATATCTTCGAACTTTCTCTTGGCACCGTTCTTTTCCTTCTCTTGTTGCTCTGCGCGTTTCCTGTCGTACTCATCGTTTCCAGCTAGACCGTGCTTGATGAATCGACCGGCAGCGGCCTTGTCGAGGGTGGCATTGCGCTTGACGTGCGAAGTCTCTGCGAGCTTGATCTTTTCGAAGTATTGCTTGACGCGAGTGAGTTCTGCAAACACGGGGTGCGTCTTCGCGTCGAGGCCATTGAGGCGTAGATATGAGAACAGCAGAGACTCGATGGCGTATGTGACGAGAGTGTAAAGTTTTGCCTTGTCGAGCAGAGGGAGTTTGCTTGTGCTGGCAGACAGGGCCGTGTTGATCAGTGGCGCAAGAGATTCCTCGACTTGGTCGATGTTGCTCGCGAGGCTCTCGATCAGCGGGCGTAGATCCGTATCCATGGTGTGTGGTTATGATGTTGATTTGCGATGATGGAATTTTCTGGAGACGAATGCGACTTCTAGAAGCAGGCGGAGAAGGAGCGGCGGCGGCTCTCGCAAAGCCGAGGCTGACGAGCCAATCACAACCTTCGGCACGAGCATTAGTTTTGTCACATTTACCACCTTGACTTCCATCCCTTCCACTCGAACACCTACTACGACTCTCACTCCAAACAACACCACCTCTCATACCAGCTACCAACATGCCTCGCAACAACCGTGGATCCGCTGCCCCTCCCAGGCGCCCTACCGCCGCACCTGCCCGTCCTGCGCCACCCACTCCCCAGCAGGCTCGCTCAGCTTCTACTGCTGCCCACCCTCCTCAGCACCACGCTCCTCCCCCACCTGCTGCTGCTCCCGCTGCTCCTCAGCAGAGCGCTGGTCCCGGACTCTTCGGCCAGATGGCTAGCACTGCTGCGTAAGTTCTCGTCTGCCTACTCGGGTTGCCTGAGAAGCTTTGAACCAAGCTAACAATTCATTCACAGTGGTGTCGCCGTCGGCTCTTCCATCGGTCACGCAATCGGCGGCTTCTTCGGTGGCGGTTCCTCTTCGGCTCCTGTCGAGCAGCAGCCCCAGGCCGTCGCCAACCCCGCCGACAACAGCACCTACACCTCATCCAGCTACCAGGCTCCCAGAGCTTGTGAGACTGATGTCACAAACTTCCGTCGCTGCATGGACGAGAACCAGGGCAGTCTGACCATCTGCGGCTGGTACCTCGACCAGCTCAAGGCCTGCCAGTCTGCTGCCTCGCAGTACTAAACTCTCATTTCCTATCCTGTTCTGTACAATACCACATGAATCACGTTAGCTTGTCATTGCATCTCTCTCATCTCTTGTTTTCGTAGCAAGATTGTATCATTATTTGTTAGACATCTACATTCCTTTCCAGAAGATACATGCAGAGTCAGTCACCTTTCATCCGCATCGTCTACGCCAGCATATATCTCCTGAGGCCACGCTCAGCCAAAACACCAATTGCTCCGATTCCGACTAAAGCAAGCGACCAAGGATTGGTTACCTCACTCAGGGCAGGCCAGAAGCTGTTCTTGTTCGCGCGCCACTCCTCCAGTTGGATGTATTTCTTGGGTGCGTCTGCCTTGTAACGTTGCTCTTGGGACTCCTCATTCTGCTTGTCACCACCGATGAAGCGCAGGAAGGCGTAGTTCGCCAGGGGTCCTACGAGACTGAGTGGGTGGAACATGCCGTTGGCAGCAAGGAGTAATGGGAATGAGAAGTGGACCAGAGCATCGCCAAGGTAGTTGGGGTGACGTACGATCGAGAAGACGCCGGTGCGGTTGAGATTACCACTCTTCTTCTTGTGCTCTTTGAGCTGCTGGTCAGCCAGGGCTTCCATGTTGAGGCCAGTAGTGTAGAGTCCAATTGCGAGTCCATGCAGTAGGGCACCGTATTGAGGAGGCGTGGCTTCAATACTTCCGAGCGTGCCCTGCTGCAGCACTACGGACCATGATAGCGAGACGAGGGCTTGGAACACAGCCTCGGGCAAGAAGACCGTAAAGAAGGCTTTGTTCCAGAAACTAGTGTCCTGGTTCATGTCGTCGTATCTAGGATCATCCTTTTCGCGCTTGACGCTACGAGTAGCAATTCGGGTAAACAATCGAACACCCCAGAGCGTAACCCCACCGAGAAGAAGCTTCTGCGTCCAGCCAAGGGTAGATAGTGATTCACCGAGACTGAGACCGGTTTCTGAGCTACGTGCCCAGACTCCATGATACCAGGCATTAAGCACCATTCCCGAAGGCCATAACCAGTCCTTGAGTTCGACGCGGCGAGTCACACGGCTGGCAGTGTAGGCCACGAGTGCGAGAGACGAGTGTAGGTTCAAAGAGGGTAACAGGTTGTCGTGCAGAAGCCCTAGCATGTTGGTCGTTGATGAGGCCAATGCTTGAGGCTTTATGTTAGGCATCTGTACATATGAACCTTCAGCGCCAGCCAGGTTCGCTGGGACTTTCGAACCGTATGCCATTGCTGTCGAGCGTGACCTGGTAGAGAGTGGGTGAAACCTGGCAACTCGTGGTTATAAAGCACATCGAATGTGGAGTAAGTGTGACGTTATGGGCTATCAAGGCGTGATCGAGTTGCTTCGTCTTGTTTGCTTCACTCTTATTATTGCCATATATGATATGGCTCCGGGACACCCTAGAGGGATTTCACCACATCTGTAAACCGTAGAAACTTGTTCCGACATGATTCTGGTTGAGAGTGTGTGAGAGGGAGTCGGATTGCAGCAGAAAACTTGTTTCCTGATCTGATCCTTTCCCTTTGTGTTGAACTCGATATGTCTCTACGTACACGCCAGTACGCAAGATGAAATGATGTCACGGATATTCTGAACATACATAACCCATACTCAGCTCGAAAACCAAGGCCTACCACTAATGTTGGGTGATATAGAGACATGCCTGGCTAGAGTCAGGGTGGCCCCCGAAGCGTGGATTTTTGGAGCAACCTGGAAGTGTTGAGCATGAATAAAATATGCAATTCAAGAGAATCAACAGCAAATATACTCCTGATATCAAGTCTGGCAACGACGAAGGTTGTAAATGCCTTGCGTTGATTGCTGGCGTGAGTATCAACTAGTAGCAAACATCACAAATATTCGATCTGCTCACGCGGAAAGCTTCCAGTTCAGGACCCGGGACTCTGCTCGCTCCAGCACCGTGGGACACACAGGCTTTTGAACGGTCAAGCAAGGCTAGACACCCGCAAAGCAACCACAAAGCACCAAACACCTGCACGCTGGTGTACGGGCCGCACAGTTGAAATGCAGCGGGTGTGCTGGTTGGTTTTTGGTTCACTGACTTGCAGGCACGCGGCGCCAGGGACAAAGTACAAAAGCAGGGCTTCGCAAGTGCACAACGAAGGTCAAACTTGCGGTGTGTTGAGTGTACCTCCTGTTATGGTCCCTCGCGAAAATAGTGATGAGTACCTATCACGCAACGGTGCGTTAACGAGAAGCTCAAGGTCCATCTCCCCTGAAAACGGCAGCGAAGCTTTGCAGGAGGCATAACACCAAGTTTGCCGGTGGAGCAGGGCCAGAGTCGCGCCGACGACGTGTAGAGGCTGGCAGTTGTTGTCAAATGTCAGCCCGAACCAGTTCACGCATCGACCTTCGTTGAGTAATTTTGCCTGCTGGGAGACCGACCCTGCTTTCTCCCCCTTTCAACGGTCTCGCTCCTTCTTACCTTTTAACGGCTTCGACGTTTTGTCGACAATGCACAAGCGTCACCCCTGTTCACAACATGTGCAAAGGAAACAGAAAGCTTGCGCGAGGAAAACCATCCGATGAATGTACTGAGTTCATGTATATCGATGGAAAAGCTGATCATTGGGTATAGGTAGCACCCCTTGCAACCAGAGCCAACCTCTCGTCACTGCTGCGAAGCCTTGCAGTTGTAGAGTCAGTTCAGAGGTAACCCACAGGTAACCCACAGTAAACAACATGCACGATCGCTATGAAAAATCCACGATCAACCCGCATGCCGTTATGGGCCCTGGCTTCATGGCTTCAACATTCCATCCCCTTTCCTAGTACTCGGGTGGGGAATGCTCTGGTCTTTATAGTAGGTATAACCCATGAGAATCAAAACAAAAGTCTACATTCCCGCGACTGTTTGTTGTTTTGATACCTCATTTCCACCTCACTCTTGGGTATCGTCACGCAGTTCGCTCCTCCCGGCATATCTTATGCAACGAACTCCTACCCCAATAGTTCATCCGAATAATCGATAGGACGGACAACCATGCAGAGCGTTAGAGATTATCCCATGGATATGAGTGCCGCTCATGCGAGACCACAGCCCAGGGAAGAGAGGCTTAGGATACCGGGGCAACCACAACAGCGTCAGATGAGGACAAAGTCTCAGCCAGACCTTAGGTCCATGGCACGTCGACCATTACCTGGTACAGGTTCTCAAGCAGAGAGCCACAACGCATACAGGACTCCCAGAGTGGTACATCCTCCTCTTCCAACCAACACTCAACGTCGCAAGCATGAAGCCATGTTCATCGAAGAGCCTCCATTTGAGCGACCATTCTCTCCCGAATCTGACTCGGAGGAACACATGATCTTGGACTACTATCTCCAAGCATCATACCACACCCCTCTGTCTAGAGTTGTATCGGCCGAGGAGCCCTGCAACCAGGGTGAGGCCATGGCCGCGTTTGACTTCGGCCTTGAGCACACATCTGAGCCATCCTACACACGCCCTCAGCCTTCAGTACAACGACCAAGAACAGCACATGAGTCATCATCAAGGAGACAGTCTTCTTCATCGTCTCAAAGGCAACCTCCTTCATCGCCTCAGAGACAACTTCCTGCATCACCTCAGAGACATTCTCCTTCTTCGCCTCACAGACAGTCTTACACTCTCTTCCCCAAGGAGCAACAGCAACCATCAACCCCACGCATCAGCGTAATCAGCGATAATGGCAGCATCTCCTCTCACCGCAGTCAAATCAGCCAACACCGCCCTCGCACCTCTTCGTTAGCATCCTCAGAACGTTCGCGCTCAGACTCATGCATGTCTGTCCGCCTCCAACCCTCTGCAACCNCTCTCTTCCCCTCCTCATCTCCCAAGCGCCCCCAAACCTCTCCTCGCATGCGCACAACCAGCGCATCCTCCCAACAACAAACCAGTCTCTCTGACCAACCGCCCTCGCGCTGGTCGGGCGAGACGGTAGGCATGGTCTTGGAGTCGCCCAGATCTGGCAGAAACGCCGTGGATAGAACCAGAGATTCTTCGTCGTCGACATTGGTGGCTACCAGCCCTGCATGGCCCACTGGCAGCTTCTTCGAGGATGACGAGGATGAGAAGTTGCCTTTGAGACGCAAGGTGGCGCAGAAGCTGAAGAGTTCGCGTTCGAGCAATGCATTGAGGTCGGCTAGTAACCCTACTAGCAGTGTGGAGCAGCAGCCCAAGAAGTCTTCATGGACTCGTCGGTTGGTTACCTGGCACCGCGCCTAAACAGTGTACATAGAGTTACGATTCTACGATATCTGATGAAAATTACGTTGGCCATTCAAAACACATTCCAGTCTCATGCCATGTGAACCAAAACAAATCTATCATTAATATTGTCATGCCTGAATAAGGGTATTGTTATGTACTGAGAAGCCCCCAAAAACGCCAACTTGTCTTGTATGTGTCTAAAGACCTATGCCGGTATCCCAAAAACACCTTCATAATGCATTCGTTATCGTGTAAACATTAAGAGAGCATGCTCTCTATCGAAGCCCTGATATTCATCCAGGTATTTCCGTCTTTCTTCAACTTGGCTTCGCTGATGCTGCGAACCGTTTCGACAGGCTTTTGACCGAGTATGTCTTCTTCAGGGAACCAAGTACCATGTAACCCGTACGGAACGCGCTGTGGAAGAGCTACCCTACCAATTACTGTACGCATATCTTTGGCGTCAATGATCCAAAGTTCACTCGTTGCTCTGCTTGTAGTATCTGAATCCGAGGGCACTTCACCGTCGGGGCCCAGCTGGGATTCGTCAAAGGCATATGCGATAAGGTAGCCGTCATCCTCCGTCAAGGTCTGTCCCGGATCGGCCTTGCGCGGGATGAATCTGGGTTCTTGCGCGAACCAACCAGCAGGCATACGGAAGATTTGAACCGGGTCGTTCTCGAGAGGATCTTCCACAATCTCTTGAACAGTGCGGGTATCGACGCAGCCAGTGACGGTTTCGAGCTTTCCCAAGTCGCTCAACCGATCACCCTTCTCGATCAGTGTTTTGGTGTCAATCTTGGCCAGGGCATCGATCTTGACAGAGCGGCCCAACGCCGCATTGAAAGAGGATATTGATGTAGTGCATCCGTAGACATAGCGAGCTTTCTGCATGTCGAAATCGGGATGAACGGAAGGGAACTCGAAAGAGATCGCAGACAATGCGTACTGGGCAGTGATCTGAGAAGGTTTGAGAGAAAAAGCATAGTGGTATAGCCGGCATTGATCATCTTCCTCAAGAATTTCGTCGGTATCATCTCCTTGCTTGTCAAAGTAGGATGCGGTGGCCTGGCTGTTGTCTATTATCTGAATCAAGGGCTCGCGCTCCAGGCCCGGTGATTCTAGAGTAGGCGCTCCTTCGTACAAGCATGTTTCATCTGCATTGTATTTGGAGAAGAAAGGCATGTTCTTCTTGACAGCCTTCACAGTGTGTTTGGTAGGTTGCGGCGCAGCAATATTGCCAGCACTGAAGACCAGAGAAGCAGATGTTAATCTACAGGTTAGCAGGTGGATGGTCTCGACGTTGCCTGAGGCGTCATAATCATCCCAAGCGTTTGCAGTATGGAAGATGCAACAAGCAGTAGTTTCAAAGTATTTGACTTGCTCTGGATGGTGACGAGGGAACACACCGAAGCGGGCAGGCTTCGTAGGATCGTACTCGATGACAGGCTTGTTCTTGGCCAGGTTGAAAGGGTCGAGAGAAAGAGGAAGATCCATTATGATAGTGTGCTTGAGAGAGACGCCAAAGTCGTGCATCATTTTGGCGCCGGTGATTCCTGGGACGGGGCGCTGAACAATGCCCTTGTTGGTTTCAGAGCGAGCAGAGGTCGGCGGGATGATCGAGTACTGAACATATGGAGGCAGGAAGGTGGAGTGGAAAAGCATCATCTCTTTGGTGATTGGATCGACTTTTGGATGAGCAGTAGTCCACTCACGCAGGAAGCCGAGCAGGCCTTTGCCCGAGAACGAAGGGTCGTTGTTGTTCAGCTCGGGCTCGCCCTCTGCACGGTCGCCATCGTACCAGCCAACAGTTTCTAGTCCAGGGAGTGCGATGCGCATTGGTGGACCACTCTCGCACGTTGCTAGTGCTCTGCCATCATGGTAGAGGATGGCTGTATTGGCGACGCTAATCCTCTTGATTGCACGAGTGGAACCTGGCAAGAAGGACAGAATGACAAGCACAATGGTACGGAGGATACGTAGGACAATGGTGATAAGGGACGAGAGAGGATTGACCAGAGTTGCGATACTGGGCAGGATGGGCGAGCGAAGGCGTGGAGAGGCGGCAGTCGAAAGAAAGATGTCGGTCAAGATATATTGGTTGACAAACTCGGGCTGGACGTTGCCGTCTGCTTGCCTGGTGAACGAGACGCCACTCAGCATGCCATCGCCGTCGAACCAATGGGCATCGCGACCTAAGTCCTCGTTGGACACAGGGTTGCCGCCATTGCGGACATATTCACCACCAGCAAGCTCGGACGGAATGACTCCTGAATGAGTACATTTGGTGAGAGGCAGCGTCTGGTTGATGGGTGCGAAGTTGCCTGAGAGATANGCTGTGGATGGTTAGTCAAGTGTCGAGACAGTGTTGGATGAACAAGCATACGCGTGTTTGTGCTGTGGCGGGCTCTTCTTCTTCGGCGCAAAGAGAGCCATGTCCTGTAGCAGAGAGACGTTATAGGTGAGTGCAACTCTGTTCAGGCATCGAAGTAGGCACTTTGAGCATGAGAAGGCTTGTAGGACGACAATATCCGGGCTAGCAATGGCATGATTCGAGAGCGCATAGCGTGACTGACACGATCAAGCGCCAAAAGCATGTCGCATAAAGTGCCGTGTAACCATGACATCAGGGCAGGTGTGCAATCATCGCTTGACTCTCGAGTGACATGTGCGGCAGGTGCGACCGTGCTCCAAAATCGCCGATCAGGGCAGGCGGTGCCGAGGAAGCCGATGTTGGTCTTCTGCCCAAGTCGAGCCTCTCTCTTGGACGCTTGCTGGCAGAGTTGCGCAACTCGACTCCGACACTCCTTTCTGTGTGCTATGGCTTTGTGACAGCCTTGGATCTAGCAATTGTCTCGACACCATGGGCTACGACTATGCGCTTGTGTGAGAAGGCCCCTTTCCTTTCTGCTCATACCCCTTGTCCCCTCGCAGACTACTGACGCCTGTATACAGACACGTCAAGTACACGATTCCTCCCGCAATCGCCTTGACTCTGCTCTACCGACCTCTGTTGACCCGCCTCGATGTCTACAAAATCCTGTTCCTTGTCACCGTATGACCCATATTCGCCTATACATTTCCTCTTCGCCAGTCTCACTTTCTCCAGATTGCTCTCGTGTCCACCACGCCATGGGACTCGTACTTGATCCGCACCCGTATCTGGTCATATCCTGAGGACGCCGTCGTTGGACCTAAACTCTTCGATATCCCATTGGAGGAGGTCTTTTTCTTCATCGTCCAGACCTACAACACTTCGCTCCTGTACCTGCTTCTCAGCAAGCCTACATTCCACCCCATATATTTGCGCCGTCAGGATAAGAATGATCGCTGGAAGTACATGAAGTTGGCCGGACAGCTTGTTCTGGGTCTGCTCCTCAAGAAAGCTGTGAACCTGCTCAGGGCTGAAGGTGCCGGCACATACATGGGTCTGATTCTCGTCTGGGCTGTCCCGTTCTTGCTTTTGCTGTGGTCGCTGGCATATCAATTCATCCTCGGTCTGCCTGTCACCAACACCCTGCTACCAATCGCTCTTCCAACGCTATACCTCTGGATTGTTGATACACTGGCTCTCCGGAGAGGCACTTGGGTCATCGAATCTGGCACTAAGCTTGGAACACATCTCTGGCCTGGTTTGGAAATCGAGGAGGCTGTCTTCTTCCTCCTTACGAACACACTGATTGTCTTTGGTCTTGTGGCCTTCGACAACGCCGTCGCCATTCTCAACGCCTTCNCCTCCCACTTCCCTTCCGTACCCGCCCTTCCTTCGCCTGTGCTCCTGGTCCGGGCTCTGCTACTTCCGGCCGCTGCATATGACGAGGACCGTCTTGAGGGCTTGTCTGAAGCTGTCGAGCGACTCCATCAGAAGAGCCGAAGTTTCTATCTGGCTAGTGCAGCTTTCTCTAGCCGCCTGAGAGTGGACTTGATCGTTCTGTACTCCTTCTGCCGCGTGGCTGACGATCTGATCGACAATGCCGCCTCGCCACTAGAGGCTCGCAAATGGATCAAACGCCTTCGTACTTTCCTTGATCTTTCCTACAAAACTAAGGATCCGATGGCGCACGACCAAAACACTGGAAGTATCGTCCGACATGTTGTTACTGAATTCCCTCGAAGCACTCATACCGCATTGCTACAGCTGCCTACTTCGCGCCTTTCTTCTAAGCATCTTTATGACCTTCTCAAAGGGTTCGAGATGGACCTCGGATTTCAAACAAGCAAAGGAGCTCAACCTTCTACTTTCCCTATAAGATCAGAGTACGATTTGGATGTGTACTCATCACGAGTTGCTGGTACAGTAGCTGCTATGTGTATTGAGCTCGTTTTCTCCCATTACCCAGGAGAAGTGTCACCCAAGCAACAGGAGCAAATACTGGATGCTGGAAACACGATGGGTATAGCTCTTCAATACACCAATATTGCCCGTGACATTAGCGCAGATGCTCTGTTACAGCGAGTCTACTTGCCGACAAATTGGCTAAAGGAGGAGAACCTGACGCCTGAACAAGCGATTCAGGTTTTCACGATAATGGATGCCAAACCTACCCTTGGCGCCGAAGACCAAATATTCGTGGCCAAGTTAGAACGACTGAGACATCGTCTGTTGGACCGAGCATTTGCATTGTACGAGGACTCGCGCGGTGCGATTGACAAGCTACCCTCAGAAGTGCGTGGACCTATGCGTGTTGCTACGGAGAGCTACATGGAAATTGGACGGACACTGAGGCAGCCGGGCTACAGGGTCAGAAAGGGAAGGGCAACAGTAGACGGCTGGCGAAGGCTGGCAGTGGCTTGGAAAGCGCTGCAGTGATACATAAAGTAGAGATACCCTGTTCATATGCATCATAATGAAAATTCCCTGCTCGATCACGTTATGGTGATCTGACCATGATGGAGTCTGAGTCGTGAATCGTGATACAGTTTTGATATGCATGGGTGGAGCGCTCGGGCCGTAGCGTGACGGTGGGGTTGGATGCGAACCACGAGATTGTCGATGGTCGATGGAGGCGTGTTCGGAGCTGCACGGCAAAACGCCATGTTGAATGCTTGGACATTATCTGCTTTGCATCATGTAGCTGCTTACTGTTACCTGCCAGTTCCTTTGCAGTAGGCAGATCGACACTCAAATCCAACCATGAGCGGCACCACCCACCAAAAGACGGCCATTGTCGTAGGTGTGTACCGGAGACATCGCCGTCAACAGATACAAGACGCTGACAGATGGTGTTACAGGCGCTGGAGCTGGAGGAGTCTCGACGGCCGCGCGATTGGCCAAGGCGGGATTCAAGGTCACTGTGCTTGAGAAGAACGACTTTACCGGAGGTCGCTGCTCCCTCCTACATCATGAGGGCTGGGTGTGTATCACTGCATCCTTGGTCCTATATGTGTCTGCACGAGACTGACGACAACAACCCAGCNGTTTCGACCAAGGCCCGTCTCTGCTTCTCCTTCCGCGCATGTTCCACAAGACATTCACCGACCTCGATACAAGTCTGGAAGCCGAAGGAGTACACATAGTCAAATGCGAGCCAAATTACAACATGTGGTTCGGCGATGGCGAGAAGTTCCAGCTCTCCACCGATCTGGTTCTGATGAAGGAACAGGTTGAAAAGTGGGAAGGCAAGGACGGATACTCAAGATACCTCTCGTTCCTCCGAGAAGCTCACAACCACTACGAACTCAGTGTCGAGCATGTGCTGTCGCGCAACTTCACCAGCATTACCTCCATGCTGCGACCTAGTTTCCTCAGCCGTGTCTTCGAACTACACCCCTTCGAAAGCATTTATAGTCGCGCTTCAAAGTACTTCTGGACCGAGAGACTACGCCGCGTTTTCACCTTTGCGAGCATGTATATGGGCATGAGTCCCTTCGATGCTCCTGGAACATACAGTCTCTTGCAGTATACCGAACTGACCGAAGGCATCTGGTATCCAATTGGAGGCTTTCACAAGGTGANNGTGCAGTAAATCAAGTCGAGTAGCGTTTTCCATGCTAACATGCTTGCGCAGGTCATTGAGGCACTGGTCAAGGTTGGTGAGCGTCTAGGCGTGACCTACAGACTTTCGACCCCAATATCCAAGATCACTCTCTCCNCTGATGGTCGACGAGCTACTGGAGTTGTTCTTGCTAATGGCGAGACTCTGACCGCCGATGTTGTGGTTAACAATACCGATCTAGTTTATGCGTACAACAATTTCTTGCCTCCTACGCCTTACGCAGAGTCATTGGCCAATCGCGAAACATCCTGCAGCAGTATATCCTTCTACTGGGCATTGGACCGCAAGTTGCCAGAACTCAACGCCCACAACATCTTCTTGGCGGATGAATATAAGGAGAGTTTCGATTCCATCTTCAAAAAGAATCTGATTCCGAACGAACCCAGCTTCTATGTCAATATTCCTAGCCGACCGGACCCCACAGCTGCTCCTGAAGGCAAGGAAGCCGTCGTCGTGTTAGTGCCGGTTGGACATCTCCTTGGCGACCATGAGAACCCTACAAAAGCTGTCACAGCCTCGGACAAGGATATTCAACAGAGCAGTGCCAACGGAAAGATGACGAACTCGAAATCCGCAGAAGGCATCAAACCAGCTGAAACTCAAGACTGGCGCAAGATGATTGAACTCGCACGCAAGACAATTCTCACTACCATCGCTAAACGCACCGGCGTTGATATTGAGCCACTGATTGTCCATGAGATTACAAATGATCCCATCACCTGGCGTGAATCTTTCAACCTTGATCGTGGAGCTATCCTGGGATTGTCGCACTCGTTCTTCAACGTGTTGTCATTCAGACCAGCCACGCGTGCAAGACGAGGTGGTTGGCTGGATGGTCGCTTTGGCGNNGGGGGCATTGTTGGCAGAATCGGCGAGCTTCTCTTCAGTGGAGGCAGCATTGAGCGTCTGTACATGGTTGGCGCCAGCGCTCATCCTGGCACAGGTGTACCAATCGTGCTAGCAGGTGGCCGGTTGGTTGCGGAACAGATATGTCAGGATCTCGGTGTAGAGATTCCATGGCAAACCGGATCCACCAAGACTGAGCGAACTGGCGTCTTGGATCAAGTTCAGACTTCCCTCACGCTTGAGTGGATTGTCTACATGCTCCTTGCATTGCTTGTGCTTGCTCTTGGTATCCTCCTTGGTAAGCAAACTTGAGCATTCTCGCACGAAGGACCCTAGATTTCTTTAATGAATAGACTTTGTAATATCTACCTGTCCAAGCCATGGTTCCTTGTTCCTTGATCCCTGAGATGGCCGTTGTCAGTCACGCATCGATTTATCCAATTATTTGAGCCCAACCAAAATCAATTGAGCTGGCGCTGTTCCCGCAGGATGCCGGTATCGAGAGCTCACAGTTCCTGAAGCACGTCCTGCGGTGAACCTGCAGTTCTGCGGTGAGGCCTTTGCGTGGGTGACACATGTGGAAAAACAGCAACTGGTAGCGAATTCGGTGCACACCTTTATCGGCATCTTCGGCCCATGGCGGAATGCCACGATCGCATGTTGTTGATTGAAAAGTCAATTTCCCTGTTTAATGCGCCATCTATCTAGTTGGCCGTAGATAGATGAGATATGAATAATAGAAGACGCATCTTTTAAAAATGAATAATCGATTGCTGCGAGATAAGTACAGCTTGTGACCAGGTTCGAGCACATGTCACGAAGATGTCATGCTACCCCAGCCGCCAAATTGAACTTCTTTTCACATGCATCTGCATACAGGTACGGTTGGCACGACCCCAGAACGACACATGAAATGGAGGGCACGTCATGGCTGATTTTCAGGGAAAACATGACAATGTCTGCTAAAGTCTAAAAGTCAAGAATCAGCGCGATGGCAGTTGTTTTTCGATGCCGAAGGATGGAATTTGAATTTGGTCCCCGAAGTTCAATCAAGCTTTCCAAGATCGGGCTGCGGAAAGGGCTTGGACTGCTTGATGGCTTGATGGCGTCGCGATAGAGCCGGACCCCAAAGCCGCTGACATCGATGATGTCAGGGATGTTCTACTTAGACTTGATAGTGAATATTTTGCACGTTTGGTGACGGCAGTGATGATATGCTAGATTAGTGGCTCGCGGCGTCGTGGCGTGAAAGCCCCTGCAGTGCAATAGTGAATACTCGATGGCGCGTTGGGCCTGTGCGACTACCCGTTGATCACTTTGGTGGGTGGTGGGGTTTCGTGTTGTGAAGTGAGCAGTGACGGGGACAAGGAAGGGTCGTCGATCCAAGAGTGAAGCGCTGTTTCCCTCAGATCTCGTCATAGTGTGATGCCAAAACAGATTGGCTTGACCGCATCGTTCCGCGCATTCCTTGCACCGCGTTTATAAACCACAACTTCCCTCGCCTGCCTGCTCGCCATCATCCATCCACACTCTTCTCATTGCAGCATTGCTTTCTTCCTCATCCACACCACTTAAGATGGCTGGAAACAACGCTCTCAACGTCAATGGTAAGTCCATCACTCACATCTAGCACTATGCACAGCGCGCTGACCATGTTTACGCGCAGGCAACACTGTCAACGGCAAGACTGCCGACATTGCCATCACCGTCCGCGGTTCTGACTGGTACTGGGCTGTCTGCGCCGTCATGACCGCTTGCACCTTCATCTTCCTTGGTCTGGGCATGACCAAGCCTCGCCAGCACCGTGTCTTCCACTACATCACTGCTGCCATTACTATGGTCGCTGCTATCGCCTACTTCTCCATGGCCTCCAACCTCGGCTGGACCCCCATCGATGTTGAGTACCTCAGACCCAACATGCCTCGTGTTCGCGGTATGAACCGTGAGATCTTCTACGTCCGCTACATCGACTGGTTCATCACTACCCCTCTCCTCCTCCTGGACTTGATGTTGACCGCCGCCATGCCTTGGCCCACTCTTCTCTTCATCATCCTTGTTGATGAAGTCATGATTGTCACCGGTCTCGTTGGTGCTCTTGTCCGCAGCTCTTACAAGTGGGGTTACTTCGCCTTCGGCTGTGCTGCCCTCGCATACATCGTCTGGGTTCTCGTTTGGGAAGGCCGCCGTCACGCCAACGCTCTCGGTCGCGATGTTGGCAAGTGCTTCACTTACTGCGGTTCGCTCACCACCCTGCTCTGGATTCTGTACCCTATCGCCTGGGGCGTTTGCGAGGGTGGCAATGTCATCTCTCCCGACTCTGAGGCTGTCTTCTACGGTATTCTCGACTTGCTCGCCAAGCCCGTCTTCGGTGCCCTCCTCATCTGGGGCCACCGTGGCATCGACCCTGCCCGTCTCGGTCTCTACATCCACGACTACGACGAGAAGGACCCCGCTGTTAAGGATAAGGTTGGCGCTCCTGGCCCTAATGTCCACCCCAACACCAACAGCGGCGTTGCCACCACCGGCCAGACTGCTGAGACCGTCTAAACCTGCAGTGCATAATAATCAGCATTCTGCGTTGTCTGGACGTTCGCATCGAACGCTTCAGGACAGTTCCTACGATTCTCTTTGATTAATAGCAGTTACCCTGCTTGGGATACCCATGAGCATGCTAGCATGTCCAACTTTGCTTTTCACATCTCTTCTTTCATGATCACGACTGGGGGATGATGACGAAGACTTTACTCTGTACAATAATACACTAATTCATGACAAACGCATGCATACCCATACACATCCTTGACACTTCACCTACATGTGCCGACCTTGAGGTTCGTCTGCCTAGAAGACACTGTGACTATCTTATTTGTGCGACCAATCTGTGTTCATCTCGCAAGCGAACTTCCAAGGCGCTTGCGATCCTTCACCGCCTCCCCGCACCACCCACGTCGCTCAACAGTTCTTGTAAGAGTATGACAAACAAACCGTGTAGCAACAGTAGATTAATGCCGGTTTCTTGTCTTTGTGCTGACTTGGATCTGAAGCTCACACCATATGAACAGATTTGACCACTACCCTTTGGATTGTGAACTTTCTCTGGAGCTAGCATGTCTTTACGACCCGAAGACCATCGCTCGTCGCGCTCAAGGTCCAAATCGCACTCGCGACGTGACCGATCGCGTTCACACAGCAATGTGCGAAAAATACACAATGTTACTCCGGACAGGCCTGCCAAGTATGTCTATGCCAACACCCCTGCCTCGGTACCACGTCACATCTCACCGGTAGTAACCATGCCCACGATGCCCGCCATGCCGGGTGATTATGACGACGAGTATACCGTCAACCCTGGAAGCAATTCGCGTAGCGATGGGCAGCATTTACCTTACCCCGTTGTGGGACAGCTGCCTTACCCAACTGTGCCACAAGAGATTGATATGGGCGACTACAAGGATTTCCCGCCGCATGAACGGCCTGGGTATGTTGCAGCTAGGGATGCACACGATGATGACTCTGATCTGGCGTATGGAAATCTGCCCTGTCCGGAGGCCAGAAGGGGTCGTGGTAGCAGTGTGAGTAGCCAGCGGGCTCCTTCGCCGTCGGGCTATACGTCTACCTCTTATCGGTATCCTGCATCTGGCGGCCCTCAGGAATCGCAGTATACCACATCCAGACCTCCATCTGGACAGTCTCAGCAATATCAGTATTCTCAGCCTAGATCTGATCAGCCATCGGCACATCATGACTACAACACTCAAACATATGGCCCGGTTGCTGGAAAGCAACCTCAGATCTCCTCTCTCAAACCTCAAACAGTCGATGTGACGCCTGGTATCTCCAAGCAGACCAATCTTGGTCTGAAAGTGCGTATGAATCGCTTGTCGGTTAGTGGCAGCCGACCAGACATAGCTGGAACATTGCCTCCGCCCAGCCCCTTGCTAGAAGCATACCGTGGAACCTACCAATCCGTGTCTCCAATGATAGCACCGATGAAACTGTCTTCGGACAGTGATCTTGATAGACTGTCTCCGCTCTCACCCGGTCCATCATCCGACAGCAAGCATCACAGAAGATCTAGAAGCAGCACCAGCAAGATCGATCTTATCGACTCAGGCTCAGAGTCCAACCCCAAGGAGCCCAAAAAGCGAGCCAGACTGTACGATGCCGAAAGGGACGCACTGGCTTTAAACGAAGCAATTTCTCATCACAGAATCGACATCGACACAATCTGCAAGATCCTTCCCAATCTGACACACGATCAAATTCTCGAACTGCGCAAGGAGTACAAGAAGCACGTCAAGGTCCAAGGCCGAGGCATCAATATCGCCAAACACATGAAGATGAAGCTCTCGGGCAACTTCGGCAAAGCAGTGTATGTGTGCGCGCTCGGCAGATACGAGAGTGAAGGCTACTGGGCCAATTTCTGGTACCAATCGCACAGCAGCCGGCGTGAGCTACTGATCGAAAGCTTGATGGGTCGCAGCAATGCTGAGATTAGACAGATCAGAGAGTCGTTCAAGGACAAACGCTACAACGACGATCTGGTCAGGTGTATGGAGAAGGAGCTCAAGCCAGACAAGTTCCGCGTGGCTGTGCTGACCGCACTCGAGGCTAGAAGACAGGAGGAGAATGCAGTGTATCCAAGGCAATACGTCGACAGAGATGTTGATGTCCTGAACAGATGTCTGACAGCCAAGGAAGGTGGAGAAAGCACAATGCTGGAGATTGTGGTCAGAAGGAGCGATGCACATTTGCGAGAGGTGTTGAAGGCATATGAGCGTGGACACGGTGTCAACTTTGCAAGGGAAGCATTGAGGAAGAGCAACAATCTGGTGGTGAGTCAAACACTTTTTGCTTTTACTGTTTGGTTATACTGACCAACATGACAGGGAGAGGTAATCTGCCACATCCTCAACGGAGCAATCAACCGACCAGCACGAGACGCCCTCCTACTCCGTCACGCCATCGACGACATCAGTTCCCACAACCGGGACGAAGAGCTACGCTACGAGCTGCTCATCTCGAGACTGATGAGAGTGCACTGGGACCATGCACATCTAGGTCGTGTAAAGCGCGAGTATGCAGAAAAATACCGCAAGGACCTCGAGCATGATATCGAGGACGCGACGAAGAGTGATTTCAGAGAGTTCATGTATGAGATCTGCAAGGCGTGAGTGGTCGGCGAGGAAATGGAGATGAATGCACGAGATGACGGTTTACGAGTCTATGAAGTTCTTGTCATGTCAGGTCTGCTCAGACATATAGCACATATCATTAAAAGTTGTGTCTTTTGATATATCGTGAACACTTCTTGAAAGACCTATCGGCTGTGACCTACAGGCTATTGGCAAATGTTGACATCGAGGTATGCCTGAACTCAAACCACGCATATATCAAAGTCGGTGTGGAGATAGTTCGGGTTATGATGGTAGTCGAGTACTCAAAGTGTTCACACAAGTAGCTGCGAATGAGCAAGGGAACGAAATCAAGTCATTTTCGGAACAGTTCATACGACTTTGTCTGGGAAAGGGCCCCGTAGAGGAAGCCACTTTCCATCTTCTCTCTTTGTCTTTTCGTTTGTGGACAGCCAGATGAAGTTTTGTCATTGTCTTCATATTGTTTTCCCCTTCCACGGCGGGCAGCCACAGGTTAGGCCATGACCAGTTGGGAAATCCACATTTGTTGCAAAAATAATCTCATTGCCCTAATGCCGAAAAGAAGAAACTCCCCTGAATCAATGCCTGACCTAGCAACAACGCGCGTTTTTGTGTGTCATTCAGATGTTTGATCAACCCCATCCTTTGTCTTTAAGGAGAAGTCATCGTTTAGGCGGAGGCGTTGGTAGGGCCACGGGCGCCCTTGGGGGTGCCGTTGCGGAAGCCGTTGCTGAACTTGCGGGAGACGAGCTTCAATGAGCGCATGCGGCCGGTACCGGTGGTCTTTCTTCTCTTGGCCTTCTCGCCCCAGTTGACTGTTTGGCTTATGTCAGATGTGTTTTTCATGTATCAATGGAGGATGTGTGGTGGTGGTGGTCGGGTGCGGGATGTTCTTGTGTCGGATAATGTCGATCGGGTGTTCGTAGGCCACAATGGCAGTGTCGAAGACGTGGTGCTCGAAGGTGGAGGAGAGGTATAGGATCGGAACGTACACTTTCTGATGCTAGCGCTAGGGTAGCCGCAGTTGGAGCAAGTGTGCTTCTGGACGTGGAGAGAGCGGGAGCCTNNGTGTTTGGTCGTCCGTCAGCATTTCGGGTCCGGGAGATTGATCGAGGGCCGTCGTTGTCGTCGGTGGTGGGAGTGCATACCGCAGCGTCTGCACAGAACGTGCGTCTTGTTGTGGCGCTTGCCGAAAGATCCAGTACCCTTGGCTGCGCGCAGATGTTAGTTATCCAGAATCCATCGCTCTGACAAGAGTATACGGGCGGCGACTAACTCATTTTGAAGTATCGACTGTGCGGCTGGCTGTGAGAGGGTCGGTCGTGTCGCTGTCTGCTCGAGAAATCTTGTGGGCTTTGCGAATTCTGTCTGGTGCGTCGCGGACCGCTTCAAGCCTTGGCGGCCAAGTGCGACCGGGGATTTGCCGCGTGGCTGGCTGGACCATTGCTCCTTCCTCGGCCATTCACTTTTTGAACATCACTTGCTGCTCTTGGTATTTGTAGGCAGAAAACTGGTGATTGACAGCTGAAATAGCGATGTACACTTGTTCGTGGTAAAGTACAATCCTGGTGTCGCTAAAATTATGGCCTCACTCTTCCGATCGCTCAACCAGTAACTCAGTGTCTCCCACACTGTATAGGTATGCTCATCTGAGAGACTACCTCTCCGTCAAGGCTCATTCCTGGTGACTGCCTCAACATCTGCGCAGTCATTCACACTTTTGTCGGTCATGATTCAATCTCTGAGCGTAACGTGTTTGGATCCGTTGACATCTATATATCATCCAGTCGTCCCATTGGTCACTGATACATCGTACTTTTGTGTCATGAGCGACCGACATGCTGTGCTGTTAAAAAATCAGGTTGGCCTGTCTTCAGATGCCTCCTCGTCGCCAATTCACCAAACACCACGCAAAAAAGAGGTGTACGTCTAGAATCGAAATAAAGGCCGGCCCACCAATCAGAAAGGTAATAGTACATAAGACATTATTTGGCAACAGTGGCCTTACATGGCACTTGGGTAACGGCCAGGAGGTGTCAGCCCGGTGGGGTTAGGACGTGGCATTCCTCTACCACGACCGCCTCGAGATGCCCCGCGCATGCCAGGCAACATGAAGTCTGGGTTTTGGCCGAGAATCATATCATTTTGCTCGTTCCTGCGTTGCTGTGGTGGGCCTGCCGCTGATCCAGGGCCGTAGCCTGGTGGTGGACGCCAGTTAGGGTTGACGCCACGCTGACTAACTGACGTGAAGTTGCTGGTGTCGGACATAGCAGGGGACAGAGCACCCTCTAGGTTCTCATAAGAGCTGTCCCTGTCCAAAGGTGGCCCTTCGTGATTCTGACCGGCATGTAGACGATCGGGTGTAGGGTGACGCACGGTAGGGATTTGAGGACCAGGGGTCAAAGTAGTCGGAATTGGGGCACCCACCATGGACGATTCATCAGCAGCAGCGAAGCGAGGGTCAACGTCTTCATAGTATGACTCAGAGCCAGCGCGTCTATGACGGGATGTTGGGGATGCCTGAATAGGCGAGAGAGGAGGTACAGAGTTCATCTGGGTCGCGGGTGCAGGGGCGTGTCTGGGAACAGGAGGTGCATCCCAGCCGACTCGTGGTTGCACATATGTTCTGTATGTGTTAGAGGAAACTCTTATTTCGCGGGCGTGACTAGTGACAACTTACGATTCTGAGTAGATGCTTGACGGAGTAACTGGTTCACCTCCGCTTGGCTGTCTTTGATTGACGGGTGTGATGTCTCTGCGAGGACGGGGTAAGGGCTGACCTGCGCCAGCCATTCCAGGCATTTCGTGTTCGTAACGAGTGGGTGATTGAATAGCCGGGCTTCCAGTTCTTTCGTCCATTTCGATAGCTTGGCCGATGATCTCGCCATTAACAGGGTCCTCAGGAGAGCCGTTTCTGCGAGGGAATGGACCAACACCGGGAGGAGGAAGGGGATCGTTGCTGTATCCTGGGGAGGACCACGCTGGCCACGACCCATCATCATCGGGCCAGGACCAGGACCGGGGCCCATTCCCTGCCTTGTGGACCGTTCCAACCAGGAGGAGGTGGCCCTCTNNCACACCTTGAGGACCACCTCTGCCGGAACCGTAACCACCTCTCGGGCCTGGGCCAAAAGAGCCACGAGGTGCGAAACCACCTCTGGGAGGACCGTAGCCTCCACGAGGAGGATAGCCGCCTCTGCCACGTCCATAGCCAGGAGGAGGAGGCCCCATGCGGTCTGGGTTTTGAGGCTCATGGGCGCCATCAGAAGTCTGGCGCATCAACATGACCGGAGGGTTGGCGTTTTGCTGCATATTGTAAGGATCTGCGGGCTGAACAGGCATGGGCGGGAGTTCGTCGTCCACTGGGCGTGTGCTAGGAGCTGTACCGTTGCTTCTGAGAGATGGCGCTCTAGGGTTGAGCGGAGCACGGTCGTCGCTTCTCCTCTCATTGCTCTTGGTTTCGAACGACGCAAATTGAGGTTCCTTGGAGTTGTCGAAAGTGCCGTTCATTGGCGGAGGGCTGTCTGCTCTGGGCAGCTCATCGGCCATCAGACGCTCGTTCTGCATGTTGTTGTAGTAGTTTGCGCCGTTCATCTCGGCATTCTCAGCGATACGCTTCTTGCGAGCCTTTCTTGATACCAGAGTCCTTCTCATGGCGCAAGTAACAACACCAGAAGCGATGATGAGAATGGTGGCCGCCAGAACAATCCATCCTCCCCACTGCATGTGCGGAACGAACAGAAGGATATCGACCAGGAAAGCCAAGAGAGCAACCAGCAGGGTAGGAAATGTCAGGATGAGCAGAGCCAGAAGATAGCGAGGAGAGTGGGCAGGCGAGTGGAAATGAGCGGCCACGGCCAGAGCGAAGCAAATGAGCGTCAAGAGGGCTGCGACAGGGTGGACGATGAGAATGGACGAGAGCGAGGCTCGAGTGCTGGATGGCAAAGAGAACTCATTGTTGTCGGCGGCTGAAAATAGTTTATCTNNAGAGGACGGAGTCAGAGAAGGGTGATCGGCGCAGCTTGATAGATGCAGCGTACCTGTGTCGTATCCAACTCTCATGCCACTGCATTTTCCATTCTGGCAATAGCCAAAGACTCCAAAGTCGACACCATCGAACTGGGCCAAAGGAATGGCCTGGATAATGGGCGTCGAAAGGGTGCTTAGCAACAGCAAGACAAAGGCGATGAAGAACAGGATAGAAAGCGGAGTCGCTGGCCGCAACATGATGGGCAGCGTGGGGTGCGACCTGGTATGGCGTGGGCGAAGACGACAACGACAGCGGTATTATAGGTGTAAGTTAAATGTGCTCCTGCTCCAGAGCGAGTGTGGTCTCTTGCGCTTATGCGCTCCGAGGCAAGAATGAAGGAGAATGGAGGCGCAGCAGGATGGGCACGCGGATGGGAAGAAGAAGAGAGTTTGGAGAGCAGCAGAGAGTGGAAGGAGAAGAGGCAGCAGATGTCGTCGCAAGACACGGCGCAACCAGCACGTCGTTCGTGGGAGCGAATTGGACAACGATGGAGAGGGGGCTAAGTTGTGGCGCGCAATCGAGGCAGGCCTAACCACCGTAGCTTTCCCATCTTCTACTGCTTGTCCCCTCTCCACACCAACGACCAACTCGTGGCAGCCCGGCCAACGCCAGTAGACCCGTTATCTCGCGAGCTGTTGCTGTGCCCTTTGCTTTCTTCGCTCCTGCATCTCCTGCGCAACTGGCCAACGTTCCTTTTTTTCCATCTGTTCCTCTCCACTCGCAGCCATCAATGACATCTGCAATGTGTGAGATTCATGCCGTCTCGAGTCCGAGACGAGCACGCGGCACCCCAGAAGACGCGAGGGCACTAACTTTTCTTAGTCCAGCCTCATTAAACTTGATTCGATGTGTTGCGCCAATGCCTCATCTCTTATCCATGTCGCATCTAATCTCAGTTTCGTATGACTTGCTTTCCTACTTGACTCTCGCTCGAGCTGTATTGATCTAGACGTGCGTCACTTGGTCTGACAGCAACTCTCGTCTTTGGACTTGTCCTTCTATCTTGCTTCTGCACTTCTCTTGAACCCCTCGCCTCTACTAGCCCCAACTTTAAATCCCCGCAATATCAGCCTTCTGACAACCCCTTGACACGAAAGGAAGGACGGGCTTGGCCTATCAAGCCCAATAAGCCGATGCATATTTCCTTTGATGAAGTCGAGGAGATAGGCGACTACCTGCCGCTTCTCACCCGCTGTCGCGCGACACTGACTGACCTCTGCAACCCGGAAGAAAAATTCATAAGGGTACATGAGGATCATCGTGAAGCTGAAACTGACATCCTGCGGGTGTGCTGTCGTATTGAAACTAAGGCAGGTACCCCTTTCTTAATTCATATAACACATCCTAGCAACAATTCTCACGACCTTCTTTCTCCACTGCTCTGCCGGTCAGTAAGAGCTCATGCTATCGGACTGTATCGATACCGACGAAGACTATAAGAAGACCCGCCTTCGGTAGGAATGTCGGCTCTTTGTTCTTCACATGGAGGACCAAGCTTAACTGTCTCGAAACGCATGAAACGAAAACAAGATGCAACTGTCAGCTGTTTTGGCAATCGACTTCACGTCATGCGCGTCTGCAGTCTGACATGACAACATCGAACAAGCCTTGAAGGATTTCGCTATATCCTCCGCGTGTATTATACTGTCACAGTGTAGCTGTAGAGATGCACAACACTTTCCACAACAGAGCAAGATCCACAGAGAATATGCCGTCATTGGGCATCTCCTTGGGCATACTTCTGTCTAGAAAGGAACTCTGCATTTCTATATCATATCGTGTTAAACATGTGTCTGTGTAGGGGAAAGAGGGAGGGCTGTGAGATTTGCCTGCTTTACTTCTCGACCACTCGACTATCGTGTGATCTTGCATATCGGACTTCAATTAACCACACATGCATCTTCCAGTATTGCTGCTTGACCTTGTCGCTTGACCTTTTCACAAAAACAAGAATAAACACAAGTCAGGGTGTCACTGTCAACTTGAGGTCATGTTCAGATGCTCGACTTCGGGAAGCCCGGAGTGTGATGTCACTGATGGTCGTCTCACTCGACAAAACATCTTTCGAGACCCAACAAAACACCTTTGCATTCAAGCAGGAATTATCAAAATGGCCAAAGTCATTCTCTCAATCAACGCTGGCTCATCCTCCGTCAAGGTGTCAGTATTCAGAGGAAGCTCCAAAGATGCCGAGCCCTCTCAGCTTGCCGAAGTGTCAGTTGCTGGATTGACTGCACCTCCTNCAACACTCACATACAAACGTGGAGACAACAAAATCAAGGACGAGGAGATTGAAGGTGTAAGCACTCAGGAAGATGCATTCAAGTACATTCTTGAGCACCTCCTGAATGATAAAGATCTGCCCGAGCTCAAGAACAAGGAGGACATCGAGTTCGCATGTCACAGAGTGGTTCATGGAGGAGACTTTGACAAGCCTACACGAATTGACAAGGAGACTTATCATCACATTGAAGAGCTTTCTGATCTTGCACCTCTGTAAGCTTCTCAATTCTAATCTCTGATCACGGCTAACCAGCACCGCAGCCATAACGCAGGTGCCTTAACCATCGTCAAAGCTGTTCATGAGCAACTGCCTAAGGCAACCAACATTGCTTTCTTCGATTCAGCATTCCATTCTTCGGTAAGTTTGACATACAAGAGGCACGAGAGCTCGGTCTGATGTGCCATGTCATAGATCCCAGAGCACATCCGAACATACCCCATCGACCAAGAGCGAGCAAAGCACAACAAGCTTCGCAAGTATGGCTTCCACGGTCTCTCATATGCATTCATCACCAGATCAGTGGCCGAATCTCTCAACAAGCCTGTCGACTCTCTCAACATAATTGCTCTCCATCTTGGAAGTGGTGCCTCTGCATGCTCCATCGTCAACGGAAAATCCTTCGACACTACCATGGGCTTGACACCCTTGGCCGGTCTTCCCGGTGCAACCAGATCAGGCTCGGTCGACCCCAGTTTGATCTTCCACTTCACGCACACTGCTGGAAAGCCCAGTCGCAGCAGCACTAAGGATCTGCACATCACCGAGGCCGAGGAGATTCTCAACAAAAAGAGTGGATGGAATGCTATCGCTGGTACCACTGACTTTGGCGTAATCAGCTCGAAGGCAGAGCAAGGTGACAAGGCATGCCAACTCGCCTTTGACCTGTTTGTCGACAGAATCCTGGGTTTCGTTGGTGGCTACTACGTCAAGATGGGAGGCAAGCTCGATGCTCTGGTGTTCGCTGGTGGTATTGGAGAGAGGGGCAGTCAACTTCGTGCTCGTGTGGTCGAGCACTTGAACTGCCTTGGTCTCGAGCTTGACGAAGCGAAGAACAAGAAACCTGATGACAAGGAAGTGGTGGACATTTCGAAATCTGGATCCAAGCACAAGGTCCTCATCTGCCAGACGGACGAACAGACTGAGATGGCAAGGCAATGTGTGCAAAACGCAGATGACTTTCGCAAGCAAGCCTAAAGGGTTTGGGAGGCATAGGAGCCTTGTATGACCAAGTTACAGTAATGACCAGACCGCAATTGAATGTATAGCATTATTAATTATGATAAACTCACAAAGTCAATGGGTGTTCGCTTCCGCCTTCGCCAGTCTTTCCTTGTGCCTATAAGCTCGTCCAAGACCACACTCCGTCGCAGTCGTTCAGGAGGCCGAATAGGTGGTTCTGCCGGCGTGACAGGTGCGGGCGCAGGAGTCACAACTGAAGCGCTGCGACTCTTGGGCTTGATCATCAACAAGATGAACATGCCAGCGACTATGAGGACTAGCAGCAAGATGATTTTCCGCTTTGTCGACTTCTTCTGGTACCCTGTAGCGACCTTCAATTCCTTCTCGGCCTGTTTGACTTCTGTTGTCATATTCTCGACGTTGTAATCGATACGATCCAGCATGCTGCCTTGGTCAATGACCATGGTCTGCAACTCCTGGAAGATATTGGACAAGTCGATGATGCCTTGTGCGATGTCCTCAATCTCGCGCTCTCGCTGAGCAATGGTCGAGTCGTGTAAGCCGGCAGAGCGTTGCTTTTGCTTGGTTTGTAAGAGAGTAGTTTGCGCCGAGCTGCGATCGATCTCGGAGTCCATGAGGGAAGGATCAGTGTAGGGATTCTGAACAGGGGATGTGGCTCGATCGAGNGGTGAATTCATGCCACCGAGGGCGCGTAGTTCTGCAGTTGTTGTCAGTCATGACGGACAAGTTGTTTGAGGACAAGGAACAAAGCATACTCTTNNGAGATATGCAGACTGATTCTTGCGGAACAATGCGCTGCTGTCTCCCACCTTCGTAGCCAGTGAAACTTTGAGGTTCTGTGCCATGGTCTCCTCCCCTCGACTTAGGCTTCCGGTTTGCTGCGACTCCTTGACCATGTTGTCGATGCGACGAATAGCTCGTTGACAGGTCTGGAAGCCTCTGGTGATCTCTTGGGTCATGGCCTCGATCTCGCGCTCTTCCCTCCTCTTAACCTGCTCATCGTCGAAGCCTGGCAGCACGTGCTTCTGGCATAATTGGTCCAACTTCTTGATCTGCTTGGTAATATTCTCCAGCCATTCGTTGACTTGGTCCTGCACGTCGAGCCAGCGCGGCGGTAGACGGTCCATTTCAATCACGGCATCTCCATCGTCAAAAGCACCAGCGGACATGAGTCCTCTGGTTTCCTCTGATTCGGCGGCATTGTCGGCGAAGCCTCCTGCGATTCGGGACTTTTTGGTGGTAGGATGATGTGAATAGGACTGGCGATATGAAATGAAGCTACAAAGGGAGACATGGTTAGTTTGGTCTTGTAACGCCTAGTTATTAGGGATTGCAGTACAGATTGGTTCTATCGCGCCACATGATGCGCAGTTATGGGGAGATTTCGAATCAACATGGAACAGAAGACGGCGGCATGGGAAACAGTTTGTTGTGTTACTCGGGCATTTGGGATGAATGATGGACCAGGACAGGGTCAAGGTGGTGCTGACGTGGGCAAACACGGAGACGTGAAGCTCCCGCCGAGCAAGTCGAAGCACAAGCACCCTGAATCAGGCATTCTGGACTCTGCTCCTCTTCCAACACAACAACCCGTTTCTTGCATCTTGGTCTAGTCGCATAACCACCCGGAACGACAGCTTCCCTTCTATTCACCTTTTGACACACCCTCGTCCACGATTCGCATCGCAAAAATGGTAGCCTACCCCTTGTCGCCCATCCAGCCCCGCCATGCTCAGGAGGCGCCTGCTGTTGCTCCTCACCACCATTGCATCTGCTGACACTGCCAACAGGCCGATTCGCTTACCGAAGAGCAAGTTTCCGAGTTCAAGGAGGCCTTCTCTCTCTTTGTAAGTTGATTCCATCTCCATTCCGTCCTCCTCTCGCTTTGCGCGTCCAGGTCACCCACCGTCGCAGTCGTGCTAACCCAATCATAGGACAAGGACGGCGATGGTACGTCTCGAGCTCCCTCTTCACCTCTCTTTCGATCTCTTTCTACCGCCCCAGATATCCGCCGCACCAGAACACGCCGTATTGACAATGTCGCGCAGNGTCAGATCACCACCAAGGAGTTGGGCACTGTCATGCGCTCTCTCGGCCAGAACCCCAGCGAGTCAGAGCTCCAGGACATGATCAACGAGGTGGACGCTGACAACAACGGAACCATCGACTTCCCTGGTTAGTCGTATCTCGAACCGCTGTCGCACAATCGAGGAAGCTGACGCTCCCTTCCCAACANNGAGTTCTTGACCATGATGGCCCGCAAGATGAAGGACACCGATTCCGAAGAGGAGATCAGAGAGGCCTTCAAGGTCTTTGACCGCGACAACAACGGCTTTATCTCGGCCGCTGAACTTCGCCATGTCATGACCTCGATCGGTGAGAAGTTGACCGACGACGAGGTCGACGAGATGATCAGAGAAGCCGACCAGGATGGTGACGGCAGAATTGACNTGTGAGTCTATTCAACTGTGGCGACCACAAAAGAACTGTGCTGACGTGAACCGACAGACAACGAGTTCGTTCAGCTCATGATGCAGAAGTAGAGAGAGCACGGCGTAGGAGTGCACATGGAGAAAGCACTTAAATTACAATCATGCGGTTCTCTGTAACCGTCACGACCTGAGAGATACCTGAGAGCTTATGCTTATTACTGCTGGACTTGACTTTTGAACAAGCTCTTTCAATCAACTTTCATCAATGCCACACTGGCCCTTTTAAATTCTCAGCCCTTGGCACCATGGCAATCTTGTGTAGGCCGTGGCTATTTGTAACCCAAGCATTTGTTTCAGGTTGACCTTATATTATCTTGTCCGTCAACAGGGACCAGAAGCCTCCCGCAAATCAAACGTTCCATGTGCAGCGTGGCCAGAAGCGGCTTCGGCCTGAATGTGGGGAGAGATGACGGGATGACTTGCCGGGTCAAAGGGAAGTTCATGGAGTGGAGATGGTCATTCTACCGAACAGACAGACAAATATCAAGTGATAGAGGTTACATACTTGTTCAAAGGCGCAGACAGGTCTACAACGATACATACCAAGTCGAGCAAACAAGATAATCGAACATGGCTGCCTCTAGAAGACTCGGTATCTACGACTCATGTCCAACCATCAGTATCTATTCAGACTAACAGGCATACAGTAAAACCAGCTCTTTTGTAAGACCATCAAGTCACCCTGAGCCGCTACATAGATTCCAGTGTTCTATCGCTTACTATGTCGACAGTATATGTGATCTCCAAGAAAAGTTTCGCTCGGCCATCTATGAGTACGGACGTGTGATCAGCACGACGCAGAAGCTACTCAAGGCTTGCCAGATACTGGACATTCCCATTTTCGCAACAACCCAACTCCGCGCCAAATTAGGAGAGACATGCAGCGAACTCGGTCTTGACAGTCCAGAAGGGATCAAGACTCATGCTCACGTTGACAAGAGTGCCTTCTCGATGTTTGTGCCAGAGATTCGCGACGCTTTCCAAAAGCTTGGTGATGAGAAAAGAGAGGTCATCATTGTTGGTATTGAGAGCCATATTTGCGTCACGCAGACAACACTCGACCTGCTCAGGGAAGGACACAAGGTTTACATTATCGCCGACGCTGTCAGCAGCTGCAACAAGGAGGAAGTTCCCATCGCACTGGCAAGATTGAGAGCTGAAGGCGCTATCGTCACCACTAGCGAGTCGTGGCTCTACGAGTGCATGGGCGATGCTTCGCTTCCAGAGTTCAAGCAGATCGCAGGTCTGGTCAAGGAGTACAACTCCAAGACAAAGGAGGGTCTCCAGGCTTTGTGTAGATTCTAGAGGTTAATAACAGACAACGGATGTGTATCGCAGGCGCGCGAACTATGAGCTAAACGGAGCATCCTCTTTTATGTGCAGACGGGTGTGATGACGAACGTGATAGGCCAGACTGGTCAGCAATATCAAGTCTCGCGTACTCCGGTGCTTTCGGTTGGTATATTGGTTTCCATGTTCTTTGTCTCATACGAGTGCTCGGTCATTCAGCCTTGCTTTCTAACCCGACTGCTACTAAGCGACGGGAGATGCATGAGAAGACGGCATGGGCATAAGACGTCCGGCAGAGAAGATGGGACTGGCTCGGAAAAGATTGCCATTCGTTAGAAAAAAAGAAATCGGGTCAAGGTCACAAATACCGGATATTCGATCATTTGTTTTATGCGCGTCGAGTCGGTGGTCCGTGAGCGCGGCTCTCTCTGATGATGATGTTTCAGGGACCGTGAATGAAGACAGCAAGAGGAAAGAGTGAACAGGAGCACCTTCCCATTCTAAAGAAGCGGAAGAGAGCGTCATATCAATTGTTGCAACACGCGGTCGATTGCTGTCAGGAACCGCGCAGTGCAAAGCAGGGGTGGCGCATAAGAGACGATCCCGACGTCTTCTCCATCATTCCCTCGTCTAGAAGCACACAAAGCAAAGACAAGGAATCACTTTACCCATCTCTGCCTTCCCCATTCACAACGCCCACCTCGGCCGCCACTTCCTGGTTTGCTCTGCCCGTCCATCGACCCTCTGGCGTCCGTCCTCGTTTGCTCTTGTTTCTTCATTTCTCAAGACCCGCGCCTGCAGAAGCCCGTGTTTGAAAGAGACAAAGGGAATCCAAGGACATTGGACCGGGTGTGCCACAAGCGCCGCTGTCGACCAAATCACTGACGCAGCTACAACCCTTTCGAATACCCTCGCATACAGTCTGGCCATCTCCTCTCGCCTCGTCTGGTCTGTCGATATCCGATCCCTGCTCGCTGTCGCCGTACTACCAACACCCCCGCGGCACAGTGATCAAGCCTCCCGAAGTTTGAGCATGAGGATTACCTGCAAGACCAACCCCGTTGGAATATCTACATGACGTCTAGTCATACCCCAAACATGGCAGCCGCTTCGTTCGCCCAGAGACGCTCGACGAATTCTCAGCAATCAAATTCCGTCCCTTCCACGCCGCACCAACATCCGCGAGACCTTCGCTTCCGTTCGCGATCGCCGTCTCCCAGCAAGACGCTAGGCCACAATACTCCTCACCACGCTGCTCCTGGAGCCACCGGTACTCCGACCGCAGCGAAGCCGACACAAGAGTTTTGTAAATTCGAGACTGGCCCTGAGTTCAGAACACGACGAATCCCCTACCTCGATGGTGGCGATGTTCCTTTACCGCCGCCAACAGAAGAGCCCAAGGTGGCTCTCGAACCAGAGCAGGACGAAAGGCTCAGTGGCGATATGAGAGAACTCTACGACCGATTACTACCGACAGAAGAGAGCGAAGAAAGAAGACGGAAACTCGTCCAGAAACTAGAGGACATTTTGAATGGAGAATGGCCCGGCAATGAGATCAGAGTCAATGTGTTTGGGTCTTCGGGCAACCTGCTCAGCTCGAACGACTCTGACGGTGCGTACTCTCATGCCCGGCTCTTCCTAGCCTCCCCTTTGCGTACGCTGATCGTTTCTCGCANNGTTGATGTTTGTGTAACGACACCCTTGAAAGCGCTCGAGTCCATGCACACCTTGGCTACCGTTCTTCACCGACGTATGTAGCCCCAGGCATCTCTTTTGTACCGTCGAGCTTACCCATTGGTAGATGGCATGCAAAATGTTATCTGCAGAGCAGGAGCAAAGGTTCCAATCGTCAAAGTGTGGGACCCGGAATTGCAACTGGCGTGCGATCTGAACGTCAACAACCCACTGGCTCTCGAGAATACGCGCATGATTAAGACATATGTCCAGATCGACGAGCGAGTACGGCCGCTTGCCAAGATAATAAAGTACTGGACGAAAAGGAGAATATTGAATGATGCTGGTGCGCGCCCCTGCCCTGGCTGGCCAAAAGTCCGTACGCTAATATCTTCTCNNGCAGCCTTTGGAGGCACTATCAGTTCCTACACATGGATATGCATGGTCCTCAATTTCTTGCAGACCCGTAATCCGCCCATCCTCCCGTCTCTCCAGAAGATGTCCAGTTCCCGCTCCATCCAAGTCAACGGCCAGACTGCAGCATTCGCCGATGATCTAGAAGAGTTGCGCGGGTTTGGAAAAGACAATCATGAAAGCTTGGGACAGCTTATCTTTCACTTCTTTCGATATTATGGCTATGCCTTCGACTATGCAGAGCATGTGGTGTCAGTCAAAGAAGGAAAGCCAATTCCGCGCAAAGAGAAGGGATGGGACCCAAGCAACCACCAAGAGAAGGAGGCGCACAACCGGCTATGCGTCGAGGAACCCTTCAACACCCAACGAAACCTCGGAAATTCTGCCGACAACTACGCTTTCACTGGTATACACAAGGAGATACGAAGAGCTTTTGACTTGATCAAGGACGGCTCTGGTCTTGAAGACTGTTGCGCTCAGTTCGAGTGGCCTGTCGTCGAGAAGAACATATTCCAAAGGCCGACACCGAAGCCTAAACCTATTCTCACACGAAGCGCTTCTCAGTCTGGTCGGCCCAACAATGGGAACAGCCAAGGGCGAGGAAATGGGAATGGCGCAAGGAACAACCGTAATTCATCTAACCAGCGGACTAACGGCCGTAGATCATCGAGTGGAACAGCCTACGGCAACCAAAGGATGCCATATGTCATGAGCCCGCCGGTCGGGATCAACCCTGCAGATTACTTCTCATCCACGGCCATCTCGACTGACCAGCTGCACAATCAGCTCTACAAGCAATATCGCTTCTTGCAAGCCCAACAAGAAGCACTGAGAAACCAGCTCTTGCAACAACAGCAAACACAGGTTCAATTGCAACAGGTTCAAGCCCAGGCGCAAGCTCGTGGTGTCGATCTGGGTACTTCACCTCGTTCGCGACAGTTTGCCAATAACGCTCCAAGCCCGCATAGTCCAAGGACCTTCGAGCACTCTCCCACAGCACCACCACTTTTGCCTGGCTACCTCTATCATTATCCGGCAAGATACCCTCCGCCGTCACCTTTGTCTCAGTCAAGGAATACTGAGGACACCATTATTGGTTCTTCTTCCCCCTCGCTGCAGAGCGCAGCCNCTAATCTGCGGAGGGGCGCACATCGCGGTTCTATCAACGAAGGCACGCCTAATGCTTCAGCTCGCTCGCAATCTCAGCCCGGGCGTTCATTCCCTAACCCTTTGACTCTTCAGGGTCTTGCTCATCCAGGTTACGATGTGTCTGGGGCCATCGCCACCTCGTACATGCTGCCACGGTCAGTGCAGCAATTTGCTCAGATGCAGCCAAATGGCTCAGTAAGACAAGCCAATGGTGGCTTCTCTACTGAGACCGCCATGCCTAAGGAATATGTCGGGTACTACGTCGGGCAGTCTCCTCAACTTGTTCCCCAGTTTCAGACTGGCAACTTGGTACAGGTTCCACAGCTAAGAGACATTGCTCCACCATCGGACAGACGCATATCTCCTGAGCTTGGAATCCATATCCCTGACGGCATGCGACATCAGTCTCGTTCACCTTCGCCATTTGACGGCGGTCGTCGGCACTCAAGCTCGGCATCTGCTCATCCTATCACAGGTTCTCAAATTTTCCCCCAACAGCCTCTACAGTCTGTGCCGATCCAGCCCAGGCCCAGCGACAACCAGGGACCTGTTATCGTCAACGGGTCCAACATGGCAAGTACGAGACAACGACAGCCTTCTGTGACGATAGCCTCGACTCCATTAGTCCAGAAGGATAGTGAACCGACTCCCGATCTTGTTCCAATTGAGCAGATACAGCAGATGTCTTTGGATGCATCTATGTTCCATACCAACGGTCAGCAGCATGACATGGGTGAGGCCGCTCCTAGGCACTTCATTCATCGCACGAACGGACACACAGTTGAGCCTTCGCTGCCGGCTCATGTAGCCCAGAATGTCCCGACACCTGTCTGGAGGCAAAACGCCCCTGACCCCCAGGGAGTTTCGAGCCAAGCTGCACCCGTTTCACGAGTTCAAGACACCAATCATGCCTCTTCATCGAACCCGAATGACTCTATGCAAGCTGCTTCGCTGCACGCCGCTATGGGACCGCTTCTATCTCCTGTCGCCGAGATTCGTACACCATCGCCTGCAACTGGCCGAGCGGCCGAACCCTCCAAACTCGGACCCCACCACAAGCTTGCGCAAAACGTGCAGATTGTCAATGGCAAGCATGCAGAAGCGACGTCAAAGCCTCAGAATGGATATCCGAGCCGCAATGAGAATGGCAAACATCAAGCTCTTGCAAACAATACCCATAATTCTTGGCAGCAGGCCCCAGCAAGAAAGGGACACAAGAAGAGCAAGTCAAACACAGCGTCCAAGGGCTCACATGCTCCAAAGACTGGTGGTGGGGAGCCTCTGCCTGCTAACGAGGCCGATCGAAAGGGAGGATGACCGAGTTTGCAATGAACCCGGATAATTGGATACCTGGTCCGAATTTATGCTTGCCATTCTCTCTTCGACTGTTTGCTTGAGGCAGACAATGATCAACATCTTCATGATCGACGAGAGCACTGTTTCACATATCTGAATTTTACTTCATGTTTTGAAAGGCCACAAAAATATGAATATAAACGAAAAGGGGGCGCACCATATGGACTGTGCAACACATCAGAGCAGANAAAAAAAAAGAGGGGAGCACAGGAACATCTTCATGTTTTTCACAAGATACCATCGAGCGTTTTCCTTGTNNTTCTTCATGTTGATTTCATTTCATTTTCTTTCAACCATTCTTCCATCTCGGCATGGCGTGGGCATGGGCACAAATGAGTTTNTGCATGTGGCGCTTTGGCAGAGAANNCTGCATATGGCATCAGGGGATTAACAACATGGGTTTCTTCTTGCGATGTATAGAAAGGCGACCGAGATGAAGGAAGATACAGATAAAAGGACAAAAATGATCACCAAAAAAGTTGAAATTACCCATCGGATACTAGAGTTCTTCCTGCGTTGATGGCTACTTCTAACTTGAACAGTGGCAGTAGGCACATGAAAATGGTCACCTCCGCGCCTTCCTTGTCCATCCGGGGCAACTGTGGGGAGGATATGCAGCTCCGTCGATCGTTTCGATCGTGATATCCCGAACTAACTTCTTCTTCCACCAATCGCCTGCCATTGCTACTTACGATGTACTTTGGATCCACATAGCATGCACCTCGAGTCTACCGTAATGGGCAAGAGAGACGTCGACCCCTCAGTACGGTAGCCACTGGAGGGACATGTCTACCAGATCACCACCACATGACCGACAAGTATAAGAATCGAGCTCTCGCTGGTCTATTAGGGCTCATCATCAGCGATGTCTAGCTTCAAAAGTCTTGTTCTCGCATATCTGGCACTGTCTGTGGGTGTGTCTGCTGCTCCGAAGAAGACCAAGTTCAATTGGCATGACACCAAATACATGTGAGGCCCCGGGACCTGGAAACATGAGTCAACGCTAATTTGTATCAGGCTAGCATTTGGTGATTCATACACATACGTGCAAGGCACCGCTGGTCACGTAAACTCGACTTTCATCGGCGACTACTTTGACTTCTCATTTACCGAAGATGAGCTGTTGAGCAACAAAATAGTCCAGAATCAGGTCAGAAGCCAATTTAATAGACCCTGAGTGATAAAAGCTGATGCATTCACGTAGACCGGGACTGCCGAGGGTGGACCGAACTGGGTGGAGTACCTCACAGGCTGTGGTCTGAAGCCAGGCCTTACCTCACCACTCTCATGTAAGACGCAGTTATGGGATTTTGCCTTCGGAGGTGCAGATATTTCGACCAAGNTAGTATGTACTTGCTCTCTTGCTGCATGTTCAATACTGACGGCTAGTTACAGTACTCCTCGCCACCACAACTATACAGTCATGCTGGAAGAACAAGTGCAGCAATTCCTAACCTATGCTCAACCAGCACTATCTAAATTCGTTGATCCGTCAAGGACGTTGGTCGCCTTCTGGATTGGTATCAACGATATCAACGACAGTGCCAAATACGCTGTTGACTTTCCGGCCTTCTACGACAAGCTTATCACCACACTCTTTGAATCTGTACAGAGTGTCTATGATGCCGGATATCGCAACTTCCTCTTCATGAACCTACCTCCTTTGGATCGCACACCAGGCAACGTCCTCAAGTCCACCCCACTTCCCAACACCACAATGATAAACTGGTGGGACGACTTACTCACTTCACACATCCAGACCTTCAACAAACAAAATCCATCAGCCAATGCTTTTGGCTTTGACGTCAACAGTTTCCTGAATGGAGTCTTGGACCATCCTGACAAATACGGGATCAAGAACGTCACAGGATATTGCGCGAGTTATGATCAACCCTATATTAATACTAACCCCGAAAGCTATGGCTGTCTGCCTTTGGACGAGTATGCATGGTTTAATAATGGTCATATGACTTCTCATGTTCATGAGATCTTGGCTAAGGAGGTGAAGCAGTTTCTCAAGAAGCAGTAGTACAGACACAGAGAATGAGGAACCAGACTTATTGTTATGTTCTTTATAAACTGTTGTCGATCCTTGCACATGGGGTATCAGGTGCAGTAACCACATTGAACTTGAGGCTGGCTGTTAGCAAATCATGACTAGAAAAATGAGGTCCAAACAGCCATAGCAAATCAAAGAGAGAAACAAAAGCCAGCGAGTTGCCAAAAGAAAAGTACAAAACACCCTCCCACCCCTGATTCGAACCCTGGTCACTTCCAACAAGACTATAAATCTCACTCAATTTGCTTTCATTCCTGTAATGGGTCGAGTGGTGTAACGGCTTATACACTCCCGATTCGTAATAAAACGATCCCTGCCTTGTATGTCTTAATTCATGACCCCCAGATGACCGACATCTGGTGACTATGATCAAGGAAGTGAAGGGGATGGTTTTCCCATAAGAGCCCAGCTCTGGTTTTTGGTGTTTTGTTTTTGGTTGCTTTTTCGTGTCTGGTCCTCTTTCAATTGATTTTGCTTCAATTAAACAAAGGGAAGAGGCGTCTACTTCCTTGTTCGTAATTCTGTTGTTTGATGAAAGAGTTACAGCTTGACAACGGGTCTCAAGTTCGGTCTCTCTAAAAGAGGTGACCGATGCGTGATCACTATGTTTCCTGATCTATAGTAGATTGATCAAGGTGAAGACAGTGCCATGTGTATGTATGTTAGGTATAGGCGATGTCATGCTCATCTACAAGAATAAGGCGGATCGCTCAAACGCCATCCCAATGCTATCTATGTATTAATCCTCAAGGTATGCTTTCCCAGAACGCCATTTATCAGCGAAAACCTGTACAGAACTCATTTGCGGTGCTTGCAGTCCACGCTGACAATCTCTGCGTGGCCCCAGGCATTCAAGACCATGGCGGAGAGTTTGTCGCCATTCACACAGCCACTGTCAAGGCCCTTGCTCCATCTCTTGAGATTCAGGCCGCGAGGACTGTCGTGACCGTAAACGACAACGGACGGCTTTGAGTGTTTGACCAGTGGTTGAGCTTCTCCGCCATCGTCTTCGCTGTACAAGCTATTCAATGATTTCCACCATTCACTGGCTTCTGAAGACTCGGCAGCAGAACCGAACAGCCAGGATAGAAAGGACGAGTGAGTTCGTGAAATGCGGTCGTTGTACCAGCCCCAGACGCGTTCCCAGGGTATGCCTTTCTTACGATTCTCACTAGGGACATGATTGGTTGGAGACATGGATCTCATGTTCATAACAGAGAACGGATCTTGTCGAAGGAGAGGGACAGAAGGTACAAGGCCCGCATGCACGACATTGATATCGTCTAGAATCTTGAAGGTCTTCTTTTTCTTCTTTTTGCTGAGAGTATCCAGAGAAGAAGCCGCTGGAGCTGAATGCTTAGGTGGAGCAAGGGCTGAGATATGAATGATCAGAGGGAGCGAACGTAACCACTTGAGGTGGCGTGGTTTGAGGTAATCGAGCAGAGCTTCTCCTTTGAGTCCAGCACCTCTTGATGCGGCTGAAACGTCGGTAGAAGGCTCGTCGTTGGTTTCGACAGGAGCGCCTTTGGAGACTCGTGAATTGGCGGCCAGCAGAATACGGTCTTCATGATTACCACGCACAGACAGAGCTTCGAGAGATATCAGTGTGTCTATTACGCCGGGAGAATCAGGTCCCTTTGCGAGAACGTCGCCAGTGGCGATGATCTTGTCTGTGTCCTTGTTGAATCCGACAGCCTTCAGTAGTCTCAGAAGCTCGTTCTTGCAGCCGTGTATGTCGCCAATGAAAATCAGACGTCTCTTGCCACTCGGATCGGATGCGCCACCGGGTATGTAGTCGGACCGTAGTTGCTGTAGTTGTATGATACCGCTAAGCTTGTCGGGCATCTGATGGCCAAACGAGTCCGAGTTGTCGAGACCTTCTTCTAGAGCCTGTCGCTCTCGCCATGCCGGGAAGAGGAAGCCACTGCAAAGGAAGAATAGAGCGGAGCAGGCGACTATGACGAGAAACATTGCGCGGCGGACTTTGCGATTGATGCAAAAAGCATAACAGAGGTTGACAAACGAGGTGTCGGAATCGAGGTCGCAGCAATGTGTCAGTTCACGATCGTCGTCGTCGTCCGAATCGGAGTCGTAATGTGACCTCTCTGAGCGCTTCTCTTCTTGGTGATGCCAATTGTTCACGACGCGATCAATCAGAGGTCGGTTGTTGTATTGATATTGGGCAGGAAGGTAGCGATCGGAAGGATGGGTCCTGGAACTCATAGCGTCATACGCGTAGGAGAGAACATGAAGTTTAAATGCCGTAAGACAATATAAAGCAAGCACAGAACTAGAATATCGAACAACTTGTAGGGGACAAAGAGGATTGATGAAAGCCCCCTCAGGCTGCAGCGTGCAGAGTAGAGATCGATCAGATCACGGACAAATTATTCTTGTCGCCATCAACGTGAAAGGAGGATTGATTGCCAAGACGCGCGCGCGGCCTCGGCGACGTGCTCACCTTAGTGGCCCAGATTGATGGGGAGAGACGGTGCGAAAGTTGGAAAGTGACTCGACAGCTCCATATGAGAGGCAGCATCTCGTAGGCAATCACGTCAGGCAGGAGAGAGTGATTGAGATGCAGGTGCAGCCCTCAAAATGCGTGATCGTCCTCAGAGTAGTGAAGTGTCGAAAGTCGGCCGATGAGACGATGACGTTCGGTAGATGTTGTTGCGCTCTTTCCAAGAACGACTGTGTTTTGTTGCTACAAACGTGACAGAATTGGCGCTGGCAACGTCCTTCGTGCTTGCCTTCGACAGCTAACCGAAGAAGTATTGCCAGACAACTGACTTCGAGGACGACACTGATGTCTTCTCCTACCGATCACCAAGTCATCCATTAATCACCTAAACCGTCTTGATATTGATCTATATCCTACAAACGTTATCTGTTATATCCACGAGACTCACCCCACCATGGCCGCCACAACTCTCGACCCTTTGCCATCACCTATCGGAGTCCTCCCTTCCTGCATTGCAACTTCATCAACGATACTGGTTCTCACCTTGACGAACAACAAACTCGATGGCGGTGCTTAGGATGCAGGTGTTGTGACTCCAGGCTCCTATACTTCTACCGAATCCGTAACCAAGATGTTCACACTGCGGTCACAATCCAGATGGCGAGCGACCAACCTCATCGTCAGAGACATCAATGATCTTGTTCTCTTTCGCCTCAACCACAACACAACAGTGCAAGGGGTGGGATGTAAATGGACAGTACAGCTACCTAACGGGACTGATGAAAAGTCGGTTGTATCCTCCAACTCCTCGAAAACACTCAAAGGGATTGGTTACAGGTCGATCGGGTCCTCCGACTCTTCGAAAAGCTGGTCATGGAAAACAGGAATTGACTTGAGCATCGAGAATCTAGTTGGGGATGGCAAGCCAATCACTCTGAAGATCCGTCAGCCGAAGAGCCATTTGGACCTAAGCTATCATGTTCTGGCAGATGAAAAACTCGTTGCAAGAATCACAAAGGAGAAGGCCGGAGCCCGATCCATATATCCGAGTTGGGAGATTGAGGTTGCTCAAGGATTCGACATGGCTCTAGTATGTTATGTCCCTCTCTGGCGAAAGAATTTCATGCTGACCTTCGACAGGCATTTGTCATTGGCAGGATATTGGTCTGGCACCCGTTGATCAGGGCTCCCGCTGGAGGCGGCGGTGACACTGCAGCAGCATCACTACAAACAACATCACTGTTGCTCTTAACGACAGCAAACATGATGCTGCTTGTTTGAGTGTTGTTACTATCAAATCTCTACATTAGAGTTATCTGGTGCGAATGCAATCTCCCTAGATGAATCAAGAGCACCGTCGTACAAGTCTGCCTCATAATCCTACCATCGTTCCTTCTCCCGCCAAAAGTTAGTGCTATATAATGCTATAGAAATGCATAATTATTGAGTGAACCAGATGTGTGACCACAGAAATAGCCATCAGGAGTTATCTCTCCTTGGACAGTGCCTTGTTTCAGAAAGTATTGTGCATTTCTAAAGCTACGCTATCACAGTTTTTGGACACGGGGAGAAAAAGATAGGGGTGAGAACCGAATTTAGAGTTGACCACATATTATCTATAACTTGTCAGGTTCTCCAAAACCCCTCTCAGTAAGTATAGAGGTGAAGTGAAAAGTCTCTAAATTGGCCGAGGCGCTGTTATGAGTGCAAGCATAATCTTTCATTAGGCTGGAAAGCCATTGTATGTGAAGCGGAAGCAGTTGTGTGGAAATTGTATCGTCTAATCATGAAGGTCTAGTAATCTAGTACAAGTCTGTCAAAACATCTAGTGGTATCTTGGGAAAATCAGAACGTCAAAGGGTATATTTAAAGCTTGGCCTCCTTCTTGAATTCCTCGCTGAAGGGGTAGTCGGTGTAACCCTTCTCGCTCTTGGCAGCGTAGAAGGTGTCACGGTCGTAGTCGGCAAGAGGAATGTTCTTCTCGATACGGTAGACCAGGTCAGGGGTGGAAATGAAGTATCTGCCAAAGACGATGACAACGTCCTTGTCGGCATATTCCTCCTCAGCGGCACGACGGGCACTGTCGGCGCGGAATCCACCAGCAATGAGAATGGGAGAAGTGTTGCCCCAGGCCTCAATGGCGAAGTTGATCAACTCGGTCGACTCGACATCAGCGTTGCCCTGGATTCTAGACTCGACCAAGTGGACGTATGCGAGCTTGTGCTCCTTGAGGCCGTTGATGAGGTAAGTGAAAGTGGGAACGGGGTCGTCCATCTTCATGCCCTGGAAAGGAGACCAGGGAGACAGTCTGATACCGGTCTTGTCGGCACCAACGGCATCAACGACAGCCTTGGTGACCTCGAGAGCGAAGCGAGTGCGATTCTCTATGCTGCCACCCCACTTGTCGGTACGCTTGTTGCAGGTGTCCTGGGTGAACTGGTCGATCAGGTAGCCGTTTGCGCCGTGAATCTCGACTCCGTCGAAACCGGCACCCTCAACAGCGTTCTTGGCGGCGTTGGCGTAGTCCTTGATGAAGATCTGAATCTCCTCCTCGGTGAGAGGGCGAGGCTTGGGCGAGTTGTCGCTCATGGCAATGTCGGAGGAAGAGCAGAAGTCGTAACCATCCTTCTTGAGAACGCTAGGGTCAGCAGCACGGCCGAGGGCCCACAGCTGCATGTAGATAACACCGCCCTTGGCGTGGACAGCGTCAACAATCTCCTTCCAGGCCTTGATCTGGGCGTCGGTGTAAACTCCAGGGACGTTGTTGTAGCCACCAGCGCGAGCGGAGATGGGAGTGGCTTCAGTGATCAAGAGAGTTCCAGGAACGCAAGCACGCTGGGTGTAGTACTCCTTAACGAAGGGGAGTTGAACGTGGTCATCATCGGCGCGGAAGCGAGTCAAAGGGGCCATAGCCAGGCGGTTCGACAACTTGGCCTTGCCGATCTGAAGGGGTTGGAATAGCTTGGAGGCCATTGTGTATGAGTTGATCTGATGTTTTAGAAAAAGATAAGACGCTCGCTGGAAATGCTGCAATTGGATTGTAGAGACGAGGGAACTCGGTATGATACTCGGTTGGCACCTACTTATATGTCTACTCTAGTCAAGCACTGCTTTATTAAGCAAACTATGGAAGACGAGAGAAAACGGGTAAGGCCGGTGAGGAAATGTCATTGCCGAGTGCCCGGGGCGTGCACGATCGCTTACCAATCTCTTCTTTGTTACAACACAGCAAATGCTTGATAGAGCTCAGTGCTAATTGCGCAATCGGCATGCTAATATGGCGATTATCGTTGCTCGAGATTTGAGAGCATCTGCTAAAGAGAGCAATAAGTCGCCTAAGAAAGACGAATTGGTAATCTTCGAAGAGATGCTGTGCATAGAAGCCAAAGGGGAAGGTGGTATTTCGAAACGTCATTCAGAATGTTCGCCGTTGCGGCTAAAGTTTCATGCACCACGGGCGCCTCGCACTGACGCCGGGGCACGCGCCTTGGCATAGCGACGTGCTGTTGCCACTTTCTCGCTGTTCAAGATACGAAAACACAGCGATGTTAAAGTGAACCAAATCAGGCGATGGCGGAGAGAACGGCGCTGTTGATGGGAGGGGTTTGGTTCCTGCAGATCAAGTGCGACCCTGCTCTTGATAATTGCCTCTGCTCGCTGCGCAGTATACAAGGATGAAGACGAGATACAGATTGCAAGCTGTCCATGGAGCTCTAGAATTCTAGCGACGGCAATGTCTAAGTCTATAAGCATATCTCACCTATGCAACAGCATAAGAAACTCTGCTTGTTCCCTTGCTCCTGCTGATTTTCCTGACCGTTGTTTTTCCACAAGCCGTGGTGCTATCAACATGAGTACCACCACACGGATATGTGTCCGCTCCAACGATTTTGACCACCCTGAATTTCTCTCCCGCTGCAACATTAGGGTTGTCGGTGATTAGTCTCTCAAGTCCATTCTTCTTGAAATCCTCTTCGCTCCACCATTCAATCTCGACTGGCATATCGCCGTCAACGTACTCGTCAACCTTCTTCTGGATTGCATCTTTCCACTTGCCCTCGATTGATCCTTGGAATTCGCAAGATGCGGCATCAGGGAAGTGCGACGCCTTGAGTTCGTCAAAGCCTGCAATTTCTTTTTCGAGTAGTTTTCTGGTCGCGGCCCCGAGTACATGACCTGCAGTGTGTAGCCTCGAGTAGAGTAGACGCTTCTCGGTGTCGATCTCCTGCGTGACGGTCTCTCCTTCTGCGAATGCACCGTGTCCGGGCTCGAAACGTCCAAAATGCAGAACTTGTCCGTTGGAGATGGCATCCATGCGTACAGCGCTGACGTTGAAGACGCTGTTATTTGTTTTCATGATGCCCACGTCGGAAGGTTGGCCACCACCTTGAGGGTGGAAAATGGTTTGTTCGGTGATAACGACATGGTCGTCTTCACTGGCCTGTTTGAACAGAGATTGGTTGGCCTCTTCTAGCGAAGTTGCTGAACGTATCGATCGAACAGCTGTTGCAAGAGAGTACAACTTTGCATTGTGCTGGAACGCAAGATAAGTTCTTGTGGAAGCAGCCTACAGTAATAGTTAGCATGAATCGGCAGCTAGAATTCCACATATCATCTCCAAATCAAGTGAGTACGGCCCAGATGTCGGATAATTAGCACAAGCATCCCAAATGTCGACTCTGTCCTTCAAGAACACGTTGTCGTGGTATACTTGCATTTTTGATTGGGGAGTAGTTTGGTTTTGAGGGAAGAGTAGAAGACAGTTCGACCTACCATCGTTTCGATATACTTCGTAACACTTCTTCTCTTCTTGGATAACAGAATGATACAAAAGAAATCAATCGCTCGGTTGAAGAGAGATGAAGATGCCACGCCCTGTCGTTGACGGCCGACAGATCGGCAATCCTTGCCGTCAATGTGCCGGCCGCTCTTTACGCGATACGAGGGCTCTATGATTTTGATCGTGCAACTTCTTCCTAAGAAGTCACAACCATCCAATAGACTTGGTCGTTTCCAGGCGTAAATCATCCAAAGACACGCCGAGGTCTCCGATGTACAGCAGTGTCAAATGTTTTCTGGCGCTGCCCAACAACCCAATTTTTGTCAGAAGCTCGCGCAGGCATGAACATCCTTTACAATTCTCTCAAAACAGCAGATGTTGTTCAAATAGACTTCTTATTACCATTATACACTTTGGGGTGGGTGTACTCACGCTCCACCAGCGCAATAGACCGGACTTTGAAAGCGTCAGACTTTGAGATCGACACCCAATCCCCACACAGCAGCACAACCAACGTCTTCCTCAATTATGGTCGTAAGTTGGCGAACAGATATAAGCCCTAACCTAACAGGGGTTGATTTTCTCATGATGCTATAGCGAGAGTTTCTATGTGGAAACGTAACCTCAGTGTCAGCCTTGAACCTTGACTCCATCCCCACAAGAACCATTGGAAACGCAACACTATTGAGGTTGTATGAGGGCTGTACAAGGTTCACAGTCAAAGTTTTACGGTAGGTAGCTTGATTGATGAGCTGACCTGCCGGTGTTCTTTCTCAACTTAAGAAGTCGAGGACGTCTGCCATTGTGCTATACTGCCACCACTTTCGACGACCAACCATGTCAACCAAGGAGCAAATCGATGTGCTGCTCGCGCCCAAGCCGCAGCTCACAACATACAAGGTCAACCTCTCGATGTTCGATACCATCAAGGAGGATGAATATGGCATCCCCGCCTACGACAACGAGCTTCGCTCTGTGGATGCTGTTATATCGCTTTCCTCCGACACAAGATGGCAAGACATCGTTCCTTCGATCTGGGACATGATCTGCGATCAGTTCAGATACCTCCAAGGCGAACAGCCTGAAGATTACAATATGAATATGTGGATCGAGTACACAGTTGCCGAGTCCAGAAAGATTATCAACAAGAAAGCGGATGACACTTCATTCTTCGGCCTACTTGCTCGAAAGGACATCTGCGACATCTGCTTTGGTGTCGGCTTCACCCACCAGTACAAGAAGCTCTCTAAACATTACAAGTACCTCAAGCAGCTCAAGTCGCGGGGAGCAATTCGAACTCTTACCGATGGACGCTCCAAACAAGTGGACGCGTTGGAACCAAAATCAACGCAATCCGTCAAGGATTCGGATTCTCTGGACTCAATCGAAAAGGTCAAGGAAGGGGAGAATAAGAAGAGCCATCCCTGCATCGTCCAATGAGAGGCGAATGGCCTTGCCAACCCCACCCATGGTTCCGAAACTACCAGCAGGGTTGTATCCAATGTAAGTGCCGCTTCGAAACACGAGATTGATTTCACAATGCTAACTCCTCTCCAAAGCCTACCAAAACTCGATCTATACCATTGAGCGTTCGAAGGCATCTGTGATCTCAACATCCAATTACCTTGCGGCGGGTATTGTTCATCAGGCTGTACCTGCCGGAGCATCTCTTTACGAAATAATCAAATACACAGAAAGACAAAATCCACACTTCCTAGCTTCCGTCAAAGATTACATTCTCATTTATTGCTCACGCCTTTGCAATATTTCCGAACCGTCTATGTAAAACTTGCTCTAGAAGGAGCGAGTCGCTCTGGTTTGAACGTCATGTAGCCACCTGGTCTTCGGCAGACAGAAGCGCTGCGTCAGCCAGCGGTGGCAGTGAGAAAATGTACGATAGTATAGATTGAAACAAGAAGATTCCAGGGGATGTTTCGTCTACTGGATATGTTTGTACACTTTGATATTTGCTTCGCTTCCTCTAGCATCTAGATCTATAATTTTATCGAACACTCCACAAAAGTCCTCCGATGCCAATATCGACAATCAGATGCCATCCAATAGCCCAAGCCATGGCGTAAAGGTACTTTGGACTGAACACTGTCCAGATGAACAGATGCGTTCTCAACATAGTACAAGCCACCATCACAGCTAGCAAGCTTGCAGAGATAAAGATCGTCATCATACTGATGTGCTCATGCCAGATGTGTTGATCCTTAACCTCGCGAACATGTGTAGACACAGAGGATGTGGCCGCAGCTTGTTGGTGCAACAGATCTCTCTCCTCAAGAATCCACTTCTTGTTGCCCAGAGTCCGTTGTCTCTCGGCTGCTTGCTCAACACGATCAAGAGCTGCTTCTTCCTGCTCGATGGAGGGCAAGGTGAAGAGCACAGCCGCACACGTACTCCAGTATATCGGACCTGCCCAATTAGATGCAAAGAGAAGAACACCAACGGCAACGATGTTGTAGCCACTGACACCATTGTATGCATTGCTAAGATCGATGCTGGAGATTGCATTCGAATTACCAAGAGCAAAGAACGACGTATGCGCCATGAGGAGGATTGTGACAGTGGTAGGAAGTATCGGCAGAGGTTTTGTGTACGTGTGAGAATTGGTGGTGATAGGCGTGGTTGGACGTGAAATCAGGTAGAAGAGGATTTGAGACTGCAAATCAAAGAACATGAAGAGCGGGATGTTCTGGGCACGCGTCTGGGTTATAAGGAAAAGCGTCAAGAGATCGTGAAGACGAGACGGAAGACGAGACGCCGTGAATCCGCTAGCACCCTTCTTCGCTGCTTCGTCATCGCGTCCATATCCCAACACGACCATGACGAGAACAACAAGCGTGGCAATGGCCATACCCACGAAGGCGGTCCTGGCTTGGGTTACAAGATCCAATTCGGAAGTCCATTCTCTGATGGTCTCGGCGAGACCACCAACCAACTCTGGCGCATCGGCCTGGGTGAAGTTTAGCTTAAACACAAACGAAGGTAAGACCAAGGAGATGGCAGAGATGGTTGCGAATTCTGGTGCCAAAATGTCGGCCAGAGTACGACGACCGATGCGGAAGGCTAGTTGGATATACGCCGTGATGATGAGCACCCAAAGGATGATGTAGTGGTCAGGGAAGAAGGCGTGAGCGACATCGGGATCGCCAGCATGTTTCTGTCCAGTCTGGTTCCAGCGTGTTGAGAGACGGTGAAGTGCGAGAAGGACGAAACTCGAGAAGACCAATGATGTTTGAAGTCCAGTGGTTTTGGTTNNCTAGGCAGAAATTGTTAGCTGATGATTTTTTGACCTGAAAATTCGTACGCACTTTGCGGCATAGAGATAAGCCATCCAAGCTGCCGTGGCCCAGTACCAAAAGTGTTGCTCTTCTTCGACATAACTGGTGGCAAACATCATGATGCCATAAAGAGCGGTAAGCAGGGCGAAGCCTAAACCAGCTGATGTAGGTGGCCAATTGCTCTGTCTAGAGTTGATGGCCAAGACAAGAGAGACAGCAGAGACAGCCGCTCCCTTGAGCAGGCGATCTACCCTATAACTACTCGCAGTAGTACTTAGGACATCCTGAGCATCACTGAGAAACNNTACAAAGGGATCAGTACAAGTTATGGGAGATGATGAATCTGCTTGACTGACTTCGTTGAGATGGACGACCGAAGCGACAAGCTCTCCTGGTTGCAGACTACGAGATAGAGCATCTCTAACCAAGAACCACCGGCACTTCAGTCTTTCCTCGTCTTCAAAATCTTGGCAGTCCATCTGGATCGAGCCTTGAGTTCTCGGATCGTACTTCCAGGCATCAGAGTCACCAAACTTGGCCTTGACGATGCCCAGCATCTGCAATGCGTTCCTGTAAAGCAACTCGGCTGCAGTATTCAAGCCGGTGCTACTAGCCTTCGTCTTCCAGAAGCCAAGCATCTCGGGAAGGATGATTCCAAGGTTGTTGCGAGGAATGGGAATGCCTAAAAGAGCAGAGAGTGTAGGCACAACATCGTTCTGAGCAACCTTGCGGTAAAACTCAAACTCGGTACCTTCTTTGGGATCAGTAGGAGCTTGATAAGGTGGCTTTTCCAGGTCTATGAATTTGGGCGAGATGAAGACCAGAGCGGGCTCAGTCTCACCAGGAGCAGAGCCTCCGTGGTTACCTCCGGAGTTCATGCCGTGGTCACCAGCCACAACGAGCAAGGCATCGTCGAGGTGGTGATTGAGCTCCATGGCCTCGTATATCTTCTTAACAATACCATCCATCTCTTTCTGCTTTGGCAGCATGTTGGGGCTCAGGGGNCCGGCTTTGTGACCAATGTGATCCAGGCCGAGATAATGCATAATCATGACATCCCAGTCGGGTTGTTCAAGCTCTCTTGGAACATGTCGCGTGACGTTGTTGTCGACTTCGGTGAAGTCGGAGACGAAAAAGGAGCTAGTGCCATCGTGACGGGAAAAGAAGTCGGGAAAGAGCTTCAGCCAGGTATCGTCGCCATAGAAGACGAGGTTGCCGTTTCTGAGATTTGCCTTTGCTTGAGCGAGCCATGTATCCTGAGTAGCCAATGATGAAGTGGTATCGCTCTCGGCGAAGTTGAGAATGACATCGAGGAATGAAGGCACCGAGCCTGTGGTCAAAGCCTTGACTCTGGGCATGGTGATGGTGGGCGGAGAGGCATGTGCTGTGAAGGGCAGGGCGGCGCCAGAGCGTATGAGGCTTTGCGTGAAGGCGAAGCCTGATCCATGGCCGTATACAAAATCACTAGCTGGTCATCAACAAAGCGTTCTCGGTCATGCGTCTTTCGAAGAACGCACCCACCTCCTCAACGCGTCCACGGTCATGAAGATGACCTTGTCAAAGATCCTCTGTGGCCGATCATTGCCTTTGAGTAGGCCCAGTCCCAGCTCTTCATTTTCAACCTCTTCAAAGGTGGCCAGGCCTGACAGGAAAGGCTTGTAGGGAAAGAAGCCTGTCGCGAAGACGAGTACCGCAATGGGTAGGATGATGTTGGCAAGGGCAAGAGCGATGCGCTTGGACGTCGTCGTCATTGTTGTCGTTGCACTGTGTTTGAGTCTTATACTCGGCCGTCCATGTTCTCGTGTTTTCGACCCGTCGCACTTGCAAACTTGTCGCAATTGATGTGGTCGACTGCTCTCTCCTTTCCATCTTTCTTGTCCAGCCGGTGACGCGCTTCTGTGGGGAAAGCTCGACCAACTTTTGCCCTCACCCTGGCCTTGACGTATCTCGACAAGATAGCCATCTCATATGCTAGTGTTACTGGAATCAAGACTTCAGCTAACCTGCACGGTACCCAGTTCAACTGGATTGCAAGCATCTTCTTCTTTGGTCAACTCGCCTTTGAGTTCCCTACTATCCGCCTGCTCCAGCTTTTTCCTCTTGCCAAATATGTTGCTGTCAACGTAGTACTTTGGGGCGCCGTCTTGGCCAGTCTCGCTGCATGCAGGTCCTTCGCCAGTCTCATGGCCTGTCGTGCCTTACTCGGAGTCGCTGAAGCTGCCATTGTTCCTGCTTGGGTCGTCTTCACCAGTCAGTATTACCGACAGGAGGAACAAGCTTTTCGTGTTGGCGTCTGGTTCTCTATGTGTGGGTTCGCTCAAATGCTAGGCGGGTTTTTCTCTTATGGTGTTGCCAACCATGTCAGAGGCGACGTTAATGCCGCTCTCAAAGGCTGGCAAATCATTTTCCTCTTCCTCGGTCTGTTCACCTCAGTCGTTGGTATTGTCTTCTGGTTCGTCTTGCCCGACTCTCCCCTAACAGCCAACTTCCTTTCCACAGAGGAGAAGGCTTTGCATGCAGAGCGCATGCGTGAAAACGAGCAAGGCATTGGCAATCGTATCTTCAAGTGGAACCAGTTTTGGGAGGCTCTCCGAGACATCAACACCTGGCTATATGCGTTCTGGATCTTCGCTGCCAATATTCCTAATTCGACTGCCACTAGTTTTGGTAACATTCTGGTCACTGGAATGGGCTACACAAAGAAAGAGAGCTTGCTGCTCTNNCCTCTCGGTGCTTACGAGGTTGTTGTGTTGATCGGTCTCACTTATCTGGTCGGCAGAACGAACCAGAGACTTTGGTGCTGTATCGCAGGACATATACCTTCGATCATTGGCGCTGTTCTCATGGCCACCGCAAATAAGGTGCCAGCGCTCACAGGGTCTTACCTTACCGGGGGCATTCCGATAGGGTGGACAACGATTCTTGCACTGCAAAGTACTAACGTCGCCGGATCAACCAAGAAGATAACCGTGACCAGTATTGGTGTCATCGCCTATACTGTGGGTAACATCATCTCACCGCAAGCTTTCCAGACCAAGGATGCGCCGAGGTATCTGCCTGCCAAGATAAGTATCTGCATTCTTTACTTCCTAACCACGGTTGATCTGTATCTGATTCGATGGTTCGCTGTAAGAGAGAACAGTCGCAGAGATCAAGAACGACAGGAGCTTGGAGACAAGTACGTCGTGGAAGAGAACCACGAATTCTTGGATCTTACGGATCGCGAGAACAAGGAGTTCAGCTATGCTGTATAATTAAGTCGAGGCATTGATCTGCATTGTCAGACTTGTTCTATCTCTTCATACACCCAACATAACATCTCGTGTCTCGTCAAAGCCATTGCTTCAAGTGATCATTTTCCTTCACGCCCCTGGAAGTTGTAGTCGGGCACTTGAAACTTCTTGTCTCCACCACCAAAGCTAGGCAAAGATGGAAGAGATTCGAAAAACTTCTGGAATCCTGGTCGCGCGATTGTTCCAAAAACGGACCTGAGCACCCAGATACCCAAGTCTGACTGCGGAGCGGCGAGCTTGGGGGCTCTTCCTCCCAACGGAATGGAGCCATTTTCCTGTACAAAGCCTTCAAACCTCTTCTTGTAGTTGGTGAAGGCAGCGGCCGGGTCTTCTGGGTTGGCTGTGAGTTCTCCTGCGAGAATGTAACTTCCGATGAGTGCCATGGTGGTGCCTTGTCCTGTCAGAGGGGAAGGGCAGTATCCTGCATCACCGACCAGAGCACAGCGACCCCTATGCCAAGTATCAAGTTTCACTTGCACGACTCTGGTGAAGTAGAAATCGTCGGAGTCCTTCATGCCTTCTAGTACTCTGTCCTTGATGCCACCAATGCCCTCGAATCGCTGTTCCAAGAGTGCTTTTTGTTGCTCTACTGTCCCGTGTCTAGCTGCTTGTTGCAGGTCTGCTGCATCGGTTGTGGTGACAATCATATAACCAGAAGCTCGACTTCCGGTCCTGTCAATCGGTCGCAGCCAGAGAATGCGTCCTTTGTTGGCGTGTTGCAAGACTGAGTAGGTCATCTGGTGTTTGGGGTCGACTTGCATGGAAAAGTATGCCACATAGGTATCGGTTTGCTTGAAGCAGTTCTCGGTTGCTGCTTTGTCGAAAGTAAGGTTTCGTACTCGAGAAGTGACACCATCTGCGCCGATGATTGCGGTGTACTCTTCCGCTTGGTTGGTGTCTGAGAGGATTGCTGTCACGGAAGATGACCCTTCTTGGATCTCGATTACTGTGCATCTATCTGATCGTTAGAAGAAGCTCGTCAGTAGTGGAAAGTCAAAAAGCTCACCCNNATATCTATATTCCACCCCTTGCTCTTTCGCAGCATCCATAAAGATATTCGTCAGAGTCCCACGCATAATCNNTACATCACCCACAAAATCAGCATCGACTTCCTCTCAAACATTCTCATTCGCACGTACCTCAATCTCGTTAGTCGGCGAAAAAGCCGTCTTACTCTGATCAGCCGGATTAGTCCCTACACTCCCAATCTTATTCCCTGCATCATCCAACAGAGCAAATCCGCTCTCTCCAGTAGTATTCTCCTTGATCTTTTCCCACAGGCCCATTTTCTTTACTACATCGACAGCTTCATCTGTGATGTCGATGCCTTGGCCGTAGGGAGGTATAGTGGAGCGTTCGGCGATCGTGACTTTGAAGCCTGCTTTTGCGAGCCAGAAGGCTGTGCTGGAGCCTGCGGGACCACCGCCGACGATGAGGATCTGATGCATANNTTTTTGAGTCGTTCTTGGCTAGAGTGTTGGTTTGTGAAGAGAAGACCCGAGTGATGGAGATGCTATTGCTTGCTGCTCTTGTATTTGGTATTGTCGATGAAGGTGTAAAGACAACAACTCTTGTCCTTGAATGATGGAGATGCTTCTGTAGTATTGATCTCTGCCGTAGAACATACATAACGGAGTTGGACAAGACGGAGAGACACACTGGTACTTATAGATGTCTAAAGCAATCGTTCTTCAATGATGTAAAGAATGTCTAGGTAGCAACTTTGGTGCTCGGTCGTGTCTCCGGTACTTATTAAGCCCCATTAGGCAAAGATCAGCGGTATACCTCGGGGCTGGTCCCCGAGCTCTGTGTCTTTTGTTGTGATGAACTCAATGATCCGCTCAGATGAGCAGATGGTCGAGATCGATTGCTAGTCGTCCTAGATACATGTCATCCGCTCGATCCTCGGATATGTTTAAACAGATCATTCCGTGGTTTTTTTTGTTGCCGGGTCATAGAAAACAGTCAAGCGCAAAAAGCGGAACCGGCGCTGAACCTGGCAAACCAATCTACCACAACTTTCAACGCCGTGGAGGGAATAGCCTGGTAGAATGATTAAGACAAACCTCTTACCAAATTCCATAAACGACGGTCGAGAGGTCATTAGGAGGCAATGGTCCTGGTGTTTACGCAGGGACCAGGAAAGGCCAGGGTGCTCCTGCTAACATACATTTCACTCGGATTCTGTTCAAATCCTTGTACTTCATCAATAGTCTTCTGGCACACCGTAGAACAAGACCTAGCCGCTGCAACAAAGGTAGGAACGTGGGAGCAGAAAAGACATCGACAAAGGCGCTAGGAGAAATCATTGTGCATATCACGTGAATGCCAAACGAATTTATGCTAGGCTTCACATCAAAAAATAAGGGTCCACAAATTCCATGTCGACGTCAAAAAATTCGGATTCTCAGCCCTTTCCACCATCTTCTCCTAATAGCGATGGTATACAGGCAACGGGCAAAAGTATATTGACGAGAGTGGGATTTGAACCCACGCCCTTTCGGACCAGCGTATTGGATGAACCTTAAGCTGGCGCCTTAGACCGCTCGGCCATCTCGCCCTTGATGGAGAGGGATTCTCCGGACGGGTACAGAATAGAACGAACGAGGCGTGCGCATTGACCATGCTTCGGGCCAGTTAATTGGCTTTGCTGGTATTCCTTCTTGTAAAGATCGTCGTCGAGTGCGGGTACTGGCAATGGATGGTGGTGATGTGGTGTAAGTGTTGGAGTGTGACGATAGGGGAGATCCGTTCGAGCCCTCGCCTCTTCCCTCACAGCTCCTGTAGACACACAGAGAAAGCCACGAATAATGGCGACCAAACGTCAAAGGAAATAGTTATCTGGGTGACGGTGGTCAAGACTGTGTGGAAGGTGAGGCCGTCATTACAGGATGTGTGCTGGCTTGACGTTCCAGATCTAGAGTAGTGTTGGAAGAGCCGGTACTTGGAAGAGCTTGCCGATGCTTCTACCGATGCCAAGGATCAATGCTTTGATAGTCTCCTTGTAAGGTCTGGACATGGCTGTAGAAGTGCGCCAGAATTAGGCTCGTCGGTTCTGTTTTCTGGAAGTGGACAGGCTGTGATCCAAGAGGGCATGAGAGTCCTTGAGTGTCTTCTAGAAAATACCCATACGCTGGCCCCACCCGTCGTTCTTGGGGTTGACTAGGACGTGGTATGGGAAAGTGTTGGTATCTTGAGTGGTGATGGGCGGGACGTGGTCTTTGTTCTGTAGTACGATATCGGTGATCTTCATGACGGCATTGTTGAGTGACTTTTCTATGGCTTTTCGGGAGGTGGTCGCTTCNTACACCCAGATGTCAGTCTTGCATAAATACTACAAACGAGGCAACCAACCTTGATGAGTGCGTGGAGACGCCAGAGCAATGTTCAGCGTCCAGGTTTCCCAGACTAGATCCTCATCTTTTGCTCCAAACCAACCCTTCTTTCGTCTGCGTTCTCGCTCGCTGAACTGCACGACAATCTGACCACGCGTGTTCTGGTTCTGGTCGTTGGAGTCGGCGTCGACCTGACGGACGAACTGATCAACACGCTGTTCGATAAGCGTTTGCAAGTCGACATCTTGTATCCAAGGTATGGAAACGTCGAGCACATCGTGCGTGGAGGGCTCGAGGTTAGCGAAGATGCGATACCAAAAGATGGTATGAAGAATGCCAGTGACGACGTCTTTGGCGTTGGCTTTGTCAGCGAAGACGTCGATGTTGAAGGAAGCCACTCGTCGTTCTTCCATGATGCAGGGATTGGATAATGATTATCTCATGTTGCGAGGAAGAGTGCTGAGCTGGACTTGTCCATGTCTCTGTCGAGAAAACACGTCGCTTCTTGATGGCAGTGACTGCTTGCTCATGAGAGCTCCTTCTCGATAAACACCCGCAATCTGGTGCAGACCGTGGGGATGACCGGTCCGAGCTTCAGATACGTCAGTGACCTTAGCTCCGACGACGGCTTGTCATATTAAGAGAACAGCAGCATCAGCAGCTTCGTCTCCTGCTCTCATCAAACCTCCATGAAGCATTGCACCAGAAGCCAAGAGGGTGTCGGATGAGCCTTGCGCATGTCTTCATCGCCACCATGTGCCTCTCTGTATCTCCAGATGCCTTCGCCTCGCCAGGCACATGCCCCACTGATCTACGAGCCTAGAGAGCGTGCGCCTGGGTCGGCGCTTCCCGCTCCAACATCAAGCACGCGCTGCCTGTTGACTCTCGGCCGGCGACAGCGATGCTACAGATGCCACCATATCGCTTCACGTAAACCCAAACCTTGCGCCAGTATGCCGTCCATGCTGCAGCTCGACCTCCTGTCAAGCGTCTTCAGCAGAAGCTCTCGTGCGTAAGTGCTTGTCTCCTTCCTTATCAGTTCCTGGCCAAGACTTGAGATAGGACTGTGCTTCTTCAATCTCAACAAGTACCCTCCTGATCTACACTCCATCAATTGTTTGCTGCCGCCCTCGCACTCGTTTCTGTGACTCCTTCTCATGCCATTTGCTGTCTGCTCGTCGGACTTCCGCGTGCCAAGTCGCTTTCAACAAGCCATTCACGCTAGGACATGCACCTCAATCTACCATTACCTTAAAGAAAGTGTGCGACATTGCCTCCAGACCCTCTGCTTTGGCAAGGTAGGCTCATGAGGCCATGCCCTCACAAGATATCATCATCATCCTAGGTTATACTGCATTCAGGATACGATTGGCGTCTCTTGGCCCTCGTCTCCTGCAACATGCAGCTTTAATGGTTACCTCGTTGAACACAAACCCCTCCTGGTGAACTCCCGCTTTTGGAAGGAGACTTGGAGATAAGAATTGCCATCATATGGCATATAAAGGTTGCTCGTTCTGTGAAATCGTGTGCTGGTTCAAGGTTCAGGTTCTCTCATGCAGCACAAGATGTTGTTCAACATCGCCACTCTTTTGGCTCTTGCCCCTTCTGTTCTTTCGGCAATCACGGAAAATGGTGACAAGAAGAAGCGCGATGTCGTCCCTGGTGGATACATTGTCGAATTTGAGGATGTCATGTCTATCGCTTCTGATGTATGTGTTGATCCCTTGATCGAAAGAATTGCCATTGACATGTTTGATAGANCCAAATTCAACTTCTACTCTGAGCTTTCAGACAAGAAGATGAATCCTACTCACCGCATGGATCTTTCGTCTTCTCTCTTCAAAGGTCTTTCATTCCATGTTGATACTGGTCTTGACCAGGCAGTTGTCGCTTCAGACATTCAAGCCATGCCTATTGTTCGCAAAGTCTGGCCTATCTCACTGTACGATACTCAAGACTTTGCAACCGCTCCCTATGCCAATGGATCAAACTCTACAACTTCTCCTGACACCTTCTCCACTCACCTTATGGGCCATGTCGACAGACTGCACGCTGAAGGCTTGACCGGAAATGGAACCTTTGTTGCAATCATCGATACTGGTATTGATTACCTCCATCCTGCCCTCGGTGGCTGCTTCGGCCCCGGTTGTAAGGTTGCATACGTGAGTAGTTTAGTGNCAAGCTTTGGAAATGCTTGCTAACGTTCGGAAAAGGGTTATGATTTGGTTGGTGATGATTACGACGGTACTAACACCCCTGTACCCGACCCTGATCCATACTCTGCCTGTAACGAGCACGGCACCCACGTTGCGGGTATTGTGGCGGCTGGTACTAACCCATATAACTTCACCGGCGTCGCACCCGATGCAACTCTAGGTGCTTACAGAGTTTTCGGATGCTCTGGAAGCGCTGGCGATGATGTACTTATTGATGCTTTCACCCGTGCCTACGAGGACGGAGCGGACATCATCACTGCCAGTATCGGTGGCCCCAATGGCTGGACTGGTAAGCCGTCTTGACAGATAAGAAGCGTGGGATACTGATGCTTCGCAGAGGAGCCATGGACTGTCGTAGTCTCTCGTATCGTCGCAGCTGGAACTCCCTGCACTCTTGCTGCTGGTAACGATGGTTCCGAAGGCCTGTTCTACGGTTCGTCGGCTGCTGATGGCATTGGCGTTATTGCTGTTGGATCCATCGACAACATTGAGTCCCCCGTGTTCACCACTTACGGTAGATACACTGTCGACAACTCAACAAATGGTCAATTTGGCTACCTGGCCGCTGCTATCGGCATGCCCAATGTCAGCCTACCCCTATGGGCCGTCAGTGAAGACAGCACCATCGTTGACGATGCTTGCGAACCTCTTCCTGCCGACACCCCTGATCTTACCGGCAAGCTTGTTCTCATCCGCCGTGGCACTTGCACTTTCGATACCAAGGCCGCAAACGTTGCTGCCTTTGGAGCGCAGTACGTTCTGTTCTATAACAACGCCCCCAGTCTCACCTCTCCCAGTGTGACTGACCCTGACATCCTCGGAGCAGCCATGGTCTCCGCTGAACAGGGTGCTTCTTGGGCTGCTAGCCTTGCTGCTGGTTCTGCTATCCAGGTCAGCATCGATGGCAAGTTGACCGTCTTCTCCAGCCCTGCCAACAATGTCACTGGTGGACACATGTCAACATTCTCGATGTGGAACCCTACCAACGAGGCCTACGTTAAGCCCGAGATCTCTGCCCCTGGTGGTAATATCTTGTCCACACTCCCTCTTGAGCAGGGCGGTTATGGAGTCCTGTCCGGTACTTCGATGGCTACGCCCTTCATCGCTGGTGTTGTTGCACTCATGAAGCAAGCTCGTCCCGGTATTGAGCCTCATACCATTCGTGCTATTCTTGGCACTACTGGCCATCCTGTCACTTTCAACGATGGCAAGACTACCTACGACTATCTTGCTCCTGTTGTTCAGCAGGGAGGTGGCGAGGTCGACGCTTTTGCTGCCGTTCATACGTCCACTGTCATCGATGTTGCCAACCTCGCTTTCAACGACACGGCTCACTTTGTCCAAGAAGCAAACTTCACCATCACCAACCGTGGCAGCGGCGATATCACCTACAACCTCGACTACGTCAATGCTGCCACGGCTTATACTCTTCCTGATGATGGCAGCACCCAACCCCAGACCTTCCCCCCAGATCTCGTCACTTCCGGAGCAAGCGTGCACTTGAGCTCTAGCAGCGTGAGCGTCGCAGCTGGCAAGTCTGAAGTCGTCATTGTCACTCTGTCACTTCCCAAGGACCTCGCAACCGCTCGTATTCCCGTGTACTCAGGCTTCATTACCATCAATGGAACCAATGGCGATTCTCTGAATCTCCCTTACGCCGGTATTGCATCTTCGCTCAAGGACGCCACTGTCCTTGACGCCAGCACTGGATACCCATACATCACCAGCACCTCTGACAACACCTTTGTTCCCCTGAACTCTAGCACTGTCTTCACCATTTCAGTTGCCAACACTACCATCAATGGTACTACCGACAACTCAACCGGTCTTCTGATCCCCAACTTGAGAATTGGTCTCGTCATGCCTTCTTCCCTCATCCGTGCCGATCTCCTCCCCTCAAACTCTACATATGGTACCTACACCAACACCACCACGATTCTTGGTGTCAAGACTTTGGGTGCTATTGCCGGCAGCCCGAGTATCTACCAGCCTAGAGCCAATGCCTGGAGCACCGCGTTCTACGGTGTCCTCGACGATGGCAGAAGAGTGCCCGCTGGTACTTACTCCATCCTCGTTCGCGCTTTGAGAATCTTCGGAGATGCGACAAACCCTGATGACTATGACAGTGCTGAGACTCAGCCTTTCACGATTAGGTATGTGCATTAAGCGTATTTGAGTGATGGATGTATCCCTTGATATTTGTTGTTCATAGGTGGTGGTTGTGGTTTAAAAATCAAACTGTTCTTCTTCCAGCCCTTGTTCTTGCTGAGATCTATATAAACTGCTCAAGTCTCGTGCATGTGGCTGTAAAAGTTGTCCTTCGTCTTTGGGAAACAGAGGATCATCGTGGATATGAAGAATGGTTTGTATCTATTCTTTCGTGCTTGAACCTAGATAAGCTGAATCTCAAACTCCTGAAAACACATTCTGTAGTTCAACAATTGCAAAATCCCTTCTTTCATGAGCTGACACTTGAACGCAAAAGTCCTCTCCATCACAGAATCGAACACACGACCCCCAAAGCCCAACCACACCCCTGATAAGGTCCCAGAACTGAATTTAGTCAACAAAAGCAGCGATGGCCCAATGGCTAGGGCGCCTTCACCATTGAACGACCCTGCAAACACAAGCATTGTCACCCAGAGCCCGACGCGCCCGAAATCTCATCTGTGATCGGAAACTGCCCAACTTGCAAACACAAGGGAATGGCCTCTCCGGGGCGTGCACGATGATGGGGGTGGATTCGAGGGAGATGTAGGTTCGAGTCCTACTCACTGCGATTGATATTTTTTGCTCTTGGCCTGGTGGCTCAGTTCATGGTGCAAGTTCCTGACCAGCCAGCTGGTGGAGGTTGGTTCTGGGTGTTAACCTTGGTCGACTTTCTTTCTGCCTCCTGGACTCTCAGTCTGTCTGCTTCTTCAGTTCTCAGGCTCACGGCCATTGTTCTTAGGAGGTCTTCGAGTTCATCCAGCTCAAAGACAAGCTCTCGCTCAAGCATGATGACTCGAGTCTCGGATCTGTCGTCTTCGGCGCCAGGTACCGCATCTTGTTCTTTGGGATCGTTGTTGGTGTCGTTGTTGTTGATGGTGTTAGCAAGAGCTTGGGTCCGAAGTCTTGCAGCGTGATTACTTTTTGGAAGTCAAATGGTGAAGCAGGTCCAGTAGTGGCGGGAGCGACACGCCCAGTTTGTGTTCCCACAGCCTTTGCAATTCCCTCGGTTCTTGTTCTCTCTTCTCCAGCCTTTGGAACTTCCTCTTTCTTACTTCTTGCGTCTTCAGCTTGTTCATTAACCAGAGCCTGTTCAGCTTCCTTTTCCTCTCTCGCTCTCTTCTCCTTTTCTGCTCTGTCTTTCTTCTCTTCTTCCTTCTTTGCAGCATCCTTCTTTGCTCTTTTCTGCTTTCTCTTCCTTTCTCTCTGGGCTTCCTTGTACTCCCAACCTGGCTCGGCGTCTTCGCAGACCGAGTTCCACATTTCGAAATCTTCGTAGTTGGGGTTCGAGAGCTTGTAGCCTCCGTATCTGGGGATTGAGGAGTCACTGTCGTCGCCATCGCTGGAGTATGAGGAGCCCATGTCAATTGATTGAGGGAAGGGATGTTTTGTGTATGGGAGAGGTTGTTGATGGTTCTGCAGATTGGCTTGGTAAGTGGACTTTGGAGAACATGGTTCGAGGATTTATACCTGGATGACCGAAAGTGAGAATGGTATGTATAGTAGAATATAGAATCGAGTCCGAGACAAGACAAGAGGGATCAAGACACGTCCTCGAATTTTGAGACACATCCTTTTGAGATCGAGATGAACACCGCACCTCTTCGAAACAGTTGTCTTCATCATGTCTTATCTCGAGAACTCGACGGACTTGGAGATGCAGTCTCGTAATGGACCGCAAGCTATTGTAGATACTGTCTCCATTGTTTGACATAGCCAAAGATGTTGCTCTCCACGTAATGAACAGAGACAACAATCTCAGATCAGGCGACGAACCGACCTCCATGTGCTTAGAGTCTACCGCATGCAAATATGTGATGCAAAATCGTCGAGAAACCATGGTTGTTCTTACTTCATCATACCAACTCTTGCAACATGTCTTCTAGATCTTCTCTTCCAAATGGTACAGCCAGTCTTTCAACACCTAGTCCATCTTTCTTGCTCTCCACCATATCATGATCGTGAAACTCTTTGAGCAAAGTCCTGAAACTCATCTCAGACGAACAAACAAACTCTTCGACCGCCTTGTGATACAGTGTCCTGTACTCGACGCCCACAAATGACGAAGTCTTGTGAACCTTGGCTTTTGGTGGTGCCGCCTTCTTCGGCGGACGACCTCGGCCACGGGTAGGCTTTGTGACATTACCGTGATCCATATCCTCATCACCCGAGTGACCGAGGATACTATCCGAATCAGGAGATCCGGGTTGTGCTTCGAACGTAGAGTCGGCGAGGGCCAACTGCTCAGCGACCAAGATGCGGAACAGGTTTCTCGCATTCTCGGGCAATGAGCGCAGTACATATGCTACGCCGTCCTTTCCACCTATGCGACGACCACTGCGGTTTAGAAGTATGTTGACCTCTTCCACTGGGTCAAGTTCTGCGGTATAGGGTGCGAAAGTTGTGGTATCGTGGAAAAGGAAATGGAGATAGGAGCGCTGAGATATGTCCCAGAGTAGTGGGAAGGTCGGCGTATCTGCTGACACAACTAGACAGACGTTGGGATGGGCGGCCAGAGCCGAGATGGTAGACTGAAACAGGGGTTTACGGAAGAAAGGACTGTCGATCGAGTGGGCGATTATATAGATAGGTGTGGAGGGAGAATTCGTCGTCAAGGCGGAGAGTAGAGCATCCAAGAGAGCCTGAGGCTGGAGAGGAAGCTTGTTGGCTATTGAGGAAGGGAGAGAGTGTTTTGCGATGGTGGTTAGAACGTCTCTGACCGAGATGTTGGGCGAGTACCCGTTCACGATGACCAGATTAGGCTTCTTGTCCGAGGCTTGGTATGTATGGTCTGCAAAGTCGAGAAGAAGTTCACGCTTGGAGCCATAGCCGTAGATGCAGATGTTGAAGCCTTGATCGAGTTCGAACAGCCACTGATCGAAGCTGTTTTCATGAAGACCAGCCAGGAACTTTGTGTCGGCAGCGTGTGGATCTTGGTATGGATTGATTTTGGCAAAGTAGTCGTCGTGGTTGAGCAGAGCATTGCCCGGCAGGGTATTGGTCGATGTTTTGACAGCTCCTGGCCTGTTCTGGAAGAAGTGCAGCTCATGCGGTGGCATGTCTTGTGGTGTGNNGGGGACGGCTGCCTCTTCTTGCCCTTTGGTCTTCCTCTCGGCCTGGGAGTCNTTAGAAGGAGTGCCTAGAGCAACCGTGATGGTATCCTCGTCTGCCATGTCTTGATCCGACTCGACAGCGTCATCTAGGATTTCGCGAGCCAGGGCATCTTCCAGACCGGTGTCGTCTGCTGCAGATTCGTCGTCATGTCGTGGATCGAACAAGGTCTTGTGGCTCTTGCGCCGGGCGGAACGGTCTGCATTGAGGGCAGCGGTCAAGGGTGAATCCTTGGTCGGCGCGTCTTCAATGTCATGGTCGCCGGGTTTTGCTGGAGTGGAGAAGAGTACCTTCCGTAGAGAGCGTGGAGTTCCTTCTTGTTTGAGCGTCGATTTGAGGATGGACCGTTGTTTCGAGGGCGTGTCTGCATTCGTGTGTCGTGATGGTGTTTCGGCATCGATTATCCTCCTCTTGGATGGTGTCATTTCTACGTCCGCCTCTTGAGTGTCCGCATCTTCTCCGTCCTGGCTCCTTCTTCGTTTGGGCATCGCTCGTCGTTTGCTTGACGCCCTGGTCGACGATTGTTTACCTGATGCTGCAACAAGTCCGACAAAGGAAGCAACATTAGCCGGTGGTACTTTCCCCACAGATTGATAAGATTAGCAGAGTTAGGCAGGCTCCATCGTGCAGCTTTGACTCACCCGCAGTATCTATACCATTCGTCTTTCACGATCAATTGGTTGATCATATCAGTAAATCGATAATCGCCAATAACATGGCTACCTCCCGATCGACAACCGCTCGTCGGTTAATATCACTATCAGTACAACACACGCGATGCTACTCAGCTCCCACCGACGGCGCAATTCCACCCAACAAGGCCAAATATGTCCCCACCGAAGGAACCTATCCCAAGGGCTTTGTCGTCGGTAGCGCTCATGCACAAGTCAAGCCTTCAAACACAAGGTTCGACGACCTCGCCCTGATCGCCTCCGAAAAGCCCTGCTCGGCCGCCCTGGTCACCACCCAGAACCATTTCCAGGCTGCTCCCGTGAGCATCAGCAAGAAGATCATGTTCCAACACCAGAGCAAGAGCATCAGAGGCGTCGTCATCAACTCTGGATGCGCCAATGCTGTCACAGGAAAGGGTGGACGTGAAGATGCCATCCGCATGGCCAAGCTCACCCACGACCTCTTGAACAAGCGCAACCCGAGTCCACACGACAAGACTGCCGAAGTCGAAGCCAAAGAAAAGGTCAAAGAAGGCGCTGTCAAGATAGCCGAAGACGATCAAGACGTCTCCAGTATCCGCACCCTGGTCATGAGTACTGGTGTCATCGGACAGCGCCTCCCCATTGACCGCATCGAAGCCAACATTCCCACCCTCGTCGAGTCTCTGGGCAATACACACGACCACTGGCTCCGCTCAGCCCGTGCCATTTGCACTACCGACACTTTCCCCAAGCTTCTCTCTCGCCAATTCACCCTCCCTTCGTACCCCGGCATCACCTTCTCCATCGCTGGCATGACCAAGGGAGCTGGCATGATCCACCCCAACATGGCCACCCTTCTCGGTGTCATCTGCACCGACGCGCCTATCCAAAAGACTGCCTTGAGGGTGCTGCTCTCTACTGCCACAAACTCGTCCTTCAACCGCATTACTGTGGATGGTGATACCAGCACAAATGACAGTGTCGCTCTGTTCGCAAACGGTATGGCCGCTCCCGAGAGCGAGCCCGTCCGTCTCAACCACCTCGACCCGAAGGAAGTCCCTACCAAAGGCAACTCTCTGATTGGACAAAGACTCGAGAGGCAGTCAGAAGATTACAAGGAGATGAACAAGGTCTTGACATCCTTCATGGAAGATCTGGCCAAGCTCATCGTCCGTGACGGCGAAGGAGCTACCAAGTTCGTCACTGTCAAAGTAACCAAGGCCGACAACGACACTGTTGCCCATACTGTGGCCAACTCCATCGCTACCTCCGCTCTCGTCAAGACAGCGCTCTACGGCAAAGACGCCAACTGGGGTCGCATCCTCTGTGCGATTGGATACGCTCCAGGAAAGACCTGCATTCGTCCCCAACAGACTTCTGTCTCCTTCATCCCTGCCGACGGCTCCGAGGAGCTCAAGTTGCTGGTCAACGGCGAACCTCAGGCTGTCGACGAGGCCCGCGCTGCTGCCATTCTCGAGATGGAGGACCTGGAGATCCTCGTCAAACTGAGCAACAAGGAAACGGATGTTGGTGCAGCCACTGTCTACACCTGCGACTTCAGCCACGAGTACGTCACTATTAATGGCGACTACAGGACCTAGGTTGTCTTGAACCTGTCGTTGCTCTGTTTGTACATATTTTTATGCTACCTGAACAGCAGAGCGGCATAGTTAGACACGATGAAATGAATAGAATACAATGCCGTGTCGAAAGAACAACTCTATGATATTCTTCTATACCTTGTGTTCTGAACTGTGTCAATGTACACTTTGTCGTATATCTCATTACAACTGAGCAAATCCAGTCAATGCAAACGTAGCGCCAAAGGCCAGCTTGAAGGCTACGTTATCCTGCATGGCCGAACGCAAATCAATGCTGGTAAAGTAGCGTTGCATGCGACCGTAAGGAATAAGACTGATGCCCAGTTGAGACTCTGCAAACTGTTTCGACGTCAAGATCAGCAATTGCGAAAGGAGTGTAAGAAGAGATGGGAAACAAAGTTGACAGCAGAGGAAGAGGTCGAAGCATACCTGAACACCAACGATCAAGAGGCCAATGAGCAGAGTCAATGGCTTAGAGAAGAGAGATACTGCCATTCCACCTAGCACACCTNNATATCTCTACATAAGTACTTTTCTCTTGAGAGTCAATGAAAAGGGGTTGAACATACCAGCAATACTTCCACTCGAAATCTGACGCACGGCATTGGGGTTGAGACCACCTCTACGGTTCACCACCGGCACCTTGGCATTGTTTGTGTATGAGTTGAATGCAGCACTGGAATCGCACAGAGCGTATAGGTTTCTTCGGGGCGCGAGAAGAGAGTAGGATGTGAATGCTGCGCCGAGACCGAGGCCGATGCCCAATGGACGCGAGTGTAGCAGGAAAGACATTTTTGTGTTGTTGTGTTGTGGATAGATGAAAGTATAAGTGGTGTGATTCGTTGGTGAGTCACTGGATGCGAGCGGTATGGATGGCTGGCAAGGACTCAGGACGTGTTTCTTTGCTGTGTGTTGTTTGTTCTGATTGTCGTCGAATGTCAATGACGCTGATCGCAGGAGCTTGGACCCTTGTCAGATCGAATTGCGGAGAGCGGTGCGCTAGAAGCACCAAGACTGCAAACTTCTTGTCGTTGGATGTATGGACTCACATTCAATTGAGAAAGCTGGAGAACGGTCGCATTAACATGGTTACAGCCACTGGTATTGTAGTCAAATCCCTCATCTTCTATATATGAAGTTGTAATAAGAGGACAAGACGCAACACCCTAGTCTTACGGTTGTCGTACTTACGTCTCCCATCTCAGAGCCAATCGGTGTCGTTCGGTGGTTCGGCGTTCTTGAGTGGCAGGGTCCGCGCCTTCCGACAGCGGGGCAGCAGGCGGGATTTGGATTGTTCTCGACGGAGAAGCACCCTTGGCAGTTCGCCGCCCTACGCCCGCGTGTTTTTCTTGAGTAATAATGCCTTCAATAGGCAGGTGAGTCACTCGAAAGAAGGGCGAAGTTCCCTGGCGAAGAGATATACTTTAAATCCTGGAAACAACAAGACCCCTTCTCTTTTTCTCCCACTTACATCTTTGACCTCGCTCGACTTTTGTTTCCTTTGCATCTGTCCAGTTTATACACACATCTCTCACAATGGCCACCACACTACCCACTACCAATGGCAAGCACGACGGTGCCAACGGCACTGACGGAGTCGCCTCGTTCGCTGTCAAGGCTGGTCTTGCCCGCATGTTGAAGGGCGGTGTCATTATGGACGTCGTCAACGCTGAGCAGGTGCGCTCATCTTCTGTGTCTTTCCAATGACATTATCACTAATACTCACCTCAGGCCCGCATTGCCGAAGAGGCCGGTGCCTGCGCCGTCATGGCTCTCGAGCGTGTCCCCGCCGACATTCGCAAGGACGGCGGTGTTGCCCGTATGTCCGACCCCAGCATGATCAAGGAGATCATGGACACCGTTACCATCCCCGTCATGGCCAAGGCCCGTATCGGCCACATTGTCGAGTGCCAGATCCTCCAAGCCATTGGTGTCGACTACATCGACGAGTCCGAAGTCCTTACCCCCGCCGACCCCATCTACCACGTCGAGAAGCACGAATTCAAGACCCCCTTCGTTTGCGGCTGCCGCGACCTCGGTGAGGCCCTGCGTCGTATCGCTGAGGGTGCTGCCATGATCCGCACAAAGGGCGAGGCTGGTACTGGCGATGTCATTGAGGCTGTCCGCCACATGCAGACCGTCAACCAGCAGATCGCTCGCGCTGCTGCCATGTCCGAGCCTGAGCTCCGTGCTTTCGGTCGTGAGATTGGTGTCCAGTACGAGCTTCTCAAGGAGACCTGCCAGCTCAAGCGTCTGCCCGTAGTCAACTTCGCCGCTGGTGGTATCGCTACTCCCGCTGATGCTGCTCTGATGATGCAGATGGGCTGCGACGGTGTCTTTGTTGGCTCCGGTATCTTCAAGAGTGGTGATGCTGCAAAGCGTGCCAAGGCCATCGTTCAGGCCGTCACCCACTACAATGACCCCAAGGTTCTGGCCGAGGTCAGCATTGGGCTTGGTGAGGCCATGGTCGGCATCAACTGTGGTTCCATGGACCCCAAGGACAAGCTCCAGGGTCGTGGCTGGTAAGGGACTACAGCCCATCTAGCGATCATCAACGATACGACACATCGGCAAGCGAATCATTTTTGAGAAAAGAGCAAAGGCGTTCAACAAACGGAAGGGTAGAGTCGGGTATCGCGCAGATGCAAACAGGCTCTGAAGACATGATGACTGCAAAAGCAAGGCGTATTAGCGTTCTTGGAGAAGACTCGTTTCAACAGGGTTGAGATTTATGAGGAGTTTTATACGATAGTAGCGAGCAGCAAAAATGCGCATGACGGACACGACACTTTTTATAAAATATATACCTATTTTTCCATGACTCTGTTTCCCATGACTACGAGCTAGCTGGATTGACATGGAAAAGGCACAAAAGGCCATCCGTTTCTCATCAAAGCTCCTTCGGCTGCAAGCGGCAGGGGAATTGAGTAATCCGTACTGTCGAAGCGAGGACCAAGCGTGCCGCGGCGGTTTTTGCATCCGGTCCGCGTAAACTTGAACTGTCTTGGGGAAACGCTACGTAGATGTAACTTATCGTTGAGTGTTGAGCTGGATGGCAAGAGAGGTATGATGGCAGCAAAGCGGCGACGTCGCCGCCGGGCGGCAAAGACGGCGAACGTACGGGGGCGGTCGCGGACAATGCGGAAGTGTTGTGCAGGAGAGTTGCGCATAAGCGGCTCTTTGGATACTGAGCGTCCTAATGCGGACCAATCGTCGATGGGAGGCAAGGTTCAGCATGCATAACAGGCAGGCCTAGACCATTTTGGAGCCGTGTCAGGCTGTGAGAGGGACCACTGGAACGGCAAATCTACCAGAGACAAGTCTTCTATCCTCCTATTCTCCTTCATGCCTCGTCGTCCAGGCGTGCGTACGTGAAAGTGCCAATGTCGAGTTCCACGCACCCGCACCCTTCGCCCAGCGAGACGTCGCGGACACGCGAAGTTTTCAAGTGAGTCTGGTCGCCCGTCCGACCACTATCGGACTGCATGATGGTCGTACAAGCAGGTCAGGCTAACATGTCGGATTGTGTAGATGTCTAGAGCCCTTCGAAACGTCCATCCACCCTCTGCAGTTCAGCGATGGTGAACTCAAAGACAGAGTAGCTGTCGGCAGTGACGACACGGCTTTGGCTGCTTTTGCCCAGCTGGGTGCGCTGCGACTCAAGGCACAGCGCTGCCTCATCTCGCTCGTGTCAAAGGATGAAGAATGGATCCTAGCCGAGAGTACCAGAACGCTAAGTTTACAGTAGGGATTTTTGCGTCTTCACAATGGCTACCTTCTATTAACAATCATCTTATAGGNNTCTGATCTTGTACACAACTCCCGCGACGCATTGTTCCTCGGAACCACACGCTTCCCTCGCGACGAAGGCTTTTCCATCACCGGGCTCAAGCAATGGATCACCACCAAGGAACGTCGCGACGACCCAAAAGAGGACGCATACTACTACACGGATGGCGTCAGCCCGCACTGGCACATTATCAGCGACGTGCGACAGGACGCCGAAATGCAGAAGCTCATGTTGGTCAAGGCTATCAGCACCCTGAGGTTCTACGCTGCTGTACCCATCCGAACAAGCAACGGCCTGGTCATCGGTAACTACGCCATCTTGGACGACCGCCCTCGCTTTGGAATCAGCGCCGACGAGATGGTCTTCATGGAGGACATCGCCGACACCATTATGGGTCACCTTCAAGCCAAACATACCGCCTTGCAGAGACAACGTGGTGACCGCCTGATCAAGGGTTTGGCTCTTTTCAGCGAAGGCAAGGACAGTCTGCGCGACTGGTGGCTGGACACACACTCTCGTAAGGAAAGGGGCGAGGGTGCAAGACGTCGCCGCGGCTCAATTGAGGAGGAAAAGACTCGTAATGATCGTGCCGATGAGGAATTAGGAATGACATACCATGCAGATCAGATTCCTCATGGTCGAACCCCTGCATNNCCAACGACCCGAAGCAGATCCTGCCAGCCAGCCAAGTACCAAAATCCACACTGAAATCCGNGTCATCTGGCCCAGGACAAACATGAAGGCTTCGATCTCGGCCGCGAAATCAACACAGCCTTCGCTCGAAGCAGTAATCTCATGCGTGAAGCTATCAGCGCCGAGGGTGTTGCCTTCATCGATGCCGATTTCCACCGTTCCAAAGAGGCGACCAAGAACCAAGAATCCTCGTCTACTGATCTCGAAAGCGACACTGCGACTGGCTCTTCCGGCCCAGAATCGACTTCCCCAAAACAGCAGACACCAATTTCTCCCGATGCTCAATGCGCCCTGCTTGGCTTCTCCACAAAGGTCAGGTCTACCATCCGTGGCTTCGATGCCTCTGCAAGACACTCTAGTCTCCCAAAGACTTTCATTCGCAGTCTTATTCGTCGCTACCCTATGGGCAAGGTTTTCAACTATCATGATGGCAAAGCTCTCTCGAGTTCTTCTGGCACCGATATTTCCTCGGACGATATCAGTGAGGGATCCAAGAACAGCAGGTCTCGCAAGCGTCGCAGTCGCGAATTTGTCGACGCTATGACTCTAGGTGAAGTGTTCTCGGGCCCCCGTAGTATTGCTTTCCTGCCATTGTGGGATAGTAGACGAGAGAGATGGCGATCTGCCGTTTTCGTCTGGAACGCCGCACCCAATAGGTTCTTAGACAAAGCCGAGGACATCACATATCTTGCGGCTTTCAGCAACAACCTGATGGCTGAGCTGTCACGTCTCGATGCCATTGCCGCCGACCAAGCCAAGGCCACTTTCATCAGCTCTGTTTCTCACGAGTTGAGATCTCCACTGCATGGGGTGTTAGCAGGAGTCGAGCTCTTGCAAGAGAGTGACCTCAACAATTATCAACAGGAGATGACGACTACCATTAGTATGGCTGGCAAAACATTACTCGACACAATCAACAATATCCTCGACTTTACTAAGATCAACAGCTTCACCGACCTAGAACGCAAGGACAGGAAAGAAAAGGATGCTGGCAGGAATTCTGGATTCAAGACTGCGGACATGGGTGAAGTCGGAGTCACGAGTGCAGTTGATCTTGCTGTTTTGACCGAGAATGTAGTCGACACAACCGTCACGGCTAAGAGCTTCCAAGCAAGCAAAGCCAAACAGGAAGACGAAGATGAACTCGCCTCAAAGGCTCCAAAGCAAGTCGCGGTAGTGTTGAACATTGCTAAACGACCAAACTGGAATCTGAACATATCGCCTGGTAGCTGGACCAGAGTCATCACCAACCTTNTGGGCAACGCACTCAAGTATACCAAACAAGGTACAATTACTGTGAGTCTGCAGTACAAGAAGTCGGAGCACCCGGACAAGGCTCAGGTATCTTTGACGATCGAAGACACTGGCCAAGGCATAGGCAGCGAATACCTTCGAAACCACTTGTACACACCATTTATGCAGGAAAACACGCACGCCGTTGGCACTGGACTTGGACTTTCGATTGTCAAGCAGATTATCAAGGACTTTGGTGGTCACATCACCTTTGAGAGTGAGCTTGGAAGGGGGACCAAAGTGGTTGTCTCATTCAACGCCGCTTTTGAAGAGGATGTGGAGTCTGAAATCGACGTACCGAAACGTGCTGATGGCAGCAATCTCCAAGTCGCACTCTCCAAGTCGTTGGGCACGACCGATGGAGATCTAACACGCGACAAGATCATCAAGACGAACACTTCCAAGACTTGCAAGGAATGGCTAGATTGCCAGACTGAGTCGGTGTCCGCTTCTGACGGTGCTGACGCCTTCGATGTCTGTATTCTGGCTGAAGCAGATTACGATCAATGGCAAGAGAAGAGGAGAAATTCGACAAGTCAGACGCCAACACCGATGATTGTGCTCGGTTCGATCTCTGCGTCATCAGTCGTGAGACAGAGCGCATCAAAGAATGCGATCTTCATCAACCAACCATTTGGTGGGTAGCCCTCTTTCTATCGTCGTCGGTCCAAAGACTAAACATCTTCATGGTCTGGATCTGGCTTCAACAAGTATGCTGACTGTGTTGTGAAATAGNGTCCAAGAAAAATGTCGAGAGCACTGGCGGCAGCTCTGCAAAGTCGAGTCCAGTCGAATCCAACTTCTGGAAACCAGACGCTAGGCGCCATTGCCACCTCACCGACCGCCCTGCAAATACTCACAAAACCCACAAATAGCGATCCTCCACCAACCTATACAGAATCAAGGCCCGGTCTGAAATTGAATACGTCCATTCCCTCAACACCTACGTCACCCGAGAAGAACGTGACTCCACGGATAAGCGAAATTACCACCGACGGGAATACGAACCTCCGTAAGGTGTTGCTGGTTGAGGACAACTCGATCAATATGAAACTCCTCGTCGCGACCATGCGCAAGTTGAAACGACCCTACACCTCCGCAGGCAATGGCCTAGAAGCGGTGACCGCCTATGCGTCTGCGCCATCTTCCTATGCCTTGATCCTGATGGACATCTCGATGCCGGTGATGGACGGCTTCACCGCCACCGAGTTGATCCGCAACCTCGAGGAAAAGAACAAATGGAACCGCTGCACCATCATGGCCTTGACTGGCGTCGGCGACGCGGAAGCAAAGAAACGCGCCTTCCTCGCCGGCGTTGACGACTTCATGACGAAACCAGTCAGCATGGGCAAATTAGGCGACATCATTAAGAACCTCGAAGGCGGAGCAGGCAACGATAACGTCGATGCCAACGCCCGCAAACAAAACGCGTGCCACGAAAAAGCACAACAGAATGGACACAATCAACAGCAGCAATATGCAGTGGAACAGCCCGCCTGACATAATCGCCGGAAGGAAGATCAACACATCGAAGTCAACGAACACATCGAGGTTAAGGACTTTGCTTCCGGCACACCTTCGAGCTGTGCTCAACAAGGGATCAAGAGGAGAAGATCACCCGCAAGCGGTGACGGCTATGACGACGAAGAGGACAAGAGGAAAAGATCCATTGTCGAGGAGCAAGCCACTGCGGGATCTTGAAGAAGAGTAGCATGTTATTTTTACGGGATCAACGGCCAAACAAAGGAGTAGGGGAATTGGGATGAGAGGTACCTTCTTTTCAGCGAAGTTTTATGACGCAGATTGGCGAATTGTTCAAGTACATATATCAAGGGGCTTCTTTATTCTTTTTCTAATTCAGTCGCTTCCGATTCAATTATTGGGTTTCGCTCTCAGTGGATAACTTTGTAAACTGGAGTACATTCTTGCATCTTTGCAGTCCTGAAACAAGGTGCTCTGTACCTTTTAGGAGACAAAGAGGAATATGTTTGTCCGCTACCCGACTCCAGATATAGAATGATAGAATATAAGAGCTGTCAAAATACACAGCACTTTTCAGAAACCCAGTACTGTCCACTAAGAGCCATAGCCCTATCGTAGCCCATGATCTGTATCAACTCCCACGCGGGCACACAGTAATATCAGAACTGTGAAAAGTCACAGTACTTTCCAGGAATCGAGTACTGTCCACTGAGAGTGGTGATGTTATTGGCTCTCCTTGGGCACATGTTCTATGTGGAAACAATTGTGCATTTGTATAGCGAAAGTCTACTATTCCATTATGTTGCGAGAGAGCATGGGCACATCAACATAGGCTATAAGAATACACAATACTATCTACAGATAGAGCGTTGTCCATTGAGAGATATAGTTTTGTCGACTCTCTCTCTCTCTCTCTCTCTCTCTCTCAAAACATTGCTTTAGAAACGAAACTACTGAGCATTTTCATAGCCATATCCGAATACGTCTTTTGTACCCGGAGAGAAAAAGTCATGTACAGAAGAACGGTCTGGCACATATCGACTTGCAACATTTCGTATCACATATGGTTCAAAAATTACAGCTGTGAAATTGCACAAAAGTATCTCATTGTTTCGGAAGCAGCAAAGGAGAGCTATCTACTATCACCCCACCCCTACTCAAACGAGGTCACTGTGCCCTTGCACAACGCCCAGAACTCCTTGACCACGACGACCGTCTGCCTACCCCCTCTCAACCCCAGCATTTTGGCCACAAAGACCCGCTTCTCCTTCTCTCCCACATTGGTGGATGGAAATCCAGCATCGAGAAGTGCTTCCTCGAGGTGCTGCTTGGCCAGCCCAGGCTGAGAGAAGACGAGCGCGCGCAGGGGCTTGCACAACGACTCGATCTCCGAGCGCTGGGCCAACCCACCAATGTTAAAGATGAGGGCGTGGGAGAGGGGCNNGGCAAAGGCGTTGAGGACGAAGAGAGGGGGNACGCGACAGGCGGGNAGGGCGTGCGCAGTGCGTGGGTTGGCAAGACCCAGCAACGTTTCCTAGGTTCATGCGCGTTAGTATCAGGGTACGGAGAGGAACGACGGTCGGGCGAACACCGAGACGAAAGGGAGGCTTACAAAGAAGTTGCAGGCATTGCGCTTCAACATGGGCGCATTGCCTACCATGCAATTGATGACAAACTGCAGAACTGCGGCAATCTCGTCATCCGAGGGCGAGAGCAGGACGTCTATGTAGCTGACTAGCAGCCTTTGTAGGAAATCGATGCAGAGTTGGGCCAATTGGGGATCGTTGGCCGGGTCACCGAGCTGCTGCATGACCAGAGATACTCTCTGGCACACCGCCAACATTTCGTCAAACATGTGCGGTGCCGACTTGCGCGAACAGTTGGAGACGAAACTGCACGCTGTACCGATGATGGCCTCGATACGGGGCGTGCTGATTTGTGCCTTGCTGATGAAGGCGACAGTAGCCCCCGGCGCGAACACGAAGGGACCCGGCTTTGTCTCCTTAAGACCAGCGCGCAGAATCGCACAGGCGGCATCCATTGCATCGCCCGGGTTGTGGAGGTACTCGACAATGTTGATGCATTGCACGATGCGATTCTGAATCTCGACGCCGGCCTGCGAAGTCCAGAAGCTGCCCGTTGTAGCTAAGTCGTCGTTTCCTTCCTCATCATCGCTGTCTACGTCGATCACGTCATTGGTAAGCGCTTGAATACCTTTGCCAATGCTGGCCAGACATTGCAAGGCTGACGTTCCTAGCACTTCGCTATCCTCAAAATTGCCCTTGTTCAGAGTTGCAATAGCCGTGTTGAGATCGTTTTCGATTACCTCGATGAGCGATATCAAAGGCGCTGCCTTGGCTTCTTCGGAGGGCAATGCTTGTATAATAGAGGCAAGAGCTGCCATGATCTTCTCTTTCTGATAGCTGTTTGCTGATGGGCCGGAAAGTGCTTGTGGGAACTGTTGAAGCAATTCGTCAAGGTGTGGAGTCAAAGACTTGCGGCATGAGGAACAAAGCTGTTCAAGAGATTTTGCAGAAGCATCTGCAAGCTTGACACGGTCTGCAGGTGTCGATCCCAGTGTTGTGAAGAGGAAGGTGAGGACCGGNGGTAGAAATTGCGGATTCTTCTTGATGAACGAAGAATATCGATCAACGAGCGTCATGGCAGCACGCTTGAGCTTGTTGGGGACTTCGGCACTATTGGCCGAGATGTCGCTGAACATTGAAGATCCGATGAGTGCGGAGAGTGCTTGGATGTTCTCGTCTGACAGTGCGATAGAGTCTGAGATGCAGTTGATTGAGAATATTATGGCTTCGAGGTGTAGCCATCGGTGAGTGGGCAAGACACTGGTTGCGAGAACAACCATGTTACTGAGAAGATGCGTCTCTGGAACGTTGTTGACCTGTTCGAAAAAGTCGCTGATGTTATCGCGAAAGAATTGCCAGTGATCAATGTTGTCTTCGTCCCACTCGGACATAACAGTTGGAGGTGCCGCCTGGAGTTTTGGGATGTACGTTTGAACGGCTTGCATGAGGTCGTTCCTCACAGCTGCTAGGAAAGGAACCTCGTCCTTCGCTGCGTCCATGACTGTGTCGGCAATCTGTTCGGCGTAGTCAATCCAGAAATCTGTCACATTGAGAATGACTTGATCATCTTCAGCAGGATAGCCAGGAGCACATAGAAGCTGTTGGAAGAGGTCTNNGAGACTTGGTTAGTCTACGGTCTGGGTTTGACGTGTGACCCTCATTGACTGACCGACGATTTCTTGGGACGACTCTTGGTTTCTTGCCGAGATCAGCTCCTTGACGACCAATTTACCATAGGCAGTGATCAACTTGCTGAACGCCACAACAGTTGGGTCCAAGAAATTTTGACTTTGTAGTAAACATTGCGGACCAATGGTTCTGCGTACCAGCAGAGATAAAGATTCCAAGTGGGCCTTCTGAAGGAATTTCGAGCGATACTCCAGTGTATTGACAAAGAACTCCACGGTTGGGTCTCTGACGCTTCCCTCGTGATGCAACAGATGCGTGATGACTAGTGATGTGAGGCCCTGTAGAAGCTGTAGAGCAACTGGATCAGTGGTCCAATGGGCGAAGCTGTAGGTGACCCAAGCAGAGAAGCAGTTTACAGCTTCGACTCGGATCTCTGTGGAGAGAGGCGTTGACGTGTCGAATAGGTAGGTCATGAGTATGGCCGAAACAGTGGTGTTGCTCTTGAAGACGCTATCGAGATGATAGTACTGTGGGCCCAGGGTAGAGCTGTTCTGTACATCTTCAGCCAATACTCTACAGAAGCGTACAGCCATAAACAACTTCAATCCTGATAACTCCCTGATGATTTGACTGGTATCTGAATATGTGGCAAGCATGTCCAGGGGCACAATGTCGCTAGCGTGCAGCGAGCAAATGATCTGACGAACAGTCTGAGTCCAAGGAACAGGAGTCTGGATGAAGTATGTAGCCATTGTAGAACACAGCTTGTCAATGATGAGTTTGGGNGGCATGTCGCCTAGCGCAAGGCGAATNCTGTAGAGAGAAATGATGAGAGGACGAATCGAGCAGAGAGTAGAAACAAAACTCACAAACCACAGGATCAGCCGCGATCTCAGTTCAGCAGCTGCTTGGTCATCGAGCGTGCTTCTTTGTACCGTCAGTATTCATACACACGCGCAGTGCTAATCCAAGAGCACCGACCTGTCTTTGTTGAGTTTGATTTGCAGAGTCAGAGCACCATAGAACTTGATGTTGGTATCTGCATGGTCGAGCATAGCATCTGCAGCAGCCCATCCTTGATCAGACAACTGGATTTCCTGCAGCTCTCGCGATATCTGTGAGGCGCCGGCCGTGTATCTGGGGTCATTGAGTCGGCGTACGAGCTCGATCGCTTGATTAGCGACGCTCATGTCTGGGTCTAGAAGGATCATTTGAATCAGCCTTCCTGACTCAATGGCTCGTTGAATTGGTCCGTGAGGCCATTCGCTGCGAGTTGCTGCCCGCCGCAATGGAGAGTAGGGCATCTGTGGATGGTGATAGAATTGAGATGTTCTCGGTTGCAGTGGGTTCTTCGTCGCGCAAGACTCGTCGTCGAATGATCGAGTGAGTGAACAGAATCTCATCGAACGCCTGTCTCGTCGAACACTCGTCTTGTCGAACGCCCCGTTGCGTCGAACACTCGTCTCGTCGACCACCCACCAAAGACTGCCTTGGCAGTGCGTACGGGAGTAATGACATGACCTACCTGCTGAGATTGGAATCCGGGGAGCCTTGACAGTGTTGCTATAGTTGTCGACTCAGCCTAGGATCCAAGGCAGAGTACTTTTGCAGGAGTCACTCACGAAGAAACAGACAAGGAAATCAACAGCCAAAAGAGGCGTGAGGGCAGTGCGAGAGATGTTGAGATCTCACGACAAGAAGGTAGCTGTACACCTACTGATGTCTTAGAGTAGCCTCCTATGATTTGGTGGTTGTCTTTGATAGTTGGTTGCAAGTTATGTTTGCATGCAGACGCCGAGACGTCGATGGCTCGCTAGGCGGAGGTTGCCGGTCCGGAGACTTGCTTCGGCGTTTGTTAGGCCGTGACTCCGTCATAGCGTGTCGAATCGACGGCGAGGCATCAACTGGACACGCGACTTGCAGATGCTACGTGGACTTGCTAGACTCAGTACACTTTCAAGAGGCATCACTGCCGGAAGACTGTTCCACGCTTCGGCAACTAGAAGATATCCTATCGACATGGAGAAAGTAAACACAACCGAGCGGCTCACGCAGTTGCGAGAGCTCATGAAGCGCAACAAGGTAGATATCTACAGTAAGCCGTCTGGATGCATATCGACAGACAACTGACTGACTCTCGCAGTTGTGCCTTCGGAAGACAGCCATCAGAGTGAATACATAGCCCCTGCCGATGCTCGTAGAGAATACATCTCTGGCTTTTCCGGCTCCGCTGGAACTGCTGTTATTACTCAAGAGAAGGCGGCCCTGGCTACCGATGGAAGGTACTTCAACCAAGCCGAGAAGCAACTCGATGACAACTGGACTCTGCTCAAACAGGGTCTCCAAGATGTGCCCACCTGGCAGGAGTGGTCCGCCGAGCAATCCGAAGGTGGCAAGATCGTTGGTGTTGACCCTACCACCGTTACAGCTNCGTACGTCTCTCACGCATACCTGACCGACACCGCTGACTTCGTGCCAGCCGATGCCCGTAAACTGTCCGAGAAGATCAAGAAGAAGGGCGGCAAGGACCTCATCGCCGTCAAAGAGAACCTCGTAGACTCGGTCTGGGGTTCAGCAAGACCTGCTAGACCAAACGAANAGGCCGATGTCCTGACGCTCGATTTCGCCGGCAAGAAGTTCCAGGACAAGATTGAAGACTTGCGTAAAGATCTGGATAAGAAAAAGAGCGCCGGCTTTGTCGTCTCGATGCTCGATGAGGTCGCCTGGCTATACAATCTGCGTGGAAGCGATATTCCCTACAACCCCGTCTTCTTCTCCTACGCCGTTGTCACCCCAACTACCAGTATCCTATACATTGACGAGTCGAAGCTCACTGCTGCCGCAAAGACGCATCTCTCGGGTGTTGAAGTCCGACCCTACGATTCTATCTTTACCGACATGGAAGCCTTCTCCTCGTCCTCTACCGGAGACAACAAGTACCTTGTGTCCAACAAGGCTTCTTGGGCTCTGTATCAGGCACTCGGTGGAGAGGACAAGGTCGATTTGATGCGCAGCTTGATCGGCGACGCCAAAGCCATCAAGAACGAAACCGAGATGAAGGGTATGCGCGAATGCCATATTCGTGACGGTGCTGCGCTGAGCGAGTATTTCGCGTGGCTTGAAGACCAGCTCGTCAACGAAAAGGCCAAGATTGATGAAGTTGAGGCTGCCGATAAGCTGGAGTCTATCCGAGCTAAGCACAAGCACTTTGTCGGTCTTTCCTTTGACACGATATCTTCCACTGGCGCGAATGCTGCTGTCATCCACTACAAGCCAGAGCCTGGCGCATGCAGTGTCATCGATCCCAAGGCGGTGTATCTGTGCGATTCAGGCGCTCAGTACCTTGATGGTACGACGGATACCACTCGCACTATGCACTTTGGCGAGCCGACGGACATGGAGCGCAAAGCGTACACTCTTGTTCTGAAGGGCCACATCGCTTTAGACAACGTCAAGTTCCCCAAAGGCACCACTGGGTATGCGATCGATGTTCTAGCAAGGCAGTTCCTCTGGGCTGAGGGACTCGATTATCGTCATGGCACTGGACATGGCGTTGGATCTTTCCTCAACGTTCACGAAGGGCCTATCGGCATTGGCACTAGAGTTGCTTACAGTGAGGTGCCGCTGGCCGTCGGCAATGTCATATCAAATGAGCCTGGATACTATGAGGACGGTGCGTTCGGTATCAGAATAGAGAGTAAGTTTGAGTCAAGGGAATCGCACGAAAGGCAGGTTTGGCTAACACGATCTANNGATATGTTCATGGTAACGGAGAAGAAGACGACGCACCAGTTTGGCGACAAGCCTTACCTGGGCTTCGAGCATGTTACAATGACACCAATGTGCAAGAAGCTCACGGACGCATCGCTTCTCAGTTCGGAGGAAAAGCGATGGTTGAATGACTATCATTCAAAGGTCTACGAGAAGACCAAGGGATACTTCACACACGACCAGAGAACAATGAAGTGGCTCGAGAGAGAGTGCGCAGCATACTAGGACAGTCGGTATGCGACGATAGAATAGCGTATAATGCAAAGACGTTCTTGATGTAGCGATAAGATACAAGTGATGCCTCGATCAGGGAAAATGTGGCGAGAGAAGCCGAGGTCCAACCCGCACGTCGGTTTCTCCAGACTGATTGGAGCTCTCTTTGGTTCCCGTCTCCAGACAGTTGTGACGATATCGAACGAGAAACGAGACCAGATCATCGTGGGTGTATAGCGCAATTGAGCAGCAGAGTGATAGACCAATGCTGCCATGTTAGAAGGGACGCGCCGGTGGTTCAGGCGCAATCGCACCAGGTTCGCTGTTGGGGCAGGCACGCTAGGACTGGTCTACCTGGCCGGTCAATATGCCTGGAGCAAATGGCTCGAGGCACGCCAGCGCATGGCCGACGAGAGGATCTCCAAAGAGAAGTAATTGCTGCCTTCTATACCGCCGCACACACTGGACAGTCGGCTAACCGCGTGACNNAGCCTCCGCCGCCGCTTCGAGCAGAACCAGGAGGACTGCACCTACACCGTGCTAGCCTTACTCCCTACAATCCGTGAAGAGATTATCGGTGCTCTACCCGTCGAAGACATCACCAATGAACTGCAACGCCAGCGATCAGAGAAGCTGGCAAAGAGTGCTGGCCCTTCAGAAGCAGCCTCGTCCGACTTCCCCTCGGCACCGCCCAGCACAATCGATGACTCTGCCAGCATGTCTAGCTTCCAGACTGGCAGCTACATTCATGCCAGTCAGATGGGCGACAGTCAGGACGCCAGGTCGGTCTTGAAGAAANAGTCAAAGGCACAGCTCTGGAACGACATGAAGATTAGCTGTGAGTCTNTGGTTCAAAGAGTCTCAACACCGAAGAACGCTACTGACAGTTTGACTGTAGCTATTACAAGAGCCCTGACTCTTCTATATACCCTCTCGCTCCTCACTCTCCTCACCCGTATCCAGCTGAACCTCCTTGGCCGTCGCACATACCTCTCATCAGTCGTCTCGCTCGCCAATCCTCCAAACCCCTCGGATCCTACTCACATCTCCATGGAGAACAACGATGACGACAACTACGATAACGTTTACGGCAACGACTTTGAAACAAACCGCAAATACTTGACCTTCAGCTGGTGGTTGTTACACAAGGGCACTAAAGACATTGTCGAGAAGGTCGGCGCCGCTGTCAAGGATGTTTTCGGTCCCATCAACCCGCGCGAGGATATGACACTGGAACGTCTGAGCGAGCTCATTCTTGAAGTCCGTAAGAAGGTCGAGGGTGCCACTGAGGCCGAGCGTCGCGAGCATAGGTGGCTGTCGTACATGCTTCCTCCTCGCGACCAGGAGGATCATGTCCTGTCCGAATCTGGTATCGACGCCATGTCTGCATCACCCGCACCGCAAGAGACGTCGCAAGACCCCATGCATGCAGCCAACTCAGCGTCTTCGAATGCCTCTCTTCGCAGGCTACTTGATGAGACATCGGATCTCATCGACTCACCAACATTCACCCACGTCTTTACACAAGTCCTCAACGCCACCTTCTCCCACCTCATCGATTATCGCGTCGCAACCGAAGCCTTCAAGATCAGCCCTCCAGTACCCGACTCTCTATTACGCATCACTGAGATCAGCGACAAGAAATGCAAGTTTGCTCAGACTCTTGCCGTCTTTTGTCGCCAAGCCCATGTCATCGCTGCTGGTAGCAGTGAGCCTGATGATCTTGTAGTTGCCGAGTCCGTCGGCTCTCAGGTCAACGAGTACCTTGGTGCTATCGACCAAGTCAAGGACCTCGAGGCTTTTGCTGCTGTCATTTACTCCAGCAACTTTGAATTCGAGGCCGCTGAACAACAGCAAAACGATGTCAAACATGCAGCTCCTGCTGGGTCGGTCGATGCGCCTGTCTTATCAGCACCAACTCAAGCCGCAGAGACACCTGCACAAGCATCTGCAGGTGCATTGTCTATTGAGGAAATGGATCACGTGTGGAGTCGAAGCCAGGCCGAAGGTCCATCGGCACCCTATGCCCCGACCTACAGTGAAGTGGTCCAAGCTCCCGCACCCGAATCGTCANTCCTCAGAACATTCCGAAGTACCGCAAACAGTTCAGCAAGACACACAGACCTCAGAACAACCGAAAACCTACGCAATGGCGGCCGCAGCAGCGTCAACAATTCCCCGCTCACCCTCATCGTCGCCACCACGGCCAAAAATGGCATCGGCAAGAATGGAACTTTGCCTTGGCCGATGCTAAAGAAGGAAATGGCCTACTTCGCCCGCGTCACCAAGCGTATTCCTGGAGCAGCATCCATGCCCGACACCTCCATGCTAGCCGAGACTTCGTCTCAACTCTCTGACTCTTCAGAAGTAGCGGCAACAGCAAACATTCAACCACCCCAAAACATCGTCGTCATGGGCCGCAAGACTTGGGAGAGCATACCTCCCAAATTCCGCCCCTTGCCGCAGAGAACCAATGTAGTCATTTCCCGATCAGAGACTCTTGAGGGTGTAGGCGACGATGTCGTCGTGGGTGATAGTATCTCATCTGCTCTTTCGTCTCTCACCGCAAAGGTCAAGGAGGGCAAAGCAGCACCTTTGGGTCGTGTATTCGTCATTGGCGGCGCTGCCATCTACAAGCAAGCGCTAGAGATGGACCAAGCGAAGAGTATCTTGCTCACCAGAGTTGAGGGAGAGTGGGATTGTGACACTGGTTTCCCGGTTGATGTCGAAGCCGAGCAAGAGTGGACGAGACGGCAGAAGGAGNATTTGGATGCATTTGCTGGCGAAGACGTGCAGGAGGTTCAGGAGGAGGAAGTCAAGGGCGACAAGGTCAGATATGAGTTTAGACTCTATGAGAGGATGTGAGTGGCGATGTACTTTTGGGGATTTGTTCAATTGTTTGGCTCAGCTGTATGAGATGATGAGATTGCTTTTTTGCTGGTTGCATGATATATATACAGCTGCATGCACGCTTTTCGTTTTTTCTTTCTTTTTTTCTTTTTCTCCTTTCGATTTTTGAACTGCGATCACTGTGGCACAATTCATACATTCATGCGACCTGAACATGTACAGTCTGACAAGGTCTATTCATGTGTCGTCGACACTGGTTATATTGCTGTGAAGAAAGGTCTGCCCGCTACATAGTTGAACTGTAGGAGAGCTGGCTACATGATAAGTATTTTGAGTTCCTACAGTCGTTTGCGTTGTTCACGCATAGCATGCCTGTGAGAACCAGAGCCCGGATTCATCCACCTCCTGACTGAACGGAACAGTCTTTGTCGTNNCTGTTAAGGGTTAGCTCGTTGCCTTACTCATAGTCGATCTTCGAGGTAGGTGACTTACAAGAGGATCACCACCATGCCAAAGGTAATGGGTAAAGCCAACCACCAGAAGAACCTACGATAGAAGTCAGCCACTTGTGCTTACAACACATACAGAGCCAAAAACGCAAGGAAGGCGACAACATACATGTGTGTGTTCTTCAAGGGTGGGAACTCCTCAAAGTTCATTCCAAAGTATCCAGACAAGAAAGTCAAGGGCAAGAACAAAATGGTGACAAAGGTCAGTTGCTGCATACTCTCATTCTGATATGCTCCCATGGTGTTGAAGATTAGACTGATCATGTTGTCGCTTTGTGTCCGCATCTGGTCAAGAGATGCTATGATCATGATACAGTGATCTTCTACGTCGCCTAGATATGTGTGAGCGGCAGGAGAGATGTTGACCGAGGACTGGGTCTGTGTCTTTATCATCGCAGGACCAGAACTACGTCGAGCGAGATCAGAGATAGGGTTGGCTGAAGAAGTACCACGGTTGAGGAGTTGTGCTGTGCTGTGGTGGTCGCGCAGACTGTTGATCAGTGAGGCTATCGGTTGCATCTGCTGTCTTAGCATCGACAGCTCGGATGTCAGAATATAAAGTGCTTTTGAATGTCCAATCGCAGGTTGGGTTAGAACGTCCATCTCGAGCTCGGCAATAGCCTTCTCGTATGTCGCGACAATTGGAATGGCCAAATCAGTGATAGCATCAATAATGGAGTGTACTAGAAGAGAAGCATCGCCACTTCGGCGCAGAATTGTCTCGGGTGAGTTCAAGCGTTTAAGAATGGGCTCTTCAATCACATCGCCAGAGTGTTCAAAGAATGATACGACCGTGTTGTCGCTACAGAGGAACACACTAACTTGCTCGATAGACACACCCAGGCTTTTGCGTGTCAGAACGGAGTTCTTTTCCATATACGCCACTCTTTCGGGCGACCGATCTCCTCTATAAGATTGCAGGCTGCGCAGATGGGTCTGGTTGTCCGGTGGTTGGAAGGTTTTTTCGGTCTCCCAGGTGATACCACTACGGCCGCGCGTAGAATGGCGAGATTCCGAGCTTGACAAAGCTTTTTGAATATCGGCATCGCTGCGACCATTTTGCGAGGAGAGTTTGGTTAGTCGTTGGAGAGTCATGATAATGAAAGCATGCTCTGGGTACCAGTCTGCTTTCGTCCGGTTTCCAGTGTGCATCAGGTCTTCAATGGCCAGAGGGTGAAGTTTCTTGTGATTGCCGAGCAGCTTGATTACATCCCAACTTAGTCCATTAACGTTGATCCAACGACAAGTAGCCCATTCTGGTCTTGGTTTGTTGAGAAAGTCGGCCAGAGAGTTGTTGTCGAGCTCAGTCTGCTCGATTTGCTCCTCGCAGAAGTCTACTGCTGTTATTTGCGACNNTGTGGGCTGTGGTTAGTCCTAAGGTCGGAGTGTTTGGCGAGTCTTGTTTACAGGAAAGGTTTTGCCATGCGACACGACGCCATCAGTAGAAGTGTCGATTCCTGGCTCACTGCCTGGCTGCCATTGGAAAGCTGAATTTGAATCATAGAATCCAGAGGTTGTGGAAGTGCCCTGGTTACGTTTGGGAGGGGATGTATGACGAGATGGTGAGATCGGTTTGTTCGTGGACTTCAATGTTGACGGGCCCTCCGTGGTCGATGTGTGAAGCAGGCGTCCGCATCTGCTTGTGATTATGGGGGCTTCCCAGAATGACCGCCTGCAGAAGAAGAGCGAGCGCCGCATCTTGTGCTTTTCGGAAAGTATGTATATATCTACAAAAGCATCGTCGGTATAAACATTACTGTATCGATATGACGTTGACGTGGTCGGGCTTGTACGGGATAATTGGTGGAGCGGTTGGAGATGCGCGTTGGTATGAATACCCCCAGTCGAATCGTCGTGCTCGAGTCGCGATTTATCTCCACTCTCTAAAAACAAAATATCAAGCACGTATCGAAGACATCATTCTTATAAATCGGTCATGCCATGACTGTCCATGGCACTGGCGACACTTGTGATGTGAAGTTATCGCTTGCTCGTGCTTACTAGAACCACGTACGGGTCGCTTGGGCCAGGGCTGTGCCTACCGTTTCTATCCCAGCAACAACCTCTTGGCTTTTCGCATCTGCTGTCTTCCTCTTTCCACTCCGCTCTCAATTCACAACCTACGCACCCCACGATGCGACTGCAGCAGCCCACACTTCCAGAAGAGTCGCTCGGACATCTGACAGGCACTTTGTTCAGCCGATGATACCCGATGTCGTTGTATCAACAATCTAGCCATGTGCTTCTGAAGGAGCGACTCGCTTGATGAGAAAGAAAAAGTGGGTCTTCTACCAGCGCTTTGAACAAAGAACCACACAAGCGTTGAAGAACAAGAGCTTTGTACTATACAAGCGAGTCATGGTATTTTCCACGAATTCTCTTCCATAAAGGCTCAATCCTCAAACAAGCAAAGGATATCAGTAGAACAACAGGCAGCTGCAGCACGTCTTCGACGCCCAGCAATGCGCAATACGCCCAAGGATTCATCCGTGGTATTGTAGGGCGTGCTGGGCGCCAATAGCCAGGTAGGTAGAGAAAAATTAGCAGCGAAGTCACGCCGCGACCCCGAACTCCAGACCCCAAGGCTTTCAACATGTGGTTTGTATTACTTAACGAGTTACTGCTTGCATACTAGTGACAATGACGCCTTCTCGACAAAGATTCGCGCAAGAGCGTGGCCATTTTACAAAAGCACAGGGAGGTATCGACTTGATGGATCTCAAGAACTGTTGCATAACTCCCTCGACAAAGGATCCAATATCTCCAACTCGGATCACTGAGCGATGGTCTTCTCATCATTGAAGAAGAACCAAGAGGCCGAGGTGAAGGATTCCTCTGCCTTTGCAGACAACGAGACAGCAAGCGACGATGGCCACGATGTCTACCAAACCAGTGAAGGTCGCCGACAGATTGGTCTCGTCAGTGCCATCTTCCTAATCTTCAACCGCATGATTGGAACTGGTATCTTTGCTACACCGAGTAGCATTCTGGCTAGCAGTGGAAGTGTTGGTCTTGCGTTGTTCATCTGGGTGGCTGGATTGATCATTGCCGCTGCTGGTATGGCAGTGTATCTCGAATTTGGAACAGCACTTCCCAGAAACGGTGGAGAGAAGAACTACCTTGAGCACGTGTTCAAGAAGCCTAGATTCCTGGTCACTGGTCTTTATGTATGTTCAGCTACATGGATATCGATATCTACACATGACTAATTTTGAGATAGANCTGGTTATGTCGTTCTCCTCGGATGGGCTGGATCTAATAGTGTCGTCTTTGGCGAATATATTCTCAACGCCGCCCAAGTCCCTGTCAACCGCTGGAACCAGAGAGGAATCGGTCTCGCTTGTATCACTTCGGCCTTCCTTATTCACGGTTTGGCATTGAAGTGGGGTCTTCGTCTGCAAAACGTTCTTGGTGTCATCAAGCTCATCATTCTGCTCATCATCGTCTTCGCTGGGTTTGCCGCCCTTGGAGGTGCATTGCGCATCGAGAAACCTCACAACTTCGACAACGCTTTTGAAGGAACTACAGGCTCTGCATACGGAGTGGTCACCGCGCTATACAACGTCATCTGGTCATTCATTGGCTACAGCAATGCCAACTACTCCATGAGCGAGATGAAGAACCCCGTCCGTACTCTCAAGATCGCAGCTCCCACCGCTATCATGATTGTTGGTGTCCTCTATCTTCTCGCAAACGTCGCATACTTCGCTGCGGTCCCTAAGGCAGACATTGTCAGCAGCGGACGTATTCTGGCCGCTGAATTCTTTCGCAATGTTTNNTTCGGCCCCAGGGCTGAACGCGCATTGAGTGTATTTGTCGCTCTTTCGGCTTACGGAAACGTACTTTCGGTCATCTTCTCCCAAGGCAGACTTGTGCAGGAACTCGGTCGCGAAGGTATCCTACCTTTCTCCAGGCTTTGGGCAAGCAACAAGCCATTCAACGCACCTTTCATGGGTCTATTCGAGCACTGGGCCGTTTCAGTCATCATCATGTTGGCCCCTCCTCCTGGTGACGCCTACAACTTCATCCTGAATGTCATTTCCTACCCGCTCTCAGTCGTCAACGTCTTCGTTTCGATTGCACTGATCTGGATCTATCTTCACCGCGAACAATTCAACTGGAATCCTCCGGTCAAGGCTACTCTTCCGGTCACCATTTTCTTCTTCCTCAGCAACGTCTATCTGGTCGTTGCACCATTTGTTCCCCCTCCAACTCCTGAGTTGAACCAATACAAGTCGCTCCCTTACTACCTCCACTGTGTTGTTGGTCTGGCTATCATCGCAGCTGGTGGCATCTACTGGGTTTTCTGGGCTGTTCTCCTACCAAAGATTGGTGGATACCGCCTTGAAAAGGAGGTACACAAGGATGCTGAGGGCTGGACCAGGAACGTATTCATCAAGGTTCCCAAGCACCAAGCTCTTGCCGAGAACAGCAGCTTCTGAGCACGACACCATGACTTTAACAGTTTTATTAATGACGGGTTACGAAAAGCATTGATTTTTTATTATTAGAGATACCCCACGATTTCAACCATCGTACCTGTATAGAATACTGAAATTCTATCTACTTCCAACACACCCCTTGACCGCTCGAGGAACGTCTTCGACTCCTCCGATCATTGCTGGGAATTTGCTTTCACTCTACACTACTCAGTAATCGGACAATCCTGAGCATGTTCCTACGCTTAACTTACTATAATTAGTCTTTATATGAGGCTAAAATGATTGCGTACTTGTCAGGAGCATACTGCCTCAACGTCATGGTCAAGGTGATTAGATATTCTGCCGAAGGGCGAAAGATTTGGCTCCGAGTGGTTGGGTATGGAAAGAGCAGCAGAAGATCTACAGCCATGCATTGAGATAAATTCCGAGTACCCGGCTCATGTTCCTTCCCAATGTTGTATCTCACGTTTGTTGTGGCTTGGCAAAGGGACCAAAGTATAAAACTGACCGACATCAACTGGCTAATATGCATACAGTGACTCTACCTACGTATTTGCCGACTTCCCTTTACAAGCTTCCTACATCTACTCCCATCGCACGAAGAAAACTAGATGGTTGTTCCTACTAAGTAGTACACCGTCTCATTAGACCTGACCAACCATTACGTCACCACGAACCCACGACTTCTCTTGAATCCACCGTCAACATCAGGATCGATATACACTATTCGGCACATACGATACGAAGAATACTGGGGGTGATAATCAATATAATCACCCCAGAATCTGGTCAATCGAATCCCGTCGTTCCGAGAACCGACTGCTTGTCACAGGATGGGCGTCGCACTGCTCAGTCTACCAAACGAGGTTCTGATCGGAATCATAGAGCACGCAGACAGTGCTTGCAAGAGAACATTTCTCGATCTACGACTTGTCAGCAAGACTCTGGAGCAACTTTGTCATGAACGATTTCTTCGCTACCTGGAACTGCTCCGGGTAGATCCATCGCAGCATCATAACCTTACGCGGTTGATGGAGATCTTGTCAAGTCCCACACATGCCTGTGCAGTCAGAGGCGTGGCATTTGACTTTGTACGGGATTGGCGTAATGTATGGGCCGTAACGCCGCTTGTTCAGCAGCTCTTCGACAAACTAAGCACCCTCGATGTCAAGCTCGAGCTAAAATTCAGTCCTTATGGCAGCAACGAATGGATCTCAGAGCCGTGCATTGTCCATTACATTGCTGGAATTGTGAAACAGGTCTTGACATCCCACATGTCGGTTAGTCGGCTCATTGTAAGAGCGAAGGATTGGGACCCAGATCTCCAACTCGACAAAATGCTGTGCAGACTTGAGAAGCTGCTGATTAATCAAGAGAAGGAGGCACAAGCAGCTTCGGTGGAATCTTTGGCTGTGGAATTCACACATGGCGGAGTTGTCTATGATCGACAACGTCGTTGTCTACACTTCACGCAAGTGACGGCCCATGATCTACAAGCGATTGGTCAATGGATTCAGGAAAAACATCCCACCGAGCTCGCTTTGGCAGGCTGCCAATTCTTCGTCGAACAGCTGGACGGTATCTTTTTACCTAATACGCCGCCGTTTAGTCTGCTGACCCGTATCACAATCAACAATGCCCGGTTGATGCATCTGACTTCCTTCTTTGGGGCAAGCCAAACAGCCACACCACTTCACAAACTGTTATCACACATTCTGCGGCACTCGGATGATCTTGAATACCTACATCTAGAGAACATTCGAGTTGAGACGCCACATCCACGAACACTCAACTTCGTGGGTGAGAACAAGGTTCACATGACATCAGAGGAAAACATTCGCGAGACACTTACGCATCTGATATCGCAGCTAGCAGACGAAGATCATTTCGAGATTGAAAGTCAGGAAGCTGAAGAGGACGAGGAAGACGATGAAGATGAGGGCACGTGAGGTCATCCTACTGCTGCTCATGATCCCTATGAATAGTTCAGTTCTTTCCTGGTAGCATCAATGCTAATCCAGCTTGCTCTTCCGTGTAGTAATCTTCATGACTCGAAATTGTTTTCGCTTTCTTTCTCATGCTCCTCGATGCTCGACGTGGCAGAACACTATATTCTATGCCCAATCTCTTCTAATCTATCATTCACGTCACAACACCATCGAAGCGCATGTGAAAACCACAACTGAGTTGTCCTTATAATCCAACTCAACCTCCTAAAATCACAATCACATCCCCAATGGTCTGGTGTCTGGCAAGGCACCTCACCGTCACCATCAAGCTAACTCAATTCGGCAATCACTCCTGTGAACAACAACCAATCAATCACTCACCAACGCCAACAATAACAACTTGCTCGAGTTCGAGCCTCTGCATCAGCTAAAACTTTCGCCAGCTTTTCGACACATCAAGTCTCTTGATCAGGCGCCCTTGTGGAAAAGGGTCGGGTCAAAATCAAGAGGCTAGAGGAGAGGAAAGGGGAGAGATGAGGAGGAGAAACGGAGTAACGGAGTGAGGAAGTAAGTGAATTCCCCAGCCATCAGACCTGTGATTCTTTTTTTGGTGCTTTGGGCGTTTGTGTTGTAACGATTCTTTGCGCGGCTGCTAGAGTGCTTGTGACATTCTGGGAAGGAACTATCGCTATATGACAAACAGTGGCACATACTATCAACTGAAATTGAATTCGCTGCATATGTTTTGCTCGAATCTGTAACCCCTCATGATTCGAATATGACAGCAGTCCTCTCATTATGTAGACCAGGAGCAAAGTCCGTTTCGTGTGTCCTCGCTTTCAAAGCGAATTCCATTGCGAGAACAAGATTCTTGAGGCATGCCTATGGTTGGGGCATGTCAAAGGTTCCTATGATATGCCGTGCCAGGGTTCGAGAATCGCGATGTCTACGTACGTGTTTGACCGTGTACAGACTGCGCAATTTTGACCAGATAGAGACTACGAGACGTGAATTGTATGTTCCGGATGGACATGAATTAGAAGTTATATGTTGAGGGCCCACACCTAACGTTTGCTTCCCCGACCTTGCGCGCTTGTTGTCGGACTCTTTGCAAGCTGGCTCGATGGCATTGCACAGCTTCCTTGAGGTAAATCACTCCCCAAGAGTATCGAGGATGCTTTGTCTGTAGGATGGACAGATTCGGCAGTCCCGAAGTAATCATTGATTCTGTCGCCAGCTCAGATCAAGCCGAGCTCTCCTTGTAGGAGTTTGCAAGCTTCATCATGGCAGGAAAGTCCCATTCAACAAGTTTCTTGTCGACTTGTGGCAACGCTTTATCAACGGCTTGTAACAAGATCGAGTCCCAGTTTGCGGTCCACCATCGGAAGTTAGGCGCACCTAACACAACAGAATAATGCGAAAGTACGAGCAGAGAATCAACTTCATGGTTCTGAACACGTAACCAGAACGCATCGCTGACCATGGTAGGCCAACGACCTATGTTTGAGACTCCGTCTGAGGTCGTTGCGAGCTCTCTATGTATGAAGTCGAGAAGCTGATCTGTGGCAAGGATATCTGCTGGATCTTTCAGACGTGCTCGCAGAATTTGGAAGCTACGATCGACTTCGGGTTTCATCTCAATGGGGTGGCCGGCGAAGGTGGCCTTGATCCAGTGCCCTAGTGAACTGCCGGCAAGCGATTCTGGGTTCAAGAGCCACACGGTTTTGCAACCTCGCATAAGACTGAAAAGATCAAGGATGCCATCAAAATCCGGCGGATCATCGCACGCGTGTGGGAACGCAAAGGCCAGGATGGCTAACATCATACTGAAGATCATGAGAACATGGTGGGTGTCGGATGTACGAACTTGTTCGAGCATTGTTCGAAACAGCCTTGTACCGGCGTTCTGATGAGCCAATGCTCTGGTCGCATAGATTTGTCGTTCGTTGGGTCGTGTCCGAGCAAGATCCATTGAGGCCAAGGCAAGAAGACCATGCATAAGTAGGGGATTTGACTGAGCTTCGTTTGGAACCATTTCTTGCCAGATCTCTCGAGAGCCGTGGCCAGCGAAAAGTCCAAGAGAAGTGGATATGGTGTACTGGTGCATCAGAGACAGATCGAGCATATCAAAAGTCGGAGGATGGTCAAAGACCAGAGTTGATGCCGTAGACCCATTCGGACTTTGACTAGCACTTTGTGCTGGACTACTCGGGACTTTGAGCTGATCGTAGGTACATACTACACTTGCTCTCTGGCAGTTGGCACAATTCGGACGTCCCTCATCGCACTTNTGATGGATTGCTTATCAGCAACCGAGCCCTCACGTTACACAGGGCCAGCTTACTTTGATGTGTCTCTTCTTGCAATGGGTGCATCCACTACGAGACTTCCTGTGAAAACGGCGAGAGGACATCGGAGCCCTCGCGTGGGGTTGAAGATTTCGCGATCTTTTGGCAGGAACGCCAAAGTCGATGCCCTCGGGTTAATTTTTGCTCGAGTGCAGAAGAACATGGCGATACGGTATGCGCATCATCGGACACATCGACCCCCGTGCTCACTCTCTCGGCATTAATGACCCGTTGCAAGAGCCGCGCATCCCGTCAGTCCAGATTTGTCGCAGTTCTTCAAGGGTCCGGCTATCATCCGTGCATCGCAGGAAGCGCGGCGCGCCTTCCTTCGCTAATTGACAGCCTCTTACGAGGGATTTCTGGCTATGCGGCGCCTCTCTTTCTGCGGAGCCTCACACAGATCGCGAGCTTGGCTCCGGTTGTACGAGGAACGCCCTACGAGAAACGTTCGTAGCTCGTTTACAGCGCGCTATCTTCAACGAAACGGCAAAGGATGGGCAAGCGCGAGATGAATGTCGCAATTAATGATGCCCTTCCAGGCCAACACATCGCTTATATCCCATTCCAATCACCCCCTCATATGCTTGTTTTCGTTCTAAAGTCTTCTTTTCTCCAGCTGACCCTTGAACCTTCATTCTTCAGCCCAGTCGTCATAGAATAACGACGCCGCATTTTGCGTCGCGACTCTCAACATGGCACGCGGTTACTGCACAGAGGTCTCTGCGCAATGCCCGGTAGAAGCAACCACCTATGGATATCGACCTAATCTAGGAGGAGACGTCTTCTTCTGCGTCGTGTTCGGAATCCTGTTCCTCGCTCAACTCTTCCTCGGAATCAAGGCCCGTTTGAAGGGTTTCACCTTTGCTGTTGTTATTGGATGCTTTGGAGAATGTGTTGGTTACATCGGCAGACTGATCATGCACAACAACCCGTGGAGTCAGACGGGTTTCAAGATTCAGATCGTCTGCCTTATTCTGTCGCCTTCCTTCCTCGCCGCTGGAATCTACCTCACCATTAAGCATCTGGTCATCCACTTCGGCCCTCAATACTCTAGACTGAAGCCAAGCCTCTACACTTGGATCTTCATCACCGCCGATGCAGCCAGTATCCTCGTTCAAGCCGCAGGTGGTGGTATCGCCGCCGGCGAGCAGCCCGACTTGATCAAGATTGGAAACTCAATCATGGTCGCCGGTATCTGCGTCCAGGTCGCTACTATGGCCCTCTGTGGTCTCGTCGCCGCCGACTTCTTCTTGCGCCGCTACAGATCCCGCGAGGCACAAACGAATCTCGATGACCCCATGACTCGCTCAACTCCCGGCTTCAAGTACTATGTTGGCGCCTCGGCCCTTGCCTTCATTACCGTCTTCATTCGTTCCGTGTACCGTATTCCAGAGATGGTTGGTGGTTGGGGCAATCCCTTGATGCAAAACGAGACAGAATTCCTGGTTCTCGACGGAATGTAAGTTGTCACTGTTCAGACAAAACTACAAAAGCACGTTTACTGACACCAAACCTAGGNNATGGTCTGTATCGCCGCCATCGCCCTGACCGTCGCACATCCCGGAATTTTCTTCCCTGAGTTCAGAGAGCACAAGGCCCTCAAGACAGAAAAGAAGAAGAGCAAGAAGAGCAAGAAGAACAAGAAGGCCGAGGAGGCCGGGCTAGAGCTGTCAAGCAGTGGTGACAGCGTATAAAGAGATGGTTCATGATGCATAATTTTCCTATACCCCTAATGCGTGTTACGATCAATATCTTTGGTAGAACTGGATATAGTCTACGAGTCTGCGATACTACATAATACAACTCATCGCAAGATCACTCTCCTATACTAAGCTCAACCCCAACTTACGACACCATGAGCCTTGAAATCTGAACAACATTAACTCAGTAAGGCCAAAGTAAACATCCACACCAATTCCAAACAATTTCTTCAAGAAGGCCGAACAACTGGCCAAGCTTCTCCTGAAATCAGAGAGCTGCAATGAGTAGCCAGAGAATAGGATATACCCGCTTTTCAGGAGCTGATCCCTGCGACATATAGTCAGGAGCCTCGTGCTCAGCCAACAAGTCGACGTCAACCGCGTCCGACGGATCGACTCCGATGATACAGGCACGACAGTATGGTTTGCCGCTGCGGTCAGTCTGTCCGACAACCTTTACAGCTTGCAGTTGCTTGGGGATGCGCAGAGTGAATGGGAGAGTGTATGAGTGAGTCGAAGGTAGAAGGATGTACGTGAGTGGCAGGACTTGGCGCTTTCCAGTAAGTTGAGGGTTCTCAAAGTCGTGTAGGTACGTTGCGAGTTTTTCGGGGTTGTTGAAGAGCCGTACACGGTTGAAAATCCGGCCCTCCTTGCCCTCATCCCAGAACTGGTCAGACCAAACTGAGGTACCGTGCGCGAAGAAACTGGCGTGCCAATCGGAGGATGGATGGAACAGGACGTATTGAGACTCAATTGGGCTGACCTTGACAGGATGTTCGTCCGGATACATGTATTGTTCGGTGACTTTGAGCATCATCAAGTTGTACACTGCTTCAGCAAACTGGCGTTGATAACTGAGGTTTTCATGGGTTGTGAGCTCAGTGCTAAGGGCTTGTACTTTGATGGATATCTTGTCTGTGTGCTTGTCCAAGTTTCTCAGACTGCGAATGATAGTCCAAGTAGCTAGGGTGACCACCATGACAGTGAACAGCAAGACATGCTTGAACGTATCGACAGTTTTCGGTAGAGTTTGTGTGACCAATACGATGTTGTCGGCGATCTGCTGGAAGGCTTTGAGTATATTCTGAAGGCCGTTGATATGTAGTTTTGTCAATTCCTGTGCCGCGATATTGCTCGTATGCTGAACTGCTTTGGAGGCCTCATGAAACAGACTGATATCGAGTTGCTGAAAGTCTTTGGCTATGGCTGCAGTCATGTGTTGGATGTTCTCAAGGATACGACCAAGATGCTCGTTATTCAGACGCTCGAAAACAGAAATAACATTCGCAGCTGCTTTTGCGAGGTTGAAACGTAGCTCCTCGAGACCGCGCGGACCGAGAGTGTCCAAATGCTGCCTGACTGCAACGAAGAATTCCTCTGCTCTCCAGCCCAACATGGATTGCCTCATGGTGGAAGATGATCAGATTGATACTAGTCTTGGAGACTGGCGGCTGAGGGGTAGACTGAGGAACGCTCTCATTAGCAGATTGGGGACAGATATATGTATTGGTCGCTTGCTAGTCGTGATGGATGCGACAATGCAGCATTAAGCGAATGAGACAGCTCAGATGCAAACATAAGATTGCCAAATGCCTGCAGGCAGGCAAGCTGACACTGCACAGGCAATGTTTCAGAAAACAAATCAACTGACTCTGTTTGAACAAAGCTGGTTCATCGTTTTGTAATATACAGTGAAAGACACCAATCAAGATGGCGCAGGGCTGTCCTAATTGTAGAACCACCTCAATCAATTCTCTATGTATTCTGAAGTAGCGATTGATGCCATGAGCACCACTACCAAGCCAAAGAATGGCCAAAGGAATGGCCAATATGGTGCCGGTTTCTTTGGCGAGCAATCAACGTCTTTTAGGTCTACGCCCAGCGGCATGCCTCTGATTTGACCACGGCATAGTGCTTTGCCGCTATAATCTCTCTGCCCTCGAATTTTGAGAGGCAAGAGGGCCGTATTAGAGCGGAGATCAACAGTCAAGTCGTAGCGATGGGCTGATGGAAGTAAGATGAAGATGACAGCACTGAACTCGGGATCCTGGCGAAGAGTGCGTAGATGCTCGATGAGCGTTGGAAGATCGTCGTAGACACCTCCAAACCCTTTGACAGAGACGTCCTCGGCATGGAATGAGGCGTGCCAGTCGTTTCCAGGATGATAGACAAAGTAGACGGCATCCTGCGGGTCGTTCAAGTACTCTTTGTCGTGCAAGACATGCTGATATTCAATGAATCGGTGGACGGCGCCAGCGAATTGAGTCTGGTAGTGGATGTTTTTCTGCACCTCGGTCACATCGCTAAGGTTCCTCAAGCTCTTGCGAACATGGTGAATGAATGCTCCCAGCCTCCTGATCACCAAAGCGCCAACCACAATGGCCAGCACAATGTAGATCTGCGTGAAAAGCAGGGTCGCCTTGGCATTGTAGATCAGATGGGCAAGGTCCTGTCCTTTGAGGTCTCCAGACAAGTCAACAAGGGTTGTGGCAGCTTGTTGAAAGGCGTCGAGGCTGCTGTCCAACCGACCGGGCTTGATGTTGTCCAGATGGTGCTTGACGGCGACAAAGAAGTCGTCTGCTTTCTTGCCAAGAATCATTTTCTCGATGAGTGACCCACCAGCGACCAGGTCAAGTCGTGTGCTTCTGGTGCGATTGAATGGAAGTCGGCAAGGTCTCCAGTTGAGAACTGTGAGTTCGTGTAAGGTTCGCGGAACGTCCGCACGATATTCTCTCGTGCGTAGCTATTTTCAGCGCCGACCACGTTCTCAACATGCTGGGCGCTAATAGCTTATAGGCAGCGCTATACATGCTAGAGTCCAGCTAGCCCCACATCGGGAATAGACGACAAGGGTTTGTGGCTGGGAAAGCCTGGAACAGCGGGCTTGGCAGGCACAATGACGTTCAGACCGTTCGGCCGTGCCTTCCTCACCGACCTCCCTGGTCAAGACATATAACTCTGCTCAATCCTTCCGTGTGGAATTCTCTCTGATACACAACACAACAGCATTACCAAGACACAACTTATATCATCCATCACATCACAATCAACAACAAAAACATCATCACAATGTACACCTCCATCAAGACCCTCGCCACAGCCATTGTTCTGCCCCTGGTGGCAGCCCTCCCTCTCAGCCAGCCCGTCGTTTTCGACAGCAGCAAGCCTTTCACCCTCCACACCGAAGTCCCTCATGGTGGCGCGNGGGCCATTCAACCCCACCCATTCAACTCTCAATACCTCACTGCTTTCCACGTTGGTGCCGGTCAATCAACCATTGTTGCAACCAAGAACGATACCGTCGTCATCGGATGGAGTGAGTCTGGCCGACGCCGTTTTGAGATGGTACACTGTCACTAACAATATCGTTTAGCCCTTTCGGACTCAATCCTCCAGCAGCCGATTGCAATCAACGGCGCTCCTGCCGGCTTCGCATACAACCTCAGTCTCGTTGAGCAAGCACCCTTCCGCTCCGATGCTCCTTCTGGCTACGACTATGTCTCCCTGGGTGCAACTGGTGAAGCAACCACTGGCTTCTCTTTCAGAGGGCGCAAGCTCGTCTGGTCTGGCTCAAACTCGACGACCGCTCCTAAATCTTTCGACGGCCGCTTCGCCCTGTGCCGTGTCAACGGAACTGCTCCTTACTTCAGCCTCGGACCTCAATTTCAACTGCTTTGGAGAACTGACGATGCTCCCAGCAACAGCTCCAGGTGTGCTGACGTCGACTTGATCGGAGAGAACATCGCCTAGATTGCTTCCTCTTGAGCCAGGAGGAGAGAAGATCATGATAGACGACTGCAAAGTCAAGCATTTTGAGACAACAATGCATCAAGCATTGAGCCCTAATGGTGGAAGCATACGCATTGCAAAAACGGAGTAATAACTCCTCCCTCTTACGAACATCCCTAGATAAAGATTAATGATAACGACCCATCTCACTACCCACTGCTTGCTTGCTCTTATAACGAATTACTGGAAGGCTTCAAATGCAATGTGTAGGTTTCGACGTTCCCAGCATGCGGCATTTACAAATTCTTCGTTCGATCTTCCCAGTTCCATGCCCAACCCTTGAAGTCTCCTTCAAATCCCTTGCTAGAGGAGATTCGAACAGAGCGTACTTGGTCCCAAGACTGCGCCGTATTATGGAGGCACTTGTGATGTGCAGCGATCTGCAAGCCACGGCGGCTGCAGTTGTCTGACGACCATGCTACAAACAGCAGAGTACATATTGGGCATGGAGAGTCATTCTAGATAAGTTACAGGTCTCGAGGACGGTTGGTCAATGCGTCCACTCTGCAATTATTCACTGGTTTGCTGGTTTGCTGATTCGCTAATTTGCAACTTCGCAACTTTGTAGATTCGTTGATTTGTACATTCGTTGATTTCTGATTTCTGATATCTTGATTTCTGAATTTCTTATTTACTAGCTAGCGCTATACACACGAGCATGGCCTTGTTTACCTTTTGTTATGGTCGACCCTACGCGGATACCTTCTTTCTTCCACCTCGTCGCCATCCACCTCGTCGTCGCTAGTACCTTTCTCTTCCCTTATACTACCCTGCTTTCTGACACCATCGCTGGTACGTCTGGTCCTATCAGCGAGCCTAGAACCAAGGCTTCTTGTGCCTCTGGTCGTCCTGCCGCATACCGTGGTCTGGAGAGACCTAGCATCGAATCGGAATGGTGGTCTATCACCACCAATCGTTGGAACACCCTTGTCGCCGATGTCAATAGTCAGAACAAGACCAAAGCCACCACCGCGCTCGCCACCCTTCGCAAGTACCTCGATGCGAACGCCATAATGCTCTCCGATGTTGGTAAGCCAGCTCCTGCTGGTTGCTGCAAAAATTGCTGGGACAACAAAAAGAACAAGCCGAAGAGGAAGTGTCGTGTATTCTCCACTCCTATGGAGAGTCAGAGTCTTGCTTGTGCCTATTGCAGACTAAAGGGCCAAAGCAAATGCAACGCCAACATCCTTCCTGAGGAAGAAGAAGTAAGTCTCATTGCAGACTTATCTGCACCATGTTACTCGTCTTGTGTCAGGATGTTCAAGAGAGCAACTCTACTTCCGAAGAGCGTATCGCAACCGTGGAAGGTCAATACTACGATCTTGACCATACCGTCACTGGCCTCTACCAGACACTCGAACATGAGCGTACACTCAATATTGAGCTGACTCATAACCTTGAACATGCACATGAGCGCATCGATGAGCTACAGAAATGCAACAGTGGGTTAGAGACGCGTATGCTTGCTCTAGAGAATGCTGCTGCTGCTTTTGCTGCCATCTCTGTTGGCACTGCTGCTCTGCCTTCTCCCACTCCTAATTCTTAGATGATATCAAGTACAAGGCTCATACCTCTGATAGACTATCTACCGTCATACGCAACATCCGTTTGTTCTTCTTAGACCGCATCAGTGTTGGTAATCAGATGTGGAGGAAACCCAAGCATGAAATCAACTCGGGTTGCTTTCTCCCGAGCTTCTGCTGACCGAGTCGCGACTGCCCCGCCACACCCCAAACACCCCCACCATTGACCCATCGAAGCTTCCTAAGGTTCACGTTAACAGACAAATTAGGCTGAATAGCAAGGTAGACTATCTCCCTGTACCATGTGTATCGTCATGCTTCTGCTCCATCTCTTCTGCAGTTCCCATAGCACTCATAACCTCCCGAACACCTAGACACACCTCAAGAGGCAGCAGACACAGAACCAAACACCGATCAACTACCACACAAGATGTCGATGACCATTGAAGAAGCACAAGTGCCCCGCGAGCCCAAGCCGGTACCCTCAGGCCCAGACAATGTTCTCGAGCAATTCAACCTCAAAGACCGTGTTGTCGTCGTCACAGGTGCCGCCGAAGGCATCGGTGGTGCCGTTGTAGACTCGATGGCCGAAGCCGGCGCCAATGTAGCACTCTGGTACCGCTCCAACGACAAGGCCATCACAAAAGCCGAAGAGCTAGCAAAGAAGCATGGAAACAAGTTCAAGGCATATCAGATCGAGATCTCAGATCCGGAGAAGGTGAAAGAGTTGGTCGCTAAGGTTGTCGAGGACTTTGGACGGCTGGACGTTATGGTTGCGAATGCTGGTATGGCCATTTCGAAGCCTATCTTGGAGACTAGCGTCGAGGAGTACAAGAAGCAGTTCGCGGTCAATGGTGAGTGGGAGCCATCACGCTTGAGGATGAACGAAACTGACGTGGTACCAGTTGACGGTGTCTTTTATTGTGCAAAATATGCTGGAGAGCAGTTCAAGAAGCAGGGCAAGGGTAACTTGATCATCACATCGAGTATCTCGGCACACATCGTCAACGTGCCTGTCGACCAACCTGTGAATCTCTATACTCTCCCTGCGGGTTCAAGCTTCCTCTGACACAAGATCTTAGNNGTCTACAATTCCACGAAAGCAGCCATCACCCACCTAGGCAAATCCCTAGCCAGGGAGTGGCGCGAGTTTGCTCGTGTAAACATCGTCTCACCCGGCTTCTTCAACACCAAGATGGGAGCAGGTGAAAGCGTCATCAACGAGGCATATCGCATGACTCCAATGGGCAGACAGGTTCGTGTCTCTCAAGCAAATGGATCGAGAAGTTGACTGACACAATCCATCNAGGGAGACGTCCGCGAGATCAAGGCTCTCTATCTATATCTTGCCAGTGACGCTAGTAGCTACCAGACCGGTAGTGATACTGTTATTGATGGAGGCTACATCTTACCTTGAGGAAGGCAACCCCTGCATGATGAGAGATGTACCAACAATACGATTGTACGAAGCATAAGAGAGAGAAGACATACCTATTCGCCAATCTGAACGACTTTCACAAATGTAGATGCGAAAACCACCATTAGGCAGCAAGCATACGCATGACCCTGTCTGCGATAGAGTGATCGTCGTTCATTAGCATTCGCAATACCCACTCGTCATCCTTCGACAGCTCTTCCATCATGAGACTTGCAACTTTCACATGACTGCAATACACTTTCCTTTACAGCCCAAACGCGGACCAAACCCCCGCTCACATTGCAACCCAAGTTCTACATGCCATCATATCCGAGTTCCTCCACTCCGATCGATTGACTCTTTGACCGTTAACAGCTCAACGATATGAACAGGGATTAACACCGGTCAAGGTATATTTATAAAGTCTCCACACCTTGGTGGGCGGTGCAGGTGATGATGGATCAAGATAAGCACGTCCCGTTATGCTAATTTCATTTCCCACCGGGTCAGACGTCAAGTCGTGAGCGTTGGACATGATGTCGTGTTCTTTCCCCGGTTTCAGCTCGTCTTTGGTGTCTCGTTGACGGTGTTGAACGGCGTGTGAACGGTGTGACGTGTTGGAAGTGGTGTGGTAGACGTTTGGGAGAAAGAATGAGAGTAGTGACTTTTGTGACAGGGTTGTATCCACGACGATGGTTTTTCAAGGTGATTATGGTATGAATATGGCTATGAGAGGGTTGTGACTCTAAGAAATCGTTGATACGATGGCCATACCATGGAGAAATGGATGAGCTCATCAAGAAATGTCTTTTTGGTGCTGTGTAGTGGAAACATCGAATCTCGAGTTTTGTGCTCGGCTTTACGGCTTGCTCGCCTTCAGAACACGCAGTTCGTCCCCTCTCCCAATCACAAGATGTGAACAACGTATCAATCAAATGGAATGACGAGGCGACAGGGCAAATGAGGCAGTCTTCAGAAGAACATTATGTTTTAGATCTACACTGGTTGTACACTCATGTTTCGGCGGCCGTAATCGCTATGGGTCGGTATCAGTACCAGTCATTCTACGACGGCACATCCAACTCCTTCGCCAGCCGACTCTGCCGTGGTCTTTGCCTGATCGATTCATCATTGTTTTTGTTGTGTCTTTCCCTGCTCCTACGCTCTCTCGACCACTCTCTCTGCTCAGCAGCCCTGAGCTCTTCACCAGCAGCTGCTAATCTCTCCTCCTCGGTCATGAGCTCTTCCGGCTTGGTCTGCCGTGAAGCCTGTCGTGAAGGCTTTGGCCTTGTGGCAGTAGCAGGTGATCGGTCAGCCCGTGTATCACGTTTGGTGGTAGAAGGTTCCCGGCTGCGCTCGCGGTTGCGTGGCTTGGACGATGAAGCTGCAGCGTCCATTTCTGCATCTGATAGGATGGCGTCCTCGGGAACCTCGTCGGTACCTCCACGGACATTCTTCTTACGCGGCCAGAGAGAGGGAAGGACGATTTGCTGGAGANNACGAGGCTCCACGCAGCGTTCGTCGAACCATGCGTGGATACGCTGCTCTACCAATTGGGCGATCTTGGGGACATCTTGTAGACGAGCGCGTGAGCCAATCAAAGAGTGTACAGAGAGATCCAGACGGTAGTCATCGAGGAAGGTGAAGGTTAGGGTTGTGGGCGAAGACGATGGATTTGCCGAGGACGACTCGGACTCATTGACGGGAGCGTCTGGTTGTTGGGAGGGCGTGAAGGAGAGGGATAGAGTGCCAGAGAAGCGAACGACCGAGACGGCGAGAGCGACGGGCAGGACGGCCGAGAAGGGCTTGGGATAGTTCAGGACGAGTTTTGTCTCGATGCCCAGGGTGACGACGTCTGAAAGGTCGACATCCATGCGTGCTTGTAATCTGCTCTCTCCCAACCCTCCTCTATTTGTGCCCTTTTTGGTGGGCATTTGTTTGACAGGTTGGCCATTCTCGTCGACAGGGATGACCCTACAATTGCTGAATATGGGAAACTCTTCTCCCAACGAGATCTCAGTCACCTTGATTTCGTCGATGAATTGTGGGCGTTGTCCGCCATTGAGGGCGTTTGTGAGCGAAGTCAGTACGGCATCTCCTTCGAGAGCATCCGCACGCAGCTGAGAAATTGTTTGCGCAATCAAGACATTGAACCAGTCCAAGCTCTCTGGCTGGTGCCCGTCGACATTGTAGTACGTCTTTTCTAGAATCTTGTCCGTTGTGAGGACTGCACCGCCGGATGAGATGTTGCGTGGAGCGAGTACAGCAGCAGAACTGCGTTTGCGTAGACGGAGGTCGGAGAAGGAGCGACGGCGCAGAGACGAGGCGTGAGAGAGGGTACGTTGGCGGCGGAGGGCTGCTCGTGTCGCTGCCCGACTGTCGGCCGATGGAGGTTCGCCGAAGATGAAGAATTTGATCAGGAATATCAGAATTAAGGCCAGAGTCAATTGGCCCAGCACGAAGCCTTGGGCGAAGGATGCACTGCTTCCCGACTGAGCAGCAGGCGATGCGGCTATACCAGAGTCAGCGACGCGTTGTGGAATGCCGCCGAGGAAGGTTACCATATGCCGCCTGTTTTGCCTTGGACATGTTCCACCAGCTTCCTCCCTTTTGTTCAACCAAGGACAAGTTTCTGTCGCATGCTCAGAGAGTCGCGAGAAAGATATAGTGCATGACGCACTTTGTCTTGTCGATAAGCCAAAAGACGCCGGCAGCGACAGCCCCAACTCATGCGGGGTCCAAGGGACAAATGCTTCATCCTGGATACTCTTTGATATACGGTAGCACTATACATTATTGTTGGTATCCAGGCTTTTGCTGCCATCCCCTATATCTCCCACTCCAGATCGCATGGCTGCTTCGAGAGACTATCCATCTCCGTCAACCACGACCTCTGGGCTTTCCCTACCTTCAACATGTGATCCTCCGGGAGAAGAGAACTCTCCAACCCAGAAAACATGGATTGTCAGTTTCGGTTCTATTCCTTGCTTGGGTGCTGCATGCTGATGCGTTGTTACAGNNGTCTTCGGTGCTACTGGCCACATGGGCCGCTCAATTGTCAAGACGTGTCTTTCTCGTGGCGACAAGGTCACCGCTGTCGGCCGCGTTGGCGAGCACACGCTTGATCAGATGCAAGGCTGGCACGACTCTTGTCTCGGCCTCTTGTGCGACGTGAGAGTTTCTAAAACAGTCGAGTCTGTCATCGAGAATACAATTCGACATTTCGGTGCCGTGGACGTCATTGTCAAGTCAGTATACCTCCTCGAATCTCCCAATGTCCCCGATCTCATCATTGATTCCACTACANGCTGCACTGGGTACGGCGTCATTGGAGCTTGTGAAGACCAAGATGTTTGCGATCTTCGTGCACAATTCGAAACCAACTTCTTCGGCTGTCTCAACATTGTCCAGCAGTCGCTCCCCTACTTTCGCAAACGCAACGCTGGCCGATATCTGATTTNNTTTTCTTCAACTTCCGGTGCACTCGGTGTCCCCGGCCTCGGTCCCTATTGCGCAACCAAATATGCAGTCGAAGGTTTGATTGAAAGCTTGCTCTACGAGGTCGATGCTTTCAACATCAAGGCCACCCTCGTCGCCCCAGGCCATCTCCGTCTCGACGAACCCACGGGACTGGACGACAAGGGTTCAGATTCAGCTGACAAGAGCCGCCTACCAACCTATGGCCATTTTCTGGTCAAGTCACCGTCTCAGCCTTATGAGAGCCAGAATGCTCCTGCCGCCCACGCGAAGCGGGTGGTGCAATGGCTTAGCAACCAGCAGCCCACCAGTGCTGTCAAGAGCGCCGAACTTACCTGGCAATTAGGTCATTGTTCATTTCCACCGTTGCGTCTTCTCTTGGGCAGCTTCGCCGTCGAGAGCATACGCGATCGCCTGCGGTGCATCATAGAGGAGGTGAGTGATCCGGTAAATGCACCAATCTACATCTATTGATAGGCTTGTACAGNNATCGAAGATTGGAAACATCTAAGCTTTCCTCGCGCCGATGAGAGAGACCAGCAGACACCGCAGCCTGCAGGGGAAGATTCGACGTCACAGCACCAACTGACACCGGGCGATGAAATTGCTGAAGTCGCAGATGGGGACATGGAAATCGACGAAGGCTGAATGGCATATGGATAGAATTTTTCTTTGCTTTTTCCTTCTCGAAGGACGTCCGAGATGTCAAGATCCATGGATCATCGACTACCCCAAGTTTGAGAACTTATGGACGCCTAACGCCGGTAGTTTCAGCGCGGACTCGGCATGATTCAAGCGACTACTACGTAGGCGGTAAAGGACCACAGAATTACGGTAAGCATGAACAATTCGTTGAGCACACTTTGAGGACGAAGAGGTCACGCCGGCCGACGCAAGCGAAGGAGTACAACGCCTTCGTCCGAGATGACCGGGTGGCAAGAGAAGGGAATGATGGTCAAAAATGGTCTGGGTCAGGGTCGAGGAAGTTGGGATAAAACGGCGACACGTAGGGGATGAGGCTGTCAAGCGCGCGCGTTGCCGACGAAGGAAAAATGGTCTTTTACCCTCTGACCAGCCGACCTCCTTAACTACATATCTTTGGCTTTGGTGGAAGGTCGAGGCCGGCTTGGTGTGGGAAGAAATGTTGTAGCGGTCGATAGTCGTGCACGCGGAATGTACGCCAAACTCGAGTTCACCAGAGGTAGCATACGGCTCCGGCGCTTAACGTCTTCCCCCTGATTCAACTCAGTATCTCACACACACAACTCTTTTCCGCAATCGTCTCGGCAGACGAAGTAGGTTGAGTAGTATGAAAGATGGAACAAGGGAGCAGGTTTTGGATGTTGGCATCGAGCCGATGTTCGCACATTGGACGGAGAGGGGAAAGCGTGATCTCGATGCCGGTTCACGAGGCTCGCACAAGCAAGGCGGAGTAAGGACACGGTTAGGGAATTGTTCAAGGGCAATGCATAATTAAAGTGTCTGGCCTGTGCTGCCGCAATCTTGCCAGTCTGCGAGCCAATCGATAGGAACAAGAGGGACGGGCTCCGACAAAAGGCAGCAGACGAGCGGCTAGCGTTGCAAGCACATGCAAGGCATTCCAGAGAATGACATCAATGGCTACGCTCGGGAAGGAGCGGGACCTTGACATGCCCCGCCGGTTGACGAGTCGGGTTGCATGTCGTGCAGATTGTGCAAGAGAGGACACGAGACGGCTGAGGTTGTGGAAGAGATGGGCAGAAGTGGAGGAAGCAGGATGCGCTGAGAGCAAGCTGCAGGTGAGAGCGGCAGACGAAAGCTTGCCGTGTCAACAAAGCGAGCATAAGCATAAACAAAAGACCCTCTCCCCAGCTGGCGTCTGCAGGTTTCTTCTTCGCACCTCGCACAGTGTACCACCAGCGCGGTCAGTCCCATTGTTCACCGCTTGCACTTCTGGCGTGACGCGGATTGACAATTGGCGTGGTCGATCGCTGTCCGACTCTCAGATCTCGTCCTGATCGCTGGCCCGAGCGCGTGATTGGAGCAAGGCAGGGCGGTTTTCTTTAACGCCCAAGCGTGAGGCACCCCTTCTGCCCTTAACGGGTGCAATCTTAGTCGCAAGCCTGTAAGGGCCTACTGGCGGTCTTCGTGCTAACCAAGCTCCTTTTCCTGCAGAAAGGCTTGCAGAAAGATTAAAAAAGGCTGTACCCCAAGACAGGAGCGGCCTGTTCAACTCGAAGCGCACAAGACCGACTAGCACAAAGCACGCCAAGCCCGACCACTTTCTCCATCTTTTGGCTTGTCTGAACTCGAAACACGCAGCAAAGCTCAGCTCCGTCCCTCTCGCCGGACGCAATTCAGCAGTCCCTCCACCTAGATCCTAACCTGCACACCTGGTCCATGGCGTCGACGCGTCGGACGAATTACCACCACCAGCTTAACATCTACCACGACCCCGTGCCGGTGCTGCCGTCCACCACCTTCCACGATCTCCCACAGGATTCGGTCGAGGCAGCTCTTCTAAGCGCCCTTGGCCAGCAACCTTTCAGACAGCCGGCCTTCGTGCTCAGTCCTNCGCACAACTCGGCCACCACCGGCCTGCCGAGAAAGCACTCGAGCTCGCCCGACGGTCCTCTTGGCCGACGCTCGCTCCACAACATCACCATCNCCTCTCCGCTGCAAGCAGCCTTCCCGTCCGACTCACCCGCCAAGCGCGGTTTCTTTTCCGCCATGAACCTGAACAAGGAAAACATGTTCCCCTACGACCACCACCTCTACAACGCACAAAAGGCCGTCCCCATCAAGCGGGCATTGGTCGACAAGACCAGCAAGAAGCCAGTGAAGCCCGCAGAGCAATACGACTTTGTGCTACCCGAGCCCGAAGAGATGCCGCCCGTACACGACGACGGCAACAAGCCTACCTTCAGCTATGCGACCCTCATTGGCATGGCCATCCTGCGCGCACCCAACCGCCGCCTCACGCTTGCCCAGATCTACAAGTGGATCTCGGACAACTTCAAGTACTACGGCGCATCCGAGACTGGTTGGCAGAACAGCATTCGTCACAACCTAAGTTTGAACAAGGCTTTCATCAAGCAGGAGCGTCCCAAGGACGACCCTGGCAAGGGCAACTACTGGGCAATTGAGCCTGGTATGGAGCGCCAGTTCTGCAAAGACCGCCCTTTGAAGAAGGTGCAGATTCCTTCCGAGATGATGCCTCTGCAGACTCTCCCTAGCAACGCTCCTCGCCCCGTCACTACCCCTGCAATTGGCCGCTTTGCTTTGGGTCCTAACCCTGTCAAGAAGACTGACACCAAGGCCGTCGACTCTGCCTCATTCCCTCAGGACCACTTCTCTTCAGACGGCACAATCCCCGCCAGCGATCCCGCCCTCCAAGATGATGAGCTTGCCATGCCCCCTCCCGCCGTGCGTGCTTCTATGCGTTCTTCTCCTCCTCCCGCCTTCGGCTCGTCTCCTCCACCCATGCAAGACACTCCTCCTCGCCCCTCCCGCCTACGTTTCCCTACCGAGACACACTCTGGAGGCGCTCGCAAGCGCAAGTTCACCGCTCCTCAGGACAGTGGTTACTACTCTTCAATAGAGTCATCAGCAGTCAGAAACCCTACCATCTCGCACGTCGCCCTCACTTCCGATGCCGACCCAGACCACCGCCGTATCAAGCGTGGCCGCGCAGAGGAGGAGATTGCACGTATTCGCAGCTCGTCCTACGACAGCCCTACAAAGAAGACCGCTCCCCACAAGCGCAAGCCCTCCGTGCACTTCGAATACACCTCTCCTCAGCGTCCTACTTCTTCTGCCGCCGCTGTTGCTCCTTTGACCCCTGCTGTTGTCTTCAAGCGTCCAGCCAAGCCTCCGCAGTCCTGCTCTCCCAACACCAGTCTGCGCAACCATCGCAACAACATCAAGGCATTCCTCGGCGAATCGCCTGCAAAGAGCTGGACTCCTCTGGTTCCCTTCTCCNCTGCTTTCAACCTCGATGAGTTCACTCCCGCCAAAGAGCTTACTCCTNGGCGCCCATCCAATGATACTAACGACATCTTCGACGAGAACGCTGCTCTGGAAGATTTCAGCGCTCGTGGCAGCCCTGGAAAGAAGCGTCCACGCATTGAACGCGCCGTCACTTCGACTGGTGTCCTGGCCGACATCACCTCCGGCAAGGGCAATGCTATGGCTTTCGACAGCCCCTTCAACTTCCACTTTACTCCTCTTAAGGCCACTCATCCCACTCAATTGCGCTCTCCCGTCATGCTTGGCTCGCCTCTGAAGCGTGTGACCATGGCTCCTCCTTCCACTGGTGTATCCGAGAGCACTGTCAACGCCCCTGATTGGCTGGACCTGTCTCTTGACAATTACTTCCCTCAACAAAACGGACATGAGCTGTTTGGACTGGGCATCCAGGATGATGTCTTTGACGAGCAGGGTCTCGACATTCTACAGGAGTTCGGCAAGATCGGATCCAAGCAACCCCAGCTCCAGCCTACCAACCCTGGAAGCAGCATGGGCAGCCCCGCCAAGCGCTCTCAGCGCCCTAGCATCAGCAGAAGCATCACCTCGAGATTCTAAACACAACACGACAAGGCCCGGAGCCTCTACGAATCCCAACGTATAGATTGCGCAGGATACTGATCATGAACATCAAACTATGATACCCACGACTACGAGCTGTATTAGCAGCACGGACGGTCAACAACTTTGCATACGAAACGAACAAATGGTGGAAAGAAGAACATTCCTGATGAGATGATACAAAAAGTGTTTCTAAGGTGTGGATTTTGTGTTTTCTCTTGTACTTTCTATTTGAAGTCTTGGTTTTTATGTTTTCTGGATGTTCTGCTTTTTCAGGAGTTTGTTCACGACAACCCTCGGCGAAGGGTTTGGGAACGAGATGGGAATGGTACGAAACCAATGGAATGGAAATGGGATGGAATTCTGCATTGCGCTCGGAGTTTCTTGCCTCTTTGGCAGTATGCATATTGGGCGGTCGTTTTTCGTTTACACATTCTCTATGGACAACATGCATTAATGAGTTGTATGAACCCTTTTTCTTACATTGATTACTTTCCATTCCAGACTTGTTCGCGTGACTATGCTGTGAGATCTGGACGCATGATCAGGCTAGGATTGTCATCAGCAACTGCTTCAATCTTTGACAACTAGATGAAAGAAAGGATACAAGGTCCTCAGATCAAGTGTATTCGAGTTCTCATGTCCCTGCGGTGGTCTGAACAGAGCTTGCGCAAAGTCGACCCATGTTCCCGCCGAGGGTGTCAATAGTCTCTTGAGTGATCATCACTGGACGTGTACTCCTTCTCCTCGTAGCTTCATGAGGAACGGGGAGAGAGCTTAGGGTAGAGGACTTACCGAGGCTTCAAGGATTGCTGCATGAACGCGACGATCCCATGTCGATGGCTTGAGTACCAAAGCAACAGAGGAATGAGAGCAGCTGTCACAAGATTTCACAAGCTTGCCTTCGCTGTAAAGTCGACAGTCGTACTCAAGTTTAGAGCACACTCAGTAAGCTGAACAGCCGGAGAATAACAACTACAAGAGACAGCTACAAGATGGAAGCAGGTACAGTAAGATGAGGACCAAGCCTTTGGTAAGCTTATCCCAGACATGCGTGTCCAAAGCGTTGGACGAACGGTTTCCTGATTAGGAGCGAGGGGTAAAAGGCAAGACCGCACATGCTCGCAGCGTGCGCCGCTCGTTTTGTGAAGCAGATGCGCTGATCAAAAGGCTAAAAACGCCCATGTACTTGTGGAAGTAGGGAAGGAGTCTGGCACTCTGCGAGAGGCAGAGAGGTAGAGGGTAATTCTCAACCATGATACGATGAAATACTCATGACGGGATATGACAGACGCCGCAGGAGATTTCCAGCGTGAGCATCGGGGTTTGTACGGCTTGCAGACGGCGGAATACGGTGCGAAATAGGAGATGAAGACGCTGACAAGCAGCGCCGAGGCTCGAGGTTCTCTTCGTCTTCGGCGTCACCAGCGAGGGATCGCCGAGAAAACGACCAACTTGGACCAATGAGAGGTGGCGAATATAGTCTTATGGCGCATCGGAGGGCGTTTGCCGTGACCGGTGGACGTCGGGGGTCTCGAATCGACAAGGTGATCGGTTCATTCCCAGTGTTTCGATGGTCTGCCGGGGATTCTGATCAAAATTACACATCACTACGACTGCATCCGCGCTCCGACGTCCTCTCTTCTTCCTCTCCTTCACACCTCCCCTCTCGCCCCTCCAACAACCAGACAAGGAAAAATAAAACAAACAATATCAACATGGAGGCCCTTCTCCGTCAATCGCGCGGCATGTGTCCATTCTTGCACAAGACTTCGCCCGCCACGCTTCGTTCGCTTAGCACCAGCACCAATGCTATCCAGGCCAACATGTCCAACCTGCAGGTGACTGCCGGTCAATGCCCCGTCATGGGCAAGGCAATGGCTGTCCAGAGCACTCGCCTCAACACTCTGCTTTCCGGCGCCTTCGGTGGCTCCAGAGCCTACAGCTCCCGCGCTACCCGTGCTCCTCGTGCTTACCTGCACACCACCCGTGCCGAAAAGGCTCAGGCAGTGGACAGCAGCCCATTGAGACGCGATGATGGTAAGCACGAATGCAACCAGGCTTCAATTGCGCTTTACTGACCTGTGGTTANNGTACGCTACCCTGCTCCCGCAGCGCACCAGCAGCAACAGGCACAGAAGCAGTCTTCCAAGGAAATGCACGGCGCTCCTCCGGCACCTCCGAACACTTCCCGCTTCGACTACGACGCTTTCTATCAGACCGAGCTGGACAAGAAGCACAAGGACAAGTCGTACCGCTACTTCAACAACATCAACCGCCTGGCCAAGGAATTCCCTCGCGCCCACAAGGACACCNCCGAGGACAAGGTCACTGTCTGGTGCTCCAACGACTACCTTGGTATGGGCAGAAATCCTCAGGTTCTGAAGAAGATGCACGAGACGCTCGACATGTACGGTGCCGGTGCTGGTGGTACTCGCAACATTTCAGGCCACAACCAGCACGCCATGGGCCTCGAGGCAACTATTGCCAAGCTGCACGCAAAGGACGCTGCTCTCGTCTTCTCTTCATGCTACGTCGCCAACGATGCAACTCTGGCCACCTTGGGCTCAAAGTTCCCCGGCTGTGTCATTCTGTCTGACAGCAGCAACCACGCTTCCATGATTCAGGGTATTCGTCACTCTGGAGCCAAGAAGATGGTATTCAAGCACAATGATATGGCCGATCTCGAGCAGAAGCTGGCCTCGCTTCCTGCAGAGACTCCCAAGATCATCGCCTTTGAGAGTGTTTACAGCATGTGCGGTTCTATTGGTCCCATCGAGCAGATTTGCGACCTTGCAGACAAGTACGGTGCCATTACTTTCCTCGATGAAGTTCATGCTGTCGGCATGTACGGCCCGAACGGTGCCGGTGTTGCTGAGCACCTCGACTACGAAGCATACGTAAACGGTGGCCAGCCCAAGGGCACCATCCAGGACCGCGTTGACATTATTACTGGTACTCTTGGAAAGGCTTATGGTTGTGTTGGTGGCTACATTGCTGGCTCCAGCAAGCTTGTTGACACTATCCGCTCTCTCGCTCCCGGTTTCATCTTTACCACCTCGCTTCCTCCGGCCACCATGTCCGGCGCCCAAGCTGCCATCGAGTACCAGATGGCATACAAGGGCGACCGCCGTCTGCAGCAGCTGCACACTCGTGCTGCCAAGGACGCTCTTGCCGCCAAGGACATTCCTGTCATCCCCAACCCCAGTCACATCATTCCCGTTCTGGTTGGTGACGCCGAGGTTGCAAAGAAGGCATCTGATCTGCTCCTCGAGGACCACGGCATCTACGTCCAGGCCATCAACTACCCCACCGTCCCCGTCGGCCAGGAGCGTCTCCGTATCACCCCTACTCCTGGTCACATCCGCGAGTACCGTGACCACCTGGTCGAGGCTCTGGACAAGGTCTGGAACCAGCTCGGCATCAAGCGCACTTCCGACTGGGCTGCGCAGGGCGGTTTCCTCGGTGTCGGCCAGGAGACTTCTGGCAACGAGCCCCTCTGGACCGATGAGCAGCTTGGTCTTTCCGAGGTCAATGCCGAGTTGAACAAGGTTGGCAATGATGCCGTCAATGTTCTCGAGAGCGTCCTTGAGGCCGAGAGGAAGGAGGTTGCTCAGGCTGTTGCTTCTGCCTAAGCTTTGCCTAAGCTTTGGATCCGATGTGTCAGGATAGATATCCGAGTCTTTGAATGTTTGAAGAGGAGGAGGAGGAAACAGCCATTTGTGGCTCTCATAATATCAAATCATTTTTTCACCTGTGGATTATTTGTGCCTATCTCTGTTAGCCGTGACATGTGTGCTGTGTTGTTTCCTTTCCCGAAAAGCAAAGAAAGGAAAAGAAGAATAGAGATTAAAAGGGCAAGGACAAGCTTTTATATGAGAAGTAAATGGACATCAATCACTTCGTTGCCGAATTAGGCATGCGGTTCCCATCTTCCCTTCTGCCATGACTGTTCTTCTGCTTCTGAGCACAATAAACTCGTGGACAGGAAGTGACGACTAGCAAAAAGGTTGATACAAGAAAGCTTCCATGAAAGCAGACGAATTCAACTCTACGCTCTATGAAAAGACACAGAAGCAAGGGTACCACAAAATACATGTAAAACAGCACAACAGCAAGACGCTAGCAAAAGAACAAAAAGGGTATTCCCACGAAGAAACCTCCTTCCCCACGGACTCCAGTATTTACACCACCACCGCGCCCCATTTTGTAGCATGATAGTTTAATCTTGCTGAGTCATGTGAGAAGGCAAGTTCCAACTAGCATAATCTTGATGCACAAAGGCACGATCAACTGTAGGCACCGACTCCAAGACGTACTGCAGACTCTCTCCCAAGTCATGGCTGTCTCTCAGTGACATGTGCTCATCCAGCACAATATCGACCTCTACATTCAGCTTGTCGCCAGAGTGATAAGCTTGCAATCCNTGGATCTGCTTGATGGTCTTTGCGAAGCGCATGGTCAGGTAGAGAAGCACGTTACGCTCGTCTGCAGAAGCGGCTGCACCAGTGAGATTGCGGATGTGAGAGAGGGATGTGGCTGACCAGCCGCCGATGACGTAAAAGGAGAGGAGAATACCACCGAGAGGGTCGAGCCACCAGATGCTGAAATAGTAGCCTAACAAGGGAAAGATGATGGAGAAGATGTTGAAGACGACATCAGTCATTGCATCTTGGGCCAGAGCTTGGACGCTGCTGTTGGGGATCAGTCTGCACCACAGCCAGCATCCGAACTTGATGATGACGGTGGCAGACATGATGGCAATAGCAGCATAGCTAAGTTGCACAATGGTATGATCCTTGGAGGTGAGGTGGTTCAAACCTTCGATGGCGACTTGAACGAAAGAGGTGACCATGATGACTGAGAAGACTAGAACGCCAATGGGCTCCAGACGTCTGCGACCAACAGGATATTTGTACATATCGTTATGGCTGATCAGTCTAGTGGTAGTCCATACGATAGCGGTCGAGAGGAAGTCCAGGGCTGCATCGACCAAGGAAGCCAGAACGGAAACGGAAGAGGTGAGGACAGTGACGACAATCTTCAAGCCGAGGAGTACAGTGTTGGCGACCAGATTCAGGTAGATGGCTACAGTGACAACGCGGCTCTGGCTGTCAGGCTCATCATCGGGCTCGAAAGCAGGGATACCGGTATTGAAGAGCGAATTGCTGTCGTCCTCGGCCAACAAGGGCGTCTCTTCGTCAGCACCGACGCGGTACAAAGCCTTAGGCGTTCGCTTGAGCCTGTAACTTTGGTTTGCCGAGGCGGTGCCATTGCCGTTGGCGTCGATAGGAGTGAGGGCAGGAGAAGGTCTGGCAGAGGCTTCAGCACTTGGACTGCCGTTCTCCTCGCTGATGGTGGGCGGCACGGTGGCAGCTCCCGAACTGCTGTGAACGTTGTACTGATACTCTTGAATCAGATCATGGGGCAGACTCGAGTCGAGCAGTCTATCGATATACAGGTACTGCTGGATCAGGAAGTTGTTCCGCTCGTAGTATTGACGGATGGGCTTCTTCATCTTCTTGAGGTCTTCGTCGGGTGTGAAGTACTTCTCCCAGCGGTAGCGCGGATTGCTGTTGCCGATCAAGCGCATACTGCGCATTTGGGGAGTCATGAGGGCAACAGCGCCCGAACTGAGACGACGCGAGACATCCGAGTTCTGGTCGTTGGCGGTAGCTCTGAAGCGAGCTTGTTGAGGTGTCGGTGGCTCATTGTCGCTCACGGCGGCGCCGTCTTCAAGCGAGGTGCCTGGAGCAAAGTTGCCATCGAGCGATGAGCGGCGGCGGCGTCCTGTCACGACAGGAGCATGGGTTGTCGAGCGCTCGCGTATGAGCTGTGGAAGGTGCTGGCCACGGGTCGAGAGTGCCGACTCTTCTGACAATGGCAGGAAGCTCTTAGCTCCCGAGCTCGAGACGCGCTTGCTGGATGAAGGTGTTGACATGGTCGCCCGAGGGTCGTCGAGGCAGGCGAGATGGCCGGCGCCTTTCACTTGTACATGGTCACAGAAGATGGCTGAATGCTGAACATGTTTCTTCTCCAAGCCTCAACCAATGCCTGCCACTTTCACGTCGTGCTTCGTACCAGCCGGCGCCCCGTCCACTCGCCCGATGGGAGCCAAACTCAATTTCCCATCAGGGTCGCAGCTGGAAGAGCTACACCTTTTGCTGCATTATCATCTCCGAATAAGTCCTTATCAGATCGGTCAAGTCATCTCTGTGTGCTCAAGACAGTCACAGTGCAGACATACAAATGCACAATTGTATGCAGAAAAGAACAGGATCCAAAGAGACCCGATGTAATCACAACGCTTGTTGGACACTACTTCATTCTGAAAAGTTTTGCGCATTTCTTCTATAGCTTGCAATATTACTCTAACATGGATGCCTTTTCCTAAATGACCGTGACTCAGACCCTTTCAAGGGTTCGTAAGCTAGTCACAACCTTCAGCACATGGGATGTCTCAAGGATGCCCTCGGCAAAACTCAACACTCGTCTTTGAAGCTTTTGGGTATAATTCTACTCTATTGTACAAATGTTTAAAACCACTCTTGAGGTAGCAAATGAGCAATGTCCTCCACCGAAAAATAAAACAGTGCGATGCAAATCGTTATGCCGTATAATCATGCTGCAGATGATGCTTTGCCACCACCGCCATGTCTTCGAGCCATCTTCTAGAGAGACCCGAGACTGTAAGAGAAAAGAGAAAGGAAAGATGAGAAACAGTCGCGTGGCGCGCTGCGGAAAGAAACCAAAGCAACGTGTCTACTCGATGACACTCTAATTGCCACGGAACAAGAACTGCATGTCCTCGGGCGTGAGCTTCTCCATGGCCACCCTGTCGTTGTTGATTGTGCCGTTGATCATGTTGGCCTTCTTCTCCTGCAACATGACGATACGCGACTCGACCGAGTCTTCGATACACAGTCGAGTGATGACACAAGGACGTCTCTGTCCGATACGGTGGCAGCGGTCTGCGCTTTGCCACTCGGCTGCGGGATTCCACCAAGGGTCCACGATGAAGACACGCGAAGCTTCAGTCAGGTTGAGAGCAACACCTCCGGCTTTGAGGGACACCAAGAACACCTCGACATCAGGGTCCGTCATGAAATGCTCGATCGACTTCTGGCGCTGCTGAGGAGTCATGCTGCCATCAAGCATAACAGTGTTGAAGCCTGCGCGACGAAGACGCCATTCGATGAGCTGCAACATCGACGTGAACTGGGAGAAGACGATCGACTTGAGAGTCTGCTTCTTGCTGCGAAGCTTGTAAAGGTCGTAGACGAGCATCTCAATCTTGGTCGACGAAGTCCAGTTCTCCATCTTGATGCGGTTGATGATCGAGTTCTTCTTTACAGCCTCCTCGTTCTGCTCAAGCTCAGGCATATCGAAGTCGATCGAGAGCGGGATGTGACAACGAGGGCATTCGACATCGCCAGCGTCCTCTTCCACCGATTGAGCATAGTTCTTGACACAGGTTCTGCAGAAGTCGTGCTTGCACTTGGAACGAATGGGTTCTTCGGCAGGCTCATCGCAGATGTTGCACACCAGAACGTTCATGCCTTCGGCAGCCTTCCTCTTGAGGATCAAGTCTGGGTGGTTGGACACTTGGCGCATCTGCATGATGAGACCGAAAATGTTGGCGTAGTTGTTCAGCATGACACCACGCGAGACATACGTATCGAACTGGCGAGCAGTGTTGGACATGATGCTCTGGGAAAAGTCGCGCTCGATATCTCCGAAGAACTCATTGTGAACGATGACCTCTTTGGGTGGAAGCTCCATGGAACTAACATAGTCGCGCTTCATACGACGGAGCATGATGCGAGACGTGATAAGGAACAGCTTGTCCATGGCTTCCGAGCGCATTTGCGAGTCCTCAGACTGAGTGATCGGGTTGAGCAGCTCTTGGTTGAAGACTGAGACGTGCTCCATTCCGGTGTGCTTGCACTCGGTACACATGTGCTGAGAATCCAGAGACCAATGCAGAAGGGAGCAGGGACACTTCTTGCAGAAATAGTCCGCGAAAGGTCTGACCTCCAGGAAACGAAGCAGAGAGAAGAACTCGCCGATACGGTTCTGAACTGGAGTTCCCGACAAGCACCACTTGTACTTACCTTTAAGTGCGAAACAGGCTTTGGCGACTTGAGTGGTTCTGGTCTTGATGCTGTGTGCCTCATCCAGAATCAGTCGATGGTAGGTCAGAGCATGGATGGGCGAAGCCTCCTTGACAAGATCTCCGTTGCGGGTCCAGCCCTTGACCTCCTTGCGATGCAATGACTCGAGACTGTTGTACGAGATCATGATGACATCGTACTTCTTGAGCTCGCTGACCTTCATATTCTTGGACTTCGCATTGGTGCCATGGTAGACGAGGACCTTGAGTTTTCCATCGGTGTACTCGCCAATCTCTTGAGACCATTGCATCAGAGCGACCGGAGGCACCAAGACAAGAGTCGGCTGTTTCTGAGGGTAGTCGGACATGATGAGAGACACAGCCTGGATCGTCTTGCCCATTCCCATCTCGTCTCCGAGTAGACCTCCCTTGTAGTTCGACTGCTCTTGTTTGATCATCCAGTCGACACCTTCGAGCTGGTACGACTTGAGTTTGCGGTTGATTGAGGGTGGCTGTGCGCCAGCGACGCCCTTGATTATTGGAATAGCTTCAAGATCCTGCCACATTGTTTTGATCTGAGGGTGTGCCTTCTCTAGCTTCAGTCTCTCGCGGTCCTTCCTGGACAAACCTCTCTTCTTGATTTCGGCGCCAAGATCACGGCCTTGGAGGTTAGCCTGGCCTCTTCTGCGGCGGATGTTCGTCAATGCCAGTGGTTGGTCGTCGTCGCTGTCATCCGAAGTCTCAGCGGCGCCTGACTGAGCGTCTTCAGAACGGAACTCGTCCTCGGTTGTCATCGAAAGGGTTGACAATTCACTGTCACTATCAGGAATGACGATCGAAGTTCTTTGCTTGGACACAACCGCTTTCTTGCCAGCACGGGCTTTGGAAAGGCGAGACTTGTACTTCAAAGGCTCGTCTTCGTCGTCTGTCTCTGCGATGACTCTGCGTGGTGCCTTTCCCTTGTGTTTCTTGAAGGTGGACTCTTCCTCAGAATCACCTTCAGGCTTGAAAGAAACGGCAGAAGAGAGGTCACTCATGTTTTCACCATCCGAGTCATCGATGACATTGACCTCATATGATCTCCTCGATCTCGACATGGGCGCGGAGTCCAGGGGTTCTGTCTTAATGTTCGAGGGCTCGGCCTTGATCTTNTTGAGTGGCTGTCCGACCTCTGCCCATTCCTCCTCTTGCAGCTGTCTGGCCAGAGCAGCATCATCATCCGTATCTCTCTTTCTCTTGTTTCCTAGGCGTCCGCGGACCGAGGGCTCCGGAGTGGCACTAGCACTGGTGGCAGGGGTATCGATTGGTCGAGCATCAGGGCTATCGGCCGATGACAGTGACGATGGGCTGTTGGAGCGGAGAGCTGCCTTTGCACGAGAAGACATGACTGGAATAACAACTTGAACTTGAGATTTTGATCTGGCCCTGGTGGTGGCAATTGGTGGTACTTGGTCTTGATCACTGGAGTCCTGGTCTGAGTCTGGAATTGTTGTAGACCTTTTCGAAAGGGATGTGCCTCTTGTAGAAGACTTGGAGGGGGCGTTGTCGGATGCAAGGGCTGGCACATGTTAGTCAGATGTACTTTCACACAAAGATGACAATTGCGAGTTCGCATACATTGCGGGCCACGGAGAGAGGAGCGGGTTTGACGGGCCATTATGGAAGTTTGAAGTGATGGAAAGAAAAGGAGAGTGGAACGACAGAAATGGACAGAGGCAAAGCCCAAGACAAGGCAAAGGCACGCTTGGAATGAAGGCACAACAAGATGGAAGAAAGAAAGGACCTGCTTTCTCACTCACTTGACAGAAACCTTCCGTTGCCACCAGGGATATGCTGGAGAGGGCTTGACGGAGTTAAGCAGTCCAAGGATTTCAATGCGAGTCAGAGCCGAGATCCGAGAGAGACAATGCAGATCCCCGCCTGTTCCTGTGGATCTGGACTGTGCGATTCCTTGTTGACGAGTGTCACAGTGTGCAACAAAGAAAAGTTGATTGAAGAAGGGCTAATGAGGATTGGGATTGGAGTCGGAGGTGTGGAACTTTCATTTGGTCTACAGAAGGAGTCTCTGCTTTACCTGCTCTTTCCAGCAACACTCGGGCAGCCGCCAGCCCGACCCGAAGGCAGCGAGCGCGAAAACACGACGCGTTAGCCCAATTGGGCGTTGATCATGAGCCAATTGGCATTCCGTCTTGCAGCCTGTGTTCGCAGAAGATAATAATGATACATAGAAAGCTCTTAATTATCTACCATCAAGGATCTCAATTCATATGTTTCGACCCCATATATCTCCACATGGCACTCGACTGTTTTGAGGCTCTGGAGAGTCCAAGCGTTGCGAGCACTAACGTCATTGACTTTTGTGCCATCTGTTCACTGGACGTCAATCATGTTTCGCCTCTTGTTTCCTCTACATGAACCTCACAGGCATCGCTGTGTCAAATCAACTTCCCATCATGGCCGGCCAAAACTATGCCTACTGTACTCTGATTACCCGGTCGTCGTATCTCGCTGGTGTGCTGATTCTAGCTCATACCTTGGCTAAATACAAGTGCGCATACCCTCTCATCGTTCTCTACACGGATACACTGCCCGCTTCTTCTGTACGCGCCCTGGAGCTAGAAGCTCCGCACAGTAATCTTACTCTCCACCGTGTCGAAGCCCTGCTGCCTCGCGAGAACGTCCACGTACACCTTATCGCTGAGCGCTTTGCCGATACTTGGACAAAGTTGCGAGTCTTCGAGCTGTACAAGCTTGACAACTATGACAAGATATGCTACCTCGATGCCGACATGATCCTGCGCAGGAACATGGACCACGTCTTTGACAAGCACCTGCCTGCCAACGATTGGATCGCTGCCAACCACGCTTGCGTCTGCAACCTCGACAAAGACCCTTGGGCTCCCGAAGACTGGACAAAAGAGAATTGTGCTTACACTGCTGTATCACACCCGAGTGCCCTCGAACACCCTACTCCAATTACGCCAGACTCGCGAGGCACATACCACCTGCTCAACAGCGGCATGTTCCTGTTCGTCGCCTCAGAGCAACTTTGGGACCGCATGATTGACTTCTTCAACACCACTCCTCTGCTAGGCGAGTTCAAGTTCCCCGATCAAGACTTCCTGGCCGAGTTCTTCAAGAACAAATGGGTGAGCTTGGGTTGGCAATTCAATGCTCTAAAGACCATGCGCTACTGGCACGAGAACATCTGGAGAGATGAAGAGGTTGTTTGCCTACACTACATTGTCGACAAGCCTTGGGCCAAGCGTGTGACCGAAGACGGTGTGGCCGGATACCTTGGTCGCGATGGCGAGACCCACACCTGGTGGTGGCAAGAATATGAGGACTGGCACCAACAACGCAAGTCTCAGAACGAGACGGAAGAACTGGAAATCGCCGTGAATCATGTTGCTAGGCCCATTGGACAAGAAGATCAAGAATCGGACGAAATGCGTGCCATTGGCAGCGGCGTCCAATCTNTTGCANAAAACAAGAAGCCTGGTCAAAGCAAGGAGGACGAGAAAACACAAGATGCCAACGAGGAAGTCCAGGACCTCCCTCAGCCACAGATTCCTGCTCCCCATGAGCTCAAAGGCAAGGCTTTGGGTGAACGAGGACATGGCCCCAGAGTCCGTGGATGAACTCTTGCATCTGCCCTGCCATACAAATGACATGGACCTACCCTTCTTGTCGAACCGTTGTATGAAACAGCTGTACATAACCATACTTTCCTGTCACTGGAAGCTCATACATTGAATCAGATACACCTAGACACGACGACTACTTATTGCCTCTGAGTACACTGATCTTCATCAAACAATCACTGGTTGCGTGGCCCAATGGCAAGGCGCTTGACTACGAATCAAGAGATTCCAGGTTCGACCCTGGCGTGATCATCCTTTTGTCGGTGTGTTGCTCGGTGAAACAACCTTTTGTTCTGTCTTTTTGTTTGTCAAGAAATTTCTTTCTTCTCTGCAATAGTTGACGTTGAGGGAAGGTTTGCCGAAGCCGGTCCGGGACATGTGGTCCGACAGCCGACGGGAACGGGCCGAGATCCGAGAACTCGGTCAACGGGAGCACCCTGTTTGATATCTCTTCTTCCCAATATCCATGCATGTCTTGATATGTTATCCCATCTCTCTAGTTCGATGCAAAGATGCAGTCTATGCTTGTTTTCCTTGATGTTTCCTTTGTAGAAGTAACCTGTGGAACGTCCAAAGCTGCGTGTTCATGAGCAAATTCAATACTCACCTCACCATTGTACGTGTGTTGACTGTAGGTACACCTCGGTTTTGACTTTCTCACTGATATTGGTACTTTAGCGAGAGGTTGTTGGTATATGAGTCTGTTTCATTCTCCCTCGCTACTCTCCTTCTCGTTACATATACACTGTGAGAATAGTAAGGGGTACTCAAGCTGTCTGAGCATTGGACCAAGGTCTCCTTGCACCATGTATGCTGTGAATGATGTCTTTGAAGCCCATTAAGTAATTTCTTTATGCAGTTATACCTCTACAGCCCAGCAAACAGATCATCGATGGCGTTCTTCTTTTTCTTCTTCTTCACAGGCTTTGCAGCACTGGTGGAAGTCTCGTCTTCTTCTTGCTTCGGTCTCTTCTTTTGAGCTTCGAGCTCGTCGTGGACACCAAAACATCTGGCTTCGAAGATGTTGCTGCGGTCTTCGAAGATGGTTTCGGTAGTGGAGTGGTTGAATTGTCGTCCCAATTGACAGCAGGCAGGATCTTGGTGGCCTTCGGTTTGCTGTCGGTTTCTGTAGTTTTGAGCTTCTTGCTGGCTTTCGTCTTTGTTGGCAGAGGCATGCTGGACTCTCGTGAAGATGTGATGGGTGTGCTGCCGGTAGCCATGGCTTTCAGTGCTTTACAACTCTGTTCCAGCATATCGCGTTCAGGAGCCAGACACCCGCTCTCATTCTTCCTCAGCTCCTTCTCTGTGGCTTTGACCTTTGTAGCCGTCATGTCTTCCTCATGTTCGCTGTCATCTCTTCTCAAGACTTCACCGAGATCTTCTCTCTTCTCTGCTTCTCGCGGCACAAGGACACCCAGACCTTCGTCTTCGGCCCATCCTTCTGCAGCAAACACCTCGATGGCTTTTATTGTTTCTTCCTCNCCTAGCTTCTCGTAGACGGAGATCAATCCAAACACCCTGCAAACGTGACTCAAGATTGCCATCAACACCACGCCCAACACTGCAAACCGTCCGTCTGCGATAAGCTGTCCAAACGCATGCTGTGCTTTTGGCACCAGCACATCTCGCCAGAAAGACACGGTTTGCTGTATTCTTAATCGCAAATTTTCGTCTTCTGCTTTCTTCTTGTGTCGCGCAAGGTTGGTGGTAGGTACATGAGCGAGTGTTGTTAGGTGTTCGAGTACAGTGCCCAGATGTCGGCGAAAGATATTGAAGTGGCGATACCAAGTGGTCCGGCGATGTTGATTGTGGTTTCGATGATGCAGAAGGTGCATTAATGTATGCAGATGTTGAAGATCGGCGGTTTGCGAGACGGATGGGAGCTTAAGAGGCGCGAGGTTGGATATCGTTGTTATTGGGTTGGTCTCCATGATTTGTGGCCGTTCTTGTTGCCCTTGCGATGTCTCCAGCCACAAAGGTCTATGTTCCTGCCTCTCCCAGAAGACACCCAAGATTCCGGTAGTTGATAGACGGCTCAGAAGCGGAGCCAAATACCAGCCTCGTTGGCGTTATTCGACGAGATCTCGCTCAAGGAGGGTCTCTCGACGAAGACTAGGCGATGTCCGAGGGTTTGCAGATTTTGATGTTGATCCTCGTGGTATGAGTAAATTGTCAGAGCAGCCGTTTTCAGCTCGACTCGTGATGGAAAGTAGATTCTTGCTCAAACGTCCTTTTATTGATTTCAATGATTGTGGTCTTCAGTTTCGAAGATCGAATAGGTATTTGGACTCTGCACTGACAGTCCAAAGTTTTTCTTTGTACGCGCTCACGTCTGTCTGTCGTCGCGATGCATTGCGCTTCAATACAGCATGTACTTGAGAAATAAAGAGCTATATGCTTTCCTTGAATATGAGAGCTTCGAATCGAGAACAAATAGTCGCACGTTGATGGTACTGTACGAAGAAGGTAGACAGCAAGGCCAAGAATAACCTCCGTCTCGGAGTTATCGGATTTATGACTTGGGTACAGAACATCAAGAACATTCATCAGATAATCACAAGCACATGTGGACAGAAAACATTTTTTTTTATCAAGGCAACCTCGTGAATTGTTCTGTATGTCTGGAAAGCAAGGCTAAGCTAGAAGTATCTGAGAGAATGTAGAGTTCTCTATCTCTTTCTTGTGTAGCATTCATTTCGCATCATGTCGTCAATCCTTCCTCCTCTTCAATCCTCTAAAGCTCAACCAGGAAAGAAGCAACCCAACCGACCGCTGTCCAGAAACAGAAGTCTCCAGAAGAACACGTCTGATGATGCCCAAACCTGAGGCTTCCATACCGCCAATCTTTTTTCTGTCGGGTTTTCTATGAGTTTCCTGTCAAGTGCCAACCTTGTGACAATAGAGAACATTCTTCTGTACTGGCGAAAGAGTTCTGCAAAGGTAGTTCCCAAGCGAGAAGTGATTGCGTCCAAAACTCAGCACTCAATGGCTGAAGAGAGCGCCAAATCCACGAAGGGTTCAACGACGATAGTGACCGCGGCAGTTACCACGGAAGAAGGGGTCTTCCTCGTCGAAGTAGTCCTCCTCCTCGTCCTCATAATCACCGCGGAAACGAGGCTGCTGCTGGTATCTGCCGTTGCGTGAGGCAGGGTGCTGACGACGGTCATTGCCGCGGTAACCGATCATGCGGCGCTCGTTGAAGCGCAGCTGGCGCTGCTCTTCATGCTGGCGTTCTTCCTCAATGGCGAAGGAGGTACCACGGTCGTACTGGCCCTCGCGGTAGTGAGAGCCAGGGCCGTACGGGCCTCTGCCACGACGAGGAGGGAACAGGCCGATAGTGCCGGCGTTGTCCCTGGAGCGCTTGCGCTTTTGCTCATTGTTGGGAGGAGGGAATGGAGCTTCGGTACCAATGGCCTGGCGGTTAGGGACGCCTGCGATGGCCGGGAGGTCGGTGGAGTCGACGTTGTACCAAAGCTTAGGGCGGTAGCGAGGATTNTCTTCCATAACGACTGAATTGCGGAACTTGGCAAGCAGACAGTCGATGCCCTGGATGGTGGCATAGGAAACCTCGCACTTCTTCATGGAACCGTACATGTTCCATTCCTTGCCGACGCGACGCTGAACGAAGTTGGTAATAAACTCAGGGCGGACGAAGTTAACGAAGGCGTATCCAACATTCAAGTTGTTGGAAAAGTCGATACGGAGGTAGGAGAAGTCGTAGTGACCCTCCGAGGTGGCGTCGAGGAAGAGCTTGAGGTCCTCAAAATCAACACGGTTGGGGATGTTGCGCAACATGATGGTAGTGCGAACATCAATGCCGGCCTCAATCTTCTGGAGGTTCACAGTTTGAGGCTGGTTGAATCTCCAGAAGGCCATATCAGTCTGGTGAACAGGAGAGTCCTCCGAGGGAATCCACCAGGCGGGCTGGCGGGAGCCATGGCCACGGTAGCCACCGCGGAAGCGACGGGGAACCTGGTCGCCACGTGGGCGAGGAGCGTAACCACCTCTGGAATTGCGGGTGGTGTAGTTGTCATAGCGGTCGTTCCAGTCGTCCGAAACGTCTAGGTTTTCAGTGGCGGCCACCAGGTCAGTCATGCCCGAGGCGGCGGGATGAACGTAGCGCTTGTAGCCAGCAGGTGCGTATTCCTTGATAGACACTGTGAGAGTGTCCTGAAAATGTTAGTAAGGAACCAACAAGGTAGATGAGAGACGATGCGGAGATACTTGAAAAGAAAAAGGAAGATACTCACANGAGCAGAAGGCTGCGTCGTGCTGGAGCGACATGGCAATAGCATCCTCGGCGGAGTTCACAGAGAAGTATTCCGCACGGAAGCGAGGGGCCTGGAAGCCCTTTGAATCGATGTACGCGAATGAGCGAACATTGCCAAAGGCGCTGGCGAGGGCACGAACTTCATCGAAGATCGAGTGCAGGTTGAAGTCCATCATGCTCTTGGGCATAGCTGTAAACTCGACCTGACCATCGTAGGCCGAGACGGCCTGAGCACGAGCGTGGGTGAAATCGTGGGCGAAGTACTCGTGGTGGTCCACAAAACGAAAGTTGGCTGTAGTAAGACCACTCTCAAACATGGCCTTCGAGACGAACGCGGCGCGCAAGTCGTCAAAGCGACAATACAAGCTGACACAGTCTTCAGTATCGCCGAGAGCAGCGACGCAGTTGTCGATAAGACCGACCAAGCCAGTCTATGACAGTNNTAGTAAACAATCGGAACATGAATGAGAAAAACTTACTGCTTGTAGGACCTCGTGAAGGGTGCTACCTTCAAGCCACTCGCCAGGGATCATGCCGAAGCACACAAAGCGAGTCTCAGCAACGTTGGGGTCAGCATCTGTGCTGAAGGGAGGACCGTCCTTCAGCGAAGACTGGCTGGATGGAGTAGAGGAGCCAGAACCGATAGGCTTGATGGGAGAGGGTGAAGAAGCCTTGGTAGATGGTCCATCAGGAGTTGAACCGATATTCAACAGCTTCATGGCACTGCTCTTGGCAGGAGTGAAGAAGGTACCTGAAGAGAAACTGGAGTTGTCATGAGCGACCGAAAAGCCCTTACCAGGGGTAAAGACAGGTCCGGAAGGGTTCATGCCAACGTTATTCTGTTGAAAAGACAAGTCAGTGATGAGCCAAGGTGGAACAAGGTCAAGATGAGAAAGGCATAAAAGAAGAGCCATAAGATGGGAAAGATACAAGAAGGAGAAGAAGAGGAGGAGGAGAAAGAAGAAGATGTGTGGTGAGGAAGGGCAAAAATGCGATGGAGTGGGATGCGATGAGACTGGACGAGTTTGAAGTTGTATAAGATGAAGGACGGTATGGTTCAGACCAAGGCAGGAGTTGTGATCAAGACGAGTCAAGGTAAGAGAGTGTGTAAGGATGAAGATGAACGAGGTAGGTGAAGCCGAAGAGTAAAGGCAAAGGGCAAAGAAAGAACACACCGATGCAAAGAGCTCATAGGATAGGACCATGGTGGTCAAACCCTCAAGTCCAACAGCAGGCGAATGCGAACTGACGCGCGCAAGAATGTGCTAAGAAAAGAGAGGGAATGGATGTGCGCACAGAGGGCAAGAACGCTGATGTAGATGGGGAAGATGGTGTTTTGCAAAGTGCGCGCAGTGGAAGAGAGAAGAGAGAAGAAAGAAGAAAGAAGACATACCTTGGAAGAGGGTGTGAATTGCGCAGAGGCAGCGGCACTCTGCAGGACCTTGCGATCCTCGTTAGGGTTGGCGGAGTCCTTACGCGCCATCTCAGAGGACTGAGGTGGAGGCATGGTGGAGTGTGGATGGTTGTGATGTAAGATGCAAGAAGGAATGGGAAGAGGAAGAGAGGAAGATAATCTTAGTCCAAGAAGGAAGACACTGTGCGAAGAGGTGCGCGGTGTCAAAATTGGTAAAGGTTGTGGGGGAAGGAGGGAGAGTTGGTGGAGGGACGGAGCTTTTCTTATAGCCAGCGTCTTTGCGTCGATGATGTCGCCGGTATAGGCAGTGAGCGCTTGAGCACAGTGATCGATGCTGAAGCTACTGGTGAAGAGGCTCGAGAGAGGTTCGAGGCAGACTCGACAAGTCCGACAAGGGCATGGGTGAGATGATGGGACAGAGGAAGGTGCTCGAAAAGGTCACTCCTCGAGGAAGGCTCGACCGCTGGTTCCTTCCCTTACGGAGCCAAAGTTCGACGAAAGCAGGCGGTCGTGGATATCAACTCGATCAGTCCGGCCAGACGTTCGACCCCGTAGAAGCTCGAACAACTCTATGGAAGGGGGAGGAGGGAATTTGTATGGAGTAGAAGATGGGCTTTGTTGATGGAGTCCATCGAGGCAGCGACGAGGAGGGTACATCTACCTTGATGGTGAGCTCGCACGTCATGTTCTGAGTTCAACAACCGAGTGATCGAAGCGACTGGAGAGTATCCTTCGTGAATGTGTGTAGTTCAACATGGTCACTGGGATAGATGAAAATTCATACTATTGCACCGGACAAGGAAGGAGGCTTCGCTCTTTCTCATCGAGCTTGAAGCCTTCTGATGTTGGGTGGTTTGCTTCCAATGCTTGCTTGGCAGCTGGATTTGCGGCCATGTGAATGAGGCTCTGCGGCAACTAAGCCGTTGCGGTCGTAGCGTAGCGCATTGACCACAACCTACTCCTTGACTCCAAAGCATGGAGTACTTCTGCTTTCTCGAGTCCAACAACCATTGAGGTCAAAGGTTTAGTAAATTAACCACGTTCGATTGCTCTTCATTCCGTCGTGAAAAACAGTCCATCACTGTTGTCATTCCACTTGTTCGGGAACGATTTGTTCTGCTCATTGCTCAAGCCGATACGTGTCAAAGAACGTGTCTTGTGCAGAGGAGTCATTTGTGAGCCTGCCAGTTCGAGGGCAACTCGATTGCAGTAAAAGATGCCCGCAATCATTGAGCCTCATGACGAGTTCATGGGCGCTGTTCAGCAGGTATCGAACTTGGCTTTCCAAAAACCCGACAGCGAGCTAATGGAGTATAGANTAATCCTGTCATCTTCCGAGACAGACTACATCGACCAGTTAATCCCGGTGATGCGTGATGTCGGAAATTCGGAACGTGCAGGTCATCTCATCCAGGCGCTGACACAAGTCTCGAACGACCGACAAGCCGAGATCGAGCGCATTTGCAATACCAATCATCAGGAATTCATCAGCTCCGTCAACCAGCTTCAACGCGTCCGGGAAGGTACCGTCACCTTGACTGCTGAGATTATGAGTCTCAGTCAGTCTATCGAGGCTAGTACAGAGAAACTCGCGGAGCAAAAGAGAGCATTGGTTGATTCCAGGGGCGTCAGGCAGAACATAGATGATGCTACTCAAGCCCTGAAAGATTGCCTTGAGGTTTTGCGGCTGGCAAATCAGGTACATGACCTGCTTCAGGAGAAGAACCGCTACGCAGCACTCCGAGCTTTGGACGAGCTGCAGAATGTTCACCTCAGAGAAGTCACCCGCTACATGATTGCAGGCATGATTGAGCGCTCGGTACCCGCAACTCAGCGTCTGATAGCTGAAGCTGTCATGGCAGATTTGAACACATGGCTTTTCCGTATTCGAGAGACATCGCAGTTCTTGGGCGAGGTTGCATTCTATCACACAGAAATGCGGCGAACCAGGCACAAGATGAGGTTTGAGGAAAATCCAGATCTCGGCAACTTTAAGCTCAACTCAGCAGTGGAGGCTGTTGCTGATGAGAGCGAGGAGTTTGATGTACTGAACAACGAAGAGGTGCAGGTCGACTTCTCTCCTTTGTTCGAGGCTATTCATATACATGACGCTCTGGGCCAGAGCGAGAAATTTCGCCAGGACTATTCAGCGACCCGACGAAGGCAGAAGGAGCTGCTCTTGCCCGCAACCTTGGATCTCCTGGATGAAGACGCAGGCGAGTTGAGCACTTTGCTGGAGAGCATTGCTGGGTTCGCCATTGTTGAGAAAGCCACCATGATGAAGACGGATAATTTGAGAACCTCAACCGATGTACGTTTAGTCTCCTGAGTTGTCCAGGGCGTTGCTGACAGTATACAGGTTGAAGAGCTATGGGACTCGATGTGCCAGAGTGCTATCACACTGGTTAGCAAGTCTCTACCAACCATCGACAACGACGAAAAACTGTTGAAAATTAAGGGCGTCATCGCGCTTTTCGTCCAAACCATGGGAGTGAGTTTCGTCCAAAGTCCACCATTCGACTGGGGTCGGCCAAGATGCTGACAAGCAACAACAGNNAGCTGGGGCTATTCTGTCGATAGTCTCGACAAACTGCTCCTCAAGATTTTCGACAAGTACGCTCAGCTGCTCAAGCAGAGATTCAGCGAGGATTTCCAGGAGGTGAGTGATGCAGGCTTCGCGAGCCCGGTAGAGTGGTTCGTGTTGCGTACGCAGACTTGCTTACTTTCACACGCAGNNATCGTTTCGACAGACGACTATATGCCCATGCCTATCAACAACCCCGACGAGTACGACAAGGTCATCAACGTCAGTTGGTACACGCCAGAAAAGGATCGCGAACAGCAAAAGTATGTGTTTACGTACAAGACAGGCAAAGATATGATGCTGATTCGAGTAGCTTNNCCCTGTGTTCTTCCTTTCTCACAAATGTACCCGCTTTGTTGCATCGATATCCGGAACTTTCTCAACCAGATCTATTTGTTCTCGGACGATCACTTCCAGAACACCGCAGTCATCGACGACACACTCAAAAGCGTGAGCCACCACACGCCCCCACGCCTGAAGTGCACATAACTTACTGACGTGCCTCAAAACAGTNCTTTGGATGAACTTCTCTGCCACAGAGTGTGCAGGTCTCTGGTCGAGAGACTGTCTTCACAATATCCCGGACAAATTGTGCAAATCCTGACCAACCTCGATCATTTCGAGACAGCATGTCGAGAGCTGCAAGATTTGCTCGCAGAAGCCCGCTCATCAAGCAGCGCAGCTGGCCCGATCGTGCTCGCTGCAACAGAAGAATTTACGACAGCCAAGAAGGCAGCCGAGAAGCGCATCTTCGAGCTCGTCAACAGCAAGATTGACGACTTGATCGAGACGGCAGAGTATGATTGGAGTTCTACTTACGAGCCACCGGCTGCTTCACCTTACATGCAGGAGCTGACACGCTATCTCTCCGATGTCATGTCTAGTGTATTGCTTGGACTGCCTGTGCAGATCAAAGAGCTCATCTACTTTGACGCCCTCGGACATATAAGTAATGCCATCCTCGCATTGCCGCTAGATCCCTCCATCCGCCGACTTTCACCTCAGAGTGTCACGGCTTTTCAGCTCGACACGCAGCACTTGATTGAGTTTGTTCGCAGCCTCGATAATCCCGTGCTTATGGAGGGTCTTGACGAGCTGCACCAGACGGTCGACCTCATGGCTGTAGCCAAAGAAGGTGAAGGACGTGCAGAAGAAGAGTTCTTCGACGTCGAGAAGGGACGCAAGAGATTTGGCAAGGTAGACAAGATGAATGGAGCCGAGTTGCTGGAGAAGGTCAGCCAAGGAGTCGAGGCGCAGAAGGCAGCTGCAGTTGCCCAGGCTGCCAGTCCGGTAGAAAAGAAGTCGACCATGAATTTCCCGGCCTTTGCGAGCAGGTTCAAGAAGGATACCTCATAGAGAGTGAATTGAAGAGCACGGTCAAGGAAAAGGCAAGATACCCGTTGATAGAAGTGTTTGGAGTAAAGTTTGTGGTTTCATCAAAAGTGCCATGATTTATTTTGTACAAAGACGTGGGAGGAGTAGCCTTTTTACTGGCAGTGCAAAGATCGAGGCAACTGGCTGTCCTGCATCTCGTCGGGCCTCTCCGTGAACTCTCAACACGACTTTATGCCTCGTTTCGTCTATCGTACAGTTTCCGACCAGCTCATCCTGCTTAGATGGCGAGAGGAGAGAAGAGCCTGATAGTCTGTCAGCTGCGCTCCAACGTATCGTCTGTGGTTGAGTCGTACTTGATCAGCGAAGGGCGGGGCACGCTGCGAGTGTAGCCAAGGTAGATGATCAAGGGAAGGTAGCCGCTATAAGAACACCTGTCAGCAGGAGTCTCTTCGTGATGATTGAGCGAGTCGCCTTGGTATGGATGTTCTCATGGTTGATGGAAAAAGTGGTGTGTTGGTGCAAGGTTCGGTATATGACCAGCCTGTTTCCTTGCTCTTTCTTGTTTATGACTTTGACCGGCAGACCAGGACAGTGACAGGAGGCTCCAGAGAGCATAGAGCAAACGAAAGACAGGGCGAACGTACTAGTGGACAGCGACACGAGAAATGTCAATGACGCGCGAGATGCGCTCCTGCTTCAGCATTAGCCAGAAAGTTGCGAGAATGATATATGCACAGTCAGCGTACCTTGGTCTCTTCGGAAAGCTGCATGTTGACTAGATGGACACGGCGGTGGGTATAAAGTGGCTGGACAAGAAGAAGAAGTCGTCGACAGGCTGTAAATCGTCACTTGCGACGGGCGTTGGATCGGCCTTTGCGGCGAAAAGAGCAGCGGAGCCTTCCGTCATTGCTGAACTTCTCCAGCGCATACGATAGACGGCAGCTCTGTCAATCACACTCAACTACACGAGCAAACATGGCCTCGGGAGGAAAGCACTGGTATGTCGTGTCCTGTTGTTTCTGTGTCTCGTTCTCCACCCAGTTCAACACACACCCAAGGGCGCATACTGCTGCCCATCCAGAGCTCAAGCTAACACCATGTCCAGGGAACAAGACAAGGAAGCGACCGTCTACGTCGGCAACCTCGATGAGCGCGTAACCGACCAACTCGTCTGGGAGTTGATGCTGCAAGCCGGTCGTATCGTCAACGTCCATCTGCCCAAGGATCGCGTCACCCAAACACACCAGGGCTTCGGTTTCGTCGAGTTCGTCAGCGAAGAAGATGCCGATTATGCCGCCAAAATCATGAACCAGATCCGTCTATGGGGAAAGCCCATCCGTGTCAACAAGGCCTCGGCAGACAAACAAAAGACGCTGGATGTGGGTGCTGAGCTGTTTGTTGGAAACCTGGATCCCATGGTCGACGAGCGCGTTCTGTTCGAGACCTTCAGCCGCTTCGGCAGCTTGACCTCTGCGCCANAAGGTATGCGCCGTTCAATTGGTCTGCTCTTTCGAGTTGCTAACATATAACAGGTTGCACGCGACGATGCAAACCTCAGCAAGGGCTACGGCTTCGTGTCCTTCACCACCTTCGAAGCCTCGGACGACGCCATCGCAAACATGCACGGCCAATACCTCATGAACAAGGAGATCACTGTTCAATACGCCTTCAAGAAGGATGGCAAAGGAGAACGCCACGGAGACGCCGCAGAGCGTGCCCTGGCTGCCGCTGGTCGTGAACACAACATTGAACCCCAAGTCCAACCTCTACCTCCGCAATTACTGGCCCCTCAGATCGCCACTCCCATCGCGCCGCCTACTCCAATGTCTGCTGCTCCCTATGGTGTTTCGCCCGTCACTGGCGGATACGGCGCTCCCNCGGCTGCCAGAAATCAACTCCCACCGCCTCCCGCAGCTGCCGGTGTACCTGCCCGACCACCTCCAAGCGTCGGCGGATACAACGGTCCCCAAGGTGGCTACAATGGTCCTCAAGGATTTGCTCCTCCTCCAGGCTTTGCACCAAATGGAGCCCCGCCTGGCTTTGCGCCGCCGCCAGGTTTTGGAATGCCTGGCATGCCTCCTGGATTCCCTTCCCCTCCACCAGGAATGCCTCCGAATGCGTACCAGAGACGATGATCTCGTGAGTCTCTGGAATAGCGGGATTCCATCAATGATTCAAGGAAAAAGCTGTTGTTTTTAGCGAGGCGTTTATGGCATGCTCGGGATTTGGTTGCATGGTGAGAGGAGATGGAAATGTATATTGATGGATATCAAGAAGTGGGAGGACCTTCACGGAATTGGCCTCGGTCGAAGACAACTAGAAAACAAGATTGGTCTGTGGACCATGGTATATCGAGTAGCAAACAGACAAAAGAAATGCATAGAAGCCAGACCACAATCCGTTGCTGGAAGCCAAGTAGAAAAGACAAAAGAAACCGTCCTTTATCGGGGCTTCACAGACGATCAAACATGACAGCCTTTGGATCTCTCGGCCTGCCATCCTTGCCAATATTCTCCCGTCCAAACCTCTCTTCCATGACTATTCTTCTCGCTTCGTCAAACCCGCATCCTCTGCTCTTCATAATGGCCTTGACTCTCTCCTTCCCTTGCTCATCCAAGCCCTGTCTGCCATCTCCTCCTTCAACATTTTCTCTCAAGTCAAAGTTCGCACTGCTGAAGCCGGCTTCAATGTCGTCTTCGAAGCTATTTTGGCCCAGACTGATGTAGGCATTTTGGGCAAAGGGGTTGAGTCGCTGAAGGGATTGAGATAGTCGCCAAAGGGGCTCGGGGATGTGGCCGGGNGCTGTGAGGTAGGGAATCGGTGGGGCACGAGCAATCCAGAGGTGTTTGGTTAGGTATAGCGCTGTNAAGTCGTGTTAGTGGGTGACAAGCGGAAGGAGGGTCGAAGCGAGCGTACCGGTTGCGCCGACGAGGAAGAGGAAGGTTATTGAATAGAAGAGATAGCCCATTGTGACGGTATTACGGGTTTGAGAGTAAAGAGAGGTAGAGAAGGAATGCGCGGGCCTTGTGTCGCGGGCTCGGGATGGACGGATGGACTGATGGTGAGCAGCGGCCTTGGCCGGAGATAGTAGCGATCCGAGTGGATGTTGGACTTCAGTTGTAGATGATCGGGTTGCGGCCCAGGAAGGCCAGAGGTATACGCAGTCACATAAAGGGCTGACGGAAGAAATGAAGAAGCAGCAGACGACGACAGGGGAGATTGCTGCTGAAAGAGGATCGATCTCAAACGGGCAGCGGCGGAGGCTCAGCTTACGACTGCTGCGGACCTTCGTCTTGTATGCTTGGCAGCAACCCCAGACTCTCTCGGCAAGGGCAACCGACACAGAATAGGGCTTCTTGAGAGTATCCAGTCCGGGAAGGTTAGCCGGGCTTCAGCCCACACAGACGCCCTTTGAATATTCACGATTTCCAGTTTCAATCCAGTTTCATCTCATATCACAGCAAAAATGGCAACCAACTTCGACAACAACTCCTACGACCTCATCTGGGAGACCATCCGTATGTGCTTCCCCGCTCCGAACAAGAATTGAAAGAGACGGACCCTTGTTGGGCAAGGAATTTTGGACTTTCGACCACTGTTGAATCTTGCGCTGCGGAGAGACGACAATTGAAACATCAGAGGACCTGTAACTGACGCGCGCATTCTTCAAGGCCACAACAATGCCTTCCTCGTGAAGCGCAACCAGGCCGGTGGTGTTCAGTTCTCCAAGGACCCCCTTAACCTGACCAACCTCCACTCGCGCAAGGTAAGGACACCAATCGCTCCCCTCGCAATCGCAACCAGGCACCTAATCAACACGCGCAGTNACTCTTCGCTCGCCAACNCCCAGGCCATCGGCATCAACGCCAAGGACGGCAAGATCGAGCTCACCACCAAGGTCGCCAAGAACTCGAGCAAGCCCNAGCAGCTCCTTCGCCAGAACCACCTTCAAGGCCACCACCCCTCGCGCAAGCTCATCAACAACGCCGTCTCTGGTTCCACCAAGAAGGGTTACCGCCAGGACCTGCACATGGAGGCCGTCCAGCGCGCTTCCGCCGTCAAGAAGTCGACCCGCCAGGTCAAGGCCACCGTCAAGCCCACCAAGCTCCGTGGCTCCAAGGCCCGCAAGGCTGCTGAGAAGCAGTAAGCATCTCGTCCTTCTGACTTAGACAAAAAGGGAATGAGGTGTTGTCGGCTGGTATGCTGTTTGCCGGAATGAAAAAATGATTCAAAGGCCATCTGCGATTTTTCCTCTTGTGATTGTGCTCTTGTGACATGTTTGGGTGTTTTGAATGATGGTTGTTGTGGAGTTGCTGGAGAATGCTTTCAACACCATAATGGTCACACTGAAGCGGGATGCAGTTCTCCAACCAACAGATTCTAGTCTTCATATCGTACAAATGCTCAACCGGCCACAACATCATCTACAGAGCACCGCCAACCAGCGTCACAATCCACATGGCAATCCTCACATGCAGCCCAACTCTACGCTCGGTCTTCTCAAACGTGCCTTGGTCAACCTTGGTGGCATACTCCTGCAACCACTCTTCTTCCTCCTTCAACCTCTTCATCAATCCCACGTCCCTCGTGACAATCAACGCATTCGCCTCCAGATCCAAGCTATAGCTTCTCTTCGTGTAGTTGCTGCTACCAACCAGGCTGACACTGGGACCAGGTTCGTTCTTGAGCGTCACCCAGATGCCCTTTGCATGATATGTCCATCCACCTGGTGTGTTGACCGTACCTTTTCTCCACTCCTTGAGCGTGATTTGGTTTTCGAGTCCGGCTTTNTGCACTGAAGAGAGGAAGCGGCGACCGAGAAGTGTATATGCCGCCGGCAGCATTCCTGATATACCAGGAGAACCATAGAAGCCGTTTGCCCATGGCGAGGCAGCAATAACATTTGCAGATGCTGGGTTGGATGCCAAGAGCAAGTCACGCAGCCAGGGCGTCATGTTGAAGTAACCAGCTGTAAANGTCCATTTGCTTCCTGCGAAAGCTGGGGTGGCCAAGGTCTTGAGGATCGTGGTAAGAGCTGGCAGTTCGGTCGATGTGTCAGGTTTGAGGAGAGGTGTTAGTTGGAGCAGAGGATAAATTTGTGTATCCGTTTGTGACGTCTGAGGAAGAGTCGAAGTAGCAGGTTTCAGTAACGGAGCAAGCAGTTTAGTGGCTTGAGTGATAAACACCTTTGGGTCTATCAAAGGTGCCGGATGCGCATTTGTGGTTGGCCAGTCAAGCTTGAATCCTCCAGGCGCAGAAACATTCGGTACTACGCGGTAGCTAATGCTACACACTGTGTCGTGCACCTTGGCAAAGTAGTCGGTGATACGCTTGCAAGAAATCAGGTGGTAGCGGTCCTGGCGGTTGGTAAAGTAGTCAGAAGAAAGGTTTGCACCTGACATGATGATCTCGTCGTCGATGCCGTAGAGTTTCATATGTTGTAATCCCCAGCCTTCGTTGATGCGCTTGGGAATCATGGACTTGCGAATGCCAGTGAGGTTTGGTGTGTGGTACATGCATACTTCGACACGGTCTGGGCCGAATTCATCGATCAAGGCTGCTAGCAAAGTAGCACATGATGCTTTTGGTGTCTCTCTGGTTCCTCGCAGAGAATCCGTCAANAAGGAAACTTTGAGATTGGGGTTTCGTTTCAGAGATTCTTGGATGGTTTGAATNCTATTCCGGCCGTTAGGTTCAGGACACATGAACACAAACGATCGACGTACCAATTCATGCTCGGATTTGCCGATGTACAGAGTGGAGAGGTATATTCTCCTTTCCGCAGTCCTGATTTTGGTCTGTTTCTAGTCAGTCAAGTGGCGTCGAAGGCTGACTCCAAGCCTCAGCGTTCCAATAGTCGAGTCAAATAGTATATGTGATCAATACTACAGAAAGCAGAATGATGCTTAGGAGTCATGAAAAGAGAAATTGATGAATATGGAAGTGATTGCTCGACTTGCCTTCAAGGTCTCGTAAAAGTCAGAAGGAGACCTCAAGATCTCAATCTGAGACGACGAGATATCGAAGCGAGGGGATAGCTTGTCCAGTTCGGTGTTCAACCCTCCCAATGCTGCTCCAGGAGACGGTGCATTGGTAGTAGGCGCGACGCTGGAGTTCGAATAGCGTCTTTTCATGGGCATCTGATGAGAAGATCTGATAGATCTTACTGCCCTACGGGCTGCTTGCCTCGGAACACATCTTGCGAACATGTTCCTACTCGTGACCAGTGATCTGATAATCGAAGGATAGATCAGATAAATAGATGTTTCGGTCAACATTTGATGCCAAGGCTGGCGATCGAGTCGGGAACAAACAAGTCAAACGGCCTGCTGACCATCGATTGCCGCATCCTCAATCGCGACGAGAGCAGTGAGGATTGTAGATCACACACCACACATCATGTCGACTATTATGAGAACGCTGCGCAACTTGCGCTCAATTGGCCTCAAGGTGAGTAGCTGTAGCTGTCATTTCGGTCGCTCGCGCTAACTATTGTCCTAGGAATATGGCCACCAGATGCAGGTACGTCCGCCGCTCCGGAATCTACGAATGACCCTCGACGAACAACAACAACTCACTCGAACCTTCGCTGGTATAGTACATGGGTACGACGTGCAACAATCTCGACATCTCGCGACTGCAACTGAAGGAGTANTAGGTGATACCAAGGCTGGAACCCTCATCGGCCAGGACCGTTACGGCAACAAGTACTATGAGAACATGGAGGACCTGCNNCCTGTACGTCGAGCTGAAACCAGGATATTGGAAGAGCTCGTATCTGATTTTGAGGGTGTAGTGAGAACAAGATGGTGTGACTACAAGGACAAGGAGTTCAACCCGTGCGTACACCCGTTCGATGATATTGTATGAAGCAGCAGGAGGACTGACTCAATATCAAACAGTGATCAGATCGAGCCCGGCTGGTATGAAATGCTGCGAAAGTTACGCATCGCGCTTTCTACTCACAAAATGATAGGCNACGCCTGGATGTCATACATGGTCGACAAAGCCCCATCCCAAGACCCCCTTCTCCAGAGACAGGTTCGCCCGTGGGAGCCTGCCGAGCACCGTCCCTGCTTGACCTGGAGCAGAAGTGCATACAGACCCTTCAGCACGTAAGTCATGAGGGAGTCCAAACTACAAAGAAGCCCGGAAGAACTAAACCAAAATAGTGTCAAGAACAAGTACCAGCCATGGACCCCAGTTGCTGCTCCTAGAAACTAAGCGAATGCATGCGCGGCATTTTCTAGGGCCAATAGCGGGGAGGGCGTGAAAGATTGCAGTCTGCGCCCTTCCGAGCATTGAAAGCTGATAAGAGAGTGGCTGCTGCTTCGACGCGTGGGTCTTCTGCAGGTGATATGACTGGACTCCTCACCCAGCGAATGAATTAAATTCTCTTTGTCAATATCAAATGGCGTATAGCGGTCTGTTAACAAATTTTGCCGTATCTCAATTGCTCGTTCGGTGTACCTCTTTCAAAATGTGGTTGAGCTATGCTCGCGTAGGACTCCGCAGGCTTTGGTCCTGCCTGATTGGGAAGCCGGTGATAGGTCGTTGCGAGTTATCGTAGCTTGATGAGTCAGGAGGATGAATTATCCAGAGCTGTGATACGTGTCGCATGGAAGCTGCCATGGTCACAAGGGCACTCGTAAGTGCTTCTAATATGATAATAGGCAGTGCCCTCGAGTGTTGTGCTTCTCTCTTTCCAACCGTGAATCTCTCCAGGTGTTCTTGCAAAACGAGCCAATCGAGCGAGTCATTTGGGTCAGAGCAGGCGAGCTTAAATTGGAACAAGCGCTGCCGAACTGACGCAGATACGATCAACGGGGCATATTCAGGCCGAGCAGCGCGATTGGCTTCTTGCTTCCTGCTTCCTTCATCAACGTTTTCATCGCAGCGTCGCTGTTACACAACATATCGAAGTTCTGGTGGTTGTTGTCGTTGTCGTCTAGAAAGAGCCCGAGACTGCACGAGCAGAGCAGCTGGCCCATATCAGAAGAATTGCTCGAGGGAGCGGCGAAACACTCAGCAACAAGCACGCTGCCACGTCCTGGCGCAGTCCCCGCCATGTTGAATTGGGGGCAATGCAAGGGGCCCATCTGGCGAAGTGACGATTTCACCGACTGCTTTCAGAATGAGTGAGTTTCTGAGAGACAGACATGTTTCGCCTTCCTGTCTCCGCGAAAGACACGTCGCTAATCATGTGCCAGCTACCTCATGGGAATCATCCCTCTCATCGCGAGCGCAATCTCCGTACTATATCTTACCTACCAACTAATTCAAACCGCCATCAACTCGAAATATCTCTATGCCTACAAACTCGTTAATCCCAAGCATCCCCATCCGTGGGACCTTCGCATTCCCAGAGCTCAAGATGACGCAGACACCGACGACGACTCGGATGAGTTTGACAGAAACGAGCATCTCGCTATTCGCACCGTCCGTACTCGTAACACTGAGATGTCTGTGGTCGACAAGCCACGAGGTCAGATCGTCCTGCCTGTCATCGAAGAGTTGGCTGTGTTGGCCGAGGTTGGCATCCACGCTGCTGCATGCGCCACTGGCATCTGGGGATGGAGCAGGGCTACAATCATCTGCAGTACCGCCCTCTGGTCATACGTTGCAGTCCTGACTACTCTGCGTCTTTACTTCTCCAGCACAAACAACTACTCGTTCAACAAGCTCTGGTACCACACCGCTCTCCTCTATGGCGCACAGTGGATCTGCGCATTCCTTCTCTTCCGCTCGGCAATCATCCACCCAGTCTCCACGGGCGTCCAAGCTCTTACAAGCACTCACTTTGCACTTACGACTCTGCTGGCTTTGATCATGCTCACCTCACGTAAGGGTAACAAGCCCGTGGAACTCGAGTACGAAGGCGAGATTGAGCCCTCAAGAGAACCTCTCGCCAGTGTGCTCTCTCTCGCTACCTTCTCCTGGATCGATCCAATCATCTGGAAGGGCTACAAGAAGACTTTTGAGTTGTCGGATGTTTGGAACCTCAATTCCAAAGACAAGGCCGAAGCTGTTCTGTTAAATTACCGACAGGTCAAGAAAACCTCAGCTCTCGCCTGGCACTTGTTGAAGTATTTTAAGCGTGGCTTGCTCATCCAAGCTGCATGGGCTGCCCTCTCCGGAGTCAACCTCTTTGTTCCTACTCTTCTCCTCAAGGTTATTCTGGAATACGTTGAGAACCCAGCCGATACCCCGGTCAACGCTGCGTGGTTCTATGTTATCTTGTTGTTCGTTTCTGGTTGCGTCTCTGCCCTGTCAGGTGGCCAAGCTCTCTGGGTTGGTAGAAAGACATGCATTCGTCTTCGTGCCATCATCATTGGTGAGATCTATGCCAAGGCTTTACGTCGTAAGGCTGCTGCAGCCGGCGACAAAGTGCTTGGCGAGGAAGAGAAGAAAGACAATGAGGCTCCTGCACCCAAAGAATCCGTCAAGCAAGCCTTCCTCAAAAAGGTCAAGTCGTTTTACAAGGGCAAGAAGACCTCAGAGGCTACCAAGGATGTTCCGAAGAAGGAAGAGAGTACCGATCAGGTCACCTCCGGTACAATCATCAACTTGATGGCCGTCGACTCCTTCAAGGTCAGCGAAATCTGCGCTTATCTGCATTTCCTCTGGGCAGAAACACCTGTTCAGTTTGTTCTGGCTATCTACCTTCTGTACAGCATTTTGGGTTACAGCAGTATCGCTGGTATTATCATGATGGCTCTTCTTCTACCTGTCAATCTCTTTATCGCCAAGCAGTTCACCAAGGCTCAGAAGAAGATCCTTGCAGCTACCGATGCTCGTATCCACACCACCAATGAAGTGCTTACCAACATCCGAATTATCAAGTACTTTGCTTGGGAGCAGCGTTTCCTTGGTCAGGTTGATGAGAAGAGAGCGGTCGAACTGAGGAACCTTCGTAACAGATACATTATCTGGGCCGCCGCAGCTACCATCTGGGGAGGAGCTCCCATGGTCATCACTTTCCTTACCTTCCTGGTCTACACCATGGTCGAGAAGAAAGACCTCATCCCTTCCGTCGCTTTCACCGCTCTTTCGCTCTTTAGTCTTTTGCGCATTCCCNTGGATCAGCTTGCCGATATGGTTGCCCACGTTCAGGAATCCAAGGTGTCTGTTGACCGTATTGAAGAATACCTCAACGAGCCCGAGACCGACAAGTACAATCAGCTTCAGGACAAGGAATTTGATGAGGATGGAAACCATGTCATTGGATTTGAGAATGCAACTTTCAGCTGGGGTGGCGGCACCGAAGCCGATGACTTCAAGATGATTGACCTCAATATGCGCTTCAGGATCGGCGAGCTGAACGTCATCGTTGGACCCACTGGTAGCGGTAAGACATCTCTTCTTATGGCACTGCTGGGAGAAATGTCTAAACTCGATGGTCATGTGTACCTGCCTGGAGGACACAGCAGAGAAGAACTCAAGGCTGATCCGGAGACTGGACTGGTTGAAAGTGTCGCGTACTGTGCTCAACAGGCCTGGCTTGTCAACGGAACCATCAAGGAAAACATCGTCTTTGCTAGCCCCTGGAACCCTAGACGTTACAAGGACGTCATTATTGCCTGTTCTCTCCAGCGCGATCTTGAGATTCTTGATGGTGGTGACCAGACTCTTGTTGGTGAGAAGGGTGTCACTCTCTCTGGCGGACAGAAGCAGCGTATCTCTCTTGCTCGTGCTCTGTACTGTAACGCCAGGCACGTTCTCCTCGATGACGTTCTTTCTGCAGTCGATGCCCATACCTCCAAGTGGATCTTTGAGAAGGCTCTTATGGGCCCTCTCATGCTCAACAGAACATGTATCTTGGTCACTCACAGCACTACTCTCTGTCTTCCCCATGCTGCATTCGCCGCCGTACTCGACAACGGCAGAGTCAGCACTCAAGGCAGTGCCAGGGATGTCATCATGTCTGGAAAGCTCACCGAAGATCTCAGCACGGCATTGGAAGAGTCGGAAGGCGGTGCATCGCACCTGCCATCCCGTGTACCTTCTGGCATTGGTGGCGACAAGGCTCTTGGCGAGAATGGCCATGCCGATGAAGAGGCCGCCAACGCAGCCGAGTATGAAGATAACACTCTCCACAAGGTCGTTACTAAGGATATTCCCGGCATGAACAAGGACAATGTCACCTCTCCTGTCGAAACCAAGGCTACTGGAAGTGTCAACTTCAAGGTCATCCTCATGTACTTCTCTTACATGGGTACTTGGTACTACTGGGTAGTCACCGCCATGATGTTTGCCCTCCAGCAAGTTTCGCAAGTTTCAACCAACGTTTGGATTCGTCAATGGGCCAACGCTTATGCCGACAAGAGGNAAATGTCTGTCATGGGCGTCTACACTGAACCTCGCCAGCTTACCCACGTTTTCAGTGGTATTGGCAGTGGAGCGTCTTGCGTAAAGAGTGGATCTTGTCTTTGGGGTCTGCCCACCTTTGGCACTTCCAATGTCTCCGACCAGTTTTCCATTCGTTCAGAGAACTCCAACGGTGTCGACGTTTCTTACTACCTTGCTGTCTACGGTATTCTTGGCCTTGTCTACATGCTGATCACTGTCACCCGTGAAGGTGTCCTTTTCTACGGATCTCTGGTTGCTTCTAAGAGAATTCACAGAAAGCTTATGGAGTCTGTCACACACGCCAAGTTCCGCTTCTTCGATTCCACTCCCCTCGGTCAGATCATGAACAGATTCTCCAAAGATGTTGAGGCTATCGATCAAGAGATCGCTCCTGTTGCAGTTGGAGTAGTCCACTGTATGGCCTCGATCATTACCACGGTCATTCTCATCTCGGTCATCACACCCCGTTTCTTGATTGCTGGTGTCTTCATCAGTGTTCTCTACTTCATGATTGGTGCTTTCTACATCAACGCTGCTCGCGACCTCAAGCGTCTCGAATCTGTGCAGCGCAGTCCCCTGTACCAGCAATTTGGCGAGACCCTGACTGGTATGACAACCATCAGAGCTTATGGCGACGAACGCCGCTTCATCCGTGAGAACATGCACAAGGTTAACACCCACTCAAGGCCGTTCATCTACGGTTGGGGCACTAACCGTTGGCTCGCATTCCGTGTTGATGTTACCGGTGCCTTGGTGTCGTTCTTCACTGGTGCTTTCGTCATTTTGAGTGTCGGCAAGCTCGATGCTGGCGCTGCTGGTCTTGCCATGACATATGCTGTTACTTTCACTGAAAACGTATTGTGGTTCGTCAGACTTTATTCGATGAATGAGCAAAACATGAACGCTGTCGAGCGTATCAAGGAATACTTCGAAGTCGAGCAAGAAGCGCCTTACCAGATCGAAGACAAGAAGCCCTTGCCTGACTGGCCCAGCCAGGGTGCTGTCGAGTTCAAGGATTACAGCACTAGATACCGCAGCGACTTTGACATGGTGCTCAAGGACCTCAGCTTCAAGATTCTACCTGGCGAGAAGGTTGGTGTTGTGGGTAGAACAGGTGCAGGTAAGAGTTCGCTGGCTCTCGCTCTTTTCAGAGCTCTTGAAGCCGAGACTGGAAGCATCATCATCGATGATATTGATGTCAGCTTGATTGGTCTCCAGGATTTGCGTGAGAACATCGTTATGGTCCCTCAAGATCCTACGCTCTTCACCGGCACTATCAGAAGTAATCTTGATCCTTTCGGCCTATTCACTGACGAGGAGATTTTCACCGCACTCCGACGAACACAACTCGTCGGTGCTGCCTCGGCCGAGCCGTCGCGTGCCCCGACACCGACAAACGGCAACGCCAGTGTCCGTTCCGAAGGTGTACCCGCCGAGACCACCACTGACTCTCCCGCCACATTAGAGAACAAGAACATCTTCACCAACCTTTATTCGCCAGTCGCAGAGTCTGGTAGCAACCTTTCACAAGGCCAGCGCCAACTTTTGTGTTTGGCGCGTGCTCTGCTCAAGGATCCAAAGGTCTTGCTCATGGACGAGGCAACTGCATCTATTGACTACGCCACTGATGCAAAGATTCAAGAGACCATTCGTGAGATTAAGAACACGACCATCACCATTGCCCACCGTCTGCAGACCATTGTTGATTACGATAAGGTCCTGGTGCTGGACAAGGGAGAGTTGATCGAGTTCGGATCACCTTGGGACCTTATCAGAACGGATAACGGTATCTTCAAGGGCATGTGTGAGATGTCCGGCGACTTTGATATTCTGATCAAGGAAGCCGAAACGGCGCATAAGGGACGCCAACTGGTTGATGTTGATGCTTAAGGTAGCTGTTTGAATAGGGAATTTTCTGGCGGCTTGTCTTTGTTGTGTTTTGCACCTGTTATTTCTCAGCATTGTTCTGCCTACAACTCATTAGCAACAGAAAATCCAGAGGTCTCGCTAGAGCCTATGTATATAAATCATATATCTACAAGCTTTTGCTTCTCTCGTTGTTCGTTTTATTATATGGAAGTCTTGTGATTCGTATATGCTTGTATACTTCGTCGGCCTGTTGCTACTCTTCTCGGTGCTAGTCAAAATGTTCAGTCTCATGGTCTGTCTCAAACAATATCTACATCTCTTGTCGTCAAGATACTACGGACTGGAACTTCCGTCTTTGATCTCGCGTAACTCGTCCACTATACCACCCTGGCGATGGGCTGAAAATGACCAAGCAGAACGTTGCCAACTGTCAGCATCAAATTACCATCAGCACTACTTCGAAGGCATCAAACCCTTCCCGCCCAAGGCTTGAAATGTGCTTGGCGCTGGCGGAGTCTGCCAAACTTTGTCTCCTGTCTATATCACCAACTCTAACTTAGCCATCATTCGTCATTGGATGAGGCTTGGCTGCTCTCTGCTCTGATTCCAACTTGATCTCGTGGTGTCGCAGAGTCCATGCCATGCTTCTCCCACATCTGATAGCCCAGGCTAATCGTCAATATTGGGTATGTTTTGCATGTCGCTCAATGCCAGTATCCAATGCAGTGAGATGGGCCCAACTTCTCGACCACTTGCGTTTCCTTAAGCACAGACATATGTCTCTCAGGAGGCATATCACTGTAGTAGAACTACCGCCGGCAGTGGTATAGCACGTGCGTCTGGAGTGTGTGCTATCAGCCGTTACAGAAAACGTTTCACTACCCTTACGAGTATATTGGAAGCCTAACAGACCATCTCGTTGCAAAGCCTCCTCGAAGGATGAGGCAGTGACAACCAAAAAGGCTAGAGTAGGTCCCATCAGAGAAAGAGGCACGTATCGCTCCTTCCTCGACTTTCTCGTCACGCTCTTGCATCACATACCTCGCCTTGCGACCATTTTCTGCTGAAACTCATAAGTTGTCTTCCAATACCCAATCCAATCATCAAACCACTCAAATACCTTCAAGATGGTCAACTTAGCCATGGCGGTCGCCGTACCATTGTACATCTGGCCAACCATCAACGCCTGGCAACCTCTCTACAAGACCATCTCAGCCTCCCCAAACACCACCTTCAACATCATTATAAACCCCAACTCAGGACCCTCAAACGGTGCCTCTGAGCCCGAAATCGTCTCTGCAGTAACCACCCTCCGCTCCTACTCCAACGTTCAACTCTTTGGCTACGTACACATCGAATATGGCAAGCGCGCCGCAAAAACCGTACACCAAGACATCTCCACCTACTCCACTTGGAAGAAAACTTCAAAGTCAGACATCCATCTCGACGGCATCTTCGTCGACGAAGCCNCCTACGAAACCGAATATCTGTCCTACATGAAAGATTTGCAAACCTACATCCACAAGACAATGCCCAAATCGCACCAANAAGTCTGGACAAACCCCGGTATCCCCATCGATGCCAAATTCTACGAGTACGCGGATTACGTCAATGCGTATGAGAACTCGTATGCGGATTGGAGTTCTGCCGGTGGCAACAAGAAGATTCCCGAGTGCTTGAGGCAGAAGAGCACGGTCATGATTCACGATTTCCCGAAGAACGCGAATGCGAAGTTGAATTCTGATACCAAGAACATTATTGCGGCTGGATATAATGGAACGTTCATCACGACGAGTAGTGGATACGAGGAGTTCTCGGCTAGTTGGTCGCAGTATGTCAGGGACGTTGCGAATCTGACAAAGACGACCAAGGTCAAGACTCTGCCAGCTTGCAAGAAGTAGTGGGTATTGATAATTTTGTAATGTATAATGTTTTCCAAGCAGGACAGCGCTTGACCCAAAGACTTGTCATCACACCGAAAAGAGTGACCAAGCCACGACCAAACAGCAGAAAGAATTGTAAGAGAATTGCTGCAAAGGAGTGAGTGAGTGAGCAACCCGATTCAAGGACCATGTCAGAGCAATAGTTAAAAGATGTAGTTAGAGTTCGATACTCTATGTCAGACAATACCCCCAAAAAACAGATCCAAGAAAACAATTTCCGCACCAGTATCGATATATCAGAAAATCAAGAATCAGGGACTTTCAAGGTTGCCGCTGTCCAAGCACCTTGGACTAGATCTCGTGTCGCGAACGTCACGTCGCTTCCAGTCGTTTGGTAAAAGACACACAAACTGTCTCCTCCACTCTGGTCGGGCAGAGTTGTCACACTCATATGAGTCCCCGGTATACCAGGATTGTTTACTGGAAAGCTGCTTTGGATGGTGGTGTTCTCGGACGCCCAGCTGATGTTGTGTCCTGTGATCCAATCGTCCGTTCCCTGGGTGTAGAAAGCGTTCGTGTAGCCTAGACTGGAGGATGGATGAACGTTGTTGATGGCGACTGAACTGTTCGTCCACTGGTTAATCGGGTGGTTTGCAGAGGACGAGGTGTTGGTGTTTGTATCTTTCCACCAGATCTCTGCTACATTATCTTTGTTCACCATCATGACATAAGTTGTTGTGCCTGGACCCCAAGAGTAACAGCCCAATCCTGCATGTCCATTCTTGTCTGACCATTCTTGTTGGTAAGTCCAGTTACTATCGCCATTACGCCATCCGAGCTGTTGGAATGTGGAAGCATCAGAGGCATACCAGAGATGCATGCCAACATCTGCACTCGAGCCTGTAGTGCTGTTGACAGTACTGTTGCCTTGGTTTGGCAGGGGACTGTGCTTGTAGTCCGCGTCGCCATAGTCATTACCATACCAGCAGGCTTGCATGCCAACTTGATCAGCATTCAGAACGGTGTGGTTCTCTCCGGTTAATGGACCTTCGATCCATAGGTTTGTCGCATTACTATTGATCTTTTCTCGAAGACGATTGCTGTTATCAATGTAGAAGAGATGCCACTAAAGTGAATCAGCATGAGAGTACATACTCTCTAATCATCTGCAAACTTACTGTNNAGATACCCCATTCAAGCTATAGGCTACTGCGCTCAAAGGTGTGCTGTTTTTGGCGTCCGTTGCAACGACCTCTGATGCAGTTCCTCCCAGCCAGCCATTGTCCGGTGTCAGCCTCTGCCACCGAATCGATCCAGAATGATGCTGGAAGTAGAGGACGAGCTCGCCATACTCGCCTGAACCAAACGATTGTGACGCCAGCGCTAAGCCACTACCATTGAAAGCACCTTGCTTCGAGTAGTAAGCAGGGTCAAGTGCGCCACCAATGTAGTAGTCAGAAGTCTTCGCCGATGTTGATGCTGGCTTTTTGGCTTTATGCTTCACTCCGAGTCCCACGCCCAGGCCAACAGCAAGTCCAATCACTATTGCGAAAGTAGCAGCCAGCAGAGGCCAAAAGACTATACGTCTGAGACCACAAACCCGTGCCGGCTTCTTTTCGGGCGGTGTTACTCGTGTGTGTATCGGTACCGCTGTTGATGCCGTCGTTCCTACCACGACTTCCTTGTCTCCTTCGCCAGCCCATACTGATTCGAGACCTGGCGAGATGGCACCGATGCCACCCATTGATTCATGCTTGGCACCGTAATCCATATCGGCGGGATCTGGAGGTGACGGTGGCCATTGCTGGTATGAAGGTGGGTGAGTTGAATGTGTCGACGACAACGTAGGATATATATGTTCATCATATGGAGAAATTGCTTCCCTTCGTTTGGTCAGAACACATAGAATGAACAATATTGCCAGACATACCTGAACCCAGAAGCCCTTGGTTGGTTGGTCATGCTGGTAATGTAACACGATCAAAGAAAAAGAATGTGTACAGATGAAGTTACGGAAGAAAAGATGTAAGACAAGAGGGGTGGATGCTGCATTATCACCATTGATTCCACGGTTAGCTGCATGGACAAGGCAAATGGTACTGTTACAGTAATACGGAACATGTCACATCGGCTCGTGTGCAGTGAGTTTGCTTGAGCAACGAGTCGCAAGGCTGATGACAGAGACAAGTTGATTCTCTTATCAGCCATGCAGCTGCAGCTTCATGCATGGCGTCTGCTTCCCGCTTGTTGCTAAAACGGAAGAAGAACCAGGTTGAGCGATACATAGTCACCTAGCTTTTGGAAATCCAAGTATTGGACTGGTGTGTCTTCCTTTTCGTTTTCAACAACAATCGGCTGACTGCGAGGGATGTTGGAAGCTGCAGTCACGAACTGAGAGCCAAGGACATCTCTCATAAGGGAGGATGAAGCACAGTCAAATTTGGAAGGCCTCTCTAGAGTATGCAACATTCGGAGGGTACTTTGACTAGACCCGAATGGCTGTCACTGCAGCACTATTGGTTGGGCGTCTTGATAAGTGCATCCAGGCTTCCAGTCGACAGTAAGCAGCGCATACATGAGCTGATCGCAAAGTCTGTCAAAGGAACAATCGAGCACACTCACTATATTGAGACCGGTAGCTAGATATGGACGTGCCGTGCTGATGCGAATGTCCAGAAAGCTTTATGGGTTGGTCTAAGCCTGTTGGCGCCGTCGATTTCAAGACACCATCCTCCACGTGTACTCGAGTACATATAGAGCCGCAGAGCCCGAGGCATGCGGAAGTTTCCACGATCAACGCGAATCGCCGCGATACATATTCGTGATAGTAGACAGGTATGAACAGGGGTGGCTTCTTCCCTCTGCGCGAAGTCCCGGTGCGCACGTGTCAGCGGCAACAGTACGGTGGCACGAGGACCTTGTGAGTGTTTGGACTGCCGTCATTCAGATGCCCTTGATATCTGGTGTGAAACAGAACGAGCCCTGCAAGTTTTTGTCCTGATGTTGTTTGTTCAAGACGGCCACTCTCAACTTGCAGGCCCATCGAGCGGTCAACATTCAGCCCTACGACACGACTTCCGCGGATGCCGGCGGCGATGGACCCCTTACGCACGGGCCTCAGCAGATAGCCCGGAGATTGACTTCGGAGATATGGAATGGGCTGATTTTTTTGTGTTGATGTCGTCTTCGATGTTACAAAACCCATGGGATTAAGGAGGGCAATTGGGACTCTCTGAACTCGCCGCTCCTTCCTCTAGACAACCTACAACTCAAAAATGGCAGCGCAGAAGAACGGCGGCTTAAGGTCTGCGCAAAGCAGCCGAGCAAACACCTTCTCCATCATCGCGATTCTTATCGCCCTCTTCTCAGCCATTGTTTACTTTATGGAACAAAATCTTCAAAGTTTCTACGTTTTCGACACACAACAACTGCACGAACTTTCGAAAAGAGCGATCGCAACCCATGGAAACGACACTAGAGCTGTTGTTGCACAGATCGTTGGCGAGCTCAGCCAGGGTCCTGCCGGCGAATACGTGAACCTGGACGAGGAATGGGTTTTCAACAACGCCGGCGGTGCAATGGGTGCCATGTACATCATTCACGCCAGTATTACTGAGTATCTGATCATTNTTCGGTAGGACCCTTCTCGATCATGGATTTTAAAATCATCAAAGACTAACAAATCTACAGGTACTGCCATTGGAACTGAAGGACACACCGGTCGCCACACCGCAGACGACTACTTCCACATTCTCAAGGGCACTCAAACGGCCTATTCACCCGCCGCAGGCCACTACGAGCCCGAAATCTACCCTCAAGGCAGTGTGCACCACTTGCGCCGTGGCGTGGTCAAGCAGTACAAGATGGACGATGCTTGCTTTGCTCTCGAGTATGCTCGTGGTTGGATTCCTCCCATGCTTGGATTCGGTTTCGCCGACGGCCTTACCAGCACCCTTGATTTCCCTACATTGTGGCACACCACCAGAATTACTGGCAGAGAAATGTTGTCAAATATGGCCAAGGGAAAGCTTTAGATGTAAAGGACGATATAGACTGCTAAAACTTGGTTGATTTTCTTCTCTTTGCATAACACTAGAGGGTGTCTTTTTTCGAACTTGTCACTATGATCGGTGCAAGAAATATATTTCGATGGTCAAGGCAGGTATAGGGCGTGTTGCGTAGATTGACTCTCTACGGCATGAAAGCAGAACCAATCATGCCGAAGCACTATGCGCGCGTCACGCACCTGCCCCTGCAGACACGTTGTCTAACCTGGCAAAAGCGTAAGATGCTACAGTATGACACTGACATTCGACCAAAGTCTCGACAACAATGGACTCTGACGATTTAAACACCACACACCTCGATCAAATGCTCTTGTGGTGCAATCATCTTGACAACAAGTATGGTTACCCTGGCGTCGAGAAATTGGCGTCCCGGTACCGTGATGGCCAGCATTGCCGCTGTGTTTTCAAGGTCAGCGGATCTTTTAATCTCTGCCTCAAAGTTGTTTTCGATGATGATCAAGCCTGGGCTGTACGTTTTACTGTACCTGGCCTCTAGACACGCCACAAAAAGAACCAGAGATAGATACTGAGCGACAAAACAACCAAATCTGCTGATGGTTGTGTAGACGATCAACATGTATCTTCGAACACTCAAGAAGAAGAGAACATGAATACGGGAAAAAGGTCCGTGGTTTGCAGTTTCCTCAATTGATATTCGCAACATCTTAGCAGAGAGGAAACAACATGCTGGCTAGCTGTGAGGTGACAAAGAAGCAGGGACGCTAATGCCATTTTGTCGTTGTTGTTCTTGTATTCCTCGTCTTTGCCAGTCAGGTCGCGCAACCAAAAGGACAAGCCCGGTTACCGGTCTCTGAACCGGGTATGGAGAGGCATCATGTGCCACAGGTCTATTTTAGTCCACGTGTTCGAGTAAAACAAGATCTCGTGTCACCGAACCCGACCTTCCCGATCAGCCAGGTACCTTACTGGTGTCACCTTACTGTGAATTGTTTACTGTTTCTTTCTTTGGTGTAGCTGAGACTGTTCGATGACCATGGCATGGTATGCTTATCACCATCTAAGATAGATTGCTGATCAGGGAAGGACAGAGATGCTTGCCAAGAACATCGGACGCCGCTTCTAGCGGTGTAGCGCTGCACTGTAGGCTGATGCACCTTGAAGCTCGCGCTCATCTTCCCAGTCGAATTTTGATGGTCTCGAGCAGATCAGAAACCAAGAATGGCTTTGCCATAATTGCATCAATACCCGCCGCCAACGCGCGGTCGACCTGGCCTTTTCGGACATTTGCGGTGATAGCAATAATCTCGACATGCCTTGTTAATTTGCCAGCTTCTTCCAGAGATCTGATCTCCCTGCTTGCAGAAAGTCCATCCATGACTGGCATTTCGAGGTCCATTAGCACGACGTCCAACTTGTGGCCAGAACCAGCGGCTTCTTCCCAGATATCGGCGCGGCGTAGAGTTTCCAGTGCCTCCAGTCCATGATTGGCAACGTAGACAATGCAGCCGGCTCTAGTGAGCTGTTTCTGAAGAATTGCTTGGTTGATCAAGTTGTCNCTAGAAACATTAATATAAAAGCTGACGAAGTGCGGATATGTATATAAACTTACTTCTACCAAAAGAACATGGTATGCTACCTCTGGCAAAGGATTTTGTTCTTGGAGCATCTTGGGACTCGGCACAATTTTCTGTTGCGGCATTGTTTCAGGTTCTTGCATGACTGCTGTATCTTGGATCACTTTCAACGCTTGTGTATTCTCCAGTTGTCGAAGCACCAACTCCTGAGTTGATTGAAGACTTTGTTTCGAAGATTTTCCAGGAGGGTTGGGTGATTGGCGAACCTTCACGTAGAATGCGAAGGTAGAACCTTTCTTTGGCTGTGATACAACACCCATGCTTCCATTTTGCTTTTCCGTGAGCGAGTGAGATATGAAGAGCCCAAGACCAGTACCACCGTATTTGATTGAGGTTTTGGGACTGGCTTGTTGGAACCTGTTGAACAGGCGGGCACGTTCTTCTTCGGTCATTCCTGGTCCAGTATCTGTGACACAGAAGCTGAGGTAAATCTGCTTGCCATTGCCCCATTCTTTTTCTAGGGTGACATCTTCATGTTCCTTTTTNGTTGAAGCCCACTCCAGGCCCTCTTCAAACGAGTTTCTTGGCTCTTCGATGGAAGCGCCATACCGCAGAGTCACACAGCGATGACGCTCTAGTCGGGTAAACTTGATCGCGTTGGATAGCAGATTTATGAGGATCTGCGTGACTCTCAATGGATCGCACATCACCCAATCAACTCCAAGTTCGGTAATCGACTTATGTGCCTCGGTTTTCATCTCTATTTCTGCCGCTGAGATGTTGGCTTGTAGCATGTTTACAGCGTTTTTGACAAGGTCGAGTGGCTGTACTGGACTTGGGGATAGAGACAGAAGCATGAAGTCCATCTTGGAAAGAACCAACACGTCATCCAATATTTTGCGCATATGAGAAGCGCAAAAGATGATAGTCTTGGCTGCTTCGACATTCTCTTGAACCACGTGAAGGTATTCCTCAGCGCTTGTATCTTTCTCCTTGTAGTCTTCCAGAGACCCAGAAATGCTGTTCGCAAGTTGCAGCATGGCAGACAAGGGATTTCGGACTTCGTGTGAGATGGCATCAGTGAACTCGCTTTGTTGTCGTTTTGCCTCTTGTGCTTCTTGAGCTGCTCGAGCCTGCCACCCTTCGGCCCACTTCAGACGACTGACTTCTGTCATACATGCCATAACGGACTTGATCTCGCCGGCTTCAATGTATGGCACAGCTGATATGAGCACAGTAGCTGGTACAGGAGAGCCGAATGGAGGATTCCACAGCCTTTTCATTCGAAATTCGGTCGTGGTCGTTATTACACCCTCCAATACCGCTTTCCAGGCTGTGTACATCTTGGGTTGGTCCTCCTCAAGGACATGATCTTTGAACGGCAACCGCAGCTCCGTGAAGTCGGTAGTGGGCTCCTGGCCGATGAGATTGAAATAATGCTCGTTGGCCCAAAGCACTTTTCCTTCGAGCGATAAATGTTCCAATCCGATATCTAGATGATCAGCCATGTATCTGATATGGTGTTCACTTGCAGCCAGTTGGTTCTCCAAGCGAGACTGTCGCTCGTTCGATTCTTCCATGGACACTAAGAATGCCATGGTTGAAGACAACTGCGAGGCGAGATCGCGCATGAACTGGTCATGATCCTCATCGATGGGTCGTCTCGGATTGGCTCCGATTAGCAGATATCCATATAGGCGTCCAGCGTTTGAGAGTGGTATGACACAGACATGCTCCGATCGCTCCTTGAAGCCTTCCCATTCGACACCATCGAACTCTGGTCCACACGGCGAAGTGATGGGATCGATTCCTGCTTCCTTCAAAAGCGGATAGACACCCTCCTCGCTATCAAGACAACCCTCTTGTTTGGCCAGCTTGTGACTCTCCGGTACACCGAGACGCCCTGTGAGCCTCAATCCGCGGGACGCGTTGTCTATTTCCCACACAAGAGCGAACGGTATATCCAGTGAATTCGTCCGGAAACAATCGATAAAATGAGAGCCAATACTCGACGAAGTACAACCTTCCGGTAGGACCGCAATCATGTTCAGCATGTTTCGCCTGCGGTCAGTGATTTTCTGTCTCGTCACTTCGGCCAACGAATTGTACCACCCTTGGACCTTTCCGTCATCTCCTCTGAGTGGAACAAAGTTTCCGGTGAAATGTGTCTCCTCGAGGAAGTCGTTTCTCCTGACCATGAGAGGTATTTCTATAACTGGGACGTCTTTCTTTGTCTGTTTGGCCATTTCAAATACAGGCATAATATCATTGCAGATTTCAGGGAATGCCTCTGCGAAGGTATGACCCATCAGGAACGGGTGGGAGCTTTCAGCAGTTCCTGCAAAGCCTTCATTGTAGATGGCGACCTTTTCCGGTCCCNNCTTGTTATCACATTAGAGCAAGTCATGGTGAATAGCGAATAAAGCTTGCACTTACCAATAAACGCAACTCGGTCGCTTGTCAGCAAAGACCTGATATGTATAGAGGCGTAGAGCGGTGCCCCAAGACTGTACCGGGCCCAGAAGCGTCTCATGCCATTGTATAGATCGGAAGAAGCGAACGTGATCGGTATCAGGAATGTCCAGCGTCCAGTCTACGCCGTCTGGCGATGCAGGCCCCATCGGTGTGTCGTTTCTATCCATGTCATCGTTGGTGAAAGTGGAAGTCTGGATGCACTTCACGCGTCCCAAGGGGCTTTCGTGGATCATTGTTTTTACTCCATCGCGATCTTGCGCACCATATCCGAAGACATCGTCGATTTGTGGCTGGCACTAAGATCTAGGCTTCGAGATGCGACTGCCAAGTGGTGTCCGCGTCGAGCGCCGTTACGGCTGACATCCGAGTTTATGTAAGGGTTATGCAGAGCTCAAACGTGCAGCCGCGGTTCGGGAGATCTTCTGGCTTTCCCAAAAGTGCATCGTCCATTGGCTGACTTTCTGACTCATCTCAACAACAACCTATTACAACAATCCATTGTGACGACCATCGTATAGATGTGAGATGAAGATTGTCTGAGGCGTACAAGGCGCTCAAGTATTGGCTGGATGTCTGTTGGCTTGTCTAAACATCCTGAGGCATGAGTCAACCAGAATGGATGCGACGAATCATCCTTCGCAGTTCATTCTGCCCAATCATGGCTCCACGACTGTAGACGACGAGCCATACATGCTGTATATAATATGGTAAGTCGCTCTAGAAAGCTGGGTGCACTCCATCGCATCTTCACTTTTTCGCAGCTGTCAATTTTCTTCTTTAAAAATGGTCGCAGTCAGCAACACGTCTGGTTCTACCGATGTCACCACTCAGGCTTCATCCCTTGAGCCATTATCCCAAATCAAAGTCGTGCAGGACACATCGAACAGTGACACTGATCACCAATCATCAAATGATGGCGATGGCGATGATGCCTCAGAAGCTTCATTAGAAGACATAGCATTCGACCCAACACATTGCCTCTTCTGTGTCAAGACCTGCGAAAGCATCGACACAAACCTCGAACACATGGCCAGATCCCATGGCATGATGATCCCTTCACCGCATCAGCTCACTGTTGACCCAACAACTCTGCTCACATATCTGAACCTCGTTATCTCGGTTTACCACGAATGTCTGACCTGTGGCACACAAAGACGCAATGCCCAAGCAATCAAGCAGCACATGCTTGGANAAAAGCATTGTGCGTTCGACATCTCTGACGTGGAGTCCGAGTACCGAGAGTTTTGGGACCTGGAGGGAGAAGGTGCAGGAATTAAGATCGACAGCGACAACATTACTCTGCCTTCAGGGAAAGTGGTCGTATCTCGTTCTGTGCGAACCACGCAGCAACATAAACGAGCATCAGAATTAAGCGCGACGCCGCTGTTGTCTTTCAACTCAACACCCTTGGAGGCTTCAGACCTCGATACTCCTTCGTCATCCAGTCAAGCTCCTCACAAGCAAGCACTCACAAGACAAGACGTGCGGGCTTTGAGAGTCGATAAACAGCTCAGCACGCTGAGCTCCAACGATCGTCTTGCTCTCGCACATCTTCCTGCACCCCAACAACGTGCATTGTTGCTCGCCCGACATAAGCAATTACAAGCGACCAGACGACAGGAAAGGGCTTTCGAAGCAAGGCTCCAGCGGAAGAACAATCAGACTTTGATGAAACATTTCGTGTCCGATGTGCCGGGCCCGAAGCTTGGTTGATCTTTGTAGATATACATTGAATAGGAGATTCTTGAATAGCCAAGATGTTCCGAAGCATTCTAAAAGTGACCACATATGTACAATGTGTTGGTAGACAATCAAGCGGTGCAAGTGTTGCAACAACAAAGAAATGTCCATCTCCTTCACATTCACTTGGCGCATGTCATTTCCTGACCCCTCCACACGCGAAACATTCTCCACTCAACGCGTCTTCCCTCAGTCTCAATCTTCTACCAAACCAGAACTCCGATGCCGCGAACATTACCATGGCTCGCCAATCCAGCCCCACCCGATCGCAAGTCACGAACGACAACCACAGCGTCGGTCAAACGCCGCAAGGTCGACTCGTCCCCGCCGTCCTCTCCGCCGGATGCACTCGATGAGTTCATTCGCACGCCAAAAGACAACATCCGGGCAGCAACATCTCTACGCTCGCCATCCACATCTCCACCGCCCGCACTCCCTAAGCAGGAGTTCATGCGGCCCGGATGGGACGCCGATGACGGCTGGAGGATGGTAACGGATGAGTTCACGGCCACTGCCCAACTCTTCACCACACACCTCGCACACGCCGAATATCGACGTCAAAAAGAGCTAGCGAAGAAAAGGGAAAGAGCTCTGGGAGGCGCAGATGCGATAGCCAGACCCGTGATTGGACAGCTGAGCAAGGATGGGCAAAGAAAGAAGATAGGAGAACTGCAGAGGGCGGCTGTCAAAGCTGTCATGAAGGAGGAGGAAGAAGAAGAAGAAGAAGAAGAAGAAGAAGAAGAAGAAGAAGAAGAAGAAGAAGAGGAGGAGGATGATGACCCATGGGTGGGCACACAACTGGCAGGGTTGATGATGAGCCCGAGGAAGAGAGAGAGGCTGCAGCCCGTCAAGGTTGTTGGACGCAGCAGTACAAGAGCTGCTGCCGGCTTTTATCGAGCACGACCACTGGATCTACGAGGGAGACCACTGGAAAGGCAGAAGAGTCCAGGTGCCAAGAAGGAAGTCAAGGCTGAAGAAGACACGACCGACGACGACCTCGACGCTCCCAAGCCATCCAGATCCCTGTTTCGTCCACCACGCACACAGCCAACGACACCTACACCCTCTCGTCTGAACAACGTCTGCAAGCCGTTCGCAAACCCACGCAGCGCAAACACAAATACCGCTCAAAGATCGTCATACCACCCCTCGTCCTCAACAAGCTATTCCTCAGACCTCTCGGACAGATCCTCGCACAAGAAGTGCAAAAGCATCGACCGCGAAATCTCTCGTCCACCAAAACGCGCAATTCGCGAGCCTTCTCCACCAAGAGCAATCAAACCAGAGCCTGCTCACTATGCAGAGATCAAAGTGGAGCCAGACTTTGGTTTCCCATCTATCCCACAGCCTTCTCAGTCTGCAACGTCTGCAGTCGCACGACGCAGAGAAACAAGATTGAAGCGTGAAAGAGAAGAAAAGAAGATCAAGACAGAGGTTCAAGAGGAGCACGAACTACCCACGTTTCTGTTCTAACGAAACACGCTCCCGGGCGAGGACTTTCTTTGGTTTTGGACACGGCGTTTTTGAATTCATGAATGATACCCCGTTTCCTTTCTGCAAAGCATTTCTCATACCAACGAATACACGACTCTACCACTTCTCCAACATGGGTCTGATGTCAATCTCGTTAGTGAATGCCCTCTTGCTCTGCGTATGCAAATTCCAATACGCCTCTGCAATAGCATCAGCCTCAATCTTTGCCTCTGGCGGCATATCCTTCAGCCACTCCTTCGTCCTCGGGATGTCAATCACACCATCGATGATAGCATGAGCGACATGAACACCCTTGGGCGCAAACTCCCTCGCAATGCTCTGAGACAGCGCTCTCATCGCATACTTGCCAGTACTGAAAGCACTCATCAAAGCATTCGACTTTACACTCGCAGTAGCGCCAGTAAAGATCAAAGTACCCGGATACTTTGCCCCAGCGTCATTGGTATGCTCAACCAGCAACGGCAGCGTCTGCTGCGAAAACAAAAACGCGCCTTTACAAGAAACCTCATAACCACCCGTAAACTCCTTTTCCGTCAGTTCCAGAATGCTTTTTCTGGCAAAAGGACCACTGGCATTGAAGACTGCTGCAGCACACTTGTCGCCGTATTTTTCTTTGATTTCAGAGATTGCGGAGGTGATTGATGAGGAGGAGGATACATCGGTGGATATGCCGATGGCTTTGCCGCCTGACTTGTTGATTTCGTCGACGAGAGAGGTGTAGTTGTCGGGGTTGCGGGCGAGGAGGGCGACTGGGTACGAAAGAGCGAACTTTCTGGCTAGAGAGGCGCCGGTTCCTGGGCCTACGCCTGCGATGATTGCGAACGCTGTCGACATGGTGGTGTCTTTGGTGGTGTACGTTGTTTGACAAGTAATCAGTTCGCGGTAGCTGAGGGGTTTGATGGAAGCTGATAATTTGCAGTCAATTCCAAGGAGTATATGTTTGTTGTTGACTCATCAAGGTTGATTTGAAAGCAATTGGAAGCTCCGAGGTCGAGAGCTTGACGTGATTGATGAGGGGTTGGTCTCGGGGATTGGTTATTAACCCCGGAGACTTATTCCACCTCCTTTGCTCCTTCCGTCCATTAGTCCTTCCTGTTTATCGACTTATCATACAGCATGGCCCATAAGATGAGGCATCTCGGCTCGGATGAGTATGGCTTACCTGGTCGTATACTCTACCAAGACAGGAAATCTGTATAAGTCGGGTCTCGACTCTCCATCTCCAGCGACAGAATATGGACCACCTATAAAAATGCAAGACTCTTTCCAGAAGCTCGACATTGTCCAGTGAGAGCTCGAAACCCAGTCAAAACGTCCGGTCTAATCGCCCTGTATAGAAATAATCCCAGAGCAACAGTGCTCTCCCAAACCATAGAGATGTCGTCTCTCTTCTCATATCAGAAGTCCGTCTTCCTCGAGCCTGCACCTCGTGCGCGACATTGCAGCCCCCGGTGCATCATACTCTGATCACCGACCCGAAACGTCGAGAACGAAACGACTCCGGTCGATGATACCGATCAGCGGGTACCGCTCTCCCGGCACCGTTGTTCGACATGTAGAGATCCAAGCCTTGAAGAGATCCCAGGAACACTCTACGGAGTCATGGACCTGGTCCGCTCCGTTCTCGACTCTCTGTGCTTTTGGAAATAATTCCTAAAAGCCTTTGTAATTTAAGCTGCCCATGGGTTACTGCCCGCCACATTGCCGAGTAAGGCATTTTGTTGATGGTGAGCGAATAGTTAATTTCGGTCGCTAGAACAACTATGTACGACTAGTAAGTGATAGTTTGATTAACAGACAAAGATGTGAGAGAAGATTGGGAGGTCATCGTTAGTTCTTGTTCCGTCTGACTTGAACAAAGCAGTGCAAAGAAATCAGAAGCTAGTACTCGTAACTGCTTGGATACAAGAACAGGGTGTGTCATCTCTCAAACCTTGAGACTGAACACTTGAGAGTGCAGACAAGAAGTACTGATTCTCGCGCTGCTATTTTTCAGCTCCAGACCAGTCTACTCAGGACAAGTATTAGGCTTCGTTGACCCATACACGTGGACCTGTAACCAAGAAGTAGAAAGTCTGGTGCAAATCGTGCCACGCAACCACGGCTATGCCGACTCGAGTCATAACAAGCGCGACCAAAATATCCCATATATCAACAGCAAGTAAGCGAAACGATTAGGTCACTGACCCCAATCTGCATCCCTCTGTCTTCATTGCCGTGGCACCTCCCTAGGATGCAACAACGCAAGACAATACGAAAGCAAAGAGTTGAGACACAGCAACAAAAAAAAAGGTTCATGGACCTGCTCACCTACTACCACTCTCTGCACTGCTCACAACCCTTATGTAGTATGGCTGGTCAGTAGCCGATCAGGAGCGACGGCGCCACTGATGGGTCTGATGATAGCTGTTGATGGATGACCAATGAAGTTTCGGATGGACTAGATAGAAGAAAGCCAATGGATGCTGATTCAGACAAGATACACTGGTCAAGACAGTCAATTCATGTCTCGCTCCAGCTCCGAACTGAAGAACTCCAAAAGAAGTCACTTGTTCTCAGTGCACTGTGCTTATAGCGTTCTCGCCTGGCTTGGAAGTCTGTGAGGTAGCTTTGGATGTTTTCAGCATTGAACCCGAAGTGATGAACTGGGGTCAAAAGTTTGTATGGGGAGCTATTTTCATCTCCTTGATTCTCTTCCTCCCAAGTTCTTCTTTTGACTTTGGAAACCGAATTTTCTATCATGAGGGGAACTTTTAACAGCATAACATCACTTCCTCGACTGGATCTTTCTATGGACAATGGCCAAGTATGACTGAATGCATGTTTTGACAAGAGCGATTGAAAGATGCGGAGGAATTTATCAGAGGAAGATCTATATCTTCTCATGTTTTGGCCATGCCATAAGCTACATATAGAGATGATGGGTTCCAGCGCCTAAAAAAAGCAAACATTAGCTAACAGAGATACTCTTCAGGCATCTATGAGTAAATGGTTACCATGCTGTGCAAGCAACAATCGAAAATTGTCGTGAAGCGGAGGTTTTAGACGTTATAGCTATCGTCGTTGAGGCCACACTCTCTGGCTCTTGCAAACTTCTTTCTCGGATCTCCACACACTGTCTCCTTCCAAGCCCGCTACAGTCGAAAGTTGCCTCTAATCTGTGGCAGAACGACTGCGAAGAACGCCATTCCATCTCTCAAGTCCTTTGGCTTGATTTTGCCTTCTTGTTGCTTCTTTCTTTTGTCTTTGAGCCTCGCATGCGTTGACCCGTTCTTGTATCTCAATCGCACGAATCAGTTCAGATCCATCTGGGTCGGCGCGCAGGAAGAGTCTGAGCTGTGAATTCGTCATCATCATCTTCTTGAGGTTCGGCGATTCAAGAGAACCAGCAAAGTTAAAGATGCGACGCGCCAATGAATTCTCCTCCGCGAACTTGAACTCGCGAAGTGCCGGATGCACACGACCAGTCAGATCAAGAGATTTTCGGAGTGGCGCGAGGAAGCGTACAGACGAAGCGATCTTTGCCAAGTATTGAGTGGGATTGTGGCAGTTGCAGAGACTACGGACGGTGACGCTTTTGATCTGAACGCCATTGGTTGCAGCGAACTCCATGACGTCCGCAAGGAACTTGGTGGCAGTTGGAAGACCGTGGTTGTTGTAATGACAGCGTACCCTCAAAGGATCCCAATACCAAGTAAAATCAGTAGTAGCAAAGTAAAGAGACATGGCTTCTGTCCGAATGGATTTGCTGACTGAAGCAATTGGGGAAAGCTGGTACTGGCGCTTCAGAAACCCGAGATGTGCACGGCAGCAATGATTCCAGGGGCAGGAACAACCCCAGCAGCAAGAGCAGTTCCAGAGATTGCGATTACGACAAAGGGAAACATCGATCCGGTCAAAGGTAAGCTCGTAGATCATGTTTCTGATCTCAGCAGGTAAATCCAAGAAGCGGAAAGGCTTCTCAATCTGGCGAGGGGGCAAAGCGAGATCCTCGGAGAAGCCACGTTTTGACCAACGATTCAAGTCCATGGTAGAGTCAGGCACACGGGCTCTAAGCGAAGGGCTGCTGGGTAACGACATCGAATCCCAAAGAGGAGTGCCACTGTCGGGCAGAGAAGGGCTGCGTAGCACCTCGACATTGAGGGCCAGCGAAGGCGAGCCGAGTTCGGTGGAACCACGCATGGTGTCCAGCTGATATGCAGTGGGTGGAGAGGCTGGAGTGTTCTTCACGGTGGTCATGAATCAAGGTTGAGAGTATCGAATCGTCCAAACCGGAAATATTGCTGAGCTAGGTTGTTGGAAAGTATCCTGATCTGTGGGTAGCCGGCAGACAGAAGTGACGGTCGTGAAGATGCTTCGTTGGATCGATGAGAGTGTATGAAAAGGTGGTTGCACTACTCTGAGCACAGTTGGGTGGTGCAATGGCATGCAAGAGACGGTGAGATGAAGAGCTCAGACGGGCACGAAGAAAGCTGCGCAAAGCACGCAAGAAGGGTGGTGTGGAAGCTCGGACGAAGGGAAAAAGCCGCGAAGGCAATGGGGAAAGGTGAGGAGGTCTCAAAGAGAATTCAGAGAGTAGAGACAGTGAAATGGGCAGAAGTCATGTCGAACGGCTGAAGCATGTGATTCCTCAAGATTGAGGTTGGGAAAGTGCGAGGTGAAAGCCTCAGGCAGCAATCGAAAGTCATGTCGAAGTTGAACAGATGAGGAAGGCACGCGTGATAAAAGTGTGCCGCTTTTTTGCGACTGACATTGATGGATATCTCTAAACGTCCAAAAAGGATAAGAATCATAAGAAGAATAACGAACATGGAACGCCTTACATGCTATGAACGCCATGAAAACATCCCATACCCCTTTTTGTGGTCAACTGCCCAAAGCTGACCATGCCAAAAACACGCAATCGAGGATATGCAAGAGCTTACTCTGCGTCTTGCATGTTCATCTCCTCGAACTCGTCGAGCAGTTGGTCCATAGGGATTTGAGGACCTTGCTCATCGTCCTCGTCATCTGTCTCCATCTCCATGTCGTTGGCAGCCTCTTGTTGGGCCTTGTAGACTTGCATGGTGTGACGAAGCTCCTCATCTTCCTCGACATCACGCAGGAAGAGCTCAAAGTCGCGCTCGAGGCGCTCCTGGTCCTGCTTGCGGGGAAGCATCTCGCTCTCCTCCTTGGCCATACGCTTGAGCTTCCAGTTTCTCTTCTGGCCGGCAGCCTTCTTGCGACGAGGGTAGTGCTTCTTGACCAGAATTACGTCAGGAATTGCCGACTTGTATGTCTTGCTCTGCTCAATCTCTTCGAACTCATTGTTGTTGAACTGGGTGCCTGCAAGAAGGTAGCCCATAACGCTGTCACCGGGGTTCAAAAGAGCACCGAGGTGAGTACGGCAGAAGTATGTTGTGTCGTTCACACCGAGATCTGCGGCACGGGCAACGGTGCAGTCGGCGAGAACGAAACGTCCTTTTGTAGGTCCGGTAATCTCAATATCCATGACAATGAACTCAACGAGCTGAGGAATATCTGCGATAGGAGTGAAAGGAGCGCGCCAGTAGATGGGAGTGGCGACTTCGGCGGTTTGNAGTGTGTTGGGGTCAAGCAAGTTGACGGCGGTACCAACACGGTAACAGAGAGCCAGGGGGAACATGTTTCCAATCTGCTTGGCGAGCTTGATGGGAAGTGCGACCAGGTCGTCCTTGCAAATGGGCACAATCTCGCAAGAGAAAGCGAACTTGTACGTCTTCTCGGAAGTGTGAACGTTCATCGAAATCAGCTCCTGCGACTTCTTGCTCTTCATAGGTACGACACTGCCAAGGAAATCGACAAACTTCTCGGCATGATTTCTTGCAGAGAAGAAGAAATCAATACCGTCGTGAATTTCCTTGATATTGATTGCATCACGGTGGGCACCGTGCTTGAGAATAAGTTGCTCGAGGTAGAGGAAAGTACGCTTGTGAGTGACCTTCTGGCGAACCTGGACGACGGCACGCCATGTGTTGTGTGTGAAACTCTTTTGACAGTCGGGACATTGCTGGTTGGCCTGTACGAATTCGACCTCGAAGGTTTGCTGCAGAATGGTGCCCTGGAAGGCTTCTTGCTGGATGGTGATCTTCAACTTGATACGGCGAGAGTGAGGTTCGGTCCAGATGAAGGAGGCGTCGATGATGCGGACTTTGTTCAGACCACGAAGCTTGCGAAGACAGAGGGCCAGAAGTTCACGCGATTCAGGCTGGGCGACGAGCCACTGGTTGGGCGGCGACAACCAACGGTCGCAATCTCTGCACTGATGGAGAGTTCCTTCTCTTTGAATGCCTTGCGATACATCGATGGTGAGCTTGATACAGTCGTAACAGAGAGCGCCGGCTGCGACGGTGCCGTCAATGGGAGCACCACAGTTACAACAGAGGATGCTGTTTCTTGTCAGTTTGACTCTTCAGGAGGTAGTTAGGAAGCAAACTCACGTAGCGTTGGTCACTTCGCGCTGGGCAGAGGGTGCCATCGACACCGAGTCGAGATCCATCGACATGGTGATGTGCTGGTAAAAGTAAAAACTGGATTAAAGTCGAGAAACTACGCCGCTGAGTTGACGAGGGGCGCAAATGAGCACTTCGGTCGAGTGCCTGGAGAGTGGTATGAGGCGACAAAAGGCCAAAGGGCGAATGCAGGAAACAAGAGGACTTGATTCTTGTCACCAAAATTGTTCTCGAAGGAACTTCTCTTCAGTCAGCGACGCCACAAGGACTTCGGAGAAAATTAGAGGGACACCCCGCTCTGACGCCGCCAAGCGATAAGATAAGAATCCCTTTCGTATTCGTACTTACATGTAGCGGCGTCATCATTTACTTCTGCGAATAGAGAGGAGATCCGATCCCGACGAGCGAAGGGATACCTGGTGCCTACAGTCAAGTTTCCCCCCTCACCTGCCATCTTTACACTTTTCACCCAATCTACTCCAATATCGCAACCATCAAGATGGCAGACTACTCTCTCCTCGCCATCCCGGCCTTCACTATTCTGGCCGTGGCCCCTCACGCGTAAGCAGCTTTGAATCAACCCAATACTCAAATCTAAACATTTCACACGCAGCNNTATGCACTTTCCACTGTCAAGAAGCATACCCAATGGTCAAATGCGAACAGCAGAGGCGAGGGCAACATCCAACATATGAAGAAGACTCTCCCTCCTGCCGTCTTTGCAACCTATGAACGCGCCGAGGCTGCGCACAAGAACAGCATGGAGAGCTTGCCTCTGTTCATTGCTGCAACTCTGGCTGGTGTGTTTGCCGAGAAGCTCACAAGAACTGATGTTGGCAATGCCCAATTCTCCACTATCTTCCTGGGCATCAGAGTACTTTACACTCTTCTCTACGTATGTGGACCTTATTTCCAGGCATCGATTCTATATGTTTTTGTGCTGACTTCTGATATTTAGATCAACACATCATCAGAGCAAGCCAGTCATGCTCGTTCGTTGACATGGACAGCAGGTCTGGCTTTGTGTTTCTACCAGATCTACAAGGCAGCCGTTGCTCTTGCCTAGAGCCTCTCGAAGCTAGACATGGGGAATTTAATGAAATACATATTTACAACTTCTATCGCGTTCCCGTTGGTATTGTACATGATCTCCCAATGACCATACATGCCTGACTCTGTACATTTCCTATTCCCAAGTATCCTGTGAACGCCGCGACCAATGCAATGCTCTCTGCTCTATGTACACAGTTCGTATGCTCGTTTCTCACTGTCTCACTTCTATTGGTGAATCAAGCCAATCATCGTCATCCTGAAGATCCAGACCAGAGGTAGGGTCAAGATTGGGAGATGATATACCAGCAGGAGTTTCCGATGCCGTCCAGACCTCCTCATCCACTTTCTCGGGTTCCTTCTCCTCGATGTTCTCAAAATCTGCTTGTGTGATGCCGTGCCTATACCGTTGCATAGTCGAATTGGGGTCTGCCAACTGACGCACTGGAGACGATCCTTTAAGCATCTCTTGCCTGAACATATTCAGCAACTCTCGATGCTCGTATTTGGCCGCGCGTGCTTCGCACAAAATCTCGTCGAAGCGCGCCATTTCATTGCAAGCACTGCACAAACGCATCATCGCCGAGTATGTGCGGGCGAACAGTCTTTCTGGTTTGCCTTTGGCTCTACTCTCCTCCTGAAGCCTCTTGATCAGGTCCCATATCTGGCATCCGACTTTGTAGTCTGCTTTTCGCGCTCGATCGTCGAGCAATGGAGTCAAACCACGGATGGACAAACCCCATCCTTCTTGACCCATGTCTGTGGCAATGCGGAGGGCTGCATCGAAGCCAATGAAGTGCAAGACGCCTTGAACAATGACTTCTGTGACTGCTGGCGTGTGATATGGCTTTTGAACAATCTTGCCATCCTCTTTCACTACCAGACGCGGACGGCCTGAATCATTGACAGTGATGGTGGGCTTTGCGAGCATGAGACCTTTTCCCACACCGCGGATTCTATCAACAAAGGCGGTGAACTCGGTAGACCGGTTGATCATAATATAATACTTGAGCGTAGCCTTTATTGTGGTCTCGTTGTGACGGACATTGGCATTTTCAATGGCATATAGTGTTGGATTCACCAGGCCGATATTGTCGCATTCCATGAAGCCACGGAGTAAGGTATTCCAGCAATCCAAGTTGGGCGCCGCGGAAGAAATGTAGAGGTTGTAGGCAATCCTTGCGACAAGTTGCTCATAGGCCAGTTGGCCTGATTCTTTCTTCTCAAACAGCAGGCCTAGAGCAGAGTTTAGATCTTGTGCAGTCTTGTGGTACTCGCCGAAGCCATCCTGTCGATAAGTAACACCGTGTTTATGTTGTCGTGGGAGATCGTTGAAGTGTGCGTTTGGATCTGGAAAGGTAGTGGCCTCCATATGTTGATCATTTGTAAATAGTAGAAGAGCCTTGAGGTGGGAAGTAGGGGCACCGAAGAGATCGTGACATGACTCCGGCACAGCAGTAGCTAAGTCTTTACGAGAATTGAGTTCATCCAGATGTAACAGCATGCGAAGAATAAGCTTGTCGACAGCCAACTCGGTCGTGCGTATCTTCTTTGTAGTCCAGCGGGCGGCAAATGCCCTTTCCCGGGTAGAAGTCCTTGCATATATGGAGGTGGGAGCAACAAATGGTCGATGTAGGCCAGCTCCTGTATTTTCTGGCCATACAGGGCCATCTAGATGCGCTTCTTGGTGTTGATCTTCGAGAACGGCGTCCTGCGGGTCGTCAAAGAGCGGTTTCCACCTGTATGTCCCTTCCTGCTCTTGTCCGGCCTGAAGGTGTCCTTCCGTCTCTTGCCTGGCTTGGGTAGTCTTGCCCAATTGGGAATCGTCCAGATCGTGTTTGATGTCTGCGATGGCGCGGTCCCATTGTTCCCGTCTCTTCTGCTTGAATCCGGCGTCGGTGGTAGCGGCGGCGGCAAAGATGCCCGAGTATACAAAGGTCGACGACAGGGCCCATCTCACCGGCCTCCTGCCGGCGGCATTGGTGGTCCGCCTAGCAACTCCACTGGCACCGGCCGACACACATGACGGGCAATGGCAGCTGAGTCCGGTCTGCGCTATCCGAGACCAAAGTGCTTGCATTATTATTGCTGCTGCATCGCGCTTCCCTCCCACCAGGTCCTTGGAAACTCAAGAGGAAGGCCTGTTGTCGACGTCTCTGCGCGTGCCGTCTCTGGGGATCTGACCACTGGTATTTTTGGGTCCCGCGAGTCGACTGTCCCGCTCGGCCTTGGCACTCTCTGCCGTTGCTCTCTTGCTTGTGTGCTGCTGTGAGCATTTCTAAACAACAACCATTTCCTTTCGAAACATTTACATCCAATCATGTTGGCACTCACTTTGACCGCTGAGCTTAACGGGTAGGTCATGTATTGGTGGATTCGTAGTCTTAATTACCAACATCTTCCAAACAGCGTAACCGATCTCGCCNCCATCGACACTGAGGACAGCCCTTTCTACTACACATTCAAGGTGCAATGTACTTCATGTCGTGAGGTCCACCCCAACTGGGTCAGCGTGAGCAGATTTGTAGGTTCTTTCTTTTCCCATCTTGTTCCAATTACCAACATCTTCAATCTAGNNGAACAAAACGAGGTATCTGGCAGCAGGGGTGAAGCCAACTTTGTCTGGAAGTGCAAGAACTGCAAGGTTTGTTCATTCTTCACGATCCTCCCTTTTGTGTCTACCATATTGACTTTGCGCAAACAGAGAGAACACTCGGCATCCATTAAAGAAGCGCCCAAGCTCTATGTTCACAGCGACACCCCCAAGGCCCAAAAGATCATCGAGTTCGACTGCAGAGGGCTCGAGTTTGTCGAGTTCAAGCCAGATGTATTTTCACTTCCCACCAGACTCCCAAATCTCTGTTACATAGGACTAATACATCGAGTAGNNGGTGAGTGGAAAGCCACCGGCATCGACTCAAACACAAAGTTCGACGCCATCGACCTGACAGAAGGCGACTGGTACGACTACGACGAAAAGGCCAGTGAGGAGGTCAGCATCCAAGGCCAGAAGTGGGAGATCAAGCGCGCATAGAGTGGTTTCCAGATGCTGCTTGTTTATCGCTTCGTCGGTTGAGAAGAGACGGTTTTTTGGAAACAGGCAAGGCAGTTTTGAGCCTACTTGCAAATCGCTTCTTGGAATGCATATATGGTCAAAAAGATCCGGGTTTACTCCTTCTGCTTTCCGAACATGATTACTGTACACACGTGTTCCAATTAATAACCTAGAGTCATGGGTCACTCTTCTTGGATCTTGGAATTCGAAGGGACTTCAGGCATCCCAGTTGCTGACAGATGGTTTGAATTTCGTATCGTCGATTGACGTTCAATGTCCGCGGTATCTGTAAAGACACCTTGGTCTTCTGCTGTCACAGAGTGATGTGTATGAGTTAGGCAAGCAGAAGCCATCATCGTTGCTCGGGAAAGTTGACTCTTCCGGCGCCGGCGGCTTCGGAGACACATCCGCTGGACCCCTTGGCAGTTTGAAAGCTTCTTCCGTGACACGCGAAACCCATGTGCGTGGAAACTTTCGTAAACCTTGTACAAAGTTTGATGAAAGGAGGAATCATGCAGTAGAAACTCAATACGACAGACGGTCCTCCGAACCGAGCATTTGTGTAAATCCAGCAGCAAGAGGGAACCTTGAAATGCTTGCCAAGCATGAGACATAATATGTGCACTCCCAAGGCGGAATCCTGATGCCGAAGAGCTGGGATGAGGTGACAAACCAGGAGGAATGACGAAGAGCAGCCCTTGAAGACTATCCAGGCGTCCTAGAGTCCGAAATCGACCGTGGGAAACACAGGAGATATATTGGTTCGCGCGAAGATCATCGTCACCTCACATCCCCAAAGCCCTGCCCCGATCTCCAGCACCGCCAATCCCTAGGCCTCAGGATCGCAAAGTTGGGGACTAGCTACGGTGCGACCAAGAAGCTGCTAACCTTCTGTTCGACTTGTTCTCTTTGCCTTTCTCCTTCTAGACTACACACAATCAATGTTGAAGCCTGAAGCCACAATCTTCACGTTTCTTACAGCAATCTGTTGCTGCACTGCAGCAGCAACAACCGCGCATCTCAACACCAGATGGAGTCATGGAGCAGTCTCTTGAACAACCTCGAGTCCGACGAGATTGAAAGCATCTTCCTGTCCACCTGTGACCGTCGCCTGAACCACGCCTCCGAAACTACGGACCCGCCTTCTGAACTCCCGAGACACGACAGCGCCATCTCTGGTGTTCCTGCAGAAAAAGACACGAGTACCAAGCTTTTGCGACCACGCTCAGATGAGGCCTCCTCTTCACATACAGACGCTACAATCGCGTGTAGCAATGAGCAGCCATCTCAAAATGACTTTGACAATGCCGTCTGGGTCAGCATGAAGCAGAATGGTATCACGCAATACTGGGTCCCTCGCTACACCTCTTCTTCCCACAACAACACCGCAGAAAGTGCCAGGATACTGCAAACGCCCGGTCTAAAAGCAACGGCGAACCCTCATAACACCCACAAAGGATGTACAGCGGTCGATTTGTCTGCAGGAAATGGGTCTTTCGCTTTCAGCTACGCAGCAGCTGGAGTCCAGAAAGTGCTTTGCTGGGACGCGAATCCATGGAGCATAGAAGGCTTGAGAAGAGGCGCGGTGAGGAATAAATGGAACATCCAAGTTCATCATGGAGATCAGACCGAGGGCAAGGCCGTAAAGGTCCATTCAAGAACTAGGCTAGTCGCATTCGTCGAATCCGGCGACAAAGCTGCGGCCAGGATCCACGACCTGAGACGCTCGCTACCTCCAGTCAGACACGTGCAATGTGGAGTTCTTCCCGCATCTGGCAATTTTCTCGCGACGGCTGCGGCAGCTCTGGATCCAAGACTTGGAGGATGGATTCACGTACACCAGACCTTCCGCATGGAAGAGGTGTTTTGTGGAGCCAATAAAACCAGAGCAGATGTCGAGACTATTGTCGAAAGGCTGGACAGGAAAAGAGGATACTTGACCGATGTCGAAGGCACCCCAAGGAAACCAGTAATGCAACACGTCCAGCGTGTAGGGTCGTACTGTCCAGGTACATTCCACTGTGTAGTAGATATCCACATCCCTCCAATTCGAATATGAAATTATGCAATCAGCTCAACTTCATTGCAGAGCAAGGTCTTCTTCCTCAAGTCCATCAGCCTCGAGCAAAGCCTCCTGCGCCCTCTGCGATGCCAAATAATCACTATACACACCCGCCCACTTTTCAATCTTATCCGTATGCTCGACCAACTTTTGTATCGAAAAGCAAAACGGTATAAACACATCCGGGCTCTGTTTGATCTCATCCGCTGCCTTTGCCAGGTCAATAACTTCGCAAATGGAGAGACCGCCTCTGCCCCAGTCATCCGAAAGCTTGAAGTAGGTACGCTCCACAGCGGCTACGAATTCATCGTGCATGCCTTTGAGTTTCAACGGGTTGGTTTTGAGGCACGGGTGATCGTAGTTTGGGTGCGGAAGATGGTAGTAAGAGCCGTGATAGCCATCTATGCAAAACGGACACCAGCGGTTGAAGTGATTGACCCAGGTTTCCTTTGCCGTAGCGATGATTTGGAAGACGATTGATCTGTGGCCTCCTGTCCGAGATCTCCTTGAAATGTGATTCTGAGGTCTTGAATCATCTTTGCTGTGAAGGGTAATGTTTTCAGCCATGCTAGAGTCTCATCTGCGAAACTCAGACCAAAGGTTCTGTCCAGGCCTCTTGTGTATGAAGCCTGGAAGCTGTTTACCCGCAAAAATGTCTGGAGGCATTCCTGTCTGATCTGCTTGGACACGCAAGCCAAAGCTGGTGTTCGTGCGACCTCGAGATGCAGTCTCCGCGGTCGTACTAGAGCGTATTGATAGATTCGCACTCTGATTTCTGCTGGTAGATCCATGAATGGGAACGACTCTTCTGTACTTAATCGCGGGTCTTCCACTGCCTCTTCTCGTGATAGAGCCAGCTTCTCATCTTGAATAGCAATCTTGCGTCGATGTGCTGTGAATGTTCTTGCACCAGAGTGGTATTGAGAGCTGATAGGTACCAAGCCAAGGGTTCGATATGCCTGGCTGACCCGACTTGACTGAGCGGCATCCAGGTAGGACATGCTGGCAGTCTCTGGGCCTTTAAGGGCCAGGATCTGTATCTGATCAAAAAGGTTATGTCGAGATTATATTACGCAAAGGCAACTGAGAAGGAAATTCGAGATGGAAGTGCAAGCCGAAAGCGAACGACCTGGGTGACGTCGTGCACGGTAAGCCAAACCTACCATATGCGCAGACCCTCGTCCCGAGCCATGTCTTGGCATTTAAGAGTGCTATCAAAGGCGGATGCTCTGCTTTGGAGGAAGACATCAAGTCATAATGCAAGAAGATGCTCGTACTATGCTACCCATGCTACAATGCTAAATGCGCCGAAACGTACTTGTCCCAATGCTCTTCCGTGTCCGCCTGCTTCCAAGTCTCTACACCGCCAGAAACACCCTGCTCATCCACAGTCCAATGCCCACTCTTAACATTCATCAACCAATTCTCCAATATCGCCGTCAATTTGGGACCATGGCGTAAAGTAAAGGGGTTGATGCCATGAGCATAGACCTCTGTATGACTCTTCTGCATCAATCTACCATCACTGGTTTTGGCTTTCTTGTTTCCTCCTACCGGAAAGGGGAGCACGAGGCGACAGGCATCTTCGAATGGGTTTTCCTTGTTCGGGTACGAGTCAAGATAGAGACCGCAAGGTACTTCCTGTACAGTGCTGAACGGCCAACGAAAGTTTGCTTGTTTCGAGGTCACCGTTCCCTCAGCGCGGAAGAACAAAAACGGCATTTTGATACCCTCGGTCTCCTTTGGGTACTTTGCAGCAACGTGTTTGAAGGGTTGATTTACGAACTCGGAAGCCTGGGGCAGACGGATTCCGGGTGCCACGTACCAGATTCGCGGCTGCCGGGCGTGAGATAGTAGATCGTAGGCAAATCCTCTGGGTACACCCGCTGCGGAAAGACCAGACCGACTGCACAGGGGTGTGGTGTTTGGGTCTTCTTCTTCATCTCGTAATCCGCTCTTGATTTCGATTACTGTGAACAGCTCTTCCCACAATTTTAGACAGGAAGTCAAGTCGCCATGAGTGTAGGAAACCAGACTCCAAGGGTGAGTGTCGTAGCGTGATCGACGGGCTCCAGTATAAGGGTCTACTTTTGGTCCAGAAGGTGCGATTTCTTGCCACGAAGTTTGGCCATCTGCACCTTGAACTGGTCCGAGACGTGGCTCACGACCAATAGATTCGTGCAGGGCCACGGCTTTTCCTGCTTCGATCATGTCGATATAAGCGCTGAGAATCGATTCCAGTCTTTGCCATGGCAAGTTTTGGTCGTACAGGTCGAAGATGTGTAGAAAAGTAGGCATGAAGATTGCTTTGCCAGTCTCTTGATCGTATCTGCACTCCGTGATTAGCGTTGTTGCCCTTCTGATTTGTTCGATGATCATCTGCTTGCAATTTCTTTAAAGATTGAGAAAGCGTGGATTTCTCAACGATTGCGATGATTTTCTTACACAATGCCACTCCGTTGACTGACCAACTCCTTGTTCGTCATGTACAAAGTGATGAATCGATGCTTCTCCCCTTGATCTTCTTTTCTTCGTCATTCAGCAAATCTCCAAGATACAACATCTCCCTCGGCTTAGAGACTCTGCTGATGTAATAGAAGAAATGGCTTCCGTCTCCTCCAGGCAGATCAAAGATTTTCTTTAGGTACTTGACCAAAGAAGGCCGTAGGAGGACTTCCAGAGTTGGGTTACCGCGCTTCTGCCACCAGGTTTTGCGGTCCATGTCAGCGACCTTACGGCCACTACGTAGCCAGCCATAGATGGCTATTGTGTTGTGTAACGCAGCGCATCTGTCAAAATCTAGTTCTGGTGTTTCTCGCGGCGGTCGTTGGGACGTGACTCTCTGGTTTGCAATTGAAGCAAAAGGGCTTGCCATTTTTCCAATTTCACCCGTGGTTCAATTTTCTCCTTGTTCAGTCCAATCCAGGAAAAGTGCAAGTCCAGAATGTCCAATGGGTTGTGTGTATGTGATGGATCCAAGAAGAGGGGTCACCAGCAACGTATAGTTTGCGAATGGAAGGTACAGGTACGTATAAAGTCCCCTTGCCGACGATGGCGTTCCGGGGCCGTGGTCTATATACTTTCGCCGACGCCGCCAGAAAAGAGCAGAGCCGCGAACGGAACAAACGGGCTAGGTACCTACGTAATGGCAGTGCACTGGCCCTTTTGAGAATTGGAGAATAAGTAAATGCACGCACAGTGAAAATAAACAGGGAAACGTCACCCAAGAGAAGGAGGAGTTATAGTGGAGGATTCTTGGTTATAGGAAGAAACAGCATGTGCGTACGTAGGTGGTTAGGCCGAGTGTCTTGGTGTAACTTTGTATCTATCGTATAACAAAACTTGGTTCCTTCACGACTTTGGCTGCCCCAGCTGAAGTGTCTAGCAACTGAATAAATGCTATAAACATGATGGAAGAACCAATCAAAGATTGTCCAATGGTGACCTGTTCTTCATATCATAAACAGTCATACATGACATAAGATGACCATCACGGTTCTCTGGATTTATCCACTGCGACCCTGTTGATCCTGTTGTGGGCTTGGAGGGATTGATCCGCCGGGCCGCATCAGGAAATTACCCGGTGGTTGGTTCAAGAATCGACACATGCAGGTCAGCAGATGTGGTACCTGGAGAAGGACACATGCGAACTCCATGTTTCTTGAGCGCGTGATGGTCTTTTGTCCGTCGAGACTGCAATAGTCGGCCATTTGATCAAATCCGAAGACTAGAGCCATTGACCAGTGACGTCAGAAGGCCTCGAGTTGCGAGTCGTTAACGAACCTTTGAAGATGGTCATCAACACCAGCAGCTTGGGTATAGCATAGCCATGGCGTACTGGATACGAGGGCCACGTATGCGCCTGAGGGATGCGATGCAATGCGATGCGATGCTCATGTCCATGGAAGCGAGCGAGGCACTGACAAAGAACAGAGGAGGTCTTCTGCCAACTACTTTCGCACGCGGACTTTTCCCACTCTTTGTACCGGGTCTGGCGCGTATGTCTTCTTTGGCGCGACCCACTCGTCCTTCTTGTCTTTCCAGAAGCCCTTGCCGTAGCTGACGAGAATCTCCTCTCCTGGTCTAATGCCGTTCTTTCTCATGCCAGAGCTGCCAGAGGTCACAACAAAGATGCCAATCCAGCGCTCCCACTTTTTNTCAGCAGTCTGGACCCAGATGTCGCGAAACTCGGCATTGGGTCTATCGGCGATGCCACGGTAGTCGTTGATGAAGCGAGCCTCGTTGCCGGACTTGGCAGCATCTTGAGCAAGATCAAGGTCTCGGTCAAGCGAGATGTCATACTCGGAGTCGGGATCGGTATCTTTGGGGTTGTTGGTGTGCATGAGACCAATGTAGGGTAGGATGAAATTGCCAGGATAGAAGTGCTTCTTGGCAGCTAGGCCGAACTGGCCATTGGCTGGATGCTCGGGGTCATTGAGAGGAACGATACGGACGTCAGGGTTAGGAAACTGCAAGGTATCGGCAGAGAAGCGTGTAAAGGAAGCAGTCGCAGCAGTCGGAGTGTTGAGGATCTTGAGAGCGATGGCGGGTACGGCGGGAGAGATTTTGGGACGGCGCAGGTACTCGATGTTCTCGGGCCAGTCGATGGGCAGTTGCTCTTCTTGTTCTTGTGAATGTTCCTCCTCTTGTTGCGCGACTTCCTCTTCTTGCGGGATTTGTTCTTGTTGCGACATGGTTGTTGGTTTTGCTGAGGAAGGCGCAAAAACTTCTTGTCCGTATCGCGGAAAAGCGCCGCTCCAAGTGCTGCCCCGCTGCTTCCTCGCACGCTGCACCTTCCTTGTTCCAGACGCTCGAGACTTGACTCTGTTGGACCAAGAATGGCAGACGTCTTTTCAACATCGGCTGTCGACGCACACGTCCTAGCACTCCGCCAACAGATTCAGGCTACCGAGGACCAACTCGAACAACTCCGAGAACAACTAGCCCACGCCGAGGAGGCCCAACACCGCGCCCAAGATGCGGGCAAGCTCGAGACAGACTGGCAGCAAGAGATATTGGGCGCCCTGAACAACCCACAACACCAATACTATCAGGATCAACAACCACAACAAAGATTTGGTCTTAGCAATACCGAGTTCAAGCGCTATGGCCGTCAACTCATCCTGCCCCAGGTCGGCCTGCAAGGCCAATTGCGATTGAAGGCTGCTCGAGTCCTCGTCGTTGGTGCTGGAGGTCTGGGTTGTCCTGCTTCTGCATACCTCGCTGGCGCTGGCGTCGGCACTCTGGGTCTGATAGACGGCGATAGTGTAGAAGAGTCAAATCTCCATCGTCAAATCGCACATTCAACCGACCGCGTCAACGTCTTCAAGGTCGATAGTGCAATTACCTTCCTACGCGGCCTGAATCCGAATGTCAACTATATTCCTTATAGAGCTCATCTGACCNCCTCTACTGCTCTGGAAATCTTCGATAACTATGACTTTGTACTTGACTGTACAGATCATCCGACATCACGCTACCTCATCTCAGATGCTTGCGTCTTGTCAGGAAAGCCTCTCATATCAGCTTCTGCTCTTCGTACCGAAGGCCAACTGACCGTCTTGAATAATCCCNCACGAGCTCCTGGTGCACCCGATGGCGGTCCTTGCTACCGTTGCGTCTTCCCACGTCCTCCACCTGCTGAGTCTGTCGTCAGCTGCGGTGAAGGCGGTATCTTGGGTCCTGTAGTCGGCGTCATGGGCATTCTTCAAGCTCTGGAAACTCTAAAACTCATCACTTCCTCTCCGGAAGCAGCAGCACCTCCTCCGTCTCTTCTCCTCTTTTCTGCCTACAGCATACCTCAGTTCAGGAATGTCAAGCTACGCTCGAGACGTGTTGATTGTGATTCATGCTCGACAAACCATACAGTCACAGAGTCGAGTCTAATTTCTGGGTCAATGGACTATGTCGCCTTCTGCGGCGTCACAAACCCTGTCGATATACTACCACCTTCATCCCGCATCAGTGCTGGCGATCTCCTTTCCACTCTCTCATCTGCATCGCCACACGACGACGACGCTCCGATCGTTCTGGACGTTCGCGATCCTACACAGTTCGAGCTATGCAGTCTACCCAACAGCATAAACTTACCCTATCAAGGTCTGCAAACCCGTCTGCGCGAAGACACTCAAATCATCGAAGACCTCACGGGAAGAGACGTCCTGGTCGTCTGCAAACTAGGCAACGACTCACAGCTTGTCGTGCAAATGCTAGAAACTATGAACCCAGACATTAAAAGTCTAAAGGACGTACAAGGCGGCTTCCGCGCATGGAGAAATGAAGTGGACCCCGAATGGCCTGATTACTGAGCCTTTAAACTTAACTCTGCAATATGACACTTTCAAACATGTCTCCCAACCCTTTATCCTTCAACCAAGCCTCTATAGCAGCCATGTCTCCTCTATTCTGTCTAGCTCCGTGTCTTTCTCCCACCAAATCTGTAATCTCTATCATTGTCTCGAACGCCCTGGTGACTTCCGAACCAGTCTCCCTATACCTCTCTGACACCTTCTTCTGATGCGAAGGAATGTCGCCCCAAGATACTGTCTTGATCTCATTCATGTATGCGTCTATGTTTGACGCTGAACCTTCGAGACAAAGTAAGCCCGGCTTCCCTGCCAGAACAAATCCAGTGAGGGAGTAAGAGGGTGCCCAGTCAACCATATGTTGCCGCTTTTCGCGCGTACTCAGCGAAGGGAAGTAAAACCATACGCGCACCAGAGGACCAGTAGAAGCTTTTGTTTCTGTCGGTGTGGCAGCTGTAGGGATTAGGGAGGGGCCTTCATCACGCAGAAAATCCAAAGCGCCAAAGATATCCTCCGGCAGTGTTGCAGACAAAGTTGCCAAACTCGCTTTATCCAGCCAAGTCGGTTGACGCAGAGAAAACGTTATCGGTGGTGCTTCCATAGGTTCCTTTTCTGTAGTTATCAATGGTGCTGTGACGTTGACTTGGATAGAGTGTGTGGAATTCAGGGATACGTGTAGAGCCAGATTAATCTCTGAAGGCGTTGATGTTATGCTTTCACTGCCGTTGTCGCGAATGTTTGTGATGAGAGCCAGATCTGATGCGGAAACGTCGAATTCATTTTCGTCTGGGAACATGGCTAGAAGAAGATCTAGTGTCGATATTTGAGACTCCAAGAGATCTGGTGGGAGAGGGTGGGAAAAAGTCATGATGGATGATTTCCACGATCAGATTCCAGCTGTGTGTCGTTGTGGAGATATAAGATGAAGATTCACTCTCGATAGGTGCGTCCTATTTGAGACTGGTTAGCATGAGTTCCGATATACATGTGATTGTATGACTAAATACCTTGTTGTGCAATAGTTTGCTTGGGTATTCAATAGCTGATTCTTGCGGAGCCACGAAGAGTCGACACCAGATGCAAGTTCGTTCCGATGGCAAAGCCTGGCTTAAGCTCTGGCTTGCAAAAGGTCGTAAGAATATCTCGATACACAGGTCTAGTGAGAGAGTCTCGTCACATCAATCTCTACGAACGATGTCGGACTTGAGAAGAAGTTATGCATTATTATGCATTTTCACAACTCGGTGCGTTCAATGTGGAGAAGCAGTCCGCTCAAGCTCACCTCTCACCTCTGTCACTCTGTCTACCGTCTACCCATCGATACCTTGTAACGACGATACTCTGCAGACCCGAGACGCTGGCTCTTTGCGTATGTAAGACGAGACCTTCATTCAGGCATGAAACGCGAAGGACTCCAGAAGAGAAGTCATGGCAGGGCGCACGCAAGCCCGATATCGCAATAAGCGGTAAATCTTATCAGATTGATCAGACCATTCCTACGATCTTAGATGATCTGATAACTATCTTAAGTACTACCTTTGTCCTCACTCTTCTGGTCTATGGTTACTCTGCTTTCTGTCCTACTCTATACCTTTCCTTACTCTCAATATTTCCATCAATCCCTCAGGAACAATTTCGTGGTCAAAATCATGGCTTCCACAACCATCCCAAGCCCTCTCCTCAGCCTCCCAGCCGAACTTCGTCTCCAAATCTATTCTTACATCCTCGACTCCTCATCTCAGACCTCACATCTCCTCTCCCAACACTGTGGATATAACTCCTGGATCTCTCCTCCTATGTCCCACACTTGTTCTCTTATCCGCAATGAAACACTGCCACTCTACTATACCACGCAAACATTCATCTACGATCTAAGATCTCCTTTGGATGAAGGTGTGCAATGCCTGACTAAAGCACTAGATTGGATGCGAGAGAACGGTGTAACAATGAAGGAGTTACAATTCAAGCATGTCAACAAAGGCATCCTCTCAATGCAGGAACTCAGAAAATGGACAGAGACGTTCATCGAATACGCAGACGTCTTACCCTCCCCAAAAGACATCAACTTTTGTCCTCAAGGCTTACAATACCGTCGATTCGCTGCAAAAGCTGCTGTTGTGTTGAAGTCACTGGTCGGGTTTTCTGTTGGCATCAACAAGAGTATTATAGGCAGTGGAGAAGAAAAAGAGTTGGAGCAGTGGATAGCGGCGTTTTTGGAAAAGACGGAAGAGGGAAGGGATGTACTCAGGGGTGTGAAGGTGGCAGAGGAATTTGTGAGAGGGTTCGGAGCTGCTGCTGGGGGTGAGGTGCAGGGGATTAATGTGCTGAGGTGGGCGTTAATGAGTGGAGGTATGATTGAGGGATTGAAGCATGGTGGGTATGCTTGAGGAGCGTACATGAGAAATTCGGATATCGGACTCAACCTTAGGTGAATAGATTATGGATACCCGAAAGAGAGGACACAAGCATCGAGGAAGACATACTTCTGATTTTGTTTTCAAGTGTCTTTGTGGTCCAGCACATTTGCCTTTCCCTTGCACTTTTCCGCTCAAACACATTCAACTCTCTTGCATAGTCCATCCGGCACATTTGCCTTGCTTGCAATTATAAATGCAAGCCCATCGTCCTTGTTGCCGTAACATCCATACTCCTATACCAATCATCCATTCTCCCGAACCAGACAAAAGGATACCACATTGCTTCTGTGCCGCTCATCGATCGCAATCATCCAAAGAAAGCCTTTCATAGACTTCGTCTCCTTCAAGCCTTGTCCCTGTCTTTCCATTCAAGAGGTAATGGCTAACAAGCTCATCTCTTAGCAGCTCTAGTAGTTCTCTCGAGGTACTCCTTGGTATGAGCAGGGCAACGCTTGCTGACACTCTCGGTAATTTCGGTGAAAGCATTCTTGTCCCAGTTAGGGCAGGTGTGCGTGGGATCCCATTCGACTGCAGTGCTCGCCTTACGAGCAGAGACGCAGAAATCGCAGTGCTTTTGAACGTAGCCGCAAAGCAGGTATGTGGTAATTCTCGCGCGACACATGGTGGATAGTTTGATGGACTTGTTCGGTATTGATGGACTTGTTCGGTATTGATGGACTTGTTCGGTATTGATGGACTTTGTTGGCGTCTGAATGGAAAGATGTAAAAGGCTTGAGATGGTATCAGTCAATGAACTTGATCATCAAAGTCGATTGGATACTTCACACTTTGCTGAAAGGAAAAATAGACCTTGCTTGGATGAAGAAGAATTGGGAATACAAGAATGTTGTTTGAGCTGTGATGATTCAATTCTGATCTTTTGTTGATGAAGGATATTGTTTTGGTCGAGGAGCAAAGGTGTTTGGCAAAACAGTTAAACACGGAATCTCCTCCATCGTGCCTTCATGTTCCTGCATTTGTTGTGTGCGCGTGGCACCGCACGTGGCATCGTTGTACCATGCGTTGTGGAAGGTGCGACTGGTATGACTTCCTGTCTTACTGAGGTGGCAGTTGGCATATTGCTGATGGACGAGACATGCGGAAGCACGTGTTTGGCCGCATGTCAGTCCTGGGGCATGCGCATGTCGCTATGGACAGTCTCTACCAGGATGAATTGACAACAAGTCGGTTCTTGATAGACAGAAGAATGGTGGAGGTGGTACGTGAGGAGTACAGCCAATGCATCGTTGAACCGAGAATGCTACTTAGGTGAATTATTTGGCTGGCCTTGTGCGCTCCCACATTTCATATATGGTCTGGAAGACACTGGTAGCCAGTTTGAGTGTGTCCTCGTCGACATTGCTTCCACCAAAGCGACGTTGGAATCTGTCAGGATGCCAGTTGACACTCTCGTCTTTCAGAGTCTTGGCTCGAACCTCTTCAGAATCCAGTGGAGCATTAGAGAAGAAGTCTTCAACATTCTGTTTGGCGACGTCTCTGGCAGCAAGACTTTGGACAGGCCAAGGGATTGCTTTGAGGAGTTCGTCACCCTGAAGTTGTGCGGAGTTGGCTTTGAGGTCTTGCCATCTTTGTTGATAAGACGACCAGGCTTGTTGCCATTTCTTGACTTCCTTGCGCTTGGCACCTCTAGCAAGAGCGGCATCAACATCGGACGTGAAGCTCTTGTCGCGTGGTGCACTTCGAGTGTCTGGCTTTGGGCGACGGGTGCGTGTAGATCTCTTCTCGTAGCCCTTCTCTTCATTACCGACCCATTCAAAGTCTTCTTCATACTCGTCATCCTCACTGTCGTGTCGTCTGCGCCTCGATCTTGCATTTTGAGCCTCCTCTTCACGCTCAGCACGCGCTTGACGTTCCCTGAGCAGCTCTGGATTCTTCTTTTCCCACATCTTGGCTTTGACGTATTCGACGTATTGGTCATCGGTCATCTGCTCGAGGTGTCCTTGGTCGTCTTTGAGGGTCAGACGAGGATATGAATGGATAGACTCTCCGTAGATGCCTTCCCAGTATGCCGCGCCCTCGTCGTCTGCCATAGCGTCGAACAGCGACTCTCGGAAAGCAACATCGGGGTCTACAGGCTGGGCAGCATTGGGTTCGGGCTGAGACGAGGCTGAAATGGACGGGTCCAGATACTCAGAGGTGCACGGTCGAGAGAAGGGGTGAGCGGTATAGCCTTGGACATTGGCGTCGTCGTGTTCATCGGTGCGTCTCTCGATGTGTCTGTGTCTGTGCCTGTGTGATGAATGCTTGCTCTTGCGCCTGTCACTACCACCACTCTTGCCGTCCTTGAAGCGGAAGCGCAGAGAAGGTGGTGATCTAGATCTGCGTCTCTCACTGCCATTGTGTCTGCGTGTGTCCCTCTCCTCGCGCATGCGTGTTGAACGGTGGCGCGTCATACGGTCATATTCGTCCAGGATGCGCTCGTGCTCGCGCTGCGTTTGCTCGTGCGACTGCCGTGCATAGTCATGATCGCGTATCTGATCTTTGATCTGGTTGATGCTGTCTTGGATGCTAGGCATCTTTGACGTCTGATTTGACCGGACTCGGAACCTCAGACAAGTTCGAGATGTGACGCCAAGTCAGAGATGCAGAGACGCCTCAAGTCGAGGGCAACAGATCAGTCAACCACGAGCCAATCCACCAAAAAGAACCAAGGCTTAGTATTACGCATCGTCAAAATTACACAGTATACCAAGTACTTTGACTCCTCCGGAATTCTTCACTAAGACGGCACGAGGTTTTGATCCAACGTTTGGACAAACCAAGAAACCCTGTGACCACTGTTTTGTCATTTTTGGTTAAACTCGTCAATCACAGCGACTGCTTTGGTCAACCAACTCAGTATCATGTGAAAGCAACCACAGTCCATGTCAGATCTTCGAACACTTCACAATATGATATTGAACGGAGAAGAAAGAGGCAGGCAAAATATTGAAGAAATTATTATTCATTCAGAAAGGTTCGTTATACTACATTAAGAGTAATCGTTCGTGACTGTAATCATGATCAAGGGGTATCTGTGTGATGTGTTCCAGAAGTTTACTTCATGAAACCCTTCTTGCCGTCACCGTCAGAGTCCTTGAGGGGGTTGAGCTTGTCCAAAAGGGAAGCCTTCTTGTGCTCAGTGGTACCGGTGGTGTTGTGGCCGGTGGCGTGCTCGCCCTCACGGACCTCGTCTCTGACGCGCTCGCCAGTGGTCTCGTGCTGACCAGTGTGAGAGCCAGTCAGGCCTGAGCCGGTCGAGCCGTGGTGGCCGGTGGAAGTGCCAGTAAGACCACGCTCGCCCTCGCGGACATCCTCTCTGAGGCGGTCACCGGTGGTGCCAGTCTGGCCGTAACCAGTGGTGTTTGAGCCGGTAAGACCGGTGCCGGTGTGAGAGCCAGTAAGGCCACGCTCGCCCTCACGGACGTCCTCTCTGAGACGCTCGCCGGTGGAGCCAGTCTGGCCGAAGCCAGTCTGGCCGTAGCCAGTGGTGTTTGAGCCGGTAAGACCGGTGCCAGTGTGCGAACCGGTAAGGCCGGTACCAGTGTGCGAGCCAGTAAGACCCGAGCCGGTGTGAGAGCCGGTGAGGCCACGCTCACCCTCACGGACGTCCTCTCTGAGACGCTCGCCGGTGGAGCCAGTCTGGCCGAAGCCAGTCTGGCCGTAGCCAGTGGTGTTTGAGCCGGTAAGACCGGTACCAGTGTGCGAGCCGGTCAAGCCAGTGCCGGTGTGCGAGCCGGTCAGACCAGAGGCACCGCCAGCGTAGCCGGGAATGCCAGTGTCTCTACCGCTGGCAGGGTCGAGGAGTTCACCAGTGCGGGTGTTGTGCTGGTGGCTGAAGTCGTGGGCGTGGTGGGCAGTGCCGTGGTGGAGCTGGTGACGCTCCTGGGGGTCGGAGCCGCTGAAGCCAGAGGACTGGAGGTTGCCTCCGTCGTAGGGGCACCACCAACACCGGCGCCTCTAACACCAGAGATGGGCTCAATGCCAGACTGAGGAAGACCGCCGGTCAAACCCGAGCCAGTCGAGCCGTGGTGGTGAGTGTGAGAGTGGTCGTGGTGGTGACCGGAACCAGTCAGGCCGGAACCGGTGTTACCGGTAAGACCGCTGCCGTAGTTGTCGCCGCGGTTGGTCTCTTGCTGAACGCCGGCACGGGTGAGGTGGTCTCAACACCGTCGTGGCCAGTGCGGCCGCCGGGGATGTCTGATGCTTGTTGACGCTTCTGACGGTCCATGTTCTCGACGCTGCCACCGTTGAAGGCCTGCTCAGCAGTGTTGTCTGATCTGGGGTTGTTGTTGTTGCTGTGCTCGGCGGCAGTGGCACCGTGCTCAATGCCCTTGGCCTCGTTGGACCCAAGCTTGACTTCGTGACCACCAGAGCCGGGCTCGTTGCCGACGGGGTGGGCCTCACGGCGAGGGTCATGCTCGCCAAGGTCACCGGGGAGATGGGCTGGAGATGTGTTAGCTATGAATTGGGTTGAGATGTGAAGAGCTTGAGAGCTCTAAGCTTGACGTACCAGGGACGTTCGACATGATGTGTGGTTGGTATGGGGGTATAAGTTGGATAGGGGTATAAGGTGAAAGGTTGGTTGGGTATCAAAGATGAGAGTTGTTCACAGAAGATGGTATGGTATAAGAAAGTCTCTGTTGGAGGGAGTTAGACGAGGTATTTAAGCACGCGTGGTGGTGAGCCACAGGTCGGACGGTACCAAGTATGATGTATCTACCCCACCAACGCACGTCATCTTGAAGGAGCTGCCAAACACCAAACAGGCTGCCCCGCGTCCGGGATTTTTCACCATCATGGGCTGCACTTTCATCATCCATAGTGATTTGTCCTTCTCTACCCTTCCATGAACGCTTCCTCGTTTCTCTTGCAGTGACAGTCTTCTCTGTCCAGGTTGCCATCAAAAACGTGTAAATTCCTCCCATGTAGACCTGCGAAACTGGGCACGCAAGTTCCAAACGCAGAAATAGATAGACAGAGCCTCGTCAGAGCAAGCTTCGGTTACGAGAGTCTGGACTTTTGGCTTTCCAGCTTCTCATCCTTCCGTGTCATATTTCTGCCCTGCTTGCGCATAATCGACGTCAATTCTTTCTTTCTAGCTCCATTCATGTCTGCCACGCAAGCCTCATTTCGTTTGGCTCAGCCACTTTGTCGTCCTGCCAGTCGATCGTGTCAAGCCACTTCGTCCTGCAGGAGGTTGGACCTGTCATCCCTCTGCCGACCAAACGGCCATGAACCTTGGTCAATCACGAAACTCACATGACCCGGAAGCATCATGCTTAAAAACATGGCCAAGATTATCTTGGCTGGTCGTGTTCCAGTATATTAAAGAATGCAGGGCAGCTTTTGACGAGTCTGGTCATTGTAGTCGACATGTCTGCAACAGGAACAACAACTGGATGCAGCGGTCGCTCAAAAATACCAACAGTCAAGAAAAAATAGGCAAACTTCTAGGCCGTTCACAGACATTAGAAAGATAACAACAAAGGAAATACCAAAGCCATGTCGCGGAATCATCGGCCAGCCAGACGTTCCATTGCTTGACCTTGGACCAGTCCAACCAAGCAAGCATGTATCATTGGTGTCTCGTTGCTTTCGTAGCTGATTGACACCTCTACCGTTCGAACGACATTTGACATGTCCTGTTGTGCCAAAAAGCCACTGTCGTTTGCTGGACTAGCCAGAGCAACCACTCCTACGCCAGCTCCTGTCTTGTTCTCTTCGTCTCCTGAGGTATGCAAGCTGCGAAGCGAGACCGTGTCATCCCAAGGCTCTTTTATCTTGCGACTGGTTGAGAATAGTCTATTCGCTTGTTGGCGGGCCCCCTGGGCAAGTGGTCGTAAGAGAGGTAGGGATGTGACAGTGAGCACGACGTTGAGTTCGACCGAGACCCATGTAACGAATGGTGTAAGTTCGTCTGGTCATTTCGTCAGTATGTTGTCGGAGGATGTCGTTCTTGTAAACTTACAGGTGTAGTCGCCAACGTCACTAAGTGTGTGCGCAGCGACTGTCCTTACAATGGCTGCAATCATGGCACTGTGTTCGAATTTCGTCAGTCCCAAAATCTATGCAATTGAATGGATGTCTTACATGATACTCAGACAGAGTAAAGAAGCAACACCAACTTTGTTACTTGTCGCCAATTTGGTATGCATAATCAACAGAGCAGGTTGCACGGTCAAAAAGAGGTCGGTCAGGGTGTTGACGGCTNNGTTTTCCTGTCAGCATATATCGTCCAAGATAGCTCATCTCGAGCAATACTGACCACCAGCAAAGTAAGCATAGTTTGTCTGGATGTCTATGTTCAAGCAGTAGTTGAAGTAATTTCCGAGATGCAGGAGAAACATGTCTTCGAGATGAGTTCCACAGGTCGCCAGAAGAAGGACAGATGCCAAAACATTGACAACTATTTGCAAAACAACGAAAGTCCAGATGGGCCATTTCTTGGTCAGAGGATCGGTTTTGGCAACACAGAGAAGAAATGCACAAAAACTGAGGCGGCCAAACATAGGACAGATGTAGCTCCACACCAGAGAGATGAATCCGTATTTGAGAGCAAGATATCTCTTGTCGGGCTCCAGATAGAAGACATGACGGCCCAGACCATTGTAGAATGAGATTTGTAGAAAGATAGCATGAACCCAAGCAAGTAACTAACAGTAAGGTTATTACAGTGAGTCAAAGTCGAGAGGTGTGATCCAGCTTACCAAGGCGAAAGCCATGAGTCCATCATCAAGATAGAGTCGGCGAGTTGTCCGGAACTTGATTGCCAATCTCGTGGTGACCACGATTGTGGACATCGCAAGCAAGATCCATACTATCTTGATCACCGGAGCAGATTGATCGATATCCGGCGTATCATCCCGTGCGAGAGAGAAGAGACGATCAAGCAAAGCTGCTTGTTGTGTGTCGTTCAACGTCACGATCAACGATCTCAGTTCCCCCACACCTTCGTACATGTTGACACTAGGTTGCCCACGACAAGAGTGAACTGGGAGTTCCGCCCTTATATCAACTAGAAAGAAGGGAGAACGCCTGTTTTCATGCACAAAGACATCAATACCTATCTCCACGTGCCTCGGTGGAGCGCACTAACCAATGGATCGACGGCGAGAAGCGAAAGTGGAAGGTTCATGCTCAAGCAATCGGAAGCTCGTAGCGCCTCTTGCTCTGTTCCAGCAAAATCTTCACTCCGAGCGGCAAGCAATAGCAGCGTTGAGATGACTCGCGACAGTGCACTATGAATCGTGGAGGCACCAGCCGTGGTAGCGTTGAGGATACATTAACGTACATTAACGATCTAGCGGCACCGAGATCCAAAAGATTGTGGCTTCGATTTGGCTGGGCGCAGTCTTTTCCGGGCATTAGTGAAACAAGCACCCACTCACAGTGTTGGCAGTATCAGAGTCTTATAGTTGCTTGTTGGTGAAACTGCATCCTCCTTGCTGAAAAGAGTTCTTCGGTGGTAAACATGAGCTCGGCCGGTGTCATTGCTTGTTGGACCCTGAGATTGGTCTGTCTGCATGTCACTCTGTGCAAGGTGTGACCAAGAAGCCATGTCGAGTTTGGTCTGCAGCTGTCTGCTTCTAATACATTAGTGGGTTCCATATCACCTCGTGGTGTGGTAATGAATATATCGTTTGTCGATGATAGGGTACAGAAGATGCAGGAAGTCGCAAAAGCCGAGCCGCGCTGGCCGCCTGACTGTGGTTTGCGGAGGGCACCGTCGCAGAGGGAGATGTCCCGAAAATCTTCAGTTGACACGACCTTCACGACTCGCCCCAAGTGATAACAGAGCGATGGAAGGTTCGTCCATCGCGCCATCAAAGAGAATCGCCATTTGGAATCGCCTGGTCGAGATGGTGAGGAAACGAAAGTGGACATGCCGCGCACACCAAAAGCGCAACGCATGTTTCACTCTCGTACATACTACAGCTTCTCTCCCCGTCCGTTCTCGCCCGGCCGGCAGTCACGACTCACGCTCAACGACAAGCAGGGAAACTCGATTCGTGGTGATGGATGCTGCAGCCATCATGATTCTTGTGCTCTTCCTAGATTCTGCTCTTTCGAACACCTGCAGGCCACACATAATCAAACGTGATGGCTGCATGAACCTTGAAACAACAAACCTGGTATCCGACGTTGATCCTTCAAGAATCGCATTGAATGATATCCAGGTTGACATGCGGTATGCTACATCAAGGCTGGAGGTTAATATAGTAGGGCACACGCAACATCCGACAAAGCCCTACTCGGCACATAGATGACGCGGTAGACCTGATCATGGGGAAAATTATATTATAGTAACTTATATTGACTTCATCTAACTATAAGATATTAAGATACCAACTATCACCCGTGGCCATGGGCTTTCACCTGTCCAGCAGCTGAGAACATGTAGCCACATACGCCGTTGCTTAGGGCATAGGTTCCCAGAGACTGCTTGGGTGCGGCAAGAGTGTACTGCAGGGAATTTGCGGACTGGGCCGGGCAAGTGTCGGCGTAGTAGATAATGCAGCGACCGCCGAGAGGGAGCAAGGCTTGGAAGGCAGAGCCAACGCAGTTGCTGGTTTGCTGACATTGCTCGCAGCATTGCTGGGCAGATCCTGCAACAGTGGTCTTTGACTTTGCTTTGCCAGAAGGAGGAGCCAATGCGTTAATCACGTTGTTTGTTTGGCATGCAGCATACGCCTTAACGGTAGATGTGACCTGAGCAGTCACAAACTTGTTCGAATAAACGTTGTAGCCCTTGGTCACAGTCGTGTAGGAGGTAGTGTAGACAGTCTTTCCATGACCGAACTTTGGCTGGACCATGGCGGTGATTGTTGCGCTGACAGTAGCAGTCACTGTAGCTTGAGCAAGCGTGCTGGTTTGTGTGGTGCCAGTGGTGGTGGTGTCAACAGTCTTTTGAACAAGGACACTCTTCAAGCAGTGAACGGCATGGGCAAACTGCTTGAGGTTCTTGAGGTTTCTTGTGTCCAGGTTGGCAGAACCATCAGTGCCAGCAGAAGCACCTGATCCATCATTGCCAGAAGCCGAAGCAGTCATGTTGAATCTGGCAGCAGCAGTGCCGGAAGCAGCAGCAGGCATAGAGCTTGACTGCAAAGCACTGGACTTTGATGTAGAAGCTGACGAGCTGAGCGATTGTCCATTGGGGTACGCTGAGTTTGTTGTATTGGAGATGGGTAGGAAGTCCGAAGGAGCTGGCACCGTGGTGTACACGCTAGAAACTTCTGTTTGCGTGTAGGTGTTTACAATAGTCGAGTTTGGAACAAACTCGGTGTGCGTCAAGTGAACGACGACGGTAGATACAGCAGTATCGGTTTCTTGAAAGGTATGAGTCCAGGTCTTGGTGAAAGGTCGGGGAGTAACAAGATGTTGAGGGTGGAATGTATGCTTGACGAGGATATCAGGCTGTTGAACAGTCGTAGTAGACACTGATGTCGACACTGTCTTGACAGAAGCAGTGCCACTTTGAGTCACACATGATTCCAAGGCACTCCAGTTGACAGCACCAAGTACAAGAGAGAAGAGAGGGAAAGCAGTGATAGTAGTGGACCGCATTGTGAAGATTAAAAAGATTAGAAGAGATGAGTACAGCAAAAGAAAGTACAGGAGGGAATGGTCTTTATACCTGACAGGCAGTTGAAGGCCACACAAGCACGTAGCTCTCTGCTGTGTGATAGTAGTTATCTGGTGGCATGGCCAGCGGCGGATAGCATCAATCCCAATGCGTACTGACTATCAAGATCGAGATGGGGTTGTCTTACTTTCAATCTCTGTGAGAACCTGGAGAATGAGGATCTAGAGTTTTGCAAAAAGTAGTCGATAGAAAGACGTTGTAACTGCCGATGCGTTGAGTGCCGAAATATTGTGGCACGGCACAGGCGTCAGAGAAACTCTGGTCCTCTTGAATACTCTCATAGAGACTTGCTAGTGATTCAATGACCTCAAGGCGTTCGCAGGTCAAGATGTTCTCGTTGGAAGTGTCAAATGGTTGTTAGAGTTCTGTTCAGAATCCAAGCGCACATGTTTTGATGACGATTGAAAACAAGCATTGCCGTTGACGGCCACAAAGCTTAGAATCGATAACCACGTTCGCTCGACATCTGATCGTGACAAAATCTGTCAGCGCGTTGGTATTCGAGTTGCAACAGGAAGCTTTTCGAATGGAGGGCAAAGAGGTGCACAAAAGTAAGTTAAGATGATCATTTGGCATGTCCAGTCCTGGAGTAGGACCTAACCGCTTTCCTTCGCTCGTCAGTGGAAAAGAAAATGGGTATCATGTGTAAGCATCAAGTAACCGTCTCCCCACGAAGAGCCTCAAAACGCCAACCCCAACCATGTATAATGCACTGCTCAGGGAACGCCACTCGTCTTGCGGGAGTGTGTTCCTGCCATTGTTCGTTGCACGCCGCTCATTCTTCTGTCGCTGTTGTCTGGGGTTGCGTTCATAGCATCCAAGCCATTCATGAGATTGTTGTTGTATTCGTCAGGTGGAGGGCCGGTGCGGAAGAGACCAAGCCCCTTTCCGCCCAGCGCGCTGCTCATCATCTCCCTGAGACGTACGTATTGGTATTTGCGTTTGAGGGGAACGGGCTGAGCCTGCCAGAGTGGGCGTGGCTGTGAACGAGCGATGGCGGCAAGGACAAGGTCTTTTTCTTCGTCTGAGTCGATGGGACCGGCATGGGCGAATTCGTCGTCTTGGAATGGTTGCTGGGCTTCGAGGGCTTGTNNTCTTGGGTGAGAGTTAGCGCATGTTGTGGTGGGAGATAGACATGACGAGAGAGACGTACTCTGCAGCTTAGCCTGGTTCTTGCGCTGGTACTCGGCCAGCAGCTTGTCGTAAGGAGCGCTTCTTCCTGGCACGGCGCGCTTGGCACCCATGCTGTGGCTCTTGCATGTCAGACTGCGAGCGCACTGAGCGCCGTTGGCGAGAGGAACACCACACTGCTTCTCGACATCGACAGGAGCCTTTGGGCGAGGAGCCTTGGTCTTTGGCTCGTCCTTCTTTTTCTTCTTCTTTGCGCCTTCGGTTGTGTCCTCGGCCTTGCGCTTCTTGCCCGAGGTGCCGTCGGTCTTGCCGGCCGTCTTGGAAGCCATGGTGATGTCCTCGTCTTCGGATTCACTGTCGGCGTTTTCTCGTTCAGCTCTACGCGCGGCGGCGTCGCGGGCGTCCTTGGCTTCCTTCTTCTTGCGCTGCTTTTCTTGCTTCTTCTGGATACACTCCTCGATATGTGCCTTGGCTTTGTGTCGGAGTACCGGGCGTTTGCAGTGGTTGCAACGCACAATGTCAGCAACATCCTGCATCGGATGGCCTGTAACGAAGGCTCTGGCGACATCCATAGGAACGCGATTGACAACTCCGCTCGTGTCTCTGTCTATGCCTNNGATGCGACGCAGCGTCAGCTTGAGTACACAGAGCGCTGCCTGGAGCGACTCACCTCCTACGACGTCCGAGTCCCAGTTGCCCGGTTTCGACGCCTTGGGCAACCTCTTGACGACCTCATCCTTCAGCTTGAGTGACTGCTTTTTGGCATCGGAGCCTAGAGCGTCGTCGACACGAGAGCGCGACGCAAACTTGAACGTCTTTGGCTTGCCTGGGGCCGGTGCTTGACGAGAGAGTTAGCTGTCGGCCGCATCGTGCGCTGTGTGCCATGGGCGCTCACCCTTGCGACCCGTGCCATTTGGCGCCATACTGCTAACCACAGAAGTTCCTCGGCTCTTTCAAACCATCGGGCGCTGTCATACACCAACTGCCTGACTGTGCACGATACAGCAATATGACGAGACCGATTACGCCAAGATACGTCGTCAAGGGAGTCTCCGCCTCCGCGTTCGGGGAAGGGTTAGTTTGAGGCCTGCCGACTTGCCGACATCCTGCCGATCTGAAAACAGCTTCGTGGCTATAGGTATCACCCTGTCAGCATACTCATCCTCCCTATACATGTCCTAGGAAGAACGACCTATTGCTGAGCAACATGGTTTCACACTCTCTCGACGTCGGAGCAGCTCATGATTGCTTTTTATCTCATGATTTGGTTGTCATTGCCTGTTATCTACAGATATCGATTCTGGCGTGAAGCCTACACAGATTGCATCACACAACCACCCATCTGCACTCTTCACTCTTCACTCTTCACTCATAACACATTTGGAAGAAAGACGATGATTACTGTCTACTGAGTCGTCCCAGATTCTTCAAACTTCCCGCTTCTCCTGTCCCAGATCTTCGCTTAACCAGTTTCCTCCTTGCGCCTGGAATGTTGGTGCTTTGAGATGGGCTTGGGAGCTCTCCACCATAGTCTTGACAGCAGGTCCGAGATCCAGTTTTAGCACCTCGACAACAAGTACTCTCAGTCCGCACATTGCCACGTAGAAGGCGATGCACTTGATCAGGGTTGCTATTGCATGTACCAGGACTGGCACTTCTGAGAGGACCCGAGCGTCATCTGCGACCGCCTGCGAACTATGTGAGCACTTTCGAATGAGAAGATGACTCCAACTTACCATGGTGCGATTATTGGTGAAGTTGAGAGTTGATTGATGAGATATGAACAATGGCAACAGCGATGCAAAGAGTATGAGGTATAGTATCTCGAAGTTGATCTTCGGTCTCGGTTGCCTTCCGCGGGCGATCGACTCAACTGCTGAGTCGGAGTCGGAGTCCCAGTGTTGTTATGTACTACAGCAATTACTATTGATTTTGGTGTAAATAGAAATTACTACGTTACTATAGTGCGGTCTTTCTCACCAAACGATTAGTAATTACTATACGACATAACAACACTACTGCTGACTGACATGCGAACTGCACTCCTCACCATCCCTTCACCTCCTCTTCCGATCCTGTACGCGAAGAATCTGTTCCATATGCGTGTGAGTTTGACGGGGTTGCGCTATTGTTCGTGTTTTTGTGGGCACCCCCGCCTCGAGAATCGTAGGTTAACAGTCTGCCCATAGCGGTGATTACCATCTTCGCTGTGAATGCAAACAGACACATGGAGATGCATCTGATCAAGCCGGCCAACGCGTGCAACAGATCGGCTATCCCTCCCTGTACACGGGCATCGTCTGCAAGCGCCTATTGAGTGGGTCAACATTCGCGTACTCTCGAGCATCTTCGACGCTCACTCACCATGGTAATATCGCGAGACAAGATTGATGAGATACCGAAACAGCAATGGAAATACTATACGAGTTGGAGGTTCCAAAGATAATGCGTGTTGTTGTGATAGAGTCGAAGAAACAATAACGCCATCACAAGATGAAAAGTCGTAATTCGTTAGACCAAGCGTTCACCAAGCCTTCTTGCCCTGCCCAGCGGCCTCAACACCACGAGCAATATTGTTGGTTCCATCCTCGACACCGTTTCCGAGCGAGGCCAAGGCATCGCCGAGTGGCTTTCCAGCGTTGCCTGTGACTCCAGTTACAGTGTTGCCAACTTGTAGAAACCATTAGCGCAAGCCTATGTAAGAACATACACCATTAACTCACTTCCTCGAGTAGCAGCACCAGTGACACCACCAACAGTGCCCAAGAGACCACCGACACCATTGCCGATGGTCGAGGTGACTGCAGTCACTCCTCCGGCGACTCCAGACTTCTTGTCTTCTCCGATAGGCATTGCGATGGATAAGCTGCCGAGTTGTTATTAGAACATGGCACCGTCAGGCAGAATCTTCTAAACATACTTTTCTGCAGGTGATTTGAATGAGTTTGAAAATGCTCACGAAACAGCAGCCATTGTTTGCGCTGGATTTATATCCCTACCATCGACACGGGTGGTTGGTGAGCTCCTAGCCATGACGTCGATGGGCAGGTGGCTCATCCTGCATGTGATACCACTCATGGGAGACAGATGGATGTAGACATGTTAAACCAAAAGGTAGACTGTACATGAGAAGATACGAGTCCATACATCGTATCATCTCTAACTAAACATGTCAGGTTAATCGGTATAGCCGTTGCACAAAAGAGTTCGGGGGCCCATAGCAGTGACGTATGCAAATCTATGGAGTTATCGGCGAATAGCTCAAGATGACTCTTTGATCATTCAACACAACAGCAACATGGCAACGACAGCGACGACGACACTGAGAAGACTTGCTAGGCCTTCGGTGCTCCCACATTGGTGCAGACCGACCTGCTCAGCACAATCGTCGCGATCTCTGATCACGTCCAGACCAGGCGCGAAACACCCAGACTTTGCCTTTGCATTTGAGTATGTCGCATAGTGCGTTTCCATCTCAGATTTGTCGCTAAGATCCGATGCAGTANTTGATGGCGTACTCCTCCGTTCGTCAGATCCTCTGCCTCGAGCCCACAAAGCGCTATCGCTGCTCCAAACCGAACGCATTCCCTTCATCCTCCTGACCAATGGTGGCGGCAAGCACGAATCGGAAAGAGTCGACGAGCTCAGCCAGAAGCTAGACATCGAACTAGATACTTCGATGTTTGTGCAGAGCCACACCNCCTTTGCCGACATGAAGGAGCTCCACGACAAGACGGTGCTCGTAGTAGGAGGCGACCACGACAAGTGCCAGCTCGTCGCCCAGAAATACGGCTTCAAGGCCGTCGTAACCCCTGGCGACATCGTCACCGCATACCCCGACATCTGGCCCTTCACCAAGATCTTCGCCGAGTACTACCAGAAGTTCGCCAAACCCCTACCCGCTCCAATCGATGCCGAGAACCCGGACAAGTCCCTGAAGATCGATGCAGTCTTTGTATACAATGATCCTCGCGATTGGGGCTTGGATACGACCATCATAACAGATCTGTTACTGTCAAGAGAGGGAATCATGGGCACCCTGTCGAGCAAGAACGGAGACAAGACACTTCCGAACAACGGCTACCAACAAGACAACCAGCCCAAACTCTACTTCTCCAACCCGGACTTATGGTGGGCTGCGAAATACCACCTTCCGCGAATAGGCCAGGGTGGTTTCAGAGAGGGTCTCGAGGGTGTTTGGGCAGCCATCACTGGAGGCCAGAACGCTGGTGTACAACTGCAAAAGAAGGTCATTGGCAAGCCTTACCACGAGACATATGAGTTCGCCGAGAAGAGATTGAGAGCACACAGAAACGACCTGTACACTGGCGAGTCGATAGAGCCTCTGCGTAAGGTCTACATGGTGGGCGACAACNCCAGGTAAGCTGAGCTACATCTCTACGGTTGAAATCAATTGCTAACCTCGAAAACAGAGTCAGATATCGCAGGCGGGAACTCGTACAAGAGTGCCTTCGGAAGCAAGTGGTCATCCATCCTTCTCCGTACAGGCGTGTATGCTGGAGGAGAGCCCGCTCATAAACCAACCGTCATCGTAGACGACGTGTACGATGCCGTGCAATGGGCCATCGAAGACGCGAAGAATTGAAAAAAGTCACGGTAGACTACGAAAACTTGCTCTCTTCCCCATAGATAGTATGTGTTGATAATCATTAGAGTATAGAACATCTCACTCGCAGCACAACGGACGCTTCAGCCATCTATCTCCTGGGTATCTCAGTCTCGCTTATCATCAAATCATAATTCGTCTCCATACACATCGTGTTCACTCCTCGCTATCAGCACAGCGATACCATCTTCCTCCGGCCTCATTCAGAAGAAGTAATCCTCAACCGTGGCGGCGAAACCTTCAACTGCGGCGAAGGCACCTGAGAAGGCGGCGCAGTATCCACATCACTTTGCGGCGGCAACGTACCACTACTCGGAGGAGCCCACCCNTTGTCCAACACTTTGCCCGTATAAGAAGGACGTCGATCTGCCCCCGGTCTCGCCGACAAAGCACCCCTAAACTCAACGTAAGGGTAGTCGTCCACGCCCAACATCACAGGACCCGGGAAACACTGTGGTGGCGCATGTGAGCGCGATCTCTGCATCCCTGGCACCGCAATGGGCATTTCTCTGGCTCCCCTCTCTAGCTTTGTATGTGTAGTGGGAGACGCCGCTCGAGAAGATTGTGCCAAAGGAATATGTGTATCCGGCAATCTGACCAAAGGATCAAATCTCCCACTCAAAAACGCAGAATACTCATTCGCATTGCCTGGCAACCTGTTCATCTCGCTCGTCCAGTTGTCGGGTACCCTCAACATTTGAGTCCCCGAAGCCGTGCGCGAGAAGCTCGGTCTTCCTGTCTTGACTCTGTGCCTGTCATCCCCATCGGCCACAGAAACTAGAGTAGGGTATGCAGAAGATTTGGCGAGGAGGGCTTCGTTTGCTTTTCTGAGGGCGTTGGATTCGTCGACGCGGATGCACGAGGGACAGCGCAGGGATGTGTGGATGGGGATGGGCGAGCGGTATGCCCAGGCGAAAGCGTAGCCATCGCAGGCTTTGTTGCGAAAGCGTGCTTTGTGGCAGGGGCGAGGGTCTTGGATGTGGGTGCAGCCGCAGGTCCAGATGAGAATGCCTTTTTCACACATCGCTGGTGCTAGTGTTAATGTGTTGTCCTCGAGATTGTCTTCAAAGACGACTATAGGTGTAGAAGCGGTTTGTGTGTCTAAGCAGTCTGTTTGCGTTTGTCGATGTGTTTGTTCTGGAAACCGTATACCCATGTACGAAGAAGTAGGATTTATACATGGTGAGCTGCAACTTCTCCCTTCAAGTCCAGCAGTANNTTGCTGTGCAGCATCATTTGTTACACCTGAAGCCTGGACATGACCTGTCCGATTGGTGCCTTATATAATCAAACAACCAGCCAGCGTCAAGGATTCGAGTTTTGCAAATGTTGGTTATGTCAAAGTGTGGCGAACTGCTGACCAGATAGCTATATCAAGGATATCAAAGTAGAGAGGCAAGAAAGCAAAAAGAAACAACTCTGCTGACAACGAGGTGGAAGAGCATCGACTTACATGGTCGGTCGCACATAAAGACCATGTGCCTTTGCCCTCAACAACAAACACTCATCATCATGCTCGTTTGACCAACCCCTACGCACCCTTACTTGTCACAAACAATGCATATTTATAGGTCCTTTTTCTGTCAGGGAGCAGGCCTTTCGTTTGTCCGACATCGATTCACGAACCACAAACCTTACTTTCAGGGTCGATTGCTTCCGCTACCCGCCGCCATGTCTTGATCGTTGTACAGGACCGCACTGCCAGGTCGTTTGTTAGAACGATGCAGTCGTGGAAGAGGCGTCCGAGGTAAACCTGTCACATCACGGGGACCGACTTTGCAGGACTTGTTACCTGTATTTCATCACAACAAAGTCGATTTTGCGCTTCTCCCTAAAAAGTGAACAGGTCTTTGGTGGAAACATGCGTGCGCTGATTGGTCAAGTAGCCGTGATTATCTGGTTGGTCAGTCGAGAATTTGAGAGGTTACATTGTTTCCACGCTCTCAGATGCAAAAAGAAAAGATTGATGCTGAGGTACTTTTGATTGTTGCCCTTTCTATAATATTCCAGGAGTAATGTTTTCTCATCTCTGTGTTTCTTAATCCTGCGGCCTGCGCAGAGGATGAGCTTCTGTGTTCAAAACCCAGGAGTCTAGGTTCACGAGGTCTGGTTCGCTAAAGACGAGATAGAAGTACTTGAGTGTCTCTCCTGTCCAGAAGCTTTCCATAGTATCGGTGAGTTGTGATTGTGCGTCCCGCACGTCTTGGACGACGGCATACGCGATATCCGTTCTTGCGTGCGAATCAATGGCCTGGAACATCTGCCATGCCTTGTCTTGCCACGTCTTATCGCCAGTGATGCGATACATGTAAAACACAGATTCGATGGCTTCCGGGCGGAGGTAGTAGCGAGAGTCGACCACCTTGGCGAAACCGAGCGGAAGTCCTCCTTTCTCGATAATCTTTTGTGCTTGTTCTTTGAGTGTGGTACTCGTGCCGACGACTCGATGGACAGCCATTACAAGACCTTTGTACCACCTCTCTTCGGACCATTTGCAGTCCTCATCATCGGTACAAGGGATGGCCTCGAAGATTTCAGGCATCATTCCACTCGGCATTTGCTGGTATGCCCACACGCACCCATCTGTCAACTGTTGTGCTGTACGAAGATCTTCTGGTGTGTTGAAGATTTTGGCACCCAGAGCAACCATACCTCCGACGAAGCAAGCCAAGTGCTGGCCTTCGTTCTTTCGGTCATAACCTGCACCAACCTGTCTAACAGAACCGGAGATGAGGAGGTCCAGGTTTTCGGGATTTAGGGGTCTGTAAAACAGATGCTCCTTTGCCACAGCCATACTCTGCTCATACATGGTCTGGGTCTGCTTGTCTCTGCCGTTGAGCAAAAGATATTGCNNTGTGATCATTAGTAACTGTGTTACGAAATTACAGGAGAACGAACGAACCTTTGGGAAGTACTCATACAACGAGTCGGCCATCGCACCAAGTGTGAACACTCTGTCGTTGGTAAAATCCAGTTTGCGAGCATCTAGAGAAACTGGCCACATTCCTGGCAACCTTGTAGTGTTCTGTGATTCTTCAAAAACGTTCATGATCCTCTGGATCGCATCGTAGTATTTTGGATCACCACTAAGCTGAGTCAATCGAGTAAACTCAAGGGAGAGAGAGCCTATATCGGCAGAAAGCGCATTGGAAGGCGCGTGTTGCAGGTCTCCTTGAGCCGCCCTGTGCACATTGTAAGCCATGACCGGACACCATGTTAGAAGGACTTACTTCAGCCAGTTCCAGGATCCAACCACTGGCATGTTGTTGGCGGTATCGAACGAGGCATACAGCATATCGCCAAGTTCAATCGCCTTCTCTAACAAAATTGGATATTTCTCGTCGCTCAGGTCGTATGCGCTCAGGAGGCCGCCTACGTAACGAATGGTCGTCTCGAACACACTGATCGTCTTTGAGGGAGACATGGTGAAATCCAGGTGGTTCAACGCGTTCACGGCTATGTCGAATTCCTTCTTCATGTCCATGATCCAGAGAGTATCAAGGGAGTCGACCAGCGTTGCTCCCCAGCCTCCGAATCCATTCTTGTATCCTCCGGACAGCGGCCTGACCTCATCTTGCAACCAAGCATTGTTCTTGTATCCATTCCACGAATGCTTGAAGCTGTTCTTGACAGCCGCCAGCCTCTTTTGTCTCTTGTATCTCTCCACTGGTGTTTCTTTGGCAAATTTGTGTTGGATGGGCGGAATCTGGGCAGGTGGTCCGTTCGGTAACTGTATCATCGACGAGTTCAATGGCCATTGTCGGGGTAGAGTTTTCCAGCTAAAGTCCGGCGGTAAGGGAGGAGCTTCCATTGGCGGAGGAGGCGGAGGCGGTGTCCAGTCATCTTGTTCTAGAAGGTTGAAAACGAGCGATAGTGTTACACAGATCATAATGCAGGTAAGGATCCATCTGCGCGAGATGGAGATCATAATCAACAGAGTGTGGGTGAGAAAAAGAATATATGAACAAGGCGAAAATGAGAGTATATAGTGGGAAAGGATAGAATTGACAGTAACGATAGAAATGTACACAAAGGAATACAGCTCAAGAGAGGCTGTGGTCGAAGATGTCGAGAAAGCAGAACTAGCAAAGGACTTTCGAGTCGCGACTTACTTTCGTCATTCGAGTTTCTGTCTCCCTGAAATCTGAAACGCCGATCATCTTGGCAGGGTACAAGTACGTGTTCTGTTTAGTAGAGCGTGGCAATGGTCTGTATGGACGAGCGACATTGTGGAGAAAGATGCATCTCCCTGGATATGTTCATGGGTGATAGGTTGCCAGGAGGGTTGATGGAATCGGCAAACGGTACCGGTCAACCTAAGGCCTTGCCGAGTCTCGGCGGTTATCTGGTTCAGTCAAAGCCAAGCACGCAAGCGCGTCGCGTCTGGCGGCTTTAGACGCGTTTGAGGCATCGGCAGTCGGTGTTTTCACGTGATAGAGATCTGGCCAATTCATCGCCAGAGCCTCATGGTGCAAGCAAAGGTCGACTTGGACTCATTGGAGTAAAAAGTTCAGGCAAGCATGTCGGATCTATATCCATCACTCACACAATGTGCGGTTGTCGCCACTGCTTTCAAGATTCTGTTGTGGCCAGCATAGTAAGCGGAATTGGCCGTCATGTTCCATCACCCCTTAACACGAATGCAGCNNAAGTCGACAGATTTCGAGGTACATCGCAATTGGCTGGCTATAACAAATTCCCTCCCAGTCAAAGATTGGTACTATGAGGTGTGTCCGTTGAACAGTGATTGGGAAAAAGTGCTGATTCGCATGTCAGNNAAAACATCAGAATGGACTCTTGATTATCCCCCTTTCTTTGCAGCATTCGAATGGTGCATGTCACAAGCTGCTCGGTTCTTCGACACCGATATGCTCCAAGTGAAGAACCTCGGACACTCTAGTTGGCAAACAGTCTACTTCCAGAGAGCCACGGTGATCTTGACTGAGTTGGTACTCCTCTATGCACTCCAGCTGTATGTTTCGATGTCCCTGAGTCAAAGGCATGGTCACTAAACAACCCAGANNTATGTTCGTGGTGCACCTATTACCGCTAAGAAAACATCGCACGCGGCTGCGCTCTCTATCCTCCTATCTCCTGGTCTGCTCATAATCGATCACATCCACTTCCAGTACAACGGCTTCATGTACGGCGTCCTCGTCCTCTCAATCGTGCTGGCACGTAGGCAATCGGGACTTCTGGCGAGTGGCATCACATTTGCAGTCTTGCTTTGTTTCAAGCACATCTACCTCTACTTGGCTCCAGCATACTTTGTCTTCTTGCTACGTGTGTATTGCCTCGACCCTCGATCGTGGTCCAAAATTCGTTTTGCCAAATGCGTCAAGCTCGGACTCGGAATTGGGCTCGTGTTCGGTCTTGCATTTGGACCGTTCGTGTACTGGAACCAGATAGATCAACTCCTGAGCCGCCTGTTTCCCTTCTCCCGAGGGCTATGTCATGCTTACTGGGCTCCGAACGTCTGGGCACTGTACTCTTTTGCCGACAGAATTTTGATTTACNTGTGAGTTGCCCTCTGCAAAAGGCATGTACTGTATCTAACAAAAGTAGTGGCTCCTTACTTCAATCTGTCCGTCAATAGGGAGGCCATCAATAGTGTTACCCGAGGATTGGTTGGAGACACATCTTTCGCTGTACTTCCTGACATCTCTCCACGAATGACATTTGTCTTGACTCTGGCAGCACAANTTGGTAGGTTAATCTAATGAGAGCCGAGAGGACGAATTGCTGACTTAAGGCAGCCGGCGCTTGTCAAGCTCTTTTTCCGACCAACTTGGGACACTTTCGTGGGAGCTTTGACGCTCTGCGGATATGCATCTTTCTTGTTCGGTTGGCATGTCCATGAGAAGGCAGTTTTGCTGGTGATCATCCCCTTCAGCTTGATCGCACTGAAGGATCGCAGATATCTTGGAGCTTTTAGACCTCTTGCAGTCTCTGGTCATGTTTCGCTCTTCCCGCTACTGTTTACGGCTCAGGAGTTCCCGATCAAGACGATTTACACCATCTTCTGGCTTGTAGCTTTGCTAATGGCATTCGATCAGCTCGCTCCAGCGTAAGTTCCATCAGGGAGATTCAGCAAAACACAGATATACTGACAATTAATGTAGCNNTCTTCAAGACCGAGAGTGTTCTTGCTCGATCGTTTCTCCTTCGTATACATTGCGGTGGCAATCCCACTTATCGCGTACTGCTCGCTGATCCACCAGCTAGTGTTTGGCGCAAAGTATGAGTTCCTGCCGCTCATGTTCACTAGCTCATACTGCGCGATGGGAGTGGTGTCAAGTTGGATAAGTTTTCTGATTGTGTATTTTACTTCATGACTAGATTAGACATGACAAGACAGGAAGTGCATTGCAGTATTTCTCTTTTTCTGTAGACGCACCCTTACGATGAAGTTGGGTTGCCTGTCAAGTCGCTCGTGTGGACAGGGTTGTGCTTCTTGTAATAGCTTGACAGTATCGCGCAGCATGAAGAATGGTATCAAAACAGATGTCGAGAAAGCTATTGTCCATAGATGTAATCCTTGTCCGAGGCGGTAATCTGTGCAATATTCAGGTGTCGACAGGTATGGCTCTGGAAATCAATTGGCCGGCCACGGCACCCATTCTCTGGAGGGACGAATCGTGGAAAGTGATGTGGTTTGGCTCTGATCTTGATATTACCAGCTTGAAGCTTAACGATTGATTCGAATCATATACACTTATCACCATGTTGCTCGCACGGATTACGCGACCAGAACGAGCCCAAATGTGTTGGCTGTTGTGCAAGTGGCGATGCGCAGGGTCATGGGCCAGCAAGCCAGAGGTGACGGAGCATGCGAATGGGAGCTGGGCGTTGCGAAGAGAAAGTCACGGCCCGACCCGCAGCCAGCCCAGTGCTCGGAACGCGACCAAAGCAATACTAGAATGGGCAGCTCATGGTGGCCGGAGGTGATGCCTTCCCCACGACGGCTCTTCACAGGTCATGTCCTTCCTCTTGCAAAGCTTTGCTCCCTCTTTGCTCCTCCTTCCTTCTCACCGACCGCGACACCTGGTTGTCTCCAAACGGCACGCATCCCTCAGCACTCTCTCGGCCACTCTCCCCGCAGACCCTCTCCGACTTCTGAAGCCTCGTCCGTGATTTATTGCGCGTAGTACCCGCGTCTGCCGCAGCAATATCTTCCTCGTCCACCGACGGCCGCCTCGGTCGCAATCGTCAACCGCCATCCCTCGTATGAGACCCGAGCATACATCACGCGTTAATTGAGGAAGGCATTGGCTCTACTTTCGCATGCGACAAGACGACTACTAGATCCAGACACCCCGCCGTGTCTACGCCCATCCCGGCTCGTTCGCTCTTCGCGTTCTTCTTCCTTGGCTCCAAGCCTGAATCACACCCACCACACCAACATGGTTCGCTGCTCCCCAAACATGGCACGTGAAAGCTGGACTGGACTTACCATATTCCAGGTCCTCTACAAAAGAAAGCCGGTGACGATGGCTCCGGCACCTGCCAAAATCGACAACAACACCGAGGTTCGCATATCTGCCCTGGTCTATCTGTATCCACCTCGGACTTACTCTTCTACAGNNGTCTGGGTCATGCCCAAATCAGGCGAAGTCTTTACAGACTATGAATCGTATCTGTCTCGGTATGTTACATCTTGATGCCCCTCGCAGCTCAGGACTAATACAACTATAGCTTCGAGTTTTACAACCGAGTACACCGCCCTTGATCCAAATACACCTCCTATGACCACACCCTAACAGCCACCCTAGAAAAAGTTTACAGACGCCGTCAATGGCAAGTCCGGCTTGACATTCTTCGCCGCCATCGACTCAGAGGTATGCAACCTCCTGACTGTACACAACATGTCGGACTCACACAATACAGNNAACAACAGCTCCAGCGACATTGAGAAGATTTTCCCTGAGGCTCTTCGCGACCCCATTTTGAGAAAGGTCCAGTTCTCAGACATCTCCCGCATAGATGAGTTGGTGTCCTTCGTGTTTGAAGTACGTATCGTTCGCTGGTCTCTCACATCCCAGACACTGATTTGTGCAGNNGAGTTTCGCAGCGAATTTTTTCCTGGCGAGGAAGTAAGCGTCTCTCTCGACAATGGCGACCAGTTCGAGGGCGTGATCCGCGAAAAGGCCAAGTTCCCGCAACTTCTCAACCCTGACGGCTCTATCCAACGCGCCGCCTTCTCTCGCTACTTTGTTAAGCTCAACGACGAACGTGGCGAGGAAGCCCTTCTGGACGACAAGCACATCAAGAGAAATCGCAAACTCTTTACCAAGCAAAACCTGAGATCCTTCTTGAAGAGCTCGATACAACGCGACATGTTTACTGGTGCACCGTGGCTGGTCAAGGAGCATCTCGCAAGGCAATACAGACTGCCCATGGAAATTCCTCCCCATCTTGCCCAACGCATGCAAGCTTCACCTCAACCTGGTATGCCTCGACAACCACAAGGCACTTCGATATTCAACAAAGTCAACGGTCGTAAAGGAAAGAACCTCACTATCGGAGACTTTGAGCAAGACGGTTCACTACAGGGCTACACCACTCCACTACTCAATGGTTCCAGATTTCCTGGATACCAAGCAGCTGCAGTCAAGACGGAGCCCCAAAAGCCTGCTCCTGCACCCATCAAATATCCCATCGAAGATTTGGACGTTCCTGCGAGGAAGAATGACCTTGTTCGTCCTGACCTGAAGTTCATCACATCGCAAAACCCTGGTGAGGGCGAGATTCGCACGGAATATGTGGGACCCTTACTGGAGATTTGGAACACTCTCAATGTACACTCCGAGGTACTCATCCTGGATGCCTTTACATTCGACGACTTCGTGGAAGCAATTAAGTTCACCTCTGATGAAGTTACATGCGAGCTGCTTGAAGAAGCACACTGTGCAGTACTCAAGACAATTGTCAACGAGGAGGGCACACTCCAAGTTACTCTGCCGGACATGGTTGAGGAGGAGTCTTCTGACGAAGAGATTGATGAAAGCGAGCCAGTCACTCCCATCCTGGATGCACCTGCACACGCAACTAGAAGCCGCATGAGCAACATCAGCAATGTCGCAGCAGAAGAGACAAACGGCAGATCCAGCAGAACCCCTGCCGAAGGCCGTCACCGTCCGCATCGTACTCCCGAATTGTTAGCAAGCTACGGTTGGGTTGAACGTCTAAAGGCTCGCGATTTTGCTAATGGAGGCTGGCAATCAATCATGGCAGGCCTGCTACATCAATTGTCGCTAAATCCTCGCCAGAAGTCAGAATGCGACAAGGTGTTGTCCAAACTCGTGCCATTGGACGAAGACCCAAGCCTGGAGAGTGTCAGAATCAACTACATTCGCCTTGATATCAACCTTCGCATTTCTGCATTGCAGCTGATCACCTTGCTATGTGTTAGCACAAAGACTGTCAGAGGATACCTCGAAGACATGAGCGAGGAACAAACCAAGATCCGTAAGGAAAAGCTTGAGCATCAAAAATCGAAGAAAGAAAGGTATGTTCATCTGTCCATGACAAATGAATATTAGCTGACCCTCGAACNNAGTGTCGCAAAACTGGGTGATCTTGAGACGCAGAAGAAAATCTTGCTCCCAGACAATCTCCCGGATTCACCCAAGGAGGAACACCCTGATCCTATGGATATGAGTATGAGTCATGTCGACGAGACCATGGACACGGTGGATCTTGCCACCTCGGATGCGGAAGAAGAAGGCGGCCGTTCTCTCCGACGTGGTAATGAGCGAAAGCGCAAGCGCGACGAAGATGCAGCTCGACGCGAAAAGCAGCGCGAAGAGAAGAAAGCAAAGACCAACCCCAAACAGTCCAAGGAGTTCACCAAACTTTTGAAAGACATTGACAAACTCAAGGTTGAGATCTCGAAGCGCGAGAAGGAGATTGCAACCTGCGATGAACAACTTCGTGAGGCTAACTGTCAGCGCACCAAAGTACTTGGAAGAGATAGATTCTGGAATCGCTACTACTGGTTTGAACGCAATGGCATGCCTATTACTGGACTCACTGATGGCAGCACTGGCAGTTATGGTTACGCCAATGCGCGTATCTGGGTCCAAGGACCTGACGAGATGGAGCGCTTGGGTTTTATCGACTTGCCTGAAGACCTACAACGCACCTACGTTCAAGATCACGGATTATCTGTTCCTGACCGCAAAGCCAAGGAAGAAGGGTCCACCAGTCTGCGAACAGCCAACGAGTGGGGATACTACGACGATCCGGAGACCATTGCCTTGCTGCTGAACTGGTTTGACGACCGCGGTGTCAGAGAGAAGGCATTGCGCAAGGAGATGACTGCTTGGCAAGAGCCTATCACTGGTCAAATGCGTACTCTGAAGACGCATCTGGACAGTATCAATCAGGAGGACGTGGATGACGAGCCCGTCACTCGTGTGTCGACTAGGAAGAAGACCTACGTTGACATCGAAGCGTCCAGTCAACGTTGTCTCAGATGGAGAAACTTGACAGCTATCGACAAGAACGGCCATCTGCATTCTGAGCAGCCTAAGCCCAAGGAGAAGAAGGGCAAGAAGGAAGCCAAGGGCGTCGCCAAAGTTGTCGCAAAGGGCAAACCCACCACGAGACAAGGAACGAAGTACGGCAAATAGACGGTCGATCATGTTTGCTTGGGGGCGTATTGTTATATTGGAGTTTTTTGGTATGGAGCATGTACAAGTATCTTACTCAGGAGCATAGCGAGATGGTCATAAAAAGCGGCGCAAGGATTTGCTCGAGGAAAAGCGTGGTAAGAAGACTTGGTCGAGTGCAGCACACACGAAGTAGATAGCTTTTGACACAGCAGCTTTTTTGCTGTTGATCCAGTGGACGAATTGAACATCGAACACCTTCTTGCTCCTCGGAAATATGGCGTGTCTAGTACGTGCATGTTGGACTCGGCCGTGAGACAGGGGCATCAGTGTCTTGACTTTTGATATCGAACCCTGGCCTAGGCAAAAAGATGCGTCCCAAATGGCACGTGAAACAGAAAAGTGGGCTGGCGAAAAAGCGTTTTTCATATTGTTATATTAAGATAGGAAATGCGAAGACAAATGTGGTGATGAGATTTTGCAAATGGATGGGGATGCAATTGGTTGGCACCAAGCCGTGTGGGTTGATGGCAATCTGCTGTTTCCCAGGAGATGAAGCGTATTTGGAAGGATTGACGATTTGAGGTCAGCAAACACGCGACACAGATCGAGGGCTGCAGAGAGATGGGTTGTCAGATTTGAGTACCGACGCCTCTTCATGCAGGATTGTATATAACAATGCAGAAATAGAGACCCCTTTCTTGTTCGGCACATGTGCTTACAGGCTACAAGCGTTTGGGCCTTCTAGAAAAGAGAGTTAGGTGCGGACGCTTAAAAAATGGGGTTCGTCTCAGGTCGGCACGGACGTCTCTCTCTGTGCCTGACGATCGTTCACTGTGTGTATCAACGGTTACACAAGAGAGGGCGTCGCTAGTCGAAGGCGAGACGGTGCGGTGTTGCACCGTCCGCTGGTTCTGGCAGCGGCGTGTACTGGCTATCGTGGGCCTTTGGGCGAGACTGGATGGGACAAGTGCTGGGTATGTGGTGGCAGAAGCGCTGAGGAGAAGGTCCGTGGTGTGGATGTAATTTCCTTTGGGCTAAGCATGCCGAGTTGTGGCAGCATCGGCCCAACGCCGTCTCGCGCTCTTGCTTGCCCTCTTCTTCTTCACGCGCTGCTCGATTCCACTCAGTCTCGTCCTGTCACTCGCTTCATTCTTTCGCATTTCTTCTTTCTTGCCTTCCCCTTCGCTTGCGGGCTTCTCTTCGTTGATACGACTCCTTTAATTGCGCCGCCCGACCTATCACTGCCCGTGGCTTGAGTCTTGACCAGGCAACCTCAATCTGATACAGGGACAATTCAACGTCACGTCAAGAGGAGGACACGCATTCGCTCCAGCTGTATATACGAGCTTTTGAATTGGATAAACCTGGAACATATACCCTTTTAATTACACGGCCCCGCCATCGACCTAGCACGTCCAATTCGCCCACCGACCGCTCCCCAGTAGAACTCTCGAGTTCCCCTCCGCCCACTCAAACCCCCTAGTCTCTTCCAACCTAGGAGATGCAGGTGTCGGAAGCTTCCTCGGGCCAGCCCAAGTTCCATCGCCCAACTCAGTCCTTCTCGACTCTGGGCATGAGCAGCGATAACCTGGGCTTCTCGCACAGCGCCTTCACCACCAACCAGCCTTCTATCTCTAGCTATTCGGACCGTCACCGAACAAACATCCCGTCAATTAATACTGGCCGCATGTCCAACATGGCCACCCAGGCTGAGCAGACCCCTGGTACTGCCCTCGACATGAACTTTACGCCTCTGCTTCCCTCCAACCTGTTGATTGGCAGCCCCTTCCAGCCTCAGTCACCTTCGGCTTTCGCTTCTCCCGGCTTCCAGAGCTTCTCTAGCTTCCCTCAGCAACCTCAGCGCCAACAGCAGCAGCACAACCAGTACCAGAACCAGCAGAACCCTGCCATGTCTCCCNCCATGTACGCTGGCATGATGTCTCCTCCCCAGATGCACGCCCAGATGTACCAGGGTCCTCAGTCTCCCACTCTCGGCTACAACCCTCTGAACAATCAGTCGCTCAACGGCCTGTCGACTGCTCCCCTGGGCATTGCCCCTGGTTTGATGTCGAGCTCAAGCCGAACCGTCTACCTGGGCAACATCCCCTCGGACACGTCTGCCGAAGAAATTCTCAGCCACGTCCGTAGCGGGCAAATTGAGTCGGTCCGTCTTCTTCCCGACAAGAACTGTGCCTTCATCTCTTTCCTCGACGGAAGTTCGGCCACACACTTCCACTCCGATGCCATCTTGAAAAAGCTGTGCATCAAGGGTCAGGACATCAAGATTGGCTGGGGCAAGCCCTCATCGGTTCCTACTTCGGTCGCTCTTGCCGTCCAGCAGTCAGGCGCATCCCGCAACGTCTACCTGGGTAACTTGCCCGAGGAAGTTTCCGAGGATGAGCTCAGAGAGGATCTGGCCAAGTACGGTCCTATCGACACTGTCAAGATTGTCAGAGAGAAGGCTATTGGATTCGTTCACTTCTTGTCAATTGGAAATGCCATCAAGGCTGTTTCTCAACTTCCCCAGGAGCCCAAGTGGCAGCCACCACGACGCGTCTACTACGGTAAGGATCGTTGCGCATATGTTTCCAAGACACAACAGCAGAACGCTGCTCAGTACCTTGGTATCGCCCCCGGTTATGCACACGTGCTGAACAACGCCGACCGTGATCTGATCTCGAATGCTCTGGCCCAGCAATCTGTTGCTGCAGCTGCCGTCGCAACCACTGCTGGTGGTGTCAACAACCTGGGCAACCGCACTGTCTACCTGGGCAACATCCACCCCGAGACGACCATCGAGGAGATTTGCAATGTTGTCAGGGGTGGTCTCTTGCACCATGTTCGCTACATTCCCGACAAGCACATCTGCTTCGTCACTTTCATCGATCCCACTTCTGCTGCCTCTTTCTTCGCTCTTTCCAACCTCCAGGGGCTTATGATCCACAACAGACGTCTGAAGATTGGCTGGGGCAAGCACTCCGGCGCCCTTCCTCCTGCTATTGCTCTTGCTGTCAGCGGTGGTGCTTCGCGCAATGTCTACATCGGCAACCTTGACGAAACTTGGACAGAGGAGCGTCTTCGTCAGGATTTCTCCGAGTACGGTGAGATCGAGCTGGTCAACACTCTGCGTGAGAAGAGCTGTGCATTTGTCAACTTCACGAACATCGCCAATGCCATCAAGGCCATCGAGGCTGTTCGCAGCAAGGATGAGTACAAGCGTTTCAAGGTCAACTTCGGCAAGGATCGTTGCGGAAACCCTCCTCGCCAAGTAGTTGCAAACGGTCAGGGACAGTCTCAGCAGGAAGGCACACAATCGCCCAGCCCTGTGAGCGGTATGCGTGGCCAGAACTCCATTTCTCCTAGTGCGGGCGCATCGAACAACTACAACCCTCTCCAAGGACCCACTGCATCGACCATTCTCAACGCTGGAGCCAACAACCCCTTGGCCATGTACCTCGCTGCTGCATCGCAAGTCCAATCTCAACCTTCCTCTTCGCCGAACGAGATTAGCCCTCAGTTCGCACAGTTGAGTCTGTCGCAACCTCAACAACAGCAACAGCAGCAGCAACCGCAGATGACCACCCAGCAAGCCTTCTACAGCGGAGACTCCAACATGCCCACACGATCCACCGCACTCGAAGCGCCCTCACACTTCGGTCACCACGCCACTCATTCCGTAAACTTGAGCAATGGTCTCTCGAACGGTTTTGGTGGTGGCAGTGGCGGCGGTAACGGCATGCATGCCAGCCAGAACAGCGCCGCAAGAGGACAGCACTCACGTACCGTTAGTCTGCCCGTCTTCTCGCAGCCCCAACCTCAGCACAACCAGCACTTTGCTGGTCTTGGCGCAGGCATTGGTGGCTTTGGTAACAGCAACCCTTACGGCTTGGCCATCTCCGCTGAGCGTGGTTTGCCTGGCTGGGAAGAGGAAGAGCCTGCCATTTGAAAGACAGAACAATGGCTTCTTGCGACGAACGAAAAGACTTTCTAATTGAGTTTCTAGAACTTTTGATTACTGAGGGTGCCTAGTCCACCTACTAATCTTTTACTTACCTATATTCGTTGCTCTATTCTTTTCTTTCAAATTGTTGTTTTTACTCCACAGGTTCTTCTTTATACCTTCATTCTTTTACACTTCTCTATTTTTCTTCCTTGCATTTGCAAACCCCACCAACCTAATTCTGAAATCCTTCTCATCTGCTGATTATTCTTCTTTTTCAAACATGTATTTGTATGCCTCTCCGATTTCTTGCGATGCATGTACTCGCAAATCAACCCCAAATTGTTATTTGTCGGCGTTGGAAAGGGGAAAAGAACAAAAATATATCTCAACGAGCACTGCCAGGCTCACTCGTTCCACACGAAGACAGGAAACTCTCGAACATGGCTGACTCTGGTCTGTAATGAAAAGAAACATTCTCTAGAAACATTTTCTTGTTGAACGTGGAAGTTGGATAACAGTAAAGAGAGTATGTTGTTCTCTACCTTAGACTACAGTTGTATTCTGCTGAAGCTTTCTATAACGTAAGCTGACCGTTTTCAGGTCTATGATATGGCATAACGAGAGCACGATAGGTATATACCGTGATAGGAGGTGAATCAAGGGTTCAACTCAAGCCAGTCCCTTCAGCAGTTCTCTTGGCAGGACAAGGTTTCGCTCGTGCACGATGACGCACTCCTACTTGTAGAGTTCAGCCACGACCTTTTTCGCGATCTTGATCCTGATCTGCCTGCACGAGATAGACCCGTTGATGTGATGATTCGAAGAGGCCAGGTAAGGGATGTAGGCGTAAGAGATCGTGAAGCAATGGTCTGCCTCATCAATCTTTCGTTCAGTATACCGGTGAGCTTCACGACTGAACCTCTGTTCTCGAGTCTGTCAGCGCCTATTTACCGGTGCTACTTCCTACAAGGTCGAATCGGGCACTCGATCTTTATTGACCATGACGTCGAAGACTGCTCAGGAACCGTTTCCCTGCCACTGGCAGTTGTGTTTACTTGACCCGATACCCAGTGTGCTCAAGAGGAGCAAGACTTCCCTTCCCTTCGATAAGCCAACCATTAAACATTCAATTTACAAGAGTCTTTTCTGGCGACATGTCGAAACGCGCGCATCCCCACGACGCACATCCAAGCGACCACTCGGCCATCTATAACGAAGATCTCAAACATCCTTCGCCAAAGCGAGCAAAGCAGATTGACGAGCATTTACCATTTGAGACGCTCGAGAAGGCTCTATCGGAGCAAAAGACTGATCATACGGTTCGCAATGTGCTGCACTGGTTCCGATCCAAGGATGTACGAGCAGACGACAATCGCGCACTCTATGCTGCATCACAAAAGGCAAAAGAGGGAGATGGCAACTTGATTACTATGTATCTGTACAGCCCCAAGGATCTGGAGTGGCATGGGACCAGCCCTGCTCGATCTGACTTTCTGCTCGAGTCGCTTTCGTTGTTGCAGAAGCAGTTGCGCGAAAAGAATATTCCTATGGCCATTGTGACGGCTGAAGAGAGGGCAGACAAGACGGACAAGATCGTTGAGTTTGTCAAGGACAATGACATCTCTCATGTCTTTGCGAACTTTGAATATGAGGTCGATGAGACCCGTCGTGATATCAAAGTCGCACATCACACTCAGGAAGAGAAGGACGTCTCGATCGAGCTCTTGCACGATCAGACAGTGCTCGAACCAGGACTGCTCAAGACCGGTAGCGGGACACCAATGAAGGTCTTTACACCCTACCACAAAGCCTGGCTCACCGAAACAAAACAAAGTCCTGAACACCTCAATCTCGTGGCTCCTCCTGAAGCAAACGACAAGTCCGCTGTCGATAAACTCAAGAAACTTTTTGATTCGAAGATACCCTCTTTACCAGAAAATAAAGATTTCACCAGCGACGAGGAAAGAAAACGCATCCGTGAGCTCTGGCCTGCAGGCCACGAAGCAGGCATCAAACGCCTCCAACACTTTCTCAACGAGAAAGTGTCCGACTATGCCAGCCACCGCTCCGAGCCTGCCAGAGATCCTTCCTCGCGCTTATCCGCATATTTTTCCGCCGGTATAATCAGTGTCCGCGAAGCCCTCGCTGCCGCAAAGAAACATAACAACAACAAACACTTTGACGAAGGTGACTCTGGCATCGCCTCTTGGGTCCGCGAAATCGTCTTTAGAGAATTCTACCGTCAAGTCCTTGTCGCCATCCCTCATAACGCAATGAACTTGCCCCAGAACCTAAAGTTTGACAATGTGCACTGGGAAGACGATGAAGAGGGCTGGGAGAAATGGTGTCAAGGCAAAACAGGAGTTCCTTGGGTGGACGCCGGTATGCGACAGCTAAACACAGAAGCCTATATGCATAATCGTCTTCGCATGAACACTGCTTCCTACCTCACCGCAAACATGTTGATTGACTACCGCAGAGGAGAAAGATATTTCGCTACCCACCTCATCGATTGGGATCTTTCGAACAACACACAAGGCTGGGAACCTAGTTATACAGTCTTTAACCCCATCAGTCAAGCGGAGAAATGTGATAAACATGGACACTTTATCAGGAAATGGGTTCCTGAGTTGAAGGACTTGAAAGGCAAGGATATCTTTGATCCTTATGGTAGGTTGAGCAAGGAAGAGTTTGAGAAACTCGGATATCCAAAACCACATGTGGATTTTGCTGAGAGCAAGAAGAGGGTGGTTGAGAGGTTTAAGAAGGATTTACATGAGGCTAATGTTTGAGGATTTAATGCGGATGCTTAGGAGCACTATAGATGGTATTGAAGTAGATGTTGAACAGCCGAAGGGGATTCTTGAATAGATGGAGCAGGGCAGTTCTGATAGGAAACTGCTCACGCTTGATATCGCTTTCCCAATCAGGCATTGCATTCATCCTCGGTGTCGTCACCTGAATCCTACGCAGATCTTTCTAATGCGACTTCCAAACCATACTACCACGAGCAAGAGGAGTACGTGTGTAATACTTTATCATAGAAACCAAGGGTATCTCCTTCAATTCTCGTTACATCCATCGTCTCTCCATCAACAATTTTATCACCAACCAACGATCATACCACAAAGCCATGGCCATCGCAACCACACTGTCATCAAAAGCCATGACAGCTCTAGGCGCCATGGCATTAATAACACTCTGCTTCCAAACCTTTGGCTCATCAATGGCACCCACCATCAATACTCGCCTCGACACCATCGATAGTCAAATGGCAACCCTAAGAGCAACGATGAACCACGTCCTCAAACAAACAGACACGAAAATGTCGTCAGATATCTCCTGGCCAATCCAAAAGTCCTCCTCAGATGACTTCACGACTGTGGCCAAGATCGTCTTTGGATTCCTCGCAATACCAGCTTGGCCAATTGCGTTTCATACTTTCTATGAGGAGGTGGGAGCGGCCGGGGATAGGGCACTAGCCACGGGGGTATGGTTTGCTTGTGCTGCATTTGTGGCGCTATGGCACATGGGGAAACCTAGAGAGTGGTATGGATATCTCTTGGGTGCCACTTGGGGGTTTTATGCGGGTATCTTGCTGTCGGCAATGGGCTCGGGAGAGAAGAGGGAGGCTGCCGGCAGTGGACAGAAGTCGTAGCAGCTAAACACAATTGGTATATAACATGTCAAAAAGAAGATCCAAGCACATACGGCCACAGTCAGCTGAAAACTGGGCATCCNNCGTCCGCTCTGCCATATATAAGCAGTTGAACGGCAGATTAGTACTACGGTGGGTGACCACGTGGGAATCCCTGCTGCTGTATGTTTTGTGTCTTCTTTTGCTTGTCGTCCGCGACGATAACATGTAGGGTGCACCACATGGTTGTTACCTGTAAGGTTCTGTGTGGAAGATAGCTTACTCAAGCTGCTCGATCACTGTACGTACATGCAACAAGCTTTTGACTCAATCTAATCGAGAGTGAGCAGACTAATAAGCATTCCATCGTTAGAGCTTCTGATAGACCATCTTATTTGACCAAGAGCAGTCCCTGGTTTTATAGTGTTCGCGTATAACCAACTATGACAAAGAACGAGGAACCGAGTGGAATGTCTGGGTGCTGCATAGGTCACACCACCGTGTCGATGCTATGACTAGGCGGCGCAGACTGTGGAGCAGATGGTCGGTCTGAATGAAAAACAGGAGTATGATGGGAACCTATAGTATGTGGAGAAGTTGAGAGACCGAGCGGTTGCATAAGTAGTTGAGATAGATGGTTGGGTTGAATCGGATTGCTGGCCTTCCCTAAGTGTTGCTTCAACGAGAGCAAGGTGCTGAGACCCAAACAACATTCTTTACTCGCTTCTGGCGGGATTAAATGCTAGGTAAGAGCGGCTTGGAAGGCCACGCAATGCTTTTCTTCTATGTATGCAAGACCGCTGCTCCGCAACGTTCCTTCCACTTAAGCACTGGCTTCCCCCTCGGCTTGTCTGGCAGCAACACTTCCTCCTTTCCAGTGACTCTTTGGATCACTCCACAGCTTACTAGCCTTACTCTCCTCACCCACAGGGCCCCAGCCACCACCGCCAGGCGTGTTGATGATAATTCTCTCGCCAGGCTGGAAGGCTGCAGTGTTTTTACCTCCCAGGTTGATGTACCTGACCTCTTGCTCCTCTTCCACTTTGTCTTTTTCTTCAGGTGCTTTGGCAACATTGCGTACCCAGAGGTTCTTGCCGCAGGATGCGTCTTCACCACCGGCGAGACCGTAAGGGTGGTATACACGGCGTTCGCTGAGAATTGATACTTGGACCGGGATCCTGAACTCGATGTCGCGGACGACTCCGTCACCACCGTTGTGTTGACCCTTGCCGCCAGAGCCAGCTCGCAAGCTGAATTCGCGCAAGATGACTGGGTAACGACGTTCAAAGACCTCGCTATCTGTGATGCGTGTGTTCGTCATGTGTGTGTGCACGCCGTTCGTACCATCCCAAGTGGGTCCTGCACCTGACCCTCCAGCAATAGTCTCGTAGTAGCCAAAGCCTTTGACATGTTCTTTGCCGTCTGCATTGCCACCAAAACCGAAGGTCAGGTTGTTGCAGTCACCCTGGGAAGCAGCGCAAGCTTGGAAAGCTTTCAAAACGACATCGGTTACTCTTTGAGACGTAAGGACATTGCCACCGACGACTGCTGCAGTGGCTGAAGGCGACAAGAAANNAGACTTTTTGGGAATTTTGACGTGGATTGGTGTCAGACATCCTTGATTTAGAGGAATATCCTCGCTGATGAGACAGCGCAGGCAGTAGATGATAGCGCTGTATGTTACTGCTTCGGGCGCGTTCGTGTTTCCATATACNCTATGAAAATATGGTTAGTAAAAGTCCCAATGATCTAACAGATACGATCTTGCCTCTGGCCCTGTGCCTGTAAAATCGAATACAGCTTCGCCCTTCTCAGCATCGATCTGGACGTTCAGCTTGATAGGACTGCCATCATCCATGTAATCGACTGCCGACAAGTCTTGGCCCTCAAAACGCTTGCTGACTTCTTTGAGCAGCATGCGAACACTGTTCTCTGCGTTTTGCTGGATACTTCTCATATAGAACTGAACGACGTTTTCGGTGTAGTCATCAATGAGTGTGTTGATCAAATTTATACCCTTTTGATTCGCAGCAACTTGAGCCTTCAAGTCCGAGATGTTGTCCGCTAGGCAACGGGTACCGCTGCATCCAGGATGTTGTGCTGGTTCGTCAAGCAGAAGCTCGGTGATACGCTTCTCGTTGAACCTTCCCTCCGAGACTAGCTTTTCAGTCTTGATGGATGCTCCTTCCTGGAAGAGCTCTCGAGAATGAGGNGGCATGGATCCGGGGAGAATGCCTCCGATGTCTGCATGATGGGCGCGGGAGGCGACATAAAACACGATCTTGTCACCGCTGAACGCCGGTGTGATGACTGTGATATCAGGCAAATGGGTGCCACCATACATGGGATGATTTGAGACCAAGACATCGCCTCGTTTGAGCTTGCCCTCCCAAATCTTTGCCTGCTTCTGCACACATGTGCTCATGCTACCCAAGTGTACGGGAAGATGAGGTGCATTAGCGACTAGACCTCCTGTTGAATCGAAGAGTGCACACGAATAGTCTAGTCGCTCCTTGACGTTGGTGCTGACACTCGTCTTTTGTAACGCACGACCCATTTGTTCTGCGATCGCCATGAATCGATGGGCAAAGATACTGAGCATGATCGGATCGACCGTCTCGGTATCGAGCTTCTTCTCAGATCCGTCACTCTCGCCAATGTTGATAACAACATGGGTATCAATGACCAGAGCAGAAGCGCCAGGCGTGACGACAATAGTCTGAGTACCGTCGGCAATGATGGCAGGTCCTTGAATGCGGTCGCCAAGTGCAAGGTCCTCGAGCTTGTAGATGGAAGTCTCTTGTCGACCTCCCTCAAAGTAAACCTGAGACTTGCCGTAAATCTTTTCATCTTTGCCGACATCTTTGGGCTTGACTTCTTGCAACTGTTGATCGACTGTCTTTTCCAGGCCTTCGAAGGTCTTGCCGATACCGCGAGCTCTGACATCATCGACGATGATATCTCTGTCGGGAAGAGTGAACCCGAACTCTTGTTCGTGCTGCTCAACGAATGCTTTGCCAAAGGCCCAGTCGTCGCCATCAAACTTCCCTTCGGCGTCTTCTTTGCTCGGCTTGATGATCATCAAAGCTGATTCAGTTCCTCTATACCTCATGTTGAGGTATTCCTCAAAGTGTACATGACCTTCTTCGAAGCCTTGGTCCTTCAAGGTGGCCTTTGACTTCTTCTTGAGCTCCTCCATCTTTTTNTGGAAATACTTGCGTACATCTCCTTCGTCAGACCAAACCTTTGAGTCAGGTTCTTGTCTTTCGTCAACAACATCAGCAAGAGCCATTCCATACGCAGAGAGAACTGAAGAGTATCGATGAATCAAGATTTGGCTGATTCCGAGAGCTTCGGCGATAGCGACTGCATGTTGACCGCCTGCACCACCAAAGGTTGCAAGTCTATGCTTCGAGGTATCATGGCCTCTGGCTTCGGTCAGACTACGGATAGGTCTTGTCATGGTCTCGTTTGCGATTTTGATAAATCCATAGGCAACTTCATCAGCAGACATATTCTGGTCCTTGACCTCTTGATTGATCTTTGTCGTCAGCTCCTCGAAAAGTTTCTTGCTGGCTTCAGGATCCAGGCCCTCATCTTCGTTCTTGCCAAAGATCTTAGGGAAGAAGTCGGGTAAAAGGCGTCCGAGGAACAGGTTCGCATCGGTGATGGTCAGTGGTCCATCTTTTCTATAGCAGGCAGGTCCAGGGTGTGCGCTTGCCGATTCTGGTCCGACAACAAACAGTCCGTTCTTGAAGAACAATCGTGAGCCTCCTCCAGCAGCGACCGTATTGATGTCGAGCTGGGGAGATTGGATGGTAACACCAGCGGTCGTAGTTTCGAAGACATGTTCATATCTTCCCTCACCGTATCTTGATACATCGGTGCTAGTTCCTCCCATATCAAAGCCGATGACGGGTGTTTTCGTCTTGGGGTCGTATGAAGTCAAGGCATATCCAACCACACCGCCGGCAGGACCACTCAAGATAGCGCGTAGACCCGAGAATGAGTCGACATCAACCAAGCCTCCATCCGATTGCATGAACTCACATCGCGCTCCTCTTGCACCCTCTTCATGCTTGACACTGGCAGTGCCCAGTCCACCTTCGAAGCCTTTTTGAAAGCCGTCAATGTATTTACGGATCGCAGGGGTTAGGTAGGCATCTGCGCAAGCTGAAGTAGCGCGAGGAACAAGTTTGATCATGGGCATTAGCTCGTGACTCAAACTGACGTGCTCGAAACCAATCTCTTTTGCAATCTTGCCTACCAAGGCTTCGTGTTTCGGGAAAGTGTAGCCGTGCATGAGACAAACAGCGATACTCTTGAGGCCAGAATCATAGACTTCCTGTAATTGGTTGCGTATTTGGTCGTGGTCGGGTCTCTTGAGAATGCGAACAGCTTCGCCTGACAAGCCCTTGACGAGTTCGGCATTGTCGCCAGCCTCTTCGATAGCTTTTGCATCTGTCTGGTTCCTCGTAGGATCCTCGGCATAATCTTCCAGTGTGACTCTTTCCTCAATCTCGACGACCCTCTTGTAAAGAACCTCGGGCTTCTTGATTGCCAAATCGAAGATGTTGGGTCGGCTCTGGTTGCCAATCTCTAGACAGTCTTTGAAGCCTTTTGTGACAACCATGGCGATATCCTCTCCTTTTCTTTCTAGTAAGGCGTTTGTGGCTACAGTAGTGCCCATTCTAATGCTCTCGATCTTGGTCGTGTCTAGCGGTTCGCCTCGGGGNATGTCTTTGCCGGTGAATTTGGAGAGTAGGCGACGGATACCTTCTAGAGGGGCGTCATCATAGTTTTGAGGATCCACGGAGAGGAGCTTGATTACAACATCGTCTTCCATGTTGCCTGTGCCGGGGTTGCCGACGCAATCTGTGAANCTGGAGTACAGTAAGTCGGCTGTGTTGAGAGGGAAACACTGAGTATGACTCACGGTACCACCGCGATCAATAGCGATGCGGATGCCGCGCTCGCTTCTCTTCTCTGAAGCCATAGTGGGCAGTTTGGACGATTATACACTCGGGTGTTTACTGGGAAGCCCGACTCTGAATATGGCGCGAGATATAAGTAGTGATGTCAAGTAGATGTATAGGTATAAGACAATCTACGAGAGAGAAGTACAAGGAAAGAGGACAAGGAAATGGGAGAGTTTCACAGAAGGGTTGCTTAACAATTCAAGATGGCTGATCGGGGAGTGTCACCTATCGCAGTATCGCGCCCCACTGCAATTGTGACGTGCGTCGGAACCCTAGCCCGATGGCGGGGGCACGAGAGATGTCTCTGCCAGGGAGACATAGTCTAGACCATGTCAAAGCAGTATACACAAGTTCGGCTTGTATGAGAGCAATCAAGAGAACGTGTATACAGGATTGAGCTGCAAAGAAGAGTTCGTCGAAAGTGCATGGGGAATGCTTGTTGGAAGACGCGTGCAGACAGCTTCCGCACGGACACAGAGTGTCGGAAGGTCAAGTGTGGGACAAGTAGGAGATGATGGCGCCTGCTGCATGTTTATCGTCAACGGTCACAATTAATCTGTCGCACAATATCGCTGTCGCCGATGTTCTCCTATTGAATCTGCTCTCTGTCACACGACCAGCTACACCACTGTGCAATGCACGACTCTTGCGCCCGATCCCTCGCTTCCGACAACCCCCTGTACTCGTAGACTCAAAGCGCCATGGAAGACCACCCGAACGACCACGAACATGACGAAGAGCATGGCTTCGACGAACAGCCCAAGCCGCGCGAACTGCCTGCCGACCTGCCTCGCTCACTAGATGACCGCAAGACCTTCTCTGGCTACGGCAATGTCGAGACCGAGTACTACGATGCCTGGCAAGGTATGTGACTGCCTGATCTACTTGTTCAGTCCTGGCTGACCTTCCACCCAACAGGCCAGTCACAATTCCTCACCGCCCCCACCATCGCCCAATCGAACAACTTCAACCTCTCTCTGAACGAACCCGACGACTTTGATCCTTCCGAACGCGACCTGGCTGAGCACGACTCCAGGCTGGCCCACATGTTGGCAACCCAGGTCCGAAGCAACGAAGACGACAACGACATTGAAAGCACAGAAGACAACGTCGTCAACGACAAGAACCTCAGCGACGCCGAAAAGAGACAGATGCTACAAGACTTCCTCTTCATGGCCGCCAGCAACGGTGACGTCGACCGAATTAAGCGTCTAGTCAGAGGAAGTCCTGCTTTGTATATCGACGTAAATGCTGTAGACTCCGAAGGCACTCCTCCCTTGGTCTATGCAAGTTGCTTCGGTCACAAAGATGTCGTCATGTCTTTGCTGGATGCTGGCGCTGAGGTCGACAAGCAAGATAGGAACCAATGGAGCGCCCTCATGTGGGCCATGACCAACCGGCACAAGGACATTGCCAAAATTCTATTAGACCATGGTGCTTCTACCGAGATTCAGTCATCCACCGGAAGGACTGCCCTTGATTTCGTTGCACCAAATAGCGACATGTCAGAGTATTTGAACGACAGTGGCTACACGATTGGAAATGCCGGTGTGACGGATGATTTCTACAACTCTGGTTTCTCTCAAGACCGCTTCGAGGAGGAAATGGCCGAAAATGAGATGAAGCGACGCATGATGATGGAGAGCGCAATGAATCTCGAAGTCGACCTAGGGAACCTCGGCCTGGACGAGCAACCCGAATCTGCAGACGAGTTTGAGGACTCGCAGGAATTCGTTTGGGACAGGTGCCTCAACGACCAAATGTTCGTCTTCCAGGAGAACGATTCAGATCGCATTCTCAACATCGTTGTCACCGAGATGACTCCCCAGCGATCGCCATCTCAAAAACCTATACCCGCCAACATTATTTTCCTCGGAGCCAGATATGCACACTATCACTCTAGCCAAGAGTTGCTGACCGAGTGGCTCAACGCAGCTCAAGACAAGATTTACGCCGTAGTAGAGAAGCATCAATGGGACATGACTATGCTTGCTTTCTGGATGTCCAATACAACCCTCTTGTTGTATTACCTGAAGAAGGATCCTGGACTGGCCGAAGTCACCTCGACATTCCAAGCCAAGATGGCTGAGTTGATCCACGAAATCTATGTGCTTATTATCCGAGATGCGGAAAGGCGCATGGACAAAGTCTTGGACGAAGCCATGCTAGATCACGAGACCATCCCTGGATTCGAAGATATCGCTTTCCAGAACGAATGGAAATTCCTACGGTCAAAACCAAAGGTGAAAGCGCCTGAGCCGCTGGAGAAACGCTTCCGCCCTCCTTCGCCCAAGCGTCGCGCTCAGGTGTCTCCTAGGAACATCACTTCTCTTCTATCTTCGACATTATTCGTCCTCGACCTTTATGATGTTCATTCTGTCATTACCACGCAAGTCATGTCACAACTGCTATATTGGCTCAGTGCTGAGATCTTCAATCGCATCATGTCCAACAAGCGCTACCTCGCACGAACAAAAGCAATGCAGATCCGCATGAACATCTCACAGCTTGAAGACTGGGCACGAACCAACAACAGAGCTCCCGAGCACTTTGAGAACGGCTCCTTGAATGCCACAGGCGAAAACATTATCGAAGCTGCTCGTAAGCATTTAGCGCCAGTAGTACAGCTTTTGCAATGGCTACAGTGCTTCTCATCACTCGGCCAAGACGACGAAGCGCTGGACACTACACTACAACAATTACCCGCCTTGACGACGAAACAACTCCTCCACGCAGTAAAATACTACCGCGCCGAAGTCGGCGAGAAACTCTTACCAAAAGCCGCCCTCAAACTCGTGGAAGAAAGCAAAAGACACCTCGCCCACAAAGCCGCCGAAGAAGCAACCTCAACCTCCGACCCATCCCTTTCCCCCTCCACACCCGCAAAAGGCGACAAAGCCACTGTCCCACCACCCCCAGTACTACGCAAAGACGAGGACGACTCCNCCGAAGGCAATCTCGTGGATCCCGCCTTGCTGCTACCTTTCCACCTCCCCACATCAACAGATATGCTGGTGACCTATGGCGCAGGCTTTGGCGGCGTAAACAGAGAACGCGAACGTAGGTATACGCCTACAGTCCCGCCAGACTTTTTCCAAAAACTGGATCCGAGTGGGGGTGCGAGGAATTTGTATGAGGATGCTAAATGGAGTGATGAAGATGTGGATTTGGGTAGTTAAGAGACTTTTGTCGTCGTCGAAATCACAGTCACGGTCATTTTTATCTTTGCAATCAGAGTGTCTTTCCAATTCATTGTGTAAGAACTCGGTTGTCTGTGAAGAACGTTGTAGCTCAAGCACCTTTGTGGCTCAAGTTTTGTTTTACCGTGACTGCGAGACGGAAGGCTTTTGAGATACTGTATAGATTCGGTGCAAGACGAAGAAGAATAGATAATCATGTCGAAGGTATCAATTTGGGGAAGAATTGTACTGATAGTTACTAATGCACACGCCAAAACAGAAACCAAAAACACATGAACCTCAACGGCACAGCTGCGGATTCATAGCCACCGTATCAACCATGACAAGATCCTAGCCATCCTTGCAACTCAAGAGCGCTGGAGGTGAGTTTGGCTGCCGAGACCAAGAGGTCAAGTGAAAGAAGATGAAGACGACGAACAAGAGTATATCCTTTGATTCCGGATCCAGAGGAACAGGCAATTCACTCGCATCAAACGGTTGTCTGCGCTCATGCATCTTTGTCACTTCCTCTTACCCTCTCTAGCCCGCCGCAATGCGCACTCGTTGCACAAGGTATTGGGACCATTAGGTCCATCGTGCCACTCAGGACTGTCGCTAGTTCCGCAGATTGCACAGACACGTTCTTCGTTTTCATTGTCTTTCTTCTCCTCGTCCTGCTCCTCCTCCATGTCGCCATGTGCACTGGGAGATTTTTTTGGCGATTTTGGCAGGGGGAGATCCGGACTTGCAAGCGCAAGCGTGTCCTTTTTGACACATCCACCGCATGGACGATTGCCATCGCATGACCTTTTTCTTTTGCGGCCGTGTTTGTCTTTGGCAGAGAGAGGTTCCGACTTGCAAGTGGAAGATTCTCCTCTCTTGACACAGCGACCACATGGTTGTTTGCGGTCGCATCCCACTTTGTCTTCGCGACACCTCGAGCAGGCCAGAGGAAGGTAGTCGAATTTGACTTCGGCTTTCTTTTGCTTTTCCCGGTACCATTTCACGCCACATTTGTTGCATAAGGTACGGGAACCATTGGGTCCTGGGCGGCAAGGTGGATCTGGACAGTGTTCACAGACTTTTCTGCTGGCCATCTTTCTCTCTACGCAAGAGCACTTCATGCATATTGTCCTGGAACGTGAGATGCCCGATATTCCACACCGCGCACAGACGTGTTCTTTCTGAGACCCAGTTTCCACACGAGGACTGCGTTTTGGTTTATGGCTCCAGTCAACATTTTCAGAACTTGATGCACTCTCTCCAACAGGACGTTCATTGTACTCTCCAGTAGAGTCTCCATCAAATTCTCCAATATACTTGTATTCAGACCCTGCGTATTCTTCCTCATCTTCCTCATCATTTCGATTAAGTGTATTGTCCTCTTCGTTTTCTTCTGAAAACTTGTGTAGTGTTGTTCCTAGCGGCAGTTGCCCATCGTCGTTGTCATCTTCACTATCGTCATCATCTGATCGGGGTTGATAGTCTTTGTCATCAGATTCGGACTGGTCGTCATCATGTGTTGGTTTACGGTCTTCGTCTTCGTCACTCGTCAGTCCATAAAGATCTTTCTCCTCGATCTCAGGAATTTTCTTGAATTCTTCAGAGCGTTGGTCAGAGCGTTGGCCGGATGCCTCCCCATAGACGTGTCTTGCTCGAGTTGCGCTTCTGTGGTCATCCAAGGAGAACAAAGTGAAGGATTTACATTGCCAGAAATCTCCTAATCTTCTTCGATCTCTCCTTCAGCATCCTCCTCAGAATCTCCACTAGAACCTTTCTAGGATTCTTCTGTTTCCTTGTCGGATGCCTCCTTCATAGTCGTGTCTTCCTCGGACTTCTCCGACCCTGCTGTCGTGTCGACGGTGGGTTCTTTGTCACTCGGCTCTCGTGGTAGTTCTGCGGCTTCAGGCTCCTCAGTTGCTTGAACTTCTTCTGTAGCTGATGTCTCCGGCTTCCCCGTGGCTTCCTCGAAAGCCTCTGCAGTTAAAGGCTCTTCGGTGGCTTCGATGGCTTCGGACGCTTCCGTAGCTTCTGTAGCTTCATCTTGTTCCTCAGCTGCCTCCACAGCTGCTGAAACGGGTTGCTCGTGTTTCTCTGTGACTGGCGATGGAGCGCTCTCTGTGACTGGCACGGAAACCTCTTCTGTTGGCGCAATAGGCTCCTCTGTGACCGGCGCAGGAGCCTCCTCGGCCTCGGTAGGTTCCGTGGCTGCTGGGACTTGCTCTTCCACGTCGGGCTTTGTTGATAGGGATGTTGTGGTTTCAGTGGGCTCCTCATCTTGAAGCTCTTCTCCCTCGCTGACCTCCCCATCCTCACGATCGTCATCCTCGTCACCATCTTCGCCCTCCTCGCCGTCTTCATCGTCTCCTTCATCGTTGGCGTCAGGCTTTGGAGTAGAATCGATGTCCATGGCTGAGTCGTCTGCATTTGCGTTGAGGGACGAGGGCGTAGCGACACTGACTCCACCTCCAGGTGTCGAGGTCGCTGCAGCGTTGTGTCCTTCGTTTGGGTTGAACATGACCTTCTTCTTGCCACGGCCAGGTCCACCCTTTCTGATTCTACGTGGAGGAATAGGTTTGCGTCTCATTGGCTGTTGTTGTTGCTGGAGCAGATCGGTCGCAACGAAGACACCTTCAGCGTTGGCGATACCGACGCCATCGATGACTGTGCCGGGAGCTGCTTGAATGGGGGCAGCATCAGCCATGATAGCATCATCCACGACTTCGCCCTCGACGGTTTGGCCCTCGGGAACTAAGACTTCGTAGACTGTGGTGTTGCCGTCTGCATCCGACTTCATGATCTTAGTTTTCCGTGTGTTTGCCGACGAAGCCACGGCATTTGCTGCTTGCAGTGCTATCTGAGTGTGCATACTGGGGAGACCCTTGCGGCGCTTGGCAAGGAACTCTCTCTCAGGCTTTTCCTGGTGAGAGGGCACTTGGCTCCACTTCTTGGATTGCCAACCAGTTTGGACAGGTTCGCCCTCTTCCTCTTCTTCCTGCTTGTCATCTTCGGTTGGTTCCTGGGGTCGCTTTGCAAGTCTAGGTCTTCTTGCTTCACGCAGCAGTTGTTGTGTCAAAGGAGTAAGCAGGTGTGAGTCACGTGGCATGGGCAGTTCAGGCAAGGCGTTGTCACCGCCTTGGACAACCTCTGTTGGTGGTGGAAGGCCCACTATGCTGTCTGAGGAAATCCATTGACGAACAGGCAAGCCCTCGAATACATCAGCATCTGCCTGGGAGCGACCAGAGCGATTGCTGCGGCCTCCAGCGCGAAACTGTTGAGCCATCGACGTCAGTTAGGGTCTTTGAGATTTGCTCGGTGGTCGAGAAGGCTATGGTTGGTTCTTCCAGATAATAGATCGTATTGCTGGCGGAACGATGATTTTGCGAGGATGAAGGGGTAGAGATGGGTAGATGAGAACTAGAGCCCGTGTGTGTTGTTGGAATAGGGGTGCCTTGACTAATATTGACCAAGATGCATGCGGCTTCGAGAACCTCGTAATCGATGTCTTCCAATGATACGTTGGGATTCATGCTCTTTTGAATGGGGAACTTGGGAAAGACGATTGGGACTGCGGGAAATTGAGAAAGCATGACGCGCGGAGTTTTAGGGAAGGTGCAGTGAGAGGGAAAGGTCAGACAGAGAAGCGCCGAAACAGAAAGGAATAAGGCGAAGAGTGGGACAGAAAGAGAAGGCACGTACAGGAGCCATGACTGCGTTTTTTTACACTTGCGGTCAGAGAGTTTCAGAGGGCAAGTCGCTGTTTCCCAATCAAGTCCGATACGTCTCCTGATAACAATAGTGCTGCCTTCGGACAACTGTCTCTTATTAACGCACTTTTGCGAGCGATAAACAACTGTTGCTTGGTTGGCGACAGCGCGTCTCCCCTCACGGCCCGACGACGACGCGACTTGACGGACGTCTCGGGAGTCTCGGCGACCGGCGACTCTTCGGCATACAGCTGGTTGCGCAGTCTAGGTCTCTAGCAGAGCAGCAGTAGTGAATGGACAACTTGGTGTTGCTGCAACAAGGATGAGATTTCATGTGTGTAGAATGTTCATGTTGACTCGAGTAGTGGTATGGTTACAGTTCAGCCCAGCAGGGCGAGTGGTATTTTATAAAGCATATAAACCGTGACTCCACTTCCGTCGCACCCAAAAGAAGACAAGCTTAGTCCCAGCTAGCTCTCATGTTAGCATGTGCTCGAGTATACTGACACGACTGCTGAACTCACCCGTGTTCGGTTTGTCTAATGATGTCGTTTCTGCCGCCAGTCTGCTTGCCTGTCTTGCCTCCCTCGACCACTAGCCTGTCTAGCTGGAAGAATTGGCTGACAACTGTCTGTCTCTGAAGCGCAAGAGTCAGCAACTGTGACATGTCTCATGTATGAAGTGTGTCATGCAGGCCATATGCGCAGGTACGCAGATATCGTAGAGGCTATCCCAACACCGCTCTCGCTCTCCATCTTGATTTTGCTCCGACCTGATACCACTGCATATGGCTTCCTGCATAAATTCTTCATGGGCTTGTCTAAGGACTCACCTTCAACATCTGCAATTCTGTGTTTCCNCTCGACAGAAGCTCTTGAATTTTACTCGAGTCGGATTCGGACATGTGCTGGCGGAAGGCATCCTTGGTACGACGCACGGCGTACTCGCGGAAGTTGTATGCGGCGAACTGGTTTCCCTGGCGCAAGAGTTTGCGGTACTGTGTCGGAATGCTGTTAGCTCGATGTGCTCTGAGCGGCGAATTGTGGTGTCGCAAGATTCATTTGTAGGGCAGGACGGTTAGGGCGCGTTCGAGATGGGTTAATCGTACCAGGGAACGGACTTTGAGTTGTGATGCGCTCATGTTTGGGTATGTGAATATGGTGAGGCGAGAGATTCTTCGACGACTTGTATCTGCGGCAATCAATTAGCATGGGCTTCGTCTCTAGCTTCGTCGTATGCACTAGGTGAGTGGACTCAGAAAGCAAGGCCAACAACGCACCTTTCAAATACGACGTTCAGCAAAGGTAAATTCAATTGTCAGTCGGTAGTAAAATAGTAGGTAGGTATCTCCAAGCAAATGTTGCCGTTATGTCATCCAAAAGCTGATAGACCGAGAGTCCGAATCTCCGTCCGACCCTTGACTTGACAGATGCTTGGCAAGGCCTGGATTGATGCCGCTGACCCAATTGTTCGCGAGACATGGAAGGGATAAAAAATGAAGAAAAATGACAACTTCGATTCGAAAAAGACCATATCCTTGCAATTAAAAACATGTTAAACCTTTGCAGAACGAAGAACAGATATCCAAGTGCATGTCCTGCATCCCTCTTTGACGCCGTTCCAGGTATACCGTTCCCAAGCCCCATCCAATCCTATTTCACTTTCAATCCTCCGCCTTGACTGCTCTCATAGTACGAGCCATCTTAGCTGCATCCTTGGTGACCGCCCTGACCTTCATTGAGCCTTTGGGAATGCTCTTATTATCCATGCTGCGACGAGCAGGCTTGGTCACTCGGGAGCTGTCATCTACTCGCGATGCCTCTCTGTCCTTGTTCTTGATGGACGAGAGTCTTCCGAGCTTCTGAACTTTCTTGGAAGGAGCTTCTGGTGTGGCCTTAGGTCTGTGACCAGTCATCCTAGTGGTCACCTTCTGAACGAAGCGCCTGGCCCCATTCTTGTCTTTGGTAACGGTAGTGGTGGTCGTGGTCTTCTTGACTTCGAGGTCTGCCGGAAGGATTCCCTGCTTCTGAAGACGTGCAATCTCCTTGTCCTTGCGAGCCTCCTCAATTCTGGTCTTCTCCATGGTGTCGTCGACGTAGACCCAACCCTTGGACATCTGGGGAACCTTGCGCTTCTTGAAAAGTTCCTTGTCCACGTCGATTGCAGGGGTAGCACCAAAGAACTCGCCGACCTTGCGCTTCATGCCAGCGGCCATTCCTTCCTTCTCCTTCTTGGTTACAGGCTTGTTGGCATCCTTCGGTCTCGGACCCAAGACGCCACGGCAATTGGTTGCACCACAACGGCACTCCTGAACATTCTTAACAGAGTAAGGACTGTGAATCGCGTTAGAATTAATTTGTTCAGGCAAGGACTGGTCTTTAACTTACTCAAAGTTGTAGTCGTAGGTCAGTTCCTCGCCAGTCAAGATGCCACGGTCGCCTGCGAACAGAGCCATTCGTGGTTGGCCTCCGACGAAACGCTTGAGCATCTTGCAATTTGGCTCGCAGGAGTGGTTGACGAACCGGGCAATAGAGCCCTTGGTCGCATCAAGGATCATACCTTGATCGAACTCCATCTGGTAGTAGTCCTAGAACGACGTTAGCCAATGTTTAAAGCGTCTCGCGACATCTGAACTTACGGCCTTATCCTTGTAGTCTTCTCTAATTCTTCTACCAGCCTCGTTAGGTGTGATGATCTCGCCAGTGTACTCGGTAATGATCTCGTGCGGCTCGTACGATCTACAAGCGCGCACACCAAAGCCTCGGTCTGGGGTCTTGATGACCTCGACTCCGGCATTGAAGAGATAGTATGCCGATTTCTTGTCAGCCTTGTTCGCGCGCTCCGTACGAACTCCAAGTCCAGCGAAGTCACGGTTTGTGCATAGATCTCCAAGAGCACAGTTGTTCGAATCGCATTCGTAATCCATTGCACGATTGAGACAATGTTCACCGCAGCCAGGCTCTGACGATCCGGGGAGCGGTGGCGTGCAAATACACAAAGATCTTTCGTAGTGAGGCTTCCTCCAGTATTCTTTGGCGTCACCGACCAAACGGTTCTTGTGAACCTTGCCCCAGTCCTTTGGCTTCTCCTCGCCACGTTGGTGGTGGACAGGAGCAAAGACATCGTAAGGAATGGTGAAAGGTCGTTCCCTCTCAAGGTAGGAAAACATAGGCAAGGCGACAAGACTAGTACGCTTCTCGGGCTGGGTAGCATCAGGAAGGAAGGAGGTTGACAAAGGACGAGCTTTGCCAGTGGGCTTCCGCGAAGTCTTGGGGATGGATTGATCATCATAGCTTGTAAGGCTTTGACCTGCGTATAGACCTTGGGTTTCGTAGCGCTTTGTCGGCTTCTTGCTCTTGGTAGAAAATACCTGTGGCATGTTGATGCTGAAGCTCGAAGAGAGGCGAGCAAGCTTGCTGGGTCTTTCAACACGTTCTGATTGCTCATGGACGGTGTCGTCGTCTTGTTGTGCCTCCTCACTTGCGTCTTTGGGACCTTCGATGGCCAGTAGTCTGCGACTCTGTCTGCGGTCTGTCTTGTCGGCTTCGCTTGCCTCTCGGTCTCGCTTGCCGAGCACGCTCTTCACTCTGCCCAGGGCGCGACCGGTCGTCTCGATCAACATGTCCATCGAAGATCTGTGTCGACGCTTCTTCCTGTCAGGCCGATCGGAAGCACTGTCACCAGGCAGGTTGTCCATCTCCCAGTCCATGTTCAGAGCCTTGACACCGTCGTTCAAGAGCTTGCGGTTCGGAGTGTCGGACGAAGGTCCAGGAGCGTCATCGACAAGTGTGTCTCCAGAGAAGTTGCGAGCAGCTTTCTCCAGGGCCATCTCGCGACCGGCAGAAGTACGGCGTACGCCAGAGAGGACTCCGAGGTTGTATGATGCCGGACCTGACTTGCGACGTGACGATGCACGACGCGTCAGGTCTGCTGCAGATGTCGCGCTCATCTCTTCCTTGTCGATTGCTGACCCGACATGATCTTGTTCGGATACGCTGGTAGGGGGTGTAGACATCAGAGCGAGAGCGGCCGATGAGAGCGAGCCCTCACGCGCACTGCCACCAACTTCGATGTTCGATGCTGCTGAAGATGAGCTTGTCGAGCCCGTTGATAGTCGCGGCACGGGCAAGCTCTTTCTCTGTTTGGCCATCGTACGTGGCGGGTACTGGGTTGGTTTTGGTTCGAGGTGATAGTGGTTGAAATCAAGGTGGGGAGAGACGCGAGAAAGAGACGCGCCGACTAAAGAGCCGTTGCTATATTCGCTGAGCCGACTCGAAAAAGAGCTCTAACCTTTCGGCGAGGACAAGTATCTGTCTGGCTGCTGTCTGAGGATGAGTTTAGAAGGACATTGCTCTCCTCGGCAGGCAGGGGTCTTCAGGGATAGTGTTTCCGTTTGTTGTGGCACGAATCGGAGCTGAGTGGAGGATTAAGTTCCCGCGCCTCAGTCGCGTCTTTTGTGGCATTCCGCTCCCCTTAGCAACACCCGCTGTCAGCATGAACATGTGCATGTACCTCACTATCTACGCTCTCGGCTCATTCAACATGTGACTGACGTGTCTCGAGAAGTGAATTGATTCGCTGATAGGGGTATAGAGACAAGCTAGATATAGATGTACAACCAAGAAGAAAAGGCAAATAGAATAAAACCGGCATTATGGACGTGAGCAATCGTCACGAAGTGCTGCAACATGAATAGGAGCTGTGAAGAGAAAGCAAAGGCATAAGTAGAGGACTTTCACCTCCTAGGTGTGTTGTTAATAGGAGTCAAGGTTCGCTGTCCTTGGTAACCACCAACATTGCTGTTAGCAGTCCCGCTTTTGATCTCGCTCATCTCCATGTCGCCCTGCTTTTCTGACTGCTTGGCCATTCTGGACCGCCGTTCCCCAAGGCGTTGATCACCTTCCTCGTGGCGGTGTCTAAACTGCATATATGTCGGTGGACGAGGCCTCGTGAAGACACTGGACCAATTTGCGAAGATTGAGTGCTGGCTGAATGGACGATGGCGATCCTTCTTTTGGAACTTGTGACTGTTGAGATATTCTCTGGTTGTCTCGCCCCTGCCCATGAGGAAGAGATGGTAACCCCAGAGACTCATAGGATATGTAAGGATGAGGAACGAGTACACACACATGGCAGCTGGAACACGCCAGACGTTGAGAGCGTGCCCAAAATCCGAGTGGTTCCGCTTCATCCACACAAGGATATGGGTAAGACTGGCTGCGAGTAAGAATAGGCCCAAGACTGTGCCGGAAGCGACAAATGTAAGGAAATAGCGGTAGTTGCGTCGACCCACACAGTTGTTGAGCCAAACACAGTGGTGGTCCTGAGTCTCGATACACGAGTCACAGATGCGACAGTGATGAGCACGTGGAGGCCGCCAGATGTTGCAAGATTTGCAAAACTTGATGGGAACCTCCATGGCGGTAGTACCGTTACCACCCGCAGATGGGCCAAAGGATCTAACAGTGACCCATTCTGTGGTGGATGGTCCAATAGCTAGCGGGTCTTCGTCCGCTGGAGTAGGTGGCTGAGGATGTAGATTACGTGGGATGATCTGTAACATATTAGCACACAATTTTATGACGGAATAGCCAGAAGAAACTCACCCCGGGNNTTCGGAAAAGGAGGCATGAAGGTAAGAAGATATACAGATGAAGAAAACGTAGGCAAAAAGGATGGGTATCGCCGGAGAAACGTTATGCCATAGCCATGGAGCAGAGAAGCCAAAGAACAAAGCAGCAGGGATGACAGCAAGGAGTGCAGTAAAGACATTAAGCGGCCGCTGCCGAGTATTAATAAGTCTGCCACGGAGAAAGAAGACGGCATTTCCATTGAAGTATTGGTAGTTNTTACCGTCGGTAGTCGGCTTGTGGCCCTGGGCGACGGGAGTGGCCGGGTGGTTTGCAGGTGAAGGTGGCACAGAGGGCAACTTTTCGTGGCCGTCTCTATCGGCGCTTCTGCCATTAGCCCTGCTCGAACGACTCTGACGGCTCCATGAAGGACGCAGAGAGATGGGCGACTTTTGTGCTTGCAACGAAGAGACGGATCTAGTGGTACCGTCTATATCGAGTGCAGGCGGCTTCCGCAAAGGATATTGACTCTCTTGACTTTTGGCACTGCCGAAGGGTTGCAAATCTCGATTGAACTCGTAGTTTGTGGTTGCAGTTCCTCGGGAAGTGGGCAAGGGAGGAGCATCCGGGTCAATTCGAGGCCTGTTACTCTGCTCGAGAGTCACGATCGACGCATTGCTATTGCGAGAACGGTGAGTTCTGCGACCACTGTCGATACTCGGTCTTGCGATGGGAATTTGCGGGTTTTGCGGACTCGTGGGCGGCGGAGATTGCGTTTCGTTACGTCTCGGACTGGTTGGAAGGAATGCACTCGATATAAGATTCGGAACGTGGGTGCGGCGAGAGGGGTCGTTCTGATAGCTGCCACTACCACGGCCACCCAGAGAGGGCACGGGAGAACCCACGCGAGCGGCGGATCGTGTGCGGTAATGTGAGCTGGTCGTATTCGAGGCGTGCGGACGTGATGGTGGAAGTCCTGCTTCTCCAACAGGACCGGTGGTGGTAAGGACAGTATGGGTGTGTTGGTGGTCGCCGTCCGGACCTTCGTCGTTGGTACGAAGGACACTGTCGGCCATGATCGTCAAGCGCCGGCGATGATCAATGCATGTCCTGTTGCTGTGTGCCGCCTGTGTTTGTTGTTTTGGTCGTCGATGGCGCACAAGTCCTCCAGAAACACACCAAAGCGACAAGATGCTGAACTGAAGAAGAACAGTGCAGCGACTTGTTTGCTCTGTGCAGGAAGTCGTCAGGTGTAGAGTAAACCACGATCAGCGCCGTTTCCAAATTGCGCTGCCCGAGAGTCAAGCCGTCCGTGCCACCTGAACTCTATCAACACTATTAATCTACCATTATCGTGTCGAAGACTCTAGGCCATGTAAAATCTGCTTGTATGAATAGATCTCTGTCTGGCCGAGAACTGTGATTAGTTGAAATCCCATTCTGAATTGAAAGGTTGGATGATTGGTATGTTGTGGTTTGGTTGTCGAGGTGCTTCATGGTTTGCGTAGTATTCGTGTTGATGGCAGGGAATGAAACATTCGAAAACAGAAAATGTTATGTTGACAGCCAACGAATGCTCACAATACGACATCCGTAGTGCTGTAGCGTCATATTATGGGAAGGATGCCACACGCGGTATTTCATCCAATAATATCCTGTACATGGCGAGCTATAGTGCTATTCATGTTAGAAAGCATTGTAAGCAGGACAACCCTGACCCATCAATCACGATGACCGCACAGCGGAACGCCAAGAGTCAGGCCATTGGAGGAGCGGAAGCTCGCCAATTCAATCCGACCGCAAGCAACCCGTAAACGCAATTGAATCTATCTCTCCACTCTACCATACACCACACACAACCCCTCACAATGGCCTCAATCATCGGACGCGCCGCCTTCCGCGCAACTCGCCCTCTCCGCGCCTCGGGCATCAACGCTGGCTCCGAGAACGCTGCCTCTGCCGCCAGCCGCGAAGCCGACAAGAACGCCCTCAAGCAGGGCGCCCGCAAGGACCCCGAGCTCTACGTACGTCGACAACCCCTCTGCGCCTGTCCAGAAAGATAGAAAGATGCTGCGAACAAGCCACAAACTTCAATGCCTCCCCTACGAGCACCCCTCACTGCTGTGCTTCATATCCACCGGCCAATGACAGGATACCCGATTACTGACAAGGCTTCGCAATCAAACAGANTCCTGCTCACCATCATGTCCGGTGCCTTCGGTCTTGCTGGCTGGCACTTTTCGCGCAACCCCACCTCTTCCTCATCCGAGAACCCCGTTAGCAAGGCTGTCGACTCCGAGCCCTGGAAGACCGGTGGTGAGGCCAAGTACCAGTACCACCCCGGCGGTGACACCAGCAAGCCTCGCAAGGACGCCCCCTCTGCTCTGAACGAGGTCATTGTCCCCAACGTCAACCTGCCCAGAGTGAGTAGCTACCCACATTCATATATCGACTTCAGCAACGCTGATATCTTGACCAGGNAGCTTCACGAGAAGTACAACAAGTGGGGCAAGGAGGGCTACTAGACAGCTAAAAATGGCTCGCAAATTGTATAGATACCTCAACTCGAAGCCGCCTTTTTCTTCTGTCACCTCAAATCTCACACTTCTACGAACTCTTCGCTCAAGAGGCACACGAAGCTCCCGGTAATCGATGTGCCTGTATTGATTCGTCTGTCTATGATGGAAGCTATCTTCAGGCGAGAAACCACGAATACGCATCGAGAATCGTTAATCCCCAGTCGTCCATTCGCTTGACCTGCAGCTTACGCCCCGTCCATATCAATATCCTTGATGCACCTCATAGTCCCCTGTCGTAGACAGTCATTGCCATAGTCTTGATCCGCCTTGATTTCCTTGGTTGTCAATTCTCGTAACCTTCTTCAGTACTTCAGACTCGAGCCGAATCTAAGCCTTGCGTTGGAAGGGCGAACACCACCAGCACTGACACCGCGGTGTCCATCGAAAGCGTCGAACTTGCTCTCGAAAGGGAGGGGTCTGTAGCGCGAGTCTCTACTAATACGCTCAGGNGGCTGACTCCAATCCTCGCCAAANAAGCTGTTGTTGCCGTTGGCGCTCTTGTCGATGCACCATTCTGGTGGATCGCAGAATGGAGAAAGATATCCGCGACGCTGCTCGATAGGGCCTTGAGTGTATTGTGAGAGGCTCTCGTGCATGGAGAGAAACAAGCGCGTCGTGACTTCATTGAACGGCTCCGGCTCTCGGTTTCTACTCGACACCGAACTAGCAGGAGGTGTTCCGATGGGTCCAGGATTGAACTTCGGCTGTGCGATGCTAGATGTTTGGTTGTGTGCTGTCTTGATGTACTCAAAATGTTCGTTCTGACGTTCGGTAATTGTGAGTCCACTATAGAACCAATCATGAAGCTCCTGCTCGTGACTTTTTCTGCTGGCTTCGCTCGGAACGTAAGGGCTGCCCATAAAGAACGGGCCGTTGAAGTTTTGAGGACTTGGTCTCGAGTACATAGCAAGCTCTTCAGTCGTCATGTGTGGTAGATTGATGTCGATAATCTCCATCGTTCTAGACTTTGGTGCGAACTCGGGCTCGCTAACAAGAGGATCGAAGGCTACATCCTCACTGCTCGTGGACGAAGATGCCTCGCCAATATAACTCGAAGTCGCCTCACCGATTGGAGTACTTGACCAGATGTTGTCGTGATGCTTAACTTCCGAGTCTTGCTTGATCATCGATGGAAGCGTAGGAGATTGGCTCTGAAATGGATCGTGAAGGACAGTTCGATCACCTGCATTGGCGTTCATGTTGCGAGATGTAGCAGCATCGAATATCTTGTCCAGACATGCCTTTGTGAAACTGCGCTGAGACGGTGCGGGTACTTGATCAGGCGAGGAAACTTGTGGTTGTGCCTTTTCGAGAAAGGTAGAGAAGTTCAGATTGGCAGAAGACGAGTGGAGCTGTGAGGTGACCGTCTGTGGTACGCTCTTTGGCAAAAATGAGCTCAGGTATTGGCTATGCTCATTGACACCAGGCTGTGTCGAAGCAGGTACTTTGAGATTGGGGGAAAAGAAAGTGCTGTCAACAGCATCATGGTCTCTGTCTGCAGAAAACGTCCCAAAAGATAGGTTGTTGAGGGCAGTCAAGCTGTAAGGCAGCTTGTTGAGAGCACTGGTCGATGCAGTGTTAATTGTAGTAGAGGGCAAGAAGTCGCGTTGGAAANNAAGGTTGCTGGATGGCACTGCCACAGGAGTACTGGACAACTTGCGTCTACTGCGAACACGAGAGGCGTAACCTTGTGCCCAAGGCTCAAGTTCTGGTCCAAGCGATGGTGTACGTGCCGGATGTTTCTTCTCTGGGTAGCGCTGTTCAGACTCCGATCTGGTTGGAGTTTCAGTAACAGAAGGTGTAACTGCCACTTTTCGCGCAGGGCGATTAACAGAAACTTTGGGCATGTAAGCTTGCAGTTCTTTCAGGCCGAAGGGTAGCTTCATCGTGGACGCCTCATGCTGCTTCGCAACCGCTCTGAAGTAACAAAGGCTATGCTGGAGGAGAGAGTGTAACTCGTTCTCGCCCTTTAAACGATGCGAGGCAAGAGTACCTTCAGTACGCCTGCGCGAATTGGAAAACTGACCAATGTTGAACCACTGGTAATCGGATTGTGACCACTGCTGAGCTGAAATGTCACCATTGGGATGCATGGCAAATCCGACCTGACCTTCTTTGTTTCCGACATTTCCNTGGAAGTAAGCAAGGGGAGGCAGGTCGTTGCCAAAAACTTCGTTGATTTCCTGCCTGTTAAAGGAGACGATGATAGCTGACGACTTGTCATCAACTTTGACCTCGTGCGCATTCAAGCCAACAGCAGATCTAGATGAGGGCTTGGTCTTCTTGCTAGTGACGAGCTGAAAGTCTCCATCATTTGCACTGAGAGTGGCAGAGTCTTTTCGAGGCGGCTCGAGGTTGCGAGAGATGGAGCTGTCGCGCGAGCCGGGTCGGAAGATTTTGGCGTGGACATCCAATGGGCTTTCCTTTCTGGATGCGCGACTCGTCAAGGTCACATCATTATCGCTTGAGTCTGGGTAGTCAAGATCCGGCCAATGTTTGGGGAGCCTGTGTCGTGTTGTCTTGGGGTCGATGAGCTTACTCAAAGGAACGGTGGGGTCGTTCTCGATGATCCTCTTGCTCTGTCTTTCGAGCCTTGCTGTCGCCAGTTCAGCGAGGCGAACCTGGTCCTCGGAACCAGAGTCAAGATAAGACATCTTGCCAGTCTCGCCAGGGTTCAAACTCTTGCTAAAAGACTTGGGCGAGGGTCCGGGTGAAGAAGAAACATACGATTTGGAGGCAGGTTCTTGATGGGCTCTTGCGCGCTCCAAGTCTTCGGCCTTGACAACGTTGATGTGGCTGAAGGGNGGTTTTGGCTTTGAAGAGCGAGGCAGTAGGCGATCTGCTGGAGTGCCCAACGGAAGTCGACGCTCGGAGATGTTGTGCAGAGTAGGCGTGGCACGCCTCTGCCAAGCTGATGATAGAATAAATGATTAGCGCTGGTCAACAAAGAAGGTGGCAAGCGGCCATTGCACTTACCTCGGGCACGGCGGCCGGAGTGAGTTTGGCTCGCCAGGATGAGAGTGGGTATGTAGCTGTTGTATACAGAATAGTCCGAGGACGCCGCTTCGGAGGACGAGACAGATATGCGTGAGCCGAGTTGTAAGCAGTTAAGAATCTGTCCACGCGTTCGAAACCAGTGTGAGGTTGAGCGGTTGAGCGTGCGCCTGCACAAAGTCACAAAAGGAAGGAAGCAGAAGTGTCCGGCTGGTCGCGACTTCCTGCACAACACTTTCGACATCGTTCAATTACGTGTTGCCCTTTCAACTTTCGTATGAAAGCGAAGTTCGACTCGCAATCCTCAGTCGTAGGGAATGAGGCTGGATGCACACAATCGTACTATTCGTTAGCAAACGATAGACGACCATTCATAGAGACAGGCTCGGATCAGACGCAAAAGTTAGCATCTCCTGGGAGCATTGAAAACGAATTTGTCTATCTGTCTGTGGCCCGTCTTTGACATCCATGCTGTCTCAGTCGGCCCAAAACCCGGGTAGCTTGTGAAATCGCCTATTCACTCCAAGTTACCTCAAGTCTCTCCTCAGAACTTAGCAGCAGTTGCTCAAGTTCAGTTCTGCTCCATCATCCATCGATGTACATAATACAACAAGCATATGTATGAGCATCATCACATCAACAATTCACATTGGTATATAACGTAGCATGAACGTACTGACCCTCGACCGTGACGTCTGCTAAAAAGGCCTTTGGCATAATTGTGGATTTCCGTCAAGACACATCTAGCCCGATGGTGCATCCTTGAGACAAACTCAAGCTACCCATGGCAAGCAGCTTTGTCTGTTTATCACAGACTTCACCAATCAATAGCTAGTCAGTGATATCTGAATTGATTGATGCAAACAGTAGAGAGAGACATGCAGAGCTCAAGCTCGCATGCAATCAAAGGAAGTTGCCTTTGTTCCATGCCGACAAATTGCCGCAGACCTTATCTTATCTCAGAGAGTCATAGGATCTTATGATCTCCATTGCTTCTCGGAGGTTGTAAAAGGATGTGAGATGCTCTGGCTTTGGCACCGCAGGTGTTCTTTCCCAATGAATGATGACAATGGCGTTCACCCTGCAACTTCTGTTCTCGACGAGTACATAACGAGGTGTTCAAGTTTCGAATCACACCCTCACGACCTAACCATTGAATTATCCAATTACTATCAATCATCCTTGAATCTGTACCCTACAAGACAGTAAATCCTGCACCGATGTTCAAAAGACCAGCTACACTTGCTGCCTCGATCCCTTGTGCTGTCTTGATCTATCTCAGTTTGACGCCTGCCGGACACTACCTGGCACGCAAGGAATTGAAGGACTAGGAGTCACAGGGCTAAGAGACTGAACCTCCAGCGACGAAGCATCATAAAAATGGAAAGCCACAGGATCACGAACATGGGAAGACTCATGGACCAAAAGATCATCAGCACGAGCATGTTGGAAAGACCGAAGGTGACAAAGAGCCAAAAGCGCGCTAAGGCAGGCAGCCAAGCCAATCGCGGGGCAATGGCGTAAGGTTATGGCACGCGATAGCGACGGCATTGCCGACTTGCGCATCCTCTCTACTACCTACCTGTCTCTCCCATCTGTTCCACCCATTGCGCACCTCGGCCTTGTACACACCTTCGACGGGCGCATACAGCATCTCTCAATTAGCCATGAACCAATTCCAGCCCAGTCCGTCTTCGAGGACGACCTCGACCATGCAAGCAATGCCCGATTCGAGATCACAGAGCTTCGAGGAGATCTATGGCCCACCCGAGAACTTTCTTGAGATTGAGGTGAGTCGCGTCGCTGCATTTATCTTCTTCGGCCGCTGACATTATTGCGCTTATCAGGTCTGCAATCCGCAAACCCATGGTCTGACTCCCTCATCGCGCTACACGACCTACGAGATCCGCCTGAGCACAAACATCCCCTCGTTCAAGCTGCGCAACAGTAGTGTGCGCCGCCGTTATTCAGACTTTGAGTACTTCCGCGATATTCTTGAACGTGAGAGCGCTAGAGTCACTATTCCCCCATTGCCCGGCAAGGTCTACTTCAACAAATTCGACGACGCCGTTATTGAAGAGCGCAGGAAAGGTCTGGAGAGGTTCCTCAAGATTGTCGTTGGCCATCCTCTTCTGCAGACAGGAAGTCGCGTGCTCGGAAGCTTTGTCCAAGGTACGTTTTATTCTGGATCTAATCTGCCTGCATCGAACACATCCGCTGACGCATAAATCCAGNATCCCAACTGGGACCGCAGCGCCTGGTAGATCTGACTGCCGCCCTTTCCTCTATCACGACGAAGCCTCGGATTTCCGCATTTTTCAGAATACCCTTTCCTAGTTTAATGATGTCTATTGTCCTTTTCTCCTGCGGTTCAGCGACATCTGGGCGTTTCCACTCCTCTTGCTCTCGAACACACCGCCTCTGCTTGCAGATGTACATTGCACGCCCTGCTTCGCTCTTAATCGATTATGTTAAAAATGCGATACCATTTGTCTTAGCCAGAACACACACCTCTTTGAGGATTCTATCCGAGCAGCAGTATCCTTTGTCTGAATTGGCTGGCTTATTTGTGCTACCACTGCCTCTCTTTCAAGCCTGCCAACAATCCCTTTGTCATTATCAGTGTTGTTTGTGCTCTTCTTTGCCTTCCAATTCCATCACAAGTTGAACAAAAGCCATTATATTTGGCTTCGGGTTGATACATATACACTCCCAAATCCAAGTTGTCCCATTACCATTCCAACGCACAAATCTACCGAAAACTACTTGCACAGAACTCTCGAAACAGTTACAATGTGCTCCTACAGCAATACCTCCTCGTTCACTCTCTTTGGTCGCCCCATTAATGACCTCTGGTTCAACTGCCCTAGATGCGGTGCTCGTATGCTGTAATCCAAGGTTCAGGGCTGGATATGCACTGCTAGTTGCCACTACTAAATTTCCTCAAGAATAAAAGGAGATGTACAGGTAAGTGGTGTTTTTGACTAGTGCGATACTGTTGCTTTGCGTGTTTGTAACTGGTGGGTTGCACTAATCAATCAATCAATTCTTTTTTTCCTTCTAGAAACCTTTTCTTCTGTGCCTTTTCCTGAGACGTGATATTTGTAGACTACAATCTGTTATTTGCAGTATAAGAGCTAGCTTCGTCGTATCCTTGATGCTTCAAGCAACCAAAAGAGCTATGGGACCAGTATGTTCCAATCCAACTCTCAAGTTCCTCATGGCTAGAGAAAACGCGGACCATTGATATGGGTTTGTCTCTTATTGAGTCCTCTCCAAAGCCTAGTGAGGGTCCTTGTTCGATCACTGTTCCGAAAATGCCTCAGACTAAAGAAAAAAATAAGTTCACCTTTCCCTCGACAGTCACTTAAGAAGAAGGCGCAGTTGCGCGGCGAAAATAGAGCAGCGAAATGTTGATAGATTAGCAGAGCTTCACTATAGCTCACGCTTATGAAGTGACTGACGAAGGTAAGCACAAATTTCTGAAAGCGTCATCACAGGCAGAGCAAGCACAGAGCAAAAACCAGGAAAGCGCATCCTGGCAACCAGGAAAGTCATTGGAGGGGAGTAACGTAGAAGAGTTCATTGCGTATTTAGTTTTGTCGTGTCATAATCAAAGTGGAGGAGTGGAGGAGTAAACTTGTTCTGGTCATCAACGCATTTCTCCTGCCACGTCGGCTGCCTCGAGTGAGTCGCTGACTTCTCCGTCTTCTGTTTCGTGTCTTTCGTCATGAGGGGTTGCTGTCTGCAGGATTGTTTTCGTGGGCTCAGCTGTTGTTTGAGGGTGGATGTGCTGTGGATTCATTGCGAGTTCCTGCACCGCTACGTGCTCAGGCTGCATCTTTTTGATTGGTGCTTGCTCAACATATGTCTGCTCGGTGTCTGGATGAGGCTCTTTTGACATGTATTCCACATGCGAAGCTGTCTGAGGTTGCTCTGTGTATGCGGGCATGCCGTGGTCTACTCGTTCAACAATCGGTGTGTTGGGCATACTATCATCCTCCACAGGCGCAGCAACGACAAGTACGTCAGGGTCTCCGCCTGTTTGCCGTTCCGATCCAGCAGGTACCACATTTGGCTGAAGAATCTCTCTGCTTGCGGGTCTAGGTCTCGCGGGCAACGGTGGAGGCTGTCGAGCTTGCTGCTCGCCAACATGATCAGGCTTCTCTACTTCCTTGCTCTGTTGTTGAGCGGCCGGTTGTGCTCCTACAGGTTTGCGCTTGAGGTTTGGTAGGTTCAAGCCAGACGACGCCCAAAGGCTTTTCTGTGGTCCAGGCAGAGGGGTACCAGGTGGTGGCAAGGGCATTCCACGGCCCATTGGTTGAGCCAACAATGCCGCCTTTAGGGCGTTCGGGTTAGGTGGCTGCGACGGCAATGACACCGATGATGATCCACTACTAGCCGAAGATACTGAGAACCTCTTGGCCAAGCCAAAAGCGTTTCCTGACGTCGAGGACGAAGACCCGTTCTGTCTGTTCAGAACTTGCCAGCCCCATTTCTTTGCAGCATTGGCAGCCGTACTGAGATGAGATGGACTCGACCCCGAAGGGACGGACGTGTCCAAAGACCTCACCGATGGTGATCTTGCAGGTATCGTCGAGGCGTCCGCAGTGGCAGGTGCTTGAGGAGCCTCGGTTCTTTGTTTCGTCGTGTGCTGTTCTAGAGGCTCAGAACTTCGCCGTAAGATGGAAGGATCTGTCGGAGCTTCTTCTCCCTCTTCTTCTGGCGTCGCGAGGGTTGAGAATGTTTCGGAGTCGATAGGTAGGACATTCTCTGTTTCGCGAAGTACCTTTGGAGATGTAGCCTGTGCTTTTGAGTTGACTTCTTTTACCATCTCAACCGCATCCTTTTGTCCCTTCTTCTTTGTATGTGACCTTACTGCCTCAATGTTCGAGCCTTCTGTGCTGACCAAGGGCGTCGCTGCGGCAGAGAAGGAGTTTTGACGTAAAGTCCGAGGCTTTCCAGGTGGCGTACGCGGACGAAGTGGTGGGGAGGATGGTGTTTGAAGTGGTGTCGACATGTTGGTCGTACTGGTTGATGCGGCTGACGGACTCTCAATGCTCTCTCCTAGAAGAGAAGTGGCTGACCGTCTTGCATTCTTTCGGAAGTTGAGTTTCTGAACTGGCTCTAGAAGGCTAGGCATGCTCAGAGTCTTCGCTCCAGTCTCAGCGAGGGTGTGGATGACGGTATCGTCAGAGTCTGCATCACCAGCGCTGTTGGTGAGTTCGTGTGCTGCAGTTTCAACCAAGCCAGCGTCTGCGTGTACAGCGTTCTCCATGCCGGTAGGCTCTTCATCTGAAGGCGAAGGCTCGAATATACCACCTCTGTACTCTTTCTTCGTGGTGTCCAGGAACGGGCTGTCGTCCCAGTTGGGAAGAACAATGGTCTCACCAATGACTTCTCGGATCCTGCTCTCAATAGCACGAAGGATAACGCCGTAGGTGATCTGTCTGCTGCTGACGATAGGTTGGATACTCATTTCGATTTGAGGCATGGTCTCAAAGGTCATCCAGATACGATTACTTGGAGGAGGCTTGACACGAATCAGAAGATGACCGCTGAGTTTCTTGAGCTCGCCTGCCATGATCAAGCTGACTTCACGAGCCTTGAAGCGGGTTCCAAGATCGATGCGTGCAACCGCTCCCATCTCGATTTTGAAGCCGCCATTGTACTTCACGTCCAGCTCGATTGTCATATCACCGTTCACCGTAAGCTCTTTCAACCTGGGATTACTGATGATAGGGGCGCTGTCGCCCATGTAAATATCCATAATGTCGATGGAAGCGATCAAGTTTGGCTTGGGTACGCGAGATATCTTCTTGTTGATCTTGACGCGAATAAAGTTCTCGATGTCCTTGGTCTTGTACATGGCGAGAAAGACACGGCCGACAATGCCGTTGATCCAGCGCGAATGAGCGTCAGCGTCAGATGAGTGTAGGTTCTGTACGAGTTTGATAATGTCTGGAGTTTCGAATTTCTGAGGAAGCGGAGGTGGGTCAGTATTGATGATGTTTGACTGTGTGTGTAGCAAGGCATGATAGAAGTCCTCCTTCTCGGAGCAGTTGTCGGAGAAGAAATGGAAGGGCTTTGACGAAGGAGCAGTCTCGCCGACCAAGGGTTTTCTGGTTAGGCGGATGCAGTTGCGCTTGATCCACAGATCACCCTCGGGTACGGGCTCTCCTCCAGCATATACATCGATGTCGTGGTAGGCAAGAGAGATGACGTGTCGCACTTCGACCTGCTCGGAGTCGTCGTACAGCATGAGGTGGCCGTGTCTCAAGACAACGTAGAAGACATTGCGGGCCTTCTTGACGGCCTTGCCGTCGCGCTTGTCACCCTCGATAGTTGGAATCGATGTCTTGCCTCGCTCAAAGATGCTTCTGTACATGCTCTGGTAGACACTCGGACTCTCTGCTATGAGGACCTCGCCAGCCGGAGTGGATCGCTCTGGAGGCTTGCCATTGATGCCGCCAGGGACATACTCTCTGCAGACGGCGAAGTAGGCGGCGGCCGTGTCGAGTTCACTGTCTTGTTCCTTGCTCTTCTCGCCGAGTTCATCTATCGTCTTCGCAGTGGCAGTCGATTGTACATTTTCGGTATTGGTGGCAGTCGATACGGGAGCAACGGGTTGGGTGAATGCAACGTATGCGAAGGCGCCAAGTGCAAGGGCGAGCAGGGGGATGAAGGTCAGACCGCCGACGAGGTACGCCAGCAGCAGCGATTTGAGAGTCATGGTGTTTGCTGCATGGGAATAGCGGGTTGATTAAGAGGCTTTGAATTGCATTTTGATCGCTTGTATTAGAATGTAAAGCGCGGTGTGGTCTATGTACAAGAAAGGTCGCGAGTCGTAGTTACACCAAAGTCGCATGCCCGAGCTTCCGCACCTCCCCAGAACGCCCGCGACCCCTCATTCGTCTTCTGTCCTTTCCCAAACGCCCTCATTCCTCCCTCATTACTGTAATTACCATGGTATCGACAACCAATCCCTTCGTCTATATACAATACCATCGGTCGCAATATGTAGTGTCGGTTGACCAAGTCTTGTGCCTTGAGAGCTCGTCCGACGAGTTCATGGCCAGAATGACATGTTGCTTTGCAACTCTTACTGGGTCATGTCGAAAAGCTCGCTGCTCAACAGGTCGTCAATGTTGAAGGTCTCGGGGAAGTCGTTGCTGCTGGGAGCAAGGTAGGTGCCGATGCTGTTACTGGCGAAGGCGGCGTCCTGGTTCATGCTGAAGGGATCGAAGTCAAGCGAGCCGGACTGGAAGGGGTCGAACTCGTCCATGAAGGGATACTGCTGGTTCGAGAGGTCGTGAACGGCTTGTCTGACAGGACCACTGGCGCCCACGGCATTGTTGTTGTTCTGGTTCAGAGCGCCCTGGATGGTGGTACCACCGACGAACAAGTCATGGTCGTTCTGCTGGTTCTGCTGGTAAGGCGACTCAGCGTCGAAGAAGGCGAACACAGGAGGAGATGATGATGTGTCGTTGGGCATGGGTTGAACAGCCATGCTGGCGAAGGTGGTAGCCGAGCTCAAGTTGCGAGCCATGTTGTTGTTCTGCTGGACGCGGCTGACGTGATGGCTGCGAGCGACAATTTCCTCAGGAGCCGACTCGGACATGGGCTGAGCAGCAAAAGCGATTGCAGCAGTCGAGCCCTGGTTGCGAGCGACGTCGTTGTCATTGTGATCAACGTAGCTGACACGCTGGCAGTGAGCGACAATCTCCTCGGAGGACAAGTTGGTGGTCAGGATGTTCTCGGGGAACGAAGAGATGTCAGGAGTGTACATGCGCTCCATGTCCTTGACTCCAGCGGTGTCAACGATGCTCCAGCCCATGACGCCGAGGTAGTCGTCTCTGGGAATGACGCCGATCAAAGGGCAGGTGAGCGCCAGGAACTTTTCGAGAGGCGCAGCATTCTTGGTGTTGATCTCGCGGATGATTGAGTAAGCCTTAGCGAGGATGCTCCACTTGGCCTTGAAGGGGTCGTTCTGCCACATGCGAGTCAAGAAGCCAGAGATGTCCTTCTGCTGGAACGACTTGAAGATGGGAGAGTGGTAACCNTGATGGATTGGTCAGAATGATTTGTGCGCACTGCCGTTTGACGATCCAATTTGATTCTGGATTTCAAAGGCCATCCTGGAGCTCAGTGGAGGAGTAGGTGCGCCGCTGCAGGGTGTTGAGTGCGCATCTTTAGAGGTAACTGGGTCCTTTGCACGCTTCTTGCGCTCGGTGACTGTGAGGACACAAGTAGTGGTAGTCGAAGCAACGGCAACTCTCTGAGAGGTAGCAGGATGCCTCTTCATCACGACATCGACGACCTCTGCAATCTTTTCAGGCGAATACTTCTCGAGGAGCAGACCTAGCGACTCAGACATCACAGCAGAATTTATGCATGGGTATACGACGGAACGGAAGCTACAATTTGTAAGAGGATTTGCTGGTGCTCTGAGAAAAATACGCTGCACGGAATATGATGATACAGAATGGCAGTGAAAGTATTGGCCAAAGTAATGACGCGAAAGTCTTTGTACATTCACCAAGTGATTTCCTCGCCCCGGCACACTCGATGGGAGCAGTAACATTGACGACGAGTTCGATAGATAATATATCTTTGTTCGAAGAAAGTGAGTCACGTTTCGAGCAACGTGTGCTGTGAAACGCGGTGAAGCCGAGAAGCTTTGACAGAAACCTGTACCTTCCTTCACTCCCTCCTCTACGAATTTCATCGCGACAGTACCCACATCTCGTTCATCTTAAGAAATAATGTCGAACTCGACTCTTTGTAAGCTGTCTTCTTTGTGGTCTCGCCGCAAACCCTTGGCCCCTTGCTTGAGTCTTTGTTGCCCACATTCCAGACCAAGACGATTGCAAGACAGACTCCTTGTACCTGTCAAGAGCAGTGGTATTTTCGGCGTGGAAATTATGTCTGGGATTTGCGCCAGTAGACTGTGTCGACCTGTCAGCTTCTATTCTATTCTCAGTGCAGTTGTTTGAAAGCTTCTTACCTTCAGCTGCCTCCCAACCTTCGTTGAGGTCAGGATCCGAGAACTCAGGTGGAAGACTCGGGCGCAGAACTGGGCCCTTGCGAAGGTCGCGCTCACGCTTTCGGAGTTTCGTTCCCAGTCTGCTACCCTTTGTTGCAAGGCCTTGCATGGCAAAGAGTCTGCGAGTTTGTTCACGCTTAAGTGCAACTGCATCTTGTCAGCTTGAACTTCATGCTTGCTTGATTGAAATTATACTCACACCAGATAGCAATCGTCTCGATTGGCACAAGACAAGCTTCCGCAAGCATCTCCATTTCTGCCAAGTTAGGCTCGCGATTGAGCTGGAAGAATTCCTGGAGCAACTGGTCGCTTTCACGCTCGAGATTTGTCAGTCCAGCGATAAGTCGAACACCGGGTTTGGCAACAAGTCTGAGAGCGACCGTGAAGTCATCTGTCGATCTTCTACTTGTCAGCAACGGTTCGAGCAGGTGTGCAAATTGTACTTACTCGAGAAGCTTTTCGCGCAAGGCTGACTTCATCAGTCTCTTGAGGTGAGGTGGAGCGGTGTCATCGCTGGTGAGAATAGCTGACACTTCGTTTGCCAGTGTCTGGTCTGCCTGATATAGACTTCCCACACGAGCAAGCTTGTTGGTTTGCAGCTGAGACTGGGTGGAGAACATAATCTTGCGAGATAGATTGAGTGAGTCCTTGTGAGAGCTGTTGGATTCTGGCTCCTGCGAGATGGCCAGTTTGGAGAGGTCGCTGTGGATGTCATCCAACATGCTCAGGATTTCTTGATCCTTTCTTTCCGCATTTTCGTTGAACAGCTTGCTGATTTGTATAGGGTTGTCTTTGGCGGCCAGGAAGGAAAACGACATTCTTGCGTTGCTCCGAGGACAGGAGCGACGAGCTGTCGAAGAGTGCGCTGGTCTTGAAGGATATGGATAGCGGACTCAACGGTCTATGCGGTTGTGAAGTTCGAATAAAGTAAGTTGCAGTGAGTGCGATGGAAAAAAATGTTTTGGTGTTCACTCGGAATTTATTGTCACTATTGATGCCTTCACAAATCTTATTGAGGGCTTCATTGGGCTAGCATCACCAACCACCTCGAAGGCATCACTCACATCCATCTCACAGTTCCCTCTCTTCCTTTCCTTTCCAATTCTGCGCATAGTTTCTTCTTCGCTTCTTTGCCAGACTTTCTTCCATCTCATCCATTTCATCCACCTCTCTCAATCTTCCACTACCAGATTCATCACCAACAACCACTCACACAATGGCATCAGTTTCGGCTTTCCCCTTGATGTCGGCTCAGCAACAGGAGATCGAGAAGACTTGGTACCACGCCATGATCCAGATTGCAAGCGGTGCTGCTGGAGGCACCGAAATTGTTCTCCCATCCGATCTCAGAGGCCGCCTCGGCGACGATGGAGTTGCTGCCATCGCTCAGCGTTGCAGGTATGTGTTCCGCGCATCCTTCTCGAACGCGCACTAAAACTTCTCGTAGCACTTTCAGCAATGCGCAGGTTGAGGTCAAGGACGACGCTGCCACTGAATCAATTCACATCAGTGTGCTGTCTCCTGGCTCACACAACCAGTCAGATGAGACTGCTATGTCGTCGCCTGACTCTCACGCATCTCCTGAGTCTCCCAAGAAGGGCATCAAAGTCAGCCGCCCTGCCAATGCCTTCATTCTCTATCGCAAGCATCACCACTCAGACATCGTGGCCCGCAACCCTGGTCTCCACAACAATGAGATCTGTAAGTTGCTTCTTCTGCGCGCAATCCCTCTTCATGATCAACAACTTACAATTGTCTACAGCAAAGATCATTGGCAAGATGTGGCGTGACGAGTCCGAGCCTATCAAGAAGCAGTGGAAGGACAAGGCCGAGAACGTCAAGCGCCAGCACCTTCGCGACCACCCCGACTACCAATACCAGCCTCGTAAGCCCCATGAGAAGAAGCGCCGCATGACCAAGCGCAAGGCCATGGCTCTGGCCGCCCAGCAGAACACCCCTTCCACTTCCGCTCCAGCCTCAGCCTCTGCATCTGTCGATGCAAACATGCCGGCCGCCTTCACCACCTACTCGCCCACTCCATCCACAGTTAGCCCCTTCTCATCTGTCACCTCGCCTGCCCAGATTGTCGACCTCGCCAACTTCAACGACCCTTCTCTCAGCTACTCGGCCAATGGCGATCTTGCCTCCTTCACCTTCGACTCCTTCCAGCCCAACCAACTCGACCTCTTCACCAACCTCTTGGACGAGCACAACACCGAGATGATGTTTGGTCCCACCACGGTCCGCGCTCCTGCCGCCTGCACTGCTCTCCCCACTGCCATCAACAGTGCCATGGCTGACGGCAACGCCGGCGCCTCTCTCTCCAACCCCACCTTCACCAACAACGACCTCGCCATGGCCCAGTCCGACTTGACCAGCTTCGAGTCTTCGCTCGAGGACATGCTGGCCCGCGAGCTCGAGACCATGGAGGAGGATGGCGGTCTTGCTACTGCTGTCGAAAACGGCTTCCAGTACAACGACCTCGAGTCTCAGCGCTTCACAGAGTTCTTGGAGCAGATGCCTGAGCACATGTGGGGCATGGAGTTTGTCAACTGATCTGCTTTTGCTTTGCAACATCAACCATCTTCTGCAAGTATGGTGGTTGCCAATCATCATCGTTCTTTGTTGTCGTTACAGAAGGGAAAAATAAAAGGAGGAGCCTAGGAGGAAAAGGAGTCTTTGCATGATCGGCGTACTGCGCATTGGATGTTTTCAACTTTTTGTTTCTTTCCGTTTCATTTCGTCTTTCTTCTTTCAAAGCAAATACTGCTTCTTCTTTCCATAGCAATCAACCACAACTAGTACCTTTACCTTGTCTCTCCTGCTTTGAAGTCGCTGCACCATATGAATGTCGGACATCGCCATTGTGTGCCTTTCTCCTTTGTGCCTGACGGTCCCAGCGGTCTCGCACACATCCAGAAGCTACGCCCCTGATTCTCTCCCTTCTTCTTGGTCTGCATGCTCTTACATGGCTCTTCATGACTTTCGCACAATGGTGCTGCTGGCTTGCGAAACAGGGTCTGCCAGGACTCCTTGTTGACTATCGGGTCGTATACCATCTCGTCGTCATCATCATCAAGAGGAGGCAGAGGTTGAGCTTCGAGCTTTGAGGGGGTGTCAGAAACCACTGGACTACCTTGTGCATTAGCAGGAGATGTCAAATCTTTGGTGTTGAGCGAATGTGGCGTGGATGTTGAATAGGCTGCTTCGGACATGGAGAGATCGCCTACTCGCTCTTCTGCATCTCCAGGACCAACGGTCTCGCTCGTATCAGGTCCACTCCCGTTTGCACTCTTGATCGGCTCTTCCGACTTTGGCTTTAATTGAAAGAAGCCCTTCAAACTCTTTTGGCCTTTGGTAGGAGCCGCCTTTGACGTGGAGATGGGAGCGGGCTTCTGCTTCTTCGTTGTTTGAGATGTAGATGTTTCCGATGCTTTGCGTTTCCTCTCTGGAGACGGGGAAATAGCGATCTTCGAGGAGGGTGCTGCTACGGAAGCAGATCCATTTGTAACAGGAGGCTCATCGGCGGGTTGCAAAGGCTGGGAAGTCGATGTTGTGGCTGTCTGACTGTTTGACGAAGTAGCTGCGATGGCTGAGGTGCTAGGAGCGGTGGGTTTCTTGAACATGTCCTTGATGCTCCTTCTTTGGTAGAACTCTGGCATGAGTCTGGCACTGAAAGGAGGCAGGTCTTTGATGTTCCAATCCTTCTGACGAATGCTGTTGTTGAATACACCAGGAGGGTTCATCATATCGACCAGCTTTACTTCTGATTGTCCATCGTCACCTTCGACACTGACAACATCTTTGAATTCGCCATAGACCGGGCAGTGATCAGAGCCCNNTGATTACAGTTAGCCAGCGCACAAGAAGCCATGAACAACTGTACTAACCATGAGACCTTCTTGGATGTCGGCATGAACAAACCACTCGCGCATAGAGCCGCTTGCCAGAACAAAGTCAATGCGACTGCCGAAGTTTCCAGGTCTGGCATTGATCTTCTGCTCCCAATGAGTGTACATGCCCTTTCTCTCAGGATGAAACTCTCTGGTAGTGTCAAGCAAGATAGGCTGCTCTCGGCCTTCATCTCTGTCGCCATAGACTTCGCCGTTGATGATGAGCTGGTTGAAGATGCGGCGATTGGGGGTACTGACGTATTCCTCGCTCGTCAAGCCGGCCTTCTTGATATCCTCAGCAGACGAGGCTGTATCGATCAGACCTCGAGAAACATTGAGATCACCAACCAAGACAACCCGCTTGCCCATCTGGTTGAGCTTGCGTATACGGCAGTCCAGAGCACTGAGAAAGGCATAACGGAAGTCATCCCGAAGACCATTCGAGTTGGCAGGACTGTAGACACCAAAGAGGACGAAGGCNGGAAATTCGAGACACACACAGCGGCCTTCGGCGTCCAGAAGAAGAGGATCCACACCGAGTTCTGCAAGCTCCATCTCGGAGAGATATCCTCCGATCTGCTGAGACTCTGGCAGGCTGCGGAACTGCGTTGTTGAGTTTGGTGGCGTCAAGACTCCGAGGATTCCTTCTTCAGCTCGGATGGGGGAGCAAGTGGCATTGCGAGTATAGATACCTACACCTGAGTAACCTAGAGCACAAGTATAAGAACTTGTTCAAGCGATATACAATTGGGATGAGCAAACCTTTNNCTTCTGTTTAGGCAAGCTGAAATAACAGTCCCAGCCATCAAGTATCACCATGTCGTCACGCAAATCCTTCCTCTGGATCTTGAGTTCTTGCATAACGATGATATCGGCTTCGAGGATATCGAACATGGCCGGAAAGGTCTTTGTGATACTCCATGGATGGTAAGAGAATGGATTGCGAATGCCATTGACATTCCAGGTCGTGAGCCTCATGATGATGGAAGTAGTAGAATCAATTGCACGTTCACATATAAGCTGAACATAGTCGAAAGGATCAAATCATTGACAAATTGGTATGATATGATCAGGAAAGCACCATGCACGCGACTTCCTCTTGGAGGACGTGACGAAGGGTATGACGTGCAGCAGAGCCGCGGCAAGTAAGAAGACCGTGACGGCGGAGCGGAGCGGAGCGGAGTGATGGCGCCGAGCCAAAGCCCGCCGGGACGTCGCGCTGTGCGTGACCCGACCGTCAATCAGGTGTTCAGCAAAAGCCATAGCAATTGAACTCTCCACTCACCTTCATATACTGCAACCATGTTCACCACACGCGCCGCTAAGCAATTGCGCTCTCCCATCCTTCGCCAGCTCGGCCGTCGCCAGCTCCACGGCGCCGGCCAGACTGGCTTCCAGGGCGCCGCCGACAACGCTTTCAACCGCGAGCGTGCTGCCGTCAAGGACCACGCTGCTGCCACCAGTGGTACGTTCTGAGCTGGACGCTATCGTGCGCATATCGATTGGTCTTGAATTACGCTGACTCACTACTCCAGACCTCTGGCGCAAGCTCTCCATCTAGTATGCATCCTCCAGTACCCAACGTCCTATTGTCCTCTCTACGAATGAGAATGAGATATCCTTCACTCCTAAGGCCCGAGAAAGAAAGAGAGTCCGAAAGTTCTGACCAAGAATCTTGCACAACAGCATCGTCATCCCCTCGATCATCCTCGGTGGTGTCAACGCCTACCGCCTGTGGCTCGAGCACTGGGAGCACCAGTCCCACATGCCCCCAAAGTCCGAGCAGCCCGAGTACCCCTACCAGAACATCCGCACCAAGAACTACTTCTGGGGTGACGGTGACAAGGTGAGCTTCACTCGACCAACAAATACGAGAGGTATAGCTAACAACTGCTCTCTTCAGACCATCTTCTGGAACGACAAGGTCAACTACCACAAGAAGTCTGACGAGTAAACTATTCTCGTCCGATATCTGGAATGAACAAAGCGTATCTCTAAGAAGCCTTTCGATTTTTGTCCTTTAGCCAAACACTCCTGCGCTCAAAAGAGCCGTAGAACCCGGGAGTCACCTCGCGCCAATTGTACAGATAGCAGAGGTCATGCATCTAACTATTATTTAACGTTTCGTTTGTCAGCTGTTTCTGTGTTCCGTCGACTATCTGCTCGTCTAAACCCCCTGCCCTTGCGTCGCCAACTGCCTTCTTTCCGCTTCCTGGACCGTGCTGTTGTATAGACGCTCCATCTCTTCAATCATGTCTTCGTCGTCTCTGTGTTTGTACAGCATTGCCTTTTTCATGAGACTCTCCAGAATTCCGTCCAGGTCCTCTATCTTGCGATATGCTNNGTTTGTGTCTTGTTAGTCTTCTGCAACTCGTCTGGTGTCTGGGCTACCCGTACCTTCGTGTGCCCGGTCAAGGTAGATGAATGCGGCATCAATGTGATCTGAGCTTTCCTTCGGGTTTGTTTGAGACGTCTTGCCGGCGAGTCCAACACAGGAATCTGTGAGAATCGAATATAGCTGTGCAATCGTAGCTGTATTGCCGCCTTCGAGAACCTTTTCTGAATTAGCTGACTGCAACCAAAAGAACTCTGGCATTTTTCGACTTACCTGCGGCATAATGGCATCCACCAGACTTCTCGCCGCATCAAACTCGCCAAGGTCAATGAGGATTACACAGAGAGCGCCCACGGCCTCCCACATTGCCGGCATGATCATAGCTCTCTGGGCTGACGAAGCTGCTCGCATTGCTATACTGAAGCCCTTAGTCGGCAAGCCTGCCTTTGCAAAGAGCCTTGCCTTGAGTATCAGCAGTTTGATGCGACGTACGATATCTNNGTCCAAGGTCAGTCACGCCTATTGCTGCATCATGAAAGATGTTTTCGTACCTGCACTATCCGCAGCCTTTGCTTCGGCTACTTGCTTCTCGATACAGTCAAATGCACTGGACAGTTTGCCCTGACGCATCAGTAGTTCAATCTCGAGGACATGTGTTTCGAAGATGACGCCTGCGTCTGCTATTTGTCTTATAGGCTTTAGCTGGCGAAGGAACTCTTCGGCGACGAAGAAGTCATTNGCTGATGCTGGTCAGTCGAGAGACTCCACATGAGTTGATGTTTGAACTTACTGGTGAATGGCACGTCTGAGACGGATCATTGCCGCGAATGCAGTGAATGTGTTGTCCAGGCGTAATGTCTTTTCTTTTGAAGGATCGTTCTGCTTGAGAAGCTCGTATGCTTCATCGTACTGACCCAAAATGCTGTGCATATGCGCATTCTGCAGCACTACATTGAGTACATCAGGCCTTGAGGCGTCCTGGCGAAAAATATGGTACATGACCTTGCAGTAGTGTTCTGCTAGAGGCATTTGACCAAGTCTGTTGAAGATGGCGGAATGGAGTCGAAGCTGGCTGGGTATCATGCTGGCCACATTGTGTAAGCTGTTGAGGTAGCTGGACTGGTATATCTGTTCCAGAGCTCTGGCTACACTGCCGCCGCTTTCGACGTTGACTTCAGCTTGGCTAAGCAGAGAGCTACTGAGAGTCGCCCAATCCTTGTTCTCGACTGCTTTCTGTTGCAAGAAGGTAATGATGTCGCTTTCGTTGCCTGCCAATTCACTGCCCTCGCCACCATTCTCAAGACGAGAAAATTCGGGATACGCTTTTCGGAGGTGGGCAAGCCAAGAAAGACTGAAGTGCAGACAACGAGCATCTTGGTTCTCACGGGCAGTCGCGATACACTCGTTCATCGCGGAGATTGCCTCGCCGTAGCATCCAAAGTCTGCGTGAAGGACGGCAAGATGGAGTAAAGCATACTGATGGTATGTCTTGATGTGGTCTGTGCCTTGGCTCTCCATGGTGTAATCAAAGTAACGATGAAGAAGCTCAATAGCCTTGTTGTATGCACCGCTTCTCCAAGCATCGAAGAAACTAATCNNTAGTCAGTAATAAAAATGGTTTTTGGTTTTGCACATCAAAACATACTTGATGAAGTGCATGTCCGAAGGCTTCGACGCCCCTTGCTCCACCATTACTCTCAGCTGAGCTTTCATCTCACCAGACACTCTGCTACCAAACTTCTGCAGCTGCCCTAGCTGGAAGTGCATCACTTTCTCAACATCATCCAGACTTGACGGTACTACGGGTCGACCATCCTGTTTGTTCATGCGATCGAGGAGAATGGCCGATGCATTAGCTTGATCTGGCTGCAATAAATTGGCCGATGCTGCATCGGGATAATGACTGGCATAGGGCGACTTTGGGTTGCGCTCAACATAGTTGCTCTTGGTGGGTTCGCGGAAGACAACCAGATCCTCCCAGAGCTGGTATGCATCACTGAACTGTAATCTTACAGACTCCAGATGACATCTTCTCGCGAATTGGCCGATTGGACTCGTAGGACTGCATACAAACTTGGCCTTGCTGCCCTCAGCTTGTTCTTCGAGCGAAGCCGTCACCGAAGTCTGGTCCTGGAGGAATGCGGTGAATGTCACAAAGTCGTGGATAGCCCATAGGTGGTCGACGAATAAATGGTACAAAGACCGTCCCGGGACCGCAGATTCATGCGATCCGAGCAAAAGCTCGAAGTCCTCGATTGATGGTGGAGTCAATGGGTTTTGGTTGGAGGTGTTGAGTGGTGATCTGTGTATGGTGTGCTTGGAGATGAACGACAGAAGCGGTATCGTACTCTTCGATGGGACGTTTCCATCACGATATAATTGTACCAGAAGAAGTATGCATATTTTTGATGGTGTAAGGAATCGCGACATCTTGAGTGGTATTTGTGTCCAGTAGTCCAGACGGTGAGAGCGTTATGTCTGCAAGACTAGCAGCTCGACTAGCAAGAATCTTTCTGCATAATATACTGTTCTCGAAATCCGAGCCGTGTAGATGTTTTCGTAGTGACTTCCTCGTTCGAACTGGCGTTGTTGTTGGCAGGAGTGTCGCGTGGGTCCAGCCGCGGTTCATGTTTTTGACGCCCGCGAGAGGATGGGCTTCGACTTTCAAAACACAACCAACAAACAAAGATGACCACCCCAGGAGTCCATGACAACTACAGTGACAGGAAGAAAGAGAACTAAAGAGACTGCAACAGTTTTTCGCCCGCCAAACGATCAATATTCCATGGTTATATGAGCGCACCCATCGCATCGCACGAATATGAGACTTTGAAGCAGCAAGTTGTGTCCTTAGATTCGGAATATGCGACTGGCATTTCACATTACTACCAGACTACAAACTCGACCTTCAAAAGATCTCACCTCCAATCACTAGCTAAAGACGCCTACAGCTCAATGACCACCTTCTTGGCACTAACACCAGCCTTGTTCTTGTCGAGACCCTTTTGCACGCTCTCCAGACCTTGTCCAACAACCAGGGGCTCGGGCAAGCACTTGAGATCTCCACTTTGGAGGGCGCCGGGAACAAACTTGTGCCAAACAGCGTCGCCGACTTCCTTGTGTTGGGTACCAATAGTAATGGCAAAGACGCCCTGGACATTGATGTCAGAAGGCTTGTCTTGAGGAGGTGGTAGAACGGTAGCCATGTTCTTGCTGCCACCAGCCTTCTGTAGGACCTCGAAACAGTGCTTGAAGGTGTCGGGTAAGGAAATCGAGTCATATACACCAGCGAACTCTGCCCCGGAGTCCTTGATGGCGGAAACGATGTCATCGGCGACCGAGGAGCTGTTGTAGTCGATGACAGCCGTGGCACCAAGCTTGGAGCAGTAATCGTGGTTGTGCTTGGAGGCAGTGGTAATGACCTTGACACCACTGGCTACAGCGAGTTGAATAGCGGTTGAGCCGACACTGCTGGAACCTCCNCAAACTAGGATGACCTTGCCTGATGACTTGGGCGAGGCAGTGGGGTAAGGAAGCTCGAGGAAGCCCTTCTGGTAGAGACCGGCTGATGCTGTTGAGATAGCCAAGGGCAGAACGACAGCCTCAGTGTATGAGGTCTGCTCGGGAATCTTGGAGGTCAGGATCTCGGGGCATGCTGAGAAGAGCTGGAAACCAGCGTTCTGAGACTTGCCAGTGCCGAGGCCAATGCAGTGGCTGNNTAGAAGCCTGTCAGCTCGGGAATGATTTGCATTAGATGATGCGACTTACGAGAGGACTCTGTCGCCCTTCTTGAAGCTCTCAACATTTGATCCAACCTCGTAGACCTCGCCAGCGACATCGGTACCAAGCACATTGGGATAATTTTGGATAAACATGCCAGAATCCTGAATCTTCCAGTCGACAGGGTTGACGGCCACAGCCTTGTTCTTGATAACGACCTCATCTGCACCAGCAGATGGCATAGGAGCGTGGTCAACCTTGAGTGGGTTGGCTTTGGCCTCTGTGAGCCAAGCGGCCTTGTTGGCATTGTCTGACATAGTGTTGGCCATTGTGATATAGTTGTGATAACAAGAAATCGATTGATTGAATTATCTAGCTTCCAACTGGCATCAAGAGCTATATAGATCGGAGCTCTCACCAAAGCTCAGTGATTGTGTAAGCAGTTCATTGTGATGTCAGTCGGTGACAGCGTGGGGCAGGCTTCATCGAAGGGTCGAGACGCTGGACTCGGCCTTCGGATCAACATTGCAACCCACCATTATTCCATCTTGGACGTCACACAGTCACCTACATGACGGACCCGTAAGTCTGCTAAGCATATGGACAGTCGTTGCGCAGTGAAACTGATATGGCGTGCAGAATTGTATCCTCAGCCGTCGTGTTGCCCGACGCGACCCCTTCGTCACCACGCCGCTCGCCTGCCCGGTCGCAAACTCCAGAAGAAGCACGCGCCGGAACAAAACGTCGTCAATCGTCTGCCAATCATGATTCTCCCAAGCGACAGCGCCTGTCGCCCTCGCCCGATAGATCCAGAAAAGAGGATCAAGCCCCACACGCTCGCGAAAGACGCCCCGTCAAACCAATCGATGAGAAGAAGCGCTCTCAGAGGCTGTTTGGAGATTTACTAGGAGGACTGGGCCAGACGAGACCTGCCAACTCGCAAGCAGCCAAGCGACGCGCTGAACAAGAAGAACGTCGCCGTCAGAAAGAGCAAGAGCTCAGTGAGCGACAAACCGAACGACTCGAGCTTCTCAATCTTGCCAGAGGAAAAGAACAACGGAGGATCGATGAAGCCAGCATGCGCATCAAGCATGAGAACTTAAAGGCCATGTCCCATTTCTTGACTACTTCGACCGAGCCCAAACTATATTTCAAACCGTGGGAACTGCTACCAGAACAAGAGGATCAGATCAATCGCCAACGAGAAGACGTCGACGTCCAGATAGACCAGGAGCTTGACGACTTTGACCAGGTCCGCCAACGCTGGCAGAACGAGGACACGAACGAAGATGCCGATCACCAAGAAAGCACCTCTACACATGTTCAGAACGCACCCAATGGCACGAACCACACAGCGGAGCCAGCGAAAGAGTTAATAACAACTCAAGATCAAGTCGCAATTGCAGATCCGGAGACGGAACCGGAGCCTGTGGGCGCACCCGCAACCAAGTCAATTGTAGAGAAGGAAGCTCGAGAACAAGCGGCAGATGATGCTGATCGACATAGGAAAGAAAGTATAGATGACACGGGCGATATCGTAGTCGAGGCCGATGAGGACACCGTCATCTACTAATCTGACGAATATTTTTTGCCCTTGCAGTCCTGATCATGTCACATGGACGATCCTATGGCGTGTCTAGCCAGCCAGTAATATGACGCTCAAGAACTGGTCTTCTCTGCCTGTCGCAATCTCATAAGCAATGAGCAGCTCTAGATGGTCCACTATCGTCTTGTGCTCTCTACGGAGTGCGCTATGACGACCGGCTCCTTCTTTGCTGTGTCTGGACGCGCCTGTCGATATTCATTCCATATCGACCCGGAAAATTGATCCTCGAAAGAGCTCTCCAATACTATATGGCACTGTCGCAGCCTCATGTCTCAATCTCATACTTCTGGTGGTGATGTTGTTCTTCATTGCAGGTTTCCAGGCATCTCGACACGAATTGCTCATGTCCACCATCCATACTTCACTGCCGTTAGACTCCATGGAAGAACGGGAATTTCATACTCGATGATATTGTCTCAGTCTGATACAGCTTCCAGCAACTGCAATCGTCCAGTCTTCGACCACCAGTCATGCGCCAAATTTCCCCAGGGCATCTCTGACTCGCTCAGTATGGCTGATTGCGACTGCCGAATGTAGTGTATTACGCGAGCCGAGCAGCAAGATTGATCTTCATTTGCGAACAGACATCAATATTGTAGATCTCCCGGTCAATCTTGGAGGAAGCATTTCCAGACCTTCCCGGTTCTATTTCGAGGGTTTCGCCGTGTATACATGGTTTCGAAACAGTCGACAATACACGAGCTCGACGAGCGTTTGTCTCAGTCTGGGGGCCGCTATAACGGTCGTAGTTTCCCACGAGGGCTTCTACGGTGCCGTTGAACCTTACTCAGCATTCCGAGGGTACACATCGCGGATGAGTACCACTTTCTTCTGCCAACCCTCCTCGGTCTACCAAGCTTGATGCCTTTCCTGTGTGGTCGTGACCAACGGCTAATTTCAGTATGTTCAAATCCTTCGACCCACTAGACTCGGTGAATGTCGACGAGTGAGTATAGCGCCTTGGAGAACCAAAGTAACCTATTGGAGACCACTACCTCATGACTCGACGGTGAACAACACTTGTTGGACTTGTTGTATATAAAGATATGGTCCTCTCGAGGTAAGTTGGCTTCTCATCATCTCATCTCTTCCACTCTTCAGTTACCTCTCTTTCTTCTCCTCAATCTAATCAACGTCTCACTACCAACAACCAACAAGATGCGTTCCGCTCTCATTGTCTCCGCCCTTGCTGGCGCTGCTTTCGCCGAACACAGATCTTTGATCGGCCGTGATGGCACCTGCAAGCCCCAGCCTGCCGGTTCTGGCCCTGTTGCCTCCCNNCCCGACACTGTCGAGGGCTTCTTCGAAATCCCTGAGCTCCAAACTCTCTCAGCCAACGCTCCTACCCCTGATGGTTACACTGCCGCCTTCACCGGCTTGAACGCTTCCCTCAACGCCAACAAGTACATGGGTCTGTGGACTCTCACTGCATACGACACCATTGGATGCGCTTCTCTGTGCGATAAAACTTCAGGATGTCTATCCTTCAACATGTACAGCGAGCGTGACCCTACTCTCGACCCCAACCACACCAACTGTCCCAACCCTCAGTCTCTTACCAACTACAAGTGCACTCTGTGGGGTGCTGGTGTCTCTGCTTCTCAGGCCAAGAACTTTGGCCAATGGCGCAACGATTTTCAGGTTTTGATTACAGGTAGCAATGCATACAATGCCCTACCTGGTCCTAACGGCGTTTCTGGATACGAAGCACCTATTAAACTCGGGNGTGCCATTAATGCTCCGCTCGACAGCCAGAAGCACGACACCTACATGGGCGTTCGTTACTACCCCTTCAGTGAGGACCAGGAATACGACCCCAGCGTTTGCGCCACTGCCTGCACTTCCCAGACTGCCTACAACAAGGGCCACCCTGCCAGCGATGGTTCATACCAAACCTGCCGCTTCTTCAACTCCTGGATCCAGAGCAAGGATGGTGTTGCCTACGAGCTTCACTGTGGTCTTTACAACCAGACCTGGTCTCCTCAGTACGCCACCAACTACGGCCAGTACCAGGATAACAGCCGCATCACTGTTTCCAGATCTTACAGCTACACTCTTTCTGAGGTTGCTGCTTAAGTGGTTTTGATGCCTTCTTGGATGACTGTGTCGCCTATTCTTCATTCTTGTTTGGTTAAATTATACCATTAGCGCAGCTTCTTCTACACTATTGTTGTCGATGTTCTCTGTCATTGACACGATTATTTTGTATATACTTATAACTTAATCATTAGTCACATTACTCTATTAAACCCTATACATTTGTACATTTGTACATTTGTACCTCCACCGCTTCATCACACGGACGCCAACATGTCAAAGCAACCCAACTATTCCGCCTCAAACTTGCAGTCAACCCTCGCACTCATCGTAACCTCCTCAGGCTCAAAGAACAAATCCGCAAACGCCGGATCCGAATCCGCCACCGGCCTCCTCATATCCATAGCCCTTTCCTGCACTTTCATCACAGCATCAACATCATGATTTCCCCATTGAGTTTCCCTGACTTCGACTGGCCAAACAGCAGACAATCCTAACGCTTTTGCATAGTCTTTTGCTCGTTCCAGCGCATCCTCTGCAGCCATCGTGCGTAGTTTGCTGGCATAAGCTTGTCGTGTGGAGCTTGTCAACGCCCACCTCACACTGTGAATCTCTGTATATGGCAGCTGTGCCACTTGAGCTGCAAAACTCCCCAATCTCCCAAAATCGCTTACGCGTATATCGAAAGATACGGCAGTTTCAAACACTCTTTGTGCGTTTTTTAGAACAGCGCCTTGTGTGTCTGTGGGTAGTTGCGAGGTCGTTTTTATAGCTTTCATTGACCAGTGCGCCACTATTGCTGTTTCGGCTGCATCTTGGGAAGAGGTTTTGCGGAGCAGATCTTCGAGGCGGCGGCAAGAGAGTTGGACTTCTTCAGACACAAAGGCGCGGGAAAAGCCAGAAGAGCGGATTTCTACGTCGAGGAGGGCACGTTCTGCTTTTTGGGGGATGATGGCGGTGCCGGTTACGGAGATGGTTAATGGTGTTGCCATTGTTGTAGAGCAAAAGATGTGGAAGAGATAATAGAAAGAGTTGAAGATTTGTTGTACGGTAGGAAACTGGAAGAAAGAGAGTAAAACATCATGCAAGAGCATCATTGCTGGAGAGACTTTCTTATGAGAGATTCGAGCAATCATGACTCGCAAATGCCTACCTATGTTTCTCATCCTCGATCTCTACTTGTACGATATCTGTGCACGAACGAGGTTGGGCTGTTCTATGGCGATGGGAAAATCAAGGTATGGACCCGAGCGAAGTACTGCCGTCAAGAATCGTTGTCATGGCTGGACCTATTGGCTATCGTCGCTTGTAGGCTATAGTGCCATGAACCGGAAGATCTTGATGCGACTTTGGGTCGTGTACAGAGAAAAGTTCAGGCGTGCTGCTTTGTGAGAAAAGCATGGATGTTGGACCGAAGATCGGGACAGAGAAAGAGCCGGCAAGCCGGTACATATAATAATCGACTTGAGAGGTGACGCTGGCCACAAATATGCACAAGTATCAACGTTTGGAGGAAAAAGAGTAGTTGACATGAAATTATGAACGTAGTCTTTGATGTGCTGGAAAGGGTCGAACCCCGATATTTCCTTGAATGTGAGTTGGGTGACTGGCGGCCCAACGCTGACCTACCTTTTGTTACAGAGTTCTTCCTCGCCGTGTATTCTTCCTATACTATTGTTACATCTAGACAGAAACATGCTCCCTGAGCTCCCCCAGAATTTTGCGCCAGATCTCCAATGCTTTTTAAACAATCCCCGGACACGCGCATTCACAGCTTATATTACACACCCGAGTCGGTTCCCAGGAAGCGAAGGACAGCCTCGTACATGCCAAACATGATGGCGGCGCTGGGCACGACTCTGAGCATATGCGGCACCAAGCCACCGTACAGAGCAGCCATACCCTCCTCCTTCCAGACCAGCTTGAAGCACTGGGCCAAGCCAGTGTATTTGAGTTGGGGCACGCCATCAATCGAAGTGGTGACAGGGGCTTGTCGCAGTCGCGTACGGACGACCTCATGGGGGTATGTGATAAGTGCAGCGACGAACTTGGCGCTTCCGGCTGCCCCAAGTTTGAGGGACCAGGAAATGGCCTCGTCCCAGGATGTTCGTGGGCGGCCGGCGAGGGCGATGCGCTCTTCCCGTACAGCGATGTAGCTCTTCATCTTCTCGTAGAGGACCCATTGTAGTGTGCTTTCCGTCACGCCCAGGTAGCTCGCGCTCAATCCTCTGTACAGTCCGCGAATGCCTTCTGAGCGCACAGTTTGCATGGTGCAGTCCAGAGCGTTCTTGTATTTCCTTCCGTCCAGGCCACTGCCAGTCTTCTCGGCTCTTGATTTGTCCAGTTGCAGTCGCGTCTTTACCAGCCAAATAGGGTTGGTGGCTGTTCCAGTGAGCATGCCAGATCCAGCAGCAGCTAGCAAATGCACCCAAGAGGCTTCCTTGCCATCGTTGAAGTTTTGCGACAATATTCTCTTTCCGTTTCCGTATGCGAAGAAGTTGATGGCTCGTGCTGGCACGACACCGATGAGATTGGGTCCCAGACCCTTGAAGAGAGCGCGGTAACCTTCGGTACGAGGGATGGCGGTCAAGATTTGGAAGGTTTCTCGGATGTGAAGGACAGCAGTTCGGGAGTAGGAGAGTTGCGACAAGGGAGGGACACCTCGTGCGGCGCGAGCGGCGGAGAGTTGTGATTGGTAAAAGTCGGATTGTAGTCGAGTTTTTAGGACGTCAAGAGGACAGGTCAAGGTAGCGGCCGTCATTCCACCCAGGCTGTGGCAATTGGATCAGCAAGATGGAATGAACATTGGGTAGCGGGCGTCGACTCACCCTCCGGCGACAAAATGGGCCCATGACTTTGCGACAGGCGGCGGTGGCCTTAGCTGGACTCCATCCTGTGCTTTTTGCGGGAATGCGTCTCCAGTTTCTCTGGATTGAGGTATCGGGCTTGGGTCGACTACAGCAGCTTGCGCGGCGGCAATGGACGGGTGGGCCGTCATGAACGAGGGTAGTGTGCGATGGGTGTCGGAAGGGCACAAGGGATTGCGGTGAGAGAGAGTCCCTGCCGTGCAGATGTCGGGTCGATACTGTGGTGGATGGATAGTTGGTGTTGGTGTTGATGCAGTGGCTGATCCAAAAATTGCGCGCATCCAAAAACTGGAGGCAAGAACTCTCCGCATCATTGCAGGCCGAGTCTGGCGAGTCATGCATCACCACCAGGGTCTTTCCAAGCTTATCAGATCATCTAAAGAGTCCATCATCCGTCTTCCTTCTCTCTCTCTCTCATTCTCACACGACCACCGCACATCCCAACATGCAGTGCACGCGACGGTTACTAGCCCCTCCTGGCTTCTGGAAGCGAAGTCTGCTGGAACTCTCGAGGCTGTCGAGCATTGGTCCGTCTTCTTCCACCACATCTCTGCTATACCGTCCCCAGTCCAAGAACTGACATGGTCGCAATAAACAGNCTCTCAAGGCCGAAGCCATCAACCGTCCAGAGAAACCTTTCCCGCTCGTCACATTCAACCAACCCGACACGCCAGAGCTATGCAAAGTTATGTCGGACAAAGACATGGGCGGCTTCTCAAAGGTCCATTTCGATTTCGTTCCGGCAGATGCACAAGACCCACCACACATTCGTTTCCACGGCACAATTTCGAATGAGCTTCCCGCCGACAGACCACAGATCCAGAGGTCTGGATATGCTGCTTGGCGCACAAGAGACACGGGTCGCAATCTGTTTGGCAAAGGCTTGTGGGATCTCGACTCGTACAGCTACATTGCCCTCAAAGTCAAGAGTGACGCTCGCAAATATTTCGTCAATGTTCAGACAGAGTCCATTGTGCCGACGGATCTACATCAACACCGTCTGTACGCTCAGAAGCCTGGTGACTGGGAGACGGTCATTGTACCTATCAGCGAGTTTGTCCGCACAAACCACGGCATGGTCGTCGAGCCTCAAAGCGACATGATGCGCCAAAAGGTCAGAAGTATCGGTATAGGTTTGATTGACCGTGTCCCTGGACCGTTCGACCTCTGCATTGCCGAGATCTATGCCACCAACAATTCGGGTGGCAAGGACTTTGACAAGAAGCTTCCAACAGACGACCAGGACCTGGCCAGCGACGGTTTGTTACTCAAGAAGTAGTGTATATTTTCATCTTCACATGCATGGTGTTTGGCGGAGTTTTCGAGTCTTGAACTTGGCTTTTTGTATATAACCAATTGAGCGAAGCCTGCAGATTATTTGGGTGCGTGGCTACGAATCCACGTCTTCCCATGTTGCCTGGATCAGGGAAACATTATTTCTACAACATTTTATTCAAAGAAATAGCATTTTCATGTGAAGACGAAGCTCAAAAGGTTCCAGCCCCCCAGAAAGGGGAAGCAGCGAGAGCAGCATTGCCCTTGCGCACAGACCCCACACCAAGGGACAACTCTCTCCGCAAAGCGACAGCCAGCTGTACTCTACCAACTCCCCGTCGCATTACACCGAACGATACATCCCACCTTCTGTCTCCTCAACCACAAACCCACACAAACCAAACCCGCAATCATGTCGTCAAGCCAAATGCAAGAGATCATGGAGATGCCCCGCGAGTTTGTCAAGGACGGCACCCAATTCATCAACCGCTGCACGTACGTGTTGCCTTTCCCTCTTCTCTCTCTTGCTGCTGCTCTCTCCCCTCTCATATCCCTCAGATCTGACCCTTTGCTCTGCACAGTANAGCCCGACAAGCGCGAATTCCTCAAGATCAGCCAGGCCGTCGGTGTCGGTTTCCTGGTCATGGGCGTTATCGGTTACATCGTCAAGTTGAGTACGTTACTTTCGCTCTCTGCTATACTTTGTGAGAGGCAAGAGTTGATAAGAAGATATANNGTTCACATCCCCGTCAACAACATTCTCGTCGGTGGCGCATAAGCGATACGTCCTATCCCTCTCGAACCCCCTTTTCATCTTCGAAAGTGACTTGCCACGACGAAGTGCGCGACAAGGCGCACAGCTCCTCCACGAAACACCTTGTTGCAACAAACCTCGAAAGAAACCTAACCAGCTTGGTACCTTTTTTGCGACACACCCCGAGCACCCCTTCGGACTGCTCAAATCTTCTTTACCTGTACAATTTCTTCTTCAACAAGAGCGAGGGACATCTCTGGGCGTTAAAGAGCATTGAGTAAAAGATGGTCTCTCCAGTTATTTTGATACCACAAACCCGCAATTCAAAAACATTTCAAAACACACATCCCATGAACGGGTCTCGGGGATGGACGATTGGCAAAATGCTGGCCTTGAAAGAGTGAATACGGCTTGGATACAGGCTAAACCAAATGCCCATCAATATATACAGCTCGCTCCTTGCGACAGAAGCAAAAGAGAAAGAAAAGGAGTGTCCCCGAAATTTTGCTAAGAAATACAGTCCTCCAAGCAACAGAAAAGATCGTTTCTAGATCTCCGTGAACGCCAAAGACAGTCTATCGAGGGACTTCAAGCCAAAAGAGTCAAAGCCATCAGAAGAGGCCTACTCTTCCTCTTCGTCGTCTCGAGCCAACTGTGCCCGCGTCACGAATCTCGATCGTCGGGAGGATGTGGTTCGGCCAGTTGTAGCAGCGGCGCCCTCGTAGTATCGACTATCTTGCTCGAGCTGTGGGTTCAGTCGTGCTCCCATCTTGGGTTCACCCTCGTCCGAATCATTGCCGTCGTTCCAGCTATGTACTGTGCATGTTCCTAGACCGTGGTCCCATCCGTTCCATGAGGTTGCTNNATATGCGGTTTCAGTAGATGGACCAAGAGTTGTGAAGATGCTTGACTTACCAGCAACGACCGGTGCAGTAGGATGCCAACTAGCGTCGCGGACGATAGTACTCCACTGGCTGCGTCCACCACCGTGCTCCCAGCGATCAACATATCGCTCGTCTCGTTCGGGTCGTGAGTTTCTGGTTGCTTCCAGCACGTCGATCTTGCCTGCTATCGTGGCGTCCATGTTCCAGATATAGACCGAGCCGTCATGGCTTCCGCTATAGACATATCGACCATCTGTGCTGCCCGGTGGCGAGAAGTGACATCTGATGAGGGTCTTGAGCACCTTGTGGCCTCGGAAGGTGACCAGACTGCAGTCATGAGGATGAGCTTCATACTCTTCCTCGTCGTAAGGTGCGAACCGGTAGTCAAAACCTGTCGTGTGCTCTTCTGGATCAATCTTGTCGAATCGCTCAGTCGACATCATCATGCGCAAGTCCCACAACTTCATCGTTTGATCCTTGGCGTTGCTGAGCACATATCTGCCATCGCCCTTACTGTCAATGTATGTGATACCCTCTGTGTGACCAACAAAGGCACCGGCTTCACGGCCATCACCCATCGAACGTCGATCCCAGACCTTTAACGTCGTATCATCTGATCCTGAGTACAGAATATGTGGCGAGGTTTTGTCTCCGTAGCAGACAGCATTGACGTCGTCCCTGTGACCATGAATTCGGAGTATCGATTGCCGTGTCTCAATGTCGTAGACATAGACACTTGAATCTGAAGTACCGGCAACGATCTCGCGTCCATCACCAGAGTAGCGGAGAGACCAGATACCAAAATGACCCCAACCACGTCCAGTTCTTCGGCTCGTAGCTTGTCCCATGTCGGCAAAGTCGAGTATCGTAGGATCCATGGTGTTGTCGGGATCTGTAGGTGAAAGACAGACAGCGCTTCTGATGGAACTGTATGCCAGGAACCTGTTGTCCGGACTCAAGGTTGCGTCGGTAATAGTCCATTGACCGCCATAATAGTGCGCCGTCTTATAGTACTTCCATCTGTATGGGTTTGAGGTATCGTACATACGAACCTTGAAGTCCTGCGCACACGAGAAGAAGAAGTTGCCATCGTCTGAGAACTGACCAGAGTAACAGCGATGGTTGTAGTTAATGATGCTGTCGGCCTGCGTCGAGGGTATCATGGTCTGGGATATGAGCTTGTTGGCACTCTTCTGAGCACCGTAGCCGCCCACTCCGAGCTCGCGCATCATGTTCCGGTATGCGAGCTTCCTCTTGCGACCGTATGTTCCTCGCGGTCGCTCGGTGGTGCCGAAAGTACCAGACTCCATCAACTTCTTTCCTGCTTCGCTGGGAACCTTGGGGTACCCTGAGCCTTCTCTCTTAGGCCGTCTAGCCCTTCGACCCATGGCGTGCCATCCGAGATATGAGTCGTCCTCGTAGTCGTCGTCATCATCATCGGCAACAAGTCCGCCCCGCTGCTGGCCAACAACGTTGGCAAAGAGTCCCNNCCTGAGCCCTGTGTTTCCGAGAAGTTGTAGAATCTGCTGTTGTGTGACTGCAAGCTATCAGCCGACTTGTACTTGGTAATAGCAGAGGTTGCCACTAACGAGCGATAGTCTGTCTTGCGGGTTGTGGCCGTGCCGTCTCTGCTTGTGATGATTCCTCCTCGTTCTCGTTTGACGTTGATTCAGCGCCTGCCGTAGTCTCTCTGCCTTCGTCGTCGTCATCGGTCGTCTCAAAGTCTATCATGACTGGTCCGAGTCCCTCGTCGGCGTCTAGTCGATGTATGTTAGCGTTTGCCACAGCCCTCGAGTTTTGGACTGCCAAAGTGGTCTTTACCGTAGAATTCGGTCTCCTCTATGTCGTCTGAGCCAGCAAAATAGATCTCGTCTCCAGTTGCATATTCGGTGCCGTCGTCGTCCTCGAAGTCCATGTCGTCATCGTCTTCCCAATCATCGTCTGCAGCCGGTGCATAGATTGGACTTTGTTGTGATGCCGAGGATTCTGACTGGCCGCGAGGAGAGAACTCATCGTGTATGTTGAAAGAGTCCGTTGGTGAACAAGTGAAGGTGATTACAGAGCTCAAGAATCGAGTCCAACCATCAAGAGCCTCGGAGTGGAGAACAGAAGCTTATCTGACTCGAGAATGGAGTTAACGAGTAATCTCCGTTGGACTTGAGTATAATGCGAGTAGGAATAGTGCGATGAATTTGCGGAATGAATGGAATCAAGTTTGTGGGTTCCCTTTGAGATCTCAATGATCAACACGAGCTGGAAGAAACAGAGTCGATGATGCGGGAGAGGTACATCTGGGGAGGACGACGGAAGAGGCAGGAGCAAAGCACCTCCGGCTGGCCGACATCCGAGAACAACGTCCATCAACGGTCTTCCCAGACAGATATCAACCTGCACATTGAAACTAACAAATGGATGCAAAACTTATGTGTATATTGTGTTTGTATATTCCATCAAAAGACCATGTATTTCTGGTATTCTGCAAACACTTTTACCTCGATGCTGCTAATCGGAAGGTCAAGCCCTTCACAGGCACGCTTCTTCCAGAAAGCCAGATGTCGCAGCGAACGACTTCGTACAGCTTGGTCTCGTGTAGGCGTAAGGCCCTTTCCTGATTCTCAGACTGAACCATAAAGGCATGTCCGCTCACACGAGAGTCGCTGCTGCTGTTCACAAGTGCTCGGTACTGGCCTAGGTTTGTGATTTTGCCACCCAGTACATGAGCGGGCTGTAGGCTCGATGGATTAGGCTCGTGTTCGGATTCCAGCACTCGCTTCAGGACCTCTGGTTGTGCTAGGGTACCGTAGAAGAAGTAGAGAATTGGATATTGTTGAGTAAGGTCTGTGATGTTGTTTAGGCGGTGTTGTGGCATGGTGGTGTCGTCGACGCCTAGTTTAGGCAGTGCTGAGTGGTGCTTTGCTGCAACGTTGATTGTTATGAACCAAGGCTCAAAGCTGACACCACGGTCCCCGAGACCCTTCCTGATGCGCTGCTCCTCCTCTGCAGTCACATAGCAAAAGCTTGCTGAGGAGTCTTCTGACTCGGCTTTGGCCACGGTGGGTGTGAACCCTGCGATATCTCGAGCATCTTCTGGGGTACTCAGAGGACCACCGAGAATCAGGCCGCTTAGGGTGTCGTTTGCTAGCGAGTGTGCCGATCTTGGACTGGTAGTCGGAGTATCTGCATTCATGACCTTCGAGCGACAGAACAGAGCATACTCACAGGCCTCGCGGTCGAAGCCCTGTGCTTCCTTGGATGCTCTGAGCTCAAGCCATAGCTCGCCGCTGAACCTCTGGCGGTCTATATCTGCTCGGTAAGCCTTGATACTGTTCTCTGCATCTTCGTATGTCGTGGAAAANAGTGTTCGCCAGCGATTGATGTCAACTTCGCTTATCTCATCGTCTTCGAAGTCGGCAGCATTGGCTCCCATCCTCTCGAGCTCTTGCAACAAGAAATCCGTTTCCATTATGTCGATATATGTGTGTATAGGGGTTGTTTTCAGCAACAAAATATTCGAGTGCGAAATTCGAGATGGGTCAGTAGAGAGAAGCAGATGTGAAGCGAATATGGATGTCTAGTGGTCGAAAATACGAATTAACTCATGACTCACCATACCAACACGTGCGTCTGATTCTTCGTCAAAACAGTAGCTTGAGACACATATACAGAACAGAAGTGCTGGGTGTCATCTGCGGTTAGATAATGCGTATCCATAAGCAAGTTTGAGATGTAAAGACAACAAAGTATTTCCTCACCGTTGCACGCACCAAAACCCTTGATCAGCAGTTACGTCTCAGTATGATAGACGATATTTATCACTGTCCATAGCCTCAAGAACATATGTGTTCGTGGTGGCGATACACGTCGTTCTGTATCATTTGATGCATTCCGACAGGGTCACCCCGTACCATGATTACTAAACAAGAAACCAGTGCGGATATTAGATGGCATGGAATAAGTGGAATATTGGAATATTCCACTGATTTAAGGTAGAATATTCCACCTAGTTAGCATAGAATAGAATCGTTAGTTTAAGTGGAATATTCTACTATTCTACTACTTAGTATAGCTAGTATTACTATAGTTAATAGTAGTAAGCCTTAGCTTAGAGCGTGCTACGCTTAGGCATAGTAGTCGCGTATAAAAACTTGCTATAACGCCCTTTCTAATTAGTAGCTCATTTAAGCTCTCTAATTAGCTAGATCTTATCTTAGAGATAAGATCGTAAGCTCCGACTAGCTAGTCTATAGTTAGCTTACGCGAAGCCTTACGCGTCCTTTTTAACGCGTCTTAACTAATCCCTCTCTATTTATTAACTATCCTATCTTCTACCTTCTTACTTAATATAAGAGCTTAGCTCTTAATTGTCTTTATCTTAATAAGCAAATAATTGTTACGATCCTACCAATGACAGGGTCGCACAGCCTGCTCTGTTGTTCCCCGCATCTTGGCACAGCAGAGCACTCTGCATAAACACGCCATCTGCTCTGCTCTGCTCTGCTGCTCTGCTCTATAGAGCATAACAGAGCACATAGAGCAACATGCATACACTTATTATCTGTTAGGTATATAGGTAGGCAGGAACTCACTAAGAGGTCCTGCGTTCAACTTAATTAGTTATTCTAACAGTCCCTTTAGTATACACTACTACTTACATCTGCTTCACTACGCTTAACACTCCTCTTCACGAGTCCAACTCCGTGACTAGTTATTCTCCCCAGAATAGTTGGCCATAACAATAATCTACCTTTAATTATAACGCTTATATTATGTGTTTAATAGCTAATTAAGAGCATAAGTTATAAGAGCTATAAAGCTAACTAAACTCTCGATTATCTTAGAGCTAGCCGCTATACGCCTCTAAGTAGAGCACTCTCTTTAAATTTGCCTCTAATACTCTAAGGCCTAGACTCTTTACTCCTTAGAGTTAATTAGATAGTATCTTTATTAAAGGTAATAACTCTAAGACTAACGATAGCGCCTCTAATGTCGACTAGCCGTTATTTCCTCCTTTAAAGCGACCACGACTAACACTAACGACCCCTAGTAACTATATCGATAACTCTAAATCTACGTTAATATAGCGCTCTTAAAAGCTAGCTTCTACCCGTAGCGATTCTAAAGAGCTCTAGTCTTATACTAGAGCTCGTCGTTCTAAAGAGCGTAAGCGTAAGCTTAAGAAGAAGATCTAGTACTACTTCTATAGTAGTAGAGACTATCCTTATAACTATAGTACTACTAACTACGATAATATTAGATTATACCTTAAGAAGAGACATAGCTAGAGATAGGCAACTAGTACACTTTTAAAGATGCTAGTAGTAGTAATACCCTTTTAGACATTATATACTATTACCGACATCGACAAAACTCGCTTAAACCGACGCCTTATCGATTATATTACCTTAAGTAACATCCCCTTCCGTACTACTAGTAATCCTCTACTCTATACCCTACTTAATAAGGTACTTCCTAGCGCCTTAAAGCTCTTAATTAAGACCTATGATACTATTACTAAACACGTTAAGAAGGAGCATAACTTCTATTAAGAGTAGCTTAAGGCTCTACTTATAACCTCTCGATAAGGTAACTAAGCTATGTAAAGGTAATAACGCAACTCTTAATTAAGTGCTTATGTTAATGGATTTCTTACGTAAGCACTATAAGAATTACACGATCTAAGGCGCTTCTACCGATTAAGCACTTATTGCCGCTATTTAGACTAGCTAATTTGCACTTAATAAGTGGCAAACTATTAATAACTATACCCCTACCTATACGGTAGCGCTCCTCCTCTATCTAACCTATTACGAGGCCTATATTAATAAGCAATAGCCTCCGTTATAGCGAGTACTAGCTATTACTACTACGCGCGCTTTATAGACTACCAAGTATAAAAACAAGGTTAAGCCTATTATAATGACACTATTATTAATAGAGGAGTTAAATAAGCTAGCTAAGTAGTAGGCTTTAATACGGTATATAAGCTTAGTTACTATACCTAAGGAGTTTATCTAGTTTACTAAGAGTCCTCTAGTACTTGTTAAAGACGCTATATACTAGTAGCTTAAGCTAACGTAGCAACAAAACTACCTAAACCTCTCTTAGATGGCTATTAATATCCTCTTAATTAATCTAATGTCTACTAAGTTAGAAAGGGTGTTTAGTAGCTATAGAAGGACACTATCGTAGGACCGAGCAAGTCTCTCTACTAATAACCTTAGCTATATTAAGTGCCTTAAGAGCTAGTAGAAAAACCTCTGTTTTGATAAGGTTAACCTACTAATTACTACTAATAAAGGACTAGAAGATCACGTAGAGGAACTGGAAGATTACGTAGAGGGATAGGGTGACCTAGAAGAAGGACAGGGTAACTGCGACGACGACGACGGAGTTGGAATTGGCATTATTCCACTAGATAATTGACATGGAATGGAATGTTAGCTAGAAGTAGTGGCATGGCATGGCATGAAGCCGAAATTCCACCGATTCCATGTAACATCCGCTCTGCAAGAAACAAGAAAAAAAAGGAAAAAAAAAGCACCAAGCACAGAAGGGACGACAAGCATGAGACAAAAAGCGTATAGGGGAACAACAGCGACTCGCAGTATGCAAATTCTTTCTTACCATTGCCCAAAGCTATTTTCTCCGTAAACAAAAAGGAAGAGCGCGATCGCTATGAAGAACGAAAGAATTCATCCACGCTCGCTATCAAGAACGCCAATGACCCAATGACTGTGTCGTGAAAGACCGGAAGGAAAGGACTAACATAGGATAAAATTCAGGTTTTCACTTCTTCTCTTCTTTTTGTGCAGCGGCAGCAGCAGCAGCAGCAGCCGCCTTCTTCTTCTTGACCGCATCCTTCAGCGTCGAGAGCCTCTCTTCAGTAACTCTGATCGCATCTTCCACTTGCTTTTCTTCCAGTTCGTGGTTGCGAAGTCTGCGGCCCATTTGCTTGGTGCCCAGGACCTTCTGTCTGTCGGTTCTTTCTTGTGTGGCACCGCCGACGGGAATGCCATTGCTCAGGCCAACACGATCCTCGAGCCAGTCCCAGAGTTCGCTTTCTTCTCTGCGCCACAGCTCCTCGTATGCGGCAAGTCTTCCGGGCGAGTCGATGGCGAAACCCATTCCTGTAGAGCGAGGTCGAGATGGGAAAAGCCACGTCCAAGCCAGGAGCAGAGCTAGTATCGTGATGACGACCTGTGCTGAGAACAGTGGCTGGAAAATGCTGACGATTGGCTCCAGCGGTCCACGAATAGGTTCGAACAATCCCCAATTGGCTTCCTCTGGTACCTTCTTGGAGGCGACTGTGACACGTTCACTCTCGATCGGTGCACCGGCATCTGTCCTGCGTTTTCCTTTGCCCTTACCGCGTGGGACACCCCTGGTTGTAGCTTTTGCAGCCACGCCAGCGGTGAGCGCAGCGACCAAGTCCTTGACGTATTGTGTCTGACCATCATTCGCACCTTTTTCAATGGGTCCNTGTCATACATTAGCAACATCTTCTGAGTGGAGATAACGATACATACCCTTCAGCCAACTCTTGCCAGTCCACTCAACTGTACAATTGGCAATCAACCTGGTCGAGTTGTTGGGTCCCCACATCATGCAGTATCTGGTCTTTGTCGTGAAGATACCTCCACTAGGTACATCAGGGGTCGCAGTGCTGCAGTTGACACTGACACACTTCTCTAGATCAAAGTTATCCACAGTGGCGGTAACAATGCACTTCGTTTGTCTTGGCCCAACAGGCGCATTGAGAGGCTTGATGTACGAGTATGTGAAGGTTCGGTGAGTATCGTCCAGTCCACCTTTCTCGTTCTCAAAAGAAAGCTCGCGAGACTTTTGATCGTCGACCAACCACTTCTTCATGAATGTGCCCGATGCTGGGCCCCACATCAGGGAATAAACCTTGCCTAGAGGAGCGGGTATCGTAAGGTCGGCCAGTGGCTTGTCGTAATGGCTGGCATCATCTCCACACTCAGTGGGAGCATGCGTGGCTGGTCCGGGGAAGTCGACGGAAGCAGTCGCGCCAGAAGCAACCGCTTCGATAACCTCTGCGCCTTTCGTAGGACCGTTTGCTGACGGGATACCAGCCGTGACAGGGACTGCAGAAGTTTTCCTGCTCACAGCCTGATCACCAATTTCGCTACCAGCAATGCTGCCACCAGGTTCGTAGAAGCTACCATCGTCATGATCTTCATCTTCGTCGTAAACATCATCTTCAGTTGCCCCATCAGTGCTGTCCCTGTCAGAAGCTATCGATTCAGCACGCTCCGTCTTATCGCCAGTGCTGGCATCGTCTATTGCGACACCGTGGAGAGAGCTCTTCAGGTTGGGATGATTGATTTTCCAGATGCCAATAAGGAGATCATAAGTGGAGTCTCTGGCCACCAGACTGGCAAAAACATTTCGAGCATGTAAAGTTTGAATGACGATTGCGTTAGGAAAAATAACAGCAGTGTTCTTCTTCTCCACTGACACAACCTCGTCGAAGCTGATGACCAGATTGGTCACCCAGCCGAGAATGTTGCTGGAGAAACAGATGTGACCTTCCGAAATGTAAAGCCTGCCATGAAGGAGGATATCACGCTGTAAAGCTGCACTATAGTCCTCGATCAAGTAGTCATCCTCTGGCACGCTCCGGAACAACTGATGGAAATCTTTGTTGCGCTTGCTGCTGGCTACAGCGAAACCGGTAGTGCGATGACCTTGACCTAGGGCAGGGACGAGAGTAGCGCTACTAGCAGAAACCGCAGCAGCAAGAGTCCCACCTGTAGCGGCAGAGCTACCACGATGTCTTCTGCGGCCACTGAGCTTACTTCTGACCGAGCTGGCGCGCTTGACGCTGTCGAAGGTACCCGAGGTTCTGGGAGGTGTTTGGAAGCCTGCATCCGAACCATCACCCGAGACCACGGACAGAGGTCTTCCGCCTGTTGCCTGGCTCACTGCCTTCTCTACAGGCTTTTCATAAGCAGCAGAAACAGCGCGGTTTGCGGCATTCTCTTCTTGCTTCTGGCCATTGCTATTAAATTGCGAAGGATTGGGCGAAACACCTGACAGATCCACGTTGGAGGTCATTGGGCTGACCTCGGAGCTTTCGGCACTGATGCCGAGTTGATCTAGACTAAGATCGCCTCTACCGAGAGTTTCGACTGCAAGTTGACGTTTGATACCTGGCTCAAGTTCTGGTGAGCTGATGGTTTCAGCACCAGGAATCACTTCTTCGCCGCCTACGGTGTCTGCTTGATCGAACGGCTGAGGCTTGTTCTTTGGTGAAGCGATAGATGTGTTCAGACTGGTACTGAGCTGATTTGCAGCGTTTTGGGCAGCGTTAAAGACGGAGGAGAAGAAACCAGATGAGGTGACAGGGCCAGTGATTGTGCCTCCGGGTGTTTTTGCTTCCTCAATATGCGGAGTCAAGGGAGAAGCGGCGAGCTTGCTCGATGTGAAAGTTCCGGCTCTTTTACGTCTCTGAGCGGCAGCGTTTACGTATGAGGGAGGAGAGTTGATGGAGGAGCTGAGCGATTGCGCAGAAGCATTTGAGAAATGAGTCTGAGGTTCGGTCGGAGTTGGCGGTGTCACGAAAGTGGTGGGAGGGTCAACGGTATTGGGAGGTGTAGATGGCACGGTTGTGATGATGGTGGGTTTGGGCGGCAGCGATTGAGGAGTTGTGGGACGCGGAGAAGACAGGGTGGGAACGTCGGGTTGGAAGTCGAGATCTGGGAAAGCCTCATGTGTTTCTGTGGTTGCTTCGGCCACAGGCTTCTTCTTGGGCAAGGTGAAAGCGCCTTTGAATCTATCGACGGGCGATTTTTGTCGGTCTTGAGTAGCAGAGATCGACTGTGAGGTAGCGGGTTTGTCGAAGGATGCGGGGCCAGCCAGGTTCTCAGCAAGGTGGGGAATGTCGTCAGGCAAGGGGTTGTTGGTGGCAGCGGCGTTGATGAGAGGTGAGGAGAGGGTTAAGTAGCCGGCGTGGGACTGGTGAGGAGAGAGGGTTGGTCTGACGGGACTGCTTGGAGGCAGGGCAGTCAGCAAGCGAAGAAACGAGGGTCCTTTTGAAGGCTATGGAATATCAAGTGCTGGGCCGTATCGCGTATCCAGCACGTGTACGGTGCAATACGCAAGGGAGGTCGGGGCCACCAGGGTCCTGGGTGATTGTGATTGCACGGCAGTGGACGGACGACTAATGGACCATCTTGTTGCGATCGGCGTTACGACGACACACGGCGCTCGGACCCTTGGCACGTAGCCCTCCTTCGCCTCGAATAGCATCACGGTGATTGAGAGTGTGAACTTACGCTTGGTCGTCTCGTCCTCGGTCAGTAGACTGCTATGTCCACTGCCCTGGTTCCCCAGAGAAAGCTCGCTGGGGTTGGGAGAGATGCCGCGCTGACGCTCCTGGAGCAGGTCGCCCGATGCCGAGAGGAGGTCGCTGTCTTGGGTGCTGCTCTTCCGCCGCGACTTCTTGGATGAGGGCAAGAGGCCACGCAGACCTTTGGACGAGTCGTCACTGTTGCGGCGCAGGTCTTGCGACTTGCGGGCTCTTCGTTCTTTGACTTTGGCGAAGACGTTGTCAATGGACGGCTTGAGGCCCGAGACATGGTCGTCCATGGGCCCGCTTCCTATCGAACTGTTGGAGTCGTTGCGGTCGGCGTCCTTGCGGCCTCGACGGAGGTGGATTGACAGGTTGCGACGAGGTACATCGGCAGATGCCATGGCTTGGTTTGGTCAAAGTCTATCGTGTTTGGTCCCGCATGCCGGCGCCAAGGGTCGAAGGGAGAGTGTATCAAAGGTTTCGAGAAAATTGAGCTGGCGAAGACGGAGGTTCAAGGTCAGACGGTGAGGCGTAGGTCAAGGATCAACAGAGTGATTGCGGGACCAGGTGAAACAGGTGGAGATGGCTAGGTGGGCTATAGATGGTCGGCTGGGAGAATTATTGCACTGCCCAGATGCGCTGCTCCATCAATCAAGTTGGAGTTGCGGGAAGCGTTTCATGACGTACTTGGCTATCACATGCCTGTCCGTGTTTCTATTTTGCCTATTCCGTGCTTCCTCTCTCTGTGCTGCAGATCAGGCACCATGGAGGAGGCTCCTTTGACTTTGGTAGGAATACGAGTCTTCCATCGAGGACTCCTACTAACTCTATAACCAGGCGCACTCGCATGCGCGCAAAGCAGCCGTGGAAACGTCAAAGTCACACCTCGCCGTAGCTGCCATCGAACACCTCGCTGCAGCCGAACAATATGCCAAAGCACAACCCTCAACCTCCGATCCCGAAGCCATACGTGTGCTAAAGCTCCTGGAAACACATCACCGCCAGCTAGCTCATATCATCCGCTCAAAACACACTATCGCAAAAGCCGTACAAGACGCCCAACATGCCGACTCTCCTGAACCAGACACCTCAGTAGCCATCACCTCGCCTTCTGTCGCGCCTTCATTGGCTCCTGCGCCAGTCGCCAGGATACACCCATCACGCCGCGAGTCCTCACCCGCCCTCGCAAAAGATATAGCCACTCGCAGAGGCATTCCACAACAGTCTTCTTCGCTCAATCCTCGCAAACCGCCTTCTCTAGCACCATCAGCCGCCACCTCTACCATTTCTGTCGATCGTCGTGCCTCTGCAAAATCTACTACATCTGACAACTCAGCCCAGTCAAAAGATCAAGATGACGGCTTCTCTCGCTTCTACTCCAACTGGACCACTGGACCTCTCTCCCGCTTATCGTCCATGCTTGCTTTCACCGCCCTCCCTTTGACAGACACGCCTGAGCCCGACTCGCCTACCTCATCACGTCACCAGAAGACAAGCGCCAGAGCCTCGAACGACCCTGACGTCAAGTCTCTGATATCGCTCGCTGCCTTGAACGCTTTGCAACAACACGGTCATATCGGTCCTGGCGAAAGCTTCTATGTTATACCCACGAGTGGTGGTACCGCTTCATATGCGAACATTGTCACGCGAGAGCAACGGTATGCTCGTCGCCAGCACCTCTCCAACATCAGCGAAGACGATCCTGCCGAATTTGTCGACGCACAAGAGACACAACCCGCGAGAGTGCCAAATCGCGGTCTGATATCGGAGCGAGAAGAAGAACTGCAACTACAAAACGATACGCTCAAGCAAGCTCTTGATCATGTGAGCCACCGATTGCAGGCATTCGAGTCACATGCTCAAGATGCTTCGATGGCTGCATTGACACACAGTGTGGCCAGCGTGCGAACAGCCCACTCTGCTGTTCCTTCCAATTCATCGAGGCAGTCAGACGATGAGCTTCAGGCTGCTTTGAAAGAGATCAAGAGACTCGAGCATGACAATGCCAAATTCAGAGCTTACTACGCCAAGCTGAAGGATAGTGCCAAAGCAAGGAGAGCTGAGCCCAAAGGCTGAGGTGGAAATTATTTTGTTTACGTTCTCCAAGATACCCTTTACTAGATACCCCTTTTCGCATGCATTCACATGATACCACTTCTAACGCTCCTTTTGAATTTGTTGTCTAGATCGTCTTCTCGAAACGTGCTGGATGTGCTTCTGAACTTTAATCGTCCCGCGCTTCATGGCTAGAACAAAAGAGTTCGAGATTAAATACCCTTAGAGGAGAGAAAACGTTAGATAGTTATGTTCACGACGAACAGCTCGGGAGGCGGGACGATAAAATCCATGGATATGACGGTATGAAAACAATAGGGGTATCGACATTGATCAACAACTACCCAGACCCCAGATCAGCGACGACTGGGTAACTCGTTCGGGTCTCAAGAGTCGTCATCACCTTGCTGCTTATTCCTTCCCCTCCTAATCATATCCGCCATACTCACCGGCGGCTTCCTCCTCTCTTCCCTTGTCCGATACGGCAACAATCTGCTCTCCCTCAACTCCCTCTCCAGACAAGCACCTAATCTTTCCAATATCCACTCAGTCTCTGATTGATGTCCCATCAAAGGGCTGGCCCTGCTCAACCACGACCACCTATGGTCAATGTGTTTTTGCTTCCACTCTTCTCTGGTTTCTGGTAGTCGCAAATCTTCAGGAACTAGGACTCCTCCCGAGAGATCAGGGGCATCGGCATCGTTTGCCATGAGTTTGAGGAAGTATTCCCATTCTCCCCATTCGTAAAGCTTAGGNGGCGAGGCGTTGAGGTCTTTTAATAGCCGTTGTGTCTCCCGTGCCAACAAAAAATTGAAGAAGTGAATGTCTCTCTCCAAAAAATCACCTTGGTGTTCAGCAGATAGAGCGTCATCAAGTTCCTCGGCTTCGAGGTGTTTGGCCATGCGGTCGGCTATGCGGTCAGTCATGGTCATGTGTTGGTCTTGATCGTCTGCTCCCGCGCCCTCCGCCTGACTTACACCACCCGGATGCAAGTCATGATGGCTATGATGAATAGGATGAGTTGCTGTGAGAGAGCTCCATGCGGCCTGGAGAGCGGATCTTATTCCTTGTTCAGAGGGTAGGACGGTGAGAGAGCCAATCCATTCTGTTGCATTGGAGAAGACTTGGACCACGGTATCTCCCATATCTGAGATGAGGATCGTGAGGGTGGGAACGGCTAAGAGCGACCAAAGAATGAAGAAGGCTTTGCTAGAGTTCGACGTTGGTGTAAAATCTCCGTAACCGATNCTTGAGAACAGCAGAAATGTCAGCAAGGCCCAATCTTCCTATCGTCGTACCATCGACTTGATGTCGACGTGGCATCGACTTACCGTGAGAAGACAAGCATAGGTAAAGTACATTGTCTGAAAATAGGTCCAACCCTGCTCTTTCTCGGCAACATGGAAAATAGCAGAACCGGCTAGCCAGAGTGCAAAAGCAGCCGTCGTAGATACAGACAAGGCAATCCACTTGCGATCCCTTTCGGCACACTCCTGAACTCTCCTCATCGCCTTGAACTCTTGTTCTCTCTTCTGAGCGGCATTTGTGTAACTTTCGACGAACTTCATGGTTTGGAAACGGCTGACGCGCATTCGTTGTCCGCCATCGCCAACACTATTGACGGCTCGAAGTCGCTTTTTCTCCATCATTCTGGCGGATATCTTCTTTTGTCCTCGTTCGAGAACTAGTGTTCGGATGGAGCCGACGACGAGACCAAGGATGACGATGCCGCCGATGGCATATGGGATAAACAGGGATCGACCGGAATGCGTCTGTGGTNNCTGAGAGGTCATGTGTCAGCTTCAGCGTGCCCACAAGCCTCGATGGATGAGAAAAACGTACGAGAAGTCTCCAAGACCCACGGTGAGTAGCGTTACGTCTGCCCAATACACGGCATCCAGATATTCCCATTTCTCGATATGGCTGAACACTAGAGCGCCGAGCAGAAGATAGGTGAAGAAGCTCATCGTCTGCAACATCAATGTTCGCTGTGCTGCAGTCAATCTAAACTGTCTCGCATAATGTCCTTTCCAAGCACCATAGACAGTCAGGCACATTAGAGCGGCGATGATGAGGTAGATGGCAGCAGCCATGATTGCATAGTAGAACGCCGACGTCAGCGCATGGCGAGCAGCAGATGCAGCAGGCGAGCTTGTAGGAAGTCGGTAGGTATGAGACACAGTCAGAGCAATAAGATCCGCAATCAGAAGTCCAGAAGAGACAGTGAAGCCAACGATTGTAATGGGTTGGGCTATCGAGAATCGCAGACGATGGGTCATATTGAGTAGCAACGATCCATTTGCAATGAGAGCAAGACCCAGAGAGATGGCATTGATTGCAAGTAACNNCTGGTAATTTATCGTCAGAAGAAGTTTCCGTGTTCAGATATATGCGAAGCACCATTTCGGGTCATCGATAGTGGTCGAATTATTGACAGTACCTCCGGGCGGTATGTATACTCTCCAACTTGAAGACAAGGCGCATATCGAAAAGGCAGAGGCCATAGGACCAAATGTACCTGCGATGAGAGGACATGCTGTCGACTCGAACCAATATCGACTGTGATGTGTTTAGTCAGTGCAAGATAACTTTTTTACTTCGGAGGAGTTTTAGTACTTGGGGTTGGTATAATCTCTTTCCTCTCCAAGATCCCCAGATTCTCTTCGCTTTGATTGTTGGCCTTGATTATCAGGAGACCCTGAGTCGAGTTCGTCCGCTGCCTGCTTGATAGGCTTATCAATGGGGTCGCTCATCCTCTCGTGGGATCGAAAATAGGTGAATTGATTGTCTTCGAAGACATGCCCTGAGATGATCGCGTTGCTACGTTCATAACACAGCAAAGCTGAAAATATAGCGGCTGGAGTAGGATATTCAGGAAATGTTGATCGAGGACGGCTCGACGGAGTGTAATCAAAAGGCAAGCCACCTTCGTAGCCAGTCAAGCTTCTGCCAAGGTACGTAGGCACATGGTCAGAGCGTGTGATGCTCCACTGTGGCGGTGCAAAAGTTTGGAGAAGGTCAGAACTTGGAGATGGGAATGCGTACTCCAGTTTGAAAATCGAAGGAGTTGCAGTGTGACTTCCAATACAGAGACCAGCCTGATAGATAGCTGCAAGGGTACACAATAGTTTCCATATACATGCTATGACCGTTATGTTCGTGTAAATTGCCATTGTGCATTGATGAGCTAGGGATATCTTAGAACCATTCCCTGAGGTACAGTATCTTTGGAAGGCAGTAAATCTTTGTCCACGAATAATGACCTGCTCGCCCAGTGTATCTCAAGAGTGATTACCGCAGCCTCTACGTGGATATGTCAAGGGGCCAGAACAAGAAAAGCAGACCCATGATGGCTTCAAGATGCGAATTGATACCTTCAGCGGGTCGTCTCGCTCGGAGTGAGCCGTGCACTACGCTAGTTGAACGCAAAACTCGAAGTCAACATCATCATCACTTCCATACTCAATCTCTTCCATACCTCAGTAACGAACATCCACAGAAGCGATATGAGAGAACAGATCTCATGGAACACACTTGGAGCTTCTCGCTCTGAGTATTTCCGGTATATACTGACCTCGCTACATCACAGTCAAAGAACAACGATATGCAGAAATCCAAGCTTTCAAACAGAAATCCAAGCTTTCAAACAGAAATCTGTTTGACAAGGCCTAGCACTCGTAGGCAAGTTGATATGTTTGATCATGGCATCTTCTACCGTGGTGCTCAGCAAAGCAATGATGGACTACTCGAGCAAGATGTGCTGGCCATGTATGGTCTGCGTTCGCGAAGACAGTCACGCTTCCAGAAAAGGGACTGGGTCACTGGGTGAATGGCCAAGCACATTCTTGGTTCTTGTAGCTCCTTGCTCTTTCTTTGTTGCTTTGGCGTCATCCTTGTCTTCTTCGAGGCACAAACGCAATCGGCAAGTTGGCTCTGGCGAAGCAAAACGTGGGTATCCAAAGACTTCAACACAGCAGTCAGCAATTGATCCTGACAAAGAAGACAAACTCAACTTATCTGCTCACTTCTTCCAAGAGCAGCAGCCGTCAACTGGTATCTCAAAGAGGTGTTGCCTGCTTGAAGCGCGTAGGTAGGTGCCTTCACGCGGTTTCGGGAAACTGCCGACGGAAGCGAGCGCTCCTTCCAAGCAAACACCACCCTCGCACTCAAAGCGGCGCTTGATTCCCTTTGCACCTTCCTTCTTCCGCTTCCTTCGGTCCATCACAAACATCAAGATCGCCCTTACAGAGCAGTGTAAGTACCAATCCATCCCTCTTCTTCTCTCCCACCTCACGATCCACTTATCTATCAACTCAACACACCTTCCCTCCTCTGTTGCACCTCAAGCATCAACATCACTGACGCGCTTGTCAACTGCAGCCTGACACAGAGTTCCAACGAACTCGCTCACGTACTCAACACTCTGCGCACTTTGTTTCGCGCGCTTGTAAGTCCTTATCCTTCAGCTCCACAGTTGCCCTCCCACCACCTCGTCTCTTGTTCATCTGCTCCCTTCCACTTCAACCCTCTCACCTTTCCACCATCACTCGGCCTTTGACGGCGCCTCAGTCTCAAGACTACCAGGTATCGTCGACTCACTGTGCGCATTTCAACGATCTCTGGTTACCATTACCACTTGCTTCATCAATACCTTCCCTCCACCACTTCCCTCCTTCATCAACTTCCTTCACCACCTCCCTTTAACATCGCCTTCTTTCGTCAACTTCCTGCATCAACTTCCTTCATCAACTTCCTTCATCAACTTCATCGACTTCCTTCTTTACCACTTCACACTTCGTGTCTTTCATCGACATCAAGTCATACCACTCTCAGCTCAACCGAGTCATCAAGTGCCTCGACTAACCACTCCATCCGTATCAGATCGTTGCATCTTCGCAACATGTCCGACACCGGCTTTCACGACGCCCCTACCGAGGGTCTCGGCCAAGCCCCCGCTGCCTTGGCCGCTGGTCCTAGCCCTGAGGATGTCGCTGCCCTTCGTACTCATGGCTGGACTGAGAACGAGAAGCTCGACTACGATGCCTACAACGCCGCCCCTTCGGACATCACCNCCACTTGGGCCACCACTGCTCAAGTTTACGAGTGGAGCGACGAAGAGGGTGACATCGGTCCTCCCGATGCCGAGCTGGAACAGCAGCTCTTCGGTGAGCGCCACAGGGCCGGAACCTCCCTCGACCACATCATGGACTTCAGAGCCAACGTCGAAGGTCCCAGACAGTTCTCTCCTACCGCCAGTGTCAGTTCCTTTCTCTCCTGACTGAACCCTACGTGATGCTAATTGCTTTACAGTNTCGAAACTGCTGGCCTTCACCCCCAGGTTCTGGCCAATGTCCAGCTCTGCGGTTACGAAGAGATCACCGTCATTCAGGCCTACTGTGTGCCTATCATCCTCGCCGGTCACGATCTCGTTGCTGTCGCCCAGACTGGCTCCGGAAAGACCGCCGCTTACCTTGTCCCTATCATCTCCAAGTTGATGGGTAAGGTCCGCAAGCTTCAGGGACCTCGTCCTGTCGCTGGCAGCCGCGTTCGCGCCGAGCCCCTGGTTGTCATCGTTGTCCCCACCCGCGAGCTCGCTCAACAGATCTTTGATGAGGCTCGTCGCTTGTGTTACCGTTCCATGCTGCGCCCTGTTTGCGCTTACGGCGGTATCCCCATGGGCATCAACCTTCAGGAGCTCGGAAAGGGCTGCGATCTGCTCATTGGTACTGCCGGTCGCCTCAACGACCTGATGAACAAGCCCGATGTCCTTTCGATGAGACGTGTCAAGTTCACCGTCATTGACGAGGCCGATGAGATGCTCACTCCTGATTGGGAAGATGAGATGGCCAAGATCATGGGTGGCGGTGGTAAGTACCTCAACCTCGGCATGCTCAAAGCCAATGCTAACTAATTTCCAGATGCAAACGAGGATCCCGACCACGCATACCTCTTGTTCTCTGCCACGTTCCCCAAGGAGTCCCGTAAGGTGGCTCGTACCTACATGGACCAGGATGCCATGCGTGTCCGTATCGGCCGTGCTGGTTCGACCCACAAGAACGTCACTCAGGACATCATCTTCGTTGAACGTAACCAGAAGAAGCAAGCTCTGTACGACCTCCTTATGGCTAGAGATCCCTGCCGCATCTTGATCTTCTGCAACAGCAAGGGCGCTGTTGAGGAACTCGATGATTACCTCTTCAACCGCGGCTTCCCTACCAACTTCATGCACGGCGATCGTTCTCAGCTGGAGCGTCAAGACTCGATGCGCATCTTCAAGAGCAGAGAGAAGGGCATTATGATTGCCACCAACGTCTTTGGTCGCGGCATCGACGTTCCCCAGGTCAACCACGTCATCTGCTATGACTTGCCTGGCGTTGAGTATGGCGGCATCTCGGAGTACATCCACCGCATTGGTCGCACCGGTCGCATCGGCCACAAGGGCCACGCTACCTCGTTCTACAACGAGCGTAACGAGGACCTGGCTCCTTTCCTTGTGAACATCCTTCTCGAGAGCGACCAGACTGTGCCCGATTTCCTTGAGGGTTTCAAGCCTGAGAGTGGCAAGCCTGAATTCGAAGACGACATTACTGACGATGAGGACGAGGAGACCTCCGGCTATGTCGCTGCCCCCGGTGCTGGTGCCTTCACCGAGGCTCCCACTCCCGCCGCTTGGGGTACCGAGTCTTCGGCTCCTGCTGTTGCCGAGCCCGACCCTTGGGGTGCTCCTGTTGTTGCTGGCTCTTGGTAGACGGTTCAGCATCCGGAGGACCAGGCCATAGTGTCCTTGTTCGACTGCATCACAGGATGCTCATACGTGCCAGTAGGATGCTGGTAGTGGCCCAAGATCTTTTCGAACTCTAGCTAGATGAGAACAATTGAAAGTGCATTGGCTCTTCGTTTCGTTCCTGACCTCATATTCGTGAAGCTGTAGATCTGAGTTTTATGCCTTTTCTCCCTTATCATCCAGAGCTACTCAACCGATGGCTGATAGAAGCGCAATTCATCTTTCCTTGTGGCTACCTTGTCCCATCACAAGACCAGCCGGTGCTGCAGCCCTTGCTCTTCTCACCGGCCATGCTTTTTACGTCTTCTGCCATCATCCTGAAGCAGTTCATACCTGAGAAGTATGCTGGTTCATCATTCGGCATGGCCTTCAAGCAAGCTAACACTGCCAACAACAGAGACAGAAGCAAGGGCGTCTTGGTCTGCGTCTTCTCTGCCATGCATGTAGATGTGAAGTCTTTTCACGAACCCTGCTTCATCACCCTTGTGTGCTTCAAGCGAGAAACACAAGCTAACAGGTCCCAGAGCAACTTTCTGCACTAACTGTATTGATGAGACGAGTATGCAAACACAGAGCAATACAGCTTAAAAAGAGACAATCTTGACACCGAGAGTCGGGGCGGAGAGCAAACAACACGGGTTAATCTACGGATAGGTCGAGTTGCACAATACTTTCCACAACAGACCAAGATCCATAGAGAAAAGACCATCAGTTCCACATCTCCACTTGGCATACTTCTATATAGAAAGAAACTGTGCATTTCCATATCATATCATGTTGATATATGTCTATGTAGGAGAGAGAGAGGTGGTGAGTTGTAAGGTTTGCCTGCGTTGATTCCCGACCAAGAGCCATGAAGATAGATGAGGAAGAGATTGGGAGTACGTGGGCGAAGGTACCAAGTCAAACTTCTCACATCAACATCTACGAATCTATGCAGAAGGTGTTCATTGCTCTAGTGAGGAAGGGGACCATCCATACTTGAGCTCTTCCAAGTTGAAAAGCACAAACGTGGAGATGGAAGGAAGTGTCCTTCGTTGCTAATTCTACAGCTAGTGTTGGTTGGCAGAGAGAAAGACGAGAAGCTGATCAGGAGAACAAGAGCATTGACATGACAACTACAAAACACTTTTCAACCAGGTAGGATTGGAACGAAACAAGTTTGGAATTAGCAAAGCAAAGAGTTTGGGGTATAGAAGAAAAGCAAAGCAAGTGTTCGCTACAGAACTAAAAGAGCTCATTAAAAGGGATAACATCAAGTCTGCAAGAAGTATCCAGAGCGAGGAAGAGTGGAGAATGGAAACAGGAAAAAGGGGCAAGTCATCAGCATCACTCGAAAAGAGTAAACACCTCAGCCAGAAAAGAAAAGGAACAAAGCGTAAGTGAAAAAAAGCGCAAGTCATCAGCAATCACCCTCGGAGGGCAACCACCTCAGCCAGAAGAAGAAGAGAAAAAAACGTGCAGAGAAAGAAAAACCGAGGCCCCATATGTGTGTGCGTTTCTGCGTTGCGTGATGTCGTTTTGCGCTCCTCCTTTTCTCCACCTCATCCGAAGTCGTGAAAACAAGAACCACCATCCCGAGTATGCAAAGAGCCATTACCACCACCTAGGCTCCCCGTTGGCGCCGCGCTTTGAAAAACGGCATGCGTGTTGAGAAATGCAAGGAAAGAAGAAAGAAAAGATCAGCGAAGAAAAAGGTGTGATGGAGGCGGAAGTAAGAACGAGCAGAGTGACCTGAGTCACACTGTCATGCTGCTTCCATCACACAAGAAAGAGAAAAAGGAAATCGTTGTGTCGTGTTTGGGTTCGGTCGTCAACATTGATTAACCGAGTGTGTCGCTCGAGCGAGGGCGGAAGATGATCTCTTCATCATCGCTGCTGTCCTTATCGGTACTGTCTTCGTCGCTGCTAGCATCGTCGCTCTTCAGGCCGAAAAGGCTAGCGAAGGCAGCGCCGTCCAGGATGAAGCTGTCCTTGTCATCCCCATGCTTGTACTAGTCAGCAGTGGTGCGACTGCGTTCATCTTCCTCGAGAACGTCCGAGAGACGTGTGGGGTGGTGATGTCTGCTCTGGAGAGCCTCCCAATCGCTACCGTAGCCAGCGCCTTCATAGTCCGCAGGCTCGACATCATGGTAGCCAGCAGTTTCGACATCCTCGGCAGTCGAAGTGGCGAAAGAAGCCATGGCCTCAGCGCTGCTAGTGGGAGCACGAGGAATGGGAGGAGGAGGCATGCCCACGCCGTAACGAGCAGCAAGCTCACGCTCATGGGCGACATCTGCAGCAGTGTCGTATTCTTCGGAAGAGACGTGGCTGGTGTTCTGGCCAGCGCCACGGTTAGGGTTGCGGTAGACGACAGGACGGCCCTGATCATCACGACGGACAACGCCATGCTCGTCAATCTCGTACTCAGTACCCTCAGTGGTGTCTGATTCATACGAGGGGCGCGAGCCTAGATCGTGGGTAACTTGGACTGGTTCAGCGGCAGGAGTCTTGGAGCGTGCAGTACCGCTTGCAGGCGAAGAGTGGAGGTAAACCTTGCCGGGAGGCTGCTGGTAAAAGAGCTCGGGCTGTTCGTTGACTGCACCTGCGATAGCGGCCTGGCTAGGCTGAATGGCAGGGCGGGTGGTAGTGACATTGGGCGAAAGGGGTGAGATGCCCTGAGGAGACATATCACGGCGCTGCTGATGAGGGGAGATGGCGGTACGAGCAGTTGATGTCGAAGCGGGAGTGCTGCCGGAAGGGTAAGGTTGGCGGGCATCAGACTCGATTTGCTGAAGGTCAGGCTCGTGGTGAAGCTGCTGGCCAGCTCTAACAGACTCGGTGAAGGGATCGGTGTTTGTAGGCGATGGCTCGTCATCCTGGTACTGGATGTCGGGAACGATGGGCTGGTACTGTTGTTGACCTTGTTGCGTCTGGGGAGACTGTTGGGATCTTACCTGATGGTACTGAGGGCTGTCGGCAACATTGGCGCCAGTGGTAGAAGGACGCTCACGACGCTGGTGATCCTGGTTGTTTGTGGCATGCATAGGGACGACTTGAATACCTCCAATGTTAGTGGGGATGCCTTGACGTAGGTTGGTCATGATCTCGGTATTCGTGGCCTCCATGTCACCAAGACTCTCCCAAGCACGTCTGGCTTCGGCTTTGGCGATGACCAATTCTCTGCGATCTTCATTCGCGCGTTTATGCTCCTGCAGAAATTGCGCATGCTTCTGTTCGATGGTGCGCTCTGCTGACTGTACGAGGAGGCGCTCGGCATTGATTTGACCCAGCAAATCCGCACGAACTTCTTGCCACTTTTCCTGCTCGGCCTTCATCTCGTTGAACCATCTCTTGAACTTGCGCTCAGAGCTGGCACGAAGCCGCTGTAACTCGACCAGTCCATGGAAAAGATTAGCTCCAGCAGCTGAGAGATCTTGGATTTGACGTTGCATCGCAGCGGCAGACGGATTGGTACCGCGAATCTCCTCAGTGTTACCCTCAATCTTACGGAGCCAGTACGATGTGAGGCCTTCCCAGTGTGATGATAACATCTCCCATCTTTCGAATGCATGGGGGAATGACGAGTGGGTGCCTGACTGTGGCATGTCTTCGGTTTCGACTTCGTTGGGCTGAGCGGAATGAGAAGGGTTGGGAGCTGATGATACGCGTGCTCCAGATTGCGAGATCGTCTGAGATCTTCTGTGTCCAGGCGTGGGTTGTGGCTTGTGGCCTTGCTGCGCCGATTGAGATTGAGATCGTTGCCTGGAGGGAACGTCACCTCGAGAGTCTTCTGACATACGAGCCGATGATGGAGCGGCATCCTGGCCAGCCATGCGCTCCATGGCGGCGGCAGCAGCTCTTCTGCGTTCCGGGTCTGACGATCTCTGCTCGCCTTCTCTCTGACGACTGGCTTCTGCTTCTCTTCTGGCCTCTCTAGCAAGACGGTCTGCCATGATGTTGCGAGGTGTGCGTATCGAGGGAGCGGACCGGCCACTGCCTTGATTACTGTCGCCCATAAGATCTGACATTGTTTCCCGCTCTTCTTCCAGGACAGGTGTGAACGGGTAGGGTGTTCGGATTGCTTCTTCAACTGCGTAGAGGATCGCAAAGTGTTGATGATGCGAGATGCGAAGAGCTGGGTGAGGCCCGAGACCTTGGGGATCGGTCGAGATCCGGTGTCGTTGCGCACTTTGCGGTTCGTGAAAGTCTGCGTTCGCGCTTTCGAATGAAGGGGGTCTATGCCTGTTCACACGGGGTCGAGAGTCGTTTGAGTCGTTTGCTCGTCGTGGGTCTCGGCGTAGCCTTGGACCACCACTATCCGGGGATGTTGACGTCCGGGACGAGGTACTGAAGCTACTCTGGTCTTGCGCTCGTCGCTGCTGCCTCTGCGATGATGCCAATGGGTCGTGAGAGTCGTGGAGATCGTCAAAAGAACTGCGCCGTTGATGCGACAGTTTGAAGGCTGGTAGTGGATCCAGAGCCGCTACTTTGACCGTTGCCGCTCAGTTCCTTTGGCTGAAGCCTAAACTCCTTGTTTTGCAAGCCACCCACCAGCACAAGTACTTGTGCGGATGCTGTATCGACGTTAAACTGCCTCTGTTGCGACGCTTAGTATGTATGACGACTTGGTACAAAGACATGAAAGAAGGTTTGGGCAGGAAAAAGTGGACCGGCAATTGCAGAACATGGGCATCGGCCAGGAACATGGTTTGTGGCCCAGACAGTGCTTTGTCAAACAGGGATAATATTACTCGAGGGGCTGGGTATGGGAAGCAGACTTGGTAGATCGAAGTGGCAGGAAACATGCAGTGGCTAGGAAGCAGAGCACGGTCATTACCGCAGAACAGACAAACGCACCTTGAAGCCTTGATATAATTAGATACTTTCGATCTTATGTCGGTAGTTCCTGCTGTTAGTCACACAGTACAATATTCGCGACAACAGTTGACTGATTTGTGGTTTTTGGAAGTCAATTGAAGCCTGAGAAGGTGCGACTTGGGTAGCGTTTCAAGTGCGGATTCGAAGACCGGCTTTGAAAGGCAATGATGCTGGGGCTGGAACAGATCTGGATCGGAACAAGAAGATAACCTGACTCATCAATTCCCGTCTCATGGTCTTTTGGCTATCCGCAGAACTCTAAAGACCAGGTTTGAAAGAGATATGCGAACTGTGACACCGCAGCAGGCGTGTAGCGCTGTGGATGGCCGAGACTGGGGAGTACAGTGCGGAGGCTGTTCAATCTGCTCAACAAGTACGAGTACTTGCAAGCGTCTGCGTCAACACAAATGTCGATATACCCGGGTCCTGTATATTGATTGGTGAAGACAAGTCGATGGCGGATCTGCCTTGGGCTTCAGAGGAGAGCAAGAACCTGGTCGCTGCCAACGCATCTGCTATGCTTCTTCGGCTTGGCCCGTGACAGGCAAGTTTCTTTCGCCAGGGCTCGCGAGCCCGAGCTCTTGTCGGGCATTCTCGCTTCCGGCGTACCTGAGCTGGCGACGACATGGTCTGGCAGAGATGAATTACAAACAGTCAGGACTGATGTTCTCAAGAAGAAACAAGCTAGAGAGAATTGTTCTGCTCCGACGGGCACCAACATGAGCAGCTCCGATTCTGGTTTCACTTGCTAGCCAATCGTTAATGTATGGCAACTATAGCCGAATGCATCTGGCTCGCCAATACTTGCCCGGGACCGTGTCGTCTTGTTAGGGAAGGCAGCAATCTTTATTCTCTGTAACGATCACCAACAAGAACATGTCTAGACTTGGATCTCAAATGATTTGTGCATTAGTGAGTACTCTGAACTCTTTCTTCTATAGATCTGAGTTCAATGTTGACAGATTTGTGCTGACTCAAGAGCATGATTGGAATCTTGTGGTAAGGAAGAGTCATATTGGGCCCTGTATCGATGTTGAAATATGAATCCCGGTTATCAAGGCGATCAGCAGGTAAAGGGATGTCCCACAGCGCCAGAAGCATAGGCCTCGATCAATGATTTGATGATCGCGTATAGTCCACCAACGCAGATGAAGCCGCCGAAAATCAGAGTGCCGAAGCAGAGCAAGAACATCGGCCACTTCTTTCTGACAGATCTCCAACCATCTCCAAGGTAGTGGGTGTCATGCCACCAGAATGCTCCTGCAAGACCATAGGTATACCAGGACGCAAAAGCAGATGCGACTATACCGCCTAGATACGAAAAGAANCTGTCAAACGTTAGTTGGGTATCAGATAAAGTCTGAGGAGATCAACGTACCGGCACACCTGTCGCCAACACGAACCCGCAAGCATTCGCAACAGCAAGCAGCAATATCCAGACTCCCCATCCCAGTATCGTGTTCTCTGTGAGATGCCTGCTGTTTTTAAACATCCTCACGAACAAGATCTTTGCAGCGAAATGATTGTACAGCGCTCCAGCAACCAATATGTTCGGCAATAATAGTCCCCATGCCACTTTCGCCCAAGTCTCTGACAGACTCAGGAACGAGGGACTTTGCACCGTCGAACCTAAAAAGCAATAGCTCACCACGGCGAAGATGACATACCATGTCGTGCTAAAGAGCTGAAGTGCCCAGGCTGATTTCTTGGAGTCGCTTGGGACTTTCATCTCAGATATGATAGTAAAGAAGAGGAAGTGGCCAGCATATGCTAGGACTGAGGTCCTCGATTAGCAGCCATATTATTTTCCATTCGTGCAAAACATCTTACCAGGGTTGGTAATGGCCAGGAATGCTGTGTAGAACGTGTTTGGGGCGGTAGCAACAACCACACGATCAGGAGTTGGCTCGACACCAGCACCGATCATGGCAACCAAAGTTGCGACCAAGACCGAGATACAGGCAGCCACGGAAAAGCCTTGTAGCCCAGCACCAAAGGTTCTCGGTACAGCAACAAGAAAGGTTATGCATGTCCAGATGCCCAGATAAGACATCGCACACATACCACCTTGACTCAACGTTTGCAAAGCCAGCTGCCCGAGCAAGCTCATACTGCCCACTCCAGTGATGGCAAAAAGAATGGTGCCGACGCTCAACATCTCCCCCCCTACTGCTCCTAGTCCGAAGGGAGAAAACAAGATAAATCCCGCATCGCCCATATTATGCACTTCGGGATGATTGAGTTTGAAATCGATGAGCAGGAACGATGTGAACAAAGCCCAAACTCCACAAAAGATAATGATGATGGTACCAGGGACAAGACCAACGACGGCAATTGCTTGAGGCAGGGTCAGAGTGCCACCAGTCACGATCTCCGTGATCATGATAAAGGCCGCAGATTGCCAGGATAGAGTCCGATATTTTATTGAATGGTTTTTGTTGTCTATAAAGACTTCACGCTCGTCGTAGCTGAGATCCGTGGCAGTGGTATTCATAGCCATTTCCGATTTTCTGGGAATAGTCATTGTGGTGGAGAGAAAAGTAGGTAGCGTTCAGAAACAAAGGTGCAAATAGCAACTATCCAAGCAAAGGGAAGGAAGAAAGGTTGCAGATAAGTGATCTTGGAGACGGTGCTGCGGGGATACATGCAGTTGGACATCGTTATTTGAAAGATACGAACGCGTGATATGTACTGCAGCATCAAGGTGCAGGATGAGACTTGGCGTGGCAGATCTCGCTATATAGTTCGCTTGGAGTCGCGGCTGACTGCATATGGCTTGCATTGGATTTCGTATTCTCCTCGCTGAGCCGGAAAATTTCACACGAAACCCTAGTGGTGAAGTTCGAGTAACAGTTGTCTGAAACCATTCCTTGTATGTGGCACAATCCCTCCCCGTGTGCGATAGACGGTCACAATGTACTTATCAAAATGCACAATAACGTCCATCAGAAAGCGATATCCACAGAGAGAACGTTATGTTCAGGCATTTCCAGGACCACATCCTTGTTTAGCAAGTGACTGTGCGTTTTATAGCATGAAGTAATGCTTCATGTCAGAGTGAGACCGCGGTGGACCGTGAGGCTGTGATAGTTTTTTGCGATGGAGAGGACATGATAGATTGATGCTCAGCCTATGCAGATAGATTCGAACGAATAAAGAAATGATGGATTGGTCTATCAAGTCAACAATTTGATTGATCATCGAACACTTCACAATTAATTGACAAAAGTCAACGGCATTGTTCCTGCAATGGAGGTTCTGTGCGCGCTGCTAGCGTGGTTCCATGGAGTAAATGTTCTGGCCAAAGTCTCCAGGATAGGTATTGCTGGACTGCAAGTCCAGAAACGTGCAATCGGCGTCCAAACCCGTGTCAATTACAGTCGTGTATCGAGAATAGATCGAGGGATGTCTCGTTGACCGTATTACAGAATTGAGAGGTGGCCGCAGAGACTTCTCGTACAAGAGAGCAGGTCGATCATAGCGGTTTGACGATTGGTTACGTGCATGCGACTTGATCATGGCTTTTTAGCATCTTCTGGGTTGTCCTGGCTGGCTTGCTTGAGAGCATCCAGACGCTGTTTGTTTCTCTTTTGCAATATCCTCAAAGTGTTCTTCTTCTCGATGTCGGCCATCGTGTCCCAGTTTGTGATTCTGGAGATTGTGCCGTCCTTGTTGACGACCATGGGTCCGAGGTGATCAAGGGCCACGCCTTCGCCAGAGCTGACGTCGAGTTGGATGCCGCCAGCTGGTGGCTCGGGCAATCCCAGAGGTGTGTCTTTCTTGCCCTGTTGTTCGTGCGACTGCGCATTGGGATCTGCCATCTTGTCGTTCGGGGTAGACGAGTAAGGCTTCGAGAAAGGTGCGGAAGTAGTTTGGTGCAGTTCAGCTACACTGGTCAGTCGAGCGCGTGGGAAGTATCTGAAGAGCTGCATCGCAAAGAAGACGACAGCGAAGCAGGGCAGCACCCACGTTAAGAACGTGCGACGGTTCATCGGTATGTGATCGAAGACTCGCCGACTCGATGGAAATACATCGAAGCCCGTGCCAAGAATACCATCAGTCTCGGCTCGAACTGCCGTCGACCCGGCTGAAACTTCTTCGAGCACATGTCGGCATCAGTCCTTGTTCGTTTTCTTATCTGCCATCTTTCACTTTTGGATACCAGTATCACTAGATAGCGATCATCATTGGATATTGTCTTGCGTATACTCAGGGACTTGACAGCATAATCACCAGCATCATGTCCTTCTTCTCGAGGTTCAGCACGCCAGTCTTCAAGAATACCGGATCGACCGCTCGCGATCATCTGGCCTCGGAGCGTACATATCTGGCATGGATGCGTACCGGTCTCGGTTTCCTCGCTCTCGGGATTGGCGTGGAAAGATTCAATCAACTTGACCTTGCCGAGATTCTGCCCACCAAGCACAAGAAGCGTTTCCACGAGAACAAAAGCCATAACGACAAGTCAGACGCTCTCGTGGGTGCTTTGCTCGGAAGTGGGGCTGGCAGCATTGCATACGGAACTACTAGGTACTTTTCGAATATGCGGTTGCTAGAACAGGGGCTCTTCAAACCTGCTTTCCATGGAGCTGCATTCTTGGCCGTGGGTGTTGCTGGAATTGCTGGAGCGGTCTATTGGTCTACCGTCAGAGAGAGAATGGCAAACAAACATCCTAGTCGCGCTTGATCTCGAAGCGACCAATGGAGTTGGACGGACGAAGAGGAACCGCAGCATCTGATTCGTGTTGTTGCGTTCGTCCTGAGAGAGTGTGTGAAAAACATAGCACCGCGAGCTTTCGTACAAAATTTATTTTGGTTCCCTCTTTCTTCCAGTCATGAGCAACAACACCTCTGGTAAGTCTCTTTCGCTGGGCATGCCTTGCGGAGCACTCAGGTTCTTGCATTTCTATGGCCATGTTCATCAGAACTGACGCTTTGGAGCAGACCGCACTCCCATCGCTATGGCAACACCCAAGACACCTCCCAGGCTCTCATCGCCAGAAGNNACAACCACGGGCTTCCGCAGACGTCGCCGCGCCAGACATCTGAGAGCAGCCGTGTACTGGGGACTCACAGACCTGCGCCACTACNCCCCATTCCCTGGCACGGGTCTCACAATCTTCAACCCGGTACCCTACCCCTACAAGCCCACGACAAAACTACCGGGCGCCAAAGACGACGAGACCAGGGTCATGCATCTCGACGGCACAATGGACCCTGATGACTCCGACGATGCTAGAGAAGATGACAAAGAACGCTGTCACGAAAACGGCTACCCCGTCGCTTCCTCACCCACCTTCAAGAAGCACGCTCGCACTGTCGAAGACCAAGCAAACGATACAGAACTCGCTTATCATCTCAATGCCCTCGACCTCGACGCCGACACACGCAAATCATATCATATGACCGCCAAACACCTGGACCGGAAAGCCAGAATTAGAAACTCCAAGACTGTTCGCGGCTTCAAGTTCCCACAATCCCATGTTGGGCGTGTTCAGAAGAACAAGGAGTTGAACATGTATCAGCTGTCGAAGTGGGCTGGTCGGGATGCAGAGAAGAAGAAAGTGGTTGCCAAGCTCTTGCACGACAGAGGCAAAGATCGAACCGAGGGTTTGAACAATCCATTCTAGAGGGCCATAATGAGAATACATGCATCTGGCTGTCACAGTCATCTTACATCTGCCTGCTGTGTCTGTGCCGTTTGAAGAATGGAAAGGCTGGCACTGAGCAGACACGCTCTTTTAGAGAACATGTGCTGAACCATATGGAACATGTGGTTCACTTCGACGAGTAGCCCCTCTTCCCGGTTAGCAGATGGCGCTGCAGTATACTATAGAAATGCACAGTTGTTTGTCGGACTATATGTGTGGCCACAGAAGTAGCCTCAAGATGATATCTCTCCTTGGACAACATTCCATCCTCAAAAGTGTTGTGCGCTTTTATAGGTGCTATAGTCCAGTTTCTCGCCGATGGGGATGCAATCTAGGAACATCAAGGTCACGATCACCTCTAGTTGCATCTCTGTATAACAACATCCATATCTCTATACTTTACGACATCGTTCAAATGCCCAGTCATCGTACGGATATGGAGACTATGGACTAGTATCTTGAAAAGGTATTTATCTCATCCACGTCCACCGGCAAAGCTACAAGCTCCTTTGTGTTTTAGCGCAGAGTACTCAAAAAGTTTCAATATGTTTGCGCCAAAAGGTTCATGTATTGTTTATCCAAGGTGTTTCATTATCATGATTCAGAACCCCTCCGCGTGTATAGTATACTCATATCTTACAGAGTGTAGACAAACTCGGGATTCTCGCGATCGGTTAGATCCAACCATTCCTGATTCTCCAACTTGACATATGATTCCGACGCGCGGATAGCGGCTCTCTTCTTGTTTTGGCGCTTGCAGTACCAGTAGATGAAGACAATGTCACCGATGCAGAGGAGATAACACACAATCTACGACCACAAATTAGCACGGAGCGAGAGTGAGTTGGTAGAATTCCTTACAATCACGATTTCTGCAGGAATATATCTGGGAGCATCTTTGGGACGGAACGTTTGAGGGCCAATGATGTTGCCGGCGCAGTAGCCGATGAGGTAGAGAGCGGCCACTGTTGTCTTTTTCGTCCAACCAGCAACATTTGTGGAGATGAGACTGAGCAGAGCAACAAATGGCGTAGGCGAGGCCTGAGTGAGATAGTATCCGAACAAGCGTCCGATATTGTTATGCAGCGGCAGGCAGACGATCAATAGCATACCCAGAGTGGAGATCCAAAGACCGGAGGTTGAAATCAGAAGACGGTTGCCGTATCTGTCGCCTAGATAGCCACAAACGATGAGGGCGATCACTTCGACTGCACCGCCAGGAGTGCCGTAGAGGAGGGATTCTTCTGCAGTGTAGCCAAAAGACGTGATGAGCTGGGAGAAGAAATTGGAGATACCACCNTGAGTTCACGATTTAGAAATCATGTGGTTCAAGTCTGGCTCAGTATACGTACCATTAGGGATATCAGCAACCAGAGCATAGAAGACAAATGCCCATGTCAGAGGATCCAGCAGTGCTTCCTTAAGCTGGTACATTTTGAAGTGCTTGTTTCCAATTCCCTGCTGATTGCATCTGACACGCTCAATAGCGAGAACTCGGTCCTCTTTGCTCAAGAAGCGTGCGTTGAGTTGACTGTCGGGAATGACCCAAAGAAAGATGAATCCGACACAGATGGTCAAGCATCCAGTAACCAGGAAAATGATCTTCCAGGGTTCAATACTGGACCCGTGCAGGCGTGTGCCTTTTGCAATACCATAAGCTACCAGACCACCGAAAATCTGAGCGAATCCGTTGAAGGAGAACCAGATGCTTGTGCGAGAGCCTTGCTCTTTCTTGGTATACCACTAGCTAAGAGTCAGCACCTCGAGCACAGTGAGTGGAGCGTCATCATTGCATACCTGAGATGTCAACAGAGCAAATCCAGGGGTTACCGCCGCTTCGGTGACTTGAGGAGTAATCAGCTTGCTGGCATAATACGTTAATGACTCTTAATACATACCTCCGAGCATGAAACGTACAGCAACTCCTCCTGAGAAGTTCTTGACGGCGGCGAATGTGCACAAGGTCATACCCCAGAGAATGATGTTGGCCGCTGAATATTTTCCCAGTGGTAGACGTTGTAATAATCTGTTTGTTGGGTATTCTGCCGCGATATAACCAAAATAGAANCCTGATGCTTCTTAGCTTCCATGCTCATTGCCTGCAGAATATGTGGTCTCTTACATCGAACTAAGCCATTGGTAGTCAAGTCCTTGTAGATCGGTATCTTTCTTCAGTCCCATGACCGAGGCATACGATAGAGTCGTCTTGTCCAGATAGTTCAGTCCGTAGACAATGCACATGACCNNTAAAAAGAGTGTGGAATCAGTATGGGCCGTATGTATTCCCAGACTGAGTATCTGTACCGGCATCAGGTTCCAGTCAATCTTCCGTAACAGACGCTTGTTTGTGGCTTCATCCAGCTCGATGACTTCACCCGGATGCGACATGAAAGCCTTTAAGGCCTCATCTGCGTCTCCAGCATGTTGTAAGATCGACTTGTCCACACTGCCGTTACGTATAGCATCTGCGAGAGGTCCAGGCAGGTCCTTCTCCGCGTCGAAGGGAACTGTCGACTTCTCGGTAGCTGGCATGTTGGCGGAGAGACAGGTGACACAGGAGTGTTGAGGAGGTAGAAAGGAATCCTCATGGAGGCGGGTACACGGCAATACTTATGAAGAAATGGAACTAGGGTCCTCTGATAATGTACATAGATACCGGCGAGCAGAGCGGAATATCATATCCCATTGGAGTTACCTTATGCTACCTTGCCTTTAGATAGGCACGGCGGAGGAGCCAATCGAGGTGAAAAGATCGGCATGATGCGTGTGGGGAAAGAGAGGTGATAGCCATGTGGACTGCATTTCTCGGCCAAGCTTATTCCTGCTTGGGAAGGAGCTACGCCGGGTACTTGCCCGTTGCTTGGCAGCTCACCTCCTGCTTTTGTTCGAAACAACTCCATCTTTGTTGACAACCGGACAACAACTTGACCTTCATCATTGAACATCGAAGAAGGTTATCATTGGTAAGTGAACTACACTACATCTTTCGGGTGAAGAAGGACTGCTCACTTCCAATCAGAAGCACACCACTTTCTGCCAAGCATCACTCCAGCGTCTCAAAGGCATCCATCCATCAGTCCTATCGATTCCATCAGTTTCATCTATCACTCCATCGAATTCATTGCTTCCAGGCTCTCTTGACTGAAGCACAAGTTAAAACATGCTTCTGGCGCTTCCCTTCACTGTTCTTCTGGGCACCGCTCTCTGCTCTGTGGCCGGTAATCCGCTTTCGTCGTCTTCGAACCACAATCTTCCTCGTGACGATGTTGACCCAGACTGGCCATACTCGATGATGCAAGGCAGCAAAGAACCCAGCATTTCCCAGACAATGGCATGGCCTGATTAGCGCTCAATTGGCCTGTTCGGTGGTGCTCCCTGGCCCAACTTCGGGGGTTCCTGAAGGAATGGAGATCTCGTGCTCCTGCAACTTACAGTGGCTTCGACAACCAAGCATCAGAAGATGATGCTCTTGATGATTCTTCCCTGGAAGCTGATGCTTCCGACGACCAAGCTTCAGAAGAAGATACTATCGCTGCCGACTCACCTTACCCCTATCCAACTTCAACGACTGACTACTACCCTAGCCGTTCACCCAAATCTGGTGAGGTTCTTACCGCTGGCTACAGTACCATACACAAGACTGCGGCAATCGTCGGTGGAGTCATGGGTGGCAACCTCTTACTTTTGACAATTGGTCTGATCTGGCTCCTGATCCGCAGGCACCGCAGAAATCGACGTGCTTTGAAGGAGGCAGCAAACGAAGTACCAGTGGAGGGAGTTCTTTCGTCCTGAGGGTACGGACAACCTAACCAATAGTCTACGAGGAGATGAGCCTGAGGCTATCCTATAATCAAATTATTTTGTGGAATTTTCCGACCATTCTCTTATCTTCTGTATGTGACCTCCCTCCCCACGTCCCGAAGCATCTAACACATGTATGTATAGCAATGCACAATAGTTTGCGTAAATAGAACAGTGTCCATTGAGAGGCAAAGTATATTAAACTCTCTTTAGTTCAGTTTTCAACCTGGAAGCTTCTGTTTCTTTTGAAGTCCAGATATTGCTCTATGTTGTAGTGGGAGGATAAGTAAAAGTCAGACCCTTGTACAAACAAAGGAGCAACCCTGACTTGACAAGTACCCCACCATGGTCACGTCACAGATCTCTTGCTTACAAACACCCGTGTGAGCTCAATCTTCCAACCTCCACGAACAAAACAACTTTGTTTCTCATGTCCCAGCTACTCCTACTCTCAAGAAGATCTCTACTGCACTCCCGGAACCTCACTTCGAACCATCTCAAAACGATCGCCAGAATGAGCTCCTCTTCCTCGGACGCTTCAGCCCACTTTCCCCCACCTTCACTCCGCAACATTCTCAATGAAGTAACCTCGCTTCTCCACGAACGCAATCAAACCATCGCTATTGCCGAGACCGCTGCTGGAGGTCTACTGTCTTCGTCTATCCTGTCCACTCCCGGCGCCTCCAAGATCTACAAGGGCGGCTTGACACTCTACACTTTACCCTCACGGATCGCCTATGCAGGATGGAGTGACGAAAACATCAAAGGCTACTCAGGACCTACACCAGAGATTGTTGCTGGATTGGCCAAGCATGTCAGAGGAGAGCTGAAAGCTGATTATGTGATTGCCGAGTCGGGTATTGCTGGACCTACTGGTGGAGACACGAGGAATAGGACACCGGGGTATGTTGCGCTTGCCGTGGATTGCGAGAAGGGTACGTTCACTAGGGAGGTGGAGACGGGGTTGGGAGGAGACAGAGTGGGGAATATGGTGAGGTTTGCAGAGGAAGGGTTGATGTTGATCAAGGATGTTATTAATGGGGATGCTAAGTTGTGAGTGCTTTTCAAAAGCTGGCATGCTACTCGTCATCAAAGTCTTGCTTCTTATTGCCCGAGAGCTCGAGATATTGCTCCATCAGGTCCTCGACCATGTCTTCCACGGGCTTGAGCTCGATATCAAACACCCTTTCCGTCTTCTCCTTGCTGCAAATCACACTCTTTGTAGGCACGTCCGAAGTACACGGCAACAGTCCTTGAGCAACCTGCTCGGGGAATAGTTCCTTGGTAATTCTGTTGACATCATTCCACTGCACCTCCTGCCCAAACAGATATTCTCCAGCGGGGATCTTGTCCTTGTTGAGAGCGGCAATATGGATGGCAGCTACATCTTCCACGTGCACCACTGAGGCAATCTCCGCGGGTGAGCCTGCTGGCGCCAGTCCCAATGCCATTCTCAAGAACAGGACGTTGGATGTGGTCATCAGATCCGTGGGTGAAGTGGCGAGTTCATTGCGTCCTTGCACATACGTCGGACACAAATTAACGACATCAAACGCCGGCTTGTTGGTTGCCATCCACTCATTCGCCCTCAAAAATGCAGAAGTCTTGGAAGCAACATAGGAAACCAAAACATTCGCATACGGAGGTGCAATCTCTTGATTCAGAGTTTGCTCAGTGACAACCGTATGCCTTTCCACAGACTCGCAAAGCAATCCTGGCGTAATGAAGATGGCGCAAGAAGAAGTCACCACCACTCTCTTGACACTGTTTGATTTTTTGGCGGACTCGAGTGCGGAAATGGTGTTTTTGATTGCGGGCTCCACCATTTGTTTATATTGCTCTTCGGCCGAGAGAGCGAGGTTTGTGAATGGCAGTGGCGAGGCGGCGTGGATCATGTAGTCGGCTCCTTGGGAAGCTTCATCTAGAGCGCCTTCGACGCTAAGGTCGGGCACAATGTAGAAACTGCATCGGGGTGTTCCTCTGGTCAAAGACTTGAAGCATGGGTTGTTGCGAAGAGTGTCGGCTTTTGCGGCGCTGCGCACGACGATGCGAATGTTGTAGTCGTATTGCAGGGCTTCTTGGAGAATGGCAAAGCCGCAGAAACCAGTGGCTCCCGTAAGAACGATTGTTTCGGTGGACATGGTTGAGGGTGGATGATATGTAAAGGAGTAAACACAAGAGAAGAAAAAAAAAAGATGGAGGAAGGAACTTGACTTTTTATCGGTGTTTCTAAAACTCGTGGATTCTTCACATGCGTTAATCTATTAGGCCTATCGCCGTCCTTGCTCCTTATTGCGAGTATATAAAGAAGTGAAACTGGTGGAACACTCGAGGCCAGCAATCAGATTGAAGTCAATCCTTCGTGTTGATTGAGTCGCATGCAGCAACCAGTGATCGACCAGGGTTCAAGGTGGACCGCTCCAGAAAGTCGAGTGCCAAGCTTTCCCGGCCGTGTGCTTCTGACTCGAGAATGTGTTTCAAAAGTCAAATATAACACTCGAGTACCGATCTTGAGAGTGAGACAAGACGAGATTTGTCAAAAAGACGAAAGTTTTGAACTGGTTGAAGACGGCATCTATACTCTCTAGTCAAACATCTTGGACATGGCTTGTTGAGCCAGCTCGACTCCAAGGAAAGTGGCAGCGTTGGCGGGGACAGCACGAGCCATTGCGGGACCGATACCAGGGAAAAATGCCTTGTAACCTCCTCTTCTGTAGAGCTCCTTGACGGTGCCTCCAATGGTAGGGTTGCCTTCTGCCGACTGGAGACGACTCTTGACGGTGTCGACGGGGAAGACGGGGATCCACATGGCAATACCGGCGGCACCACCTGCGGCCATGACGGCCAGAAGACTGAGCTCGCCGGGTGTGCCGTCTGCGTTCTTTGGTGTGAGTGAGCGCTTGACGGTCTCGTAGGCTGCAAAGTATGCTGCTGATCCAGGAGCATCTCTGGCAAGTGTCATGGCGCTGCCTCTGAAGACGGACCTGATACCGCCCTCCCTGTAGAGTTGACGCACGACGTCGACACCTCCTGCGTACTTTGGCTTCTCGCCGGGAGCCAATGTCTTTTGACCCTGGATCTGCAGCAAGACCTTGACACGCTCGAAGGGAGCAGCGATGGCGGTTGTGGGGACGGCGGAGAAGGCACCAGCGGCGCATACTTGGCCAACCGTGAACTGATCGTTGTGTACTGTGCTGAATGACCTGACGAGCTTCTTGCCCAAATCGTATCCCTGGCTTCTGTCAGTCGCTGGTGGGCTTCGTTCTTGTACTTGATGTGATCATACCCAGAAGCTGACGGCGACTNNGTGAGGTGGTCAGTGATGGTGTATTTATGGATTTACAGGCAAAGACTTACACATTGGGGTCACTCCAACCAGAGGAGCCGAAACACCAGCGTACAGACCCNNTAGATAGTGTAAGTTCTTGATGCAGTCGTGGCGAGGCTGAGGATAGCATACCCTGACAAGACCCTCCTTTGCGATCGTCTTCCTCACGACATCCATTGCGCCGCTGTAGACACCGGCTTGAGCGGTCTGCAGGCGCACCTTGACCAGATCGAAGGGGTGTCCGACAACGACGGCGCTCACACCACCAACACCTCCTGACACGAGCGATCGCAAACTTGCAAATGTCTGTTTCGTCGCGACGACAGCATCTTGCTTGAGCTCTTCCGCCGACGGCAGGTCGTTGACACTGGGTATGCTTGATTTGGACATGTTATGATGCCGAGACGGATGTGGAGAAGCTGCGGGGGGACAGCTGAGGATGGAGCTCAATCTGGGGAGTCTGGTCTTGGACAAGAGGAGGAGTAAGGAGGAGAGAAGGTCTGGCAAGAAAGAAAGAGGCCTGGATGCCAAATAGTCTGCGCCGATGATGCTGGGTGTGCCCTTCACATGTGATGCAACATTTCTCAAGCTTTACCGACACCGAGTCCGGGGAGCCGAGGCTGATCCCAAGCTGCCGGCCGAATGGACGCCGAACTCAACCAACCAAGCACACGCAACAACGGATCTGATGCTTCTTGTTGTATGAACCGTCTTCTGGAACTAGACTGGAAGCAAGCCACGGCTCTTGACAGGATACATGTCAAAGATACAAGAAGATCTAATTTTGCTTCCTCATGTCTATGTAGGGTATCCTGATCTTGTCTAGCTGACCATCCGTCTACTTGATCTCGGCGTAGCGAAGATAAGGCTTGAGCTCGCGCACATTATTGAACTTCTTCTTTGCGTCCTCGGTCGACACCGAAGGGGGNACAATGACATCCTCACCAACCTGCCAGTTGATGGGTGTAGCGATGCCCTTCTTGTCGGCCGTCTGGAGCGAGTCGATGACTCTGAGAACCTCGGCGCTGTTTCTGCCGGTGCTGGCAGGGTACATCATGGTCAGACGGACCTTCTTTGAAGGGTCAATGACAAAGACCGAGCGGATCGTGAAGGCAATGGCTGCTTTGTGGAGATCCTCCTCGTTGATCATGTCGTACAGGAAGGCTACCTTGCGGTCGTGGTCGGCGATGATGGGGAATTGCAGGCTGGTGTTTGCGATCTCGTTAATGTCCTTAATCCAACCCTCGTGCGATCCGAGGTCGTTGGCGCTCTGCATCGATTGTCAGCTTTGTCCTGCTCATCCCAAGCCACTCCGATTGCTTACCAAGCCAATCATCTTGACACCGCGAGCATCGAACTCACTCTTCAACTTGGCAAAGGCACCGAGCTCAGTGGTGCATACGGGCGTGTAGTCGGCCGGGTGGCTGAACAGGATAGCCCAGCTGTCGCCAATCCACTCGTGGAAAGATTTGATGTCACCCNNTGAGGCTGTCAGTATCTTCCTGGACCACACGTAATTACAAGATGAGCTTACATCAGTCGTCTTTGCGCTGAAGTCAGGGGCGACAGAACCAAGACGAATGCGAGGCTGTTCCTGACTTGTGGCAAGACCACGGTACATGAAAGGTGCAGCTCTGGCACGAGCGGCCAGGGGCTGACATGCTGATGCGCGAGACAGAGCTCTGGGTGCTGATCTGAAGAATGAAGCCATTGTGTATGTCCTGTGAGTTGATCGTAAATATAATTGCTTGGAGCTCGAATCCGATACCACAAAACTTCGACCACGTTTTACGTCATGCTCGCCCGCCCGATTTCGGCTTTCGCTCCGGAGCTCGAGGCTTTGCCGTGGGCCTTTTACTCTTGCACAACAACCATCTTTCTCCTTTGAGGAGAATCGTTCTGTGGCATTGGGTATGTGGCCTCAATCTGTGTGCGACTGCCCGCTCGTGCATTCCATCGGTACATGGTACGCGGAAGGAAATCCCATCCGACTCTCTCTGCCGTGAATCTCGGAATACCAATGAACCCACAGCGGAACGAACCCGCATATCAAGGTGGGAGGGTTGTAAACACAAGTAGCTACCCCGCGGCAGTCCTTGCTAGGGTCCTCGGTCAAGTACATTGTCCAGTGCTGTCTTTTCCTCAATTCTCCGAGTCTTCATCTTCACGTCAAAGTAAAGGAAGGAATATTGCCACTATCTTACTCATGGCTGCACAGAAAGTTGCTCTGATCACAGCTGGCACAGCGGGTCTAGGAGCTGCTATTGCTCGTGTCCTAGCACCAGACTTCCGAGTGGTATGCCTTATCAGAAATAGTCCTAGAGTGCTCATTCTGATCTATTCATAGGTGATCAACTATGCAAACAACACTTCTCGCGCCGAAGACGTCTTGAAAGAGCTCAACAACATCCCCAGCACCGTCTCTTCCCAACAGTCCCCTCGCTTCCACGCCATAAAAGCAGACATTGGCAACCGCGACGCCATCACCTCCCTCGTCCAAGAAACAATCAGCACCATGGGCCGTCTCGACGTCGTAGTCTCCAACGCCGGCTACACGCGCCTAACGAACTTTATGAACTTTGACGAACAGCACTTTGACGAAGACTGGGATAAATGCTTCCTCTACAATGTGAAAGCACACATGTGGTTGGCTTACGCATGTCGCGAACACTTGGATGCAAGCGAAGGTGCTTTTATCACTACAGCGAGTATTGCTGGTGTCAAGCCTAGTGGGAGTTCGTTGCCCTATGCGGTCACCAAAGCTGCGAGTATACATTTGACAAAGTGTTTGGCAAATATTTGTGCTCCGAAGATCAGGTTCAATTCTGTGGCTCCTGGGTTGATGCTTACGGAGTGGGGGTTGAAGTTTTCGGAACAGAAGAGGGAGGCGCATAAGAATAACACAAAGTTGAAGAGACTGCCTGAGGTTGATGTAAGTGGATTTGGAGCATAAACTGAGATCTGACTGGTTGCTGACTGTCATTCCAGGNATGTTGCTGATCAAGTGCGAGCAATTGCATTGTCGAGGAGCATGACTGGACAGAACGTTGTGATAGATTGCGGTTTGACGAGCTGAGTGTTCTTGCGCCTCTGGAGGTATCTTGCGACAAGAGATCAATGTTTTCAAGATGTATCCATGTGCACTGGAGATCTGTTGTCTGCCGCAAATATATCTAAATCTGTATAAGATGAATCAAATCCAGCATCGAAAAACATTGCCAACATCGACAGCATCAACATTTCTACCATTCTTCTCAAACACGCCTCTACTCTCACCTTGAACATCCCGATCTGGACTCGCTTCTTTGCCTTCCACGACTTCCAGAGAATATATTGACTCCGATATCAGTGCCTCCTTCGCAGGGAACAGCTTGCTCAGCACAGTGTAAACAACGACACTACATACAAAGCCATACAGCCAGTCAAATGAGTACAGATGTTTGGCTCCTGCAGAGATGGAAATGCCGTTAATCGAGTTGGCAAGACCCGGAAGATTGGGACACACGGCGATGAGAAATGCAACTAAGCCTTGCCAATTGACACCGTAGATGTATCTGTAGCGCCCGTGTGGGTTGTAAAGAGCTGGTACATCAATGTGACGGCGCTTGACGAGCCAGTAATCGGCTGCTATGATGCCTGCNAACAGAAGAACAAGATATCAGTGAATGTTTCTCAATTTGATATGATGAGACTGAGACTTACCAGCCATAGGAGCAAGAAACACCGAGTACCCAGACATGAAGCTGAGGAATGTTTTCGCATCAGACAGAATCTTCCATGGCACCATAACCCAACAAGACACAACAGCAGCAATAATGCATCCGCGCCTAATGTTGATATATTTCGGCGCCATGACACACAAGTCGTTAGCTGCAGAGATAGAGTTGCCAGTAATGTTCGTTCCCACCTGAGCAATAAACCAACTCAATGCAGCAAAGAAAGCTGCCGCTCTTCCAGCATGACCATTCTTGAGCCATTGCTCCACAATGTTCAAGGGNTTCCAGTAGAACTCGCCATAGACCACTTTGGATGCCGAGGTTGTGATGACACCAAGGACACCGCATAGAGTGAATAGTATGGGTAACGCTGGTAGTTGAACATATTGTGCGTGGTTCGGTTTGCCATCTGCACGACCTTTGGCGTAGCGAGAAAAGTCTGCCACGTTTACAGCGAGGGTTGCCCATACTCCTGTTACAGAAGACATGCAGCTTAACCAGAGGTATGTTCTGGTATCTCCTGTCACTGTGCCTGGTTGTGAGAAGATTGCGCCGCTGCCACCCGCTTTGTGGACCATGTATCCAAGAGTCGCGATGGCTGTGACGGGAGCTGCGATCAGTTTGACGATAAAGAGATAGCGTAGTCGAGTGGGAGGTATTAAGAGCAAAGGAAGCTGTATGATCCAGAAAAGGAAGTAGGCTATCATGCCCGCAGTGCTGATACCACCACTCTTNGGGAAGCTGATCGAATGTGAGTGAGCGTTGACTAGGGGGCAGATTATCTAGCTTACTGTGTTGTTCGGTCCACTCCAGTCATAGGAAGCAAACGACGGCCAGATCGCCATGATCATGATTTGCATAGCGAGAGCACCATTCGCACTCTGTATGCCCAGCCAGAACATGGCCAAGATACATCGTGATGCAATACAAAAGTAGGCGAAGTAGTAACCAAATCCAGAACGTACGATGACACTGAACGGAACATGAAGGTGGGCACCCATTGCACCGTTGAGGACAACAGGTATGGCAACGCAGAGCGTACCGACGGCCATTATGGGTATAGCATCACGCCAGGTCAACCCGACTTGGATGATTGAGCTGGCAGTCTCCCAGGTGCCCAGGTTGATAACGTCGGTAGCCCAACTTCTTCCGGCATCAGTGATGTGTAGATTATAGGTGGCAGCTTGGCTTACTATNGCTACCCAGGTCCAAATGCCCCATGTCTGATCTGAGATGGGTACAGGATCCATATCTTTGTTCGTCCAAACATTTTCCGGTGCGATCGTCGATTCTTGCTTCGGTAGTGCCCAGGCATCGAGAGTTGTGCATCTTTTCCTGATCGTCCCCCTCGAGGGAAGACCTGCTTTTGATAAAAGCTCATATTAACTGATGAGAATTGGAGGTAGAGAGCAATTGCAAAGAGAAACAGGAATGATACTTATGCCATAATCGCACACAGAAAGGGATGATATCTCCGTCGATACTCAGCCGAAGGCCAGTGCCGCAACCTGCCACCAGGCGATAGGCCCAGTCCTTATCTTTGGGATTGCAGAAGCGTCTACAAGGTTAAAACAAGCTGAGCTCCAACCAGTGATGCCCCATGGTTTCGAGAAGGGGAAGGTGGGGGATGCTTATCTGAAAGGCTTGATTGCTTACGCTCTTGCTTTTGCTTTGCGCATCACGCGTTCTCTAGGTAGCTATTGCCGCGAATGACTTCACTCAACATAGTGCCATCTATCGTTCATCACGATACTGCTGTACGATGGACCATGACTATAAGGAACTTGAGAAGAGGTTAGGAGAATTTGGGACGCGTCGAGTTGTCGATGATCTGTAGCATTTGTTGCCAACAAACGACCGATCGTGGGTTTGGCATAAGTGTTGGCAACTCGTAAATCATGGTCTATCGTGTTGGCTTCATTAGACATTCAAGTTTGCTAGCAGTAGTTTCGTCTTGGAAAGTAGTACGATCAAAATATACGCTCGAGATCTTCCCTGTGTGTAAAAGATTGTCATGTTCTAGCCATATCTAGACAACAGCTTGCAGACTGTTAAGATGATATTCACGAAGAGAAAGATACCTCATCGTACAGTATGCCCATACTCACCCCTCCGTCTGGGACACAAATGGGTGTTTTATCAGCTATGACATGAGCAACCATTAGTCTTGAAATTGTGACAGTCTTGAGTACATAAGCAAGATGTATCCGGCTTTTGGGGGAAGAGTGTGATGGCCTTGCGTTCGACAAATTGTGGATTCTAGCATGCAGACTGTAATGCGAGACCGCAGATTGCACTCTATTGATGATCTCGTAGTAGAAGAAACGCCACGAGCATGCGAGATGCTATTCAAAAGAGAGATATGCCATGACAAAGCAGACCATGAAGATGTGGGAAACGGGAATCTGGATTGGCCTTTTGCTTGATTGCGTTACTTGAACTTTGAGAACGGCAAGCTTTTAGCAGGTTTGCCTTGGTCGAAGATCCCGTCTCTGTCTGGGCGGTCTGAATAATAGAAGGCCTTTCAGAGCCCCAATTCGCCATTCATTTCGTATAAGGTATGTTGAACCCTTTGATCGGTTTGTTCTGCGATTTATCCAACCCCAAACTTCTTCCTCTTGGCCCTCACGTACTAACAGCTCGACCATTGCATATATGAGCTCATTATCATCTGGATAGACGATGTGGTCGTTTTGGTCCCAGAGCCACGTCAACGTGGCTTGCCTTAGCTTTGCCTCAATCTGGCTCCTGTGGGCGGCTTCCGTTAGGCATATAGCAGCAACGGACTTCGAAAGAGTTCCGGCGTCCAGCTTAGACCGAAGGAGCGTCTCTGAAGATTCCCCCTCCTCGATGGCTTTTCTGCACGCAACAGCGTTGGCCTTCTCTTCGGCACTCAGTAGTGGAGCCCCAAGTGTACGACGTCGTTTTATAGCGCGGTAAGGGTCAATGTTCCAGTCGGACGCTTCAGCATATCGCACAGAATTGGAGAAATAGCGAGTTACGAGACGTGGGCCAGATATCCATGAGTATGCTGAAGGAGTAACCAGCCGAGAAGTCGAGCATAGTAATCCAAGAACGGTCTCAGCGCGCTGAAGCCTGGACATGTCTGCTGCACTGCCTCAGGATGTAGAAAGATGGAAGTTGGTGAAAGAGAATCGCGACCTGATGTTGTGGTGGCACGGTCACCAAGACCTGTGTAACATCATTTAATCTATGTTATGGATCCATATTGCCGCTTTATTGTTCAGATTCAAATCCATCGAATCGTAAATACTGGGCTGTTGTTCATGTTTGGTGTTTTTCATGATGTCGACCTTGAGGATGAGCGAACCGATATCCCGCCGACATCGCAGTTCAGTCTCGAGAGCTCACTCAAGATGTCTCAGGGTGTGAAGGTCGCATTGTGGGGTCAGTCGTGCCTCGGCTTATATGCTTCGGAGGAGCAATCGTTTGAATGAACGATCCCGAGAAAGATACGGAGTAATTGAACAAGTGATCGATCATGGCATTTGTATTTCACTTCCACTTCTAACACCAGCTCTGGCTTTGCAAAGACACAGGTCGATTGATCCTAGAGGCACAACCGGCTCATCGGTATACCGAATCTGGTCAAACTCCACAATGAGGGGCCAGCGGATATTGCGGGGAACATGACCCGATGATGCATGTCAAAACATGTCGTGAGGCCCTTGGTTCTTCTTTCTGTATCTTCCTTTTGACCTAAAACTAGAAACATGGCAGCCATACGCATAGCACCAACCAGAGCAGTGAGAGCACTCAATCTCTTGCGTGCAGTAGGCACACATGGTCCAGGATGTCCATGCCACAGCAACCCAGGACACCATCACAATCCTTTGAGCATTACCCAAGGACGACGTGCCCTTGCGACACCTGTCGACTACTCGCAACAGAAAGAGTATGCTTTCGAGATGGCAGCATCAAGCATTCGGTTTGGACCCGGCTGTACCAAGGAGGTTGGCATGGATTTCAAGAACATGGGAGCCAAGAAGGTCATGATCGTGACCGATGGTACCGTCTTGCATTTGACGGCCATGAAGCAAGTTCAGGAAGGTCTTGACAGGGAAGGAATCAAGTACGAGATATACAGCAAGTGTCGAGTCGAACCCAAGGACCACTCGTAAGCCTCGTACCACAACGTAAAGGGAATGGCTGCCATACTTACCAGTACCCNNAGTATTAAGGAAGCAATCGCATACGCCAAACCCTACGCTCCCGACGCCTTCCTCGCTGTTGGTGGTGGCTCAGTCATTGACACCGCAAAGCTCATGAACCTCTATACATCATTCCCTGAGGCCGACTTCCTCGACTTCGTCAACGCCCCTCTTGGAAAAGGACTGCCCATCCAGGGCAAGCTGAAGCCGCTTGTTGCTGTGCCCACAACAGCAGGAACTGGTTCAGAGACAACAGGCACAGCCATCTTCGATCTAGTGTCGAAAAAGGCAAAGACGGGTATCGCACATCGCAACTTGAAGCCAACGCTGGGCATATGTGATCCCCTCAACACTCGTACCATGCCTTCCGCTGTGCACGCCTCGAGTGGTCTAGATGTTCTTTGTCACTCTCTCGAATCATGGACAGCCATTCCATACCACGAACGTGTACCAAGACCTCGCAACCCAATCGAGCGACCGGCATACCAGGGTGCTAACCCCATCTCGGACATCTTCAGTCTGCAGGCATTGAGAGATACTGTCAAGTATTTGCCTAGAGCAGTCAAGGACCCAGATGACCATGAAGCACAGAGCAAAATGCTGTTGGCAGCAACCTTGGCAGGTGTTGGTTTTGGTAATGCGGGTGTTCATCTGTGCCACGGCATGAGTTACCCTGTCAGTGGCCAAAATCCAGGCTACAAGCACCACGGCTACGAGGTCGATCACCCGATCATCCCTCATGGTGTCAGTGTTGCTGTTACCGCACCTGCTGTGTTCAAATTCACTGGCGCAAGCAACCCAGAAAGACATCTTGCGGCAGCAGAGTGCTTCGGTGTGGACATCAGTCAGGTCAAGAAGGAAAGTGCTGGAGAAGTCTTGAGTGAGGCGCTGGCCAAATTCTTGGTGGACTTGGGCGACCAGCCTAGAGGTCTGAAGGATCTGGGCTTTGGCAACAGCGATGTGGATCAACTGGTGGAAGGAACCATGCCACAGGCAAGAGTACTTATGCTGGCACCCAATTTGGACATGCAGAATGTGGACGAGGAGAGAGCACAGCTAAGACAGCTGTTTGAGGACGCCATGGAATACTGAGGTGGGAGTGAAGGAGGATTGAGAAGCTCATGGAAGAGGAGGCTGGACCAGTTTGGAGCTTGGACGAAGGAAGGCGGCAATTGCTTGAACATGCTTGAACATTCAGACTGACAGATTGACGACACAAAGTATGTAAGACAACTTGACGACTCGAACTAGCATCTATCTCATCGTCTGCTCATATCTGTGACAATGCTTTACATGCAATCAGAATAAGTGATGGAGAGCAAGATGGACTGAGCACGGTCTTCATTCGGGGGTCGCGCCAAGACCTCTCACGGCGCCTCACAGACGCAGACAGACGGGCTTTGGCAGCTGCGGTGGCAGGAGTAAACGACGTGGAAGCTCACTTCTCCTTCACATTCACCTCTCCGCCTTCTTTCTCGTTGTTCACCTGACTCTGCACTTGTGTGCTCCTTGTCTTAATTCTGCTTTGCACTCTGTTTCTTTGATTTGATACCCCTGACAAAGCGCATCACACCACACCCAAACATCCCTCATGGCTGTGAGTCCGCATCTTGCGCTTATTGTGTTTGCTACTTCATCCATGCTGATGCTTGTCTAGCAACCACCTACTCAATCGCGCTCATACAGCCAGGCCTACATCCCCAACGGCACTCCCGCCCAAGCATCCGGCCCCGTTCCCGGAGCGACGCCACTTCTCCCTAACCAAGGTCGCGTGGTGCAGGCCGGTGGCGCCAGAGTCCTCTGTGTCGCCGACGTACGAGGTGAGCAGACAGCGCAATTCAAAAAGAAGAAGGAATGGACACTGATGTTATGGGACANNGGCAACCTTAGATCTCTGAACGAACTCGCACGCAACGCAAGAGCCGACTACATCATTCACACCGGTGATTTTGGCTTCTACGACAACACTTCACTCGACCGCATTGCTGAGAAGTGAGCTGCCTTGCTGAATCACCTTCTTACATCGACTAACCCTGGTCAGGNNACTCTCAAGCATGTTGCGCAATACTCCCCTCTCCTGAACGATGGTGTCAAGAACGACATTGCCCGCGCCCCGGCCCAATCCTCCATCAAGGAGCGCTTCCAGCGCGAGAATCTGCCTCTGTCAGAACTCCCGCAATTCCTGAACGGCACCTACACACTCGAGAAGCCTGTCTACACAGTATGGGGTGCATGCGAAGACGTCTCGGTTTTGGAGAAGCTGCGCTCGGGAGAATACAAGATCAACAACCTGTTCGTCATTGATGAGTCGCATGCTCGCCTGCTCGACATTGGCGGTGTCAAGTTGCGCCTGTTGGGTCTCGGAGGTGCCGTTGTCATGCACAAGCTGTTCGACAACGGTGAGGGTCGCACCACTATCGCTGGAGGCCAAGGAACAATGTGGACCACACTTCTGCAAATCGGCGAGCTCATCGACACAGCCAACCGTGTCTACGATCCCACCGAGACCCGTGTCTTCGTCACCCACGCATCACCCGCCCGTGAAGGTCTGCTGAACCAGCTGGCCGTGGCACTCAAGGCTGATTTCTCCATCTCGGCCGGCTTGCACTTCCGTTACGGCAGCTCTTACAACGAGTTCAGCGTTAACCCTACTCTGGATCACTACCGCGGCAAGCTGGCCGCTTCCAAGGCCTCTTTCAACGATGTCTGGGAGACTGTCAAGAGCGAGGTCGAGCCTGCCGTTACCGAAAACGAGTCGCAACAGCGCCTGCTCAACAACGCTCTTGAGTTGGTTTCCAAGATGCCCTCTGTCGCAAACGGTGGCAATCCCTTCGGCGGTGGCTACACTGGTCCTCAGGGCGGTGTCGTTGACGAGAGCGCCTTCAAGAACATGTGGAACTTCAACTTGGCCGATGCCGCCTTCGGATGGCTGCTTCTCGACATTGATCAGGGCAGAATTGGTACCGAGATGAAGGCTCAGGGTTTCAACTTCTCGCACCGCGCCGGAAAGCCTGCTCAGCGCCCTGCACAGCCCGCACAAGCAGCTCAGGCCCCTCAACAACCTACCGCTCCGGCCACCGCATCAGCACCTACACCTAGCAATGCTGCTACACCTTCAGGCCCTGCTGCTGCTGTTGTATCGACTCCTGCTTCTGCAAACGCACCTTCGCGTGGTCCTGGACCACACCAACCCTCTAGACCTCCAGTCGCTACTCCTCAACAAGTGCCCTCTCCCGCACCCACCAAGCCCGCTGCAACCCCTCAGCCTGCAGCCCCGACCAACGGCACTCCCGCCCCTGCAAAGTCTGAAGAGAAGACTCCCACTGCCCCTGCCGCCGATGCTACTCCCAAGCCTCAGGAGCCTCCTAAGAGCCAGTCCATCTTCATTCCTCCCATTAACGGCACCGATGATGAGGCCGAGGTGCGCCAAATCTTCAGCGAGGATGATCAGAAGAAGGTCACCAAGCTGGAGAGAACTAGCAAGGGCTTCTGGATTGCACACTTCAACTCGCCCGAAGAGATGCAAGAAGTCCTCAAGCGTAGTCCTGCATCAGACAGCAAGTACTCAACACTGAGAATCAGCGAGTTCAAGCAACGCCCAGCCCGTGGTGGATTCCAGGCTGGTACTTGGGGCAGCTCACGCACAGCATCGGGCCAGCAGAGCGGATACCGTAGTGGACAATCCGACAGCGAAGGCGCACGCAGTGGACGTGGCGGCCGTGGAGGACGCGGTCGTGGTGGTCTGGAGCGTGGCGGTGGCCGTGGTGGCAGAGGTGGTGCCGGCCGTGGACCTTCATCGGGCGCAGCCCCTGGTGGCGGCGAGGCTCAGGCATGAATGAAGACAACGACGAAATGAAGCATGTGTGGCAAACAAAGCGGCTTCTCACAGCTGGATGCAACTCAAGGAAGCGCATTCAGGAACCGGGGCCGCGCCGCGATGAAGAGGTGCATAGAGGAGAAAATGAGCACCGACTGCTTGACGAATGAACACGGAGGAGAAGCATAAGGGCGATTTTTGGAATGCGAGGCTAGAAACTTTGCTAGCTACATGGGACGTTATACAAACGAAGTAACATGTAATACTATCATCAGAACTACTCCCCTGGTTGAAGTTGATATCCGTAGAAATGTGAGGCATTGAGATGAGGCTGGTGCTCTTTGAATGTGGCTGAGCTTGGCAGCGTCATCAGACGTCTCACGCGGGAAGCAAATGCGGAGGCGGCCACCGGCGCGAGTCGTTCGATGGCTCTCAGGCACCACCTTGATCTGCTCTGTCTCGACACACACAACGCGTTGGAGTGGTTGTTCATTTCTGTGTTGACTTGATCAATCTACCTTTGTGTCCATCATATCGCGACATCTGCCCATCGTCAATCGCGGTCTCACTGACATTTCACGACCCAGCCACCTCGGTGTTCGATCGTTCCAGCATTGACACACGATTTCACCACAACCTTCCATAACAGGCACGAACCATCACACGTCCAACGTCCAAGAAACTAGAAAGAGATCGGAAAATGAGGTTTATGCGGCCATGGCTCGCAGTGGCGGGTCTGAGCCTGCTATCTGCTTCGGCCTCTGCCTCTGCCGAGATACAGCAAACAACATTCGAAATTGAGAGAACGGCATCGGATGGCTTCACCCACAAGCACGAAGCAGGAAGATGCGCCATCCGTGGACACTGTGGCAAGCAAGGTTTCTTCGGCTCAGATCTGCCATGTCCTGACAATGGCTTGGCCGAGNAGCCTACCGCTAGCACACGCAAGACGCTCATGTCTATCTGTGGCGACAAGTGGGCTGAAGGCCCTGTGTGTTGCACTGATGAGCAACTGGGTGCCCTCAGCTCGAATCTAAAGCGTGCCGAATCCATCATCGGTGCCTGTCCTGCTTGCAAGGACAACTTCTTCAACCTCTTCTGTACCTTTACCTGCTCCCCGGACCAATCTCTCTTTGTCAACGTCACAAACACCGTCCCCAAGGGTGACAAGCTGCTAGTTACCGAACTCGACCAACTCATCTCGAAAGAGTATGGAAGTGCTTTCTACAACAGCTGCAAGGACGTCAAGTTTGGAGCCACCGGAGGCAAGGCCATGGATCTAATTGGTGGTGGTGCAAAGAACTACACCCAGTTCCTCAAGTTCTTGGGCGACAAGAAGCCATTCGGCAGTCCCTTCCAGATCAACTTCCCCATTCCTAGCGAGGCAGATTTCCCTGGCATGAAGCCAGGCTCCGACAAGGCACATCCTTGCAACAGCACCGACGAGAGATACAAGTGCGCTTGCGTAGATTGCGCCGCTTCTTGTCCCGAACTGCCTTCAGTCAAGGAAGCTCACGAGTGCAAGGTCGGTGTTTTGCCGTGCCTGTCCTTCGCTGTCATCATTGTCTACTCTGTCTTCTTGTTCCTCCTGATTCTGGCAGTCTCCGGTCATGTCGCTTATGCTAAGCACACCAAGAGCCGTAACGAACGCTTGAGATTGCTGCAGGACGCTTCTCCCAGCGACGATGAAGACGAAGGCGACATTGTACATCAGGCTGGCCTTCTTGAAAAGCCTACCAGAAACTACCCTCTAAACACAGTCTGCGACAGGATTTTCTCACGTCTCGGTCGAACTGCTGCCACATTCCCTGCCATCACCATCAGCTCCTCTGTCATTATCGTCGCATTGCTGAGTCTGGGCTGGATGCGCTTCACTGTCGAGACCGATCCTGTCAAGCTCTGGGTCTCTCCTGACTCTGAAGCTGCAAAGGAGAAGGCCTTCTTTGACAAGTCGTTTGGTCCTTTCTTCAGAGCCGAACAAGCATTCCTAGTCAATGACACTCTGCCTACCGGCCCTGGCCCTGTTCTGTCCTACGACACACTCAACTGGTGGTTTGATGTTGAGAACCGTATTCGCAGAATGAAGTCTATCAGTGGTGGATATACCCTCGACGACGTCTGCTACAAACCCACTGGTGATGCTTGTGTCGTCCAGTCTTTGACCGGCTATTTCGGTGGTGACTTCGACGGTCTTGATCCTGAGTTGTGGGCTGAGGATCTCGAGGCTTGCGCCGACACCCCTGTCAACTGTTTGCCTGACTTCCAGCAGCCGCTTAACCCCCGTTATCTCTTCGGTGGCTACAACGGCAGTGTCATCAATTCTACTGCGATTGTCGTCACATGGGCTGTCACCAACCATGCCGAGGACACTTTCGAACTCGAGAGAGCCATGGACTGGGAGGAGAGTCTCAAAGGACTCCTGCTCACAGTTCAGGAGGAAGCTCNNTCGGAACATGGTCTCCGTCTGTCTTTCAACACCGAGATCAGTCTGGAGCAGGAGCTCAACAAATCTACCAACACTGATGCCAAGATTGTTGCTGTCAGCTACTTGATCATGTTCTTGTACGCATCCATTGCTCTAGGCGCCACTACTCTGACCGTTAGAGATGTGTTGAATAACCCTGCAAACGCGCTTGTGCAGTCCAAGTTCATGCTTGGTGTTGTTGGTATCCTGATTGTACTCATGTCTGTCTCGGCATCAGTTGGTCTTTTCGCTGCCGCTGGTGTCAAGGCGACTCTGATCATCGCCGAGGTCATCCCATTCCTGGTGCTTGCAGTCGGCGTTGACAACATCTTCCTTATCGTTCACGAGTTTGAGCGGGTCAACATCAGCCATGCCGATGAGCCAGTCAGTGAGAGAATTGCAAAGGCTCTTGGTCGCATGGGTCCCAGTATCCTCCTGTCCGCCACTACCGAAACTGTCGCATTCGCTCTCGGAGCTGCTGTCGGTATGCCCGCTGTACGCAACTTCGCTGCTTATGCAGCTGGAGCTGTTTTCATCAACGCCATCTTGCAAGTCACCATGTTCATATCAGTTCTTGCACTCAACCAGAAGCGTGTTGAGGCTGGTCGTGCAGACTGCTTCCCCTTCATCAAGGTAAAGGGTGCTGACTCCAACTCGATGGCCATCGCTGGTATTCCTGGCTTGGCAGGTATTGAGGAGGAGGGCTCACTCCAACGCTTCATCCGCAAAACGTACGCTCCTGCTCTGCTAGGAAAGAAGACCAAGACTGCCGTTATTACCATCTTCCTTGGTTTCTTCACCATCGGTCTTGCTCTTCTGCCTAATGTTGAGCTTGGACTTGACCAACGCATTGCTATACCTTCCGACTCATATCTTATCAAGTACTTCGATGATCTCTATGATTACTTTGAGGCTGGACCACCAGTCTACTTCGTCACCAAGGACCTGAACGCAACAGCTCGCCAGCATCAGCAACAAATTTGTGGTCGCTTCTCCACCTGCGAGGAGTTCTCTCTTGCAAACATTCTCGAGCAAGAGCGTAAGCGTCCAGAGATTAGCTACATCTCCGACTCCACCGCCAGCTGGATTGATGACTTCTTTTTCTGGTTGAACCCTTCGCTCGAAGAGTGTTGTGTTGATGGATCTCATACTTGCTTCGAGAACCGCAATCCTCCATGGAATGTCACTCTTCACGGTATGCCCGAAGGTCAAGAATTTGTCTCATATCTCGAGCGTTGGCTTCAGGCGCCTACTACCAGTGAATGTCCATTGGCTGGCAAAGCTGCATATGGTAATGCTCTCGTAGTTGACAACAGCAGTATGAGCATCCCAGCCTCGCACTTCCGAACATCACACACCCCGATGCATAGTCAGAGCGACTTCATCGCAGCTTACAAGTCCGCTCGCCGTATCGCGAACGACATTACGTCTCGTACCGGTGTAGAGGTCTTCCCTTACAGCAAGTTCTACATCTTCTTCGATCAGTATGTCTCGATCGTACGCCTCTCCGGTGCGCTCATCGGAGGCGCTCTGGGTTTCATTCTCGTGTTGAGCAGTGTTCTTCTCGGATCTCTTGCCACCGGTCTCGTTGTGACTGTGACCGTCGGTATGACTGTTGTAGATATCATCGGCACCATTTCCCTAGCTGGCGTCTCACTCAATGCTGTCTCTTTGGTCAACCTCATTATCTGTGTTGGTATCTCGGTCGAATTCTGCGCTCATATTGCCCGCGCATTCTCGGTACCCTCCCCATCCCTCCTCGAGCGCTGTCACAGCTTCCGTGGCAAGGATGCGCGTGCTTGGGCTGCACTTGTCAACGTTGGCGCCTCAGTCTTCTCTGGCATTACAGTCACCAAACTTCTTGGTGTCTTTGTACTTGCCTTCACTCGCAGCAAGATCTTTGAAATCTACTACTTCAGGGTCTGGTTGGCACTCGTCATTTGGGCTGCTCTGCATGCGTTGGTGTTCTTGCCAGTCGCTTTGAGCTTCTTCGGTGGAGTTGGTAAGTTTCTTAAATCTGAACATGTTTTCGGAAGCATGACTAACATAACTTGCTATANNGGCTACGCAGATCCAGATGCTGACGGCGGTCTTGAGCAAGATCTTGCCAGCAGACGTTACCGTGCTATGATGCCGGACGAGGAATACTACTCGGACGAGTACTAAGTCTAGGACGCTACGATGGAGAATATGAGATGTGACATGGCATAGCGGCGTTTTCTTCTTATGTAATCATGAATATGCTTTTTCCCAAATGTGTGTGGATATCCTGCGTCACTTAGTCTTATGTGTTTCCAAGTCGTCCTCGATCTTGCTGTATTTTGTAAAGCAACTCACAAGATTGTAAGATGGTTTCGTGTTTGTTGCTTCGTTAATATCTCAAACTGAATTGACCAGTGTAGCAAAGCCGCCACGCAACCATGACACATTCTTTCATCATGTGGACATTCTGATATGACCATGACTTGCAAATACCAAGTGGAAAGAGTATATTCGATGTCCTTTGCTGACCTAGATCACATGAACATTATATCGACAGGGTCGCCCCAGAGACATGAATCTCTTGGCGTTTTCATATCTGCTTCTGCTCCAATATCCTGAGATTCAGAAGGCAGCACTCTTGAAACAATTCACAGCTCTTCTCTGAAGATATGAGCGCTGTAATAAGCTGCTTTTGTCATAGTGGTCGTGCCTTCCTTCTTTAGTATCTTTACTGCTTCAGCCACGACGCTGCGCCATGTTCACCTCGGACGCCACAAATTCTCCATGCTTGTTTTTAGCGCCTATGACGCGTCTTTCCCCTTCCCGCCGAGGTCTCCCAAGCCCTGGTATACATAGATCAGGCCTTCCGCTTTCCCGCCCAAAGCGTTTATTTCTTGTCCCATCCACCTCGTTGACGTCTCATCCTACGCAAACACACTGTGAATACTAAAATTCTACGACTGCGATTTTCCACCTGGACCTGCGCATACTGAGAAGGAGTAATAGCAGAAAGCGGAGTCTAGAAAGCTAGGAAGCGAGTTGATAACGAGTAAGTGTCTTGCACCTCATCTACTCTCTGTCCACTATCTCCTCCTTGCAGCAAGAGAATAGCAACACTAACATGCTCTCCAGTCTCTCCCTAAACCAACTCACCTTCAACAAACAACTCACCCACAAACCCACCAACCGAGCCGCCCAAAATGCCCAAACAAGTCCTCACCACCAACCCCACCACCACCGCCCTCTCTTCTCCCTCCTCCTCATCCTCATCGGCAACCTCCTCCGCCTCCGCCCCCATCAAACGCATCACTCCCGGCGTCAAGCTGCCCTGCTGGTGTGGCGACGACTGCTCCTGCTGCATCATCCCCTGCACGGTAATGTAGAAGACCTACCCTGCAACCGCTGCCCACCCACGCACCCGCGAAGAGATCAACCATTTCCATGCTCATGGCAAACATGGGTGTGTAAAAGAGGGATATCGGGTGAGGGTTGAGGAAGAGGAGTGGGTGCAAGGAGTTAGGGAAAGGATTAAGAGGGGTTGGAGGAGGAGTAGGATTAAGAGGTTTTGGAGGAGGTGGTTCGGGAGGAGGGATAGTTGGATTGGGACGTTTTATCTGAGGTGAAAGAAGGAGAGCAAAGGCTTCGTCTTGCTCTCGTGGGAGTTACCTGGGGGTTTGGAGTTTTACGGAATGGGTCTCGAGCATGGTGTTTTTTCTTTTTTTTTCTGAGACTGATCGACAAGAATTGTTCTAATGTGTAGAAAGAAAGGCTTTCCTACAATCAATGCAAGTGCAATCATTCTGAGCATGCATTTCTTATCTCGCTTTACATCTCTTACTGCACTTACGCTCCCAGCCCGCTCTTCCTGTGCTCAGCCTCTAGAACTTCGAAAGCTCTTGACAGGCTGGATCCTATCTGCAGCAGTCAATCACATAACACGCCGAGCACACAAAAGTTCAGATGACAGTGGCATTCGCTTCACGAAGCCAAAGGTATATCGACAGCGAAAAAGCAAGAAGAAAGGCTAGGTACAATAAAAAATAGTGACACGACAACAACGACAGCAGCGAAACAGCATCAACCAGATCGCCCAACCCGTGAGTCAAGAGTTTCGTGGGTGCTACTCGTATGAGTTCTTAGGCTGATGACATTGATAGGGACAAACACCGTAACAACGATGGCCACGTTCAGCCCTTAAACGTGCATTGTCCTTGATGATATACACGATCTGCTTCAGGACCTTCTTCGGGGAGTTCTTCTAGACGTTCTTCCAAGTCATGCCCGGTCTCTCCCCATGAGGGGTCTTAACCGCATTGGAGTCTCCGAACGGATTGTCCTCATCGTCTTCCTCGTATTCGTTCTCACTGTCATCGCTCTCCTCTGCTCCAGCCTTGCCGAAATCAGGTTTGGTGGGCATGGCGATGTTGGTGGGGCGAGGAGGCTTTGGTGGCGCTGCTGCTCCATCTCCGTCAATCTTGAGTCCAGCAAGCTGCGATTCGGCGCCAGTGGCGTGAGATCCATGATCAGGCATGTGTTCCCAAGCATCACTGTCGCTGTCATCGTCGAGTGATCTGTCCATGATCTCATAGCTCGTGAGTGCTTTGACCAACTCGTCGTTTGCAGACAACAGACTTCCAATCCACTCATCACTTTCCACCATTTGGATATACCTCAAGATGTTTCTTCTAAGCAACTTGCAAGTCTCAAAACGGTTCATGACTTCGACGTTCTCGGAGACACGCTCGTTCTCGCGATTGATGAGCTGCAGAGCATTCAAGAGGTTGGTAGAAGCGATGGAGGCTTGAGCTATACTCTGAATCATGTTTGGCTTTNNTTCCTTTGCGAAATCGAATTTCGCGGGAGTGGCGTTCTTGTCCTTTTTTNNTCTCGTGGATGCCTTGACGGCGTCGCGGATAGAGTAATGGGGCGTTGGAGTGAGTGTGACTGGACGAGAGCTTGAGGCTGAGGCGTTGACGGCAGAGCTTGATCGAGAGTGTCCACGAGAATGTCCACCAGCAGGTGCAGGTGGAGGAGTAGGTGAGGGATCCTCGTGAGCGTCTTCTTCCGTTTCGCGGAGAACCTTGGATTGCGCCTGGCTGTGACGAGGGCGAGGCTTCTGGGGTAGTTGTTTATAGAGCGTGGCAATGTTGTGGAGGCCAGGAGTATCCTTGTATGCCACAGCCCATTGACGGTAGAGCACGTTACACTTGTTGCGTACCTCGAGGTCAACCATGTCGTCCCTGACCATCAGTCGAAGACGCTCAAGCAAAGGCTCGTCGGCAAAAGTCTTTTGGAAGCGATTTCCAGCGTTTTGAATCAGACCATCCAGAATGTTGAGAGCCCTGATTTGACGGTGGGCATTGCCATACTTGNNCTACTTCGAGTCAGCCAACCAGTCCACTGAGTGCACGACTTCAAGTCGGGTTCAGTGAACTTACAGCTTCTTACGAATAGCTCTGGCAGCTTCGGTAGGTCCAGAAGATTGGATGCGGATGACCTCGACCAGATCGATAATTCCACTGAGATCGTCTTCCTCATACTGCTCGCTGGTCATGCGATCAATCTGCACCGACACAGCCGAGTATGGCTTTCTCTGTTGGAGAACCCATTGTCTTAGTATTGACTTCAGATCACGCAAGCGGCAGATTGGGCAAGACAATGAATAACGAGATAGACGACATGGGAGGGCGGAATATTTTGGAGGTGGACGAGTGGGAGGCCCAAGAGCTTTGCACTTTGCTGCTCTCTTCAGCTCCTTCTTTTGACGACGCTTCTCATGTATGGCTTCACATTCTCTCTGCCACTCTTCCACCTCGGAAGGGTTGCAAGGTCCATAAGGACATGGGTAGGCCATGCACCAAGTGAAGAACTCCATGGTCTGTGGGGTGTGGTGTTTTGTGGAAAGGGGGACTGGAGCGAAAATGGGACACGATGGGGGCGGACGTGTTGTAAATAGAGATGGGACAACGAAAGTGTAACGTACTGATGAACTTCCCAACATGGTGGTGATTCACCAATGTATGCACCGGTAGAGGCAGTGACACAGGAATCGACAGAGGTGCAGCGAAACCGACAAGATTGCGTCACGCAGAGCCCGTGTTCTGTGGTGAGAATTGAATGTGCGAAGGAAAATGGGGATCCGTGATCGTAGATCGCTTTGAGCCGTCAAGCCCTAAGATGTTATTGTGCCTAGCTGTCAAAGGGAATAAGAAGCCGTCAGCCTCTTCCAACCATGGTATCACATGCAAGAGCGGTATGATGGCTCGGGGCTTGTAGAGAACCATGGAATAAATGTTGCGGCGCAAAGATGACCCAATAGCCCACGACTCAAAGCCATGTCGGAAGTGCGACTCACCAGACGGAATAGACAGGACTCGAGATGTCCCTGACACGACAGAAGAATAACCACAAGACCTGAAAGATCTACTCGTGTTGTCAGATGGCGTTTTACCGTGCGTCTTCGACTGGGATCAGCTAGACGCAGAACCGCAGACTGAGGAGCCGATAAGCAGGAACAGTCCCTTGACCCTTCCTTCTTTGTTCCTGTTCACCGAAGATTGCGCTTACACGAGGCAGGAACGACTCTCTCGCTTCGCAAGAGATTCGGTCCGGAGATGACAGTCGACGAGTATCACAAGAGCTCACTCCCAAGAAGATTCAGCAAGACAAAGACGTTTTGTTGTTGGCCAGCTCGTGATGGGGACGTTGTCGGTGAGCACAGCCGTCATCTCCATGGATGCCCCACTTTCTGCCCGATGCTTCCACTTCGGCCCGCTTCATGCAGCCCGACTGCGGAGGTTAATTCCGGACGCTTCCTTTTTCTTGGACCTCACCTCGTACAACATCCAACCGCTGCTATTAATACGGGTGCTTGGTCTCGATACAATACACAAAGGTCACTTTGTAGACCGAGGCCCTTCACTTGTCAAGCTTGTCCGGGGCGACCACCATTGCATCGATACACAACTGACCAACATTCTGCATGAACGTTTGCGGTCCACGAGACATCACTCATGCTTGACTTCACAAATCCAGCAGCTGCATGAACTCGACTGTCAAGTCTCGACTTCTCTGCAAGTAGCAGCCCCTCTCCACTCATGAGTCTGTGAAACAGAACCAGGCTGCACACCCGTTTCCCACGTTTTTGTCCGAGATCTTCCAATGGCTGGTGTCACAGAGGCTTCAGCTCCACAGAGGTATGCACAATATATGTCGTTTATCTGAAGCCTCTCTCACGGCTGACAACCCTGTTCCGATTTGTAGCGCATGGCTAGAGGAGCTTGCAGAATTCGACATGGACTGGGACAGCATATCGCTTCCAAGTACTCCCAAACGCCCAAGACTCGATGGAGCTGCGTTGTCTCCTTCAACCGAAGATATTGCATCATTACCACATGGCTCCGCGAATGCCGTCTCCCACACCGTGTTGCTGTCTTCAACAGACGACGACTTCTTCTGTGACACAGCAGAGTTTGAGACCTTCCTTCGTGAAACAGAAGGCATAGATTTCTCTAGCACAGCATCGGCATCGACATTGACTCTTGCATCCACACCAGCCGTCTTGAGTGGTCGTCCAGGATCATCTTCATCCGATACATCCATTCTCCAAACCCCTAAGCGGATTATTCGCGGCACCTTTCCCCCAGCCTTGACATCGAATTCGCCGATCCCGGGTCTTACCTCTTCAACCTACCTCCGTACGCTCTTCTGTCTTGGAGAGGCCCTCAATGTAGGTTGTCAGGCAGTACGCGATGATGAAGATGCCCTCCTTGAGTTTTATTGCCGTGTGATGTCCTCACATCGCGAGAATAACACACAACACTTCGTGGTTGCCGATCTTACGCACGATAACCCGCCTTTCATCAAGGCCACTTTTGCGTCTTAGAAGGGCGTGCCGCTGTTTGATGATGACACCAGGGTCTTCCTCGATGGTAAGGACCACGGTGGTAAAATGTGCAGATGTCTGGGAAAAATGAGAAAGCAGGAAAGTAAGTGGATCTTTGAGCTGGTCAGTATCTGGCACGCCACTCTTGATGATGTCGAATATGTTGCTAGTATTGTCACCTGAGGCCGTGGGTTCTTGTGTCTTGCTCTCTTGCTTCGGAGATTTGGTTGCTCTTTTCTTGTCAATGTTGCTCGGAAGATATTGCTTACAATTGTGTGCTTGTTTTGCTGAAATCTCGAGATTGCTTTTCAGAAGAAGATGTCGGCAAAAGTGTCAGAAAGATTAAACTCCTTTCCTTCTTCGCCATTTGTTTGCCGCTCTCCCCTTCCTAGATGATTGTTGTACATTTTCTAATTCACCTATCGTCCCGCATCGCCACGACGAAGAAGACAGACTCAACACATGTTTGCTACAATGAGGCATCTTGCTTGCTTGTACAGCGCATATGACTTGCTTGATAGAGGAATCTGACGGGCCTGAGACGGCATGCTTGCTCGTGTTGTGCACTTGTCTCACTTTTGACCCCTACCAGAATTCACATCGGCTCTTTCATTCACCTTCACTCACTCTGGAAGGCCATATCAATTAATAAGCTTGCAATAATCACAACTCCCGGTAGTGTGGCATACTGGTCTCAAGCACCACATCCTCCCCGCCACCTATCGCCGAGTAGTCTGGGTTCAATCCCGAGCATGGCCATCAACGGTAAGCCAGCGCTGTTTCCATTTCGCACCTTTCTTCCTCACATCCACCCTCACATTTTCCTTTGTCATAAACACGAATCAAACTGCTTTCCGTGCATTTGTTCATCACCATGACACCAGCCTAGCAAACTGAGCTCATGCATGATTTATTTCAATAGACCCAAAGTTCTTGCAAAACTTTGTCCCCTCTCCTCGGGCTTGCTTACCTGACACTCATGAGAGGTTTGTTTAGCAATCATAACCGCGATTAAAGCCGTTTGTTGTGCTCTCTATCGGGGGTTCCTACCTCGAAACTCATAGAGGGTTTTGTTTTGCCCTTTGCTTTTGTTGTTGTGATCTTTTTGCTGGTCACAATATTGAGATGTTGCCACTTTGTCTCACAGATACTGGAGATGTTGTTTTGGCTCAATGTATCTCTTTGCCAATCTCCGCGGCCAGAGTCATGGTCAGCATGGTAACATCAGAGTGCAATGGTGTTCCAGTACAACTCTGTCCCTCAAGGACCATCGACATCGAGACGGTCCATCAGGCTCATAGTGGACAGGTATGATACTGACAAAATCACTTTGCATTGCGATAACACCATGAAAAGGGGCTTGTGTAGGTGGAGATGAATCAACGTTCGATGATAGGTATTGACGCGAGACAAAAGTGACATGACAAGACATTTACAGATTCATATCCATCGTTTACGTGTTCACCAATGCACTAGTACTAGTACTCCCAATGAAAACGACTAAGACAGCAGCAAATCTGTCGTAAACACATTAGTTTGTGTCTCTCTAGACCCCAGAGTATAATCACTCACGCAGCGGTACTCGCAAAGATCTCAGCTGCTCTTGCTGAAGTCAATAGTGCAAGCGCAATTGAGAACAAGAAAGACAAACCCATGGCCACGAATATTCGTACCAGCAGAGAGTGTATGAAGTAGAGGACGACGATCGCCAAGGAGGGGATGAGGGAAGATGTCACAACGGATATGGTGCGAGAGGCGGTGGTGTAACTGGCATCTGACCACTCTACAAGGCCTAACTCTTCGTGGCCTGGTAAGGGTGTCTGTCGGGAGAAGAAATCTCCAAGTTAGTACGGGAAGATCAGATGAGATACAATGCTGAGAAGGCATACCTTTGTTGTTACACCTTTTTGCAGAAGCCAAGGAATCATCGTTTCGGCTGTCCATTTGGTAAAGTGATCTTGTTTGCGTTTGGAGAGTGCTACTAGGTCTGATTCTCGCTCTTCAGTCCACGGAAGATCCTCCAGGCTGTTCAGAAAGTTGTTGCCTCCCTTCTCGTGTTCAAGCCAACACCGTAATATGTTGAGGTCGTAGTGATTCGGTTTCTCGAGTTTTTGTAGATTTGCTTGTCGTAGAAGGGCTTCGTCTGTTGAAGCAAGATTAGGTTTTACTCTAGTTCATCACCAATAGTCCTCAGACATACTGTAGTCCTTTAGTTTGGACCGCAATTTCATCTGCACCTTCCATTGTTCTTTTTCTACTGCCGTCCTCCTCTCACCGAACGGCTTGAGGATGTTGGTCCTCGCCCAGGGNACTTTTTGGTCATGGACCTCAAGTTGTTGTTCGAGTTGGAGTATCTCCGCCTGATATACCAGTAGGTCCCGGGCATTAAGGTCTGCGAAGCGGAGCTGTATCGACATGCCCGTCCCAGCACCCATAATCTTTGCCAAACCAGGGTAACCCAGAGTCTCTTTGGGATCTAAGTTTTGCTGCGCCATACTCTGTGATGGTATTTGATTTGCCGTTGTACTGGAATGAACGATCATAGGTATGCGAAGGTTATGCTAGGAAATGGAATCCTTCGAGTAAGCAGGTGACTTGGTGGCTTGCTGCGGACCAAGTAGTCTGACGAACCACTGCCTCATCACCCGCATAGTCACATCTTGGCACTCGTTCTCCTGCACGGCAAGTCTACAGACTCATAAGATGTAATAGTCTTGTATGCTAGGTATTGGTTATTCCAACGGTGAGATGTTCAGAAAGTCATTGCGCCATTCGAACATAAGAACTCAATTGTCCGTCACTGTCGCAGAGGACCCAATCACTCCCAATCTCTGTCCTCAGCTAGTACACTAAGGACCAGAACTATGAGAAGGACCCTGATTGTTTCCTGAAGATGCTCCTGGTTTCTGTGCTCCAAGCTGATTCAATCGATCTACCAGTTTAAGACGTTGCTTCCCTCTTTCCTCTTCATTGTCCAAAGCTTTCTCTAGTGTACTTCGGCCTTGCCTTTCTTGCTGCTCTGTCAACGTTCACTGTTAGTTGATGTCATCTGAATTGTGTTGTTGTTCGCGACCAACCTTTNNGCTTGTCTTGGCAAAGCCTAGGACGTTCAGCCCTAATGTAGTATTGATCTCGTTGGGTAAGCCCAGAGAGAGAAGTTCGAGATTCTGCACCAGGAATCCGTACTGGAAGATGGTTTGACGGGATATCAAAACATCTGTCGGCAGTTTGTCTATGAGGTAGAACAGGTGCGTGTACTCCTGATCTCTGTTCATCATGTTCCAAGTTCCTTTGAATAATAATTCGGATTCCACATGATTCCCGTTGGCCACTTGAAGTACCAGCCGGGTCTTAGTCCAGCGGATAAGATCTGTAGGGCTTGGTGCGAATGATTTAGCGCAGCTCTTTGATATGCAATCCACGGATGCTCCGGTGTCGAGTAAGCAGCACAACTCTTGGGGTGTGCCGAATTTGTCTCGCATGCGAATTTTCATGTACATGTGAGGCGCAGTCCCTGGTCCACTGTGCAGGTCCGATTGACATGAGAATGACGCAGAAGTAGACATATACTCATCAATAGAGAAGGAGCATTCTGTGTCAGCTTCCGTCTGTCCAGGATGTCCCAACGCTTCGTCGGCGGTGACTCGAGCCAAAGCCCTTGAGATGGGAGATTCTGAGTTCTCATGGTCGACGGAACCAGATTCATCTCGAGATGTAGGTCTGGTTGTGTGATCGATGGTATTGCTCAATTTGGTTCGTTGCAAGATCTGACATTTGTGGTCTCCAGCGTGAGATGAAATCTCCTCAGAGGGAGTTGTTCGATAGGCTCTGCTTGACAAGAGCTCTTGCTGCATTACTGAATGTCTAGCCACTGGAACCAGATCCACATCATCCCAATAAGCNGCTTTTACAAGTCAGCGTAAGCTGCGAAGGGTTCAAAGAGAGACGACATACACAACCAAGATCCGATGCAAAGTCTCAACGTTCACACGAGTGGACTCAATATCGGCTAAAGCGTTGAGAATCTGTTTCTCGTAGAAGACTCGTTGGAAACTTCTCAATGTAGCGAAGTGGCCAAGACTCTGATTGAGAAGTGTCACTTGAACCGTGGCCGACTGGTAGGTCTCGATAGCGAGGATCAAATCAACATCCGAAATATTCCTGGTCGCTGCCATGAGTTCACCTATGATGCGTAGGGACTTGTTCACCTTGTGAAGCTTGGAGGCCAAGGCCATTAGCTCCATGCTCACCTTTGCGACATGGACGACGGGATTGATGCGTCTGATCGTTTGTGCCCCAGAGGCATATAGAGATGCCACAGAGGTAGCGAGGGCCACGAGTGAAATCGGATCCGCCAATTTGGACTTGGTGCGTCCGATCTTCTGGACAATCGAAACATACTGAGATGCCACAGGGGCGGCGGAGGCAATTCGGGTGGCTGGGTCCACCATGCTGAATCTAGCGGTCAAAGCGAACAGTCCCTGCCTCGAGGAATAGTGATGGTTAAGAGTTTTTGGGCGGCGTGAAGATTTGGGGGCTTTCCAGACTGTCATAAGCCCTGAGAAGCTATCAAGGTATTGAAGGTGAGCATGTGATGCGGGCTGTGGCCATACAACAAGCAGGCGGCTTGCATACGCATTCGGCTGAGCCCCACTCCGAAGCCCATTGAACAATACGCGGTAGTGTGAGGGGCTGGTATCAAGATATAGCTCATAGCACAGCCGCTTTAACATAGAGATATAAAGCCAGGACAATGTACAAGAACATGCAAGGAGACATACCATTAATATTATTAGTCGACCTCACTCGGGGTTATAAGAAAGCCATGGATGTTTCACCAACGCACTCGCTCTCTGCCTTTCTCTTGGATCCGAGGCCAACATTTTTCTCAAGAAGTCACAGAACAGTTCCAATTCATCAATCGGCAACATGCCCTGCGTGTCACCCGCAAAACTCTGGCCCACCAAAGTCTCCAAAGAAACGGGAAATCCATGCCCATTGATGCACTGCTGCTCAAACTCTTTCCCTAGTGCGGCGTTGTCCAAGACAACGTTGGGGATGGGTCCGAAAGTAGAGACCAAAAGGGCTATGCGATCTTGTTCGGCGGTCACACCTGGACCAGGTCGTCCAACAAAAGGCAAGTCTCCAGTTATGAATTGGTAGAGCAGGCAGCCGAGACTGAAGATATCAACACTGGGGTCCCAAGGTGCTTCAAGCGTAACCTCTGGCGCACGAAGATATTCAGATTGGATATCGTCTGTAAGGTGTTGTTCTATGAAGCAGGCGATTCCTAAGTCGTTCAGACGGAACTGCATGTTCGAATCGTTGAACTCAGGGCCCGAAGATTGTGTGCGCACGAGATCGTCGATCTCTTGGGGTGACTGGCCTTGGTCGTCCTTGAGGATGTTTGAGGGTTGAAGGTCGGTATGAATGACACCGCACTCGCTGTGCAAAAAGTCTAGTGCTTCGAGCATTTGCTTCGCAATGTTTCTGACTGTTGGGGGAGGTATGCGCATGATATGTCCGGTCGTGGCTTTCTCAGCTATACTGTCGCCCAGGAGAGGCATCACCATGCAGACATGTTTGCCAGTGGGTCCCTCGATTTCAAAGTGGTTCTTCAGATATGTAACATGATTTCGGCCAGGATGCGTGGATTGATTGGAGACAGCGGTGACCTTGGTCATCACCTCCAACTCGAATATCTGGTGTGTGCCGTTATAGAAGTCGCTGTTGAGGATCTTGAGAGCGGCGCGTTCGCCGNNGTTCTGCCAACTGTCAGTACTGGCCCTAAATCGCGGTAAAAGGAAAACTGACGTGCTGTCGATGACCAGCCAAACAGAAGCGTATCTGCCAGCACCTAGATGAGTCTCTACTCTGTACCGATCCAAGAAGACCTGGCCGATCTCGACTTTGTAGAACTTGTCATTGTCATTCTCGGTCAGAGCCNNCCTCTTTAGCAGCGAACGGAAGCCCATTATGGCTATGTAGTATGCGTGTTTATGAGCCTGTGGTATGCGTGCTGGAGGCGTAAGGGACAAAGTTGGAAAAGGTAAAGTCGCAAAAGCAGACAATCGAGGACGAGAGAAGTCTTGAATCTCAAATAGGCTAACAGAAGCCTTCTACCTACTTGCCTACATTCTGGTAGACGTTTGATCGGTGAAGTCATGTGCGAAAGTTTACGTTCTCAAAGGCTCCGAGGAACCTTAGCTGGTAGATGTCTCTCCACACGATTCCAAACTCGACCGTCTGCGATGGACACCTCTGGCAGCTATTTTTGCTGGTCAGTCCATACCCTTGAGCATAGCAAACACATAGACCTAGATCGTTTGCTCTGTCGCAAAGTAAGGAGATCAACAGGAACGATCGAGTCAGCGGTTGAACGTGTTTCGCAGATCGAGCGAAAGTTGGAAACGTGGAGAGAGATCCGGGCGCGAAATGCGAAAACCAATGATGTCACGCCGAGACGCGATCCTGGCGCTCCCGAGTCGCTGCCTTGCAACACTTTGAGAGCTTCGTGAACAGAGTCTCAACGTCCATACGAGTCAATCCTCAAACAAGACCATATCCATATAGCAAAGATGCCGCCCCAGCCAGTCTACGTTTCTCCGAACCCAGAGACAACCAAGCGTGGTCTCTTTACCGAGTTCTTTCTCGAGAGGAATTGTCCCGAGGATGCTGATCCCAAATTCGAGCACCTGTTCACCACTCATCAAAACCTCATGAGATTGTTGATCAACGATCCTGCTATGGATCCAAACCGAGAGCAGACCTTCTCTACACCTGCAAACAGCAAGAACAAGGTGTATTTCATGTAAGGCATGACTTACTTGCACTCTGTTTGATATGCTGACAGAGATGCACAGGNNTGGGACTTCGTCACCCGTTCCTTCCAGATGCTCATAGCAACCGTCAACCCTAAAAGTCCAGGCGGCGAAGCTTGGATGGTATGTTTCGAGGTGCTGTGACCAATAAACAATACTGACCGAAGACCAGNNGATATTTCGATGAGATCAATGCTGGCCCAGCAGCTAATTCTCGACACAACTGGCAGACTAGAGTCCATGAACCAGTCTGTTGGCTACAACGACGATGCTGGCATACAATTTAGCGCCGATATCAAGGCAGAGGCAGAGAAGCTGGACGATTTGCCTTAAGTGCGAGTAGAGCAGGACTCTCACGACATGATGCTCCGAAGTTGATGATGTACACGTGATGAAGCGTCGCTGGGATGCTTTGGCTTTAGTAAGGCAGTATCATGATATGATCAAGGAATGTTCTCCTTTTCAACAAACATGGTGATGAGATGTTGAGTAGCATGTTTGATCAAGGAGGAGGAGAGGACAAAGTCGGTGGTCGGAACTTTTTGAAGAAGTTGGACCCTGAGCTCGGACCTCCTGACAGACAAAAAAATACATTTCGAGTTGCATTGCAGCGCTTTCCCCTCGACATCCTCTCCCAAAGGCATATCTCTCTGCCTTTGTTGTGTTGTGCTTTTTTCTTTCCTTTTTGATACCCCATATACTTAAAACATGGATGAGCAGCAATTCGTCGGACTCCTCGAGAGTCTGATGCAGCGTAAGTTCGTCACTTTGGCGAGCAACTTGTTTTGAGGCTGACCGACTGCAACAGCCGACACTGAGCGTGTCAAGTCCGCAACCGCCACCTTGAACAAGACATACTACGGTAACCCTGCCTCGCTCACTGCCTTGCTCCACATCTTGGTCTCGCACCAGAGCCCCAACCTTCGCCAACTGGCTGCTATCGAGTCCCGCAAGCTCGTCAAGAAGCACTGGCTCGACCTCCCCAACGACCAGAAGCCCCAGATCCGCGAGCAGCTCTTGCAGTCCACCCTCAGCGAGGAGCAGTCGCTTGCCCGTCACTCTAAGGCTCGAGTTATTGCCTCGATCGCTCAGATTGACCTCGCCGATGGCCAATGGTCCGACCTCCCCGACTTCCTCCAGAACGCTTCGACCAGCCAGACCGCCAGCCACCGCGAGGTTGGTGTCTACATCATCTACACACTCCTCGAGACCATGCCCGACATGTTCCAGGAGAACATGGGCGCCATGCTCCAGCTCTTCACAAAGACCATTCAGGACCCCGAGAACGCCGAGGTCAGAATCAACACAATGCTTGCTCTCTCCGAGATCTGCATGGTTCTTGACACCGACGAGGACCCCCAGTCGCTCAAGGCTTTCCAGGACACTATTCCCCACATGGTCCGCGTTCTGCAGCAGGCCGTCGACGACGGCGAGGAGGACCGCGCCATGCAGGCCTTCGAGGTCTTCAACAAGCTCCTCAGCTACGAGTCTGCTTTCCTGAACGCCCACTTTGGTGACCTCATGCAGTTCATGATGCAACTTTCTGCCAATACCAACGTCGACGACGACTCGCGTTCTCAGGCTCTTTCTTTCCTCATGCAGGCCGTCAGATACCGCAAGCTCAAGGTCCAGGGTCTGCGCATTGGTGAGCAGCTCACAACCACCTCCCTCCAGATCGTTACCGAGCTTGGTGAGCTTTCCGCCGAGGACGAGGACATCACTCCTGCCCGCTCTGCTCTTGGTCTGCTCGACATTCTTTCCGAGAACCTCCCTCCCAGCCAGGTCGCTGTTCCTCTTCTCCGTGCCATCGGTCCCTTTGTTCAGAACCCCAACGCCGACTACCGTCGTGCTGGTATTCTCGCTCTGGGTATGTGCGTTGAGGGTGCCCCCGACTTCATCAGCACTCAGCTCTCCGAGATTCTTCCCATGGTCCTCCACTTGCTTGAGGACCCCGAGGTCCGCGTCCGTTCGGCTGCCCTCAACGGTGTCGCCAGACTTGCTGATGACCTCGCTGAGGAGATGGGCAAGGAGCACGCCCGTCTCATCCCCGCTCTTGTCAAGAACTTCGACCTTGCTATGCAGCAGTTGAATGGACCCGCTGGTGACGAGAACCTGGCTATCATCAAGCAGAGCTGCATGGCCATTGATTCGATGATTGAGGGTCTTGACAAGGAGGACGCTTCCAAGTATGTTGGTGAGCTAATCCCCAGACTCAGCCCTCTGTTCCAGCACCCCGATGTCAAGGTTCAGATCTCGGCCATCGGTGCCACTGGTTCCATCGCTTCTGCCAGTGAGTCGGCTTTCATGCCTTACTTCGAGGGCACCATGCAGACTCTTGGCCAGTTTGTTTCTCTCAAGGACTCCGAGGACGAGCTCGAGCTCCGTGGCGTTGTCTGCGACTCGCTCGGCAAGATCGCCTCTGCTGTTGGCGCTGATGCCTTCCAGCCTTACGTCACCCCTCTTATGCAGGCTTCTGAGGAAGCTCTGCACCTCGACCACCCCAGACTCCGCGAGACCAGCTACATTCTCTGGAGTACCATGTCCAAGGTCTACGATGACAAGTTCGCCCCTTACCTCGCTGGTGTTGTCAAGGGCCTGATTGAGTGCCTCCAGCAGGACGAGAGCGAGGATGGTATTACCCTTGGCGAGGAGGCCAGAGAGCTTCTTGGCCAGGAGATCACCATCGCTGGCAAGAAGGTCAAGGTTGCAGACATGAGTGCTGACGATGACGACACCACCATTGACGTCGATGACGAAGATGAGGACGACTGGGATGACCTTGGTGCTGTTACTGCTGTTGCCATGGAGAAGGAGATCGCTGTTGAGGTTATCGGTGATGTCCTTACTCACACCCGCGGCCACTTCCTCCCTTACTTCCAGCAGTGCGTCGAGGCTGTCCTCGGCCTTGTCGACCACACTTTCGAGGGTGTCCGCAGATCTGCCATTGGCACTCTCTGGAGAGGTTATGCCTCTCTCTGGGCCATGGCTGAGGACAACGGCATGGCCAAGTGGCAGTCTGGCCTTCCTCTCAAGGTCCAGGCCACTGAGGACCTGATGAAGCTCAGCAGTCTGATCATGACTGCCACCCTTGCTCTCTGGCAGGACGAAGTTGACCGGTGCGTATCTAACGTTTTCTCCTTTTCAGCACACACACCTTCTATGATGACCACTCTTCGTTACACCCAGCTCACTTTGATGCACAAATGTGCACTTGATGCGAACGCGATTCTGTTCCTGATTCGATCTTTTGATCACCTCTTCTTCAACCATGACTTGTTATACAATTCTTGAATCAAAGGCTGACCTTGTTTCAATAGTGGTACCGTCACCGACATCCACCGTAACCTCGCCGCTACCCTCAGANAGCTTTGCGGACCCGCCATCCTTACCGCCAACATTGGCGAGAATGCCGCGTCCCCCGTTCAGCAGATCGTCGAGATGATCCTCTCGATCTTGCAAAAGAGACACATCTGCCAGCAGGACCTTGATGGTGAGGACGAGTTCGACGTCGAGTTGGAGTCATCCGAGTACGACTGGCTGGTCATTGAGACTGCCATGGAGGTCATCACCTGCCTGGCTGCCGCCCTCGGCGAGTCCTTTGGTGAGCTCTGGCAAATCTTCGAGAAGCCCGTTGTCAAGTACGTCAGCGGACAAGAGAAGTACGAGCGCAGCGCTGCCGTCGGCACCATTGCTGAGGCCGTTGGTAACATGGGTGCTTCCGTCACTCCTTACACCGCCAGTCTTATGAAGATGCTACTCAAGCGCCTTGGAGACGAGGACCCGGAAGTCCGTAGCAACGCTGCCTACGGTACTGGTCTTCTTTGCGAGAAGAGCACCGACGAGAGCCAGATTACCGGCCAGTACAACACCATCCTCGCCAAGCTCGAGCCTCTGTTGCACCAGCAGCAAGAGGCCCGTCTCCTTGACAACTCTGCTGGCTGTGTCGCTCGCATGATCAAGAGACACCCCAACAACGTTCCTCTCGGGGACGTCCTCCCCGTCCTGATCCAGCTTCTCCNNCCCCTCAGAGAGGATTACGAGGAGAACGAAGCCGTCTTCGAGATGATCGTTGCCCTCTACCAGCAGCAGAACACTGTCATCCAGGGCCTTACCGGCTCTATCTTGCCAGTGCTGCAANAGGTGCTGAGCCCTCCTGAGGAGCAGCTCAGCGACGAGACACGCCAAAAGGTGATGCAGTTGGCACAGTACCTCCAGTCGCAATAGAAAGCGACATGTAGTGGAGATGTTTTGAGAGAAGTCTGAGAAGCTACGTTGTCACGCACCAGAGGATACCCCGAGCATAGAGCTCTTTCTTTTTCTTGTTTTTAGTTTTGCATAGCTTGCGGAAATGTTCAAAAGTACGACTGTTGATTTATACAAGGCTTACTCAAGTTCCCATGTGTCTGGTCGTTGAAGTGAACTGGAGATGGTTGTGAGGAAGGAGGTCCGGCGAGGGTTGCCAGTTGGACAGTTTGGCAGTCGCGGGTCGGGCGGTTGAACCCTGATTTCCATGGCCGCATGCAAGTGCCATGAGGCTTTGCTTGGTACTGCAGTAAACAGAGTTTCAGACTTCCTTGTACTGCACCGTCACTGTGCATGGCCCTGCCGCGGTTAGCAGCTGAAGCCTGGTGATTCTCCTTTTCTCCTCGCCATTGTCGCACATCTCTGACACGACCATGCACAGCCCGGAGTGCTGAGAGGCACATACTACAATAAGCCCGACGCCCAAGAAATTACAGGAGTATCGACATGTCTGGTCGCACACCAGCAGGAGGGAGCGCCGACAGGACGCGTCCCCCTCTGGCGAGGTTGGGCAGTTCATCGGCCAGAGGACCCACGCTATCGACAGCAGCCCGGCCGGGAAGCAGTGCATCTGTCAGGTCTGCGACGAGTAGCACCACAGCGACGGCAGCCCGACAGCCCTTGCGCCTGGCCAGCGTCGACGAGAACAAGAGACCGACTCTCAATGGTGTATCGAGGCGCATGTCATCTATGAACGGTGTCCCTACTACCACACGACCTTCGTCCCGACTGAGCACTACATCATCCCCTGCCACACGAACTCCTACGGCAGCCAGCAAGCCCACTCCGAGAGCTCCTCTGAATTCGACCCCTCGTGCCACCGTTACTCCCACTACAATCAATCGCACACCGAGACTGGCTGCTACTGCCAACCCGAGCACTCCCAAGACCCCTTCGACTGCTCCTAAGGCACCCACTACCGCTCCCAAAGCCCCCGCGACTACTCCGAGGAAACTGGCGGTGAGAACGTCGCTAGGAACGACGGAAAAACCCACACTGTCCAGTCCTGTCAAACTCTCAAGGTACCTACATATTCGTTCCCGTCGACCCATGTTGTCCAAAACTGACAATGACCAGCGATTTGAAATCCTCGTCCGATCGACCACCCTCTCCACTAGGACCCATGTTCAAGTCACCACCCAAATTACGCAAATTCTCTGCCGTCTCTGATGCCGATACCGACCAGATGAAGCAAAAAGCCACGCTCGCTCGCAATCTGCTACCGTTGGCCGTCCTTCGACCGCTCCAGAGACCCAGGAACAGAAGTTGCGAGACATGCGCATTATGGGCGATCTGCTTCGCGAAGCCAACGTGAGAGAGGCCATGAAAGAGGAGATTGCAGAGCTCAAGGCTGAAGTTGAGAGGCTACAACGTCCCAGAAGCCCTTCAAAGCCAGACACATGGGCCGGCACTTTTACTGTGGCCGAAATGGAAGAAATGGAAGCCACACACTTGGAAGAGGTTCAGGGTATCAGAGGCGATTACGAAAGACAAAGACGCGCTACCGAGGAAGAACATGCTACCGAGATGCGTGGCCTCAGAGCCGAACTCGACCAGATGGACTCGATGAAAGTTGAACATGCAAAGACCCTTGCAGCTGCACATGCCAAACTCGAGGCCGAATCCAAGGAGTTGAGGAAAACGTCGACAATGTTGAAAGACTTGAAGACTACGCATGCAAAGGAACTGCAGGAGCTAACAGCTGAACACGCCTCAAACGCCGAAAGTCTTCGCAACGATCACACCAACGAAATTGAGGAGCTCAAGTCACAGCTCGAAGTGCAGCGAAAACGTGCCGCCTCTATTGACAAGCTGAAGGCCAATCACGCTAGAGAGCTCGATCAACTGCGATCAGAGCTGGATGATCAAGTAGAAGACACGGCGACAATAAGCAAGCTCAAAGAAACACACGATGCCGAAATCGCCAATCTGAAATCTCAGCTTGAAGACCACAAACAACGAGCTGACACTAACGAAGGATTGAGTGTAAAACAATCAGAGGACATCAATAAACTCAGATCGCAACTGGATGCTTTCTCAAATGATGCTTCGGCGGCCGACCAATTGAAAGCAGCTCACGAGGTTGAACTGACTGGTCTCAAGTCGAGGTTAGATGAGCAAACCGAACGCGCTGCTTCTGTGCAGAAAGAGCTTGAGGATTTACGGTCAGACACTTCTGAAGTCGACAAGCTCAAGGCAGAGCATGATAACGAACTTTCGGAGCTGCGAGCACAGTTGCAAAAGCAGAAGAGGCGAGCAGCATCGACTGTCAAACTGAAGGAGACCCATGCCAAGGAACTGGAGGCCTTGAGATCGGAGCTGGAATCCAATGCAACCAAGGTATCTGAATTTTCCGTTAACGACGTCGATCTCCTCAAATCCGAACACGAAGCCCAACTTTCCGAACTCCGTGCTGAACTCGACATGCAGAAGAAGGCATCATCCAAACTCGCTGGTGTGGAAGACAAGATTGCATCTGTGCAAGCTGCTTTGGAAGAAAGCAAGTCTGCTGCATCCCAACAGGAAAAGAAACTGCGGGAGAGCATTCAGAACAAGGAACAAGACAGTGAGCAATTGGTCCAGGTTATCAAGGACCTGGAATCTGAGATTGACCGTGTCCAAGAGCAGCTGGATCTGGATGCCGCAAAGCAGGAGAAGGAGCGCAAAGAGATTCACAGCGTGCGGAAGAAGCTTGAAGCAGAGCTCACCGAGTTGCGCAAGACAGCGACGCAAGACAAGGCACGACTCACCGCGGAAAGCACTCAGGCGAATGAGCTTGTCAACAAGCTCCAGGAGGAATTGACATCTCTCCGTCAAGCTTATGAAGAGGAGAGGGAGAATGTCAGGCTTGCTGCAGACGAGACTAAAAGAGCCAGTGAAACGCTACAAGAAGAACTGGAATCTCTTCGTGAAGAGCATGTGAAGGATAAAACCGAGAAGAGTGAAGCGCTGCAGAGTGCTGAGAAGACTTTGGACCAACTGCGTCAGGAAACCGAAGAAGCCAAGCAACAACATGCTAAAGAAATTGCTCGCGCGGAGGAAAAGACTGCTGAAAGCGAGCGCGTACTGGAGGACCTGCACAGCCAGTTGGAGACCTTGCATTTACTTCACGAGCAAGAAGCCAAACAGCGATCAGAAGAAGCGGAAGCATCTGGCAGTCTCTTGGAAAGCCTCAAGCGTGAATTTGAAGAGTCACAACGCGAGGGTAGCGACAAGTCAAAGATTGTGGAGAATCTCCAGAAAGAGATGGAGGAGCTGCACCAAGCAAGGGCAAATGCCGACAACGAGCACAACGACAACACTTCCAAGCTGACCAGCCTCATCGAGGATTTGCAGGCTGAGGTTTCCGAGTTCCAAAAGCAAAGGAGCAAATGATGCAGGAACGAGAACAAGAATCCAAGGATCACAGTGCCATTATGGGAGGCCTACAATCCCGAAACTCGGAACTGCAGCAGAATCTCAAGGACGCCCAGGCAGCTTCTGACGCCGAGAGCGAGAAACTCAAGGAGACCATCAAGTCTATTCAGGAAGAAGTCGCAACGCTTAAATCCCGCGAGCAGGAAGTATCGAGCGCGAAAGAGGCAGAGCTCCAGAGTCTGACGGAAACCATCGATGAGTTGCAGTCGAAGATCCAGACTCTGGCGCAGGACGCCGAAGACAGCAAGACCACCCACGAATCTCAAGTCAAGGCTATGGAAGGTGTGATCTCCGGACTGCAAACTCAAGTCACGACTCTGGAGCAAGCCAAAGACGAGTCTACTAGCACTCTCAATGAGGAGGCTACTGCACTTCGCCGTAAAATGTCCGAGCTCGAAGAACAAATGCAGAAATTGCGATCCGACAATGAAACTCTCCTCACGACTAAGGAGGATGAGCTTTCAGATTTGCGTACTAACCTCAACCAAACCCAAGCGACGCTTGAAGAAGCCAAGAACGACTCTGCAAACACCTTAAGGGGGAAGACTACTGCACTCAAATTTACGATAGCTAGCCTGGAAGAGCAACTCCAGGAGATACGCTCTGATAGTGAAAGTGCTCTCAAGGTCAAGGATGAGGAGCTCTCTGTACTACTGGTCAATCTTGAGCAAGCTCAAAATGCTCTTGAGCAGGCAAAGAGTGAAGCTTCAAGTGCTTTGGTGGATCAAAAGACTAAGCTTGAGCAAACTATATCTGAGCATGAAGAGCAGATGGCCAACCTACGCTCTAAGCATGCGATCGCTCTCAAGACTACAAAAGATGAGCTTGTTACTTCACGGAACAGTCTCGACGAAGCGCAAACAAAGTCAGCAGATGCCGAAAAGTCTTTCGCTGATGAGATCGCCGCTCTGGAGCAAGGAATGTCTCAATTGGAGGAGCAAATCTCAGAAGCGCACTCTCAGCATGAGGTATTCCTCAAAGGCAAGGATACCGAGCTTTATGACCTAAAGGTACAGCTCGTGGAAGTACAGGCAACGTCAGCAGAAGTAGAGAAGGCTCTATCTGATGCACGTGCAAATTTTGAGAAGGCTCACAAGACAATGGTGAGCAGCGATGAGGTTGCCGCTCTGATGCAGAACGTTTCTGAACTGGAAGAACAACTACAAGCAATACACTCTGAGCATGATGATGTTCTGAAAGCCAAAGACGTTCATCTGTCCGAGTTGCAAAATCGACTCGAAGAAGCTCAGCGAAAACCTGACGATGATGACTTGGCTGCTCACAAAAACGACGTGTCGAAGTTGGAAGAGCAACATCAGAAGTCGGTATCTGAACTTCAGAACATACTCAAGACTAAGGACGACGAACTCTCCGAGCTGCGCGGTAACCTTGTGCTAGCCGAGACTAAGGCAATTGACACCGAGAAGTCTTTGGCTGATGTACGTCACAGCTTGGATGATGCTCGGGAGATGGAGTCGATCCAGAGCCACGAGGGCGAGATGAAGGATCTTCAAATCGTGGTCAGCAGATTCCAGACTCAAGTTGCAACTCTGGAGCAGGCCAAGGAAGACTTGGCTCAAGCACTCGAAGCGAAGACTGTTGCTTTGGAGCAAGCGACCATCCCTCGTATGGATGAAAGCGAGACACAAGTTCCGACGAGAGCCATTGACGACCTGCAAGAACAAGTTGCGACTCTGGAATCGGAAAAGAACGCGTTGATCAAGAATCTCGAGGACAAGACCGCGGCTCTCGAGCAAGCCATTTCAAGCCTTGAGGATCAGATGCAACAAGCTCATATTGGCCATGAGAACGCTATGAATGATAAAAATCAGCAACTAGCGGAGCTGAACGAGCTCCTAGAAAAGGCCCAAACCACCGCACCCGACAACGCGAATTCTGATGACGAGCATGATACTGAGGTGAAGAATTTGCAATCTTCGATTGACCAATTGCAGGAGCAAGTCAAGACTTTCGAATCTGCAAAGAGCGAGATGGACAAGGATCTCGAAGCCAAGATTGCCGCTCATGAGCAGACAGTCTCAGATCTTAAATCAAACCATGCAAAGGCTCTCGAGACTAAGCACCTCGCTCTTACAGAAGCTCAAGAGGCACTCGACTGGGCTCGTAGTAAAGCCTCGGATACCGAGAAGATCATTGAGTCCAAAGACAACGAGCTCTCGATACTACGCGAAACTCTCCACAACGTCCAGACTGAGGCCTCTTCTACTCGTAAATCGCTTCACGAAACCCGCGCTTCGTTCGACGGTCTGCAAAAGTCCAAGGATGGCACAGAAGAACTGCTAGCTCAGATTCAGCGTGAGAGAATGGAAAGCGAAAATGCTCTTCAAAGGAGAAACGCAGAGATTAACGATCTATGGGCTGCTCTTGAGCAATCACAGACAGGGTCGAGAGAGGCACTGGCTGAGTTGCAATCCTTGCGTGAGAACAACTTCGCTATATCTGATCTGGAGCGCCAGATGAAAAAGCTAAGGACCGACAACGATCAAGCAATTCGTAGTCGTGACTCGGAAATTCGCAAGCTTCGCGAAGCTGTCGAGAGAGGAGACTTGGCTTCATCAAACCTTCAACAAGCACGTACGGCCATGAGTGATATGGAAACGCAATTCGAAGAACAGCTGGCGCAGCTGGAACACCAAGTCAGAACCAAGCAGAATGAGTTTGACGACCTGCGTGAATCGTATGAGAGGTCGCAGGCAGACTATGCTGAGATGGGCGATCTGCTTGGTACAACGAATGAGCGCTTGCAAAAGTCTTATGCTGAGGCTGAGAGATTACAAGATCAACTCAACAGTAAGGACGACGAGATCTTCAGATTTAACGTATCTCTGGAGAGTGCTCAAAGGAAGACAGCCGAAAAACAGGCAGAGCTTACAGAGCTCCGGTCATCTCGTGACGATGAAGCTATCGTTCTGAAGAACCAGCTTGATCACCAGCTTCAAGCTTTGGACAAAGCACAAGCTGAAGCTGAAGTTCTCAAAGCCTCTCTTGCAGAATCGCAGATCGAGATCAGCGCATTGCAGAGTGCTCAAAGTGCTGGAACAGAGCTTGAACAACATATTCAATATGTCCATGCTGAGTACGAAGAAACACTCCGGGCCAAGAACGCCGAAATTGAGCAGCATCGCGCAGCCTTTGAGAAGGCACAGCAAGAAGCTGCTGATTTCGCACGCACTCTGGCGGACTCGACAGCTGAGCTTGAAGATCTGCACAAGTCGATCGATGTTTTGACTACAGATGGTGGCAACAAGGATACCGACCATGCCGCAGCAATTGCCAAGATCGAGGAAGAACTCCAAGACAAACATATCGAGGAGCTTCGCAGTATCCAGGAAGCCCATACGTGGGAGCTTGCCGGTCTACAAAGAGAGCCTGACACCAGATCCCCGGACTCGTTCCGCGAAGCACTGTTACAGGAGAAACGTGAGTTAGAGATCACTTTCGCCGAGACAGAACGGACATACGTGGAAGAGGTCGAATCTTTGAAATCAGGCATGCATGCTCAGGTTGCTGAGTTGAGGGATGAGCTCGCAACAACCACCGACGAGAAGTTCGAACTGATACAGAAATTGGACGAGTTGCAAGGTCAACACGAACGCGCACCTGCTACGCCAACCTCTCCCCTGGATGCCGAGAAGAAGCTTCACTCTCTTCGAGCTGACTACGACGCTCGTGTTTTGGAGTTTGAAACCAGACATCGTGAGCTCGTGCGCCAACAAGAAGAGGACCTCGAGATCCATCGCAACGAGTTTGAGGTGAAACTCCAACAAGCAGAAGAACGTCGCCGTGAGCTCATTCGTGAACATGAGGAGAATCTGTTCAATCAAGCTGCTGAATTCGAAAAGTCTAAGAACTTCTCGGTCGATGCACTGAATGCTAGACACTACACCGAGCTGAAGAGGCGGGACGATGCCATCGACTCATTGCGAGAGGAACTGAACTCCTTGAAGGAACAGGTTCAGAGGCTGAGAGCTGCCGATACTGCCGCGCAGAGTCCTGCCATCAATGTCGAGACTTCAGATCGCGGGAAACGGAGGAGCGTGATGTACAGCCAGAAGCCACACCAGGTGCTCTTGAAGAGGGAACTCGTTTCGAAGAGTTCCTTACACCAATGGAGACACAAGATGAGCAAGCGCCACAGTTCCAAAACGCAGACACGACACAAACCTCTCTACCTGGAGACTCAGACGCCGATTCCGAAGACGGCTCCTACGAGATGGACTTTACACACCTGGACTCCCAGATCGGCGACAACTCAGCTTCACAACCAACCTCGCCATCAAGACAATTGACCATCGACATCACTGCCGGAGCCTCTGTCAACGAATCCTCCACACCAGCAGACAACCAACCCCCCAGCGCAACAACAACCTACTCAAACTCAGCCCTAACCTCCCAACTCGCCCACCTGGAAGCGGCCCTCGAATCCTCGCGCAAAGAAACCTTCCACGAACGCACAAACCTCCAATCTCTTATCACATCCCTGACCTCCGAACTCGAAGCCACCAAACAAGAAAAAGCGTCCCTCCAAACCAAACTCGCAAACTTTACTGCTGCATTGGATGAAAGGGCCGATGCCGTGTTTGAGGTGGGATTGATTGAAGATGATGATGTGTTTTTACTGGTGAGAAGGTGGGAGGAGAGCAGAAGAAGAAAAAAAGACGATTGAGGGTACATTGGCGAGTTTGAGGTTGCAGGCTAAACAGCTGGAAGAGTTGAACGAGGAGTTTTGAGCCAGAGTATGCGGTGGAGTGGCATCTTGCCGCTGAAGTAAGAGGGGGATATATAATATAGGGAGGAGCATTTAATAATTGTCTTGTATTTGTAGGGCATGGTGTTTCAACTCGATCTTACCTTTTTACCCGTTTATATTCGTTTGCTTGAGGAAGGCGATGTCTTGGTATCGTGACTGCCGTCAATGGCTCTTGCCCATGCATTTTGATCCACTGACCGTTGCTTCAAGAGTGCTGATGTTCATAATTCATGAGTGATTGCTTCAAGTGCTCGAGTCATTAGATATTATTAATTATATATACTACTAGTCGTGTTCGTTTCGGGACCATCATGTACACTCGTGATCCAAAGAGCACCAAAACGCATCGCTAAACCGCAGCACGAGAAAGAAGAGAACGTCATACATGTTCGTCGAAGATCACATCCTGATAACCATATCAGGGACACCAGGTCTCCCCACACGGTCTACGCCAACATGTCGCTTGCCATCACGACCAAAGTACTTTCCATAGCCATAGTGAGGCAGTTCTGTGCTTCCAACAGTCGTCGTGGCATCAGCTCTAGCACGACCAAAGCCGCGCAGAGAGTCCGCGATGGAGACTTTACTGCCTGTGACAGCCCCTTCAAGATCGGGGTTGTCGTGGTAGCTGTTGCGCTCACCGACGGGTGCAGAGAGCAGACGCGTGACCAGGGCAGTCTTAGTGGCAGGGGCTTGGAAGGCGGCATCGTTGAGCAACCGGCTTTGATGTAAGAGAGAGATCTGGTCAGCGAGAGTAATGCCGCGATTGGGTAGTGCACGCTTGTGGCCTGCGAAGACGAGGGCGTATGCCAGCGCATAGATGACAAGGAAGACCGTCATTGGGTAAAAGGCAGTTGAGTGTGCACTGACACGGACGCGCTGCTGGTCAATGTAGAACTGGTTCCAGAAGACGCCACCAGCCAGGATAGGAAGCAGCGCTGCGATGATTGTTACAAAGCTGAGCAGTGCGACACGAATGTGGCTATTGACTGCTGCCTTGAGTGTGACTACAAAGGGTGCATCAGAAGCGTAGGACAGGAGAAGACTCTTCTCTGCGAGACAGCCACCAGGCGAGGACATAGCGGCATACGGCTGTAAGCGGCGGAAGGCAAGATCGATGGGCTGCCAGACGAGGAGACATAGGAGGCCAAGCAGAGATGGCACGAATGAATACAAGAAGTTGGACGAGGAGAAGCCAAGTCTGTTGACAGCCTCTGGGAGGTCCGGCAGGAATCCAGAATTAACGGCGGTTGATGGAAGGTATGATACCACCAAGAATGCGAGAAGCAGGAGAAGAGCGATGACGAACCAGATAAAGGCGAAGCCAGCACGGAGGAACCATGGCAGATAGTTGTCAGTGTTGTCAGGTTGCAAGACGAGGTCGGTGGTATTGTGAGTACCAGTGGACCCATAGCTGTAGGGACGATCATAACCAGCGTTGACGTTCGAGTAGCCAGTAGATTGGCTCAAAAGTTTCTCGTTGAGGATGCTTTCGTCAGCACTGTATGGCCTTGCAGGTCTGTTTGGTGCACCAAGAGTATGAAAAACGTCATTAGGGTTGTAAGCAGTGTTGAAGTAGCCCAACCTGTCTTGTCTCTCAGCACTGTGGCCCCAGAGTTCGTACTTGTTAACGTGAACACCGATGTCAGCAAAGTGGTCGAGAATGTTGCTGCGCTCAGTGACGACGATCAAGTCGGCCAAAGTGCGAACATCCCACTTGAGTCCGGTTCCTCTACGATGGAGAAACAGCCACAGGGTAATTGACGCAGTAAGCAAGATAATGTACAGCGTAATCACAGTCCAAATGGTTCCTTGTGTGGCAAGCCAGACCCATCGACCAGGAGTACCACGGAAGTAGACGTTGAAGGAAGAGGCTAGCAGAGGGATGGTGAACAGTGTAAGCCACGAGGCGACGAGGAAGGCGCCAATGGCTCGCTGACCTGCTCTCAGGTGAGTAAGAGGAGGCAGTGCGAAACCTGAGGGGTACATAGGCAATGAACTCCCATGTCCGCGGAGTGTCGAGTTTTTGGACGCCAGGGCGATGAAGGGGGCAACTCTGTAAACTGCTTTCTCGATCTCGAACAGCCAAAGAATTAGTATCATGCCCAGAAGGGTGGGCAGGTACTGGAAAACGAAATATGTACCATCACCGAAGGTTCCATAATTGCACAGTCCACTGCGCACGCGAGACCAAATGGCAGTAAAGACGAGGGCAATCAGATATAGCATTACGAGCGATATGAAGATGCCGAGGCGCACTGGTCGAAGAACGGGTGGCAAAGCGGTCAGAGGAGCATAGAACGAGTCGGCAGAAGGCTCGAATGGCATGAACAGATTTAATTGTTCTTGTAATGGGTGTTGCGCCGGTATCTGACTGCTTTTGCGTTTTGGGCTCCTTGGCGGTATGGGGATTGGTGTGATATCGTCGAAGGGCACATCAGGTACTGGAGGATATTCTTGCTCGAAGGGTATTGGGCCTTCGTCGTAGTCGTTTCGNAATTCGGGACCAAGCCAGGGTTTGCCTTCAATCTCATCCTCATCTCTTGTGATCTGGTCGATGGCGAAGCGAACGTAGGGTGTGTCGGCCTCGGGTGTTGGTGGATCGTATTGGCGGGCAATCTGCATGGAAGCTGAACTCAAAGCAGCTTGGGGAATACGAATCGGTTCCAGTCGAGACGGAGTCTCGTAAACTGTACTAGGCACAGGCTTCCTCTTGACAGGCGAGCCCCTTCGAGGAGGAATCGGAGGTACAGAAATCTCCGTGGGAGCCAGATCACGTCTTCTCACACCATGGCCTCTCATACTCCGAGTAGGCCTTGACGATGGCTTCGACACCTGACGAATCAGGACTGGTCGAGCAATGCCTTCATAGCTTTGGCGTGAGGGATAGGGAAAAACTGGNGGATATTGGAGACACCGGAGATGCCGGGCTCTCAATCCTGCGGATCGAGCGTGAGTGTGTTCGTGGCGGTGCGTATGGTCGTGATTGCGANNGGCTCGGCTATCTGAGCGATTGGATGATCTAGAAGACAGAGAATAGAAGTCTTCTGATGCTGTGAAAGAGCGTTCTGAATGTGTTCTTTCCAGGCGGGGTTGCGAAACTNNGCACGAAATCAGACAAAATGTACCTATCAAAAGTAGCACTCAATCGCTCCTACCATTTGTGTGCTTGAGATGTAGAGACTCNAATGAACGACTCATTGCTGCGAACGATCAAACGGCAAAAACGCTTGAAACGACAAAAACTGCTGTCAGAGATAACAAAACGTGCAAAGGGTTCGATATACAACGGGTGGAGCGACCGCATTCTTTTTCTCTGCTTTCATGGTGATGCTCGATTTTACATGGTGGCCGGATGCCGAGGAGGAGGCTGGTAGAGAACCCACTTCTACCAACCACGCCGCAACATGCTCTTCAGGTACCCACCTACCTTGTTTGACCGCTCGTGCTCAGCCGCCAGAATTGGAGCCATACATCTGCCTTTCTGAGTCTGGTCTCCCAGCCACTTTCTCCCAACTCGTCTGTTTGATGGGCGTGCTATGGGTTGACTAGGTGAAGTCGAAGTCGATCACAAACACCTTGGCGGCCTGTGCACCTTGCTGTCACTGTTCACGTGGGGTTTGACCAACCTTCCTTGATCTCAGTTTGCTATTCTGTGTTCGACTGGCGACGGAGAATTTGTATTGATGGCGTTTGTCGAGCAGAGATGCTTTGGGTTGTCGTGGGAGCTATGTTTAGTAGTTCATCTGGTGTGCCTTTCTCAGTTGGCAACGTGACACTCGACTTCGATGATCGACCTTGATGTCATTGAAAGGTGCTCAAAAACACCTTGCTGAGAACCAATCTATTGTTCTACTGCTCCAAAACTTTCATGTTTTCCAGTGTCAGAAGGATTTCCGCCATTGCCAGTATGACCAACAATATGACCATTGACTCAGCCGTCGCCAAACTTCTGTCCTTGGACCCAGATGCAACCACCCTTTCCGGTGCTGGTGCAGGATCAAGCTTCGCATCAACATCCAAAATCACAACGAAACTCCGCAATGGCACAGAAAAGCACTTCTTTATGAAAACAGGCAAAGGCAAAGAAGCCTCGATCATGTTTGAAGGTAATACTTCTTTCCACCGATACTGTAGAGCACGCACTAAAGACCACTCAGGCGAACACGCATCACTCAGTGCAATACACAATGCCGTTCCCAACCTATGTCCCCAATCCTACGGCCATGGAGAACTTGCCGACTCGCCTTCAACCCACTTCCTAGTCACCGATTTCGTAGACCTCTCAAGCAGATTCTCATCCAAGGCTTCTTCCTCAGCACCCTCGCTAGCAGCAAAGTTGGCAAAACTGCACACCACACCCGCACCCCCACCACCAGGGGAGTCAACCCCCAAATTCGGGTTCCCAGTAACCACTTGTTGTGGAGAAACACCTCAAGACAATTCGTTCAAAAGCAGTTGGGCGGAGTTTTATGCTGAGAATCGATTAATGTTTATCTTGAAGCGGAGTGAGAAGACTGATGGGGCTGATGAGGATTTGCGGGCTATGGTTGAGACTACATGCAAGAAAGTTGTGCCACGACTTATTGGCGATGATCACTTGAACAACGGTAAAGGCGTTACTCCAGTGGTTGTTCACGGTGATCTGTGGTCAGGCAATGCGAGTCTGGGAAAGCTGCCTGGTATGGAAGCTCCTGAAGATGTCGTCTACGACTCTAGTGCTTGCTATGCGCATAGCGAGTTCGAGCTTGGTATACAGAAAATGTTCTCAGGGTTTGGTGGCAGCTTTTGGAAGGAGTATCATGAGCTGGTTCCGAAGACGGAGCCTGTGGAAGAGTATACGGACAGAGTTGCTCTGTACGAGTTGTATCATCATCTGAACCATCACGCCATGTTCGGTGGTGGATATAGGAGTGGTGCTGTTAGCATCATGAGTAAACTGATTGGAAAGTATGGCAAGGATAAGTAATGGTAGGGGTCATAGAACGGGCCAACAAGTCACCTTCTAAAATCCGATCATCCAAGAGAGGGTACGCAGATGATAGATGATAGATGATGACATTAATGATTTTGTAGCCGTACAGTTGATGTACTTTTTATTTACAGTTCTTCGGCTCCTTATGATATGACGGCCCCAATCCTTCTGGACTCCAGGCAAATGCTCCCCAACGCAAGTTGATATCTGATTTCCGCCCAGCCCGGCTCATGAAAACACCCAAAAACGCCAAAGCCAACGATTGAGAAGTAGAAAAAGTATGATGGTCGATCTAAGCAGCGTTCAAAGGCTTGAAGTCGCCTGCACTCTCGGCCATGGCGAGCTGGTTCTTCTTGGCGCGCTTCTTGATAACATTCTCGATGAAGGCTTCACCGGCCTTGTATGAGCTGCGGACCAGGGGACCACTGGCGCAGTAGAGGAAGCCCATGTCGAGGGCGCGTTGTCTCCAGAGCTCGAACTTTTCGGGCGAAACGTATTCTTCGACCTTCATGTGGCGCTTGGTAGGGCGCATGTACTGGCCGAAAGTGACAACGTCGACGTCGATTTTGCGGAGTTCTGTACACAAACTTTGTCAGCGATGGTTCCTCCTATTGAAACGATGTGGCTCTTTCTTACCCTTAAGCGTGTCCCAAAGCTGATCTTCGGTCTCGCCGAGTCCCAGCATCAGACTGGTCTTTGTGATCAAGCCCTCCTTGGCCTCCTTTGCAGCCTTGAGGACTTCGAGTGATTGGCGGAACTTTGCGCGAGGGTCGCGGACGAAAGGTGTCAAGGCTTCGACGGTTTCCATATTGTGAGCGTAGACATCCAGACCACTCTGAGCAACGACCTTGACCATTTCCAGATCACCGGCGTAATCACCAGTCAGAGCCTCGACAAGCATTGTGGGAGCCTTCTGCTTGATCTTGATGATGGTGCTAGCGAAGTGGTGTGCACCTCCGTCTGCGAGATCATCACGGTCGACGGAGGTCAAGACAACGTAACCAAGACCCCATCGCGACAGGGCCTCGGCGGTGTTCTCGGGCTCGTGGACGTCTAGCGGCGGGGGCTTTCGGCTTGTCTTGACGGAACAGAATCGGCATCCACGGGTACATGTGTCGCCCATAAGCATGATAGTAGCAGTGGCAGCAGACTTGTCGCTGCCGCCCCAGCAGTCGGAAATGTTGGGGCAGCGTGCTTCCTCACAAACAGTGTGTAGGTTCAGACCGCGCAGGTCATTCTTGATCTTCTTGAAGTTGTTGCTGCTGGGTACAGGAGTCTTGAGCCATTCAGGCAGTCGCGTGTGAGGCTTCTTCTTGCCAGCAGGGCCGACCATGACCGTCTTCAATTCTAGAGCTTCCTCGGGGCTCAAGGGCTCCTCTCTTCCAGAGACAAAGTCTCCAAATGCTGGACCGCTATTCAGAACATCGGAGAACTTTGTGGCTCGTCGAGGAGTTGATTTCGTAGTGTTCGGTGATGAGGGCGTGATGTCGGATGCTGCCGTGGCAAGGCATCGTGTGTGTGGACGGGGCGCATGTGTAGCGGACAGGAAGATTCGGCGAGAAGCTGGTCGTAGTGAGGCCATGATGGATGTTGTTGTAGTGTCAAGAGTCTTAGGAGTGGGCAACAATCTCTCATCGATTGTTTGACTCGGCCCGTCCTAGAAATTCCCGCGCCGGCGCCGCCACTTCAACTCCGCAAGAGGCGCAACAGCTGACCTCCGAACCGCATTTGCCCGCAGACCCTGACGCCGAGATACGGAAGCCCCTGCTCGTCTCTCCAAAGCAGGGGTTTCATTACTCGATGCATAAACTCCCAACCTTCTGACTGCGTTTCTTCCAGACCATAACCATCGTTGCCCATGGCTACTCACACGCTTACCACCTTTCGCTATGATACCACTTCTGGCGGCTTTGTGAAGAAGACGACACAGCGTGCTCTTGGCCTGAATGAGGTCAATATCAGGGTTACACACTCAGGCATCTGTTATACCGATGTCCATGCAAAGGAAAAGGCTTGTGGGCTAGGTCACGAAGGCGTAGGTATAGTCACTGACCTCGGAGCCAATGTGACATCTATGAGTCTTGGCGATCGAGTTGGTTGGNGGGTAAGCACTGTTCGAATACTCTTGCTATTGTCTCTCGTTGGATCATGAAACAAAGTCTGATATTTTTGTAGCTGGCTGCGTAGTGTAAGTGGACCTGTACGTGGTTGTGAGGTGAGAAACTGAAGACGTTAGTCTTGCGGCACTTGCTCCATCTGTGTCGATGGATATCGCCAGTACTGCGCTCAAGCAAGCGGCTTTGCTNTTTGTGATCATGAGCAAGGTAATCAGACAGAGTTTCCAGTAGCTCTATCATGCTGATGTCGAAGCATAGGTGCTTTCGCAGACTTTCATATTATCGATGCCGATTTTGCATACCATATCCCGGCCGAGATACCTTCTTGGCAAGCCGGTGTATTCATGTGTGCCGGTGCTTCTACGTACGAAGCCCTGGATGCAGCTGGCACGAAACCTCATCATCGTGTCGGTGTTGTGGGTCTAGGCGGTCTCGGTCACATGGCCATTCTTTTCGCCCGGGCAATGGGCTGCGCTGTTACCGTCTTCTCGAGCTCAGTTGGAAAACCAATGAGCAAAGCCAGAGACGCTTTCGAACTGGGCGCTGACGAGCTTCGAGTCTTGAGCAAGATCAAATATTCCATCAAACCAAGCACCTCGGGAAGAGGTCATGATATAATTGACTCCGGACCCGTATCGCCCATAGACATTCTACTCGTCTGTGCTAACGACACGCCGGACCTAGAGATCATTCTGCCTTTTCTGGCACGCAGAGCAACGATCGTCCTCATGTCGATACAGGAGAAGTCTCTGGTCATTCCATATATGCCTTTTATACTTCCTGGTCACAAAATCATCGCTTCTACTGAGGCTTCCAGGAAGAACCATCTCGCCATGATTCAATTCGCAGCTAAGCATAAAATATCACCCTGGATAGAGCGATTTCCCATGACCGAAGACGGTCTCGAAGATGCTTTTGAGAAGCTAGAGCGTGGCGAGATGAGGTTTAGAGGAGTGCTCGAGATGCTTGCAACTGTAATATAGACATAATTTACTTGTATGAGCTTGTGTCGGGACCATCACAACTGTCACAACGTGTTGAGCAATAACAAAGGTATTCTGGTATTGCATGCTTGGGAGAATCACAGTGTAGGTATGACCTTCTCATCTTTGGAAACTGCTAAGCTTGGCTAGTTGACATGACTGAGGAATTCTGGGTTGAAAGTCCGCATACCAGATTTGTGGTGAAACTTTAGTTATGAGAATATGTACTTCATTAGGTGTTTTACTCGGATAAAATGTTTTTACCGTCCGTTGTGCTGCTTGTTCAGGTCATCATCGTCCTCGCTCATAAGGCCTTCTAGTTCAAACTCTTCCGCATCTCTTATCTGGCGGTCGCTTGCGTCTGGAATACGAGCATGGCCGTTGGGGATGGCAGAGCCATTGAGTCTACTTTCAGGGTCGGCAGTCTTGCCATCGGGTGAAGACTCTGCGTAGTAGGTGTACAGGCGAAGAAGCATGTTGACGACTATGACGAAGGTTAGCTCCGGAATTGTTTGGCTCGGAGCAATTTAGGACTTACAAAGGAAGAGGAGGAAGGCAAAGCTGTAGAGAATCAGGATGTAAGTAACGTGAGTGACACCAGCCTGGGACAGAAGAAGCATCTGCTCTTCGGTGGCACCCATGAAGAGGAAACCACTGGCGTACAGCAAGAATGGAGGCAGGAATTGGAAGCTGTTAGTGTCCTCCCCGTCCTCGGAGATGGAGTTGGCGTCTCTCAAGACGAAACTAATCTCGATGATGCGAGTGATGCCGGCAGCCATCAGAGTATAGCCAAAGACGCTGTGTACCATAGTACTCAGGTGCAATTCCTGAGGATGACCACTCATGGCCCAGCCAGTGATGGCGATGACGATGGCAGGGATCAAGTTGCGCTTGGGACGTCCACGGCGGTCGCGGCTCAGCCACATGCCCAAGAGACCAGCGCACCACCAGATGATGCCCATGCTAGTGTGCTGCAGATCGTTGCGTACCCAAGGATTACCCCATCTATGTTCGGTGAAGGTGTTGACACATCCCCAAGCAGCAATAACAAGACTGTCGTAGAACTCCTGGGAGCGACCGGTGCGGCGCAACCAGATCTGACCAACGAGAAGGAGGATGGTGTAGACGATACCGTATGCGATGAAGGCGGAACCCATAATGAAGTGGGCAGCACATTGACCGGTGTGATCGCCCTGGCAGAAGCCCAAGGCCGTGATTCCACCAAACAACATCTGCACCCATGCGGCCAGTGGGATGATCTTGCCAAGTACACCATGTCCAGAGACAATCCATTTCCTGATCTTGCCCATGAAGCCACGTTCGATGTGGAGTTTGAGATAGATTCCCATGACGGCCTGAGCGAAGACCATCATCATCAACCAAGGGGCATATTGGGCGTGTACGTTTTTACTGAATTGGCGACCTTTGTGGGCGTGGCCGAGCAGGTAGCCCAAGATGGCGAGGCCAGTGGCAGTGATTTGGACAGGTACATGCCATCGCGAGCGGACGATACCCAGGACCATACCAGTGGGGAACAAGATGCCCCAGGCGAATATTTGAACGAGGATGTGGATCCATAACGTCGTGTCCTAGGCAAGAGTCAGTCTCGATGCCAGGTACACTCATGCAAGAAATCGTACCAGAGGATCCGGCGATATAGCCTCGCCTTCAGGGATCTTGTCTTCGTGATGTTCATGCGCCTGAACGGTCGAGACAAGCAAAGCAAGAACGGTGGCGGCTTGGACACTCTTGCTTAACATTTGCGCCGACAGCTGCATCGAAGGAGCCATCGTGATACACAGCGCAAATAGCGGTTACAGTCTTGGTGGCTTCGAGTCCGAGTCTCTGTGAGATTTTGCACATCCCCTTTGTCCAAGAAGGCAGGAACGCAAGGTTTACCCCAAGCCCACCTTGATCTAGAAAGATTGCTGACCACGCGTATCCCGCCAAGCCGTCCAATCCCCTATCCTAATTCACCCATGTTCTTTCTCGCATCTGCTCCAACCGTTCCAGCGCGATATGTGTAGACTGGACATCAATATGAAGATTATAGACAATACTTGTTCAATATATCAATTCTCAGAGTCAACTCATTGTAGTTCATGTTTGTCCTTCTGGAAGGTGATCGGAAGGCGCGGATCATGCTTAACTCCCTTTATGTCCGATCGGGGTACGAATCCGGTCTTTCCCAACCACATCTCGTTGCTGCTTGGTCCCATCGCTGCTTCCATGGCAATGTGACATCTTTGTTGCACTCCAATTATCGTAGAAAGCTACCTTACTCATTGCATCGGGCTTAGTCGCCCTCAGCACCTTCATCAAGGACTGAAGCAATCGGGAAGCCTCTACTTCGCAAGAGTAGCAAACATGGCCGAAGATAACTTCTCTTCGTCGCCCATCGCACCCTCCAACCCCGACATGTCTGCCAAAGTATCATCCTCTGGTAAGGACGGCCAGCTCGACGCTCTTCGTGCTCGTCAAGCTGCTCTTGAATCGACCGTCGCTGGACTCCTCTCTCAACGTACCTCTCTTGTCGATTCCTTTTCTGCCACTTCCCATATTCAACACTCAGAAGATACGGAAACTCGTGCAAAACTCGCGGTGGATTCTGCCAACACAAAGATCAAGACTCAAATCAAACAGCTTCAGCAGTACAACGACATCAAGGACATCGGCACCCAGCTCATGGGCCTCATCGCCGAAAAGCGTGGTTGCCGCATCGGTGAAGTTCAAGAGGAGTTTGGTATCAACCCTGACGATTGAAAAGTAAGGTTGAGTCGATCTTCCAGATGATCGTCTTCGCCAAGCGAACCGTATTGACATATCTCAAGGTATCGCACCACGCAATCAGGAGATCAACTACTCAGCATTGGAGGAAACCACTATCAAGCTATTCTCTGTGACCCAGGGACAGCAACCCTACGAATATCACAATCAGTTCTGGGGTCATGAAGGTACAGAGAATCCAGAACATATATATATATCGTCTGAGAGATTGCCCCTGTCGTGCGAGGATTGCGGGTATCCACCAGTTCGACAGATTCACTCGACAGTGGATTTGAAATCATCGCAGTCTAAGCCATTTTCTATTGTTCAATAGCTTTTTATTGACTGCTGCCTTACGACTGCGTTTGCAATTGTCACTCCATCTATTGTCACTTTGTTATTGTCGACTCGGCTATCAAAAGTTTGCTTCCGGCTTCCTCTCTCTTTCTTCTTCCTCAACATCGCGTAACTCACGCTTGACCACGCAGCTTTGCATCACCACCAACCAAGACCTCTTCTTCCTTGCATTGTCACGCGCTCCATCAAGCCTGCATCACTGCCGTCGTTCTGCACTTCTACCAGCCATCACAGAACAAGCCTTCACGCGCGTTTTCCAACCTCACGTCAACAAAGTATCACATCATTTCGCTTCACCAAATCCTCCATCACTTCCACGCCGCCAAAATGGTCAACTTCAACGCCTTCTTCACTCTCATCATGGGTGTCACCACCTTCTTCACCAGCAACCTCCCTGGCACTGGCGTCTCCAATTATTAGAGTCAGGAACTCCTCGCTGCTCCTGCTCAGACTCATTATCAAGAGACTCTCACAGTCATCACTCGCTTCACCGTCACGGCAACCTTCACTACTACCGCCAAACTCTTCACTACCGGCACTCCAATCATCACTACCATCACGCCCACCTTCACTATCACTATGGCGTCACCAGGCAATGAGCTCGCTATCTTCACCGGCGCTCCATTCACTGCAACTCCCTTCATTCTCTCACTGGCAAAGGAGTTCGTCTGCGCTATGTTCACCAACCTCTCTACCTTCATTGGCTTCCTTTTTTGGACCCTGCTTCTGGTCGCCGTCCTCGCTTGCTCCCGTCACGCCATGAAGTCAGAAGGCCTCGTCGGACTCGAGGCACAAACCAACGAGAAGGACGAGACCATCAAGCAGCTTCGTTCTTTCTATGCCGCCGAACACGCAGAGCTCCATCGCAGCCTGCAGGTTCAGAGGGACGAGGCAGGCAGGCTCCTGGCCGCCGCCTCCACCAAGCACAGCTCCGCCCTGGCCATCAAGGATCACGAGATCCATGAGCTTCGTCAGAAGCTCGCCAGCGCTGACCTCCGCGAGGAGCAGGCCCGGTTCGAGAGCTCTGACAAGGTTGACAAGCTGCACAAGGAGATTGATCACCTCCGAAGTGTGATTGTCAGCGTTGGAAAGAATCTCGAGGCCCATGAAGAGCTCGTCGCTGGTGCTGAGGAGGCTCAGGAAAAGGCCAAGATTGCTGAAGAGCGCGCCTCCGCCGCTGCTCGAGAAGCCCTTGAGTCGAAGCAGAAGGTCGAGGCCGCCGAGAAGGCCTCACGAGNNGAGAGGCTTCTTTGTGAGAGGGGTTGCGCCAAGGCCGTCATCAGAGAGTTGAAGGACGAGGTCAAGATCGAGCAGTACAGGGTCCAGGATCTCAGAAAGGACGTCAAGGATCTGAAGAAGGAGGTGGAGGAGCTGAAGGCTCGGGCAGTGGGGGCTGCTCAAGTCCCGACGCCCTCCAGCCTCGTCGACACTTCCTCGACCGCTGCTACTCCTGAGCCCCGCGCGCCACATGAGCAGAAGCCTGGCCATATCCTTCGCCGTAAGCCCAGGGGTCCCTTCGCTCCCATTGTAGGCCGTCAGGGTGGAAAGAAGTAGGAGGTGGGATATTGGAGGAGAGAAGAGGGGTTCGTTTTTTGTGTCTTTTTTCTGGTGTTTGTTTTTTCGGGGGCTTTGTGTTTTTTCTCCGCTGATCGGTGAAAGTTTTTTTGTCTTTTTGTCGTTTTTTCATGGCATAATTTTTGATGATGCAAAAGAAGAACGAGAACAATGAAAAGTCATGAAAACCACCCCTATTTCCCACTCCCAATGTGATTGTATCTGTCGAGAGTGTAGTATCGCAATACATGATTGTTTCGCTATAATGGATTGCGTCTATTGAAAGAGGCCAGTATAGCCTCCTCCCACTGGAGCAAGCCATTATGGAGAGCTGCCATCTCAAGTGCATCTCTGTGGAGATACGTAAGGCGTCACAGAATATTTTGCATTTCGATAGTCTCCTACGTGATGGTAGGAATTCCAGGCAGAAGCTCCTACTTCCACGATGTGCAAATATCAGGGAAGTGAAAAGCCGAGAGCATGCGGAGCGATATTACATATCATGGTTTGACTTGTGTTTCTGCCTGCAGAAAACTACCGTCTATCTATTAGGTCATATGGTATCTGTAATATTCTAGTATACATGATGCTCTTACACAAGCGAAGAAGAAGACGAAGGTGAAAGCTTAACAGGTTCTGGTTCTGCAACCGAGTCCCCTCGAAGGAAGACAGGCAGTTCAGTCACTGAGGGCCTGGTTCCTCGCATACTGCGTTCGAGCTCCTTGGGGTTCGCTGTCAACCAGTGAAGTACACAGACCGAGAGGAAAACTNNGGCGTAGACATTAGCAGTGTACTTGTTAGAGCAATGAGTAGGTAAAGACTTACTGTCCATGTTGCATTGCGTAAAGCAAAGCCAAACATGTTCCCGCCCACCAGTGACATAGAAGATGGTGGAATTGATGACTCCCCAGCCGAGGATCAAGATAGTACCGATCAAGGACTTGAGTGCCAGACCGCGAAGCTTGCAAGGTTTTGTGGAAGGAGGCAGGACGATGCCGCTTGCAGTAGAGTCAACCTCTTCCACTTGAGCCTCGAGACTTTTCTTGATGCTAGCAGGTCTGGCGGCATGGCTTAGTCGATTCAACGCTTTGCCAAAGGTGACGAAGCGCTCAGGGACCGGTGGGAACAACGCTGTACGTCTGGTTCGTCGGAGCATTACGATGAAGACGCCAGTGAGCAGGACATATGTGACGACCTCGTAGATCTCGAGGGGTGCCACAACCGCTGGAGGAACGCCCTTACGGCATCTGCCATCGTCGTTGGCAATATATGCGACCGGGTTTAAGAAAGCCCAGACGAGTAAAAAGGTAGCGAAAACGCCCACACTGGCTGTAGAGAGAATCCAGATAGGGTCATCGCGACGTCGAAGGTAGTCCAGGTTTGCAATGTGTGCTCGTTCGATGAGGAAGAGTTGAGTCGTGAGTCTGCCAACGAAGAGAAAAGCGATGCAGAAGTAGATTGCCGTTCGACAGAAGCCTCCTGTGTGAATTCCAACACCAGAGATCGAGATGGACGTTATGAGGAAAGCGATGGAGACAATGTAGCTGGCGTAGACGAGAAAACGTATCCAAGAGATGTGTCGGATGGTATGCCAGCGAACTTCCTTAACCCGACGCCCNTGGTAGGATGTTAGGCACGCATATTAGAGTACTTCGCTGCGTATATACTTACAGAACAGATAGCAAGTAAGGGCTAATGGGAGGCATGACAAGGTACTGTATATTGCTCTCCCAGTTATATTACTGTGTTGATGTGCTCGAGGTCCAGGCTGATCGTCTTCAAAGATAGCGAACAGATGCCTCCGAAGTAGTTCTGCCATCGTTGTAATAGGATGTGATATTATAGATAACCACCAGGGCTGGATTTGGAGAGTTAGTAGAGGCAAAAACTCGACGGTAAGGGGGTTGCGAGGTGCATTTCCATTTAAGCAGGACCACTCAGAGATCTAGACAGAGAACAAGATGTAGCCTATCGTCTGTTGCAGTTTTGAGTTCAGGGTGGTTTTACATGTATAGGTAATCGTGGCTGATAATTACATCTGGGTGCACCGTTATAAACGTTGTCGTTCATCCGCCATGGACCGTCAGAGACCGGAGTGTACGCCTGGGGTTTGACGGGGGCCGCGGCATGACAAAACATACGTATAGCATCTGGTGACGTTCTGTCTCTCTTGGTCGCGATGGAACAATGCACGTGTAGTGCCTGAGGCTGGTGGTGAAAAAACCCATCTGCGTGCATGTCTCTTAAGCACAAGAGGAAACAAAATCTGCACGTACTTCTTCAGGACAACGGTACCATGTGAGGGTAACGGCCTTGTATATCAAGATCGCTAGGGCACCGAGATCCTTACCGGGCAGCAGCTGGCTACTGTCTGCAAGCAGGAAGGACCTCAGCCCGATGTTATGACTGACATTGACTGTGCTCCGGCATGTCATGTTCCGAGTATTATCTGGTCGGCTTGCTTACCTTTTGAATTCTAAGCCCTGCCCGTTGATCATATATCTTATAGACATTGGTGGGTCTCATCCTTCCCGATCACCCAATATCACCAAGCTGGTCTGGAAGAACGGATTCCAGAGAGAATGGCGCACACGATCTTCCCGTGAAATCTAGTCTCTTGTCATCGGAAGACTCAATCACACTTCCAATCTGAGTACACACGAATCAGGAAGGAAGCTTGAACATGTTCGATCTCATAAAAGAGACGGAATACAGAGGCCACACCCGGTTGTACTTGCCGCTCTGATCAAAGCGACAAGGTTGCGGTCGGCTGCCGCTGCCGCCCGCTACTCCCCATATCTGTCGCCAATCCTTTCCTAGACAGCAACCACCGAAGATATTGGAAAGAGCCCGGGGCCCCTTCTCGTATGGCGTGGAAGCCCCTGCTGTAACTGCAAGCGGTATAGATTCAGCAAATCTCAACGGTCTTCTGGGAATCTCAGCTGGACGATGAGCGCTCTCTTTCTAATGCTAAATTTTGGAAACAGAACCAGGCTGTGAAGAAACATATTGAAGAACGGAGATGGGTTGAAAGTGATTGGTAGTCATACACGTCTAAGTGGGTGTTCTAATACTTTTAATCATAATACAATCGTGTCACGGTGCCGTTCCCAAAACTCTTCTCCAACTGACCAGGCTAACTACATGGTAATCGCACTACCACGACTTGAGAAACCAAAGCTCAGGACCCGAGGAAGACGTCCTTTACAACTGCATGCTTTTGTAGCACGGCACCAGAGGCCTACGCAGACACCCTAGACCTGCAGCTTTTCTTGAGGCAGAGTCTTGACTTTGTCGTCGAACAACTTCTCGGCCTCCTGCCATACTCTCTCGCTCTTTCTGTCCTTGAGTGTTCTCAGACTGGGCAACAGAGCATCGCTGAATGCTTCCGAGGCCTCACGAGGGAGCAGCGAGGGCAAGTGGTCGATCGAGATGACGCAGAGCGGCGGGCCGGTGGTGACGTTGACAGGGACGGTGGGCTTGTCGAAGGTCGTGTTGATGTCGTAAATGGGGATTGGGTTGTGGGGGTTTGTTGTGTCGCAGCTGACGTCGCAGACAACGCTGAGCTTGCGCTCTTCCGAGTTGAGCTGAGCGGGCTCGATGAAGGGAGGGATGGGTTGCGAGAGGTAGATGCAGTTGACAAAGATGTCGCTGTCGAGGATCTCGGGGTAAGGGCCAGGGCGGTTCTGTGTCTCTGCCATGTCCCACTTGACAATGTTCTCCTCGGGCACGCCGACCTTCTGTAGCAGGTCCACGGCACCTCTGCCGCAGCGACCCAAGGCGCCCATGACTAAAGCTCTAGGCTTGCGGCCGACCTTCTGCTCGCCCTTCTCCAAGCTCTTCTTGACGTCGGCAACCAGCAGACCTTCGTTGGCGAAAGGCTTGACACCTTCCAGAGGCTTGCCAGCACCCTCGACCAGCTGGTGTGCCCAGGCCTGGACAGCCAATGCAGCGCCAGCGAATCCAGCGTGGAAGCCGAAAGCTGCTACACGACGTCCTTGCTCATCTTGCAAGAACTCAAGGTCGTACAGCGTACCGCCGCCACGAGGAAAACGAGCGAGCACCTCTTCCCAGCCGCCTTGGTTCTTGTAGCAGTGTGCAAATTGGACATGTGTGTGCTTGAGGGGNAACGTCTCTTCAGGGAGCTCCTTGAGACCCACGATGATGTGTTCGGTAGGGGCTTCAGTCCAGCTGCCCTCGGGCACCATGTTGGCGCCAACCTTCTCGAACTCCGAGTCTGGGAAGATGCTCAGGCTGCTGCGCTCGATGTTGACAGGGTAGCCCTCGTCCATCAGGGCCTTGGCCGTGGTGGGAGTCAGCGCTGAGCGGTGCTCGAGCGGCTTGGTCTACAAAGCAGCATTAGTCGTGGGTACAGGCTTGGAGCTGCTGTCGAGTGTAGATACCTCTGCGCGAAGATGTAAAGTAGGGTACGACATGATTTGTGTGGAATTGATGTGTGATGAGGAAAGATGGACTGCGGGTTCTGTTTGAATAAAAGACAAGTCTGCTCCAAGCACCTGCAGCGTGTGTGAGTCAATTGCCTACGAGTATTTTGCGGGCAGGTCACGTCAGTCCGTCCCCGACACCGGCCGACTGCCCCATACTCCCACCACCGACGACCTTCGTCGGTTTTCGCCTTCCAAATTTCAAAGGCAGCATGAGCACCTTGATGTCAAGAATTGTTTGAGCTCCCGAGCACATAAATATTGTGTCTTCGTCTCGAACGGATTCAGACTGGGTCTGATTACAGCATAAAATCCCGTGTTCACGTCAAAGCTGCAACTGGAATAAATACATCAATCTCAACGGCCCCGTGGAATTGCTGTAGAGGTTTCAGCTGGTCGTCAAGCGGATCGGCCGACTAGACCGTGGTTATGTTGCAACTTGCAAGATTGTCAAAAACGGTTTCAATAGACCTGACTCGTATGCGCTGCCTCATTATTGTTCGTCTTTCAGCTCGGCGGCGCCAACCTTTCTTTGGACTCTCAATTTGTGGTAGGTGCAACCGTGGATGAAGATTTGTGTCCGACTGTAAAACGTAAAATGTGAAATGTCTTTTGCATATGCCTCCCTCCTGCTGACACCGAGGGTCTAGTTAAGTGGGTATCTAAGAACAGAAATGTAAAGCGCCGCGCATTCTATGTACGTAGTGCAATGGGCGTTGAAGCCAGAACAGAATATAAGTGAAAACGTCCAGAAGGCCACGAGACTACTGTGCCTTGCCTAGACTCTGGAGGTTCACCAGTTCGAAGTAGCGTCCTCTCAAATGTAAAAGCTCAGTATGTGTGCCAGCTTCGACCACCCTACCAGCATCAAACACATAGATCATATCGGCACGCTGGATAGTGGATAGACGATGTGCGACGGCGATGGTGGTACGGCCCTTTGCTGCCTTGTCCAGCGCGGCCTGCACAACCTTTTCTGACTCGCTATCCAGAGCAGATGTGGCCTCATCTAAAAGTAGGATTTTGGGGTCGCGCAACAGTGCTCTAGCAATAGCGATACGCTGCTTTTGACCACCAGAAAGCATGCTACCTTTGCTGCCTACGATGGTATCAAAGGCGTCTGGCAAAGACATGATGAAGTCGTAAATGTTAGCGTCCTTGCAAGCTTGCTCAATGGCTTCTTGGGGAACATTCTCTCTGTCAGCGCCTAAGAGGATGTTCTCCTTGACAGTTCCCTGGTAAAGAGTTGGTTCCTGCGATACAAGAGCGATCCAAGAGCGGTAGTTGTTGACGTTGAGGCTAGAAATCTCCTTTCCGTCGATGTAGACGCCACCAGCTAGAGGATCATAGAAACGCTCCAAAAGCTGGATAGTGGTCGATTTACCACAACCACTGGCACCGACCAGAGCCACGTACTGGCCAGGCTTAATAGTCAAGTTGAGGCCTCTAAGGACGGGTTGCTCTGGGCGAGTAGGGTAACGGAAGTGAACATCCCTGAACTCGATGTGGCCCTCTACACCTGAGAGCTTCTCACCATCCTCACTCCAGCTATCGATCTCGGGCCTACGGTCGAACAGTGCCTTGAGCTCAGCAGCGGCTTGCTTAGCTTTGCCCATATCGGGAGCGAAGGAGAAGATGGTGCCGGCAGACTGAGCGCCAAAGATGACAGCACTGAAACAGAGGAAGAACTGGAACATGTTGTATTCGCCTCTTGAAATCAGGCGTCTGAATTAAAGTTAGCAAGACTCATAAAAAGGAAGAAAGCCAACATGAACTTACCCTCCGTACCAGAATCCAAGAGCTGTACAACAGAAGATGAGCGATTGAGAGGCAGCATAGAGACTGGAAGAACGTAAGATGGAAACCAGGGACTTGCGTTCCTGATCCACGAGCTGTCCGTGGTAATGAAGATGGACGTCATCTTCTCTTGTCAAGGAGGCGACTGTACGAATGGCAGAAGTTGCTTCACAAGCGTAGCTCGCGGATTTCTCGTAGGCCTTTTTGGCTTTGGCTTGGAAACGAGCAAGCATCCAGAAGCGCAGGAAACCACATGCGAGTAAGATAGGGACAGTTGAAATGCAGACCAGACTGAGCTTCCAGCCGACAGCCAGAGACACGGAGAACGCAGCGATGAGGGTGACAATGACAGAGAGAAGCGTGCCCAGAGTCACACCAGACATACCAGCAAGATGAGTGGTCTCAGTGGAGAGGAACGAGGTCAAAGCACCAGCGGTGTTTTCTTCCTTATCGAAGAAAGCGATATCCTGGCGAAGCATGGTTTTAAAGGCTTGTTCACGAGCTCGGTGGACGAGTCTCTCTGAGCAAATAGCGAAGACATAGCCCTGAAGGAGAAATGCAGCGAATTGCACCAGGG